ATTATCTTAATAGTTATTTTTAGGGGTAATAGATAGGCTTCTTTAAGCTATATCTTATTAAATAGGTTCTTAAGGTTATATTTAATTAATTTATTAATAATAAAGTTATAGTATTAAAATACTTTACTAATTATTAAGTTTTATATATATATAATATTTATTATTATCTAGCTAATATAATATTTTATTATTATTTATAATTTTATCTTTATAATCTTTATAATATATAAATATTTAATATATATATATAATCTATATAAATATATATTAATAAGGTTATATTTTTTATTAATAATTATATTATTAATAAGTTTACTTAATATTATCTTAAGTATTTTTTAATATAGCTACTTTATTAATATATTATTAATAATATTAATTATATAAATAATAATTTTACACTATAATAATTATAAAAGATATCTCTTATATAATAAATATTATAATCTTATAATAATTATATCTTTAGCCTATTTAGTATTAAGATTTTATTTTAATATTATAAATATAGTCTATTTAAATATTATATTTAATATAACTATATTTATAAAGTCTTTATAAAGGGAGGTCTTATAGTCTATATAATAAGCCTTTATTTATTTATTAAATTAATATATTACTCAATTTTTAAATATTTAAATAATTATTTAAATAATTATTTTATTAATAATATATCTTATTTAATAAAATTAAGTTATATTATTAATAAAGTATATAATTTATCTCTCTCCTTAATATCTAGTTATTATCTATATTATATTAAATAATACTTAGTTAAATAGCTTTACTTTATATATATAGAGTTAGTATAATATCTATTAATTTAATATTAATAAGTAATACTTATAATATTTAATATTTATTAATTTATGGGCTTTATTAATAATAATTATATTATTAATTTATATCTCTAGATATTAAATAGTATTATACTTAATATAATTTAGATATTAGTACTAGATCTTTATAATCTTTTTTACTATTAAAGGTTTTTTTAAATATATTATTTTTATTACTTAAGGCTTCTATTAAGCTATTATTATTATAAATACTAATATTTTATTAAATTTAAGTATATATAGAGAGTATCTCTTAATTATTATATAAATATTAATATATCCTTTATATAGTACTTCTTTCTTTTAATCTTATATAATATTATCTTTTTTAAATAAGTCTATAAATATAAGATTAGTATAAAATTAAAATAAATATATAATATTTTTAAGTAGTATACTTATTATCTTATTATTAGCTATATAAGACTTAATAATAATACTCTTAACTTTATAATAAGCACTTTTACTCTCTTTAATATATATTATAAGATTTAAAAATATAAAGAATATAAATTAATTATATTAATTATAAATATAAGTATTTATTTCTAAGTTTAAAATAAATTTATTTTATAGGGGATAGTTTCTCTTTATATTATTTAATATTATTAATATTATCTTTAAGCTTAATAAGATATTTTTAGGGTATTAATAAGCTACTATATTAATATTTTTATTTTATATTATAAGATTTAACTTTTTATACTCCTTTTTTATTTTTTTATATATTTTTATTATAGCCTTATAAAGCACTAGTTTTTTTTCTTTAATAATATTAAATTACTTTATTATTTCTATATCTAGTATTTAATTATTAAGATAAATCTATTTATTAATATAATAATATTTTTTAAATTAATATCTTCTTTTATAAATATAGTATAATAATATTTTTTTTAATAATATTATTTTTAATCTATTTTTATTATTACTTTAAGAGATTTATAGTCCTTATTATTCTTTAAAGTTAATTAATATATTTAGTATTAATACCTTTAATAAATATTTAATTATTTAGTTCTATTAAATTAAGTATATTATTATACTTATATATTTATAATAAAATAGGTTAATTTATTTAAGTAATTAATATACTATTTATTTTATATCTATAATTATATTAAGCTTAAAGTTATAATATTTAAGATAAAGTATTTTTTAATATATAAGCTATTTACTAAAGCTTTCTTTATTAATTATTTCTAGCTAGATATAATCTTATTTATAGTCTAATTATATTATTTAAGTACTATTATTAAGTATATATCTTATCTATAGCTACTTTAGTATCTCTTATAAAATCTTAATTATATTAATTAAGTTTTATAAATATTTATTAATTATTTTTATAATTTAATTATAAAGCTTAATAATTATATCTTATTTCTTTTAATATAATAGTAATTAATTATATATTTATATAGGGCTTACTCTACTATAGTGAGTTCCTCTAGTATTATTATATCTTACTAATAGGATATAGGCATTGGAGCTTATAGCTTATTTAATATATTTTTATATTTTAAATTTATATATTTTTATATAAATAAAGATTATATATATCTTAATATAGCTATATATTATAAAGGCTAATTATCCTTATCTTTTAGAATAATCTTATTAATATTAGAGGTTATATTTATAAGTAGTCTATTAAAGTAATATAATTATTTATAATATTTAATTTTATTAATAGGTTAACTTACTATCTAGTAAATTAGTATAAATAAGTTATATTAATTGAATATAATTAAGCTTATAACTTTTAGCTAAATAATATAAGGATTCTCCCTATATAAAGCTAATAATAAGATAATATTAAACTAACTAATTAGATAACTTTTAGGGATAAATATTATTTATAATATATAAGTATATAGTAGGGTTAGGCCCTAATAATATATGAATAATAAGAATATTAATAGGAAATAATCAATAAATAGTTAAGTTAATGATATAAAGAGAAACCATATATCTGACAATAGGTATCTATATATCTATTATAGTCAACATATACTAATATTTTAACACTCTTCATAATATTAATAATATATAAAGTTATTATATTTATAATTATCATCTAACTGTTTTCTTTACATCCTTAATATCATATAGTATGCAATTTTATTGATATAGTTATATTATATTAGTGATAGGGCTTAGTCTAATAGCAATATTGTCAGATTCCTGACCTAGGCGTAGAAGCCTAATTAGGCTAGGCCTCCCACTAGTATATGCTTTTTAGTGTTAAACTGCTGTAGAATGACTTAGTGTGATAGATAAAGAGATAAAGGCAAAGTAGATGGGTACCCACCCCCACCCACCCCTCTTATATTCTGAAATCCAAAATCCAGGACAATTATTCCCTGAAGACTTTTTTTTTATCTTGATCTAAGTGTTTCCTACCAAAAGAATGAAAGTCTTAACTGCCAATTTTATCACATGCGCAATAAAAGACTGCAAGGCCTCTCCAAAATCCTTTCCTCTCCACTTCCAAAATGCTGAATTAGAGCTCCAAGAGCTAGAATTTCAGCCGGATTTCTTGCGCCATATTCTGCCACGGATAGACTGGGATAGCCTCCGAGTCACCGCCAATGAAGTAAATCCCTCTTCTATTTCATGCAAGGAAACCCCAGGTAATCAATCACACTGACAAATTCCATCGATAAACAGTTAGGGTTCCCTAGCATCCCAGAGACTAAACCAGAGGGCGAAGAACTCAACAATGAAGAATTATTAAGAAATTTACACCAGTTATTACTTGAAACACAAGTGATGGAGGGAAAATTAGTATGCGATAACTGTGGGCATGAGTATATGATCAAAGAAGGCATCGCAAATTTTCTTCTCCCCAGTCATCTGGGTTCGAAATCCTAATAGTTTCCCTGCCTCCATCAAAAACCGATTGCTAATATCTATATTATAGTTTAAGTTTGTGTTGTATACAACCCAAAAAAATAATAATCACAACCTATTTTTGATAGGATCTAGTGTTTCTCCTTGGTCATTAAAACCATCACAGACAGTGTTGCCATAATCATAATGCTGCAATTCCCAAGACTCATGCAATTCATTTGTGACATTACAGTCGTAGCTTCTTTATTATACAATAAGATGATCATTTCTTTGCAACCACAGACTTTGTCTGCAACCAAGGACGAAGACATTTCCGAGTCAAGGAAACATCTGTAAGAAAATTAATTGCTACTTCAGCCAGATGACGAATGTAATTCAATCCCATCTTAAGAAAGGTCATCGAGTAAATTGTTTCCACGAGGGGTCTTTCCCCAAAGATCTTAGTTAAGAAACCCTTTGCAGCCTGTAGACCCGCAGAGGCATGGGATTCGGTCATCACTATCCCACTCTCTTTCAAACTTATAATCGTAGGTCAGTTCCTCATCTAGAAACAGAATGTCAGTTTGCCGGTTTCATTGGCATGCAGAGTTGTTAAGGTAGAAATACCTCTTTCAATATCCCGGAGAGCGTATATAACGATTCTTTTGCTGCCATCGACTTTGATGATCTTGGCAGTACAGTTGGGCGTGCAACTATGATTAATGAATCTCGCTATCCCTCCTCTCTTCGTTGCATCTATGACTGTATTTTCGTCAATCCGGAAAAGATAGCTGCTCCCAATTCCACTCTTCAAATATCTTCTTTCCCGCATATCTGCAACTTGCTGCCGCACTTTCTCTCCAACATACTCGATGATCATATCATTTGCAGCAATGTTCTCCTCGGCATAGAGGCCCCAGTTATGAATTGCAGAGCGCGCAAAGCGAACAGGCTTCTTTCGCTTCTTCAATTGATTGAAGCGCAAGACATCTCCCTCTCCTTGCTGGGTCGGGAGAGCTTGCTTTTGTGCATTGATATCTGCAATAAGGCGACGATTGTTTACCCGGGTCGACCTAGACGTTGATTTGGAGATGGACTTTGCAGCAGCAATCCTCGCGGCTTCAGCGGCCGTAGCTTGCGGGTCGTTCTTTGCTCTGGCCTCGCGTTCCTCGCGGGCCTTTTGGACCTTGATTCGATGTGGTAGATACTTCGACTTCTCTGATTCCAAAATCCTCTTCTTGCCTTCTGCGCGAGCAGAACCTGCGATATTAGATTTATAGTAGCCGTCAATCAAGGTTTCATTGCGGACTATGCCTCTTTCCCCGGAGCGATTAAGCGCCTTTATTTCTTTTTGTCTCCATGCCCAGGCAGCTAGATTTCCGATGTTGAACTTCAATTGGTCTACCAGAACCTCCCGAAGGAATCTCAAGTCTTCGTCGTCTTTGACAATGCATTGCCATCCATCAAGGTCTTGTATGATGGTATCGTCATCCTCGACAGTCGCACGGGGCTCGTCGTAAGAGACATCCCACCCTATCTTTGCTTCTTTAGGCCTGGCAAGCTTTCTGTTAGAGTAGGAAACTGCTGAAGGGAGACCAGTTGTTTGGTCTGTCTCTTTGAAGCCATCTTCAACCGGCTTTCGTAACTCTTTGATATCTTCTAGAGGCTCACTCGCCACCATTTCCATTTTCCCCTGCTCTAATGGCGTGGAGGCAATACCCAGGTCCTCTTGTATAATCCCTGGATCAATGGTATCTGACCCGGAAACCAATGTGTTTGCACTGCGGCCCTGAATATCGCTGTCTGTGTCCTCAGGGGATTGAGCCAGGCCAAAAAGGGAATCATCTTTCTGTCTTTTTCGCGCTTCAAGCTCTTGGTTGAGTCTTTTCCTTTTGCGATTCGAAGTTGAAAGAAGGTTACTGAAATCAGAAAGCGACTGCCCATCAACCGAGCTGTCCGGGGCATCATTGTCGCCTTCGTTCTCAAAAGCAAGGATTCCTTTTGTCGTTGAAGTATCCAAGGTCTCCGTACCAGAATCATTATCGTTTTCTGAATCGGAGCTAATCGATGTTGCTCGGCTTGGTGGCCTACTATCGGTATCTTGACCAAACGGACTTTGCAGTTCCTCATCCGAATCCTCAACTTCATGAAGCTGCTGTAAACGATGGTAGAGAGGCCTGACCCTTGTTTTCCGTGAGGATTGTTTCCGTCTCTCATCTAGAAACACCGTATCGGTTCGATCCAGACCGTGAGCTTTTCTGATGCGTGGTAGAGCCAGTATATTCATATTTGATGCCCCAAACGGTGCCCTGGAATGAGGCAGCCTTATATCAGAGTCGTGAGATCCAAGACTATTCTCAATGCCGATCTGAAAGGATAGCCGTTTGGTACCCTCTGGATCAGGAAGCCCCAGCTTCCTCCTTTTCGGTGCATGTCGGTCTGGGTCAAGATAGTCGTACAGAGCTGGAGCAGCGATGCGCGATTTGACATCGTCAAGCAGTTTATCTTTCAGTTCACTGATTATGATAGATAAGACTTCTTTGCAAGGGTCTAAATCAATCGCTCTTTGCCTTTTCTCTTCCTCAAGATCAAGCTCTGCTTCTTTTTTCAATCTCTCCTTCTCTGATCTCTGTTTATGTTCAGCCTGAAGTCTCTCAGGGCTCGGGCTGCGCTCGTAATTAGGATTACCATATGGCTGGCTTTCCATGTTCATGATATAAGTGAAAAGAGGCTTCATATGACAGATCTTGTAGCATCGTTCCGTTTCCTCCTCACCTCTTCTAGAATTTTCAAAGAGGACATAGTATCCGGTCTTGTCGCAGCGGATCGATTTCCATTTGAACAGTTTGAGCCTCTTTTTTAGATGCGGCACGGTTGTGCTGAGGACTGGTACGTAACAGTGCGCGATAAATATGTATGGGTCACGCTTGATCTGGCCGAGGATTGGGGTTTCTTCGATCAAGGATGGCACTGCAGGCTTCAATGCCGCTCGCGGACCTTCGGGTGGCGGAAAAGCAGTGCGAATAGAAATTCTCCCCGATGGGCCCTTGGGTGCAGTCAGGGGAGGTTCATTTTTTTCAGCCTTTGTCTCTGTATCACGTTCCTCGCCATTTTGTAGATTCCCACGAAGCTCGGCTCTCTGGGAAGTAATGGCTCTTGAGACTAAGCGATCCGAGGTAGTCCCGTCGCGATCCCATTCAACCCTAATTCTGCGAGTCCCGATACGTTGTTCTTTCTTGCATTCGAGATATGCACGACGCGCCGCGCTTGCTGCCAGAACAGGCCCGTTGCCACGAAAAGAAAGGCTATCCTTGTATTGTATCGAACAGATACCGAGGAAACTGCCAGTAATAGGGTCGGTGCGATTGTTGATTTCTGAGATTTCCCCGAAGCTAGCAAAGAGAGCGCTGATCGGAGCGATGGGTGTTAATGGATCATAGCCTGTGGCCACAATTCGTGTTGGAGGCCCAGGCCCTATAGTTGTTGTAGCATCATAAGGCCATGGCTTGAGAAGGTAGGGAGCCGGTCGATATTTCGACTTTTGTTTGCAAGCAGCGCCACGGTTATAGTTAACTATTTTTAACCGCGGATCTGAGCCAGGACTATTATCTTCGTTTGCAACAAAGCTCACGTACTGGACCTTCTTCTTCTTTTCCTTCGATGATGAACGTTTATCAAGATCGGGATCATAGGCCACCTTCCAGCCTTTGATTGCGCTTTCAATATGGCGACTTTGAGACAGAGGAGTAGGCGGAGCACAAATCTGATTCAAGGCTAACTTCGAATCACCTTGAGGACCGCTGTGTGCGCCGTCTTCTGTGAACTCATCGTCCATTTTCGCGTCCGAAGGACTGGGTGCTTTGCGCGGCGGAGAAGACTCCCCATTGGTGAGCGGTGTAAGGGTATCGAGATGGATTCCATCAACACTGACGCCTCCTGGAGGCACTGAGCAGCCTCTGCTTTTGAAATTGGTAGATCCGAGACCTAGACCTTCCGAAAGTTCCTCGCCCGACCTTGTAGTTGTATTACCGCCAGTCTTGACCCCGACCACTGGATTGTCGACCGCTAAGGGTAGTTCTGTGGATAGAGAGGAAGATTCAATAGTATTCACCCGGTCATCTTGAGATTCAGGCGGTTGTTGTTCTTGTGTCGCTCTTCTGCGTTTTTGCTGTAGGACGGCAGGCGCGGTTGGAAAGAAGTCAGCAAAGCCGGCCGAAGAGCGAGACATTGTCAAAGATGGCTACAAGCCACGCGTGAGGTCGTCGCGATCAAAGAACATCATCCTTGGTAGATCCACTATTGACTATCCCCGTCGCATCTAGTCCAGAAACCCCCCTACCGCGGTCGATTGGCAAAAAGTTGAAGGTATCACAAATATTAAAAGAAGGCTTGCTGAAAGAAGTTTAAACTTTATCTGTTTAAGCTTGTATGGGGCGCAAACATGGGTATTAAATAAGAGGGGAGGGAGAAAGAGAATAATTTATTAAAAGTAATTTCACTGAGAACTAGGATAATAAATTAGATACAGAGTACTGCATACAGTGCAAAATGCACTTGGAGAAACTGTAGCAGTTATACCTTAGTACAACGCCAAGCCAATCAAAGCAGTTTTCATGTGGTAGGTAATTAAGTGTCAAGTTGAGTTACAATTCTTTAGACTAAGTAAGTAGAAACCTCAGAATATGTAAATTATTCAAAATAAATATCTCCTCCTCCTATCAGATCCATTAAAGAAATTATAATATGATACTATGGGCCCTTTCGGTATTTTTAAATGTAGGATTGACTAGGTTGGTCACTTAATGCAGAATATTGCCATCTGCACCTCCTGGCTCTATCTTGAGTGTGGAGTAACTTCTCTGTACAGAATCTCCGGCAAGACAGACAGATCAGTCATTGCTTAATTAGAAAATTCATTTTCAGAACTACCTATTAGCTAAATGAGTAGTTAGTCAATCACTTTAGTAGGTGGTTAGTTAGTAACTACCTAGGTAGTCAACTTGGTTGGGGTTCTCTGTACATGGAGTAAACATACCTAAGTTAACTATATAAAGAGACAATGAGTGTCCATATTAAAGAATGCAGAGCTTTCAGTACCCGCCTATATATAAAAAGAAGTATATAATTAGCTAGGTACTCTACGTATTTATTATAAGGAACCAGAACAACTTTCTATATAACCAATTAAGTCTAAATCTACTCTTATTGTGTCTAACAGAATCATCACTATTGCTGTTGAGCTGCCCAGGATGGAATGATAAGCCATCTCCCTCCTTTCTTAATGCACCAGTTCTGTTGCCGCTCCTGTTTCCTTTTATAGTGGATTTAATATCTTGATACCAGAAAGTCTAAACATACACGATATGCACTGGCAGATGGCCCAGAAATTATTCTATAAAAGCACTGGGAATACCACTGAATTGGTCTTAAAAATAGCTAACTTACGGGAGAGAAGGGTTGACCTTAACAGGTACATCTATAATAATCTCCGTAGGATGATGCTAAGCCTGGTATTGGGACGGACACTATCTTTAAGGCTGTGTGTGACTTTAGCTTTCAGGAGCTGAATAGCATTGCTTACTTTTTGAGTATTATAATTTTAGAACCCCTTCTGTCTGCCTCATGAACCAGTCAACCAGGTTTCATACCAACTATTTATTATGCCGAGATACAGGCTATGTGTCTATAATCAACTTAGCCTGTCCATATATTTAAAACACCCCCGATCGGAATCAATGAAATCTGGGCTCATGGCGCTTCTGTATTATATCTGGGGAATCCCAATATGCTATTCGTAATTTTTATGTAAAAGCATGTTGTCTTACTCTTACTGTAGAGCAATAGAATAAAATGATGACAGAGCAAATCTGGCTTACTTTGCTCATTATTCAGATAATCTCACGGCCTCTTGGCCTTCTTTTCTGGCGTGACGGCATATTTATACTAATTACCTAGCTATAATAAAGAATAACAAAATCTAAATGATCTGCTAATATTAATATTTATCTCTAGAATATTTAAGATTGGCGTCTCCTATATAGCTATAACAGGATTTTCTTAACATTGACTGGTTGTTTATCAATGTAGCAACTACGGAGTACTATGTACCTAATGCAGTGCTATGTACGGAGAAGCTATTTTGTAGTTACCAGGTAGTTACCTACTCCATAGTGTGTATCTAGGTATCTAACTACGGAGTATAGTATGCTCATCAGAAGGTTCGGGAATCAGGTTAAGGCAGGGACCAAGCTAGATGGACTTGCTAGACTACTAACGACCAGTGATTACCTAGGTAACTAAACCTTTAGTCCCTACTAAGGTAAGTTCCAAGGTTAGTAACTCTTCTTGGGGAATTTCTTAGCCCAGTTAGTGGACAAGGGGTATCAATAGTCCCAAGTATAAATAGCAACCTTAACCTTGGGACTTGAGAGCTCTACTAAGGTTCTCTCAGCTGTACTACATAATATTCCGAGTCCATACTGCGTAAATTTACTACAGAGTACTAGTTACCTAGTTAGTTTACCTAGGTACTCCGTAAGCCTGTCATTGTCTGATTTACGCAGTAGAACCAAGGGTAAAAATAAAAATAAAATGGTATCCCTCCCAAGTCTCCACTTGGAACCCCTTCAATCAACAAACCCTGTGTACGAGACTCCTCCAGAGGGGAAATGTGAAAATCAAGAATATTATTGGACTAAGTGTTACTATTTACTATTGAAAATCCCTATACTAAACTTAACCCCTGGCAGTTATTCCCCTCTTCGAGATACCTATAATACTTGATGATGTGATCTGTGTTACCTTAAAAAACATTGATCACTTAGGTATGGAGTACTCTGTAGTTACAGAGGGAAGTAAAAGTTCTTTAGTACACATAATTTCAGGCTTCCTCAGCCGCACAGGTACAGAGTACATTGGCATATAATTTCTCCACCTTAAAGAACACATACACATATATGATAATAATAATCTGTACAGTAGTAGTAGATGCTATAACTAGATATATGCTACTATATTAATAATTCTTGCTAAACTAATTCCCCTTTTATCTATAATTCTATATGTAATTAGTAGCTAATTGACTAGTTATCTCTAATATAGGTACCTAGTGATGTGCTCTAGGTAGTTATAGCTAGCTACCTTGTAAGCTTAGGTATAGGTACCTACTTGCCTTCCTATTATGTACCTATCAGCATAACTACCTGACAGTTGCTTACCCTACTCCAGAGGTACGGAGTACCTACTCTAGACCGGTAGGTAGTCAGTTGCTGCCACCGCCTTTTACAGACAAGCTGTACTTACGGAGTATAGTAGCACAGAGTACTCGACAGCTAAATAATCAGGTTCATCCTAACCTATATAGGCCTTTAAGTAGAAGAAAAATACCACTATAACTAAATATAGCTATATCTAGCCAATTTCTAACTGATAGTCTCTGCAAAGTATGTGGCGCACTTCATACAAGCAGTCATGATCACTAGTATTACTATTTACAGTCCCCGTATTTATTATTATTCCTGTCCTTGTCATTCCGAGTGGGGACATGAACCGTGGTCTTGAATCATCAGCTGAGACATGCCAATGGATCTGAGGTGTAGGGTGGCGGGGCACTATTGTTAGGTACGTACCTGGCGCCAGGTTCCCAAGCACCTTCAATGCCGACTCTGTACTAGTAGTTGGTTGAGTTCACAACATAAAACATACAGCTCTCCCCCTCCTTCTCTACAGAGCATTCACCTTAGATACCACTACCTCCTCCCACCTCTCAATTTCTTCCTACATACCTGTCTGTCATCCACTCCATATCATCCTTTACGTCTTCTCTTCTATCGCTTCTGTCGCTTCTACCCTCGAGCCTATTGATTACTCTAAACAATTACTTGATATCCTAGTCGCTCTACAATCTTCCTTCTTCCTCTCCCGCTTGAATATCATCCTTGTTTCTAATTCCACCCACCCCTCGCTCTATCATTCTTGAGAAACTTTCTCCTGTCGTTTATTTTTTTTTCCTATTCAAATATGTGGTACGGGATTTAAACCACTCCTTCCTACCTGTTGTACAAACCCGCTTACGAGTTACAGTGGCATCTTTGGTTACATCAATTACTTGATCGAGAGGGATCGTAAATACGTCCTCGACACTTTGCTTAATGGTAATGAGCTTCAGCAGTCTATTTTGCTTTTTCTATACTATTATACTGACTATTTAAAACCAGGACTTTCACGACTTGAGTACCGCGGTTATGATTCCGCCGGTCTCGCAGTTGATGGTGACAAGAAGAACGAGGTCTGCGCCTTCAAGGAGGTTGGAAAGGTTGCGAAGTTGAAGGAACTTATTGAGGAATCAAAACCCGATCTCACCAAAACATTCGAGTCGCACGCGGGTATCGCTCACACCCGCTGGGCTACTCATGGCATGCCCTCGCGCCAGAACTGCCACCCTCACAGGTAAATAACCCTATCTCTGCCTTTTATTCCAAGCCGGGACTATGCCCTGACCAAATACGCACTGGTTCTGACAAATGGTTACCAGATCCGACCCCAACTGGGAATTCTCTGTCGTCCACAACGGTATCATCACAAACTACAAGGAACTGAAGGCCCTACTTGAAACTAAGGGATTCCGCTTTGAAACCGAGACTGACACAGAATGTATTGCCAAATTGGCCAAATATCTTTACGATGAACATCCCGACATTGAGTTTACCGTCCTGGCAAAGGCCGTGATCAAGGAGCTTCAGGGTGCTTTCGGTCTCCTCATCAAGTCTGTGCACTATCCTCATGAGGTAATTGCTGCCCGCAAGGGATCGCCTCTGGTTATTGGCGTCAGGACTTCCAAGAAGATGAAGGTTGATTTCGTGGACGTTGAGTATTCGGAAGATGGAGCGCTCCCTGCCGAACAAGCTTCTCAGAATGTTGCAATCAAGAAGACCGCCGCCACTCTTCTTGCGCCCCCGGACAAGTCCTTGCTGCATCGTTCTCAATCGCGTGCTTTCCTTTCCGACGATGGCATTCCGCAACCCGTGGAGTTTTTCTTGTCTTCTGACCCTTCTGCTATTGTGGAACACACAAAGAAGGTCCTTTACCTGGAGGATGATGATATTGCCCACATCCACGAGGGACAGCTGAACATCCACCGCTTGACTAAGGATGATGGTACCTCCAACGTCCGTGCCATTCAAACAATTGAGCTCGAGCTTCAGGAGATCATGAAGGGTAAATTCGACCACTTCATGCAGAAGGAGATCTTCGAGCAGCCCGAATCCGTTGTGAATACCATGAGAGGTCGTTTGGACGTTGCCAACAAACAGGTCACTCTCGGTGGTCTCAGACAGTATATTTCTACTATCCGCCGCTGCAGACGCATTATTTTTATCGCCTGCGGTACCAGCTATCACTCGTGCATGGCTGTCCGTGGAGTCTTTGAAGAACTTACAGAGATCCCCATTGCCGTTGAGCTGGCGTCTGACTTCTTGGACAGAGAGGCCCCTGTCTTCCGTGACGACACTTGCGTGTTTGTCTCTCAGTCTGGAGAAACGGCCGATTCGCTTATGGCTCTCCGCTACTGCCTTGAGCGAGGTGCACTCACAGTTGGAATCGTCAACGTTGTTGGGTCCTCAATCTCCATGCTCACCCACTGCGGTGTTCACATCAACGCCGGTCCTGAGATTGGTGTCGCATCCACCAAGGCTTACACGTCTCAATTTGTTGCGATGGTCATGTTTGCTCTGTCCCTGAGCGAAGACCGCGCATCTAAGCAGAAGAGGAGAGAGGAAATCATGGATGGGCTGGCTCAAGTTTCTGGCCAGTTCAAGGAGATCCTGAAGCTGAATGAGCCCATCAAAGAGATGTGCGCCAAGTTTTTCAAGAACCAAAAGAGCTTGCTTCTACTGGGTCGTGGCAGTCAATTCCCCACAGCTCTCGAAGGTAAATTGCTTATCATCCCTCTGTGAAACTAGGTATTGACTCGATGGGTAGGCGCACTGAAAATCAAGGAGATCTCTTACCTTCATTGCGAGGCTGTTATGTCCGGAGAACTGAAACACGGTGTTCTGGCCCTTGTTGATGAGAACCTCCCCATCATCATGATCCTCACCCGGGATAAGATTTTCACGAAATCGTTGAACGCGTACCAGCAAGGTGAGTCTCGGATCCGGGCCTATGACGTATCCACAAACAACTTTGCTCATCAAATTTACAGTTATTGCTCGCGGGGGTCGTCCCATTGTCATCTGTAACCATGATGACCCGGAGTTCTCGACTGCACAGACCGAGAAGATTGAAGTGCCCAAGACCGTGGACTGCCTTCAAGGTCTTCTAAATGTCATTCCTCTGCAGCTGATTTCCTATTGGCTTGCGGTGGGCGAGGGTCTTAATGTTGACTTCCCTCGCAACCTTGCCAAGTCGGTGACTGTTGAGTAAAAGCCGTTGGCCAAGGCCATGGAAGCAGGACTATTCTTATTGATTTTTCATCTACTTGCTGCGGGTCACTCTCATGGGTGTGGGGTAATTGCTACTTTTCCAGTTGCTACCTGCGTATGTTTTTTTAGGGCGAAAATGATTGAACGCTGTTCAATTTTCCTAGTCAGGGCTTTTTTATGAATGAAAACCTGGACTCTATTCCAAATAGGCACTTACCTAGATTTTAATTATTTGCTAGATCTGAAAGACCAGTATTATATCATTAAGATATCATTTATTTATATACCTAGGTAAGTAACTATGGTATAACTAGACTTAGAGAAAATACATGTAGGTGAGTAGTATTAGTTAGTCTAAAATTAAAAAATAGTACTTAACTACTACAAAATCAATATAGGGATCAAGTGGAATCAACATTGAAGTAGGTTTTATGGCGGAGAATTCCTTTTTATAGAAGAAAAAGGCACCATAATATCCTCTAGAAACACTGGTAAATCTATACGGTTGTCGCCATAAGGATCCTCCTGCCTATATAGTTTATAGGGCCATGAGGGCTACAATCACGTTAATTAGCACTGATACTAGTCTTGTAATTATACTAGTTACATATCCATAGAAAGGGTTTTTACTGTCACTATATTATTGGTATATTGAAACACAATCAACAGGGCAAGTAATTCTACTACAGTCCCTTTATTGTAGAGACTGAAAGCTTTCGGCAATTCTACCCTTCTCTAAACCACTATCTACAGAACATCAAATCCATATGGGAGGTGATCTTCCGAGGCAATATAGATGATTTCTAATCCTTCAGGCCTCCTAGACAATCAAATCATCTAGAAGAATCACATAAAATCTTGGATAAAGATATTCTCACGCTCCGGCATCCAGGTTCGACCGAGAAGAAGACTCAGATCTATCTGGTTTAGAACTGGCTAGTTGATGCCATAAGAGGGGTAAACAGGAGTAGCCGGAGCCCTATATCTAAAGTAATATTCTATTTTTTGACTTCTCAATAGGTATTTGCATAAATGCTACTGATATTATACAGTTGCTTACCTAGGTATATCCCGAGCCCTGTTTATACCTAGAAGGGCCATAACTCGTAACTGACTAGGTAGTTATTCCTTACCCCACTTGACTAACGTGATAGACAAGGTACCCCGCCACGATAACCTGCATGGTCTTGCTACAGCATAATCTCCAAATTCTAGCAATTTACCCTCTATCCATATATTTCGATTTTCAAACTCCAATTCTCGAGCCACACTACCCAAAAAAATGGCATCTTTGAAGGGCCCTGGCGCGGCAGAGACTCGCGATGGTTAGAAACCACTGGTGTCCCGCTTGCCCATTTACTCATGTTGAATAGGTTCTGGACTCCGCATCGCAATCGTACATGCAAGGTGGAACATGCCTATTATTGAGCCATTGATCACCGGCGCAAAGAAGAAGCTTCTGGCGGCTGGAGTGGCGGACGAAGACATCACTATTGAAAGCGTCCCAGGGAGCTACGAGTTGCCATTTGCAGTGCAGCGGTGAGTGGTCTTGACTCGAGCTCTAAATCCGGGCACCTATGCCATTGCAAGATTATACTGACCGAGGTCGCATTTCTCTCATAGAATCTACAGTGCTTCTCAGATCCAAGCCGCTCAAAGTTCTAATTCCGCCGAGGGAATTAGTGCAACTGATCTGTTATCATCCTCAACCACGGATCTGAGCAAGTCGGGGACGCAGGGATCGGCCGCTAGTCACCGGCCGTTTGATGCAGTCATTGCAGTTGGTGTTCTGATTAAGGGAGAAACTATGCACTTTGAGTATATCGCAGACGCCGTCACACATGGACTTATGCGCGTCCAGCTCGATTCGGGTGTACCGGTTATTTTTGGGCTGTTGACAGTTCTGAACGAGCAACAGGGCCTGGAACGCGCTGGGTTGGGCAGCAAGGGCATGCATAATCATGGCGAAGACTGGGGCAATGCTGCTGTGGAACTGGGTCTGAAACGGAGAGGCTGGGCGGATGGCAAGTTTTTGTAGTGCGTTTTATTGCCTTGCTTCTGTCATCAGTGACCGTTCCGAGTTTGGGAGTCGAAAAAGATTCCGTTGAATTCCTAAACCTCCAGTTATAGCACATGGGAACAGCCGCCAGAAGGGGAAGATAAAATGGTTCTTGGTTAAATGTGACGTTAAATAGGTCTAGTATTTCTTTTTTGAAAATAAATCTCCAGAAGAAACATACACCCGGGCCCTAGCGAAAATTGACGCTCGAAGCACCTGTTCGTTACTCCTCCATTTGCTGATCCTCAGTTGCGGATGCCTTTGTGCCCTCTTCTTCCTCGACCTCGCCCTCCAAAGCCTTTTTAGCCGCCTTTTCGGCCTCCTCAAGCAGGTCCTTGGGAACTTCCTCATGCTTGCCCTTTGTTGGCCCATCCAAAGAACTGATCCAGGTCATCTCCAGTTCAAACTCCTTATCCTTGCTATCTTCGTGTGCAACATAGATAATGCGAGCTGCCTCCTTCACCGCATCAACCAAACTTAATTCTCCGGAACTCAGGTTAAGCTTTTCAAGCTCAGCTTTGGCTGCTTGTCTGCCCTTTCCAGTCGCTGCACCATAATATCCCTATGAAGGTCAGTTTGTTGCTGTAAAATAACGCCGAAGTTTCTTGCGTACCCAGTAAAGCCCACTGGGTTCAATCATCCAGAGCCCTGGGCCTCCGGCTTTAGCACCTTGGATCTTTCCACCGGCACCTGAATCTGGACCATTTCCCACTTGACCATCAACAGGAGCCTCGGCCTCAGAGTCCCAGCCTCCTAAGATTGCGGTTATACCAAAAGGCCGTACACTGGAGTATAACGTGTATGCTTGAACATAGCTGCCCAGGCGATTTGCGAGTGCTGATGTCGGGATTGGTCCTTTGTATACGCCTCTCCATGAAGAGGCTTCGTCTCGAGCTCTAGAGACGAAGTGCCGCCCGTCGGGAACTAATCCAGCTGACACCTGCATTGAAGCAATATCACAATCAGCACATGTAAGTCTCCCAGCAATTGTCCCAAGGAAGCCTTACAATTCCGACATGGCGATCCACTGTTGCGATCTTTTTGTTGGCACCCGGTTTTAAGAGCTTGCTCGTGACAATCTTTTCTGCGGCCAGCACAACGCCATCCTTGCATCTAATTCCGATGGCCGTCCCTCCATTTTCAACGGCCTTCACTGCATATTCAACCTGTGGGAGATAGTTAGACGATGTAAGTCGTTCTAATCAGACCGCAAGATTACCTGAAAGTTTCGTCCATCGGGGGAGAAGACAGAATTAGAAAGATCGTAGCCTGTGCCAATGGACGTCTTCGAGGTAGAGTCAGCGAGGGTTCTTGAGGAAACGAGAGCTCGTACTACTTCAACAGACCATGGCTCAGAAAACTGGGGCGGTAAGGCTGGGATAGCGCTGAGAAAGAGTAGAATAACGTTATTTAGAGGGGCGTGAAAGTGGACAGGGCTATGATATTCTCGAGGCAAGAAGAATATTTCGAGGTGGTGGCACCTTGACAAGTTGCTCTATCACGGCTTTTGGATGAAGGAGCTACCAGGTAGGAGCTTACGCGCTCCACTTGTTCTTGCTCTCTGTCACGTCACGGGTTTCTGCCTGGAGATTCCGCGATACATACATGGCACTGATGCCTGAGGCAGAAGTTTATACTGCCTGAATGAAAATAATAAACTATATGACAATCGAAGATAATTAATAAAGAGGTTGTTGGGTTTTATTTTCTTCTTTTCCCTCATTGATATTCTAGGCTCAGAATGGGTATGTCTGATCTTTCTGAAAAGTGTACTCTCTGTAGATGGTGACCCGTTCTCCTGATCAGTGCCCGATCATAGGTTTCGGGCATCGATCCTTATTATATTCCCTTAAGTCCAAAATGCCCTTGGGTTTCTTAAGTTCATTCTGTATTATTCATGGGCCTTTTTCCAAAGGGGATTTACTTGAGGTCTTTGCCAGCTGGCAGATTTTTTGGTTGATTTTGATGATTTTGACCCTTCAAGCAACAAGATTTATATCAGTCCGACTGGTAGCGATTGAATCAATAAAAGACCTATATAATATATATATTGCCGAGCTTCATTTGAATCTTGGAATAAACCAAAACCATGTCCTCATTCATCCTTCATCAGTGCCAGTCTTGTCGACATGTCAACCATATAGACGCCTCACTTGCTGCCTTTCCGGGAAGCATTCATTGTAGCCAGGTAGTGTTTTGATATCTTGTTCTATTCTGTTAGACCGATCCTAGCAAGCAGTCTTCAAGTCCTGACTAGAAGTACCCACAGTGCGGCTTTCCGATGTCTGACGGTAATATGAAAGTGGAAGACGAGCTTTCTACCCTCCTAGAAAAGCATCTGACCATGGGAGTTTCCCAAACGGGATCGCGTCCACAAATGTCATTTGTTTCTACATCATGCCCAGCCCCCTCGCCGATAATGTATAGTATTTCCCAGCACTATCACCATTCCTCACACCTGGCATCTCAGACCAATGGAGCCCAAGGGTCGAAGTCAGTTCAACGATATGAAGCCACAAATGACGGCCTCAACACTTTGACAAGACATGATGTGGACCCCTCATCGCTTTCGCCAGACCAACTAGACCTGTTCATGAGTTCCGAAGATGAACAAAGGTCATTTTCCCTTCAGGCATGGAAGGGCTGCCAGAGCATCAGAGAACAGGACCTCGCGTCTAGATCAAGAAACGTGCTCTCTGAAGCTACCTGTTCGTCTCTAACCCCAAGACTGGATATGAGCTCTGCTTACAATGCAGAAAGACATGCGCACGAACTGTTGACCTGGGGTTTTGAAATGGATGTCTCGGTCTATGGATTGGAAACCGACAATGACATACAATACGCAGAGCCATACATGATTTCCGGCTACGAGACAATTCCGGGCCCAAAATTTTCATTATAGAAAGTATAAAGTAGTGAATTGAATTATCACTAGCAAAATTTCTCCGTCAAACTTAGCAGAAAGCCCGGGTCTTATAAGAGTAGGCCCAGAATAACGAAATAAAACACAGGGAGCTTTTGTATTTTGAATGTAGAGAACAATTCTGTTGATACGACTATCATAACCTAGATTTGTTACCTAGAAAGACATGGAATGGAGTCAAGGCCTGGGGCATCATTTACAGCGACATGACTTTCAGATACGATGTACAAGTGTCGCAGAAGTCATCTTCCATAGAAACCAAAAAAAACTCGGGGATATAACAAGGGCTCTTAAAGAATATAGGATCGTCCGGGTCCACCGCTGGCTCGTCGCTGGGGCATTAAAAGTACGTGATCATAGGAAGATAGTCCTTTAAACATAAAGTAACTTTATTCATATGTTTTCTGCTCCCTCCATAAGGCTGTATTGCATTTGTGGATTGATATAGATTGCTTAAATCCCTAGAAGCTGGGCAAGCAGTAAAGAAAAGACTAGAGACAGAGAGACATAAAAAAACAAGAAAGTAAAAGCCAAATTTCCCCAAAAGAGTGGCCGGCGAACAAATCTATTGCTTCGCCATTGAAGCTAACATATTCTTCCCCTGTTTATGTGCCTTGGTTGACCGTGATCTCCTTAGTGATGACCATGATGGGAACAGTAGCATGTAATCACCACAGCTTCTTCATGTATTGACGAGAAGTATCAAGTCCCTTGAGGTTTAGCTGACATGTCAAATTTTGGCAAAGGAACATAGAACTTACTTTACTCCTCCTCATCCATGGCAGCAAAAGCCTCAGCAAGAGCATCGGCGGTGCGCTTCACCTCGTCGACGGCACTAGCAGCGCGCTTGATCTTCTCGCAACCCTGGCCTGGCTGCCAGCACCACTTCTGAAGGGCATCGGGGGAGGCTGCGGCCATGGCCTCCGCAAGAGCTTCAGCGGAGCGCTTAACCTCACCAGTGGCATCAGCGGCACGCTTCAGCATGTAGCAACCCTGACCAGGCTGCCAGCACCACTTTTGAAGGGCAGCGGCCTGAACGCTGGAGGCAGCCAGAACGGCAATCACAACGGAAAGAAGTTTCATTTCGAGGTGGGTTGGTGGATCGTAAGTCTTGAATGCGAATATGAAGATTGCTTGTAGAGGCTTAGCTTGAGATACTTGTAGAAAGCTTGATGTTAAGGTAGAATTCTCAAGTAAAGAGACCAGTATTTATAGCCGGACAAGAAAGACGAGCGGACGGATCCATCAGTGTTTCCCATGTCCTTGGTATAACCTCGAATGGAGATCATCTCTATTGACGAACGGAGACGCATCTGAATTGTCTATTCACATTTGAACAGACGTGATTATTGAGACCTTATTCAGCCCTCAATAAGACCAATTCCTAATTAGGAATTCTTTGATCCTGAATGGTGTATACCCTCTTAACCTGAGTCGACGAATGTTAGTTTCATTGAACATCCTTATTGAACTACATGCAAAAGACAAAGGAGTCGAATAATTCGAATCCACATGCAGGAGACTGTTTATGAACCAGCTTTCAGGATTCAATACATAATTCTGTGTGGCTTATTCATTCTCTCATTGAGTACCGGATATGGGTATCAATAAACCTGGGTGTGTATGGAGTAAGTCGAAGTGTGACATAGGGCCTTTTTTTATTGAAATCTTGTATCAAAGAAACCTCGATGGCTTGGAATTAAGGGAAGCTTTTCCGGCCTTCCCCCTGAGCTCTCACCGGTGCTTCAAGTTTGTTATAGATTCACATAGGATGGTTAAAAGAGGCAGTGGGGCATATTCCGGCTATCGGGGCCGAGTAGGACAAAACTCCGTACTCCGGAGTTTGTACAATACAACTGATTGATAAGAAACGTCTTTAGAAACCGACTTCTTCGAGGTCTCACAGAGGCAATTGTTGGAATAAAGTAATACGGAACTTCTTATGAGTATACTATGAGACAGGAGAGCTATTGAGAAGATGAATATCATGATCACATCATTCAAAGGCATGATATGGCCAGAGGCCAAAATTACAAAATATGTATTAATTTGACCGATTTATACGTAATATCGGCCCGTGCTGGACCGGCGATTTTTCCGTTTTCCTCGTGTGAGATCCCAGCCCGGTTTGCACACTTCCTTCGCGTCGAGTTTCCGTCCTCCCTCAATAGACGTCAATTACTACCCTGCTTCTTACCAGCGCATTTATCCGGCATAATGTTTTCTTTGAAGACCGCGCAGTCTGCGCAGGTATGTGGAAAATCCCGAGTCCACTCGAACTTCCGCGCTCTTCTACCCCTGCACCTCTTCACTCCTCGATTCTAAACTGATCAACTTGGCGCACCAGTCTATCCTCCGCAACACCGCGGCTTCTGCTTCCTTTGCCAGATCCTCGATCCCAGCGCGCTGTAGGTCTCAATGTTTCTCTGATTGCTGATATGTATACCGATGTTCCTAACCCGCGATTCCAAGCTTTCGCGACTGTTCAATCGGACATTTTCAAGCCCACCAAGTATGGCGGCAAGTACACTGTCACGCTCATTCCAGGTACATTTGGACTTACCCCTGCCTTCTCTCTGGCTTCACACTGATAAACCTGTATCAAAGGTGATGGTATCGGAGCTGAGGTTGCCGAGTCGGTCAAGACGATCTTCAAGGCCGATAATGTGCCAATCGAATGGGAGCAGGTAGATGTTAGCGGTGTCGATACGGGAAATAAGCACTCCGAGGAGTTGTTCAAGGAATCGATCGCATCTCTCCGCCGCAACAAGCTTGGTCTCAAGGGTATCCTTTTCACCCCTGTTGAGCGCTCCGGCCACCAGTCTTTCAACGTCGCTCTTAGACAGGAGCTTGACATCTACGCATCGGTTGTGTTGATCAAGAACATTCCCGGATACCAGACTCGCCACGAGAATGTCGATCTTTGCATCATCCGTGAGAATACCGAGGGAGAATACTCTGGTCTTGAGCATCAGTCCGTGCAGGGTGTCGTTGAGTCTCTGAAGATCATCACCCGTGCCAAGTCCGAGCGCATCGCCAAGTTCGCCTTCAGCTTCGCTCTTGCAAACAACAGAAAGAAGGTCACTTGCATCCACAAGGCAAACATTATGAAACTTGCCGACGGGCTCTTCCGCAGCACCTTCCACAAGGTTGCTGAGAACTACCCGACTCTGGAGGTCAATGACATGATTGTGGACAATGCTTCCATGCAAGCTGTTTCGAGACCCCAGCAGTTCGATGTTATGGTTATGCCCAACCTTTATGGAGGTATTCTTTCCAACATTGGCGCCGCCCTCGTTGGTGGCCCCGGTGTTGTTCCTGGCTGCAACATGGGCCGTGACGTTGCTGTTTTCGAACCTGGGTGCCGTCATGTTGGTCTTGACATCAAGGGCAAGGACCAGGCCAACCCCAGTGCCATGATTCTCTCTGGATCTATGCTTCTTCGTCACCTGGGTCTCGATGACCATGCTAACAGAATCTCCAAGGCCGTGTATGACGTTATCGCTGAAGGGTATGTACCACGCACACTTTAGTAATTGTCTGGATTCTAGACTAATAATTGATATCAGACAAACACGGACTCGCGATATGGGTGGCGAGGCTACTACCCACGAGTTTACCCGCGCTGTCTTGGACAAGATGGAGGCTGGTCTCTAAGCCCCATCTGTTGACTGCCACTTCTGTTACGATAAAGGGGTATATATGTCAGCGATTGACTGAGAGATCCTGGCTAGTTGAAGGTCTTGGGTTATACAACCTCACCAGAAAAACCACTGCAAGTCCGGCAAACTCTTGAAATAGACAATTTTTTATGATACAGGATGTGTAAATTAACTGGCCTGGTTAAGAAGCGATATGACAATTTATATAACAACCTTGGCTCTTGTAGACTTGATATCTAGTAACATTGACCGTTCCTTCTTTATCTCGTGTCTCATTAACAGTTGTCTTCTCGACCAGGAATTCCTTTGCACCTGGGTCAGGGTAGCTAAGGTACATAATTCGGCAAACCCACAATTCCAGATATGAAATGCATTAATGATAGACGTCTGATAACGCCTGATAACCATTCCATGGAGGGCTGGAAGATGTTAGCTTCAGTGCGAGTCGCTATTAGCGCATATGAGCGGTTGATAAGTCTCCAGTCATGTATATGGTGTCCTCAATGACGCCGAGAGCGAAACGGCAACTCTTGAAGATATGACCATATCGCATCTCGCAACGCAAAATCAAAAGGCAGGTCTCCTCTTTCTCCCTGTGTATTTTGAGGTTGCTTTCACAACTTTCCCCTTTTTCGCCATTTGTTCTTTCTTCCTCAGGATCCAAGCTTTACTGCCCTTTTTCTCTGGTCCTCGCCGAGCACTAGCCGAGTTGACTGCACGCCTCCGGGCATCCATGACATCGACGTCGTTCATACCATCAACAACACCTGTGATGTCTCCTTCCAGACCCCCACCGCCAACCGTAAGCACGAGATACAGTTTACTGTTTTTGGTACCGGGATCATCCTCGAGGATACCGGCTCCAAAGCCCGCTTTGATAGCAGCTCCACTAATCATGGTCCTCTGAGCATCGTTTTTTGGGTAAAACTGACACACTGCGCGTCCGCCACGGCGCAAGCAAGCGTACAGACCTTCGAAGAATCGACGCAGTCGACTTTCGGGGCTAACGTCGCTTGTTTCTGCGTTGCAAAGCCATTGAATGGCACTGATGCTGATGGCAGCATCGAAAGACCCGGGTCGGAAAGGGACACCTTGTCCAATGTCCGCCAGGAGGAGGTCGCCTTCCACATCTCGCTGAAGAGCAACTTCAAGCATACTAGGTGATATATCCATACCGACCCACACATGCGGACCGCCTTCATCGGGTGGTACCTGCGATAGAATATCTCCGGAAAGGCCAGAGCCACATCCTAGATCAAGAATAAGAGAAGGTGTTCGAAGGTCAAGGAGCTCAAGCGCTCGATGCGTCATATCAGATTGGATATTGCGTATTCGTGATGAGGTGGTGTATTTGCGAGACTCCGTGTCATCATAGAATAGATCCGGGGGCCTATTTGCCCACAAAACATTAGTAGGTAGTTAAAAGATTAGAAAATATGCCGAGTCCAGACAATATTAGAGGGAGAGGAACCTACAGAACCTCTTCAGGGCGCGACATGGTCACACACGTTCAATGGCACAGAAATAGATTTCTTTTGAGAAGAAGCAGCCGAGTCAAAAAAAAAAATGTGCTAAACAACTATAGCAGCCTTGAGTCGCCTTTGGATTTCTGGATTTAAGATGCCGAAATTTGTCTTGTTCAACAAGTGCAAAGAACTATACGGAAGTAGATATTTTTCTTTCCCCGTCGCGACGAAGTGGGGCTGGGCTTGGGCCTAAGATCCGCTGTTTGCATCTATGTAGCCCGATAAGAAGTTCCCCGTCCGCGGAGACAACAGATCACCCTTAAGGACCAAGAAGAAGAATACTTGTTTGAATGTCGATTTTTCTTCAAGTATGACTCTTTCACCAATAGCAAATATCACTTTTACTTGACGCAGCCTTTTCTCCTGATTACGTTATTTTATACCTTTTCTTTCAAACACCATTCAGGATGTGGATTCTGCCTCTTATAGGATATCTAGGTGTGATTGTCGGATTTTCATTCCTTACCCTAGCAATTGGTTAGTGTTTCTAAGAAGAAGGCTGAAATTCCCTCTCCAATCTATTGTGTCTCCAGGACTAATATAAATGTAGCATCTGGCCTCTACTATTTGTCAGAACTTGTGGAAGAACATACCATGTTCGCTCGCCGACTTTTAACCCGCCTCATATACGGCATTATAGTCCTTCAGGTCTTACTATGCGCCTTTGACCGGTTTCCGTTATTTCTATCCGTTCTTAGCATCGTCTCCCACCTCGTCTATGCCAGTAACCTTCGCCGTTTTCCCTTGGTTAAGCTGTCCGACCCTCTTTTCATTCTCTCCTGCTTTCTGGTCGTTATCAATCATTATCTATGGTTCCGATACTTCTCTAGGCCACTGCCGTTATTAAACAGCAGCCAGGGTAACTGGCGACAGCCATACCAGTATGATGTGCAGGATATGCCAACTTTCACTGAAGTCGCGTCTTACTTCGGGTTATGTGTGTGGCTGGTACCATTTGCTCTTTTCGTCAGTTTAAGCGCGGGGGATAATGTGTTGCCCTCTATGGGCTCAGAATACACAACAAGCGAGCATATTGCTGCCACTAGCTTGGCTGGTAGTGCGGCTTCCGATGGGAAATTCAGGAATAAAGGCATGGCAAAGGCTGTTGTTGACGGTGTTAGGGAATGGGTGAGCGAAAATGGCGAGCTTATAGGATTCTGGAAGGGTGAGCGATCTAAAAGATTCTAGCATCAAATCTATCTATATCGTTCAATTACTTAAACATTCATCATTCGTTGCTTCAGTTTTATACGGATTTAAGGATGAGACAGACTATTGGAGGCTTCATAGCAACAGGTGATTGAAGAACAATATAAATTAGAAAGATCATGAAACTAAGGAAAATAGGAAGACAGATCGTAGAGAGGAGTTCCCTCATAGTAATCGGAATAGGGTATACCAAATCAAACAGAAATGTAAACTGCAAAAGGGCTCAAATAGATGATAAGGTTCGTGGCAAGCGCTGCTTACACATATCCCTCCCAAGAGAAGAAATTATCATTAGCATTAAAAGAATGGATCCTCCTCAAAGGATGTCCCTGATAAATGTGGTAGCCAAGCGCATAAAGTAGTCATTCCTCGTTAGATGTTGCTCGTATTTTATGGCCGCAGAGCAATCATCGTAAGCCAGTTCTGACAACATATGATTGAAATAGAGAACGTGTAGTAAGATCCGTCATGCCGAGTAGTAATGGAGCCCAACATGTTTCTATTCAGACATCGGTTCCTCATCTATCAGGGCTTTGCACATATTAGTACCATAGCGTAGACTAACAATGAGTAAACGAGCAAAAACCTACCATGTTTATTAAAAAAGGTTGGAGATGATGATTCCTGATGACTTGCTTCCATAAATAGAAGAGAGCTTTCCCTTCTCTTGGCTTTAGCTGAACGCAAGTCGTCTGTGTGTGGTGTCAAGGCACGGTTCATTGATAGCTGAGAGGGCGCTTCATAAACTTCATTATTTTCTATTTCAGGTGCAATTTGTTCGTTGTTTTCTTGCACAGGAGACATTCCAGAGCTATTATATGCAGTGAGTCTCTCTGGCGGTGAGCTCGAGTAGTTGTCTCTGTTTTGGGCTGATGGTAGTTCAGTAGCTAAATCAGAAGTAGAAATAATGGGCTCCGCTGGTTCACTGAAGATGCTGCTGAAATCAGTGAGAAACATAGAGAATACAGGCGCTGGGATATTGAGTGTAGGTGCAAAAACAATGCCGACATTCCTAACAGTCATCTTATTGACGTCTGAATTGTTGACAATGCCCAGTAAGAACTGTGCAAGCGCTCGCAAAAGAGCCAAATTTGGCTTTGGAAGCCGGTATACAAGTGAATTGAATGCCATGATTTTCTTGTTTCGGTCGTCGAGTTCTAGTTTTCATATATCTATTAGTACAGCTGTGAATCTTGCAGGGAAGTCCGAAGATCATATGTGCACTTACCAAGTACTCGGAGGAAGTCAAGGTGCAGTTCCCTTGTTAGAACAGTCGTAGGTAGCTCTCGCAAGTATTGCTTGAAAAGAGATGCCACGGCATGGACATCATAGTACTGATCTCCAGCTAAAAAATCGACGTCTCCTTCGGTATTGAACCGTTCCTTCAATGCCTTGACAACAACATTGGATCCGCTGAGACGAAAGATCCCTTCCTCTGACGCCACATCTTTGGCTTGAAGATACTCGATACAGCGATACACGACAGCAGGTAGCTCCACTTTGACACCCTGGGGCGCACAATACTGTACAGCTTCTGCGAGAGGTATTCCGAAGACAGGTCGTACAGGTTCTCTTCGATCCATCAAGCTGTGATCATGACCCTGAGCTGCTAACGTTTCCTGGTGAGCCTGGAGTTGGGAAGCCAGATCAGCTGAAGATCTGGTGCGGAATCCCCAAATGCTGCGTTTCTTTTCCTTGGTACTGGTGGCCGCCTTGTTTCCCCAAGCTCCAGCATCTTGAATGACAGCACCATTGGTAGGTCCTGATATCACCTTGAAGGAATAGGGAGAGAGCGGTGGATTCTCCGCGTTTGACAGATGGGATGTATCTACCTCAAGTGACGATCCTGTAGGTAGTTGTAGTGACCTCGAGCCTTGGGTTTCAGGGGAAACCCCTAGCACCGGTGGTTCAGCGGGAATAGCGTCATCATAACTAAATCCTTGGACAGTATCCACTGAGTCAGACTCAGGAAGATCGCCGCCCCCTTTCCCGGTCTTTTTGCTGCCGTTGAGAAACAGCCTAGACTTGCCACTCGATGGCTGCCTCCCGGATCCATGGGACATATGAATCTTTGCGTGTCCTTCATGATCAGAGTGATTTTCAACGTACTCCAATAAAACTTCAACCCAAGCGTCTCTCTCTTCGTCGCTCTCAGCACAAAGAACATGACGAACAAGAGCTGACGAATCCTTTTTCTTCGGTTCCAAGATGAGGAAGGCATGACGGTATTGGTTCTCTGAATCATCTTCGGCATGCGAGGGGGAATTGCTCCGAATATTCATATTCTGTGACTGTTTTCCGATCTGTGCATTGTGTATCCTGATGGTACCCAGATGGGGACCGTTCGGCGACTCAAAATACTTGAATTCTGGGCCATGGAGAATGAAATATCTCGCTTTCCAGCCCCCAAAGTTCTTTCCCCGTTTTGTTAAATACCCCTCCTTTCTAGGTTTCCCATCCGGGCCCCGAAGGATCTCAGGCCGCATTTGATTATTAGCTTTGATCAGGACTGTCTCGTCGTCTCTGGGCTCAATTGCGTCAGATGTGAGAAACTGGCAGATAATCAAAGCTGCTTGCTCATCCATCGGAGTCTCAAGTAGACGCTCAAAGTAAGAATTCAATGCAGCACGCCGCGCATCAACCTTCGCAGGAGAGTGTCCACTAAAAATGCCCCTATCCGGCAACTTTACCGGAAAATCCGAGGACTGCCTTATCTGTTGATCTAACTGGGGCAGAGCTGCGATGATCTTTTCCACACGCCACAGCTCTCGATGTTCAGATCGTGAAAAGATACTCAAAGTAAAAACAGGTTCTTCCTCGGAGGGTTTCAGTGCCAGATAGCTGTTCCTAGAAGGGCGGAGCCTTGACGAGAATACCTTCACTTGAATCAGAGGAAGAGCATTCGGGGATAGAAGCAGTCCAGGATAGTCCTCTGAAACCAAACCCTGATAGATTCTGTTGGCGATGGTCTGTGGAGTTCTTGGACTGTCTATCTTGACGGCAGGGTCAATGGATGGAAGCTGTTGGTTGGCAGCATGAAGACTTATCGGAGTTGGCACAGGGCCACGCATTTTCATCGAGGTCGAGGAAGATATTTCTGACAGGGATGACACCTGTTTGTTCGTCAGGCGTGGAGAAGACATGCCCGAAGGCGTGAATGCAACAGCGCCTTCTCTTGGATTCCGAGGCAGAGGAGAATTCAAGGGCCGGTCACCAGGTCTTGGGCTCAGAGGTAACCCTGGACTCTTGGGGGAAGCAATGAGGGGACGGTCATCTAGACGGGTAGGTCGACGGCCGCCCTGAGAGTTAAGAACGGCTGCTAGGGATTCGGTCTGTTCCATGAGCGACGAACCAGCTGGGAGGTGTTGCGGAGTCAAGACGTGAACACGATGTGTAGGAGGAATATCATGGGCTCCGCCCAAAGCTCCCAGAGTGTCCAGTTGCTGAGGATTCTTGTTTGTTGACCGACTACTAGATTTCTTCGCCAATGCCACCTCTCGATCCCGGTCATCTTCTTCCCTTGTCTTCCTCCTTCCACGCTCCTGGTCAATCAGTTCGTCCACTTCGAGGATGTCCTCATACTCAGACTCTGAGTCTGATTGAATAGAGAGGGGTGCGATTGCGTTGTCTTTCTGTTTAAGATTCAACGGTGCTGGTGGAGGTTTGCGGCTTGGATGGGGAACTTTAGCATTCAGGTCTTCCACAGGAGACGCCTCGTGGATGATAGAACCAACAGTTGTGGCAAAGCTTTGTTGCATTACTGATGAGGTTGCTAATCTTGAGAGGGGCGTATCCGACTCATGTATGTGTTTCGCTCTGTCACCGGGCCGAGTGACAGTCTTGTCCAACGACTCGAGAGAAGCATATAAAGCGGGTTCTTCTGAGCTTAGCGGAATAGGAAATGACTCGGGGAGAACAGTAAGGGAATCCTCAGCTTCGTTCCGAGATTTATTCTCCAAGCTCTGAGAGCGCGGTGTCTGGCGATCTGAAGATCCGACCTGGCTCTGATTCTCAGATTGTATAAGAGCGTCATCGTCCACAGAATTTGATGGCTCGTCATGTAGCCCGGATGACGTATAGGCTGCGGACTGCAGCTCTTTTAGCTTCTTCCTGTACCGTTCCTTCTCCTTCAGAGCCCGTTCGAGGTCTTTGTTTAGACCAAGGACCATGGTGCGCTGCTTATCCACTAGGCGCCATAGCTGCGCATTCTGAGAGGCAGCGTGATGCTTCTCTTTAAGTAAATGTATGATGACAGCCTCCGCCGATCCAGCTGTTGATATCAGATTATTGATATCAGCTTGGCTCAAAGCACTAGCGTCAAATGATGATTTATGTGGATAAGATGCCGTAGACAGCGAGGAGATTGCCGAATCAATCGACGAGGTCCGCGGGATGACATGGCGATGCCCTGATCGTTGTTCACGAGCCAAAGACTGCTGCGAGTTTACCGGGGAGCTCGGGGAGGACGTAGCGGATCGGCTCGAGTCTGCTGCATCTGAATCCTTACGGGCTGGGTTGAATAATTTCGTTGTGTCCGCCATACCCACCGCATGCTGAGGACGAGCGCCCAACGGTCCCTCCTGGTTGGGTTCTGGTTCAACAACTGTGGTCGGATCCGGGTTGACGGTTGTTGGAGATGCTGAGAGGTCTGGTTGGACGGCGCGGTTCCGAAAAGGATGGCTCTGGAAAGGATTTGTGATTGCGTTCGATCTGGGCGAAAGGGGACTCTGAGTCGACAGCGTGAGATCGTCTCTGGTCGGCGACCGGATATTGAAACTCGTATGCAGGGGAGACGGCATAGGTTTGCGGGCACTAGGAGCCACACCAGTCGAGCGAAGGGTCTGCCCGTCAGCGCGTGGTCCCAGGTAGTCGCGAGGGATCAGGTCGCCATGCAGTGCAGGAGAGTGGGGAGGCATTTGGACCCGGGAGTGGAAAGAAACAGACGGCGGGGGAGGTCGACCTCGTTGGTCGTCATCAATCATGCCGTGCCGCTGAACCCGCGACATAGCTCGTTTAAGGTCACAAACCAGGTGGACATCGGCGATCCGGTCGTCGCTGGGGGGCAGGACTGATGCGGGCCACCAGGTTTGCAGCTCTAGATGGTCAGGAGAATGCGGCTGCACCGGGCTGCGGCATTATTCTGTCCACGGACCCTTAGGTGTGACAGTTGAAGGCGAATGATGATTTACTCTGCAAGCGCCAGGGCTTAGGGGTGGCTTTCTCAGGGGTAAGACTAAACACTAAACACTAGATTTAATTGGCCTGTAGATAGTCCTGAGACACCTACAAAGGCATATGAAATTGAAAATAAATGATTCACATGTTTTACTGTGATAAGTAGAAGTTGATAAAGCGACTATTTTATAGACAGTAAGGTAGTGACTGCCATAAGCACAACAATACATCATCTAGTTTGGGCTAGGCCCAGATATCCATCCCACACTTATTACTTCTCCTGATGATACTAATCACCTCATCCTTAATCAAATCAAGTTAACTGTACTGAAAAGGGCTAGGGGAAATATTGAGATGGCCAAAATAAAAATTTGGTTAAAAACAAACTGCCAATTTTTGAGCCTGGGAATTTAGAATGCGTCGTAAATATCGCATCCGCCTTAGCTAGAAAACGACACCTAGAGCTATTATTTATATGGACTCTTATTCTCCCATATGGAGTACAAGATCTGGGCATTTTACTCCACAGAGCCCCGGTCTCGACTTTCTCCAGATGTCAAGGCGTGTACTACATACTACTCGATTTTCACGAAGATCGTGCAAGGCACTCACATGAGAGACTAACTGAGATAGGAAAGGAAGATCCCATGGATATGCAGGGAGTTGTTGCAGTGTACCTACCTAGGTACCTAGTAGGTAGCTACCTAGAGGTATTCTTGCAAATGTATTCCACCTAGTGTACCTGCCTGACAGGTACTCTTCTCTGTACCAGGGTTATACTTCGTACATAGTAGTTAATTAGGCGACTTAGTCTTGGTATTGAAAGTGGCAAGGTAGATAAATTCGGCCATCAGTGCGTACATGTCAATTGGCTTCCAAGTCCAATAGAGTTAGTTATGTACGGGAATACTGCAGTGGACTGAATGGAATGTTGAAAGTGAGTAGAATTGGAATATTACGGGACCAGCGCAAGTATGGCGACAGGTCAGGAAAAGAACTATCTCGTAAGTGATTCTATAATCAAGTGGTTCAAGCACTGCCGTCCCATTAGTTAGAGCGTGTCCATGGGAAACCCGGACAAACATTAAAACTTTTGGACGCGAGTCAGCTGTGTCGTTTCTGAGAACGCAAATTTCTCTATAGACTGGAACAACGCCGAAAATCCAGTAAGCCTGTTCGAACCGCCCAACGCCACATTCCTCATCCGATAATATAATAATAATACAATCATGCTATATTCCCAGCCATACCTAGGAAGATAGCCTGTGCGGCTAGTTGAAGTGACCAGAACCCAACCTTCTTGAAACGCCGTTTGCGCGCTTGATCATCAACAACGTCCTGTGCGAAGGCATCGTACACCTAGAAATAGTTAGAAATTATAGTCTATGGAATCAAAGTGTCCACACTTACCGCAGCAGACAGATCATCCATCAAGGCGCTATCGTAGATCGTCCAGCTTCCATCAAAATCCTTAACATCCTTGATAAGACGGCAGTTGATAGGAATAAAGGTCCGCCTAGAATTGATATACGCAACGATGGGACGTATAAGCGCATTATTAATGTATGATAAATCTCGTGTGAAAATAGGCACAACGGCGCGGACATTGTTGAGGTGGATGCGTAGATCCATATCGAGGAACTGCTTCCTCTCAGTCGAGTTGTCCTCTTCAGTTCTATCTGCATTTTTTGACATAGGCACAGGATACTGATTTGTCGTTACTGTCGCCTCCAAACGGTCATAGAAATCCGCCATGACCTTTGCAAGACTTTCGCCGTTATCCGCAGGAAACATGATGTCAGCAATAATGTCGACATTTCCTTCATGAATCCAGGAGAAAGGGCCTTGAATCCCGCGATTGAGGTGATCGATATTCAAACCGTCGATACGAATTCTGCTGTGTTTCTTCCATGGTTGCGGCTCTCCGGGTTCTGACCTTTGATTCAATGCCAGGCCAGTGTAGTTGTGGCTTTGCCGGGGATGAATAGTGAACAAGGAGTTATCGAACGAGCCAGACATCATGTTGGCGGAAAGAAAATCATAGAAAAGCCACTGCTGCCTCAGCTGAGGAAGATCACATGAGAATATGCTGACGGGGAACGGCCTGAAGTTACCAGGTTGGTAAATGGTTACCAACAGATCCTCCATCTTGAAGGAATCTATCTCGAAATCCCCAGGCTTGTGTTCATGCCGGTAGGACTTCGGATCCAGGTCAACATCAGGCCAGTAAACATGCCGACGGTCGACCACGCCTCGGATTCCTTTCACTTCAACATCTCGAAGTAGACCTTTTCCGTTGAACCATTTTGTGAATGACAAAGTGACATTAACGGTGTCGATTGATAAATCAAATTGGGTATAGTTTGTATCCTCGCCTTCGCCAGCTACTGGTCGTTGATTTGCGGTTTCCAGATTAGACGATTCACTAGAAGCTGCCGCTGCCGCTGCCGCGGCCGCCGTCTTTGAGGAGCCCTTGCTAACATTTCCAGTACCCTGACCGGGTCGCCTGGAGACAAAGACATTCTTGAAGGTTATAACGCCGTCTCGCCATTTCGGTACAATCGCTGACTCGAAGACCACTTTCACGCCAGAGGACTTGGTGAGATAATTTCCAATCCACCCGGCGAGAGTTTCTGCATGAATTAGGGAAAACGAACTTCCACCAAGACTTGGGTTTCCGATACATACCTTGAGCAAAAACGGTGTTAATAGCGAGGATGAGTAATGAAAAGAAGGTGGTAGTCCCTAGAACAACCCAAACGACATGGCCCAGCAATACCCATGAGAAGAGTGCTGTTATTTCATCCAGATTGAAAGGGCGAACGCTCCGAATCGAAAACCACTTGAAGCGAACCTTTAATCGAGACCAGAACCCGTTGGCAGCAGCGAGAAGCTCTTCCTTTGAAGGCCTGTGCAAGTGAGGAATATGAGGCAAACGATCGATGAGGTTGCGGTTTGAAATGCTATGGACATGAACTTTCGACATTGGAGCTTGGGTCTCTGGGTTCCGGTGGTCGTTATTTTCGCCCTTTTTCTCTGGTTCCGGGTGTGAAATAGTCGCATTTTCGGGATTTGAGGGTTCCTTCTGCACCTCTGAAGGTAGTCTATCATCTTTTGTGGTATGTATACTTCGTATCCAGGCATTTCGTGTCAAAAAGTGCAACGACTTTCTATTGACTAAGCCGCAATCCCTGTGAAGCCGTAACGTTTCTGCACATGCTGCTCCGGAATCAACGGCAGCCGACGAGGGAGAAAAGCCGAGTACAAAAAACCCCCCTGATGCAAATCTTCTTGTGACCCGTATTGATTTCTTGGGAGATGCCGGTGATATCCTCTTCAGACCGTGTTTGCCGGCAATCTTACAGAGAGCTTCGTTCAATACTGTCGGTTCGAAAAAATAAGGTAAATTTGTTGGTCGCAATCCTCGTGCCAGCTGCGGGTTCGCAGATTCCCAGAAATTGGCCTGTAGCCAGCGTCCCAGATTCCTGGACATGGTGATCGTCACATCCTTGAAAATTTTCGAGTTTATAGAAAGAGGCGTAGTAATCAAGTCTGAAAATGCGCCGCTATGATGACAAAATCCTGAGAGGGACGATAGAAAGTCAAATGCATCAAACCTAGCAGCTGAGTCCAAGGAGCTTGATTATTTAGAAGATGTTAAGCTTCTGCGCCGAGAGAACTCGGTCCATGAAATCATCCCGCAATCAATCTGTACGGCGGCAAAATGTTTGCTCTGTTTGCAACACAAAATGATACTCTCTCACCCAACTTAAAACCTATATCCAGATATCAAATATTTATAGATAAAATGTGAGTAAAATCAGGGTCGGGCTGTGGAATTTCAATATCAAATCTATTCCTTGAAGGGAAAAAAAATGAATTCTGATAGGTCAATGACCTCATCCTAAGGTTATAGGTGCAAGAATGTATTCAGTTAAGAAGGCCTAGAACACATCCCTTTTATATAGGCAGGTACCTAGGGGCATCTTCATGACTATCTATGTAGATCTAATGATATTGCTCTGGGATGTATTGGATATTTTATTGTTTAATTCAGCCATTCAATACTGTCAAGACCTTAGAAAACCTATCATAATATAGCGAAAAGTTTCCCATGAAATTGCAAATCTAATGCAGTTAAATTTGGCTGCATAAAGGTGCCACAAGATGAACATTTATGATAATCATAGCCTAATCTTTCTTCAGAGGGCTGTAAATCTCCTCTATTCCACTTTTTGTAATAACCATCATTTGAAGCCCATCACCGACTTCAATGTGTCTCTCCACAGCGCTAGTAAAGGCATCCCGTACCAATTGTTCAACGGTCTCTCGTGGTAAGGGCTCCGCCTTCTTCGGTTCCAAAGCATGTCCTTCTCCGCTTCCAGGAATGTATTGATTTTTGAAGTTGACTTGATTGTCGAGGAAGGGCATAATCAGACTCGCTGCGGATCCTGCTGCTCGGCATTGCTCTCTCTCGTAGGAGCCAACGGGGTCGTAGCTGTACAAGGCCCCCTTGCCTTCTTCATCCAGACCTGCTAGAATCGCATGGACGTAGTAAGGGAAAAAGCGTTTCTGATAGAGGATTGTCGACAGACGTTGGGCACACGCTCTTACGGACATCGGCTTTCCGTGCTGGTACTTGTACATTTTCACCACCGCATCAAGACGCTCTTTGAGAGCTTGGCCATCGGCAGCAAAACCGACGACGGAGAGGAGAATGTGAGCACCATCGCCACTCTCATCATCACCTCCTATCTTGAATACCTTGGGAACGTAGCGAGAGTTGATGTTGTACCCAGCAACAGATCGGGTGTCGCCCGCAAGAATGGCGAAATCGGAGCCAGAGATACCGAGGGTTGAACCGCCGTTGTCGGTATAGCTATGAAGACGAATAAGTTTCTGAGAAATTTTTAAAGCTCTTTCTACTCACGGGTAAAATGAATGCTCCTTATTTGGGGCACTGGTGGGTTGAGAAAATGAGTAACCAACGGTCTCAGCAGATGTGTACCTGCCGAACGACGTCATGTCTGGTATATCGAATTTTCGGCTTGAGCGGACTAGAAACAAATTTAGAGAAGAAGAATATGTTTATTAGGAAGCTTTGGATATATCAGCAAGGATTCAAATGTTCGTTGAGAGTTTGAATCGGTGTATCGTTAGAAGATGCTGTCGAGCAAACGCCGCTCAGCGTTGTGACGCGACAGCTGTAGCTGCCTCCTGCTTACCTAATAAAGTATGTGGGGAACTGAACTACATACTGAACCAGGTAGATAGTAGACCAACTCCAACTATTGTGAAGGAAGACAGGTACAGTGTGATCTACAAAAAAACCTGGGATATTCTTGTCTTAATCACTACTTCTATAAATCCAAATAAGATCATTAACTGTCGTGTAAGCTTACAATTATCCAAGAAGTCCCTTCCAGCACCAACATCTCAGGCTGAGGTAGACGATTAATGGCATGACTTGCAGATTAGCAGCAGCAAGACATATAGCAATGCTTGGACTTGGGGCTTACCAAAGCAGCAGCGAAGATGATACAGAAGATCAGGTATCATTACCAAGGTCAGAGGTATTTTTCTTCATCTTCTCATCTACCCGACTCTCGGCTCACATAATTCTAAGAGGGAAAAGAAGGGTCTAATTATCACCGAAAGTTCAAAAGGTAATCCCATATCTATTTATTTTCTACGAATCAATGCCGGTGCTGAAGCCAAAGGCCTCGAACGGGAAAGAAATACTATCACACATGCCGAGCCTAGTGGACCTGTTCTTGGACCGTTGCATGCCGAGGAATCATCGGTTATCTCTTCGGGACCTTCATACAATAGCACTCGATCGCCCACTTCAGACCGTGCTCTCATCCAGGATTTAACTCTTCCACCAGTTCCGGATTTAAATATACCACCTTCTCCTCCCGGATCGCCAAATCCTGCTGCCAATGCAAAGATTGAGCATTTCCTTTCTCTGAAAACGAAGGGTGTGCATTTCAACGAGAAACTGGCTGGCTCGACATCCCTTAGGAACCCTAGTTTGCTCAAAAAATTGATGTCCCATGCCGGAATAACCGATTCTGCACAATATAATACATCGATGCCACTTGAGATATGGGACCCGGCAGGTTTACCGACCTGGGGGTTTAAAGAAGAGCTTTTCAAGAGCCAGAAAAACATTCGCCAAAAAACAGAAGAACAAAGGCTTACGGGGCAACGCGATTCAATCAAATTTGTGTCAAGTGGACACACTTGATTCTATAGGATTCCCTCTTAGCCATTGGCTGATTGACTCAGAGAGGTATTACTGGACGAGTCCAACTTCAGAGAAGCGCAGCAGATAAAACTATCACCCATCTGTTTAAGCGAAGGCTTCTATGCACATAGATGATTGATAGATAGATATTACCCAGGGTACTGGATGATTGGAAGCAAGCATTGGACCCAGCATCATAATCTAATAGCTATCCCAGCAAATCCAACTCTCATAATAAATGAAAAATCATGAATAGCCCCGGGCTAATTTGTTGATTTAGATAGTACATCTCTATCCCAAGTATGATAGAAGTTGTAGGTCCGATGACCGTTCGAAAATCCTAATAATATGATTTTTAAATATAGAAATAGAGCTACTCTATGGGATGGTCATTAGGATCTAATTATATTTGTACAAGCCTTCGTAAAGTAAGTTGAGCTTGAACAAGGCATGGAGAGTATCAGCAGTTGTCCGTTCTTGCTTAGTAAGGGTCTTTCTTGTGGGCCAAGTTAGTTCTAGGTCGGAGCTCCCGTCGTCAGCTAGTCCTGCCTGGAACTGCTACTCCTACACTTGCATCACCAACATCACTCACTGCTCGTTTGGCTGCAACACTCTTCCTACAGGCATATCCTCCTTACAAACCAAAATTGATCTCTTCCTCAACAAGTGTAAATTATCTCAGTCTAAATTTAGACTGAAGCTCTTGGTTTTTACTCATAATGGAACACTTCCCTGAAGCTTGGGGTCGAGTAGGAGAGCCCAACCTCTGGTGTTTTATTACATACTGACTTCTATGTTAAGCCCAGAAATGATATTTATGGACCTTACGACCATTCATACCTACAGACTACGGGTCCAAAAGCCCACACCCAGTCTCCCGCGGTCACCGGTACATCGGTCATCGGAGTGAAATTCAACGGGGGCGTTGCCATTGCTTCCGATAACCTAGGTATGTTAGAGCTCACCTATTATCTTTCAAATACCGTGGGATAGATAACAGGCGTCTCGCTAATCACTTTTTCATTTGTTCAGCATCTTATGGTTCTCTTGCTCGGTTCACCGATGTTAAACGACTCCGCGTTTTTGGTGATTCTGCTATCGTCGGTTTTGGAGGAGACGTATCCGACATGCAACACATTGACCGGCTACTCAACTCCATTGATATCCGTGAAAATTATTCCTCCGATGGAAACCTTCTCAATGCCAAAAACCTGCACACCTATCTTTCCAAGGTTTTTTACAAGCGACGTTCTGAGTTCAATCCTCTCTGGAACCACATTCTGGTAGCGGGTTTTGATGGCGATGGCAAGCCATTCCTCAGCTCTGCAGACTTGCTGGGGACGACATTCTCAGCTCCACATCTCGCAACCGGGTTTGGTGCCCATCTTGCCATTCCCATTCTTCGCCGCCTATTCCCAGAGGACACGCCTCTCGAGAACATCAGCAAGGAACAGGCAGTGGAAGCACTGAGGGAATGTATCAAGGTTCTCTGGTACAGAGATGCGCGCAGTCTTGACAAGTTCTCGATAGCAACCGTAACGAAAGATGGAATCGAGGTGAAAGAGGACGAGAAGGTTGAAGCACAGAGTTGGGCTTTTGCCGAGACTATCAGGGGCTATGGGGCTCAGGTCAACTGATAATACGATTTAGATTAATGCAAAATATTTGCCATAGCGAGGTGAATACGAGTCAATGATCATTTTGAAATATAATGATGACACCATTGAGCCGTTATCTAACGCTATTGATAATATTGCTGGTCTGATGATGGTTGTATTGTGAGGATTCTAATAGACCTGACTGACCATTTGTGCTATTGGCCATACAATCCTCAAAGCTTGGAAGAGGGCTTCTCGAAAGTGACCTTATTAACGCAGGACCCGACACCCTCCAAGGATACTTCAACCTGATCACCTTCCCTTAGCCACAGAGCAGGCTGGCGGCCCATTCCAACACCTTGCGGTCTACCAAAATGGGTCAGCGAGATCTTTTCGACCTTGAAAGTAACGTAAGATGCGGTTGAACACTCACGTTCCGGTAAATATTAAATCACCAGGAAGTAGGGTGGTACCCTGGGATAAGAAGGAGATGGTTTTGGCAACGCCAAAGATCATGTCCCTGGTCGAAGACGACTGAACAATCTTCCCGTTCAATTTCGTAGAGATATTCAATGAGTTTGGGTTATGGATGAGGTTCGACGAAACGATCCCGGGCCCAAAAGGCGCCCAACCATCGAAGCCTTTGCCCAGTCCCCATTGTCCACCACCACGTTTTAATTGCCAGTCACGATGTGATACGTCGTTGCCCACTGCGTATCCGAGAACATAATCTAATGCTTGGCTTTCGGGGACGTCTCTTGCCTCTTTTCCGATGACAACAACCAGCTCACATTCATAGTCTAGACCCTCGCCTTCTTGTGCAATCGGTGCCACGGGAATTTCATCAAGGGGCCCCGTGATGGATGTGACTGGCTTGTAAAAAAGCACTGGAAATTTCGGGATGGGGAGATTAGATTCCTTCGCGTGCTGTTCGTAATTCAAACCCAGGCACCGCACGGTTCGGATATCTCTCCTCGCCAATGGTGCAAGCAGCATCTTCACTTCGGCAACCTGGCTAGTTACGTCGTGCCGGCCGAAGATGTCGCCTTGAATCACATGTGCCCGGCTGGCTTTGGAAATATCACTGATACCTGCGGGAAGAATGGCATCCCCATAGTATATATGGCCATCCTTTGCTAGGAATCGAACAAGACGCTACATTTTGCAAGTCAGAAATGGAATCAGATAGACAACAGCGAGATATATGATCGGGACGTACTGAAAAGACAGGCATCCTGATAAGCTTGTATTTTGCTTGGTATGCAACGAGAAATTATGTGTCAATGACTGCGGAAGGCAGGACTGGGACTCTATACTTTATGCTTTGAAGAAAGGTCCTCTTAATGAATGATAACTATGGTGGCTTATGAAGCTTTTTGTCTTAACTACCTATAGATACGACTACTACCTAGGTAGGACATTGGCTTGCTCCCCACTCGGCCGGGAGAATTATTGCCGCAGCCCGCAGCTTAACCCCGGTCGCCGATATCCGGAGAAAGCTTTGGCCAGACCTATCCTTGTATGGTTTTTCCACCCATGAGGATGACAACATTCCACTGGTCTTTAGAGCTTTGTCTGAGATTCTGAATTTGCATAACATTGGAAACCCCACGGGGAGATCTTGCCAATGGCGCGTCTTTCCGGGCTCCAACGGGAGGTCTTGTCGCTCTACCGGAAGTGTCTACGAACAATACGCCAGAAACCTTTGGTAACTGACGACCAGCTAGGAGGCAACCAGTGAAATTCTGCTAATGTTATTTGCACAACTCTGAAGAATGCTAGAGATAATTTCAGAGCTTATGCTAGGTTATTGCGCCTTTTCTATCACCAAATCTCCCATGCGCTTGTCATGAGGCTTTTGATTCCATTTGAAAGTTTGAGATGTTGTTCTAATAAATGTATAGGGAGGAATTCCGAAAGAACCTCAGTCTCAGCAAGAAAGATTTCACCGCAATAGAGTACTTATTGCGTAAGGGTTACAGGCAGTTAGAGATGTATTCGTCCCCGGGAATCCGTGACATTCGGTAAGAACTGCCTGCAGCAGGCAAGTAGCGGAGGAACAACAAAAAAATACGTCTCATCCGAAGAATATGTCACCAGGTGCAGAATATCTATAGCTGTACGGTGAGAAACAGTACGCAGAAAGCCGGTTGAGACTGGACTCTTTGGTCACGTGATATTCTCGAAGGTTGTGGAAGCTTCAAGTGAGATCGAGCAGGAGGCGTCAGCAATATGTACCATAGTAAATATCCAGTATCTTCGAGATGTTTGGGATGACCAATACGCTGACATCTGAGCAGCCGTGCTTTCTAGAAGACTAGTCCATGTGTATATAAGGACATCCAATAGCACTTGTTCTCTATCATCCTCTTCGCCAAAAACATCCAATCTTCAGCCTGAATCAAGTAACGCATCAGCCTTCAATACTGATACTCATCCCTAATACATCTCTCTGATCATCAGCTGTCACAAATCACCATGGCTTTTATCTCACGCTTCCCCACTGGCGAGGTCGCTTCGATCTTTCGCCTGTTGGATGATTTCGATGCCTACCGTTCAGACAATACCAAAAGATGTCAAAGACAACAAAAGTCACGTCTCCGCTCTTTTTCTCCCAGTTTCGACGTGAGAGAGACGGAAAACAGCTTCTTCTTGGATGGAGAGTTACCCGGCCTGGACCAGAGAGACGTCGAGATCGAGTTCTCCGACCCGTATACCTTGGTGATCAAAGGCCATGTCGAGCGAAATTACAGCACTACGAGCAACGAAGCTGTAGAAAATGAAGGCCCCTCCTCGTCTAAATCACATCAAGCTACCGTTGAAGAAGACAACGATGACGATGAATATGACTATGCTTCCGTTGAGGCAACCGAATCCAAAGTGCCCGAGACCAAACCCGAACCATCATACAAGTACTTGGTCGCCGAACGCTCGATGGGCGACTTCAACCGCACGTTCACCTTCTCAACGAGAGTCGATCAAGATGCTGTCAGAGCTAGCCTCAGGAACGGCATCTTGTCGGTGACAGTGCCGAAGGCAAACACCCCGAAAACGAAGAAGATCAGAGTTGAATAGACTACTTCTTTGCATGTCTCTCCTTTTATGTGATATAATACTCGTTTGCAACATGGAACCCAATGATCAGTATTTCTAAACATATTTGGCGTTACGATTATGCAACTAACTAGTTAACTAGTTGACTTGTTAGTTGTTATTCATGAGACAGTTAGGATTATCAGTATTATAGCCATGTAATTAATGCTCCGTCTTCCACAATTATCAAATACTTAATTTAGTAGTCGAGAGCTACCATAGCCCCAAAAACAACTCGGATTGAATCGTAGAGCAACTATTCAGCAAGCTGAATGTCTTAAGATTTCCATTTATATCTATATGTCATGTTCGTTTTTTTTTGAGACCAATTATGAAAGGATCGTGTATACATCATAATTCAAAACACTTTTTTGCGGACTTTGTAGACCTAAGAAGCCAAATGACACCGTTTCTCCCGCGACTCTTCCATGAGCGCAACCCATTTTATAATGCAACGTCCGCAATGCATAGACTTTCAATCCGTGCCAGGGGTGATTCCCAGAATGTAGAATTCTGAGGTATGCAAGTGCCCATCTGAGCAGTGCAACTCTCCTGTGTTTCCCCGGGAGGGTCTTCGGGTGGTGCCTCCAATTCCTGGGAGGCATCTTGATTGGAAAAAGGAAATTCGGCAGTACTCTGATAATCGCTCTCCTCTAAGGAGCGGACCGAGTTTGCTGAGCTGTAGCCACTATCGACCTTGTCAGGCGACCGTGGAGCTTCCGGCACACCATCACTTGACTCGCTTTTGGTATGGCTCTCACTAATTGTATCAAGTGAGTGTCTGCTGTTGGGCACGTGAATTCCCTCATCTTCAGGTTCACTACTGCAGGGCGATATACAGGACAGGGTAACTGGAACAATGGGCGATTTATCAAACGAAAAGGGGCTCCCAGGGAACCCGTCGACTTCTCGGTCCTTGCAAGCTGCATCAGGGATCTGTAACGTAGGTGCAGAAACTTTGATGTGTCTGAAATCGACATTCTGTTCTTTATAATTTCCTACTCCTGGACTCTTTGAGCAAAAGGAATATGGTATAGAAATAAGGGGGTTGATTTCTTACCTTGCCGTCCGTCTGAGTCCTTTTTCGCCTTTAGAACACCTTTACCATCAGACTTGGTCATGAGAGTGCGATCACTGGAGCATGGCGAGGTAGAAACATTGACGACCCGCAGAGACCCCAGCTTGAGTTGTCCTAAATGGGTATACTCGAACTCGGTTGGAGTTGAAGGCCGTGTCGAGCGTGGAGTCGAGAACGTATACCTCAAATCAGCATCCCTAGGACTCAGAAGCGGCCACTGCGAAGTATCGAACGCCTCAATAGGAGATTCGCTTGGGGATTCTAGTTCATGATCAGCTGAAGAATACGCTCTGCGTAATCTGTCCCTTGGTCTCCTCGGCCCGGTACTAGGCCGAGTAAGGAGCGACCTCCGTCTCGTCAAAGAAAACCGCTGATTGTCGACCATGAAATAAGTGTTTGAAGATGTGGCGTGCTCTAGCTCGCTCTCATGCAAGACTGCATTAACCATGTGTGAAGTTGATCGAGTTGAAAGTGATCTCTTTGGCCTCTGGTAGTCTATTGAAATTGACGAGCTCCGTGAGGAAGATGCTTGGAAAGAGCTTCGCCGGCTTGAAGGTTTGCAAACGCGAGAGCTGAAAGAGGGGATATCACCAACCCTCTCGTGGATTGCTTCCAGGGGAGATTTTTCCTCGACCGGACTATCTGCATCTTCCGACCTGTTCTCTGAAGGACGAAACTGAACTTTGAATTGAGGATCATGAAGGCTAGGGGAGACATTCGGAGGCGTGACTGATGCCCGGAAATTGGCAGTGGTAGTTGTCGACTTCAACATCATTGGAAGGATGTCTTCAGACCCTGTATTTTGCATGCATTGCGTGAATGGATTCGTGAGTGGTTTGGATATTCGTATTGAGCGACGGCGCTCTTCGACCGGGGCTGATAGAAAGTTCCCCATAGCAAGAATGGGGATTAGGGCTGTAGATCCCCCTTCGGGCCTTTTTTCCTCTCTCTCGTTGTATTATCCTAGAATCAGTCAGTTAAAAGAAACCCTAAGTGATCTGCTGGTTTACATACACAAGTATTCCTTTGTGTACTTCACTTTAGATTCTTGACGTTATGATAATTTCAGAAATGTGATGGACATGTAAGAGTAAAAAGCGTGCTGCAGATCAAGAAGCAGGGTGATATATTGATTAAAAGAGACCAAGCTATGGTCCAGATTCGGAGATCGGGTTAAAGTGATGGTAACTTTGAGTCGGAAGGAATCAACCATTCATAAAACATATATAGATAGTAAAAGCTCGTTTTGTCATACAGCAAAGTCATATAATGTAGAGGCCACACCTAGCTTCAGCCACAATAGCCAAGCACAAAAAGGAGGGCGATCCAAATGTGAGAACAAGGAAAGGCAGGAAGCCTCATGTAGCCAATGAAGAGGAAATATTCGGCCATGATCCGACAGGGAGGTGAAAGCAGATACATAAACGTCGAGGGTGCGGTGTTGCGGTCAGCCAGGCCAGAATGTCGCCATGATCGAAGGAGGTAAACACATGGTGAGCGATGACGGATCCGTCATGCACTGATGGACGCCCAGCTAAGAGAAGGTTCTTGGAAGCTCCAGCCGACTCGGACCACCCGCCAACGGACGAACCATCCTCAGCCCCGAAAGGGGCTATATCAGAGGAGATCGATTCGCACATATGCAAGCGGATAATCCATCTCCAATATCAACGCCAGGCTGTCCAAGTTTCAGCCTCCGTGTGTCGAAATGATTGGCAGAGATTATTATGCTCTCAGATCCGGACTATTCAGAGCTCCCTACTCCGAAGGCCGTATTCGGGAAAGGTGAGTAGGTACATCGGGTTAGGTACCTATCGTAGCTACTGTACTACTAGTAAATAGTGGCTGCAAGCAGCAGTTTGACTTTGGTACGAAAACCAACTGCTGCAACCAGACTATTGATGCGGCAGCAATAGTAGCCCTAGTACCTGAGCTATGATTTTGCCACTTGTTTCAAAACACTTAATAATAAATGAAAGAATAAAATCAAATAGTCCATATATAATTATAGACTTTATTAGTTCAATATTAGTATTAAAAGATGTTCATGAAGGTTAAAACATCATGGTTTCCTCCAAGTTGTATTATTACATATATCTAACCGTTTGTAGTAAGCGTATTTCCTAATCAGGTTAGACATTATGCAGCTTAGCGTACCTGACCACTAGTCCGGATCAGGAGGTGGGTATGAACCTCGACTCTCCTAGAGTTTGTTGTGACTATCAGGAATCAAGGTTCACTCAACCCACTGTTCTTGGTATTTGCCTACAGCTTTCAAAGACCTCCGCCAAGCTGGAAGACTTCGACTCAATTCCAGGCTCCAGGGAGAAAAAAACAACAACTGAAGGCTGCATCTTCCAAGTTGCCACAGTATGATATGACCTGTGTATGCATCAGTAGTATTGCACAATGCTGATTGATAGTCGGGCTGACCACGAATATGTTGTTCGATTTTCCTTTCCTGACAGTGGAAGAGTTCCACAGCGCCTGTCAGGACCTCGCGTCCCGGCTGCGCGCGTGCGGATCTTTGAAAGATTCGAGTTGGTCGGCAGTCAGACTTATTGACCAGGTATTTTTCTTTCCTCAGACCGAGGGGAATTCTCATTGTAGTAATGGAAAAAAAAAACCGATTCATTTCTAATTTCCTTTTTTTCCCCCCCTGCGCGGGCTACTAGACGAATGGTTTAATTTTCAGGATCACTAAAAGTATTGGAAATGTCGATGCTTCGAAAGACGAGACTGCACCAGAGGAGGATAGTGGATTTCTAGAAACGGAGCAGAACCAGGCTGAAGAGGATCCTGTTCGAAAAATTCCCTTCGCACCCGATTCTAATGATCCCCATAATCTGACCCATGAATCACCAGGAAGCGCTCATCCGCTCAGAGCAGCGCAGCACAGACTGGCAGGTCGAGTACGAAATCGTATACTCCCCAACATTCCAGGTCCCAGTCCTGTACTTTGCTCTGAAAGCGGGTGCGTTCCATCATAAACCCGTCGATATCGAAATGGTATATCAACATCTGGTGCCGCAGCAATATCATCAAGAATTGAAAAATGTTGGTGTCATGGGGGGTATCAGTTTCAATGTAGGTTGCATGTTCTTCGAAAATACCGAGTTGGATGTGCGCTCATTATTCCAGTACAATCCAGTGTCTGGCTCTCCAATGTTTTTCGTCCACCCGTGTAACACTGCGGATGCCATGAGACATGTCATAGTGTCCAAAGATATCAGCCCCGAAACGTATCTTCTCATTTGGCTCAGTGTGATAGGTAACTTCATCAAGTTGCATCTCCCTCATGAGCTGTTCGTGGATGATACACCCGTGAGCCTGAAATTTCAGGGACCAAGCTTGGGAGATGCTTCCTAGACAATAATGGACTAGTGCAGACTTATACCGCTCGCACAGCCAACATGTCCACCTCTCATCCTGGTCGTACTGGACTAATCCTCGTCCGAAGAGGCCTCCATAGGCACATCGCTATCTTCATCCATTGGTGCCTCTTCCTCATCGCTTTCTTCTGTACGGGGTCGCTTTGTGCCGTGGGGTTCGCCATTGGGAGCCTGGGTAGGCTTAACGGGTAAAGCGGCTGCTCCTGGAGGGCCTTGGAAGATTGACTTCTGTAGATCCGTCGAGACAGCTGCTGCTGATGTGACGCCAGGTATACCAGCACTATAAGTACCGCGCAATTTCGCAATCACGTCTGAGGCACCTTTGGCGTAAACAATTCGCTATTTGCCCAGAAATTAGTGGAAAGAAACTTGCCCAGCGCACAGGAGAGGCATACCATTTCTTTACCGAAGAATTCAAAGCCTTGAAGAGCGCGCATCGCCTGTGTGCTGGCTTGTACGTCCTTGAATACAATGTGTGCTTGCCCGCGCATCTTTTCATTTTTCATGGCGACGACATCAAGAACAGTTCCGTACGTCGAAAAAAGCATGTATAGGGAGAGCCGCAGATCATACTTGCGAAGCTTGTCCGGAAGATTGGTACAGTATAGTCTACTCATGAATTAGAAGCTTCTTGCCTACCAGATAGGTTGAGAATCTTTATCACTCACGTTTGGTTGGGAGCACCGACTGAGATATTTTTGTCTGGAGCACCACTGCGAGTGGGGATGGATTTAGTAGCCATTATGGAGAAAATGAAAAAAGGATGTGGTTTCAAGAATTAATATTAAGTGATTTGGAAAGGTAGGTGACACCGAATGGAAGGATACTTGGTATTTTGCCGTCGCAGGTTGCAAAGCAATCGGAATTGGAGGTCTCAGCAACCTAAACTAAACCGTATTTGTGAGCTAGTTAGACCAACCTAGTTAGTTAATTCGTTGAAGTCATGTGATTACTTAGGTAAGCATGCTGCCCGCGTCATCGGCTTTGGTCGCTCCCGCATCTCGAGGGGTCCTTCAACACCAGCACATGGCAGTAGAGAGTCCCTCCTGTCATATTAAACCAGTATAAACTTGACAATGGCTGTTCCTCAGGCCCACCACCTCTTCCACCTTCCGATCGCCGACCATTCCTTTTCCTCGGATAAGCAAACACTTGTTGTTGCCAAGGATAATAATGTTGCACTTTACCAGGCATCAGGCAACAAGTTTGTGCTGAATGACGAACTACATGGCCATGACAAGACAGTGACAAGTGTGGATATTGCACCAAAGAGTGGCCGTATTGTGACTTGCTCTCAAGGTTCGTATCGCCAGAATTTGAAGTCTCGTGACAGTACAAACAGTTGACTTGGCCTCTTGTAGATCGTAACGCCTACGTCTGGGAACAGACTGCCAGCGGCTGGAAGCCAACCCTGGTCCTCCTCCGGATAAACCGTGCTGCCACTTTTGTGCGCTGGTCCCCATCGGAAGAAAAGTTCGCTGTCGGCTCGGGGGCTCGCGTCATTGCCGTTTGCTACTTTGAGGAGGAAAACGACTGGTGGATTTCCAAACACTTGAAAAAGCCGATTCGGAGTACCATCACCACTCTTGCCTGGCATCCCAACTCGGTTCTGCTTGCTGCCGGCTCTACGGATTCCCATGCTAGGGTCTTTTCGAGCTTCATTAAAGGAGTCGACACCCGTCCCGAGCCGAGTGCATGGGGTGAACGTCTCCCCTTCAATACTGTGTGTGGTGAATTCTTGAATGACTCTGCCGGCTGGATCCATAGTGTGGCTTTCTCACCAAGTGGAAATGCGCTTGCTTTCACGGCCCACGACAGCAGTGTCACTGTAGTCTACCCCAGTGCCCCTGAGCAGCCTCCAAGAGCAATGCTCAATATTTCCACCCGTCTTCTCCCGCTTACCTGCCTGATCTGGAACGGCGAAACTGAGATTATCGCGGCCGGTCATGTTAGTGGATTTATTCCTCGCTCTTACATAGACTCTGCTAATGGCTTTTAGGACTGTGAACCTTATCGCTTCACTGGAGACGAGAACGGATGGCAACTCTCTGGTCCTATTGAAAGCAAGAGAGGTGCTGCAGCCGGGAATGTCCGCGAGGAATCTGCCCTCAACATGTTCCGTCAGATGGATCTCAAGGGACAGGCCCAGGCCGATACCCAGCTCAAGACGACTCACCAGAATACTATCAACACGATTCGCGTTTATGAAGAGTCAGACGGTCATGTCAAAAAGTTCAGCAGTAAGCGTCCGATCTATAATTACTTCCAAGAAATAGCAGCTGATTGAAACTCTTTTTTAGCGAGCGGAGTCGACGGACGTGTTGTCGTTTGGTCGATTTAGCCTGTTACTACCCATATCACCAATGGCTCGCACCAATTTGAAGCTGCTTAGTTAGTACAGGTTTCTGTGTACATTTTAGTCTTAGTATAGTAGATAGTAACTAGACCAGGGTGATAACAATATTATTATTTAAATTCCATGAGCCATATCATAAATTCCTTAGTAAGTTTGCAGACTATACAAACATGGCTGTTTTTAGTATAGACTGACCCACTGGTTGACTTTAGGGTTTAGCTACCCCAGATTTTGGATCATGCTCACTGCTCAGTGTTAGGTACACACATGACCTGGTCCTGTAGATGACTTCATAATGTGGATGATTTAACATCTCTTCCAACCGGCATCTCTTTCATATACCAAAAAAAATCGTGTCTAGTGTGATTTGAAGTTGTGTAATCTATCAGATGAAGTTTTCTCGCAAGCATCCTCTTTTCCTCTCCCTATGTGCATTTCTATTGCCAAAACACACGGTCGCTGCACAGAATGGACCCGAAAGAGAAGTTTCAGCCAAGTTGTTCGAATCCCTTGAGGAGTCCTCTCGCCTCGTCGATATTGCATACTGTATCGGTTCAACGGGAGTACATAAGCCATTCGAATGCCTCAGTCGGTGTCAGGAGTTCGAAGGGTTCGAGTTGATAACGGTGAGAAAGGAAGGAAAACTACCAAGTACAACGGCGGCGTAAATAACCCTTGATGTACTGATATGAAAGTTTCTTTTAGACGTGGAACACTGGTCCTCTTCTCTCCGATTCATGCGGGTACATCGCCATCTCTCACCCCCCGTACCCGAAACGAATCATCGTTGCATTCCGAGGCACTTATTCCGTTACCAACACGATCATCGATCTCTCGGCGTACCCGCAGAGATATGTTCCTTACATACCAGACGACAATGAAGGAGGAGGTGACGACCCACGGGAGAAGGCAAAATGCACCAACTGTACGGTCCATGCCGGGTTCATGACGACATGGCAGAACACGCGGTCAACCGTTCTACCGGCCGTGGAAACTGCGCGAAAGCAGCACCCAGACTATGAGATTGTCTTGATCGGGCATTCGCTCGGTGGAGCTGTTGCCGCGCTGGCAGGGCTAGAGTTCCAGTTGAAAGGGTGGAGCCCACAAGTGACGACGTTTGGAGAGCCGAAACTTGGAAACAGAGCCTTTGTAAACTTGCTGGACGAGGCATTTAGCGTGAATGTGGACCAGTCTCTGCTTCCGAGAGAAGAAGAAGAAGAAGAAGAAGAACTCCCTCGCTTTCGTCGGGTCACACACGCCAACGATCCAGTGCCCCTGCTCCCTCTTGATGAATGGGGGTACGAGACTCACGCGGGGGAAATTTTCATCTCCAAGCCGGACCTTCCACCAGGTCGAACGGACCTGGAACGGTGCGAGGGGAACCGTGATCTTCGATGCATCGAAGGAGCTAGTTATGGCAGCAATGCCGTTAATATAGCTGGAGGACAGACCGTTCTGTCCGAACAGCCCCGTCGCCAGAGAATAGACGGGGCTGGCTTGATTCCGGCCCGGTTCAGATTGTGGGAGCTCTTCTTCGCTCATCGCGATTACTTTTGGCGTCTTGGGTTATGTGTTCCTGGGGGGGATCCGACGGGACTCAAGTTTAAGGCGGATTGAGAATCATGTCTTTTATATATAGTTAATGATCAAGTCATGAAGTTATGACGAAATGATACAATGCAGATAAATCGCCTGTAGATTTGGGCCTATGGAAATGTGTTCTTACCTTTCTATCATTTTGCTCTGATGCTTATTCTGTAGAAACAGATATGATACCTCATATGAAAGGGTTGGAGCATGTATGCTAATATGTGAGCAGACTTAAATGTAATGATATAATTATGTAGTGAAAAGCCTGCTATGCTAAAGATCATACTATATACTAATACTCAATCTAAAATAAAAGTGTGATACGAGGGATACAGATGCATAAATAAGACCAGGCCAGCTGGACCGCCTCTCGCTCGGAAACAACTAGAGCAACTTTATCAAAAACTTTGAAGCATCGCAATTACTTTCCCTGAGCCAATGCCGGAACGATAACAGGCCCATACTTGACCACATTGCCGTACGCGCCTTCGCCCTGCACCATGAAATCCACGGCCAGGCTGAGTTTGCCAGCGCCGGGAGCCATGTCAGGCTGGCCGTACGTCCCGGTGACGACGTCCGGGTCGTATGCGACGATGGCGATGTAGTTGCGGCGACCCATGAGCTTGCGGTGATCGCGCGGCTGGCCCGTGACATCCGTCTGGAAAATTTCCATCATGTCCTCCTTCGTGTCCGAAGGTTTGGACGAGTTCGACCGTTGGCCGTTGGCGGGGACGTACAGCGGTTTATTGTGGCTATGGAGCAGCTTAATGATGTACCCAGGCGGCGGCGTGTTCACCACCGCCGATGAGATCAGCTGGTACATGGTTTTGTGGTCCGAGGGATGGGTCGGATCATGTACCAAACCGGCGCCGCAGACGTTGACGGCGCCAGACAGGAAGGTCATCCGGATAGATCGTTGATGAGCGATTCCCTGGAGAGTCCGAATGAGGTACGTCCGTTCGAGGTCCTATCTTCTATTTAATAACTTCTCTTTCCGCCGTTTCTACTATATGTATATGGATATTGCACTCACCTTTGATTCATGCGTCCACTGGTCTCGCAACTCATCTAACAGATCCAATTCCCCAAACGGATTCAAGATTCCACCCATGAGCCCCGACTTGCCGACAGCACGCTTGACGGAGTCAAACCCGGACCCAACCATGTCTTTCGCGCCCACGACTCCAGCCACAGAGCTAGTCACCTTTCCAAGAACATTATACGCCCCGGTGACGGCTCTCTTGCCCGTTGCGACAGTGTTCGCCAGCTGTTGAGCAGAATCCAGGCGCGGGTAGATAAGGGGCATCGAGATCATCAGCATACAGTGTTGCACCGACCGCGGCAGCATCGCGATCTTGGGGAAAAGCCCTTGGTAAGTTGGCCCGGCGAGGACCTGGTGTTGGTTCCGCTCAGATCGACAGTCGAGGCCGACGACCGCCACGGCCGGACCCAAGTACTTGACAAAATGCCACCCGGTGCCCGTGATGGTGAAGAGGTCGACATCCGAGCTAACGCCGCGGAGGATATCGAGGGTCGTGTGATGCTGAAAGAGCAGGTACATTTCGATTCCAATCCGGCCAATGTTCTTGAACATGTTGGAGAATTGCATATGTTCAGGGTATGATCCGAACCCATCGAAGCTGGGGATGATTAGCTGTGTAAAAAAAAAGAAAAAGAAAAAAAGGGATGTATACATGTCATGATCGTCAACCTGGCAGATGTACGGAATCTGTGCAAAGCACTCTCGTAGATACGGCTGATCAAAGTGACTGGTGTAGTAATGGAAATAGGCATGGGAGACATCCTCCTCGTGCACCGCCGTCCAAGGCGTATTCCTCCTGGCATCCTTTCCGCGCGTGGCAAGCCACTGCTTCAGCGACGGGATCTCCTTCCACATGCGGTCCGCATAGATCAAGCCGCCTAGACTGAGCTGTGCGTGGAACCCGCCGATCTCGCCATGTTTCTGGATGATGTCCTTCCACATGAAGCCGACACCGCCGAGCCGCGCCCGTTCAGTAGCATTCGCATTGAGACCGAAATCGTTGCCCGAGATCGCCGTGAACCGCCAGCTGGTTTCGTGTCGGCCGGCAACGAGGAACTCGTAGCGCGTGCAACCCAGGTGCGAAGTGATGGCGTACGTCCACTTGGCGGGACCGGACTCCTCCATGCGCAGGTCGATCTCGTACTTGTAAAAAGTCCAGCGCTGATGCATGGCAATCCTCATGGCTTTGAGCTGGCGCGGGTTCGGAGACAGGTCGGCACTCTGGTGGATATGGATTGTGGGCGGTTGACCGGCGTCTGTAACGAGGAGGATGGAGCCCAGCCAGATCCCTCGCTCCAGATCCATATTGGTATACCGCAGGTATGGTCCAAAGTAGACGCCATTCGTGGGCACTACCTTGTAGAGATCAACGCCACTGCTGGGCGGGGGCCCACTAAACGCAGAAGCCAGAGAGGGGGATTGAAGGCTTTCATAACCGGGGGTCATGGGGATGCCGGGCGAGGCGAGCGGGTTTCCAAACGCGGAGGACAACCCCGGAGACGTGAGCGGGTGGGCACTGAAGACGCTCCCGCCCGGCGACACCGGGGTGTCGTTCAAGTTTAGCGGGGTAGGGCCTTTGGGGAACTCCCACTGGGTTGATTGCGTCGGAAGATGTATGTAGTAATACTGACCCGAGGTCTGATCAAGGTGGGCGATCCATCCTTCGGGAAGCGGAGGCGGAGAGGCTGGGGGGATGCCATTAGTTGGCGTGGTAGAAGAGGGCGAGGTTCGATTGTTGCTGTTATTCACATTCACTGCAGCCTGTTGTTGATACGCCTGCTGCTCGTTCTGCTGGTACCCACCAGCCGTGGAGGGATTTCCGGGCTGTTGTTGATCTCGGGGATCATTCGCAAACGCAGGATGCCCCTGAGCAGCCGCTGTGGCAGCAGCATCAGCGGAGGGAACAGCAGCAGTAGTGCTGGCGGGAGCGGGATTTGGCGCAGCCGCCGCCATCCCAATGGCCTCTGTGGGATGTGGTCCCGGGATTGAGCTTTGTTGCTGCTGCAACACGCCCCCCGCTACGGCCGGATGTCGCTTTTCATTGGTATACCCCTGCGAGACGGAAGCTCCTGGCACAGTCGAGTATGCCGGAGGAGGAGACGAACTGACACGCATGCGTTCGAAATCCTGCTCGAGTGCATTCTGGGGAATCCTTGTCTGGGGTTGAGAGGTGGGAGCGGCAGAAGCAGCCGCGATAGCAGCCGCAGTAGCAGCAGCAGGGGCAGTAACGAGAGAAGCAGTAGCCTGCCCACCAGGGGCTTGACCACCGGACTGAACCACATTCGGGCCCTGATAGACTGTCGGAGGGCCATGTGGCTGTGTACCCGGCTGTTCAGTCGGGGTCCACGGCCGGGCCACCGGCTGCTGCTGCTGAGCTCTCCGTACTGCTGCCTGCCCAGCATATGGTTCCGCTCGACGCTGCGCTGCGGCGCTTGGAGCCTGCAGGTTCTGCAGGGTCGAAGTTCCCGCGATACCCGCCGCAGCATACCGCGCCTCAATATCCGAACCCGGCTGCTGGTCAGGACCCGCGACAGGAGTCTCAGGCGGGGGCGGAGACCCGCGCTGAGCCCGGGTAGTTGAGGTCGACGCAGTGGAGCTGAGACGACTGATCGAGCCGGTCCCCTGATTCGAAGCTGCTTGAGGAGGTGGCCAGTAATGTTGTTGCTGGTACTGTCGTTGGTACTGTTGTTGGTACTGCTGCTGCTGCTGCTGCTGCTGTTGTTCTGGACTAGATTCTGGTAGCGGCTTGGGCGCGTTCCCTCCCCTCCGTTCGGCGAGGGTTGTGATCACCGGCGGTCTGGCAGTCTGCAACGCAGCCGACGGCGAGGTAGACGACGCCTGTCGGTCATCAGGGTATGGAAGACGCGGAGGACTCGGCGGCGACGCTGGATCTCGTTTGGCGATACGCAGCGGTTCGACAATAGTAGGCGACTCGGGCTGCTGCTGTTCGGCAGCCCCGCTGTTGAGAAACAGCTCTCCGTTAGGGATCGCCTGGCGGCTCATTGTGATGCTGCACTCTGATAAACCTTTTTCCCCCCCCCCTCTTTGCTGCAGATGTGCTTGCAACGGCGATGGCGTTTGGGGAGCAAGTTTCACCTCAAAATGGAGTGAGGTGAGGGGTAAAAAGGATGGGCGCGCGGGGGCTTCTCGACACGGCTTTTCTCACGCTGACTAGGTTAAAGGAGGGTTTGAACAACTTGAAAAGAAAGCCCTAGTAAGGAGTACTCTGTAGCCTTGGGTCAAAAACCAACGCACGATCGAGGGGGGGCGTTGGGCCAGGGAAATAGGAGATGTCCTTCGCTGCAGCCCCCCCCCCCCCCCCAGAGTGACCGTCAGCTCTAGCCGCCGAGCTCCTCAACACAATGGAGATTGTTGCAGCCATTGGCTGGACGGTCAATCACAGTCATTTAATAAGCCACTAGAGTGATCAGTGGGCGCTTAGCTTGTCTGCAGTCCAGATGACAGTCCATATAGAGTAGATGAGCTGTCCATAGTGATTGATGTGATGAAGTTGTGTAGAGAGTTGCAGAGTAGGAGTTATGGAGAGTATCTTTAAGCTGACATTCCATCGTCATATACTGTATTAGACCTCAGATAATTGAGAGTAGTATTCAAATAGCTAGATAATAAATGACTCGTCAAGTAAATACTAAAGAAATCTATTACACTTTATGAATATATTTATCAAAATTACTATCACAGTAGATCTACATAGGAACACTTTATATAAAAGCAGTACAGAGTACCTATAGTTATAAGTTAATAATAGCATGTAATTAATATAATATAATTAATGCTCAGTATAAATCCAGCTACCTTCTATAATACTCAATCCTATTAATAATATTATATACCAGCCCAATGCATTACAGCCATACATCCATACATCCATACATCCATCCTGTCATGCCCTTAACACCTCGCTAAAAAAAAAAAAAAGAAAAGAAAAGAAAAGGAGAGAAGAAAAAAGAAAGACGAAAAGTAAAAAGAAAAAAGGGAAAAGGAATGAGGGTTATAAGCCAAAAGTAACAAACTGCAAACCGTGTGTAGTCATGATCTCCATCCAGTCGATGTCCAAATTATGGCCGACGGTCATGAGCCGCTGCGCCTGCCGCTCGAAAATGATCTGCAGCAAGTAGCTCGTCATGCTCTGCGTCCTGGCCAGTCCGACGGGAACCGTCGACAGCAGGTCCATGGCCAGCATCTTCATTCCGTTCGAGGTGGCCGCGGCACCGGCCAGAAACAGCGGGAAAACAAGAAACTGGAGCTTGCTGGTGTCCTGTCCCGCGGAGGGATTCACCAACAGCTGCTCGGAGAGTTGCAGGATGGCAGTGACGTGCGGGGCGACCTCTTCGTCCGAGGCGGCCTCGGGCTCGAGGCGCTGGCCCGCCCACATCGACGTGTAGCTGTACAGCATGCAGGTGTGGAAGAGCGTGTACCCCTGGTGGAGGAGCTGGGCGGCGTGGCAAGGGAGCCGGTCTTTGTCCTGCAGCAGGACGGCGGCGTGCGGGGATTCCCAGCGCTCGCGCAGCGCTTCCATCAGCTCGTAGAGATCCTTGTGTCGATGGGCGGAGAAGGAGAACGGGCTCGAGTTGGCGGTCGCGGCGGGCTGCCGGATCGAGGCCGCCAGAAATCCAAGCTGCACGGCCAGTTGAAACGTGTCCGAGTACATCTGCGAGATGGCGGACAGATTGTTGTTGCCCATGCTCTGGTTCTGGTAAGGAGAGTAGACAGTGGGGGCTCCGAGCAGGGTCTCCGGGCTGGGCAGCAGGTGGTGGGCGACCATGGCACCAACAAATTCGCCATTGCTCGCGCCACTAAGCAGGGCATACAAATCGAAGTTGCACACCCACCAGATGACAAAGGGGAACCGTTCGGTACCGTACACCGATCTCCGCATGAAGATGATGTTGAGGAGCCGGGAGATGTGATGCGACCACAGGTTCGAGGTGTTGGGCTCGGCGCAAGAAATCTATCGAGTATTAGAACAGCTTCTTCTTTTCTTTCTTCTTTTTGGGTCTTAATCACCTCGTAGACTAAAAGGAGAAAATGGGTGAGAAAGAGCCCATCCGACGAGAGGTCTTGAGTGCTTTGTAGGCTGCTTTGTAACAAGGGGAATGCTTGCTGGTAGTGCTGGAGGGCGCTGGCCTGCTGTCCGGGTTCCTGGGTGGCTAGGCTGAGGGCCGAGACAGCCATGATTGCATGGAATAGCTGAATTCGTTAGTATAGAAAAAGACAAGGAAAGAAAAGGAAAGAAACGGGAAAGACATACCGGTGGAAAGCGGGCCGCTTCGTTCTCAAACACATCTGCCATGGAATTGATGACGCCATGCGATGCGTTTGCATCTCCCGCGGGCATGAACTGCCGGCACACGACGGCGCGAAAATGGGCGTAGAGGAGGGCATCCTGATTCCTCTGGTTGACCCAGTGGTCGGGGAATGGAACCTCGTCCCCTTCGACCAGGTCGTATTCCGCGGGTGCGTACTGGGGCGGCGGGGAGAGTGGCGAGATGGATCCCAGCAAGTCGGAGGCAGGCGACATACGAGGGGAGCTCCTGCAGGAGGAGAGGACGCGACGGGAGACGTCATGGAATCTCTTGAGGATGACGGTGTTGGGATCGGAAAAGTCCGCGCCGCATTCATGATCACTGATCGGCGAGCTGGCCACTGACGACTGGCGGCCATCGAGCAGGGAGCCATCCACGGAGTCGTCGGTGTACTCAGCGTACTCGGGCAAGCCCGAGAAGCTGTCCGGCACCATGATGACATGGTACGTGCCGGGAGTCGAGGCCTCTGCCTTCCTCTCGCGATCCTCGTCCGAGGTAAGCATGGCGAACGGGGGAAGCGCATCTGCGGGAGACAGCAGGGCGTTCTTGGTGCCCCAGGTGCGCGATTTGACTAGGTCAGTTAGAAAGATGTGCCCGACGAACCAAAAAAAAAATCGTAGAGGATATATATATGTATATAGACGTACCATCCCAGACCACATTTCCCTTGGTGGAAATATCGGCCATCCGCTCCATGATACGTCGGGTGTCATCACGGAACGCCAGCCGGGGCCGGTAGTCGCAGACATGGCCTAGACGGGCGCATTGCTAGAGAGTCAGCATGATTCTTCCAGCAGTATGGACGACTGCGATGACATACGCCGCATGTTGGATGACCCTCGTCACATTTCACTACTGGCGGTTAGATTTATGAATTTCCAATTCCCCGAGGTATGCGATTTGAAGCCCACCTTTCCGACTCTACCAACACACGAACATCAGTAAATACAGCTCATCAATTATCGCTTTATCCGTAGAAGAAAAACTCACTCGACACGTCCTATCGATAGAAAAAAAGAAACGTTAGCCACTATTATGATTCACGAAGTCTATCCAGGCGCTTCAGGACTTCATGACGTACCAACAACCAGTTCTCGACCGCGGCGGGAGACGCACCCGCGGGGGAGTGGCCAGCGTGCCTGGCGAGGCAGGAATCCTCTGGCGAGCAAGCTTGCCGGTAACAGGGAGCTGTAGACAGTCGTCTTTGGGTGCGATGAGAGGCAACCGGACGGGACGTTGTTTGCGGGGGGCATCGGTGCGCCGGGCGGGCATCACGAGGCTTGTGACAGTCATTGTGGCAGGAGGGTGTATTAGTTGTACTGGGCTAACAAGCCATAACGATCGACAGGAAGGAAAAAGGAAAGGTTATTTATTAGAGAAGGAAAGAATACTTGAGGGGAGGGGAGGGGAGGGGAGGGGAGGGGAGAGCATTTTCAAGCGCGATGGGTGGGGGAGTAGTATATAGTACCTAGTCTTTCTCTCTTTCTCGTTTCTTCTGACTGTTCTCGGATCAGTGGCGGCGCTGCAGAGGGGTTCGCCAGCACAGCGATACAGTTCATAGTTAGTTTAGCTAGTCTGGGCCCTGGACAGAACGCATGGCTAAAAAAAAAAAAAAAAAAAAAAAAAAACACATCAAAACTAAAACTAACCCCCGGACACTGACAGTGGACCTGCTGAAACCTGCCAACCATGTGGATGTAGGAAGAGATAAAGCTAGCGTGGATCGAGGGGTTCCGACATTGGAAACTCTGACAAATATCTTAGTCTGGGCTAGTACGGAGAACTCCGTTGGTAATACTAGATACCTACTAGGTACCTAAGGTAATTCGTACGGAGTATTCAACGCACAGAATAGAGGTATACCTAGGTACTAAGGTTAGGTAGGTACCAGGTACGGAGTCGACTGTCTTACGAGTCAGTCAGCCTTAAAGTGTCCCTGTACTGTATTTACCATAGGTCCAAGGTGTTACTAGTAATACTAGCGTGTTACCCTTATACTATACTTTACCGATACACTCGCTTGCTATGGATTATAATTGGCAGACTCAGAAAGATACCTTACGTAGGTGTATGCGCTAGTATGAAATAGATTGTAAGGTTATCAGCGATAGTTTAGGCAGTCAATAAACTACTACGACGTCTCAGCCAGCCATGGAACAACCCCCCCCAAAAAGCCCTATGAGTACTCTGTGTAGACTATAGAGTACTAGTGAGGTTTTAGTGAATTACCTACCTACCTAACCTTCGGTATGGACACCCAACCAAATTGTCGCTTTTGACAGAGTAGTTCGCAGACTATCCGACGAGCTAACTTACCAGGGCACCACCTGCAGGTACCTAGGTAGGTACCCAGGTACCTGTAATTTTGTTGTACAGAGTACTATGTAGGTACCTAGGTACCCTAGGTAGGTACTAGGTACCCTTGAAGAGATCGTGTTACTAGTGCAAGACCTAAGCTTTACGGAGTAGATGGACAGTGCTCGGACCAAAGGAACAATAGTTTCTACCTAGTCTAGGTACCTAGTATGTAGTACAGTGGACGGAGTACTCCGTACAGATCACAGAGTAGACAGTGTTATGTAGGAGAATAAGTGCATTAATAATATTATTTTGATGTATTTGTTTCATATAAATGTACAGAGTATTCTACATCTGCTGATCATGAACAAACTCCATCGCGGTATTTGCCTACGGCACTTGGTCCATACTACCCACATAGTACGGAGTAGTCCTTAGCTAGGTAGGTAGCTAAGGTAGTTCCCTAGTAATAACTAACTGTAACTCGTTCCTGAATGCTATTCAGATTAGCCCCGGACATATCCGAGTCCACTCGAGGTCGAGACCGTTAGCGCCGGTGGCAAAAGGAACCTGGCAAGGTCTGGCCAACCAAGGCCTTCTCCCGTTCATAGTCTGCGGATCTGACTTGTCAGAACCCTTTACTCCGTAAGAGTGGGAGATGGATCTGGTATAGAGTAGGGGCTAAGAGAAGCTAAGAGGAGCTAGACTTCCATTTTTAGGTAGTTTAATACGGACTTGAGGTACTGGTACCTACCTAGGTATTAGGTAACTAGTAGGTAACTAGGTAGGTTAGTACTAACCTTGAGTGGTACTAGCTACGGTATACGATACAGGTAATATACATCGGTGGGGTGGTACGGCCTAGTAATACGGAGTACCAGACTACCAGTTGCCCTGCCACGTGAATCTGTGACCCCGTTATTTGAGGGTACCCAGTACGTCGTACCGTCGGCTAGATTGACCAAGATTATTTTCTCACTTCCTTTCCTGGTACCGCTTCAGACACCGCCTGCTCGAACAAGTCATTTTTGCCTGTCATTTCGCCCAAGCCGACGGACACAACTAAAAATTAATGTTTAGGCTTTCCGACGGACAGAATGGCGGAGTTCTTCTATTAGTCCAGAATGGGCGGTTGCAGGCGGGCATGGATCCATTACGCAGGGGCGATGCACATTTCCCCCACTGTATGTAGTAGGTAGCTGACAGGTATGTACGGAGTACCTCCCTCAGGTACACTTTACACTGTACACTGTACAGCCTGCCTAAAGATCGGATCCGGCTTCAGTTCTACTCCGAAAAGGCCAACACCACGACTTCCTTAGTTCCAATAGTCCATTTCTACGGACTAAATGACAGATGGTAATCTGCCCCTCTAAATTGCTATTCGATAGTTTGTACAAGACAACCCAGCTTCAATAATTAATTAATTATCACTTGACTCCTATTAATTACTACTACTACTACTACTACAAACGTACGCAGAGCAAGCCTCAAAATGATTTGACTACGGGGCACGGAGTATATTCGGCCTAAATTCCACGTGGTACATGGTCCGACTTCACTGCCAACGCTTCCCCGAGCACTCGCCGGACGGACTCGGATCGCTCCACAGCCAGCCAAGCCCGGATCGTCTGTCGGTCTTGTTCGCTCACCCCCATCCCGGCCTGCTGGCACACCTCTAGGTAGGCCACCGTCGCCCTGGCGCGTTCCTGGCGCACGGTTTCCATTGACAGGTCTACCTCCAGGAACAGAAGCCGCTGCGCCAACGACGCGACTGCACCTCGGACCTCGTCCAGCCCTGTCGGCGCCTGCATCGACATCCAGCGACCCAGTCGGCCCAGTAGCCCCTGAAGAGCCCCGAACAACGTCGCTTGTACTTGTCGTCCACCTTGCTGCAACGCCCTCTCTGCGATCGATCCAAGATCGCTCAGGTACTCGGCCAGCCCTACACCCATTGGTTAATCGACTGCTCTCTTTCACGCTGGGAATTCGGAAATCCAATCGGAGACTTGGGAACCTACTTCCTGTGGATGGTACGATGGTCGGATTTACGCATCGCACCAAACATTGGACACACGCTGCCAAGGTCTCCTCCGATCTAAACCCACACCATTAGGATTTAGGAGATGCCAGCTGAGCGGAATCGCACTAGTCACAGAAAAAAAAAAAAAGGGAAAAAAGAAGGGGGACCCACCCAGACTTTTGAGCGTTGCCCGAGTCGATCTCCATCGGATCGGCGCTGTCAGAAGAAAACTCATCCACAATGCCTGTCACGATCTTCGTGGCCTCAGGCATCAAATCCAGGTCCTCCCGAGTCTCGGCAATTTCTCCCATGGCTCGCAGCGCATACGGGCGATACACCGTATTGGTCCGCCTGGCTTCTCGGATCGTGATTGTCTAGGGAAACGTCAGTAAAAAATCCATCTATAGTTACTGCTATCCCCTCCCCCGACAGTACCTTCATTGCTTGACGGATAGACTCCCTCTCCTGCCAGAATTGACGGGCTTGCTGTTGGAACTTCACAAACGCCTGGAGCACCGCTTCCTTCCCATCCCATGTCTTACCCGCGAGTGCCGTTTCGAGCACCGGCCAGAGCAGCTCCCCGGTTGGTGCATCAATCTTATGATCCAAAGACTTGATCCCATCCGCAATCGCCAGAGCGGCCGTGTGCTTGACTGCCCAGCGCGGGGAGTCTAGGTATATCGATACCAATCCTGTAATTTCTCGGAGATATAGCGAAATGGACCGGGAACCCCCCACGTTGTCCTGCCATGTTTTCTCAAACGACTCTTTCACATGTTGATCGGCGTCATGCTTTGCAATGAAGACAAATGGCAGCGCCGTCGATGCGAATTCCATGAACCGGTCGTTGGACAATTTAGATATAGACAGGAATATTTCGGCAGAGATAGCTCGGCGGGATGCGTCTTCAGCGTTCAGATACAAATCCTTGCTGTACTCAATGGTCTTCAGTACGCTCTGGCTGGAACCTAACCGCATGAGATACCCTAGAGACGTGCAGTAGGAGGCGCTGACAGTTTCATTCCGATCAACCACATATTTGGTCATTAACTGGATGAAGCGATCGGCGTATGGCCGGAAAAAGGCCGTCTTCATGCTCAGGAGAACGAGAACACGGCTGCAGCCGACCTTTGATGGAAGCCCAACTGCAGAGCGCAGAACATCTTCCAGCTTTGCTGCCAGCTCTTTCATGTTGCTTTCGTCCAGATAGTCGATCAAGTATCTTTCCGTCGCCTCCATCATCGGAGACATGCGGATGCCAGACAATCGCATCTTGTCGATCTCCTGGCTCGTTAGGCCGTATTTGTCCGCGTTCAGATGGATATAATTGACTGCTTGAGGCTCTAGAGAGCTCAGTGAGTTCACAAACTTCTCCAAGATAACCGGCACGAAGGGGCGTAGCAAGGAACCGGGGCTTTTCTTGATAATCTGGATCAGTGCACCGACAGCGAAACCCTGGACCTCCTGCACACTGGAATCCATTCCCTTGTCACCTAGCAGGAATGGAATGATGTCCTCAATCATTGCGTTCGCTTGCTTGACATCCGTGTCACCGGTTTCCAAGGTTCGAATAATCGAGTTGGTGACTGTTTGGCAGAGTCGTAGGGCTGCTAGCCGAACGGTCTCTTTGATATCATCAAGCACCTTGAATGCCTTGGTCAGGATTTCACTGATATACTTGGCGTACCGATCGGGCTGGCGACCCTGAATCAAGTCTGCAATGGCTGCACAGCTCGCTTGCCGGACCCTCCATTCTCTCCCAGCAAGCATACTTTTCAGTAGATCCTCCATGATTCCTTCGAAATGGTCGTTGATTACGGCATTGGGGTCCTTGACGATCGTCTGCCAGATGCCGTTCATCGACCGCTGGACGTTCGGATTGGGGTCAAATCGATAACGATATAGTTTGGGATAGATCCTGGGATTCTTGGCGAGGTAGCCATTAACGCTGGAATCTGAGAAAATGCTGCTGATCCCAAATTTACTGAATGCGGCACGATTGTTCCAGATGGCGTTGTTGGATGCGAGGGACATGAACCGATAGACCAAGCTTGGGTCTCCAGCTTCCGAAGCCAAGTTCATAATGTCTTTATACGTGTTAATAGATGATCCTTCTCCTGTAGGAAGTGCTCCAGGCTCAAAAAGCTCAGTGTCAGCATTGACGCGGCCTCCCCCAAGGTTTGAATTGGCCGCTGTGAACGAGTCGACTAAATCCCTCACTAAATCGTCTTTTAAGTCCTGATCGCCCATTTCGTAGACAAGACCGAGCCCCTGTGCTCCGGATTCCTGTGCTATCTCGTCTCGATCTCCAAGGAGTCTCGCAAACGCGGCTTGACACTGCCGGAGACGACCTTGGACTTCTGGAAGATGCCCACAGTTCTTGACGAGAGCCAACAGCCAAATTGCCGATGCTTTCCTGAGTGAGGGTTTTGACGCGGTACATCCAGATATAACCCGGTCACAAACCCCTGAAAGGACCGTCCGAGGAATGGCCGATGTGGGAAATTCTCTGTCGACATCAAATTCACGGACCAGGGACTTTGACTCCCAGCCAGCGGCAGCGACGCTCATCGCATCTCCCACAGCAAAATGGACCTCAGGACTACGTATCTCGTGTAGCCCATAGAGAGTCTCCAGGTATTCGTTAAAAATAGAAGCATGGTCCTCGGCCTCTGAGAAGCTCAACGAGACGAAACCGATAGTGGTGATTGGTATCTCGTTCTCTGACTTTGCATCCACAGCCAGTTTCTCCCTCACAGCAGTCCATTTCGATGCACCAAGAGTCGCAGGTGATATGACATTCGAGAGACTTAGCTGGCCAATAATTGTTTGGGCAGCTCGTCGTAAAAGAGCATCACGCGAGTTATCAAGGATATCAAATATAATCTCAATGAACTGAGTCTTCTGTGTCTCTGGCACTCTGTCAAGTATTTTGCGGTACGCAAGCCTGCTCAAAATATAACCCATACCAAGAAGGGCACCTCGCACTTTCATTGCAGTTTCACCGACAGCGGATTTCCACTCATTGATGAGCCGCGTTGATTCCAGGATGAATTCGTTCAGGGAGGCGAGATTGAACTGGGAGTGCGAGGCCAGAATTCCAATAGCTCTTGTCGCCATGTCTTGGACTTCTTGTATGTTGCAATATATCGAGTCTTTCAGCGTGAGAGCTCGAGGTACCAGTGCACTAATAAGCGCATCCTGTGTCAAAGAGCATATCTCAACAAAGCGGACACCGCATTGCTGTGAGGTCTGTCCTTTTCCAGATACAAGGCCACCCAGAGCACAATTAAGGAATAATAGAAGGGGATCTGGAGTAGAGCTCCGTAGGTATCGTTTCAAAGACAGGCGCACTTGTTCATTGGAGGACAGCAATACGTCCAGCTTATAGTCCCAATCCTGCTCGATTTCCACGATGCACTCTCCTGACGTGGTCAAGGCTTCCCAGAGAAGGATGTTGCGGGCAAATGTAACCGAGGATGATAAGGTGGTCTTGAAGCGCGACGATGACTCAAGCATCTCTCGCTTCTCGCTGGACTCCGTCGAACCAAACAAGTAAGTGGCTAGTTCGTCAAACTTGGGGAACAGATACCAAGGATTCTGCGATTGGTCTTGAGCTGATAGAGTAGCATTATGGTTACTTTTGTTGGAATTGAGCAGCCGGTACCAATACGGGTGCAATCCTTTCTTTCCCTCCTCAACAATCTCATTCTGTTTGTCTGATCCAAAAGAGATAGACAGAAGATCTATCCACCGACCTACCACGTCGCTGAATGGTAGATACCGATTGGCAAATCGCACAGCCGCGTAGTGAGGGCTTCGAACAACCCGAAACTCGGTGACGGGATCATCTTCTCCAGGCTGAAGATCCATTTGGTGGAGTAAGAAGGGCCTGAGGCGTTCATACAATGTCTCATTCAATCGACCAGAGGAGGAGTTGAGAAGACTGCCCAAGGCCTGCTCAATGCTGACGAAGATTTGGGGCCCCGAATCATCAGCGGACCATGAAGTGAACAGCCACCGGATAAGATCGTACTCCAAATCTACTTCCGGATCATTCTGAGAGTCAAAGTCGATTTTCGGAACCAGGATGCCAATGCTTTCATACGCAAGCCCGCGTAAGCTCAAGTCTGTTGCGGGAAGCTTCTGTGCACTGGCCCCAGGACTCGGCCAGCCCTGAGACTCGATAAAACCTCGTAAGCCTGATATCAGTTTCGGTGCAACCGATTGGATGTCAGATGGTGATCCCATGCGAACCACCCATGTAGTGAAAGTAAAGATCTGAGTCCGAAGTTTAGAGGCTTGTAAACCCTGAGATGACCTTGCGGCATCCGATAGGAGACCCTCTTCAATCAACCTAAAGACCTTATCAGACTCTTGGGTAGCCCTGATAGATTTCCCTAGAGCAGTGAGGATCTTCACCTGAACTGGAGATCTCGTAGGTAAGGCGCCATCAGGTCCTTCAGTTCCAAAATAGAGTCGGTACAGCTCTTGCACCACATCGGCATCTTCAAGGTCTGGGGTGAACCTCTTCAACATCTCGGAACCAAGATCCGCGATGCGGGAATTCGCATCGGCAGTGGCTATGAGCGCAGGGATAAACCGTCTGCGGTTTGTGAAAGTGCCGCTTGCCAAAAATCTCAAGGCAATGGCTTTAGTTTCTGTGAGATTCAAGCCACCGGCGACAGCAGGGTTCCATACATCACTTATCGACCCGCCTTTGCACAAAAATGCATATTGAGCAGGAGAAAGACCGGGACAGGTCAGCGAGCCCTGTTCTGCGGGACCCAGCAGAAGCAACTTCTCGAACCAGAACGATAAAAAGTCGGTGTCTTGGTCGGAAAGCCCAAGTTTAGCCGCGAGCTGAACATCCCCCTCACTGCCCTTCGGTGGCAACTTCAGAAGCGGCAGCAAACGCAGAACAAGATTGAACACAGTAGCACCTTGAGTGGCCAGTGTGCCGATGTCAGCGATTCCCTGGAGCAGCGGAACGAGAACTTCAACCCTGGCTTCCGACCCCAGACGGTCAATACCCTGCTGCACATAGAGCAAATCAAAGTGGCGGACTAGCTGCGACTTCTGGTCTTTGAACTGTTTCAGCAGCGCCGCAACAGGAAGCTGAATGGACGGGGCTTGAATTCTAGTGTTGATATGCTGGCACACGGCAATGACTTTGTTGCGGACTGCCAAGCTCTCCGACGCCAGCTTCAATAGTAAAGGCGCCAAATAGGTCTGAAGGAGGCCTTGAAGTTTGGCATCGGTGTCTGCCAGGGCGATTCGCAGTTCCACCTTGCCTATCAAGCTCAGCTCGCGAGCTTCCTGGCTGGCAGGACTCGTATCTGAGGACATGATGAGAAGGGCAAGAAAACGCACAGATTGTCTCCACACCTAAAATTATTATACGAAAGAATCCCCTCGTCCAAAATGAGAGAAAGAGAGATTATATGTTCAGTCTTTCCTCCAGGCAGTGAGGCTCGCGTCACCCTCAATGGGGCAACAACGGGGCTGCTCTGCTTAGTCAGCGTATCTCTGCTCGCAGGCTACGGAGGAACAAAAAGAAGGCAACTTCTAATGGATAAACTAGCTGGAAGAAGGAAAATTGCTATTGACAGGATATATTTGAAAAAATTATCTTTCCATTGGTATCTCGCAAGACTGTATCAGAACTTTCTAAGCTTGGATGCACGGGAAATTGAAGAAATAAGCCAATATCTTGGGGGTAATAGTTATGGGACAAAATGGATAGCAGGCTCAAGGCCCGTTGGCTGCAGCCCTTCGTTCTTCGGCGGCTTCCCCCCTCAGGAATCGGCTAACCTCAAACTCAAGACTCATATCTTGACCAGAGGTATCCTTCCGAGCTGCGGCCCCAAAGAGACACTGCCACAGATCATCCTGTCTCACCAATTCACCTCCGGATGCGCCACCGACCATGAGTTTCGCCAGCCTTGCATCTTGCATCTCGGAGGAGTTGGCAGAATCGATGGCTGTCTCGGTGAGATTCTCATACACAGAACGGACGGTGTCCCTAGCGGTAGATTCTCGTGTAGACTCTCTGCCTTTTGCTTTTTCGGCAATATGCGCCAACCGACGAGATACGGAAATCTCGTATATCGATTCCTCTACTGTGTCAGAGACCAGGTACATCCACACAGTGGTCGGACGGTGTTGGCCGATACGGTGTACCCGAGCAATGGCTTGTAGCTCAATGGCGGTGTTAATCAAAGGCTCGCAAAGAAAAACGTGAGTCGCGTTGACAAGATTCAACCCGGAAGAATGAGCTTTGGCGTGGAGGAGGAAGCATTCAATCTGGAGAAAAGAGGGCTGTGAGTCACTTTTTTTTTCATATAACTAGCAAGAGAGGGGGGGGGGGGGGAAGAGACTTGACTCACTGCAGGGTCACTCTTGAACCTCTCAATCCCTCCTCTAGTGTCAACGCTCGTGTATCCGATCTTGAAGCGAGAGAACGCACTCCCCAAGACCCCCAAGAAATTCTTGTACTGAGAAAAGACAATCGATTTAGCGCTCGGATCATGCTGACGGAGCCAGAGAATATGGCGTGCTAATGTGTCTATCTTGGTTCCGAACGAGTCATTGAGGTCAATATCTTTGATCTCCTGAAAAATTCCGGAGCTGATATCTGTAAAGATAGAAGCTTTAGAAGAAGAAGGACGGCCCGGCTCAGGCCCCGTAGCTTCTTTTTCCTCCTGTACAATTATACCCTGCGGCTTGTACGTGATCTGATGAAACTCGTTTGTTTTCAGTCGTTTTTTGCATATCGGACAGGTCCGATGCTGACGCCACCATATTCGCAAACAATCTTTGCAATACTTGTGACCACAGACCGTCAAGACACCTGTCAAATATGATCAGTAACGAGCATCGTGTTGTGATCGTGAAACACGCCAAACTTACCGATCTCAAAGCTAGATTGGCAGATGACACATATCTTTGAGGTGTCATCTGTGCCCGACTCGTCTCTCAAATGCACGAGATATCGGCGTTTCGCCTTGAGCGCCGAAATTTTGCTATCGATCCCGGTTTCTTGCTCGAGTTTCCGGGCAAACAACCCTTCGTCTAGTGGCTTCCCAACGTTTTCATCATCGTAGGGAGCGACCGTGTCCGAGATCTGTTGTAGCTGTCGGTAGTACTCGAGACGATGGTTCATCGTGTCACGGAACATCTCAACTTCTCTTTCTAGTTGGGAGATGGTCTTCAACTGCTCTGTTGAGATGGAACTAGCATTCTGAAGCACATTGTTAACGATCTCAAGCTCGGCTCGAGCTCGAGAACTGCCCCCACTATCTTGCCACTCAAGCGAAGTTGCAAGACTGCGTAGCTCACTGATAATTCCCCGGAGCGAACCAAGTGTGGGATCTGGCTTGAGCTTGCTGCGAGTGGCCATGACAGAGAGGAAAAGTGACGGGGATGGACCTTCGCCCTGTTGAGCTTGGAGTATCCCTCCCTTGACTTCGTGGGCTATGAGGATGTTTTGCTGGCCGGTAAGAGCATCATTGCGGTCTGCGAAAATAGCCCGTAGTGCCTCCATATAAACATACATCTCATCCTGATGCTTGGTGGATGTCTCATACTCGTTACCCTCCAGTTCGGCCTCTTCTTCCTGGTCGATCAGAGACTGTGATAACATGCCGATCATCTTTTCGCGCCATTCGTTGTATTGCTCAGCGTGTTTGTTGAGCGCCTCGCAAAAGTCTTCGAACTTGTCGAGTAGCCGACGTGACTCGAGACCTGTGGTGTAGAGATAGGGTTTCATCTTCGGAATGTGAACGAACTTCTTCTTACGCAATTTTTCAATAATGACCTCCATGGAGTGGCCAGCCCTTCGTGCAATGTCGGCCAGCATCTCCTTTCGAATGAGCTTCGCTGCCTCGTACGCATCTGCTTCGCGCTTCTCAAGATCCTTGAATTCGTCGGAATCCGGAACAGTGAGCTTGGGGTCTGTCTTGATCTGATAGTACGCATTGCCGATGAAGAATTTGCAGATATGCTGGACCTCAAGTGCAGCGCGAAGTCTCTGGCGGAAAGTTCCCAGGCGACTATTTTTATCGATCTCTTCATTCTCGTTGTCGCTCGTGATTTCGACAGTAGCCGCATCCGCCTTTGTTGCAGCCAGTGCTTTCGCGCGTTCAGCCTCAAGTTGGTTTCTACATTCATGAACGATCTCACTGGCACGCTCCAGAGCCGACACCCATAGATCCAACGCTTCATGGCGGCGAACTGCGTTCTCCAGAAGCTGACCACGACGGAGCTGGGAGAGCAGAAGGGCTCGCTCCTCTGTGCGAATCGACGAATCATTCTGGTCAATCATCACCTCGAGCACCTCTGCGACTGACCGCAACGGCCCGCTTCCAGTCCCTAAGGCGCGGCGGTTGCTGCCTGCAACTTCTGGGTGGAGGCACGTCTGACGAAGCCTAGTGAGCCAGCTGCGCATTTTCTCGATGACAGCCTGGCTGTTCGGGTTCCAATCCTCGCGGAGCGGGCCCCCGGTCGTATCCAGGCCGCATTCTTCGCACATCTGTTCGTAGAGCTGTCCATAATGCTGTTCTTCAACCGCTGTGAATGGGACGGTGATGACAACGCGCTTTTGGGCCGGCAAATGAAGCTCACTACGAATCCGATCTTTGCTGTGTCGGAGAGCGATCTGCCGAAGAATGCCTGCCAGGATCGTCTTGAAGCTGCCGTAGAGCCTATTCCAGATGCGAGTCGAGTCACAGAATGGTACATAATGAAGAAATAAGAGAAGACCGAATAAGTCCCCGATATCCTTGCGAAGAGGTGTACCTGTCACGGCCCAAGCATTCTGACGTGGAATTAGGCGGGCGACCCTGGCCGCGTTGCTGACACCACTCTCAATCATCTGGGCTTCATCAAGACAAACCCGCCACCAGGAGATTTTGACAAGGGGCGTTTTTCTCGGTATGAACCGTTTCTCGTGTCGTAGGTTCCGCTTCGGTTTGTCGTCGGTGTAATGGACCTCTTTTGCAAGGACATTATAAGTTGTCAGGACAACATCATGGCCGGCAAGCACATCAACAAGCTCGTCATCCGATAATTCAGGATGGCGCTGCAGACCAGTGTAGTCAAAGACCTGAAGCGATGGTGCATGTGTTTGGATTTCTTGCTTCCACTGTTCTAGAATCGCAGGTGGCGTGATGATTAACGTCGCGTTGGACAGCTTTGATCCATCTCTAACCACACCAAGCTGCGTATGCCTCTCGAGATGGACCCGACGACGATTCAGGCAAATCAAACTTATCATCTCGACAGTCTTCCCTAGTCCCATCTCCTCGGCGAGGATACCGCCTTTGAGATAATCCGCCGCATCATTCCAACGGGAGAGATCGGTGGTGACGATCATGAAGAGGTGACTGGCAAAACAGACTTTACCGTCTGCATCGATTGCTTGTACAAAATATGCTGGGAGATCATTAGTCTTCTTCTCAACTGGATGGACTTGACCATCCGCTTGCAGTTCGACCCCCTCTCGTTGCAGCAGCCACCGGACTGCTCTCCTCTGGAAAGGATAAAGTTGGCATTCCACCTGATCACATTTTATCTCTGCAGAAAGCGTTGGAGTATCTTCAGGGACGTGAACATTGTCATAGAACTCCCGCGGTGACCATCCGTAGGATTGATTCTGCTTGCTAAGCTTGCCCCTCGCGTATACAAACTCAGAGGGGATGTCTGGTTGTCCCTTAGAAATATATTTTGAAAGCACATATTCCGCTAGTAGCTCGTAGCCCGTTCCGGGAGCCTCGAGTGAGTCTTTCCACAGGATAGTTGTCTCTAGCCGGAATGATTTGCGATCGGAGCTGCAATGCAGAGAGGACTGATAGCAAACAACCGGCGATGTTTTGGTCTTCCGATCAACTGAAACAAGCTCATTTGCGAGCTTTAGATGGTCGCCGATAGTGGCGATTCGCGGGTCCAAGATCGTGTCTGCGAAGACAAGTTCTTTGTCCGGGAGCGCTTCTAGTTCTAACCGAAACGAATCACGCGCATCCTGGACAAAACGAGCAGTTTTCAGCGAGACGGGTATCCGATGAGGGAGGTCAATGGTAGCCGAAGTGGTTTGTTGTTCAGGATCTTGGTTTGATTGCGAGTGGTTCTAAGGTGGCGCAAAAGAAAGTGTCAGTCTGACGAAAGGTTGTCCCAAGTGTATCCATGATGGAATCCATACCATTTCAAGCTCAAATCGTGCTAACGGAATATATCCAGAGGGAACAACAGGCTCGAGGCCATCAAACGCCTTATGGTTGCCATTCGACAGTTTGCGACGCTTGATGGGGGGCTCAGTCTCGAGAGCACTGCTGCGCGTAGCCAGTAAGCCAGGTACAGGGCCTAAAAGGGATAAACAGGTCAGCACACTGTTTTAGCATATCATAGTTATATAGGCCATTGAAAAAATACCTGCAAACAGCACTTCTGTCTTCACAAAAGTCATCTTATAGGCTGTTGCGTCTTTGTCTACCGATACGGCGTTTGCTGCGCAAGAGAGGCTCATATCAATGATTCGGTCCTTATCTGAGTCACGTGCCGATACCAGTTATATGATATATCCCCGCTTATGTCCGGTACGGAGTAACTTGCCTTAGTTATGAAGTAGTTACATAGGTACCTAATAAAGATATCGTTAAAACATGGCCTTGATATCATTGAATTGGATTCTCTTTGCCTAGAGAGAATATTTCTGCGGCGACCAGGGACTGTAGGATATTTCCATGCCATGAAAATCTATTCATTGACGCGATGGTGCAACCCGACTATATTAACTCCTTGCAACGAGTTCCTGTTAGAGTCGAAAGAACAATATATATACACGTTTTCAGAGCTTCACGCTCTGGTACCCGTTCTTCTACGAGAGAAGAAGGCTTTCGGACTTCAAACACAAATGAAAGACAAATGAAAGCATGGGACAACTATGATAGTAGCCTGGGCTCTTCGGGGGAGGGGGGTCTCACATGAAGAGACGCCAGGCACCGAGAATCAAGGCTGCAGTACCAGTACAAACACCCCTGAATAATTAGCTCTGCATAAAGTCTCAGGCAAGAGCTGAGAGGGAAACTTACATGAGCCATTGTAAAGTGGAGAACTTGACAGCCTCAACACGTTCCCGCAATCCCGCAACCTCCTGTTCGATCCGGGTCTCGGTCTCCTTGATGCGCATTTCTTGGCTGTTGGCTTCTTCGCGGATACGGCCCTTTTCCAGGTTGAGATCCAGCCGTACAGAAGCCTGGGTACGTCCGATCTCGTCGCGGAGGCGCGAGTTAAGTTTTGCCAGGTCCGCGCCAATCTTTTCATGGGAAGATCGAGTCAGTTGGGACTCCGTCGAGTCCGCGTTGAGGAGTTCCGAGCGCAGCTTCGCAAAGTCGACCTTTTGCGTATACGTCGATCGTTCCGAGTCTGTAAATCGGTTCGTTTTATTTTCCCATCAATCATGGGGCGGGATTATATTGTGGACTGCTCACCTTCTCGCAACACCATTGTCCTCGTGAGGTTCTGAATAGACTCTTCAATAATATCGTTCAGAACTTTCATCATCGCGACAGCCTGTTCCTCACTGAACCCTTCCGCCTTGAGCCGCTTGACAAACTTCAGGGTGTCGAAATGGTGATCACGCGAGCGGATAGGAGTGGAATGGAAGCAACGACGAGCAGCGTTGAAAACCGCAACGTAAACCCCATTGTGTCGAATCGGGTGGCCGAAAGATTCGGAAGAAGGCTGCTTCGTTCTCGCAGCAGACAGGAGTTGTCGCTTGATAGATCTCGAGGCGGCAGATCCTGACGATGCAGTTGAAGATGAATGGAACGAATGGGCGTTGGCAATATGTGTATGCAGCTGTCTCTCCGTAGACTTCTGTTGGCTCAGTGGACGCTGCTGGTGCAATAGTATTGTCGAGGGAACAGAGTACTGGGGTGGGAGAGTGGCACCCTGCGGAGAGGAGCTGTTCCACGTCAGGCGAGGGAGGATGGAACGCCGCACTTCCGCAATGTGCTTTGGTGGCGCCATCGAGGATGACAGGAGATCTATCCCATAGATTTGCGATGATCGTGTTGGAGTGGTGAGGCCCAGTCTTCTGAGTGTCCGAGAGAATGACGGCAAAACACGCTGACTAACTTTTCCAGTCTTTTCCCGCGGAATCTGGGGACCCGCCTAAATTTAGATCTATGGAGTATAAGACTATAAGTATGAGGATGCCATTTTCATATTATGTTAATTGTTATGATGAGGGTTTATCAAAAGGAACGACCATAGAAATGTTTCCACACCTAAGAAAAACGTATGTGCTGACTTCATATGGTTCTAGTTGCCTAGAGATTGACTTAACTATGTACTTGAGAAGAGAACTACTTTGAAGCCTCACGAAATAATATAGATTATATCTGCGTGATGTGCATTTCATCATTAACTATTTTTAAGCTCCTTTTAAATGAGTATCTAAGCTATGCAGGAAACTTCAACCGCCGGCCCAACTTTATAACTGGAATAGCTCTTGAAGCTGCTTCATGGTGTCAGAGGGGTCCTTGACTGCGTGGCCGATCGTTCTCGGATCGCTGTAGATTTCATAGTCGTTGCCCCCGAGGAAGCACTTGTCTCCGAAGAAGTGAATGGTCTTGTAGTCGGCACCGGATATATCTTTTTCGGCCTCGACATGCCGAAGGCAGTAGGTCTTGTCCCATCCGGTAGGGAAGATATCAAAGGAGATCTGTCCACCGATCGAGAAACTACAAGCCATCAGTAAGGCGATAATAGCCCGATTAAACTCGATTAAGCCACTCACGTAAGGCCGTAATCGGAGAATTCTCTCTTCATCGCGTCCACCATGTCTCTGCGAATGTTGTGCACCTTGTCATAGCTGTTGAAAATGTCAGCGGCAGGATCTCAACAAGTAATATCAAAAGCAGAGTGTCTCCACATACGCTTCAAACTCGTTTCTTTCCTCCGTGCTTGCGTTCCTGCCAATAGGGCTCACGTTGATCATGCCGTTCCGGAACTCAACGAAGGTGCCGCGCTTCTTGGGAATTTTGAGATCGGCAATGTACTTGAGACAAAAGTTGGCCAAGTTCTGATACTTCTCTTCTCCAAGCCATTGGATGAAGCTATTTCCCGTCAAGGGCTTTCCCAAACGGTACGCGATTAACCCGTTTTCGGCGAAGGAGAAATCGAAGAGAGAGGTCACGTCAACCGAGCCAGAACCGAGTTGCTCTTGCTGCTTGACGAGGTTGGAGCCGCCAACCTGGGATGTGTAAGAGTTAAAATCTTCGTCAAATCCAACGCATTATTGAAAGGAAAACCCACGAATCCAATTGCACATTTGTGGCGCAATCGAGACAAGAGCTCGAGCATTTCCGGTGTGACTGTCTGCAGCACAAGAAGATTTGCATTAGCCTCCTGCCAAAAAAAAACACACAATCGCAGTTATAGCCTTAAAAGGAGCCCGAAATACCTGTCTAGGGAATGTCAAAGTGAGATCCACGTCAAATAGACAGATCGTTCCCTGTAAAGGGCGGTTCTCCAAAGACGGATAAACACTCGTAGCAGCGGTCGCCATGTTGCTGATTTGATACTGTGGTCAACAGATCCTGAGATTATGGGTGCAAGATTCAAGACTCAAGTCCCAAGAGGCAATAAAAAGAACGCAGAAACCGCGAATGTGTTCACTGGTCCTATATTTGGGTATAAATACAGACGTGTCCTGAGACCCTGACCGCATGCGGGAGGGGTGGTGGGGGTGGCCTGTAGTCTAGAACAAGGCGGTCAAGCAGAGAGTATAACAAAAACTTAAGGTTGCAGCGATGTCTACCTTAATAGGCATTCCTTGGAACTCGAAAACATCATTAACAAAAAGCAGTAGCCCGAAATCACTGTATCCCTGAGAAAACGGATCTAATCTCATCTCCCTAGCGTTGTCTGAAAGATCTTCGCCGCCAGCTCACTTAGAAGTCGCGCCCGATCGTTCTGTGGTAACTCCAAGAAAACCTCATAGACACTTTTCCCCTTGGCGTCTCGCACAGCACCCAACCTGTTGCCTGCGACGGCGCCCGCCAGCGCGCCCGGGACGTTGGCGACGATGAACCCGAGGGCACCACCACTGACCCCGCCAACAATCGCCCAGAACCGGCTTGTAGGCGTGGTCGTCCGCCCTTCTTCCTCGGCAAGCCCTTCTTCGCGCAGCATCTCTTCGAAGACCGATCCAAACTGCTCGGAATTACGCTGGTCCCTGTCTGCCGAGGCGCCAAAGCCGAACGTCGACCATGGGAACCCCCCAGCACCGCCTCGAGGAATATCTTCCTCTGGCGAAGCTTCCTCTTCCTGGTAACTGCGTATTTCGTCGTATTCGCGCCGGCGCGTAGGATCCGATAGCGTATAGTAGGCGTCGTTGATTTCCTGAAACCTGCGAGTCCGAGCAGGCCGTTCGGGAGAATCCGCTGGAACACGATCGGGGTGTGTCTTCAAAGACTCCCTATAGTTACGCCATGCTTAGTGTGTTGCTGAAATACGCCTGGCCGACCCAGAGGTGACGATACCTTTTGTATGCAGTCCGAATCTCCTGCTGCGTCGCATCTCGAGATACTCCTAAGATTTTATCTGCGTGGATCAGAGGCTGCTTCAGATATCGTGGCCGGTAGGCTTACAGTAGTCTGGCTGTCCTAGAAAGAGTCAGCTTGAGCTTCTCATCACTCTTTGTTGGGATTCAGCTCACTCGACATATTGAAGGTAGTACTGTATCTGATGAAGGCTGCTATAGGACTGATGTAACTTGTATAGTAATTCACAATAGCAATGATCAGCACTCCTCTGAAATATGTATCGAGTCTAAATTCAACAAAGGGAGAGAGGGGAGCTGCCTCGTTTCTTCTCCGTCAACTGATCTGGACAGCTGATGACGTCGGTGCAGTGCTTGTTGGCCTGAGGCATACATACAATGTGTCATTGCTCAGCCACAGCCCCCGTGGCCTGCCAGTGCCTGCAATACTCTGACCGCCTGTCTTTCAATGGCTACTACTGAGACATCCCCAACCACCGAATTACCGGGATTCTGCATGAAAAATACTGCTAAGCTGCAGCTCGTAGCTAAATTATGTAGAAGGCTGGAATCTATTATGAACACTTAGTTATTACCTACAGGGACTAGTTCCAGTGGACCTGAGCTGAGGTATTGGACCAGGTATTCCGTACTCCGTACCTATCTCTTTGTCCGACTCCATACTCCAATCTCTATCCCCCCCCCAAACTAACTCTGCATGAAATATTCTGGACTTGCATTTCAATTCAATGCCTTATTAATCACTTGTTTGCCTGAATCCATCTGATATCAAAGTCGTTGACCACAGGTAGAGAGACTCAGAGAGTGGCTCCGCTAGGTCCACCTGTCTTCATTGCAGTTTCGCTCAAGTCGACCCTTCAAAGTCAACAATCTGAGATCGTCGCGAAGAGGTCGAATCGATTGAGTAAAAAGGACCGAACCAACTGAGCGAAGAGAAAAAAAAAAATGGGCTGGTTCGACGGTAAATCACGTACGTCAACGAGCACTGTGCGCCGACGCGCCTCTCCCTCCCGTCGCTCGACCTACTCCACGACAAGCAGCCGTGGCGAGAGATACACCCGGCACACGACTTCTGCGCCCTCGACCTTCAGTCTCGGTGGAGGCGGCGGCGGAGGAAGCAGCAGTCGTCAGCGCCGCTCGAGCCCGTCGGTCTTCTCGTCTGTCTCGTCGGCATCGCGCCGCGTGCGGCCGCGCGAGGGCTACATCAAGCGCATTGTGCAGTATATCAAGCGGCTCTTTCGCGATATCTACATGTACGCAAAGAACCATCCGGCCAAGGTGTTTTTCCTGGTCATTGTGCCGTTGATCACGAGCGGCGTCCTCGTCAAGCTGCTCGGGATGGTGGGCATCCGCTTGCCGCAGAGCTTCGTGAACAGACTTGGTGGCGGCGCTTTCAAGGCCAATCCAGGACAGACGAGCCCGGGAAATGGTGTCAAGCAGAGTGTGACTGGATTGATGAACATTGCCAAGATGTTCATGTAGTTCCGTCGATTTGAAGGGATATTCTTGCTGTTCGACGATGACCCCTACTACGGACACGAAAAGAAAGTTATGATGGCATCGCTAGCTACCACTTGATGATGATATGATGCGATGATATGTTTTGCTTGCAGGTTGATAGAAAAAAAAGATATCTGCTCGATGTTATCTACTCGGAGGCTACTTTATGAATTGATGAATGCACATTTAACCATATCATGTCCCTCTATAGTAGAGGAATGCACATCTATTGATCTATTATACAAACTTTTATGTAGTAAATATCTGGGCTCACAAATACATGGCTTAAGCCTTCTGTGCACGCCTAGATCTCTTCCTGGCCCGACCGTTCGACCTAGATGCACCGTCGTCCCTGGCCTCTGCTTCCTCGTCGACCGGTATCGAGGCATCCTCGATTGAGATCTCTTCCGACTGGTCTTTCGTCCCGCCAAGCACCCTGCCCGCAGTCTTGTTGAAACACCAAATAGGGAATCTGTAGAGCGCGGTGTCGCGAATAGTTGGGCGGTGGATTTCATTCACGTCAAGCAGGAACTCCTTGCGTTCGCCATCCTCCGTCTCTTCCTCCAGGAAGACGTTCCCGATCGAATCCACAATCAACACCTTGCCGTTCTCTGCGACAACCCGTTTCCGCTCTCCGGTAGGACCCACGGATGCATCAGTGACGGGGGGAGTAGCGGTGCCGGCACGCGATTCATTGTTGCTGCTCTTGCCGCCCTTTTTGCTTTCCTTGCGATTCTCCTTCTCCATCATGCGCTTCTGTCGACGATTCATCGGCATGGCGGCCGGTTCTGCGGCCTCGGGAGCCGACGGTCCTGCCGCAGGAGGAACAGCAGCAACTTCATTGAGACCAGGGATACCACGGACGCCTATTTCATCTCCCCACGCCGCCTTTCTCGCGTGACGGATATACCGGTCGACAAACTCGCGCTGGCGTTTCCACCCCAACACGAGAGCGGCGTAGTGCGCACCGCCACAGAAGACGACGAAGAGACCAAGGAGAACAGAACCCAACCCAGGGCGGAACCGCGAGTAGTAGTATCCGGTGCCCTTCCACTTGGGGAAGCCGTTCTTCAAAAAGTGGTCGTACCGTGCGCGCTCGGGGCCGCGAAGGATGTTGGCGACGAGGTTGAGACGGGTGGAGCGCTCATGGGCCTGCTTGACGGCGGCGTCGATTTCGCGCTTCGAGGGGCCTTTGGACACGTAAACGCCATCCTGCTGCCGTTTGGCCTTGCTCTTGTCCTTGGACCGGTTGGCGATGAAGGTCTGTTTGACCTTGTCGGGGTGCAGGAGACGTGATTTTTTGCGGTACGCCTTGTTTAGCTCGTCCTGATTGGCATTGGGTCGCACCTCGAGAAAATCTTTTGCCATTAGCAATAATACAAAAATCATAGATAGTAGTAAGTTTTGCCATGCGCACCGTAGAACGTCACATTAGGGCCCTCCGACGCTGCGACATCATCGTTGAGACGAAAAATCTCGTAATCTAGGACACGACAAGTTAGACAGTCTGCAAGACACCAATCACGACCGGGTGAAAAAGCTTTGTTTTGTACCGACCTTCCTTGGTCCAGGCGGCGACGGCCACACACAGCAAGGCCAGCACCAACAGCCGAACGACAGAGGACTTCATGATGGGGATGCAATGCTAGCGGTCAATGCCCCCGGTGCCCGATGAGGATTCGATGACCAGCCTAGAGGCAGACCGGGAACGCAGAAAAGTGGCCAGGAAGCCGTAGAGTGTTCTGGGGGGTGTCTGAGTGGCCCCTTCGTTTGATATGATCTGTCAGATAGGGAGGGAGAAAAGGCGGCAGAGGTGGTCCAGGCACACAACGTGGCCCAATAATGGCGGGATAGGCGTCTTTCCAAACAGGCGAGATGACAGTCGGTGATGCAAGACTTCCGCGGGACATTTAAACAAGGAAAGACGAGTCCATGGAGTAATAGAGGGAGTCGAATGTACTTTTGCAGATCTGGAGAATATTTAAACAGGAGCAGCGTCGGAAAGCAGCTTGCTCTGGACTACGGAGTACTACATACGTTCCTACCCTGGTCCCTAAGGTTCTCCCACGATGGGCAGCGACATACCATAGAGAGCCTGCTGGCTAATTATTGAATTGATGGAGAGTTTCTATCATATTGACTCGTTATCTTGATAATAGGAGTATTTACTATTTACCTCTCCCTCTATTGGATCCGACTGCTGAAATCACCGCTATTGCTTGCTACTTCCGCACCCAGCCAACACCGGATTAGGCACAGCAAACAATCAATTATCAGAGTCTTGCCCTATAGTTATTTAATAGGTAATTGTAGAATGAATGTTCCTTTTGTCAATTGTTTCGTTGCCTGGACAGTCTAAAAACAAACCCTGAGGTTCATTTCAAGGGGCTCAGCTTTTTGTCTGGTCCGTGCTGGCATCAATCAGCCCCTGTGGCTCCTTCTCAGGCAGAAAGGAAAAAGTTGACACGCCACAGATACTGAACACGTCGCATCACTTCCAGGCTCCTTTATTTACACTATCACTCGGCAGAAATCTTCAAGAGACTCTGAGAAGATCACTCCTGCTCTATATTCATCCGCGATATATCCTTTTTCCCCGCTGCAAACTCGTTGATTGACATCTGCAATGGCGATCCGAATCCCTATCGACGCGCTGACCTCGCGCTTTGCCGAACGCTTCAACAGCGTACGCTCGCAGTCGATGAGCACGCGGTTTGCGAACTTGCGCCCTATCTCCGAGTTCCTGGACATTAAGCGCGTGTCCAAGCCCGCGCACTTCGGCGAGGTCCAGAGCCGTGTGAACTACAATCTGTCCTACTTCTCCAGCAACTATGCCGCCGTTTTCGTCATGCTGAGCATCTACTCGCTGCTCACCAACCCGGTCCTGCTATTTGTCATCGTTCTGGTGACCGGTGGTCTATACGGCATCGGCAAGTTGAACGGTCGCGATCTGGATGTGGGCTTCATGCGGGCTACCACCCCGCAGCTGTACACTTACCTGTTGATCGTCGCGATCCCGCTGGGTCTGTACGCGTCCACGATTTCGACCGTGCTCTGGCTCATCGGCGCCACGGGTGTGGTTGTCTTTGGCCACGCCGCGTTCATGGATAAACCCATCGAGAATGCTTTTTCCGAGGAGGCGGTCTAGGTGGTCGGCCGCGAACTCCTTACGATATGCCCCCATGGGGAAGACCACCAGGGGCACGCATGGGGAGACCGACGGGGAGGCTGAGGAAGCAATTGATGGATGGAGATGTACGTGTGGAGGAGATCGACAGCGAGGCGGAAGCAGAGGAGGCAGCAGCAGCAGCAGCAGCAGCAGCAGTGGTGACGGCGGGCTACAGTCGGGGTGTATTGCGGAATAATGAATATCCATACTATGACAAGCAGGTTGTTCGGAAAGGTGGAGGCGGAGGCGGAAGCGGAGGCAGACATTCGCGGTGGAAGGTGCAGCACTCGGCAGACTACGCCGAGGATGTGGAGGACGCAGCCTTGGTGGATGGGGCGGACTATGATTTGTACGACGATGGAGACGCCACGGTGGCCTATGCCGTTCATCTGGCAATGAAGGACAAAGAAGAATGGTTGGTTGATAAAGCTCTGGAGCGGATCAGACGGGCACAGGCGGCGGGCAAGCAGAATGTTCGCCTGTCGCAGCAGGAGCTCGACGCCATTGAACGACGACGGATACAGACGGAACCAGCACACGGCGGCAAGAAGATGGCAGCCAAGCCGATCGAAGTCAGACCAAAGGGTAAACCGAACGGTCTTTCTGGCGGATCACACGACCTGAGCACGTCCAGCGACGAGACATACGGTTCGTGGGATCAGGCCGCATCCGCGTCGACTGGTCCTCAAGGGCTTCCCAACATCTCTTCGTCTACCTCGTCCTCTCCACGGCCACGGACCCCAGTCTCGTCGTTGCAGTCGCAGTATCCCCAGCCAACTGCTATCTTACCGCGAACACTCCACGGACCGCCTCTCTTCCCCCATAACCCCTCTGCGCCGTCGCTGCCCGACAATCCGGTGATTCGAAGGAAACCGCGTATCCAGCCCGACTCAGTTCCTTACCCTGTTGAGCCGTCACCGTTCCAGATGCCTATTCCTATTCCTGTCCCAACATCTCCTAGCCGGCGAGAGCTGGGTCGGCTGGTCGACACAAGCCTGTCAAGACCATCTGGTGTCGTTCCCGGCGTTGTTCCCGGCGCTGGTGCCACTTACAGCCATCCCACACTTCCATCGCTTTTCCCCCGACGTGTCCCTCCTGGCAGTTCTGAGACAGATGATTCCGACGATAAGGATGCACGTTTTGTCAAGTCGCTTCCCCGCAAAGAGCTGGCTGATGCTCCGCGTGCTGCTGCAAGTGGCAGTATCAGTCCTGGAATCCGCCAACGCATCGCCCGGTTGAATGAGTAAGGTAACCTAGGCGTATCTTGGAGTTTGGTTATTTCTATTTATCCCACTGTTCGAATATAGACTATAATCGATAATATGCCATTTACAGAGCACAATATCCAGTACATAATGATAACCGTAGAAATATTGCAGCCTATCATAATTAACTGCACAATACCTGTAGTAGGAAGATATACACTAACTTAACTTCGCTACAGTAAGAATAAGTTCAGGAACTGCCGGGTGGCTGACGCCATCCGTAGAAATTCTCTTTGTGCACTGCCCACGGCTATGTCGGATTAGGCAAGAACCAGGCCGAGCATAGATCCGCTTATCCGATGACGTCGATTTTGAGGTCATCAGAAATCAAGATAAATTCCTTCTTCCGACAAGCATGTAGATCCGTCTATCTCTCTCTTTCTCTCTCGTGTTCATAGATTCATCTTGTTTATACTCTCTTGATTCAATTTACCTTCAACATGTGGCTCATCTCATTCTGGGTCTTCCCAGTCATCTCCGCCTGCATGTGGATTTGTACGTACCTTGTCTTACCTACTACAAGGTTTTTATATTCTGCTCTGGCTAACACTGTCTACTATCTAGCCATGCTGCTGGGGATGCTTGGAACATGGCTTGCAGAGGGGTCACCGGTTTATCATGACAGCATGACGGATGGACAAACAATAGCGTAAGAAAGCTGTCTCTTGCGAGTTGCGCAGAGTCGACTTACTAACTAATCATCTAGGTACATATCTGATGTTGGTGCGGAACGTCTGAAACCGCTCTTCATTGCCGGTAGTGCCGTAACGGTCGTCTTCCTGGACCTTTCCTTTCTGTCAGAACGCTGGCTGCGGCATGCCGGCCAGCTGGTGCGGAACAAGGGGCTCCTCGACAAGTCGTGTGCTATCGGGTCGATCTTCTTCTCCATCGCGGGCGCGCTGGGCCTCATCCTGCTCTCCATCTTCGATACGGTTCATTACCCTCGTCTCCATGATGGATTTCTCGTCATGTTCATGTAAAGTTTCCTTCTGATTCCTTGGGAATGATGAAAACTCGGTATAGTACTGACCTTTTCGGAGTGGCGGATATCTCGTCAGCGCAATCCTCGTCTGCATCGAATACTGGCGCCTCGGATACAGCTACCGGCCGCACCACCGCGTCCTTCTCGTCAGCTTCTGGGTCAAGGTGGCCTTTATCGTCATCGAGCTCGCACTGGCCATCGCCTTTGGTGTGCTCGACCAGTATGGCACCACCAGCAAGCAACTCAACACCGCTGCTGTTTTAGAGTGGGGTGAGCTCCCCCCATACATACGGATCATAAGCCATATGAAAAAGGTCGTTAACTAATTACTTTTACAGTCATCGCTCTCATCTTCACTTTCTACGTCCTCTCCTTCGTCATCGACCTGCTCCCCTCCGTGCGCACGCGCAACCACGTGCCCCAGGGCGAAAAGCGATTCTCGATGACCTCGCGCGAGAATGGGGAAAGTCTCGAAGCCCCAGCATATACCGGCCAGCATTTTTAGAGAATGCATTGTGATTTGGTCTGTATGATATCAATGTTCTATATGTGATATGTGATTCCCTCTATATAATGGGTACGGTTAGGCGTTTTTTTTTAAAAAAGGTTTGTATAATATTAGAATAGATGATAAAAAAACATAGACACTATCAGGGTATACAGTAGTAGACAGTAGACAAAGAAAAAAGTTACAACCCCCCCCCCTACGGCAAGAGACGGCGTTTTATTTTCTCTTGCTGGCCGGCATCAACGCCAATGGAAGCCAGGTACGGCGCAATGCCCCCGTACTTTTCATCGAGATAGGCCTTGATCTCCTGCGTGAACGAAGGCGGACACATGGCATACTCGTCCGACAGGCCGATGGCGCGGATCTCGACGATCCGCTCGTCGAACTCGACGCTGAGCTCCTGCTCGGAGCGAACGTAGTCGTCGCTAATGGCTGTGGCGGGGACGATATCGCCGACAAGAAACAGCACGAGCAGGACGATCAGACCCGTCCGGTCCTTTCCTTGTGTGCAGTGTAGAAGGATGGGATATGCGTCGCTGCCGCTGCCGCCGCCGCCGCCGCCATCAACGGACTTCTTCTCGTCGCCATCGAGTTTTTCATCCGTTTCCGCAGACAGGATGTCAAAGATCTTCTTGATCTCCGATCCACTACAGTCGAGCGTGTCCTGGCCTAACCCGATCAACCCGCGCGGTTGCATCACCTGCTGGGCGATGAGATGGATGGCATCGGTGCGGTAGCCGGAGGCAACCAGGGAGAGAACTTTACTACACCTCGTTAGCAGAAGAAGAATGAAAAAAAAAAGGTAAAAGAAAAAAAAAAAAAAAAAAAAGAGGAAGTACAAAAAGTTGAACCAGTCTAGTCGCCAGAGGAGAGACTTTTCAAACGCCCGCCCCGTTAGACTGATCGAGTGCCGCTGCACGCCAGGAAGGTCGAGGAGATGCGCGTTGGCATCACCGGCCTTGAGACGCTCCTGCGTTTTCTTCGCTGCCATCTGGTGTTCGGTTCTTTCTTTTGTTAGCATCATAACGTACAAGTGCCACGGTTCTTGTCTACCTTGATCGTAAATCAATCACGGTCGAAATATGCAGCTCATCGATGAGCCGCCGCTTGTCCCGCTCCGAGGCATCGTCCAGCTGGGTTGTCAGTCAGCGAGGAAATAAACGCAAAGTAAGAGAAAGGAAGTGGTATAGGAAGGTATACTCTTGCACTGCGGAATAGAACCCCCTCTTTAAGTAACCTGTAGATTATCTCAGCATTATACTCATGGGTTCAAGGCCCGGGGTCAAAAGGCATACCGTGACCCGTGGATCTGGTTGATGGACGACCCAACATCGCGGAAGTTGATGATATTATCAAACGGCCGCTCTGCTGAGTCTAGATCGATACTCGTCTGGCGGATAGTAGTAGTAGTAGTAGTGGGCGCTGAGCCTCGCGCTGAATGCCTGCGGCCCATGCCGTTTCGTGAGAATTGAGATGGTTAGGTACGGAGTAGTTACGGTGATAGATCAGCGGTGCATGAGATTGATTAAGATCTTTCCAAGATGAAAAGAAAGACAGTAATGATACTGAGAAAGAAAAAAAAACTAGTAATAAAAAATAATAATAAAGTAGAAGTAATGGTTTCAGCCTGTTGAAGTTGACAAACGTTAAATTCAAAGCGACAGCTGTCATGGACCCAGCCAGCTCCAGGCCAGAATCGCGCATCCGCCCGCGAAGAGGGACGAACCAAGCCATAAATATCGGGCCACCAATTAATACAGGCCCAGAATCACCTTCTCTGAGTCGGTGAGGCTTTGTGGGGGTGCTATCGAAGGGAGCCAGTCTCAGTAGTCTGTCGCTAGGGAATAATCAAGACAGGTGAGAGGGAACAGCATGTTTTGGCCAGTCTCGGGCTGTCGGGCGGTCGGGCTGTTGGCCTGGCTGGCTGACGTGGCATGCCTCTCTTTCTCCTTTATCTTTCTTTTCCATTTTCAGAAGAATAGCGCATGAGAATTGTATACTCTCAGTCGCTATTACTGCTGTGGTTGGGTGTTGCTTTTCGTGACGATCGACGGCCAGCCCGTGTGCCCTCCTCGTCCCGACCGGGCTGGATTCCTTTGAGAAACAATTTGATCCAGTCATTGGAGCATTAATCCATCTGGTCTGGATCTGGGACCATTGGTTCAATGGATCAAGGCAAGAGACCAATTGCAAGAACACGAGGGGTAACTCTCTCGATAGATTGCCGTTGTATCAGGCAATATGTAGTAATATGATGGTATTTCATCGGGAAAACCTCCAAAGATATTCCAAGAATCACTACTATTGTCACATTAGAATATCCAAGAAAAAAAGGGCGCTCAGATATATTACAAACGGAAGGGAAGAAAAAAAAAACAGATAATCCAAAGACGAAGCCTCCAAGACATGGCATAGAATGGGTTAAATGACCCCAGATCCAAACTTTACAATCAGATAGATCTTTTTACAGATCTTCAGAGAATCTTGATTCTCGGATGGTACTCACGCTGCCCCGGTCTCCGACTACCGGAGGAGCAGGCAGACCTTGTTCCAGGGCGCTGCCGCGGAGATCCTCCCGGCTTGCGTGTTGGGCATCATGAGCCATCAAAGCTGAGGACTCGGCTGGCGCGGAATCGCCTGTGGGCTGCCCTTCGTGCTTCGGTACCCCGTTTGACTTCGGTGCCTCATTCTGCTGGCCCTTGGAGACTATCTTCATCAGGCTCGCTCGGAAGCGGGACCGTTTAATTTCGCCGCCGCCGCCGCCGCCGCCGCGATCTTTCGGCGGCGATTGGGCGGACTCTTGACCAGTCTGCTGATCAGTCTGCTGGTCTTTCGCGGCTGCACGTCCATTTTGCATCTGGGCGAGATCGTTGCCTGTGGGGGGATTTTGTGCGGCAAACGCGCCGCCGCCATCAGCGTCTTCTCTGCCTTGGCTCGCATCGGCTCGAGCGGCCAGGGCCGCTCCACCCGCAAAGCCCGTCATGGCCTCAGCACCGTCGCCGGTATTATTGTTGGGTGTCTCCGCATCTCCCATCACCTCGCGGGCGGGCCCGCTCATGCGACGACCAATCCGGTCCTTGAACCATGCCTTGAGCTTGGAATCCGATTTGGGTGACGTTTCGGTTGATGGGCGGGCTGCTTCCTCCGTGGGCGTCATGGGAGTCATCGTCACCGTGTTGTCCACAGGGACCTCCTGCGACCTGACAGCCTCGGGCTCAGTCTCTTCGGCCGGCTCCCCAGTCTCTGAAGGGGCTGTCTCAGCGGGAGGGGGAGCAGCACGTTTCGATTTCCTCCTCCAGAGTCGCGTCTTGTCTTGTTTGGGATCCCCCTTCTCTAGATCTAACTCGGATTAGAGAATATACGCGGTAAAGCGACGTTCTGCATTCTTGCAGACAAAACACTCACCTCTTTGACGTTTCTCAAAGGCTTTCACGCTGGCGTCGCGCTCCCGCTGTATTGCCTCGTACCGCCTGCGTTCCTCCTCATCCAAGCGCTGCTCAAACTCCTTCGCCCGTTTCTCCTCCGCTCGGTCCGAAAGTTCGTCCAGTGTCGGCTGGACCCTGGACCGGGCGACAGCCTCCACCTCCGCTCTGTCTACATACTGATCCGCGCCGATGTGAATCCTGCTGCCGTTTTGTGTCAGCTGGGTTTCGGCCTCGAGCCGGGCACGCTCGCGCGCCTTTTCTTCCCATTCCCGCTGCATGGCGGGGGAGGCCTTGCCCGTATCGGCATAGACCTTCATCTCGATATCGAGCAGGGCGGCATCGACATTGCGCCGGGCGCGAGTCATGAGGTCATCGCGGTCTTTTTGCCTCTGTTCATCTAGCCGGTTGAGTTTGCTCTGTAGACTCGACATTTGGTTGCGGATCTCCTTTGACCGCTCCACATCAGCATCAGTGTCGCTTGATGTCCTCCTTCTCCGGACGGATAGGCGGGAGCGCGGTGGCGGCAAATTGGTTCCGTAGTAGCTCTGGTACGCTTCGGTTTCGTCCTGCATTCGAGCCAGTTTCTCGGCCGCGAGCTTCTGCGCCGTGTCCTGCAATTGAACGGCCCGCTGGAGAGACGACTTATCGACCTTGGATATCGACCGCTGGGACTGCGCGCGGTAGTGGCCTCGTTGCGCGGCATAAACCGCCGTGTCCGCCCCCGACCTATCCTTGGTCTTCTCTGAAACAGCGTACATGTCCCGTGCCATTGAGATCGCTGCCGCCCGCAGCGTGTCCCTCTTGTTCTGCTCTTCCACTTCAATCGACACGGGGGGCGTAGCCGTGTACAGCTGGGCATTGGCGTTGGCAATGTTGTGTATCCGACTCGCCTCCAACGCGCTGTCTAGGTTATCGAGGTCGCCGAGGGGCATCTGGCTCTTCGGGCGGGATCGATGCGAGGCTCCTGCCGCAGACAGGGCGAAGGAGTTATCCACCAGCATGCTGGGCCTAATCGGAGCGGACTCGGCACGTTTTCGACTGCTGGTAAACGCCCCGGTTGCCGCAAGCACGGCTCCCTCATGGCTCGTGCTGGATCTCCTATCTCGACCGCCTTCCAGGTATTCGCCACCCGCAGCGCTCCGCACAGCCCCCGACACCGGCGGCGGGCTAATCGGCGTGGCCCGGTGGTCTCTAACCGAGCACAAGGCGGCCCTGAGCCCTTCCGGACTTGGCGGAATCGCTGTCTGTGGAGCACTCTCGAAAGACTGGTGGTCCTGGACGTGGAGTGCCGCCTTCTCCGCCGCGGGTTGCTTCTCAGGTTTCCACGCCTCGTACGGTCGGCTTTTCGCGTGGGCAAGGCTTGCGGCAGCTCCCGCAGAAGCCTGATTGAAGGTTGGCGTCGGAGATCCAATGACTCTTGAGTCTTTCATCACTGTCAGCCTCGCCGACCATACAATAAATAACGCGGTGATTCTCTCTCTTACTTCTCTGTGTATCAAACTCGGCAGACGTCTTCCGTTCGGGATGGGTCACGTACAATGCCGCTGTGGCAGCTGCCGAGGCTTAGCAAGCCATCTCCTATCAACTTAAGTCAAGCTCACCTTGGTCTGCTAGCCGGGCAGCCTGCAGGCTGTGGCTGGAGGGGAGGGTAGCTGGCTGCGTGCTAGCCATAGTGATAGACGACGACCTGCAAGGTGATGCAGAGGGGGGGGCCTCGTAACAACGACAGGCATTCCTGAGAGGTTCCAGGAGGTGTAACGGGAGGAAAGAAGTGATGTAGAAGACAGGGAGAAGGGGGGGGGGGGGGGGGGCTGCAAGGTTTGGGGATGGACGCCCGTCCGGAAGCTCTGATCTAGTGTCGTCTGTGACGTAGTTGGTTGCGGTCTCGTCCATGGACCCTAGCGTCCCGATCCGGCCTAGCGCAGTCCTCAGTAAGGCTGAACGGGAATGCAAACATGCAAACATGCAAACATGGCAAACACTACAGCTAGGCTATCTATCCGTACCAAGCTAAGGAGGAAGGTTATGTAGGAGGTACGCGGGAGGTGGTACCTACTTCTTCGTACCAGATACTATGGACGTCTCTTATGTCATGATTTGTTGGTGTCATCTTTCACGTCTGTCATCTCCGTCAGGAATCCATCATCTACTCGTTGGAATTGTCAACTTGAGAGCACGACGGGACCTCAACCCGAGATTTGCTCGGCCGTTTTCGACCATTTTGATCGCAGACTCCACCAGAGGTCGATCCACCTCCATACCACCTAGTCGTTCTGTAGAAGGGATTTAGGAGAGAATAAAGTTAAGGAATCATCATTAATTATTAACATAGTAAGCTACCAAGATTACCACAGGTGCAGGATCTTCAGGATATCGTGACGCGCAAAGAAAGAACGGTTACGCTTGCCAAAAATATCTGTTGACGCATTAGTATAGTAATCAAGACTCTTATTGATTCTTCCAACCTGGACACGTACACATAGGGATACTAAGAAGGCAGACGGCCACCTGGATGCTGGCAATGGACATGAATGCCGGTCGGATGCCATGTTCAATTAACCATTTGTACGCATAGAAGGTCAAGACGAAACTGAACATGTTCTTGAAGACGAGCATGCATGTGAAGGCCTCCACGGCGATTTGACCTGATTTGATTAGTCGACATCGTGGAAAGGCGAAGGTGGGAACGATCTTACGATGGGCATCCACGATATACAAGGCGCTGGCGACTGCGCCCATGACCATCCCCATGATGATGAACATCAAAAACACGTCCGCAACGAGCCAGCCATATCGCGCGACGTCCTCGGCGATGATCCCAAAGCCATACAGGCCAATTCCGCTGAAGATGAGCTGGAACACAACTAGCAGGATGCGGAATTCCGGCTCGTAGTTACCGCCGTTGAGTCTGATCATCGCCTTGTTGATAGAATCAGAGAGTAGTCCCGAGAGGACTAGACCGAGGATGGAGCCGATGAACGCTCCTGTGTAGAGATATCCGGTCTGTACCTCGTCGAACCACAGTGGCGGGCCGAGGAAGATGGCGGCGAGCACAACTCCCACAAAGACTGTCCAGCCGATGAGCACGCCCTGTGTGAGACACGCCTTTTATTGTCAGTATTATATTTTCATCCAAGGCTCTAGACAGGTTGTAGATTTACCCAGAGGATACCAGGATGGAAAAACAGCGGGAATGGCCTCAGAAGCAGCTTGAAGAAGTTTTCATCGGTTTTGCGGCCGTTAAACAGTCGCAATGTCTCCGAAAATGACATTTTCTCAGGCACCTCATTGTGGGAAGTGGCCACTCCTCTACCTGGGAGAGGCAAAGGCTGCTTGTCCTCCGCGAAGACATGGTCGTTTGGTTGCCCCGTCGCGTTGGTTGCTCCCATGGAGTTCTCGCGATCCGACGGGTTACCGTCAGAGTTGCTTTCATAGTCTATATTGAGGTGACTTGCGCGCCGGAAGGCCGTCTCAGGCACAAAGAAGAACATGAAGGGCAGCGCAGCAGTGGCAAAGATGGCGACGAAGTAAAATGTCCACTGCCAGCCGAGTGTGGATGTCATCTTGCCGACAAAGACGGGGGTAAGGAACGCGGCCCCGAACAGGGCGACATTTGAGAGTGCCATTCGTTTTCCGCGTTCCTGTAGCCAGTAGTAAGTATGTAGTTAGTAGTCATATAGCTTGGGTAGGATATGACTAAATTGCAAATTACTGGCGACCTACATGAACAAAGTAGAGGTCTCCGACGGAGGCATTCACCAAGGCTTCGAACGGAGCCAGCGCTATTCCCTGGAAAACCCGCGCCCAGACCAGACTCTTGTAATTATGGCCACTCCCGCCGGCCCAGGCACAGCTGATGATCATCAAAACATTACCGAAGAGAAACAGATGGCGTTTGCCCCAGAGGCGCGCGGTGGGGACGCATAGGAATCCGGCGACACCGACGCCGCACAGTGCGTATCCCGTGAGTAGGGCAACGTCGGTGAAGCTCTTGACGAAGAAGAGCGAAACGGTCACCGTGTTGGCCGCGAGGATGGAGCTCGTCGTCGCGCAAAGAACTGCCACGAAGGATAGGATGAAAAGGATCAGGTCGCGCTTCCACAGCGGCCAATTCTAAACCATGTGAGTTCTTCTGAAATATTGTCCTTTTTCTTTCTTTTTTTTTGGAAAGTTCTCCTGCATACCAATGGATCATTGGGGTCGTCGCTTGGCTGCGGGACTAGGATAATAGGTATAGGACCGGAGCGGTCGTACTTGAGTCTCGCCGCATCGTGGGGGGTCTCCGGCGTATCCTGATCGAGGATATACGATGTCCCTGGTCCGATCAGTTTATGGAGGGGCTTGTGTCCTGCAAGATTGACGCACCAGGAACGTGGTCCAACTTGGTGTCCTCCAGCACTCCCAGGCCCATCGCGGTGTCCAGTAAACAAAATATGTAGTATATATGGAAACGGCGTAGAGGGTAGAGTCATATAGAAAAGAAAACAAAAGGAATTCAAAGTCAACGGACCAGGTTAACGAATGCCATGCCCTGGACAGCAGAAAACTAAACACTCTCGCACAGGCTGATCTTGACAGCAGGACGCACTGTCAGTGTCTGGCGGGAGAGTGCCTAAGCGCTGCTGCGTCTTGGTACTCTTCAGCCCTCCCTTTCCGCCTTGCTGAAGGCAGGTACCAAATATTACTGTGGAGATCTTGATCGTGGATAGAGCTAGAGAGAGACGGGTGCTTCCAACTAGATAGTAACGACTACCTAGGTAGCTATGAGTAGGTATGTATATCTAATGGTCAGATGGTCAGACGGTAAGGTTCTCTCATTCTGGCGCTACAGCAGATCCATGGCTATCTAGGTAGACACCATTTTACCAGGACAATTTGACGCTGGGAAATTGCATGCTCCATACAGGGAGGGTAAGACATCATACGGCGTATTCGTATTCAAATTGACTCGCGGGTCACACAACGTGCCTCAGGACTATAGAAGTTAAAGAAAGGTAAACCTTCGATAGAAAGTCACCCATCGTCATGACTTGTGTCTGCTATTGAACTTACAATTTGCTGTACTTGTGAGTAAAATGCTTATATATCATTCCATCCAGTCTGTACTGGTACCACTATAGTCTATAGTATATACCATAAGCCAAAATTCAGCTAAATATTAATAACACCATAATATTAGAATTAGACATGGGAAATCAGCAGATGTACTACATAAAAAACTAGCCAAACCTATAATGGTAAGTAAGTCGTAAGCTAGTGTCAGCCGAAGGACCCTGTTCCCTTACTCCGTACAGCGAAGCGGGGCATTTGAGAGATTGCGGGTCCAATAGATACTCCAAAATAAAGAGTAAGTATAGAGTTATTAATACTGTATTGAGTATAGAGTATAGATTACTCTGGACAGAGATTCATGAAAGAGCATTTATAAGAATATAATAGTGGTCCTTAAAGAGTAGTGGTACCTAGGTAAGCTACCTACTACATACCTACCTAACCTAACCTAGGCGATTGACTGTTCTATAAGGTGGGACAGACTAAAGGCTAGTGTAACAGTCAGCCGCAGAGTACTAACATCTCACCAAGTATTAGGTACGGAGTAGTTAGTTAACTACTATCTACCTAGGTACCTAACAGAGTGTGGAGGTACATACCTCCTACCTACCTAGGTTAGGTACCTGGTACTCCGTTAGGTAGCTTAGTGTGTCCTACTCTATAGGTAAGGACCATGAAGCGAGCAGAGAAGAGCTAGGTAGAGTGGGTAATCAAATATACAGAGTAAGGTAGGTAGTAGGTACCTAGTAATATGGGTGCCTCCTATTTATGCCTGTTTTTGTGTATGGAGTAGGTACGGACGGGAATACCTAATATTAAATTTGTAGGACGGACGGAGGCTTATACTCCGTACAGTAAAAATAAGGTATAACTACCTAATGTACAGAGGAGCATGTGTGTTACCCTTTGACAACCTCCCCTCCTCCCCTCCAGTTAACCACCTCACTATAGCTCCTCTATACAAATTATATACTTTCTCTTCCATTCACTATAACTGAACTCGGTCTACCTAATCATGAAGCTCTACCAGATCACCCTTGCTGCCACGGCTCTGCTGGCTCCTGTTTTCGCAACGAGCATCAGCGATCTGCCCACCTGCGCGGTATGCCAGAGCTCTAGCATCTACTACCCCTTCCTACTGGAACATACTGACAACAAAGCAATCATGCGCAACCAACGCAATCCCCTCTTCTTGCAGTCTGATTGACATCAAGTGTATCTGCGAGTCGGGTACATTCATCACTGACATTGCCTGCTGCGTTGCTTCTTCCTGTGACTCGGCAGACCAGGAGAGTATGCATTTCATCTTTTTCTTTTCTCTTCTTTCTTTTTTTTTTTTCTAGAAGAAAAACCCCCCCAAACCACGGAAAGAAGGAAATTCTAACGGGTCAGAAACAATCGAATACGCCGATGAACTATGCGGTAGCGCCGGAGTCAGCGACCTCCCCCAGTCTGCAACGTGCGCAACAACCGCCAACTCAACCACCACAGCGAGTACCTCTGGCGCATCGGGCGTCTCCTCGAGCAACACCACCGTCAGCAGTACTACTACAGCGTCAGGCAGCTCATCCAATACCGCCCAGACTGCCAGTTCGGCTTCGACGGCCTCGGCCACCAGCACGGGAGGTGCGGCGCCCGTTTCGATGAACAAGGAGATGGTCATTGTTGGTGTGGCGGGTGTGCTTGCCGCATTGGCTTTGGTATAGCCTGGGAAACTATTCAATCTGATTCTTTGATGCCTTCGTGCCTCGATGGCTCAGTGTGTCAAGTCTGGATGTTGTAATGAGTCTATTTCATGTAATGTTAATCATTGGTCCTGATGTATAGTTAAGCCTATCTATAGTCAACGCCTTTATGACCTTAGTCAACGCCTTATGTATAACCCTAGTATCACTCCGCCACGAAGCTAACGGTAGCCTCCTGTCGCTCTTCGCGCAGTTTCAAGAAGATCTGCAAGTCAGTACACAACACGATAAAACAGGAAGAAAAAAAAAAAAAAAACTCACCCAAAGCCAGAACATGGTCTCTAGAAACCCAAAGGTAAAGACCGCCCGGTTCTGCAACTGCTCCAGCCCCATGGCACTCCCATATAGTGTACCCCCCGGAACAGGGGCAGCCCCAGCATTCACATAAATATAGAAAATCACAGCGAAGAAAACAAAGAAGCGCCCCGCCGCTATTCCCGTGAAGATATCAGAATATAGTATCCCCAACTGCGCCATGAAGGGATTGACAGGCTCGCCATCCTCGCGTGGAGTGAGTCGCGGCCGAGCGCGCAGAGCGTCCGAGAGGGCGAGCACCTCGTCTAGCTGCGGTAGTTTGGTCACGAGGAGGAGATCGGACAGGGCGGTGGCGGTTAGGAGGACGGCGCAGAGGGTTAGAGAGGTCAATTTGGATGTGTTTTCCTTTTTTTAGAAAAAAAAAACAATGTTAGCAATTGAAATGGATATGCTTTCAAAGGGTAGGCAGTGTAACTGACTATGTTCATTGCTTCGCCGAGCATGAAGGCCATGTCGGAGTCGATGATGAGCCCTGGGGTACGTATTAGGGCCACAGCGAGCCCGATCAGGGACAGGGCGTGCAGGATTATTAGTCGTTTCGATGTCAGGACCGCCATTGTGAAAGAAGTACTCCTCTTGAGATAGTTGAAAAGTGTTGGTTGGTTAGGTAGTTAACTGCTAGCTATTTTCGTGGCCAAAAAGTCAAGTGGACCGTGCGGCAGCTCAAGCACCTAGTATGATGGGACCAGTGTTGCGTACCCCGCGGACTCCAAATGCTACTAACAGGTACCTCTGGAACGATCGTCATGGCCGATTTCCAAGCAGAACGGCACGTCAAGTATTTCCTACGATGTCTCAAGACCTTCCTGCCCAGCGTTTATACCCCGAATGACTCGAACCGCATGCTGCTCGCCTACCTGTGCGTCTCCGGGCTTGATCTGCTAGGCGTTCTGGAGAGCAAGACCACACTCGAGGAACGCAAGGGTTACATAAACTGGGTGTACCACTGCCAGCTGCCATCGGGGGGTTTCCGTGCCTTCACGGGCACCGATTTCGGGGTCGAGAACCGCACGGCAGACAACGCAGGCTGGGATCCTGCTAACGTCCCCGCGACGTTCTTCGCCCTCGTTCTCCTGCTTATACTGGGCGATGATCTGGCGCGGGTGAAGCGCACAGAGTGTCTGCGATGGCTGCCTCGCGTGCAGAGGCAGGATGGCAGTTTTGGAGAGGTCCTCGGTCCTCAGGGAGAGATTGGAGGCGGGCGTGATCTACGTTTCTGCTGTTTCGCGGCAGGCACGCGATATATCCTTCGGGGCACAAGAGGTGATATCGACACGGACATACCGGATATCAATGTTGATAGATTGGCCTCGTTTATCCAGGCATGCCAGGTGGGGATCCAGGCATCCCCTCCCCCGAACAAATTTTCGCTCTCCAATTGACAAATATATTATGTAGACCTATGATGGTGGCCTGTCAGACACGCCCCTTGGCGAAGCTCACTGTTAGTTAAACGCTTAACCCCGCCCTCCCCACCTTGCAGCAGTATTTTATGCTCATACAAACACATCACAGCCGGTCTCACATACTGCGGCATCGGTGCGTTGACCTTCCTATATCGAACCCACAGCGACCAGTCCCATCCCATACCGAAGCTGCTCTCTCCCGGTACGCCCGAGTTTGAATCCCTGGTGCGATGGCTTGTCTCTAGACAGACGTCCGAGCTGGGCGAGGAAGAGTCCGACGACGACGAGGAGGAGGATGAGGACGAGAATGACGAGACACATGCTCTGCGGCTGAATATACAAGGACTCACCCTGGATGATAAGATTTTTGGACTGCACGCCCTTGAGCCGTGTCGAAGCATCCAATGGGCAGGGTTCAACGGCAGATGCAACAAACTGGCAGACACATGCTATTCATTTTGGAACATGGCTACGCTTCTGGTGAGCATGAGGCAATGCCTATGAAATGTGTTTTTCGCTAACCGGTAAGATGTTGGATCGTCTAGCATTAGTCGACGTGGAGCTTAACCGCCGGTATCTTCTTGAAAAGACGCAACATATCGTGGGCGGGTTTGGGAAGGGGGTCGGAGAGACGCCAGGTAAGCACGTCATCTTCTTCACGATTCTTCACAAGGGTTATTCATTAATTGACTGCTAGACCCTCTACATTCATATTTTGGAATGGTATCCCTTGCATTTCAGGGCGAGGCGGGCTTGCAAAACACAGACCCAGCGCTCTGCATAAGCTCTCGGGCAGTAGAGCGCCTTCAATCACTTGAATGGTGGTAGTTGTCAACCAGACAGCCGTTTGTTCCATGATGAATTGAAACTACGAGTTATGACGAAATAAACACATCATGGTCACAGTTGATAATAATCAACTAGGGATCAAGTATATGGAAAAACAGCTGACTAAATAAAATCTGCAAGTCAATGGCAAATAGCCTACTCACCCCTGAATAATATATACCTACTACATAGTTAGTAGGATAATTAATAATTAACTAATAATTACCAAGGATAGAAGATCCAGAAGAATAAAAATAGATCGTATGAGTGTGGTTATTCGAACACGGGCCGACAAGCCAATTCAGGCCCACGTTCCAAGGCTTGATTAATTTATCCTGCCCATTATGGCGACCAGTAGACGGGCTGCGACCCTCGATCGCCCATGTAACATCTGATTTACTAATTACCTATAATATTCCTCCCATTCGAATGGCTGCCGACGGCTCGCTGAATTCCTGCTCAGACAACCTGCCATCGCTCCACTCTTTCAACGGTTCCTGACTACGGGGGTTTCCTAATCCTACCCCGGAGAACTCGCGAGCATCTCATCTCCTTTTGCCTCTTCGTCAACTTGTCTGGACACTCTTTCTCCTTCACAACCCAACATTCCGTGGAGACAACTTTCGATATCCTGCTCCCAGTCACCTTTTCCCAGGTTCCCTCCTTTCCGCTATCCCGTTCGGTTCCGTGTCTTGTTGGATGGCAGCCGCTGGGATCCAAAGACTTTTCGGTCCTACCGCCCTCAAACCTCAATCCAATAATCAGATACGTCCTTTATTAGGCCTGCTGGACTTTTCATAGCTGGCGGTCAAAAATCATCGTGACACATGCCGCCGGCCAGGACGAGAGCAGACGTTCAAGCGCAGAAGCAGAAGGAAAAGGTCCGTCTCTTTTGCCCCCCCCCCTCCCCTCTCCCGTGCACCGTTTCTTTTTCCTGCCTGGGGGACGGGAGGAAATATGTCGCAGATGTACACTGTATATGCTACACCCCCCTTTTTTCGCTGTTTTTGAACCTACTGCATGAAGAAACTTGTCCATCCTTCCTCCCCCCCTTCTCCCCATGCTCAACATGTCAGGCTACCATCATTCAGTGGAGAAACAGGATCTGGCCTTGTTTTTCTTCATATATGTTTAATTTGGTGGCTCACCAGGCTGACAGAGATACACTGAACAGCTTGCCAACTCCTATAGTGAACTATTAGAGTAAGTTTTTTTCTATCCTTATCAAAAAACAAAAAAAAAAGATCACTGACAATATGTCTTGTGCAGAGAGTTTTCCTCGAAAGATCTCCGGAGTGTAGGCAATTACACACTTGGAAGGCTGATTGGAAAAGGCTCTTTTGGAAAGGTTTACCTCGCTTCGCACAAACTCACCAATGGCTCCAAGGTACGGCGGGATGGCAGGACGGTATACACAATAAGGGGCAATCATCTGATTTGGTGAACAGGTCGTGCTTAAGTCGTCGAATAAGGAAGATACCAACCTCGCACGGGAAATCCATCACCATCGCCAATTTCTTCACCCGCATATCGCTCGGTTGTACGAGGTGATTGTCACGGAAAAGCTGGTCTGGCTGGTGTTGGAGTATTGTCAAGGTGGGATTGAAAAAAAAGCCATACACTCGAGGCTATCACCGGCTTACGGAATCAATTTCAGGCGATGAGCTATATAACTACCTCCTCCGCCACGGCCCGCTACCTGTCGACAAAGTGAAGAAAATCTTCACCCAACTTGTCGGGGCCGTCGCTTACGTCCACAGCAAGTCCTGTGTGCACCGGGATCTTAAGCTCGAAAATATTCTTCTTGACAAGCATGAGAATGTTAAGCTGTGTGATTTCGGCTTCACCCGCGAATATGAGGGCAAGGCGAGTTATTTGCAGACTTTTTGCGGGACCATCTGCTATAGCGCACCGGAGATGCTGAAAGGGGAAAAATACGCGGGTGAAAAGGTTGATGTCTGGAGTTTGGGCATCATTCTCTATGCTCTCCTGGCGGGGGAGCTACCCTATGACGATGATGATGACCAGGTTACCAAGACCCGGATTTTGATGGAGGATCCGATCTACAATGACAAGTTTCCCGATGACGCCAAAGCTCTGATCAACTTGCTTCTCTCTAAGCGGCCGCTGCTCAGACCGAGTCTGGACGAAATTCTAGCCCATTCCTTCCTTGCCGAACATGCCCCCGAGCAGCTGGCGATATTGAAGATTCCCCGACCATCTCCGTTCACTACACCCCTGGAGAAAACCACTTTACAGAGAATGAAAAGTGCCGGTGTCAATATCGATGAAGTCATTGAGAACGTTCTGTCCCAACGATGCGATCCGCTTGCAGGCTGGTGGGCACTTCTGATTGAGAAAGAGCAAAGAAAAGAGAAAAAGAGAGAGCGGAAGCGGCGGGAGCGCGAGATTGAGGCGAAAAATCTGCGTCGTCTCAGTGCAGCTAGCAGTCGACTCGAAAAGATCTCGGCAGCCTTGATGGAAGTCGATGAAGAAGGACATGCAACTCCAGATAGGCTACAGGATCGTGGCCGGAGGGATAGACGGAGTCTTCCCTGTAATCCCTGTAAGTTGGATACACTGTGTCTCGAAATCCCCCTCTAATAAAAATTCAATTCTAGCCCAACTTGCCGTTCCTGAACTGCCAGCCCTCCCGGAGCCCCTTCCAGTCCGTTCACCGGACTCCATCGCGCCGCCTCCTCCCATCGACAAAGACTCGGTTCGGTCAGCGAGCTCCTCAAGACATCGCCCAGCCCCGCCCCCGAAGGACCGACGGCGATCTCGACCCAGCATGCTGCACGTTAGTGCTTCACAGCCTGACCTCGCGCAACACCGTAACCGCCAAGGCCGACGACACAACCGTCCAATTATCAGTCAGCTGGCACAGTTAAAACATTGGTTCGTGGAGTCAGCAAAGCGAGCTAGGTCTCCTCATGCGAAGAGCGCCGGGGGATCTGGGCACCGCAAGTTCCTCTCTGATAAACTGAGTCCGGCCAAGGGCCATGATGCCGCGAAGAAACAAGGGCCGATGACGCCGGCAATGGCGCCTTCGGGCGATCTGCTCACCCCAACCCAGATCAAAAGGTCCTCCAATGCGAGCAGTCTGGCGCCCAGCAGCGCCTCGTATCCGAACCACCGCCATTCATTCCCCCGGCAGCCTCGAAATCTGAACACTAATCCCAACCACCGAAACTCGCTGTCACCGTCTCCAATCACACCGAGAAGCTCCTACCGCCGTTCTTCTGTCGGACTGCGAGGCCGCAAGTCGACCTCCTCGTCTGTCTCCTCGATCCGCAGCATCCATCACGTTCATACACATTCCAAGGCTTCCTCTATTTCCTCCAACAGTGTCGACACGGTGTCCACACCTACGGCCCGGATTACCAAGTCCCCGCACTCGTCCGTCAAGGTCCTCCCCACGACGCCCAGCGCGTCCGCTCGATTCCCCAGTAATATTCGACTGGTTCGTGGTGCGAGCAATGGTTTCCGCGAGCAAGGGGAATCCAGTGGGCGGGTTCAGGCCTCCTCCATCTTCAACGAGGCCGCTCCTGTGCCGTTGATGTATTCGCCATCGTCAAGCCTGGTCTTTGCACGACGAAAACGCTCCGCATTCAAGGGTCCGATGGTTACGGCCAACCTCATGGTCTCAGCCGGCATGCCTGCTCCCAACTTACCGCCGGCTAGCGAGGGATCTGGCGGTGCAGCCGATGGGCGCCCGATGGCTCGCAAGAGCCAGATCATTGAAGAAGAGGACCTAGAAGAGGACGAGGAGGACATCGAGGAAGTAGACAACTTCAGCGGCGCCGAGGACCAGATGACTCATCCCGACGAACACGAAGGGAGAATCCTGGGAGAGCCGTTCGAGCCAGAACTCACAATCACCAAGGTGGGAAGCGAAGAAACAGCGCCTGATCAATCCGTTAGAGCTGGGTCTCCGGACACGATCCACAAACCGTTGTTAGCCCCCGCCCCAGACCTCGATTCCAGCCCACTCCGCCCTCCACGATCTTCATCCCTGCAAGTTTCGCAGGTTCAGGGTGAATCGGGCCATGTGGACCAAGATGATGGGCAGCTAGCCAAGAACGAGGAATAATCTATTCAGCCATATGCGTTTTCATCTCAAGAGCCTTATATTATCTCTTTACAGGGTCATGCCTTCTTGAAGAGAGAAACTACTCTTTTACTAATAGACTATAGACTTGTGCACCTCACTTTTTTCTTAATTTTCCATTGTCTGTTGTTGTCTTTTCTTATTTGTCTGCCTTCGATCTATCCTCTCTTATACCCCAGTATAGCATGTTTTCTCTTTCCTCCTGCCTCCGGCGATGAGATGCCTTTTTTTTTCAATTCTACCCCGCTCTATTACTTCACCTGAACAACCCTTATGTATATAGGCATACTTTCATACTCTCATTTGCACTATACTTGATTTCAAGGCCTGATAATCAGATACTATCTTATTCCAACCTCCATGTATGTATTTCATTAATTGTGTTGTGGTTTGAAGTTCAGGCTTGACCTATTCATCTGACTTGAGTTATATCATCCTAAGTAGATTATGGCAGTGCATGTAAACTAAGTACGATGTTACGTATTGTTAGGCGATGCATTAGACAGTCCATTAAAAGCCCTATAGTATGTCATTCCCACTGACGTAAACTTCTCATACAGCTATTGAGCCATCTAGTAGTCCTTTCATAGGGTAGGATTCGGCCGTATGTTGAAATATGTGCTACCAAGACTTAATAATAAATGCAGAGAAACACAAGGTAAAAGAAAAAGACAAGTTCGAAGGAAAACTCAAAAGTAGCGAAAAAAGGTCTTCCCTGTGGATGGACTCCAAATCCCCGTCTTGTCTAGATCTATTCATGTATACGGCCATGAAAAGAATTAACCAATTTCCCCAATTTCCATTCGTCACTTCGTCAGAAGACTGTTTACGCCTTCTTCGGCTTCGACGCGGCACCGGTCTGGGAATTCGGGGCCACGGAAGTGGTGTAGAGTTTGCGTTCGAAGAACTTGAGAACTTCATCGATAAGACTTGGGAGACGGTCAGTTCAAAGTACGGTTTTGAGAAGAGTCGCTTTGAGGAAGTTGGGGATGGCTTACATGACTGGGGCGCTGATGGCCAGAACAGCCTTCCATTCCAACCAGTTCAGAGGCAGAATGGCAAAGAGGCCCTGCAGGAAGGGAATGTAGAGGATGGCAAAGTGCAGACTCATCGAGAGGATGATGGCGTAGACGAGCATCATGTTGTTCCACAGGCCGAACGTGAGAAGCGATTCGCTTGAGGAAAGGGCGTTCATCGCATTCAGCATTTCAATCACCACGAGGATGGACAGCGAGACCGTCGACGCAGACTTGGCCATGTCATTGGCGAACATGTCGCAGCCGATCTCAGGGAACTGCGACGAACACTTGTGGAAGTGGGACTGAGAAAAAAAAAACATCAGTATTTTTCGTGCGTTGAATGACAATATCAGGAAGTCCTGAGAAATGCTTACCAGTTGCCAGAAAGTAATTTGGGGTCCCTCAGGGTTGTACAAGAACCACCAGACATAGCCGAAAACAGTCGCTGCGCCAACATAGGTTCCGATGACGATGTATCTGAACAAGAGCCAGCCTCCGACAAGGGGCTCGTCACGCTTTCGGGGAGGGCGGCGCATCACATCGTGATCAGGGGGGTTAAAGGACAAGGCAGTTGCAGGGAGACCGTCAGTGACCAGGTTCACCCAGAGGAGCTGGACGGGGACTAGAGCCTCAGGCATGCCAAGGGCGGCCGTCAAGAAGATCGAAACCACCTCGCCGATGTTCGACGAGATAAGATACCGGATGAATTGCTGTGTGTTGCTGTAGATAGACCGTCCTTCTTCCACAGCAACGGTGATCGTGGCAAAATTATCATCGGCGAGAACCATATCGGCGGCGAGTTTAGCGACATCCGTGCCAGTGCCCATGGCCACACCAATGTCGGATTTCTTCAAGGCCGGCGCATCGTTGACACCATCGCCGGTCATGGCGACGACGTGACCCAGGGACTGAAGGATATCGACCAGTTGAGACTTGTGGGTAGGCTCGGTACGAGAGAACAGCGATGCATTCTTGGCAGCTTCCAGCTTCTCACTGGCGGTCAGGGCGTCAAATTCCCTGCCAGTGTAGCTCTTGCCGGTGAGATCTTCTTGTTCACCAAAGACTCCGATCTGACGACAGATGGACTCGGCGGTGTTGCGGTTATCACCTGTAATGACAATGACCCGGATACCAGCATCGCGGCACATCTTGATCGAGGCAGAGACCTCAGGGCGTGGGGGATCTAACATTCCGACCAGACCGATCAGAGTCATATCCCGTTCTAGTTGAGCGTATTCCTCAGAGGTCTGAGCCTTGTGGAGCAGAGGATTGGCCCACACATCGTTGACACTGGCGATGGCAATAACACGCAGACCTCTGTTACCATACTCGACAACTTCTCCCGAAATAAGGTCAGTGTGGGCCCTGGAGAGAGGCACCCGAGGCCCATCAGGTCCCAGGAGAACATGAGAGCAGCGTTCAAGAATGGATTCCGGGGCACCCTTGACCAGGAGCTTTTGAGCCTTGCCTTCACCGACCAGAACGGACATACTCTTGCGGTCGCGCGAAAACTCATACGTCGCTTGCAGGGGGAGCTGGTGTTCATAGTAGCTACTGGCCACATGGAGTCGATCGGTTGGTGGGAGAGCCGAGATCTTGCTGTTAATAGAGACATCATTCGTTCCGATTTTTTCCACCAGAACCCGCAGAGCCCCCTCAGTAGGCTCACCAATGCTGGAAAAGACTCCGCTCTTGGCATCGTAAGAGAGGGTAGCAGCGTTGCACAGAGCAAGAACCTCGGACATCTGGTTGATGGTTGAGGAGGACACGGCGAGATTCTCCAAAGGCTTGCCATTGCGAGAAATCTTTCCTGCCGGAGCGAAGGTGGTGCCCTCCACATCCAGCTCCTCGATGTCATCGCCGGACTTGCTCAGGTAAACAATCTTGGACACACTCATCTGGTTGGTGGTCAAAGTGCCTGTCTTATCGGAGCAAATAACGCTGCAGCTGCCGAGGGTTTCGACAGACGGAAGAGAGCGAACGACGGCATTCTTCTGAGCCATTTTCCGGGTCCCGAGCGCCAGGCAAGTGGTAATGACCACCGCCAGACCTTCCGGAATAGCAGCCACGCCGAGGGACACAGCAATTTTGAGATAGTAGATGGCTCCCTTGGTCCAGCCTCCATGAGATGGGTCGTTGAAGTGCTCAATATTGATGACCCACACCAAAATACAGATAACCGTGATCACCTTAGCCAGCATGTCACCGAAGTCGTTCAGCTTCTGCTTCAGAGGAGTAGGGTCCGAAATCTGAGAGGTAATGCTTTCGTGGATATCTCCGATGGCTGTAGAGCCGCCGGTAAGGGCGACAATCGCAGTGGCATGGCCATTGACAACGGTGGTTCCCGAGAAGATGATGTTGGTCTGATCCTGTTTGACAGCGCGCTTGTCATTGATCGCACGAGTATCCTTCGAGACGCTCTCGCTTTCACCGGTCAGGATAGCTTGATCGACGCGGAAGCTGTTGCTGTGCACAGCCAGCAGACGACAGTCGGCAGGCACCCGATCCCCAACGGCGACATCGACGATATCTCCAGGGACAAGCTCCTCGGCCTTGATCCGTTGCATGCGGCCATCCCGGATGACCTTTGCCTCATTTGCAGAATATTCCTGGAGCGCAGCAATTGCCTTTTCCGCGCTGTTCTCTTGTGTCACGCCAACAATTGCATTGAGGATCAGGATTGTGAGAATCTGTAATAGCACCAGATTGATTAGATAACTCTCATCCCAGGTGACATACTAGTCAATAAAAGCAATTTTATTTTGTGCATACCACAGCTGGATCGACAAAGGCAGTCCAATCGTCCCCTTCCTCAAACAAAGCCAAGACAAAGGACACGGCAGCAGAACCCAGGAGAATCAGGACGAGCTGATCCTTGAATTGCTCCAGGATAAGCTCCCACAATGGTGTTGGAGGTTCTTCAGCGAGAGCTATTGAGTGCACGCGCAGCGTGTCAGTACTTATGCACTCTCCATGACGAAAAGAGGAGGAGTAAGAGAAGTATAGCTACCATTTGGCCCATGCTTTTCTCGAGCCTTCAACACCTGAGTCTGAGAAAGGCCAACGGTCTCCGAAGACCCAAAATGCTCTAGCACTTCTGCTGAAGTGTACAGGTAGGACTGCTCCATGGTCACTCACTCACCCAGATGGCGGTGACAACTGTACCAGAAGAGCAGTGGTATGAGATACTTTTAAAAGAAAGGAGAGGAGAGGTTAGGATACAAGGAGGGGAGAGGCAAGCGCTGCTAGCTATGGTCCCTGGCTACATGAACGCCAAGTGGCCGTTTCCAACTTAGTAACTGGAGCAAGGCTGTGAGAAATAATCTGGAAGAACCTATAGGATCAAGCGCGACCGCCGCAAGCACAGGGGCTTAAAAGCACAGGCTGCACAGGCTGCACAAGCTGGCTAGAGACTGGCAGTCATGAAGAAGTCCTGGATAATCAACATATTAATACGCAATTCGTAAGATTTACCCTTGCTAACACCTCGAATAAATTTACCCTTGCTACTCCGTAAGCAGGGACTCTCCACTAAGTTCTATCCAGTATCTCAACGTGTTCTTTTCAGGCCAGTCACGAGGCACGATGCCCCACCAGCCACAGTCCACTAGCCACAGGGACCAGGGCCCAGGGCTGAGTCCGTCACGTGTGCTTACCCGGACAAGAGGAGAGAATGTTCCAGGAAGGTAATAAATAACTAATTGACTGCACTGATCATGAACAGTTGAGGTTTGAGTATTTATATCTACAGTGTATTTCTGCCCTCAATTCCCATAACGCCTACCAAATCATGATGTCTAGTGTCAAAATTAACCTAGGGTAGCTAGGTACTCAGTACCTACCTAAGTTTTGTCGACGTTAGATGGCTAACAGTGGTGAATGATTACCTTGGATATAACTACAGAGTAATAGAGTGTGTTATACAGAGCAACCAATGACAGCTGATCTGAGGATGAGAGGGATTCACCGGATTTGAATACATGCGCATCGTGTTACTGGAAGCTTCCAAGAGATCGATACGCACCAACCATTGGCTGCATTTTACCTAGATACCTGGAGCCTGAAGACATCCAGGATCACTCCGAAGCTGTGCCACGGGTTAGGAGGTACTCCAGTCTCCAGGTCCATAATAACGACCCAAGTCACTCATCCGACTAAATGAATCTATGGATCGATGCCCGCCGTCCATCCTAATCTCTGCGGGGTCTAGTCGCATGCCATTTGAGGCCTGTTTAATGGCCGATGTCGAAGAGAACAAATACATACCGAATCATAGTGATCAACTAGGTAATTAATAAGAAGCGTGAGCATCTAGGTATTAATAAATAGGTACTTAACTACCTGGTAGGTACTTGTAATACCTGGTGGTTTTCGTAGCCGTGATAACACTTTTTATGCCTGAAAACAATGGCAGCGACGTCTCCAGACGCCCAGAGTCCAAATGGCAAACACCTCAAACAACCCGCCCGCCTCGCTAAGCCGTCACCTCACCGGTCCATCACTTGTCGCGAAGATCGCAACTCTCTTGTCTTTCGGCTTCCATCAACTTTTCCCTTTCCTCTCCAACCCCTGTTTCTCACTTTCATCACCAAATACACCGCCGTCCTCTCCCTCCAACCCTCTTATCTCTCTTCTCTCCTGCCTGCCTCCCCTCCCAATAAACAACATCCACCATGACTTCTGAGGTACGTTCTGGCCAGACCCCTCCATGGTCCCCCGGGGCTCTGTACTCATCCACCACGTGCCCATACCCATCTCGCTTTCTACCTTGTGGAAGATATGTTGCTGACCGTGTCTCCCCCTCCCCGCTTCGCAGCGTGAAAAGTAAGGGCCCTGGCCGACCGAACCCCGCAGTTCGACCCAAGTACTGATCTACCTCAAGCAAGACTTTCCTCGCCCGGCTGTGCGAGCAGGCTGAGCGCTACGATGGTAAGTTTGGATTCCCTGGAAACCCGGAGGCCTCCATACTGATCGCGGGGCTCTACAGAGATGGTTACCTACATGAAGGTCAGTTCAGTCGTCTTGGATTCTCTCCCGTCATCCGTCGGGTAAACACCTCAGGCTAATACTCGTCCAGGAAGTCGCCAACGTACGCATACTCCCAATCGCTTTTCCCGCTGCTGTCCGGCTCCGCACGGTCTAACACTTACCCCTAGGTCGGAGGCGAACTTACCGTCGACGAGCGCAACCTCCTCTCCGTTGCTTACAAGAATGTGGTCGGCACCCGTCGTGCTTCCTGGAGAATCATCTCCTCTATCGAGCAGAAGGAGGAGTCCAAGGGCTCTGAGGAGCACGTCGCAATCATCCGCGACTACCGCCAAAAGATCGAGACCGAGCTGGAGAAGGTTTGCCAGGATGTCCTGGACGTCCTGGATGAGTCCCTCATCCCTAAGGCTGAGACCGGAGAGTCCAAGGTTTTCTACTACAAGATGTAAGCGCTCTACCGCAAATCTGTTTCTCTCATTTTCTCCCTCTCTCTTCCTCTCCGCACCCCTCTTTTTTTTCTCTTTTTTCTTTTTTTTGAGAAAAAGGAGAAGCAGTGTCACGTGTTGACTGGATTGCAGGAAGGGCGACTACCACCGCTACCTCGCCGAGTTTGCCTCAGGCAACAAGCGCAAGGTTGCCGCGACTGCCGCTCACGAAGCCTACAAGGTAAGTCTTGTGTGCTGCAGTCATGATGACCCCTCACGCGGCTAATTCCTCGACCAAATAGAACGCGACCGACGTTGCACAGACTGATCTCACTCCCACCCACCCGATTCGTCTGGGTCTGGCTCTGAACTTCTCCGTCTTCTACTACGAAATTCTGAACTCCCCCGACCGTGCATGCCATCTCGCCAAGCAGGCTTTTGATGACGCCATTGCCGAGCTCGACTCTCTCTCCGAGGAGAGCTATCGCGACAGCACCCTCATCATGCAGCTGCTGCGTGACAACCTTACCCTCTGGACCTCATCCGACGGTAACGAGGTCGAGGCCTCTGCCCCCCAGGAGAAGGCCGAGGAGGAGGTCGCGCCCGCTGCCACAGAGGACAAGCCCGCCGAAGAGGCTCCTGCTCCTGCGCCCGAGTCTTAAAGAGGCCAAAAGGTCGTCTCTTCGTGTAGCAACAGCCCTGTTGTGTTTGGACGTTCGGGTTCTTCCTGGAAGTGATGGTGCTGGCCCGTTGTTTTTAGCCGTGTGACCTCGTTGGACCGGCACATCTCTTTCACGGGTACACTGGTTCGGGATCATCGTGGGGGGGTCCGCCGGCGGAGTTTGATCTTTGGAGCGCGAAGAAAAGGGGCCGAGTGGAATTTATCTCTCTTTTATTCTCTCTATTCCCTCAACCCCCCAGCAGATACAATGTGCTTATTGTTTTTTATTTTCCTTTTTTTAACTAACTATTTACTATTTCCACTCAATCACTCCCAATCGTTCCAAGTAGAAGTAGCGTACTACAACCGAGGCACCTTTCACAATATCATTGTGGCTAGAAAGCAACGCGAAACATGAGCCACGATTACTTGATAATCACCAGTAAGGCCTGACTCTGCATCAAGGCTCTATTGGCTCGAAGAAGGCTCTATTTCTATGTACTAATGAAAAGCGTTTAGAATCACCACTGACAGTAGGAAAAGAAAATAGGACTGAAATCGTTTAAATTCATCAAGGGAAGAATACCATCTAGAAAAAGATCATATAGGACAGAGGGGAGAAAGGGTAGAGATGTAGATAGATAGTAGGACTTGGGAATCTCTGTAAGAGCCCTAACCAGATGCAAGCATATATGGAACAAGAAATAAAGGGAGGGGAAAAGGCGGATCTGATTGATAGAGATCCGTCTGATTTAAAAGGGGAGAATAAGGTGAAGAAAATTGCTAAAAGAAAAGTCAAAGCACCAAGAATATGGTTTTGCTCCCCCCTCTCCCCTTTTGTTATTTTTCTGTTCGCACTGTTCTTTTTTTTACCCTTTTGGGAATGTTGTTCACATGAAGTCGTCGTCCTCGAGCCCATCGTCATAAGACGTGTTGTCGATCTTGTTGTCTCGCGAGGTGACCAGGGAGACCTTCGTCTTGGCGGCCTTGGATTTCTTGGAGCCCTTGTCGGCCTGACGCTCTTCCTTCATCTTCTCGTTGCTGAGCGTCGTCAGGGCGCTGGCCACCTTCTTAATTTCGCCGCTTGGGAGTTCCTTGACAAGCCGCTTAGTGAACTCCTGTGCCCACAGGGAGAAATGGGCCTTCTTTGACTGGGCAGTCAGCAAGGGGATCAGGGTATCGCTGAGCTTGGCGAACTGGTCCTTGGTCGAGGGCTTGAAGAGCGGCATGGCCGACAGATCGACCGCCTGCGTCGGGTCCGCCGAGTCGTTGACGACGATTGCCTTGTTCTTGCCACGGTTCCGGTTCATGTCAATCTCGCCGAACAGGTCCTCTGCGTGCTTCAGGTCGGAGTCCTTCTCGGTGCGGCGGAGACGGGCCTTGCGCTCCGCCTCGTCCTCGCTAATTTCCTCCTCCGATTCCTCCTCGGCTAGCCGTCGGCGCTCCTCAATGTGATCCTCTATCCGCTTTGCCTTGGACTTCTTCTTAGCGGCGGCCTCGGCATCGGCCTTCGCTTTGGCGGCCGCTGCCTTGGCTGCCTTTTCCCGCTCAGCCTCGGAGTCTTCGGCGGCATCCCAAGAGTCAAGAACCTAAAGCAAAGTATACATGTTAGATGGTGTGCATTCTAAAAACATATTTCCCGCGAATGGTATATCAATGACAACGTCTTACATCTTCTTCCTCTTCATCGTCGAACTTGCGGCGGTACGCGGCAACGGGAGCCGGGGAAGGAGGTCCAGAGCTGTCCTCCTCGTCGTCTATATATTGAAAATAAAGCGTCAGCTAATGAGTCTCGATCATAAAACCTCTTTTCCCTTGATCGAACTTTCGTTCATAGGCCATCATGCAAAGAAGTGACCACTGATCCAACAAACGCAGACACACATACCCCACTTCGAAGGCGCCATATTGTGCAGAATCTGTCAGGGGATTGCAACTGCTGGAAATATTGACTAGGTCAACGTCAAATGCCCTTGCCAATCAACCAAGGAGCGAAAAGCCCAATATAAAAAGCCAAGGGGCCGCGAGCTGGAAGGACGGGGATGTTGGGAAATTTTTGTGGGTGACTATGTACCGCAGCCTCAGCGTCACAGGCGGGCAAGGCACACAGATTTGGTGGGGCACAATTTACAAAGGACGGTTCCACGTGACTACTCAGGTCCAAGTTTTGTCCCATAACTATAGCTGTTCTTGAACAGTTGCTTGAGAGAGTACCAAGGTAATACTGACATCTTACGAGGTTACTGATTCGATTCTATGTATCTCGAGTCGAATATGATTTGAGTTTAGTGACTATTGACTACCTTCCAAATGGAAGCCAACATGGCACGCACGGCACGCAAGGAGCTTAATAAGTGGTATTGTCATGTATTTCGTGGGCCATTAGATCTGTAGTTATGCTTCTTTTTTCCGAAAAGAAAAGAGGGTGCAGTACACAGTACTGCCGCCCGGTGACAGGGAGGGAAAAGTGTGCCATCTGTTTCTGCCCAACATTGCTTCGTAAGGGTAAGCTCCGTGACAGGGGGGGGTCATACTCCACGTCCACGCGTCCCGTTGCTGAACAGAAGTCGCTGGACTGGATAGGCGGAGCGATGCAGTCTATGCACCATGTCCTTTGATTGGTGTCTGCATCTACAGGTTGACAGCAGTGCGGAAGTTCTTGCCAGCGTAGATAGCGTTCTCGCCGAGCTCCTCCTCAATACGGAGGATCTGGTTGAGCTTGGCCAGACGCTCCGAACGAGCCGGGGCACCGGTCTTGATCTGGCCAGCGCGGAGACCGACAACAATGTCGGCGATGGTGACATCCTCGGTCTCACCGGAACGGTGGGAGACCATGACACCCCAGTTATCAGCATAGGAATCCTTGGCAGCCTGGATAGACTCGGTGAGGGTTCCAATCTGGTTGACCTTGAGCAGAAGGGCGTTGCAAGACTTGAGCTCGATGGCCTTCTTGATGCGGAGAGGGTTGGTCACAGTCAAGTCGTCACTATTATTTCTTGTTAGAGAGAAGCTCCTTTCATGATAGTAGCTCTAACATGGGCACTTACCCAACAATCTGGAAGTCGGAGGTCTTGTAGAAGTAGCTCCAAGCCTCCCAGTCATCCTCAGCGAAGGGGTCTTCAATGCTGACAATGGGATACTTGGTAGCAAGCTTCTTGTAGAGATCAGCAAGCTCCTCGTAGGTGAGCCACTTGGTGGGGTCGCTCTCGGGGTTCTTGAAGTCAAGGTCGTACTTCTTGACATCGGCCTTGTAGAACTCGCTGGAAGCAACATCCATAGCAATGTTGATCTGGCCGGTGTAGCCGGCCTGCTCGATGGCCTCGGTGATCAGGTCAAGAGCCTCCTCGGCGGTCTGAATATCGGGAGCAACACCACCCTCATCACCAACGTTACCAGCAGACTGGCCGTACTTCTTCTTGGCAAGAGCCTTGAGCTTATGGTAAACCTCGGCGCCCTGGCGGAGACCTTCCGAGAAAGTAGGAGCGGAGCTAGTTCAGATATTAGTTCGGTTGCTCAACGATGACGAGGAATTCGGTGAAGCTCACTCGGGCACAATCATGAACTCCTGGAAGGCCAAGCGGCCACCAGCGTGGGAGCCACCGTTCAGGACGTTCTGGAAGGGAACAGGGAGAACATAGGGCTTCTTGGTTCCAGCAAGGTCGGAAATGTGGGCATAGAGAGGGACACCCTTCTCGGCAGCACCAGCCTTGGCAACGGCCAAGCTGACACCGAGGATGGCGTTGGCACCCAGGCTCGTCTTGTTAGCGGTACCATCAAGCTTGTTGAGGAACTCATCGACCTTGGCCTGGTCCTTGACGTCAATGTTCTCCTTGATGATGGCGGGGGCAATGATGTCGTTGACATTCTGCACAGCCTTGGTGACACCTACAAGACCAATTATATTAGCTAAGAGTACACAAAAGACATGCCGTGCTTTGGATATAGTTCGCACTCACCCTTTCCGAGCCACTTGGTCTTGTCACCGTCACGGAGCTCACAGGCTTCGTGCTGGCCTTTGGTCCCCTCGTTAGCATCGAAAACGTATCAAGAAAGGATACGGACTGATCGTCCGTGCAATGACAAGAAGCTCACCGGTGGAAGCGCCAGATGGCACGATGGCACGGTGGAGGCCAGTCTCGGTGACGACATCAACCTCAACGGTAGGGTTACCGCGAGAGTCGTAGACGGAGCGAGCGTGGATCTTGGAGATAGGCATGATGACTAGCTGATCACTTATCAGTCGATTGCAGAACAGAAGTTTGAGAGAAACACGAGGAAGCAGGGAGCTGATATAGGGAGAAAAGCTGCTGATGTTGGGTGACTAACGGCGGGGACCTTCACCGAGGACCCAAAAAGACTGAGCGGGAGGAGAGGGAAACAGGCAAGATTGATCCAATCAATTGGCAGACCAAACGGACACAGCCAGTCTCAGCCTCTGTAAAGACCGTGTGGACAGTGGGGTAACCAGTCTTGAGAGGTTGTAGACACCTGGAAACAATAACAAATGCTATGCTGGTCGCCAGGGAGGGGTTGTTGTAGAGCAGAGGGTGGTGTCATGGTGGGGCAATGAGCTTAGAGGGAAGACTGAAGACCATGTCTACAACCACTTACCAGAAGAGAAGACAAGTGCACGGGCTGACTGAGGTGTTCAAAGTAAGAGAAAGCCTCGGAAAACTAGAAATAATCCTGGAATCCCAGCCGTACTTGTATGAGAGAACCCCGGTAAAGATCACTAGCTGTCTCTCCGAGTCTTTCCAACGTAATGGTGGGGCAATTGATCGTTCTGAGTCTCTCGCTGGCTGATGGCTGCCCTTTCAACCATTTGACTTCACCCTTCCCCAGCGAGATCTTCCGTGTATCCTCGGCGTTAGGCGGGAGACAGGATTCTAGACTACCTACGCCTTACTGTAGTACTCTGTTGTAGTGGCTCCTGACCTCGCTCAGTCTACAAGTTGAATGTCTACATGTCCATGTGTATCATGTAGTTAGTTGGTTATATGCAGTTATAGGCGTGTAAAGGCCGAAGTTCTTGAATTGGCTTATATAGATTCACCAAACACAAACAAAACTTATAGTGATCTAACTACAATTTGTCTCTTCGCTGGAACTGCTCTTGGTTTTCGGGTGGTAGCTTTTATAGATGCCTTGGTGCCTGAGGAGATAGCGGATACACATTATCCCCTCTCAGTGCCTGAATACTAAGGTACATAGATTATCACATGATCTTTATGGTCATGTGACCAAACATGGAGCGGCGACTCCGGCGAGGAGGCAGTGGCTCCCGTAAGCTCATCGGCAGCTCCCAAGCTTGCGTCAGGCCAGCCTATTCAGCTAACGTCTCTCTCTCCCTCTCGATTCTCTTTTTAACTCAGTCAAGCTACGAAATTATCAGTCTTACGCCCATCATCTGTTCCTTGCCCGCCCTACACAAATAGGCTCGCCGTCATCATGAACGGCGCCGATCCGGAGAGAGAGAAGGCGCTCGACGACTACAAGTTGAGCTTGCTTGAACTACGCGAATGGGAGGCCAAACTCAAGTCCCTTCGTATGGGCATCAAGGAGTTGCAGAGGGAATTTGATGTGTCCGAGGAAAATATCAAGGCCCTGCAAAGCGTTGGCCAGATCATCGGCGAGGTCTTGAAACAGCTAGACGAGGAAAGGTGTATGTCCGAGCCATTTACCATGTTTTATTCTCTTGATCTGCTGTCTAGAACCAAAAAAATCTGACCTTATGGATGCTAATGTGTCTCAGTCATCGTAAAGGCATCATCTGGACCCCGATATGTCGTGGGTTGCCGCTCGAAGGTGGACAAGTCGAAACTGAAGCAAGGAACCCGCGTTGCCCTCGATATGACCACGCTCACGATAATGCGGATGCTGCCTCGTGAGGTTGATCCTCTAGTCTACAACATGTCTCTAGAAGATCCTGGCCAAGTGAGCTTCGCGGGTATTGGTGGTTTGAACGATCAGATTAGAGAACTGCGGGAAGTCATTGAGTTACCACTAAAGAACCCCGAGCTGTTCCAGCGGGTTGGTATCAAGCCTCCTAAGGGAGTGTTGCTTTACGGACCTCCCGGTACTGGAAAGACTCTACTTGCCCGGGCAGTGGCAAGCTCAATGGAGACCAACTTCTTGAAAGGCATGTATCTCGCAAAGCATGACATGTTCTTCTCCATACTGACACTGTTTAGTCGTTTCATCTGCAATCGTTGACAAGTACATCGGTGAATCGGCACGACTAATACGAGAAATGTTCGGCTATGCTAAGGAGCACGAGCCTTGCATCATCTTCATGGACGAGATCGATGCTATCGGTGGCCGACGTTTCTCTGAGGGTACCTCTGCAGACAGAGAAATCCAGCGTACACTGATGGAGCTTTTGAACCAACTGGATGGATTCGACTATCTCGGAAAAACGAAAATCATCATGGCTACCAATCGACCTGACACCCTTGACCCCGCCCTTCTGCGAGCTGGTCGTTTGGACCGGAAGATCGAGATTCCCCTTCCCAATGAGGTCGGTCGCCTGGAAATTCTCAAGATCCATGCCAGTGGCGTTCAGCTGGATGGCGAGATTGAATTTGAGAGCGTTGTGAAGATGAGCGACGGCCTCAACGGAGCTGATCTGCGTAACGTTGTCACTGAAGCGTATGTGCACTCCACCCCTCTCGTTTAATGGTCTGCTTTTTTCTAACTCGAATCAATCAATAGTGGTCTGTTTGCTATCAAGGACTACAGAGATGCTGTTAGCCAGGATGACTTCAACAAAGCTGTTCGGAAGGTTGCGGAGGCCAAGAAGCTTGAGGGCAAGCTGGAGTACCAGAAGCTGTAGTCCGATCATGAGCATAATACTTAACAACATCATTCTCTCTGGATAAGAATTTCACTCGGTATACATAAGTAGTCTTACGGTCTGGTCTGGTAATGGAGTATCAATATAGGATGAAGACCCATGAATTACCACTTCCAGCTTACTTTGATTTATTCACATGCCTAGCTATAGTCTAAGTCCCTCACACCCTCCATAGATTTTCTCTAAAAGGGTGGGATTCTGGGGTTAAGTTGAAGATTATAGGGATAACTAAGGGCAAATTGCTGCAAAAGCTAGGCCTACTAAGGAGTTAGAAAGCCACACACTTGACTGTTCACCATCTTATTAGATACATAGTTGCCTTTCAACAGCCATTTAATCATAGTGAATAGTAAGGAAAATTAGTATGATGCTGGCAAGGATTTAGGATTATTCTCTACTATAGAGCTTTAGTACTGTGTAAGTATATAATCAGCCTTTGTAGAGCCATCATTTTTAATATTAGACCCCATATTTTTTTAATTGTATAATCAAATGCCACTACTGCTATTATATACACTAAATCATAGGCTTCTCTACTAGAAATAAGCACCATTTACGGCGGAGAATGCTTCTCCATAAAGTTCCATCAGTAATAAGAGGTACTTTACCATCTGTCTCTGTCATGCTTTGACAGGCACGACTGACTCCACGAGGCGCCAAGCCTGCTCCGCATACGAGTGCAGTTGACCAAAACGGAACAAGTGGCCACACGTACGTAACGCGAGCTCCAGTGATTATGCACCACCTACTGGGGAGCATGGCTTTTTGAACCTTTCCCTTGTCATTACAGAAAGTCTACTTGTGCAAAATCCTGGAGGTTGTAGCTTCTAGGTCTGAAGAAAGCGCGAGGTGGACTCCAAACTCTTCTGTTTCCTGGTTGGTCTACAGTTCTGTCCCTCTCAAAGCTCTGAAGCTCATATACTAAAAGTCGGTAGTCATTAGAGGAAGAAGGGCCTATGGTGTCTCTTTCTATCTAGGACCGAGAAACCTCCTCCGATCACAAGTCCCCCGCCGTTCCCCTGCCCGGCGGATATCAATTGACCGGTACTGCACGCTTTCTTGGACAAGCAAGGCTACGATAGGATCTGATGTTGGCCTTTGTTTCGCATAACCGCGCTTTGAAATTTGACGGGAACTTGGCTTTATCCAGTAGAAATACCAGCTGAGCCTTTGAAAGAATCCGACAATGTCTTTCCAACCCCAAAACGCTTCCCCGTTTGCCTCCGCCCAACGGCCTCTGGACGACAGCTACTGGCGAGCAAGTCGAAACCCTGGGGGCAACAAACTACCTGGGTATGGGCTCTCGGGACAACCGTCGACCGTTACAGACACCCTGAATGGCTTTCTGGGGAATCAGCGCACGCTTCCGATGTACAAAGACAAGCCGTACTTTGCGCCGCGGCGGACGGGCCCGAGATTCAGACGCAAGAGAACGTTGTACGGCAGTGTTGTTCTTTTATTACTGGGGCTCCTATGGTGGTACCGCGAGTCGTTCGGATACTGGAGCGGGTTTAGCCTAGGGGGTCCGGACTTGGCCAAGGGCGAGGAACTGTGGCACTGGATGCAGAGCCTCGATTCAGAGAGTGAAAACGAAGGCCAAGAGCCCATTGACTGGGCAGCAAGAAGGGAAAGGGTAAGAGATGCGTTCATCGTCAGTTGGGATGGCTATGAAAAGTACGCGTGGGGTGAGTTACATCGCTCATGTTACTCCTGGTGATGACCTACCAGGCAGTTCAACTTATCCAGTCGGCTGACAGTGTATCTACCCCGGATTTCTAGGCCTCGACGAGTATTATCCGGTGAGGAAGGGCGGCAGACATATGGTTCAAGGTGGTATGGGTTGGATCATTGTCGATGCCCTCGACACCTTGATGATCATGAACCTCACATCGCGAGTTCAGCATGCCCGCAACTGGATTCACAATTCTTTGCACTACAATCAAGACCATGACGTAAACACCTTTGAGACTACGATTCGGATGTTGGGAGGGCTGCTCTCTGCGCATTACCTCTCCACAAAATATCCAAATTTGGCTCCTGTCAGCGATGACGATGCAGGAGCACCGGGGGAAGATCTTTACATCGAGACAGCGACCGACCTCGCCAATCGACTACTCGGTGCATTTGACTCGAATAGCGGCATTCCCTATGCAAGTGTCAACCTCAACAAGTCAATGGGGTTACCATCACACGCAGATGCCGGTGCTTCATCAACCGCAGAGGCCACCACGGTGCAGCTCGAGTTCAAATATCTTGCAAAGCTGACGGGCGAAGCAGAATACTGGAGGGCGGTTGAAAGAGTCATGGAGGTGGTCGACGCCCAACAGGTGGAGGACGGGCTAGTCCCCATTTACATTGATGCCAATTCCGGTCACTTCAGAGGGAGCAATATCCGTCTCGGTAGTAGAGGAGATTCATACTACGGTAGGTGTGATGAATTGTCCTCTCTCTTTTTTTTTTATACCTCCTGTGTGGCTAAGAGTGCATAGAGTATCTTATCAAGCAATATCTGCAAACGTCGAAACAAGAGCCGATTTACAAGGACATGTGGGATGAGGCGCTCATGGGCGTTCGCAAGCATCTGATCGCGTATACGAAAAACGCGCAGCTCACGATCCTGGGAGAACGACCGGATGGCCTACACAATGCCCTTCACCCCAAGATGGACCATCTTGTGTGTTTCATGCCTGGAACGATCGCTCTCGGGGCCACTGGTGGTCAGCTACTGTCGGAGGCGAAAAAGTCGAGAGAGTGGACTCAACGGCATGCAGAGGAAATCCTGCTCGCCAAGGAACTGATGAAGACGTGTTGGGCAACCTATCTCTATACCCAGACTGGCCTTGCCCCGGAGATCACATACTTTGAAGTCGACAGCCCGCCAGTGATGATGGGAGACCTGGCCGGCTCTACGATGACGGAAGGCAACCGGCAACCCGACCAAGAAGAGGACCTACCTCTCATTTCCAAACCTCTAGAGCCCGTGAAGAAGGACGGATCAGACCACACCGCGAGTTGGCGAGACGACATCAACATCCACACGCAAGACCGCCACAATCTGCAGCGTCCCGAGACCGTCGAGTCGCTCATGTACATGTACCGCATCACGGGGGACGAGACCTACCGGCAGTGGGGGTGGGAGATGTTCAAGTCCTTTGTCAAGCACACGGCCGTCGTCGAGACGGACGGACATCAACACCCCTCGGGATCCGATGAAGGACAAGCAGATGGCAGCACGACGACGACTCACCGTGCTTCCCGCATCGTGGGCTTCACTTCCCTGTCTAACGCTGACAGCATACCCCCCTCCAAGCGGGATAACATGGAGAGCTTCTGGCTAGCGGAGACGCTCAAGTATTTCTACCTCCTTTTCTCGGACCGCGAGTTTCTCTCTCTGGAAGAAAACGTCTTCAACACGGAAGCGCATCCGTTCCCGAAGTTCGAGCTGAAGGGGGATCTGAAGACGGGGTGGACGAGGAAGACTCGTTCGTAGACTATTACTGTATCTATTTCTATCTATTTATTTACTTTTTCTTTTGCTAGGTAGGGCCTAGCCTTTATACTCTGTATCTATCTATATATCATACCCTTTTTCTAGTTCAATATTCTTCTTGACATATATTTAGATAGTATAAGGATATACTATACCCTAAAGTAAACCATAGCCGTAGCGAGAGCCGTTGCCATCTATAATGCTGTATGTCTAGTTTTTGTTCGCAGCCTGGATCAGCCTCTTGTACCCGCGGACCGCCTCCTCGAGCGCACCAACCGTCAGAGCCTCGTGATCGCCGTGGGCGACATGAATGCTCCCGGGCCCGTATAGGTAGCGTTTCACCCTCGCCGCAGGGGAGTCATGGATGACCAAATTGGGAACATCGGTGCCGTAGTTGACTGTGATGACCTGGAAGCCGTCGACGTCCGTGTCGAGGTCCTGCGGCGGGTATGCTTCAGAATGGTGGGAAAAGTCGACGGAGACGTTGTCGTCGTCGTGAGTCAGGGCATCGCGCACCGCTTGGCGGACAATCTCGCGCGCTTCTTCCGGGGTGCCCGCCGCCAAACGCACTGCGACGTTCGCCTGCGCTGTAGCGGGGACGACGTTGGCGGCAACGCCAGCGTTGACAGTGCCCAGGTTGACGGTTGTCTTGCCGTATTTCGGGCTGGCGGGTAAGCCGCCTTCTTCTGCGGGGATGTCGCCTAGCTGATCGACGCGCGACAGGACGGGCAGGATGGCAGAGACGGCGCTCCGGCCTAGCCAGGGGTAACCTGAATGAGCGGCGCGGCCGTGGGCCAGGATGTCGAAACCCAGCATGCCCTTGTGGCCGGAGACGAGGGCGAGTTCGGTCGGCTCGCCGAAGATGACGGTGTGGTAGCTTGGTGGAGAGGTGTTGAGGGGCGAGTCGGAGAAACGCTTCATGCCGTCACCGCCGGTCTCCTCGCCAACGACGAAGAGCAGGCCGAGCGCTGGGGCAGAAGAAGGCTCGGCCAGGGTGTCCAGGGCGGCGAAGATCTGGGCGGCAACACTGCCTTTGGCGTCGACGGAGCCACGCCCGGAGATGGCGATGGACTCACGATTGAAAGAGTCATCGCCGTCGTCATCAGCACCCTCAAGTGAGTACGGGATGAACGGAGGCACAGTATCAATGTGACTCGTGAGGAGGATCTCCGGGTGGGGCTGGTCTTCTGGGTAGGCGTAGATATTGAAGCGTTCTTTCTGGCTGGCGGTCTCGGGCGTGACGGTCTGCTTGGTCACGGTGAAGTTCTTCTCCTGGAGGAAGCGGACGATGAACTCGCCGACATCATGTTCATCGCCAGTCACGGACGCGATCTCCACGATGTCTCGGTGGAAGGAGAGGAGGGCTGATTCGCTGATGACCTTGTTCAAGCCTCCTCTGTAGCTGCCGGGGCTTGGAGACACGCCTCCCAGGGGACTCTGCGGGGTGGCAGGAACAGCGGCGACGGCCGCTCCAGCGGCCAGAATTGAGAACAGGGCTGTTTTCATCATGGCGAGGTCTGAGATGGCGGAACCTTTGGGAATTGTGATCTTCCTCCAGCTGCTATCTGGACTGGCCAAGGTGATGATCATGATAAGCAAACCAATCACATGATAATCACATTAGTGATTAAGGTGCCTATCTAAGTTTATGAATGGTTTATACTACCAAGGAATTATCTATAGAATACTACATAGTTTTAGTGATTTATCTACTATAGTTAACTCTCAGTGATGTAACTATAAACTAGGTAGTCTAATATATCACTAACTATATAGTAGTTATTAATTTATATAGGCATTTATCATATTTTCCCAGTCTTTTATTAAAATTATTTATGATCTATCTATTATACTTAATTACTGATACTAGAAACTCTAGCAATTTTCTCTAAGAGGTGTGTAAGAAAAATCTATATTAGTTAATAATTACTCTAACTATGCTAGAAAATACTTCGACTATATATTTACTACCTCCTAGTTACTACAGTACAGAACTACTGAACGCGCAGAGACCGCAATGGAACCATGGAAATCTTGACCCAGCACAGTGGCTCTCGCCATGTGGACCTGACGTCTGAACTTTTGGAAGCCTTTTTTTTGGGGAGAAACTTAGTATTATTATTAGTAAAAATAGGGGAGATTTATAATTCTTTCGGATGTCAGACAAACTTTGTTCCTCGGTGAAACGGACGGAGGATACATAGAAAAGTTGATAGTTAACTAACAGTAGTAGTGACTCCATATAACTAGTTAATTGTTATATTACATAGTTAACTAGTTGGTAGCTGTACTTGTATGAGTCACCAGTTGGCTCTCTTGCCAACCATTAAATTAACTCAGCGGGGTAAGAATTAGACCTGAAGGATTCAAGAGAGACCTGTAGAATAGAGGAAAAGTCTCCGTACTTCCATGAGCCGAGGTGATGCATCTAGTAAGTCCAACCTGTCGTGCCAGCTCAGCAGCCTTCCGGGGGTAGTAACGTAGTAACCTCGGTGACAAACATCGTTGCCTGCTGGTTCTGTCTATCGGCGACATTATTCTGAACACCTCGATTCACTACCGAGTACTCTTCCGACAGTTTATATCCAGCAGTTATTGTTACTACAAAATTGAAACCGTGAGACGGACGGCACGAACGATTTTCCCACATAAAATCTGATTACACGGAGAGCCAGGCCTCAGGAAAAGGTAACAAGTATCGATTCCGGAACAGACGGATTATTCAGCAGTTGACAGAGGTATCATATTTGATTCGATGGTATTATTATACCCCACAACAATGATAAATAGGTCAGTTCGTACTCTGATTGGCATTGTATTTTGCAAACCTCAAACCGGTGTCTATCTACTAGTTACTATCTTTTACCATTCAGTTCGACCATGTCGTCACACCTACGGAGTACAGCAAATCAGGCTAAGAATGCGAATGCTCCGCTTACCGACAAGGAAACAATGGAATGGGGCGGGAAACCATGGCGGACATTGGACAAACAATGGTACACATGTTCTAGAATCTCGACGGGGCCCATCGGATGCCCTCTGTTAAGTTTGAACACATGGATGGTTCCGCCGGAACGAGTCGTCTGGTAGTGCCAGGCACACAGAACAAATGATGTAGGAAGCACAACGTGTGTGCTAAAAATGTTGCCATCTAGGTGGCAAGGATCGAGTGTTCGTTCCCCTCGCAAATGTAGAATTTCACGGACGGCTGCTTGGGCCCAGGTTCCGCGAAGCAGTTGTAGAGGCAGCGGGCGAGGGCGGAAGAAAAAAATTTTCAGCGCTTTGTCAGGACTCAGGATCCGTCTGGATGGAACCATCGGAACTCGCTATCGTAGGTGGGAATCCTGGAGGATGAGGTGGAGCATCCTCCAGCAAAGCCCGACTCAATGGCTGAACGGCTCACGTCTGAGGGCGAGAGTCAACCTGGAAGGGTCCAAATTATGACAGAAGCGCCATCAGGTGTTCACTGTATCCTTCGTTCGCCCTCCTCCACAGGCGATCTCTTTCTTCCCTGTCATTATTGCTGGCGGTCAGTATCTCAGCAGATTTCGTCCTAACACAACACGCGACGTTAGCGAGTGGGAATTAGAAGAAAAAAATTCTTTTAAAAAAAGAAAAGAAACGAAAGAGAAAAACGGGGAAAAGGACGAAGGGAAAAAAGTACGAGAAGTCCTGGTCCTGGCTGTTTGCTGCCTCGCCTGCCTTCAACAGCCTTAGTGCCTCTATCCCAGCAGGGTTGTGTCTGGTCGCTGTAAGTTCTTTTTAACCAGTCGATGCTGGCCCTGGATCGCTCCATTCCCACTCTGCCAGCTGGCCTTGCTTGCCTGAACTCCGGCCACGTCTTATTTCTGCCCCGTTGGGCCGTCTGGTGCTGATGAAGCTGTGTGGCTTACACTATCTTCATCTTCAGTACCCAAAGGACCGACTGTCACCGCCGCGGTTGCGGCTTCTCTTCTCGCGCCTGTCTTTCTTTGCTGGCCAAACCTGACCGCCACGTCTTTGGGACGCCGTTTGTAACTCCACGACACGTTCTTCACCACGGGATACTGTCAGATGATGCATTGTCGGCCTGTTGACTGAATTGCCTGCCCTCTCTCTCCCTCTCTCTCTCTCTGCCCGTCTTAAATACCTCCACGTCCCCACCGCTGTCGCGTGCACGTGAGAATTCTCTTCCACCATGCTCAAACTCTCGAAACTACTCGACACAAGGCGTGATAGCCCTGACGCGACCTCCGATTTGCGTTTACCACTGTCGCCTTTGACTGCCAACTCCTCTGCTCCCGTGTCCCCAGCTCTGTCGCTCTTCTCCGCCAGAGGCCATACGCGATTGTCTAGTTCGACCTCGTCCTTGGTCTCCTCGCCTGGTCTCGCCAATTCGATGGAGTGCTCGTCCAAGTCCCAATTGACGGACGTGAGAGAAGAAACCTGGGGTGAGACGCGTCATCTCGAGGACGACTATTTCCGTAAGTTGCCCCGTCTTCTATTCTCTCTTAGAGTCTTGCTGACTCTTTATCATTTGATTTGTAGAACATTTCGATCAGGGCATGTCTGTTACAGATGACTCATATTTCCCCCCTTCAGCCGACTATGACGGCTATGATCTCGCCGATGGGACAGGCATAGATGTCGCCCATTCGCCTAAAAAGCGACGCTCAGATCGTTCCGATAGTGTGTCGGCCAAGGGGATCTCGCGCATCAGCTCGCGCATATCCACCATGTCCAATCGCTGGAGACCCAAGCGGACTTCGGACGACCTGGCTCGAGAAGAACCCTTCCCCGACGAATTGCGCTCCCGAACTGGTTCGGTATCGTCCGCTAGGGTCAGCCCAAATGGCAGTCCGCTGTCTCCTCGCAACCCGCCCTCCCCGGCCCGGGCTGTATTTGAGGAGCGCCTGAGCGAGTCCGGAGTTCGCCCAATCGATATCGATCAAGCGAACCGTCGCAGTATCGAGGATGACAGCGCGCCTCAGGCTACCACTCCGCTGCTACCACCATTTATGGGCGAGGGGCCGCCGAGTCTGACCTCGACCATCCACTCGCCGTTACAATCCCCATCGGTGGCCGATGTGACTACAGATGACTTTCTTGAGGACAATGATGGAAGCGATTCCCGCACAGTGTATGTGCCGTCACCACCTCTGTCCAAAAAGCCCTCGATTGCCTCGTTCAACCGGCCGCGTACCAACACTATGCGGTCTATCAGTGGCGACGCCCCTCCGTTTGTCCTCTCGGACCCCAATGACGAATGGGCACACAAGTTGGGGCATGCAAATTTCACCATCCAGCCCGAACCGTATGTGCCCGAGGTGTGCGAGATTGAGTCTTTCCAGCAGCTGCGTACCGACTGGGACCTGGCGCGATGCAATTTCGCCAAGCACCTCGTCCGGACCGGCGAACACTATGGGATTACTTCCAACATCTACAAACTCACCGAAGAAAAATGGGAAGCAAACAACAAAGAATGGAAGCAGATACACTACACCATGCTCAGCCAGCTTGAAGCCAGCGGCGCAGCGATTCTCAGCCTGACCAAGTCCAGCATTCATCCGTGTGAGCAGATCAAACTGCCGCGCCTGCACGACAATGCAAAGTTTCCCGAGCTTGGCGATGAAGAGATCGTTGGTCCCATGGTGGTTGCACCAGCAAGCACCCTTCGAGGACCTTGTCGCACCCGCTCTTTGAAGAAGCGGAACTTTTTCAGGTTCTTCCAGGACCTGGTTACCCGATCATGAAGCATCGCCCGCCTCTTTGAAATGAATAACGACTAAATTTCGAAAAAAAAAATAATGAGAGGCGTCTCAGCCTCTCAGATGTACGACTGCTGTAATGTTTTACTATGTCCGATACTAATGACCCGTTACGACCCTATGATACACTTGCGACTACAGACATCGCAATCATGACACTATTTCCTATGTGAAGTCACCCTTTTTTCTGTTCAAAAGGGTGCGAAGTTTCCGAAGGAAGAAAAAGTATAGAAAAAGAAGGAAAGAGGAAAACACCTCATGTTCGATAGAGACGGCTTCTCAACATCCCGTCATGAAATATACCCCTAGAATTCTGTGATAGAAGTCTCTGTCTCACATTTGTATTTAATAAATAGCTTATACATATTATATTCCTCTGTGACATTATCCATATGACTAGGGTCAGAATCATCTGTATGCTCTAGTTTCTAGGGACCTTTATCACTTTGCGTCTAAATTCTATAGAATAGGTAGCTAGCCCCTACATTCACTTCGTTTTCACAGGCTTAAACCCAATCCAATGCTGCCTCCAGATCTCCCTTGTAGCCTCTGAGCCCTGAAACCGGAAATCAACACGGTAAACATCGTGGAAGCCCTCTTCAACCGTCGGTTCTTGCAGTTTACTACTGAACCCCGTGAAGGCTATGGTGGGCACGAGGTCGCGCGACTCGGGATTCTACATCATTAGTATGAACAGTGCAATGTTACTGTTACTATCTAGACTCGTTAGTCTAGGTTTTCATAACTTACTAAGTCTGGATTCGCGGCTCGAACAGCGTTATTATGCTGGCAGACCGTCGTCGGTGCGGTGAAGTAGATGCATCGGATGGGAATGTCGAGCGTGCGGGCGAGGTCGATCCAGAGTTTACGGGTTGCAGATTCAGGATTGGTGTTGTCTGGGATTGATTAGTTGGGATATGGAATAGGTTCTATAGACAGGGTACGTACCGACTGCTACTGATCGCCCAGAAGTAAGATGCTCCCTCGCTACTTTGAGGCATTTGTCACGCTTTTGGATCGAGTTAGCCTCCTCGAAATACAGGTTAGCAACCGGGGCTGGCGTACGGATTTCAACGCATCTTGGTTTACTCGCTCGTAGCCCAGCGACTGCAGATGATTCCAGTAGAAGGTCGATTTGCCGGCCCCCGGGCTTCCACAGAAGATCACCAGTTCCTGTGGATGTTCCTTGGAGAATGGGGTTGGAGCTAAGGATCATGTCAGTGTCAGTCAGGACTCATCGAGCCATTTTCTCAGCTGGTATGGGGAAAACAACGGCATACGGGGTTCAACGGTATCCGAAGGTAAATACAAGAGAGGTTCGAATGTTCGCGTGTACGGCTCCGGCGCGGCATTGAGGAAAAATTCCTCCGGCGTCTTGAAGGGAATCCCAATATTCTCTGCAAAGTCGCTGCCACGACAAAATATCAGACCACGCTCGTATGACAGATAGGGACGACGGACATACCGATCCGAACACGAATGGTCGCCAGGACGGCCGGCAGCATCGCCAACGAAGACTGAGTTGGGCAAGTCCACGCCGGCCACATCTAAATCGTAATCTTCCTGGAATTCCCTCCACATCCCCATACGTGGTTTGCGATACCCGTCTTTCTGGACGGCGGCATACACGCTCAACGGAGTATCCAGGCTCCTCAACACAGCATTCACTTTTTCTTTGAAATTACCGAGACTTTTCGACTCTCCCTTTCCTGGTTTGTTGTCTTTCTGGAGCTTGATAGCTCCTTGGTTGGATATCACAACAATCTGGTACCTGAGACGAAAACATAAGTAATCCAGCCAGGACATAGAAGATGCCGAATAGAACATACCCCTCTGAGTTTAACTCTTTGATTTTTCCGGGAACAGTGGCATGCCACCATTTCCAGTCGTTCGGACCCTTTGGGAAAGTGTTCCCAGATGCTGTTTTAATGAGGGTAGAGTCCTGAGAAAAACGTCCCTATTAGCTGAGACCTGCGACAAATGATGAACGGCCAAACAAGCAACATACGAGATCGAACGCAGCGACCTTTCTCTTAGCGTCTGTTGACGAAGGCTGTCTGGCTTCCTTGTCAGGGTCTGCATATTTCCCAATGATAAGGCTATTATCGACGAGTCGCCAGCTGACTTTCTTCTGGACTTCTTGCTTCTGCGAAACAGGAGTGAAGAACGCAGCAACCGTTTTTTCTAGGAAAAAGAGTTAGCCATCCAATCAACAATCAAGCTAGCTGTTAATATATACCTGTTACAGTCGACTTGATCGCGCGTTTTGTCGGGGGTGGAGAAATTGACCTGGCCGGCGATCTGGCTCTCTTCAACCCGTTCGCTCCAGCCATTATGGCCCTTGGAAGAGAGGAGAGAATTGTGAAACCACTTCTTTTATAATATATCTGCACAGAATTATTCTCGCAATTGGGGCTTAATAGAGTTGCCCTCGGATTGCTGCCTAGTATTAGATCAATGATAATAGATAAATAGTAGTAAAGGCGGAAAGGTACGCGCCTACGTGATTGACCGACACGAAGTCACATGGTCTCAAAGCAAAGTCTTGATTCCTAGGAAAGAAACACTTCGAACTAGTATAGATAGTTTTTCTTGAGTCAAAAGTATATAGTATTATTTCTAATCTATTCCCTTTTGTAACAAAACGGGTTTATTGAATAGTAGTACTTTGACTAAACCTATGCTTTTTGCTTTCATGTCGAGGTAGAGGACTCAACCCCCGGGTATATGCGAAAATGGACATGAGAACGGCGAAGGCGAAGATATTCATCCCTTCACTCTTGTATCTAGAGACAACCTATCTGCTTGCTCCAGGCGAACCGCAGATTTGAGCTGCTCGCGGAGCCCAAAGAGATGCTGTGAAGCGGTCTTCATCGTTTCCTGATTGCTACCATCCTGGACGGTGATCACGGCCTGTAGCACATAGCTCCCAGTCCTCTCAAGGGGGCGCATGTCTTTCAAAGGGGGCAAATGCTGCCGAGGCTCCCGAAACTCTTGCCCTTCCGGGTAATGGAGTACGCGATGTAGGAAAATGACGATATCATTGAGTATAAAGGTATCGCCTTCCACAAGATATTCGGTGACAAAGCTGCAAGAGGCAGTGAGTCGGTCACCCGCCGGTGGAGAAAAAAAAAGTATGGGAGAAATGACAAACCTATAGCCCCAGGCAGTCATGAGGTGCATCACATCCCCTCTGGGCAGAGTGGCGCTGGCCATCGTGCGAGCTGTGACAGCCGACCGAGTCCCTGCCTCGGGGATATCTCTGAATTCGAGTCTCCAGGGCTGCTGCTCGTAGTCATAGGTCTCCTCGCTCCCTGCTGTTTTGTTGTTCTCGTCCGTCCCCGTCATGGACGCATCCTGATCGTTGACCGGGTGGGCTTTTGCACCAAAATCCGACTCCGAGACAGGACCAACCACTTGTGTGTAGTACAACCCCCCGTTGAGCATCTTATTCAGACGCTGCAGCTCGGAGCCCTGGACATCTTGGCTTGCACCTACGCGGGCGGTGGTCAAGCCGGGTTTGCGGTGCGCTTTGAACACCAGACGCCGCTCCAGTTGGTGCCGGGGCTGCATGGCCGTCAGACCGGCCAGTTGTTGGAGGAGCTCATGATGCTGATGCACGGGAACCGAGGCGAAGAGCAGAAGCTCGTGCATCGCTAGAGCGGTGGATAGAGAACAAGCTCCAATTGTCGAAACAATTCATTATTGCTAGCGACAGAAGGCGGAAAGACATGGAGGAATGAACGAGGTGGCCCAAGCTCCTGCTTTGTGCTGCTGAAGGTTTTGATTGGCTGGATGAAGTCTAATAAGAAGATGCTGGGTTAGGTACCTCCCTACCTACCTAACCTACCTTAGGGAGTCGGGCATGAGTGTTAACCCTCTAGATAGGGTACAATTTTGTTATCAGGGCTCTCGAGGGCTCTACTTACCTCTCATGATCGGTGAAAAAGCACCTGATCTCGGAGTACGGGCGTAAGGCTTGAGAGTCTAGAGGCCAGTCAGCAATCACCCCTCTTCAGGTCCGTTCTACCCGATCTCTTTCGAGAAACAGCACAGACTAGGTACCTAGGTAGAGCGCAGGTACTAAATACTAGGTAACTAATAACTTGCAGGTACCTAGTACCTACCTGGTACCTAGTACTTAGATACTCGTCCTCAATGCCGGCGACACTCCAAACCCCCAAACCTACAGGCCAAGAATGCAACCAGCGCATTCTGATGTACAGGCATACAAGAACAGAGAGACATAAATCAAGAGCACGGAGTACACTATTGAAAGATCAAAAGCAGATCAATAATACCCTACGGCATTTTGATATTCCTCGCGAGACGGAACTCAGTGGCTCTTTTAGTAGGCGGTAAATGGTAACTATGAGGAGTTTGGATTTCTCCGCTTACCAGGTCCACAACTATTGAATTATTGATATTCATTGGTTTCAGGCCTTATCAGTTTATTTCTCTTAACGATGCATATGACAAATGCATACGGGTAACTAACCACCGAAACGACCTACCTACTACATAGGTAACCAACTATACTATTGCAGAGATTTCTGGCGGTAATATTAATAATAATGTATGGCCCGAGAGTTTACAACAGAAACAGCAAAATTCAATTTTCTTCATATCCGGTCATACCTAGAAAAAAAAATGCTGCAAGTGCAACTGCAACGTATATACGCAGTAAAAGAGAAATAATGCGGGGAACGACTGGGTAATTGTACATAGAGTGCGTACTTGACCATCAGTCTAAAACGATGAGGGGAAACTACTCCGTAGGCTGCAGGTTCTCCGCACGTCTAATTAATCTCATTCTATTAGGCAGTGAGTGAGCACTGGGCACTGGGCACTAGATGGTCAGGGTTCACCGAGACCCTATTAGGAACTTGGAAGAGATCTAGATATGACCAACGCAAGATGTATGTACATTATTAGGTACCTAGTAGTTACTCCGTACCTGGGTACTCTATAATACATACCTAGGTACTGGGTACGCTGTACTCTGTACAGAATGTGAACAATAACTGACTTGAGTATAGGTACAGAGCATTTCGCCTTGCACTGATATTTCTACGACAGATTTTACTTTCTTAAATCAACTGGCAGTATATACTTTATTCTATTGGTACTCAAAGAACCGTATTCGTAATCCTATCGGTTTCAGCATGCACACCATGTTCGGTCAGACGTCGGATAAAATCGCGGGTTCGCCGCGGAATCCTGGATCCGGTAAGGTAAAACGTCTCACGGATGGCACCATTGACCATTTGCGCACTTCTCCCTTATCAATTCCTCCTGCCGACCCTTTTTGTTCTCCTCTCCCACCTTCCCCTCCCCATCTCGTTCACTGTTCCAGTCTCTGCGCTTCATCCTCTCTGCCAGGCCGTCCTATCTCTGTCTGAACACGCTGCAATTCCATCCCTTAGTCCTTTTTTTTAAACGCAATTGTCCTCGGGCCGGATCGGACGCTACTGGACCCGCCTGTCTATTAATTTCATCGACACGACTCGAGCGCGACTTGATCTGATCTCTTCTTCTCTTTTGTCTATCGCACATAATCTAAGGACCCCCTTTGTTCACAATGCGTGCTACTTTCGCTCTCCGTGCCGCTGCTCGCACCCCTCTCATTCGCTTCCTCGGCAAGCGCTCTGTCCCTAGTATGTGCTCTCTCGGCCCACTGAACGACCGTTCCCGGCGAATGTTTAATAGGTAGCTAACAATTGGTCTTTGCTGTAGAGTCGGTCGACCACACTCCTCGCCCTCACCCTGCTTCTCCCACCGGCGCCCTGCCGGACTCGTTTGCCGCCTACAGAATCAAGGCCCAGCAGCACGGCCCTCTCGGTCACGCCTCCTTTTCCAGTGGTGTCGGTGGCCAGTCCGGTGCTTCTCTTGGCCCTATCCGTCCCCAATCCGGGGAATTCTTCGACCGTGTGGAGCTTCCCCAGCGTTTCCACCGTCTCCCTTGGACTGCCGCCGAGATCGAGGCCATTGAGACCGGCGGCGCCAGCCTGTTCAACTAGATGACTTGTTGATTCTTTCGTACATACACACCACATGAGAGATGACATGCGCTTGATGGTCATGAGCGACGCTTTCTGAGGCTGGCGACTCGATGGTCTGTTGATGGAACACAATCTCAACTCAAAAACCAGGGTACCTTGCCTATCAGAGATATGCAGGGGCCAAGCCCGGGGTTGGACTCCGGTTAAAAATTCCTCTTCTCATCCTTTTTCTTTTTCGCACTCGTTGGGCGCCGATCACATACCCAGTCCCATGAGTGTGCCCTATTTCTCCTGGCGTTGAGAAAAGCAAGCGGGTGACTTGACGAGCCGATACCGTCTGCTGTCCGGATCACTATATCTCCCTCCCAGTTCTCCTATTCTTTTTTTTTTGTTTCTTCTCCGAGCTGCGGCGCTGGTGGATGCTCCTTTTATACATCTTTCTCGGCTCTTTTTCATTTCTCTTCTACGTGGTTCTGCGCAGCATAGCTAGCTTCATCATTTTCGAGGTGCTTGGTTGTGGGAAGAAGACAGGACCCGCGGCTGTTTATAGATAGATCAATTTCTCCTCGTCACAAAAAGTCTAGAGTTAGACTCTGTTGAGATGGGGGTTCCTTACACTTTTCCTACTGGCTTTATTTTATATCTAATGCTCCGGGAGCGATGATGTGACAATACTACAGTACAATATCTGAGAAATGAAAAAGTACACCTTTACAGGAACTATAGTTAATTTAGAAATAACATAGAAACTATAGTAAACATGTTAGTTATCTTAAGAATACGACTACCCCATGGTTCCTGGATGATGGATCAACTTTGTTCACGTGCCTCGTTCCATCAAGCCACCTAAATGTAACTGCAACACCATAATTCGACCATTGAACACCACTGCTACGGCATCTCGCGATCGTAACGAGGAATTCGTAGCGGCCTGCCTGCAAGTTTCAAGAAGAAGACAAGAAACCATGGCTTCCACTGGCAACCACAGCCCAGCCCGTCATCTCGTGTTCACTGAAACAGACGAGGTGGATAACGCTACAGCAACCTATATCTACTCTCAATCCAAACCAACATCAGACGCAGCAAATCAGGGACGCGTTGATATATCGGTAATCCAATTGTCTTTTCCTTACAATCTGTATGCCTTGTATCAGTTCTTCGTGGAGAAAGAAATCCTTACTAATACACTATCCTATACAGTTTCCATCTACCGTCACTCCCTCGTCCTGGTCGACCAGATCGCTTCTGAATTATCTCATCGACGTCTTCTTACCAGCTGGTTATCCGCACAGTGTTACTGATGACTACCTTCAGTAAGGCTATTCCCTGTTGACCTAGTGGTTGTGAGAAAAGCGCGTGCTAACACGTACCTCTCAGATATCAAATCTTCGTGAGTATGATGATTATATCTGCGATTCTTTCCCAGACTTACAAGGCTATCAAATCCAGGACTCCCTTCAAGCATTCTGTAGCTCTATTGCTGGCCTTCTTTCCTCTAGAGCAGTGCTACAAGGTCAGCTACGAACAATTAATCACCCAGATCGCCCTCTACGCTTTGATTCTACCTGTTTGTAGTCAAGCTAATAAATGTTTTCAAACCCTAGGCGTTGGAGTCGGAAATGCAAGTGCTTCGCCCACCTCGGCTCTACTCCTGCATATCCTGCAAGACTCGTCTGGCCGTATTGCGACAATCCTGTTCGCTCATCGCGTGGGAACGGCGCTGGAGCCGGAATGTAAGATGTATCGCCTGGCGGCTGATGTCTTCAATGACCTGGCTATGATTCTCGACTGTCTCTCGCCTTTAATTCCTGCCGGTGTCAGCCGAGTCTCGGTTCTTAGCGCGGCCGGTGTACTGAGGGCGCTGTGCGGCGTTGCAGGCGGAAGCTCCAAGGCAAGCTTGAGTGCGCATTTCGCGAAATGGGGGAATTTGGCCGAAGTCAATGCAGTGAGTCTGGATGCAAACTGGGGTCTCGGAAACTGCAACTGACACTTCTGGATCTGAAATAAAACAGAAAGATTCCTCACAGGAAACCATCATCTCTCTAGTTGGCATGCTAGTAAGTCTTGGGCAGTGCGATTGCCACAAAATCACCATGGATAAATGAAATCTAATTTCTCAAAGGTCGGATCAATCGTTGTCTCGCGCGTGACAAGCTTCGCCGCGACATGGATATCACTCATCTTACTTCTCATCCTTCATCTGAGCATGAACTATGCCGCAGTACGTGCTGTCCACATGACAAGCTTGAATCGCCAACGAGCGAATATTGTTTTCTCTACAATGTTGGCCTCAGACCCAGACCTGCGTCTTGATGGAAAGGGTCTTGTCAAATTGAAGGAGACGTCACAGTCTCAGAAGCTTAATTTGTGGACTACTTTATCCCCCAAAGAGACTGCCAGCCGGGAGCGGATCTTTGAGAGAGACGGAGTACTTAGGTGGACAGCAGGTCCGTCAGCACAGGGGACCTCAACGAGACTAGGATCCTGTCGCATTGGCGTATCGCTGCATGATCTGCTTCAAGATGTTTCGTCTAGAACCACGTCGGGTTCTCTGAGAACCGTCTTTCCACTCACCCGACTAACTTCTCTTTTCTCTTCGGAATTGTACATACTATTCCTTACATACGGAAGAGGAAGCGATATCAGAGCGACGATTGTTCTTAAAAAGGACTGCACCGGGAAATATCAGTTGAAAGCTTGGGCACATGCACTGCTTGCTGCGCGGGTATTGAGCAGCAGCCTCTCAAGTGAGAATTCAACTAGTAACGAAGAGACCGAAACGATTCTCTGCATACTTTCAGAGACTTTGGCCTTTTTGAATGACGGTTCTCGGTTCGAGCGATTCATTAATGCTCTCAGTGACGTCGGGTGGAATATGTCCACTTCGGCACTGGAGACACGGCCAGGGAGGAGGGTTCAGATTGGTTCATAAACATTTGTGCGCTGAACATGCTTTAGTCTGAATGGGCATTATCATAAAAGTTTCTATTCTAAAACAAGACTAGAACACTTTCCAAATCTTGTCAGGTAAGCAGACCTGGAATCCTATTATAATTGTGTATCCTATAAATGCCATTCTAGTTGATCTACAACTCAACCAACACCACAATTAGTGAGTAATATCTCATGAGGGTGTCGCATGATCCTCAATAGTTATAATCAATAAATGTGTAGAATACCATCAACAGTACACCTCTTTGGCTGTAGAGAACAGCATAGATATCCTACATAGGCCTAGGAAGTATGCTACCGGGGCCTGGTTACAAGGGCAAACCCATACTAGTCTCCTCTGAAACAAGTCCTAGCTTCCTCCAAACTTCTACAACGGTAGTCTTTCTTTCCCTATGAGACTAGGGACGAGAAGGTCGACATAACAGAGTGTTTGATGCGAGACCTCTTGCACTGAGTCGACACAATTTTGAAAGATAAGATCTACGACTGCAAATGATTGTATCCAAAAAATAGGGCGAGCATATTCCAATGCAGCAACCGAGGTACAGATTGCGTCGACGGACTAGCAATGTATTCAGTGACTCGTCTAGGAGTATTTGCCCTGCTTAGGTATATGATAAGCTGATGTCATACTATTGCATCAAGACATCTGCTAATCAATGGTCTCTGGATCATCATTTCCAGGAAGCCACCCCGGTTACCTTACTGTGATACCAGTCAGCCAGTCACCTCCTCCAATCACCCTCTTGCCCAGGCATCCATTGAACCCCATGCCAAGGACTCCTAGTCCAAAGAAGAATCCATGATATCAGCCGGGCGGGGCAAATTCGCCTCTGCCATTCATCTTGATAGTATCCAACGATTTGACATATTCTGCACCAAAGTGGCTGGGCAGAAATACCCAAACAAAAGAATACCTGGGCGAGGCGCTTTGAGATTCTTCGGCTGAGCCCTGATCAGTCAGTCCAATGGATATTTAAATTATATGATTGACGTGGTACTATATAGATAACAGCATGAATGGCTGCATCATCTATTTTTACATCTACGAAAGAGACAAGGGACCCAGAACAAGAGTTTCAGAACAAGATGATGTAGATGATATCAATGATACTTCATCTTGTATCGGTCGACTCTGAGGATACGTTCCACGACTTAATCGTGGAACGATACGAAAAAGAGATATGTCGCTGCAAAGCACCCTCGCCAACATGCTGGAAAGGATCATTTCGGGGCCGACTGTCCTTGGCGACCCTGGCCATATATGCAGCTATAAGGAGATAGATGCCTAGGTAGGCACAGAATCATCAGTTACAACAGGTATTATCTATATTAGGGTACTCCTGGACAATGACTCGATGAATCAGGACAGCAAGAACGCAATTGATGCGATGGAATAAGGAATAATCATTAGCCCCCTAATTGTGTATACGGAGTAATATAACCACTAGGTTTCTAACCTATTAAAGGTACGGTCATGTTAAAGACCTGGCATCATACGATCGTGGGCAAGTCACGCGACCCGCCCAAAGGCAACTGCCAACAAACAAGTGAACAGAACAGATTCCGAGAGCTTCTCGTCCAGCTCCCGAACATCATTCGATCAACACAATTCATATACTACATAACTGCTTTCATATTACTGATCTAAGAACTATTTCATTTTGTGATACTCGAGCATACCATACTACGTACTATTTCTTTTCTTCACCTCCGGGCCGTTACTACATACACCATGTTGTTTGCCACCCCCACTGGCCCATACACAAACCCCAGTCCGAGATTCAAACGTCTTGGACGTCGGTCACTTCCTCTGTTGGTAGGAGTTGGTATAGGTGAGCATTGGTTGTCTATATATGTATAGATATATAGCTATATATATATTAGTATATACTCCCATACTAAGTATTTAGTGTTCGGTCTTTCGTCATACTACAAATATCAAACACAACATCGGCTCAGCCAAGTTCAAGAAGAAGAGCGCCTACGCCGGAACCAACAACTCATGGACGCATACGGGCATAAGGAGAGTCTACAAGACGTGGAACATGCACTTGACATGTACGATAACTGATTCGGGCTGAGAGCTCTTCTTTTTCTGAAACTTTTTTCTCTCGGTAGAGCCGACATCCTTTGGGACATCTGAGAATACCCTCTTCTTGTCGATCATATCGGATGGCGTTATTTGAACTCTCGGATGGGCGTTTGGGGTTTGGGTTGTTTTTTCCTTTGTTCAATGGCGGCTATTGATGGCGTCAATGCTGCATTTCCAATCAGTTCTAGATGGACCTTGAAGTATGAGAATTGATCATCAGTTATCACTCCGTACTACTCCATACCTCCTACCTAGTACCCAGTAGTTGGTAGGAGTACCTTGGGTGTTAATAATAGTAACATAGATGACGTCTTATCCATGAAACAACAGCATTAATCAATTGCAGACATCGACGCCATGATCTACACGACGGAAATTTGGGTGGCTCTGGCGCTAAAAACTAATCTGACTGGAGACTCGAGAGGCAACCGCCATCTCTATATTGTGTGATTCAATTGTTCAATTGCTTTATCTCAGATACGGACTGACTAACTACGTAGTAACGTACGGAGTAGGCCGCACGGAGGCCCTCAGACCACAATGACAGTTAGTTTATGCGACGTCCAGTTATAAGCAGATCGCCACTGCAGAAGCATGTGTTGGTTATGATTGCATCCATCCCTGACGGCATACTCCGTAATTGCTGTCAGCATGTGGCGATCAGTGGCTTGAGACTTGGCGCTGTACCTACTCGACAACCATGACGAGTTAGCCGCGATACGCCGAAAGGATCACGGTGAGACGGTGAGACGAGACGCGTTTCAACAGTAGTCGCAGAGTATTTCTGGCTAACTGTATGTAGTACGGAGCATACAAAAACTCGGCATATTGATTTGATGCTACAGAAGGTCCTCCATGAATCCTGGGCTGCGCCACCTAGCCTGTGTTTACTGTGGCGCAGGCAATCACCCCGCTCTGCCTCGCTGCACTTTCGTCATTGCCTTTTTTACCCCTCGATCTTCTCTAGAATAATCGAGTCAACGTGTTGATGGAAATCCGGTTGAAGGGATCTAGAGATCATATCCTCCAAAGAAACTTCTCTTCTCGTCTATCTTCTTCTAGATCGGATGATCCCCTCTGCTCTGTTTACCTTGTGCCCCTCCTTCTCAGCCGTATCCTGGTACTACCAGACTAACACCACCACTAGTATAGGTAGGAAGGTAGTAAGGTACTCCACAGCAATGGCTCAACATCCCCGCACTAACTCAGCCTCTGGACGCTTTGGGAAGATCTCGAATCCAATCAGACGCCTGCCTACCAGACTACCGAACGCTTTGAAACACAGGGACCACCTCTCCGATGGACAAGCACGTCATGATTCCAGTCCTCCATATGCGGCATTTACCAACCAGGGCTGGGATATGCGAAGGGCGGCGCATGGCCTCGACCCTTAGCCCAACAGAATTAGATCGTGGGCATGGGTGCACGGCGTTGCGCGCCCTCGCGCTGAATCTTTATCCACCAGAAATTACGGAGCCAAGCCGATCTGGCGTCTATATCCACCCGACTAGTGAACAAGTGTCACGGTCTGAGTAGCTGGATGAGATCCAATCTAAAGCTTCGAGGGCTTGGTGCGACCACATAGTCTGTATCTAGGTATCTCCCGAGGTACCAGTGCCACTTTAACAGTTACTTACTAGTCCGGTTCTAACTATGGAGTACCTGAGCTTCGCGAGGTACGTAGTGGCGGCGGTGAAAAAAAGGGAAGGAGGGGTAAACAGGAAGCTCAGCTGGGAAGGTTGAGGACAGGGTATAAGTATCTCCATCCTGCCCCTCCTGCTTCAACCTTTCCTCTCATCCATAACATCACTACTCAATCCCATTCTATAACCACTTCTCTTTCTACACAAACAAACTTCACAATGGGTTGGTTCAGCGGTAGGTCTTCCCTGTCTTTGATACTTTCTCCCTTTCTGGTCCTGGTATCTGACTGACATCTTCATTCTATAGACGACTCCGAGCAGGCTGCTGCCTACGACCAGGTTCAGAACAACCCCCATGAGGCTAAGTGGTCCCACGAGCTTCTCGGCGGTGCTGCTGCCTTCGAGGCCATGAAGGCCTATGAAGACCACGAGGCTCGCGAGGGTAATTTCCTCCCCCCCTAATACCCCCAACAGAAAAAAAGGCAAGAAAGGGACACACGTTAACTTTCTTTTTTGTACAGGCAAGATCGACAACCACGCTCGTGCCAAGGAGGTCGTTGCCGGCCTCGTCGGTGCCATCGTTGACCGTGAGGTCGAGACCAAGGGTCTGGACTTCATTGACCGCGAGAAGGCCAAGCACCACGCCAAGCAGCAGGCTGAGGAGCAGCTTGCCGCCAGCGGCCGCTGGTAAGCTCTTGTAAACTAGAGTTTGAGAGCTGGGAGGGGCCTGGGGCTGTGTATATACTTCCCAAGCATGTTTTATGATGAATGAAAACAAGAATACAATCAATATCTTCCTAGCGACGAGTAGAATACCCCTTAATCTTATCTTACATGAGAAATAAAAGAAGGTAGCAAATGAATTACCCTCTTAAAGCAGGGTTTCCGAGGACCACACAGTAGTAATTCATATCTCATGATAGTCATAAACTCATATTCTAGGATATACACGAAGGACAACAACAACATATAGAGAGGTAACAAGACACAAGAACATGCGATAAATAAGCAGGGGCCAAAAAAAAGACCACACCACCAGGCCCTGCTATGCAACCAAACAACGGAATCAAAAAGCCGGTACTTAAGAAAGTTGCAGTTGGGTTTAGTTGATTAAGAAATGCAGGTCGCTAGTTTCACCCTAAATAAAAACCCACCGAAAACAAGAGTATTCCAGAATAAGGAGAGGATATAAAAGAGGAAGGAAGTTGAAAGAAAGGGAGGGAAACGGAGGGATCGGTCATCTGGGTCTCCGGAGAGGATTTTTTCGAAAGGCGTCGCCTTGTTGTCGTTGCGTCTGGCTGCGTGTCACGCGTCGGGTGGAGGTGGGCTTATCCTCCAGACTCAGACCATCGATACCGGGGCCCAGCTCGGCTCTTCGCGGGGAGAAGAAGGCGTCGTTAGAAGTCCGGCCGTAGCGGATATTCCGCATCGTAGCGCTGGTAGCGTTCGTGGCGGTGGTGGCTGTTGTGACGGTTGTCTCGGTGTCTGAGTCGCGTTCTAGGGCGTCGTAGTCGGACTCGTACCCCTTCAGGCTTGCGTAGGTCAAGCTACTCTCCCTGTTCAGACTTGGGCCGCCAAACGCAGGAGCACCGAAGGTGGACATGACTGGTTTCTTCTGCTGCATGGCTGGCTGTTGAGACAGGAAGCTTGAGCTGACCGTTGTCGGCGAGTATGTCAGCTCGGGCACAGCGGACTCCGAGGTGAATGATTGGTGTTCATGAAGCCGAGGGCTTCCGGCTGCTCTGCCGAAAGTACGGGTGTTGGCATCGGGATTCGGAGAATGTGGCTGTGTCGGAGGTGACTGCATCTCAGGGCTCTGCACAGCGGTGCTTGCATTCCGATACAAGGCGAATAACCCCAGAGCCTCCTGGACGGCCATGAAAATCAACAGGAGCTTGCCATACCGATCGAAATATTCCCTGGCAAACGAAACCCGAGGAAGATTTGCTCCCAGGTGCACAGCGGTTGCGAGTTCGGCAACGTAAACCAGTATTTCCATCCCGTTCCATTCGAACATGGGACGTTTCAGGGCTTCTAGAAGCGCAAACCCAGATATCAGACTAGCACTCCCGAGTGAAGCCACCTCAATGTAGTTCCCGGGGATTGAGATGAGATCATTCTGTGACAACAACCACGCAGCAATAGATGCCGCGAGAAGACCAAGCCGAAGATACTGAATAGTCAGAGAAGTCGAGGTCCCTGTAACCGGATATGATGGATGCAGGTTCGACTGCCATGACTCTTTCCTGTCATCCTCCGGGGATCGAATGGTAAAAGTCCGGTCAAACAAACTTTCCAGGCCAGTCGATGCAGCGTGGTCACTCATGGGAAAGAACTTTGGCTGTGCAAAAGATGCCTCGGGCCGGCCAGTGCTATGCTGCCACGGTGTGGGGGATTGGGTTGGCGTACGCTGGAACGGGTTGCGTTCAACCACCTGCTCAATCGGCTTCTGAACTTGTCGATTGCGGAGGCCCCAGCTCTCTGCTTGTGGCGCAGGCGGGAGCGCTCCATAGAAAGGAAGAGGCCCATCGAGAACAGATTTCTGGTCCCTCTGGTGGACACTAATCGTTGGTCGAATATTCCGTGGCAGGGAAGGAGTCCAATCCATATCATCGGCCTCGGGAGGTGGCGTAGGCGGAACGGCTGGCTCCTGTACAGGAGTAGTACGGGGCAATGCTAGCTTTTCTAATGGAAACCGTCGAGCCGTGTGATAGACGCTGGCGCTTGGCGAGATATGTGACTGCCTATTCGCCGTTGAGGGCATATTGTCTGCATCTCTTAACCTATTCGGAGACACGGCCGGAACACTTTCTGTCCAAGACACCAATGGACGGATTTCATATGTCACAATTCTCCGAGAAATAAGAACTGACTAGGAGGCAATGTTAGTAAGATGAGAAGAGTACCAGAGGAAGATACGCGGCACTTACAAGTAATGTAAACGCAAGCATAAACCAATGAAGGGCGGATCTCAGGTCCGCCTGTAAGCCGCTCGATGAAGGGTCTTTGAGCACTGCCCAAAACACACATCTTACTACCATAACAATTAATTGCACCCGGTAGTATTCGCCCAATCTGGAGAATCTACCCCCCTTCCCCTCCACCTTGAGCCGTAACTTGGGGTTCCACCAAAGTGACAGAATACCCATGACCAGTGACAAGCCCGCAAGCGGCACCAAGTCGAACGAACATCGCCCCGGGATGCGGCCTACCCTAACTGTTTCGTCCATGCACGAGAGTATCAATGACGAAGATATTGACGTCTCGATCTCCTCTTGAAACGGCTCGCCTCCGTTCAACGCGGCCATCGAGTCCCATGCAAGTTGACCAGCAACACTGCCCCAGTAGCCGAGAGCGCCCGCGAATACGAGCACGCTTCTCCAGTTCCTGCTCCTTGCCTGTCTCGCAGCACGCCCCGCCTTACTCCGATCCATCATCCGCCGAAGATGATCGGACTTGGCCTCGTAGCCTGTTTGCCGAATGCGCTGCGTAACACGAGGTTCGCACCTCTCGCACACCTGAGGATACCGTTCCTCTAGATTCTGACGAAACAGAGGATATTCCTTTTCGTAAGCGCTGTATGCAGGGTCGTCGGACGGTGGGAAATACGACGCCAGGGCGCTCATAAAAAGATGTTGGTTGCGAACACACTTGGCACAGAACAGGCCGGACTCTGTGAAATCAATTGATTCGAAGGCTGAGTCGGCACCATACGCGCCTGCGTTTGTCTCGTCGGCCGGGGGATCTGTAATTTCTCCCTTCTTTACATTATATCATCAGTATATGGGAGAATAATCCCAGAAAAAAGTACAAGACCCTTTCATCAAAGGAGACGTACCTCATCCAAATAATTGATGGCCTCACAATGTTTACAATGCCATTTGCGGACAGACCCTGTCTGCACCTGATCGGACCGTCGCCCGCAATAGAAACAGCTCAGACGTTTATTGAAAAGAGACGCCATCGCATCGTAGACCAGCTGCCTGGCTGTGGGAGACTGCAGTCTGCGAGGAATGGGGAATTTGCTGTGTTGATTTCTGGGTTTCGTGCCAGGAGTTAAGGCACCAAGAGAAATAATCGCCGAAGCCGCACGGACCAGCTCCCTGGACTTTGGTTTCAAGCAGCTACAAAAAGACAGACAGCAAACACCCTCGGTCTCAGAGGTTTTGTTGGCCAGGAGACAAGACACCGAGCTGCATTGCTGTTTGGTTCCGATATTTGCCTATTGTTTGCTCGGCAATGGGACAATAGTTTGTTTTACGGTGCTGGGGAAGATGCCATTCTAACAAGTAAACTCTGTGATTTCTAGGTATTTCCCAAGAGTGGCATTGTCAAAATCGCAATAATGGATTCGTGGGAATCTCTAGTGGCAGCCTTCTTCATCTGGGTTATTATCCCTGTGGCCGTGGCTGGTTTGAGTCTGGCCGTGGTAAGTAGAAAATACTGCGATAACCCTGTAGATGTGTCTCTCCGGACTGGCTAATAATAAATACGAGCATAAATAGGCCTTATTCTATGCCCTTTCAATCTCTCAAAATACGACTGTGCCCAGACATCGACCGAAACACGCTGCTGCCCATCTTCTCATTGTTCTGGGGAGCGGCGGCCATACTGCTGAGATGTTCTCCATGCTGCGCCGGATGGAACTGGATCCAACGATATACACATATCGAACCTACATTGTGAGTTCTGGCGACAAGTTCAGCGCGGCCAAGGCAGTGGAGTTCGAAAATAATCACCTATACAAGCGCTGTCAGGGTCATAACGGCGAGGGCCAGCCTACCGAGAACCACAAGCTAGCGGGATCTTATGGAATTGTCACTGTGCCGCGCGCTCGCCGTGTTCACCAATCTTTTCTTACAGCTCCGGCCTCGACGCTTCAGTGCTTCTGGCAGTGTCTTCTGGTCCTACGCGGAATTCATCGAGACCAGACCCCGTTACCCCCACAGACACGCTCGCCATATCCTGACCTGATACTTACAAACGGACCTGCTACTGCTGTGTGTGTCATTCTTGCGGCCAAACTGCTCCGTCTTTGGGTCTATTGCTTTGGAAGCAAGCAGCAGCACAAAGACCTTGCCGGCGCATATCCCCTTCGTACTATCTTTGTCGAGTCATGGGCTCGCGTTACCACCTTAAGCCTCTCGGGGAAACTGTTACTACCGTTTGTTGACCGATTTCTCGTGCAATGGCCTGCCCTTGAAGGCAAACAGGCATGGAAGGGCATGAGAAAGACGGAATACGTCGGGACTATTGTGGATTAAAGCACACACACATGCCGACGGAAATAGTTGCGAGGTCCAATGTACATATCATAATAGTATTAGAAAATATTTGTAGTGTTATCAACACATCCTATCAACACATCCTGTCGAAGACGATGCAAGTGGGGGCTGTATTTCCGTCGGGCCACCCCCCAATTTCGAGAGAGAAAAGGACGTCTCTCGACGGACAGTGGCATCTCATTTTTTGTAATCCTTTATGCCTAGTTTCATTGCATCAAGGCGATCAGACAGACAAACGGCTACCGAGGTTAGATGAATACTGGAAAAAGGTCCAAGGTGGTCCACCTCACGCATCTCAAGCCCGCGTATCTATCATTATCGGCTAACCTCCGGCTATTGCCAATGAATCATCTTAGGTATCGTATCTATACTTTTAACTGTATCCAACCCACTACCCCTCTTGCAAAACCACTCCCTGTCACCACTCGTCACGCAATAATGCCGTACTCTCTATCGGGCCGTAATGTCCTCATTACTGGCGGATCTCGGTATGTTTTCGTTCCATAGATGTTAAGAAAGACTTCCATGCTGATTACTATAAATCTAACCCAGGGGACTGGGAGCTCTTGTGGCTCAGAAATTCGCTGCTGAAGGATCCAACGTTGCTATCAACTATGTCTCGAGCAAAGACGCAGCGGAGCAGGTTGCCCGTGATATTGAAGCTCAGTATAAAGTAAAGGCAGAACTTATTCAAGGAGTGAGTGGTTGCTTTTCTTTGCAATACCAGTAGTAGGTACTAGTTACTAAACCTACCAGGATGCAAGCAGTGAGCCCAGTTGCAAGAGAATCGTACAGACAGCTATTGAAAAACTGGGTGGTCTGGACATTGTGATATCTAATGCGGTGAGATAGAGATACCTCCCAGTCATAGACATATACTCGAGGGATTAATCTGCTAATGCACATTCAGGGGTGGACCAGGATAACCACATTCAGTGATCTAGACGCAATGAGCGACGAGGAGTGGGACAAGGTAATACCTATTCCAGGCACCCGTTCCGGTCCCAGATTAGAGACTGACCATGGTCCCTCATCCCTTTAGTGTTGGTCCGTCAATGTCAAAGGCCACTTTTATCTCTTCAAGGCGGCAGAACCTACTTTCAATGCGAACCCAGAGGGGGGATCCTTCATTCTGACTTCATCCACGGCAGTGAGTTACCCACAGGAAACAAGGTAACATCTCTCACCTTACTAACTCGGTCTTCAAGGCTGTTTCAGCAAGTGGGAGCAGTCTGGCATACTCTGTCACAAAGGCAGCAGGTAAATACCAAGAGCGTCTAGCGATAACCACAAAATATGCTTGTTTTGGGAGAGAATGTTCTGATCATGATATAGGATTGCATCTTATGAAGTGTCTGGCGCAGAGTCAGGGAAGTAAGATCCGAGTCAACGCCGTACTGCCAGGCCTGATGCTCACAGATTGGGTATGTGTGCATAATTTTGCTTCATGACGGCTTCTAATATGCTACAGGGGCAACGTTTCAGTCCAGAGAGTATCCAAGCCATGACTGACCGCGCGGTACTAAAAAAAGTTGTCAGTCTATCTCTCTCTTTCTCTTTTCCATAAAAAGTTATCGTATTGACAGAATTTGCCAGTCCGAGATTGATGATATAGCCGGTATGTATCTTACCATCGCAAAGAATTCATCAATGACAGGTCAATCAATTCAAGTTGGTAAGTGTTGAACCCTAAATCGCAGGTACCAGTGCTCATTTCAATATAGACTCGGGGTTCTTTATTAGATGATGCATCAAGCTATATAAAAGCAACAGGGATTGAGTCAGAAATCAATATATCCTTTATACAAGCCATATTAGGACATTGGGTATCACAGTGAGCTACAACGCTGTAAAATATTTGCAAAAATCCATTAAATCATCACCCCCTATGAAAGAGGGTTATAGAATGGCGTAAAACTCCCACTGTCCAAGTTGAACGGTTGGCTGCTGGTCATTTTGGCCTTGAGGGCAGCTCGGAAGGCGTCGACAGATGTTTCACCTTCCACCTTCATTTTGCGGATGCAAAGCAGTTTACCATCACGAGTAAAAATGTAGACATTCTTCTGTTGGTTGGACTCAAATGGGGGAGATCCATCAACAAAGGGTAGACCCGGAACGAGCGAAAGGACATCGCAACCCCTTGGCGGGTCGACTTCTTCCACTTCCGTGAGAATAACTCTCCTATGCTGGAACAAAGGGACCCCGTCAGCTGAAGGTTTGGCGACAACTGCATTGTTCCAGAGCGGTCCAATAGTCCGGTTCCGTCTGCTGATATCTAAAGATGTCCAATTGACCCAATCGACATGCCGGTCGTCTGGTGTGATCTTCGCCGCGTGGACAAGCCCATTCCCTTTTTCAGAAGCCAACCAGCCGGCCTCTCTCAAAGGCGGAACAAATAGCCCATCTCTGATGCCATCAACAAGCATCTGTGCTGCCTTGGGAGCAAGGAAACGGCTTAATTCCGTCACTGTACAGGTCTTGGGGTTTGGTATCTCGAGACCGGGTGCAGGAGTCTGCGCAAGAATGACTCCATGGTCAAAGTGTTTCAAATGAAGGGTCTGGAGCGTGATACCGGTTCGAGTCCTGCCGGCCATGAGAGTGTAGTGTAACGGAGCCGGGCCACGGAAGCTGGGTGGATTTTTCATCAGTATGTCCCCAAAAAATCGATATTTTGCAGGGTAAAGGTACTTACTCCGGAAGCAGGGAAGGATGCAAATTCAGCCCCCCGTATTTCGAAGCATTAAGTAGGCGAGAAGGCACGAAGAGACCAAAGGAGACTGCCACTATGAGGTTGACCGGGCCAGCCGGAAGTTCGGGCGGCTACTGTACTTTAGTGAAATAGGAACAATCGATTGAAATAAGAGGAATTCCCTACTGTCCATCCCCTGAATGTATCGACCTCATGCACTGGCAATTTGAGGTCTGCTGCGGCAGCTTTTATAGGCACTATAGAACGGTGAGAAACCGGCCTATCAAAACTAGTATCGGAGGTATTGTAGCTCTTACCTTCACGTATGTTCTTCCAGCCTCTGCCAACTCTTTTCCCCGGTCTGCAAACAACATCAATCGACGCAATCCGATCGGGTCGTTTCACATGCTCATCATGAAGAGCCTTCAGGGAAGCGATGCTGAAGTCGTCTGAGCCGCAGAACAAGATGCGAAGGGGGTCGTATGCTTGAGTGGAAGAGGAGCTATAGAGACAACTCCTAGGAACCTCTACTCGTCTCAGGAGCCTTAAAACTCCGAAATTGCCGGAGATTCGCATTTTTTCTCAGTATCCAGCAGACACGAGGCTTCAACAAAGCTCTAGGAACTCCTTGAGACTCCCAGTCGTGGGTAGCTACTAACGTTATCGATAGGGCCACGTGATGTCACACCGTCGCGCCTGGTGATGCTACAGAACCGCGGCGACATCCAGACCATAGCCATTTTTCCCTTTCGAGTGCTTGGGTCGTTTTCCTGGACGCTGCAGTCCAAACTATGAAATGCCAGATAATGGCTTTGCGTCGGTAATTCCAGCGCAAGTCTCGTTCCTCGCTATCTACAACCCACTTCTCGGACCAACCGATGAGACAATCAACGATCAGATCGTTTTCTATACCTCAAGGTCCAGGCAGCGACAACGAACCAAAACCTCCGCTGTGGATAATGGAGAGGATACAGATGGCAAAAATGAGGCAAATGAGCGGTTGCGCCAGATAGGTCTGGCGCAAGGCATGGTGAGCTTCGCAAGGTATGGCTCACAGACTGTCCACGTGGATGAGGTAAATGATGTTGATGGGAATTGCAGGAATTTTTCAGAAGGCCAGGCAGTCGAATATGTGGAAACAGAAAAGGCATGGATCATCCTGCATGAGTTGGAGAATAGCTGGTGGATTCTAGCTGTATGTATATCTTAAGTCGATGATAATAAGGTCAAGACTGACGAATGCTAGTCAATTGACCTTACCAGACTACCTACCGAGTCTGTCAACGGGAAGTCCGAGCCTTCATCGCCCTCATACCAATATTCCTCGCGAGAGATGTGCCCTCCACAACTACTCATTCAACAACTTCGCCGAGCTCATTCGACCTTTCTGCTACACCAAGACAATACACTAGATGCTCTATTTCAGCGCGTTGGCAGGCCGACATTTTGTCACCTCCTTGGCCGTTTCTGGGAGAAATATGTTTGGAGCTGGGACATCCTTCTCAGTGGAAATCCAGCTGTTGAGATGTTCAATGGTATTAAGCTCTCTGCTGGCGGCGAGCTCGGTATCGGCGTTGGCGAAGAAGAATGGGGCAGTGGTGAAAGAGAGGTGCTCGAGGATTTTGTTTCCCGGACCGATGGTCTAGTCGACCTGGTTGTCTCACGGTTTGGTGATGGAATCTCTCAGGCTGAGGAGACTGCCCAGCCAGGGCAGCTAAAGAGCATCTCAGCCACCGATTCAGTCGATATTGAGCATTGGCTTGGGCAAGGCAATTATCCTAGGCCTTCGGATGGCGTGATCTTCACAGGTGTGGGAGCTATATCAAGATTTTCTCTGCTCCAAGTCTCTCAGTGGATGGAGAGGATATACAGATATGGCAATGATGCATATGGACTTGGCGAACACCAAGCCTCGCCGAATATAAAAAAAGGCCGAAAAAGACGCGGTCGGAATCATTTCAGAGACACCAGCATGCCCTCCGAGCAGATTGGACGAGCAGCATCCAGCGTTTCGAAGTTGAAATCCCCAGACCGCAGGTTCTCGCCTGGAATACCACGTCCTCTGGTATTGCCTCACATGCGTTCTCAAAGCCTGGCTGGGTCCGGGAAGAATTCCCCTAGTGGAAGCGAGAGTACCTCAGCAGGTAGTCCACGTGCCAGTGACTGGTCAGCATTTGGAACAGAAACTTTCATGAAGTACCTAACTTTGGGCTACGGTTCTTCTTGGGGCTTCTCTTCTGAAAACCAGACTGCCCTCCCTCAAGTGGCCGGGCCGAAGCAGCAGGGTGACAACACCGAAACGGTCTCTGTCAGCCCTTCTGATGAAGAAGGACGAGTCCCGGAACATGTTCCTGTGAAAGTCGACAAGGGCAGGTTTATTGTCGGCTTGACTGACGAGATAAAATCCGAAATGGAGGTACTAGATAACGAGGAGTCTCCGAATCACAACATAACTAGCAGGACGCTATATCTGAAGCTTTCGCCTGGGGAAGACCTGACGAAGCTCCAAGTGCTCGTCTATGTAGTAAGTGGAAGCTATCTCTCTACCTCCTTGCAGATCGATTTCTAACATGGCATCAGCATCAACCTTTCATTTTCACGTTTCTGTTTGAAGAAGGAACCCAGGCCCTTTCAACACCTTCACTGTATCGAGCCATCCACCATCAGCTATATCCTCTCCGGAAGTCCCTTCTGACATCCACGTCTCCTGCCAACGCGTTTCGCCGAATATCCATATCAAACACCCTCGATCCCCAACAACGGTTCTCACAGGCTAAAACAAAAGACGAGCCGGTCTACGATCTGGTCTACGACCCGTCCAACCTCACTATCCGGTCTTCGATCCCCAATATTCCTGACCTAGGATCCTCAATCCATGCATCTGGTCTTGCGTCCATCGATCAACCCCCCCTTACCCGCATCGAAAGCCTCAACATTCACCACCGCCTGTTAAGCACCTACACTGAGACCCGGACCCGTCCCCTCGAACTCGAACAGACCTGCAAAACGAGCCGTGGCTGGTGGATAGTCTGGATGAGATTGAACGACCAGAATAAGCAAGATCACGAACCGTCCTCCTCCTCTTCATCTGCTCAGGAAGCCTTCCTCGTCCGCAAAGCAAGCGATTACGCCACTGCCACCGGGCATGGTCGCGGGGGCAGTAGCAGCGCCCGCTTTTTCAGGGATCTAGGCGGCGCATCTGCCTCATCTGCAGCCTTGCAGCAGGCTCGCGCGGAAATGGGCGCCTCGTCCCGGCTAGCCGAGGGGTTGGGTCTAGATCCGCGAAAATACATCGAGAACCTCCTTAATCTAAACCGATGATCTCCCTGCTCACTATTTACTTATTATTATGTATATACTTTATCAACCCATATCACTTAAGATACGGAGTACTGAAGACCATAGTGGAGTAGTGAATTTCAAATATATATTCGTATCTTACTACGATAAGCTAGCTGCATGTTTGCCAAGGTCAGATATGCACTTCTCAGGCAGACACTATTCAGCTTTCGCGGCATCTCCATCAGCTGAGGCAATCCCTGTAATCGCGGTGGAACCAATAACAGCATACCACGGGGATTGCCATGCTGGTAGACCCGGCATGGCGAATTAGCTGGAGCTTACAGTGGGTGTATATTGCGTGAGTCCGAAGGAGTACTACATGTGTTGCTGCCAGGGTGGCCAAAGGATGCTGAGCCTGGCCTGGCTGGATCATCAGCAGACTTGATTTAGGCGCGTACTACATACGTACACGAAGCACGAGCAGTGTTGTTTGATTACAGGAACGAACCATGCATTCTCTCAAACAGGAAATCAAAGACCAAGCCAATATCAAAACGAGGACTCTTTGCGAGAGAGGTCTGAAGCGATAGGATCAATCTAGATTATCTTATCAAGCAGCTCCGGCTTCCTTGACCAGCCCTCGCGAGAGAGACGAGAAGAAAAACGCCGTTCTCGATTGCTCCCTTTCGATCTCCAATGTTCCGTTACAGATGACTCTTTCCGGGGTAGCGAGCATTGAGAATAGTAGTAGATCGAGTCGCCAGGCGGGCGCTTTGGAGAACCGAAAAAAGAAAAACCCCCGAGATTATGAAGACAACGCCTCCCTAGACACAAATTCTGCAAAAACAAACAAGAAAGTCGGCCAAATTGCAATATCCCAGGTACCTCATGTGCCCGTGGTTGAAACATTATCCACACCTTAGTCAGGCACAATCCTGCAGCTCGCACGCGCGCGCACACACATACTCTCTCTCTCACCAATGTAGAACCACCTTCGACAATAATGATGTGTTCGAGATGCTTATCCGCCGATAAAATCTCCTCTTTAAAGATGGACCTTGTGTAGGAGAAAAACTAGTTTACAGAATGCTGCATTTGCTCCGCTTCTTAGGTGTCTTGGTCAGGAGGGCGGCACGGGTGGCAGCCTCGAAGACTTCGCGAACACCCTCGCCGCTTCGGGCAGAGCACTCGAGGTACTTGTATGCATCGATCTTCTTGCGGACTTCCTCGCCCTAGAAAAGAAAAAAAAAGAAAAGTCAGAAATTGCCTGAAAGAAATTCTCATTGGTTTATGATCAAGGAATAGACCATACCTGCTCGGGAGTAACGGGCTTCTGGGAGGTCTTGTGAAGTTCTTCGATGGTCTTAGGATCGTGACGAAGATCCTTCTTGCAACCGACCAGAATGATGGGAAGGCCTTGGCAGAAGTGAAGAACCTCAGAAATCCACTAAATATCATGTTAGCGCACGGATTCGATGACTTAGAAAAAAATAAGAGTCCGGGGTTCGCTTTTTGCAAGGTAGCAGTTTTCCCTTCTAAAATTTCATTCGTATTGTGTATGTTCTGCCCCTGAAGCAAACCCCTTTCTTGTATCCAGATTGTAAAGAGGGAACACACCTTCTCCTGGACGTTGTCGAGAGAGTCGGGCGAATCCACGGCAAAGCAGATCAAAATGACATGAGAGTCGGGGTAAGAGAGAGGACGGAGACGGTCGTAATCTTCCTGGCCAGCAGTATCCCACAGAGCGAGCTCAACACGCTTGCCATCGACATCAACATCGGCGACGTAGTTCTCGAAGACGGTAGGGACGTAGACCTATAGAAAGCGAGAGAGAGAATCAGATCGGAACATGATGACAATTTCCCCCTCACAAAAAAAAAAAAAAAACAGATTCCACTGGCGACAGTATTGCCTACTCCAGGCCCGACATATTATATCAGGCCCTGGGGTAGCGGTGACATCAGGGGAAGCTAACCTCAGGGAAGGTGCCTTTCGAGAAAACGCTAGAAGAGACACACAGGTCAGTACCGATCGGGAAGACAACACGAAAAGAACTCTCTCAAGTCCATCGAAGGGAGGTTGGAATGGTATCGAACTCACATCAAGAGACAAGTCTTACCGCAGGCACCATCGCCAACGATGACGAGCTTACGACGGATCTCAGCCATCTTCAGTCGAGAGAACAAGTCAAGTCAGCAAAAAAAAGGAGTAAAGATGAGCAACCAGATGAAGTGGATGAAGCAGAAGAGAGTCAGGAGTGGTCGCCGATGGAGGTATGAATGTGTTGTTGAGGAAGGCTCTTTGAGAGGGGGTGTTTGATTCCACAGGGAAGGGTCAGGCGGCCGGAGGGAAAAGGGTAATCAAACGTACGGTGTAGGAGGAAGAGGCGACGGGCGCAGATTAAAGGCTTCTTCTGAGCGAGAAGGGGTGGTTGTGGCGGGGAAGCGTTTGAAAATTCAACAATCACCACCAGCTGAGGGAGGAGATGTAGGTAGACGGATAGGAAATTTAAGAACGAGAGCTTCCAGGGGAACAGGTTCGATGAAAGTGGAAAGAATAGAGTTGATGAATTGGGGGGGGGGGACGGGCGTGGATGCTGTATTGTATGGAACGACAAGTCGGCGCAAGCACGAGAGGTTATCGGCGGTAAGTAATCAAATGGTTCCAAGGCAAACCCGAGCCCTTTATTTATTACCTATTTACCCTTGTCCCCCGTCACGGCGGCGTCCTTGGAGCTGCAAACCGGACGGTTAAAGGAGATTATAGAGAGAAAATACTAAACTATTTCTTGACTTGAGATATTTTTAAATCCCTCCCCAGTCCCTGGCAATGTACATGGAATTGTGTATTATATCTGACCCTTTTCTTAGGATTCTGCCGACCTGAACCGAAGCCGTAATAACCGTATGGTATTGTATTTACATGACCACTCCGCCTCCTAAGGTGAAAAGCCACCGTGGCTGGAGCGCGCAGTGCACAGCAGGGTGACTTAATAGGGAGCAGGGGCAACTGACTTCACTAATCCTGACACTTTTAACTGGAGATGAAACATCTTGTCTTTTAAATTTCTTCCTCGGGAAATAAATGTCTATCAGGAGGGGTTCAGACTCCAGAGTCATGGGGTCTCTGCTGTTGATAACAGAGAGAGTGCTCCGGTCGGAGTAAGGACCTGCAAGCTCCAGTAGCAGCTCCCCTTTTCCCGTACCATACATACATAACCAGCTGCGATCTCAATACCTTATGGAGCAGTTCTTTTCCCTTGAGACAAGGGTTGAGCTTACCGGTCTAATAATATACTACATAGTACATCCTGTAGTAGAGGACGCGTGAGCAGTGAGTGGCCTCATCCTCTTGACAACTGAAGCTGCCACACTTGCTATTATTATTATAATTCCTGACTCCGGACTAGGACTGCTATTATTGTTGACTGTCTGACGCGGTGCCGGGTCTAAGATACCGAGTACGGAGCACCTCCTACCTAGATAGGTGCCTGCTACCCCGTATTGGTTGTCTGTGCTCCTCTTCGCGAAATTGCATATCGTACAGCCCAGCTCGGGATGGCCTGGGCTCTGGCTCCCAAACAGGATTGGTAGTGCGACTGGGGACAATATTTAAACTCTTGTGGCTGTCTGATGTACTCCGTACGTTGTTTTTCGCCATCTCTCCAAGGTCCTTTGGGTTCATGGGAGTCCGTTGGTCATGGTCGAGGCAGCTCCGAGCTTCCGAGCCCCTGTGCGTTACTTGAGGCAACGTGAGGCTGCGTATGCCTGCGTCGGATCGACAGTTGGTTAGTCAATGACGCTGGTCTGCAAGGTCAACGAAATAGGAGATGTCGCTCTTCTTCGGTTCCACCGTGTCCACTGCCCAGAGACACGAAAAAAATAGGTCTTGTCTTTTGCTTAATAGCTACTAGTTTAGCTGCTAGCTAGCGAGAGAGTCAAGGACGTCTTCTCCATGGTCGATCACCTTTAACCTCGTGCATAAGCCTATCCGAAAGTTTGAGCTGTGGCTCTGCACATCTGCCGGAAGGGCTAGGAGGTAGTTAGTACCTAGGTATGGAGTACGGAGTAGTTATTCCTAGTTATTGGAAAAGACATCACCTGAAACACAAGGCTCCTAGGCATAGACAGTAACTAATTAACTGCCTACCTAATTGACCTGCACCCCTAGTCCCCTACGAAATAGTTAAATCAGTATTCCGCTGCTATCTATGTGTACTCCGTACTAGTGGGTGCTACCGTAGGCATCAATGATACCATTATAATACTGTCGTGATACTCGGTACCGAGTTGGTACCTTTTGGGCTGTGCACAGCCACATCCCTAGAGAGAAACCCACCAGGGATATACGGAGTAGGGCTTCAATGTTAAGAGAATCATGATTCATGTTGGCTATACTATATAATATGCTTTGAAGGAGATAAGCTTGTATATCTATAATCCCACCTATGTTGCTGTAGTGTACTTACTAAAATACGGTAGTAGAGTTACTTTTATATACTCCGTGGTCCCTTAATACTCTATACTCCAAATGGAGCTGAAAGGACCAGGTAACTTTGAAAAAAACGAGGTAAGTGAATCACTTAGATCATCCGAGTTACCTATTAGGTATATAAAGATCAAGTGGAATGCTGCTCGATTGACTAGATCTTAAGAAGCATTCTATGCCTGGGAACCGGCCATGAGTTCTCCAGGTAGACAGTCAGGATTAATAGTAGCTTAAAATAGTAAATATCCCATGAATTTCCACACACACACTATTCTGCTTGTCTCATAAGGACATGTCTTGAGTCTTGAGAAGTGTTGTCGATTCGCTCGTGGTGGTTCGGTGTCCGAGGGCCCGTCGGCGTCCTCACGTGACCGCAAAGGCCGCAATTTTCCCTACCGAGCAGCTTCGTGACATGGCCCTGACAGACCGTTCAGCCATTGTCGGCCCAGCCCCTTCAACATGCAGAAAATTATCAGAAGGACGGCTTTGGCCAGGAACCAAGCCCAAAGGAAGGCGATTAGGTCGGCCAAAGCCGCCGAACGCGAAGAATACAAGGACATATTGAGGCAGCAGTTTGCGTTCAACCGCATGCAACTCGATGCCATCCGCGCAGAGAGGACGAACCGACGCGAAGATTGGTTACGAGGAACGCTTGCCCACAAGCGAGATGGCGGTCTAGATGGCAACCATTACGGTGCTCTGAGCCCCCAGGCAATGAATCCGCCCAAGATTCCTGAGCGTCTTCGCCGGAAATACATCAACATCGCCGCGGGTGACCGGGTGTGCCTGATGAAAGGCAAGGACAAAGGCAAGATTGGTGAGGTCGTCCGAGTAGACCCCGAAACAGAGACTGTTACCGTCAAGGATCTCAACAAGGTACGCTTCGTCTGCTTTACCCAGCTCTTAAGAAAATACAGGATGCAAAAAAGGAAAAAGAAGACGCCATCGTTCTAATGTCAATACACCTTCCAAATAGTCCGACGTGCATTTCCCAGAATGGCTCAACGAACAATACGGAAACAAGCAACCCGTCAACTCTCTCGAGCTCCCCATGTCGATCGACCATGTCAAACTTGTGGTCACTCTGGACGATCCGGTAACGGGTACTACTCGTGATATGTTAGTGCAGCACGTCTATGGCGGAGAACCATTCCTCGAGCGGGAATACGGCGCAACGACCCCCAAGCACACCAGATACATTTCCGGCGAAAACATCGAGATCCCCTGGCCCCGGACCGAACCTCCTGCCCTCAAGGACGAAGAGTGGGACACGCTGCGGATGGAGGTTGAGACGCCGACCTGGCTTCCATCCCTGGAGTACGCTCCATTCCCCCCCAGTGTTCTCGATGAGCTGCGCAACAAGTTCTCCAAGTACCGAGTAAGGCACGATCCGGAGTGGGTTCGCGAGAAGAAGATGGAGGATTACAAGAAAGAATATCTGCAACAGCAGGCTCTGTTGACACCCAAGGGCGAGTTGATGGCCATGATTCGGGCGAAGAAGGAGGAGGCACTCAAGTCGAAGTGTGACGCCGATGGAAACTTGGTCATGGACACTCAAACTGTCGACTTCATCGATCAATTCCTGCAGAACAAGGCACAGAAGAAGACCCAGTCAATTGCGTGAGAAGTGTCAGAAATACCGGGCTATCACCTCGGATGCTACACGGCGTTTTTTTATTTCACTCCCCGAGTGTCTTCCCCCCTATGGCATGTATACAGCTTCATTTGTAGTATTAGTAAAGGATATCATAACATGTACAAGAGTCAATTTCGAGTTTTTTCATCATATCACCATTAATCACCTATAAAATATATTCTATAATTGGACGTGGGGCCGTCGCCTGGCTGACAATATCTTTAATTGTTGCCAGACCGGCGTTTGTTACGACACCCACCCGCTTTGAAGGTATCCAACCGCCCAGGATCTTCCCGGCGGACTCGTCGGTCTCCCTGCCACAACTACATACCATCCTTCCCAACCCGCCGTGATCTGAGGGTTGCTACCGCTCTTTCCAACATGGCCTTTGCTTCGATAAATACGTCGGGCATCGATGCCCCTGCTCCAATGTCTATTAACATCCCCGCGATCGAGGAGGCATTCGCCGCCGAACCTTCCCTAAAGAAGCGGGTCTACGATGCAATCAGTATGGTTCTTGTTTACCAACAACACCTTTCCTAGAAATTAAGGTAGACATCGCGCATGCTGATAACTGTCACTTGAATGAACACAGGCTCCACACCGCAACATGCGCCCTTATTTGAGGATATTGCCCGATACACTACAAACCTGCAGGTCAGGAAGAACGCCTTGAACACCCCTGTCTCTCACGTTCAAACACCCAGTGACGGCCCAGCTGCGAAGAAGCGGAAGCTACAGAACGGAGATGGTGTAGGAAATGGCATCTCGTCTACGAATGTGAAGGCAGACGCGCCGCTCCAGTTCTACATGAAAGATGTTTCCTTCGCGGTCCCGCAGCGGAAAAAGTTCACGCTGGAAATCACCACCGGGCAGGGTCTGCTCCGGGCGAGAAATCAGACCTCCAAAGAGGTCGAGTTCGGGGTCCCGATTGATAGAATACGTGAGGATCTAAGCAGTGTTTTTATATCCATATATATATTGTTTTATGGTCACGCTAACACTGTATTCACTGGTACAGAACATATCCTCTGCCTTCCTGTGCCGGAGAAAACCCAGCGACAATTCAATTTCTGCGTGATTCCTTGCTTTGCAGACGGCATCAATGCCCCCCCCGAAGGTGAAACAGCCGCGGAGTCGATGGTCTGGACGATCGCCGATGGCCCTCCCAAGACTGCATTCTCGGGAAATGGACAACAGCTGGGTACCGGCGGTGACGAAAGTGCAGAGGGGCTGATCCGACGGATATTGAACGAGAACCTGACTCAGACGAAAGTCGTGCGGCCCGATGACAGGGAGTTTGTTAGTGCGATGCCAGAGCCGCACCGTAAGACGGAAAAGGCGTACCATGTGAAAGCGTTTCGTGGGAGTAAAGAGGGTATGCCACAAAGATCCGGAATGCACAGCTTTAGGAGGACCCACTAACTCTGGTCTAGGATATCTCTTCTTCCTCTCCAACGGAATCTTGTTCGGCTTCAAAAAGCCATTGGTCTTCTTCTCATTTGAGAATATCGAGTCGATATCATACACATCGGTTCTCCAACGGACATTCAACCTCAACGTCATTGCTCGCCCCACGATCAGCACGGGCGACGACACCATGGAGTTTGAATTTTCCATGATCGACCAGGCCGACTACGCCGGAATCGACACCTACATCAAGCGACACGGCCTGCAGGATGCCAGTCTAGCGGAGGCGCGGCGCGCCAAACGGTACAATGTTAACGGAGCCAAGGGAGAGGAGGGACCCGTTGGCGCTGAGGCTGATACCGGAGCTTACGAAGAGAGCGAGCTGCAAAAGGCTGAGCGGGAGCTTGAAGACCAGGAGGATGAGGACGAAGAAGACTACGATCCCGGGAGTGATGGTGAGAGCGAGGGAAGTGGAACAAGCAGTGACGAAGACGAAGACGAGGATGGCGAGGGTGATGAGGACGACGAGGACGACGAGGACGAGGAAGACAGGGATCTTGTCAAGGAAGAGCTCGGCAGTGAGGCGGAGGATATTCCTGAAGATGAGTTGTAGCCTGTGGTTGTATACCCTGTATACTATGTCCCCTACTTTTTGGTTTACGGGGTTATAAAATTCAATGATTGAATACGGTGTCAGTCAATAGATCGACTGGTAACCGGGTAGGTAGTGACGGACGAACCTTTTTAACTACGGATCAAAGGATTGTATGAATAAACATGATCCCCAGGTAGTTTTGTTACTAAGGATACCCAAATATGCCCGGCTATCTCAAACCTGGAACAGATTACATTATGACGTCGAAAGTACCTCATAGCTTGGAACAGCATTTGGACAGTTGACTGCTCGCCAACTACTACTCCCACTGCTGTACAGCAGGCTTTTTTTTTCTCTCTTATGTGTATGAGGATAGAACAATTCCTTTATACCTTTGATCTCTAATGAGAGCTTTTACACTCACTCAATGGCTCCTCCAGGGTGCTTCGTACAGACTCACAGTCAAGTAACCCTGTATTCATCAGTGGGTCGGGGACGTGTCAGATCCGCGCTTGGTGGAATCGTCGAATCGAACCAACGAGGCGAGATGGCAGAGATAGAACAATACGGAGTACAGAATACAGAGGCTCCCAGCTAAACGAAGTATTTTACCTGTGTAATTATTTACGGAGTAACTATCTACTATCTAGTAGAAGGGTAGCTTGTCGAGTGTCCACCGCCGATTGCCCACTGCCCACCATCATGGGTCAGGGGAGAACGGTACTCCTATCACCAGTCATAATTAGCAGTGGATCAATGGTGAAGCAGACAATTCATCTATTACTCCATATGTAGAATAGCATTCTCACATGCCTCAAGTTGCTGGCCAGTGGATAGACGGAGTCGAACACTGTGACCAGGCTACCGCCGTAGCTAACAGCTTGGCGAGTGATTGCTGGCCACTGCCCACTGGCCAGGGGTAACCTGGGCGGCTTCTCGATCAAGCTACGGCGTGACGGAGTGCAGCTAGACTTGACTATCAGCATACTTACTTCGGATATAGAGCACTGACTCGGATCCTCGATTAGTAGCATGCATTAATCTTGCGGGCAATAATCAATGACAGGCGGTTATTGGAGGTACAGATTACGGAGTCACTTCGTACGGAGAAACAACGGAGTAAGTACCTTTAGTCTCCTCCTAGGTACTCCGTACCTACTACCTACCTCCTACGGGTAGTACGGAGTACTCTCGTCCCAGGGAGTCTCCGTTGTCTTGACCTTATATCGCTTAGAGAGCACCTGCCTAGGTACCTAATAGAGACCTTGCTTTGTGTCTTGTTCTCCATACTCCGTCCGGAGGAGAGAGGAGGGTACGTCTTGTGCAAGGGATGATAGTCGCCATAGTAACAACCACGAGTGCATGGAATGTACTGATGTCAGCGATATCATCATCTGAATGATCAATCAGGTCTTTAGTCAAAAATTCCTCGAAGAATGGGGAGGTAATACCCATTCTTTCAGACATAGACAGAAAGGCTTTATATGATACTCTATTATTACAGAACAATAATCATAACCTTACCTAGTACCTAGCTAGATAGTTACTACTAACTACTAAGGTGCCTAGCCTCAAAACTAAACGGTCGCGAAGGCACTAAGGGGATCCAGACCATGTAATTAAACTACCTGGAAACAGTATAGTGCCCGGGCTAATCCAGACATCGCAGCCTGGTCTATCAGGGCAGGCTATTCCTGTCAGGGACTAGCCGCTGTATGTTAGTACGGTCGTATTGGTACCTCGTTACTAGCGCAGACAGTTCCTGTATGGTCACCACGGGCCGGAGCCCGCCGAGACAGTGGCAGAGTTTGGTTTTAGGGGATGAATCCCGACCGCTTTTTTTTTTACAGCGACAGTCTTGGCGGTGGTCAAGAGTCAGTACGGAGTACCTCTCTACCCTAAGGTACCTTAGGTACCTAATAGTTAGTAGTGCCTACTGTGACTGTGGAAGGTCCTACAGGTAAAGAGCCTAGAATACTAGAATACCGTATCACGCCTGACTGGTACCTAACCAACCTTACCACGCCTCAGTCTGCCGCCGCCGCTTGCTCTCCCCAGACCTGGCCGTTTTCCCATCCATTTCCCCTTCTGCTGTGCCTGTTCCATTACCCATTTACCCACCTCTTCCTTTTTTTTTTCTCTTTCCCTCTCCCTCCCTCCCTCTCTCTCTCTTTCGCTTCTCCTCTCTCTGCCTTGCCCACCTTTCCTATCGGCGGCAAGACTGCCACTGTGCCACTCCCGTCGCTCGGTTCCCCCCCCCGAGTCTCGAGTCTGCGGCGTCTCCCTCTAAACCCACATCCTTTCTTGGCCGCCTCTCTTTCTCCTTTCCCTCTCTCCCGTGCAGCCCTCAAACCCGTCATTCTGCAGCCCCAACTGTCGTCGTGCAGCGTCCGACTGCCACTTGCTGCAGTCTCGAGGGGGGTTTTTTTTTTCTCCTCACTCGCCTTGCTCCCTCACACCGAGCCGCCTTTCTTCTACCTGAGGAAAGGGAACCCGCCCGCCCGTGAGCGTTGCCTGCTTCTCCGACACGGTCCTGTTCTAGTAGGCACACCCATCCAATCTTTGAGGCAATGGACGGCCAAGGAGGTTCCGTTCATCTAGTTAGTCACTGTGGCTAATTGTCATATTTTTTATTTAGAACCGTTCGCGCGAAGTTTCTCCCTGAGCCGATTCATCGCGTTTCCGACCAGCCTGGGTCGTTTTGTCGGTAGCAATGGCCTCCTCCTCTTCAAACGTCGTCGGTGTGCACTACCGGGTGGGAAAAAAGATCGGCGAGGGTTCATTTGGTGTGATCTTCGAGGGAACAAATCTTTTGAACAATCAGCAAGTGGCCATCAAGTTTGTATGTGTTGCCTCTTTTTTTTTCATTTTATAAACAAACCAGATCGATGCTCGTGATTAACACCGTTAGGAACCTCGCAAGAGTGATGCCCCCCAGCTTCGTGACGAATACCGGACCTACAAGATCTTGGTTGGCTGCCGTATGTACTACCTTCTCTTTTTTCGGTTTTCCTCTTCCTGCTACCCGGATACCTTCGTCTGACTTCCTATAGCTGGTATCCCTAATGTCTACTATTTCGGCCAGGAGGGTTTGCATAACATCCTCGTCATCGACCTTCTCGGTCCCAGTCTTGAGGACCTCTTTGACCACTGCAACCGCCGGTTCACCATCAAGACGGTCGTCATGGTCGCCAAGCAGATGGTATGCATTGGATCTTGTTTGTCCATCTTCGCCCCACGGTATTTTTTGTTAACATTTGATTCTAGCTGTCCCGCGTCCAAACAATCCACGAAAAGAACTTGATCTACCGCGATATCAAGCCAGATAACTTCCTGATCGGTCGCCCCGGCAGCAAAGCGGCCAACGTCATCCACGTCGTCGACTTTGGCATGGCCAAACAGTACCGGGACCCCAAGACCAAGCAGCACATCCCTTACCGTGAACGGAAATCGCTGTCCGGAACAGCACGCTACATGAGTATCAATACGCACTTGGGTCGAGAACAGTCGCGCCGAGACGATCTCGAGGCATTGGGCCATGTCTTTATGTACTTCCTGCGCGGTGGTCTCCCGTGGCAGGGGCTCAAAGCTGCAACCAACAAGCAGAAATACGAAAAGATCGGAGAAAAGAAGCAGACCACCGCAGTCAAGGATCTTTGCGAGGGCTTTCCCGGTATGCCTTGATATTTCCGTTGGGGCTTTGGTGGTGTTCATTTGCAATGCTGACTGAGTTTAGAAGAATTCAATAAGTATCTGACATATGTTCGCAATCTGGGTTTCGAAGACACTCCAGACTACGATTATCTCCGCGAACTCCTCTCCCAGGCTCTGAAGAACGCCGGAGAGGTCGAGGATGGCGAATACGATTGGATGAAACTGAACAACGGGCGTGGATGGGACTACAAGTCGTATACCTCGCAGGCTCACTTACATGGCAATGCCGCCCCCAATTCTTCTTCCCGCGACCTTCACGGGACAGCCATACGTGGCCAGAGACCCGGCGTGACAACGGATCGTTTAAACGCCGCGCAGCCCCCGCCCCCTTCTCCGGCGAAACCCGGAGCTGGGAAGACGCGCGAGCGACCAAGCGCCTCAGGCGGGATGCCGAACAAGCGTCAGAGCGGAGGCTTGGACGCGACACCGACGGCGTCAACGCAAGCCCAGTTCCAAAACCCCAGCATGAACACCCCCGGCCGGATCGGCAGCCCAGCGACCCCGGCGATGAACAACCAGCAGGCAGTGACAGGCGCTCAGGGAAATAATGAACCTCAACCCACTTTTATCCAGAAAGTTATGAAGAGCTTGTGCTGTGGTAGGTGATCTGAGTCATTGCTCTGGGATAAATCCACCACTCGCTTGCTTATCCCATGCTCTCAGGTTGAAAGGTCACTGAACCGCTGTACTTTTATATCACCCCATGGCCCATGCTCACTTAGCATCTGTCTCACTCGTTTTCAGCTCCTGGCATCATTTTTCATGATCTTGGATGACAGCAGTCCCGTATATTCCGTGTTTTCCCTCCTATTTCCTTTTCTTCCCCCACCCCCCCCCTGTTGACCTCCCGTTTAACTTTTTTTCTTTCGAGCGCTCTTCTATTTGTTTTATGCTTGTCCATCTTCGACATTCGGGGTCAGCGAATTCGACCACAGGAACAAATCACCTCCGTCCCAATTGAAGCTACCTTCTTCACGGTCCTGTCGGTAGAGCGAATCCGTCTTTGTTCTCATCGACCCCCCCCTCATCACTTTTACGGTGCTACGGCTTGGAACGGCGGATCAGAAGCTTGATCTACCCCTTTTTATCCCCCCCCCCCCTTCCCTCACACACTCTCTCTGCATTGTCTATCAAGTCTAATACTGGGTCCGGATTCGCCTTGCATGATCGCCTGCCTTTGCTGAATTCGCTTTTTCGACATGGATAACATATATCTGCTGTCTTCCCGATGATAATGTTCAAAGGATGCTATATCATATGGCGGACGTGGCCGGCCATTGATATGGGCCTGGATTACGACTCGTGTGTGCCTGGAAGCTACAAGAGGCTCGTGCGACAGGCCAAAATCCCGCTCCATACTGTGACGATGCTCTGTTATCACCTCCTTGAAGAGGATTGTTTCTGATTTAGTACTTATTGTCCGGTCTGCATATTGTTCTCCGTTGCGTTTCATTTTTCTCTCGCCTTCTTCTCATCTACTATTTGCTTCTTCCTGTGGCGAACATCTTTGGCGAATTGGATTTCTTGCGCATGGGTCAGAGCCCCGGTAAGCACGGGGATGGCCGCCTATGGCCTCCCTGTTCATCGGCCTCTGTTCCCCTAATTTCCTGTTCCTGTTGATTCAGTCGTGGCTGTTGTTGCCAGTCGTCCAGTCTGCATGCTGGGAAACAAGGTGCATGGCGTAGTGTAATACAGAGGACATTCATGTTAAATACTAATTATTTAATACGGTACTGCTAGAAGGTAGATTCTATGTTCATGTAGTATAATATAGACCTTAGTATCAGTGATTGACCTTAGTTACATAATGTTGTTTTAACTGACAACCCTACTCATGCCAATTATTAATTACTGACACTATTGCCTGAGCTACAGACAGGGTATATCAACCTTGATAATATATAAGCATATCCTAGAATAAGCCAAGCAGATTAATGCTTCTCAACTAAACAACAAAGCTTCTAGGTGTACATCTTCTCTATCTCCACAATCCAATTACTCCAAGAGTCCAGACCGAAGAGAATCGACCTTCCCTGTTTTTTTTTTTTTTCCCTAGTGGGGGGGGGAGGGCTCTGAGGTCATAAAGAGGGTCGGTCCATCCGACACGGCACGGAAGAAAACTTGGCATATATTAACTAGTTGTAGTCTAGAATATGATGGAGTAAGTAGCGGCTCAGGCTCTTCATCCTATGACGGCATGTTTCAACTTATATGGAGAACATTCACAGTTATCTTCTTCGCAACTTGTTTCCGGTGGTTTGGTTGGGTACATACTACTACTACTACTACTACTACTACTACTACTACTACTACTATTTGAAGTAATGTACCTGAAGGCTCTTCACATTATGGGTCTGCTTTTAGGTCGGAAATGCTGGATTTCCTCCTATCAGCCGGCATTAAAGATGCGCAGGATCAAATGGTGCCTGCCCAGGTTTTTCTGTCATGTGGGGATGGATGTGAGTGATACTTGCATGGGTTCTCCGGAGCATTCTCTCCGTACTCCGTTTGTAGGCCTTCATACTTTGACGATCGATCGATCGAGATGTACTACATAGGTACTACGTAGTAAAATAATGACAGTGGGCAGTGGGCAGTGGACACTGATTCTACTAGGATGCAATGCCATGGCATGCAGTGTTGCCTGTCTTGTCAAATGTGTATAGACAAGAGAAAGAGAGAGGAGTCTCGATACTCGATGAATAGCTTCACACAACTCAAGCATAGAGTGTTATATACCGGGTTGCTGCCTGAGGCCCGAGTTTCACGACAAAACAGACACACCGCTGATTTGATTTGCCACAAACATACGAGTATTGTTGCTCTGCTTGACTGCATTAATATTATCACTCAATTAGGATAACGGAGACAATGATGGCTCATTGGCTACCATGGCTTGAGCGGTATCGCATCTGGTTCGGCCGAAACAATGACAGTTGAAGTCTAGGCCACCAAGCTTGAGTCGTAGAGTCAGTGGCGTCTCATGAATAATAGCATCAGAGTTCGTATAAAGCCTTCTGTTCTGGGGACGGCCTTGCCACCAAGCCATGGAGCATAGATTATCCATTAGGTGTGTTATAGGTACCTAAGTAGATGCCTAAGTAAATACCTGGTATCAACGGTATTCCGAGTGATTCCCGCGCCGGAAGAATTAGGGAACAAGCCCGACTGGGGTGAAAAATTCTATCTCGAGCCAAGCAGCACTTTCGATTGACAAGCCACGGACGTGGATCGGGGTGGCGTAGGAGGTGGAAGAGACAAGAGATCTCCGTTTTCTTCCATGCGTGTTCTAGAATCTTGCCAGCGAACATACCTCATATGTTAGGTAGTTATGTCACACAATGTGCGGCGCGTACCACGTCAACGGACGGAGTTCTCGTACAAGGAAGGTAGTGACTAACCATCCATTCCATGGCAAATAGCCCTTACATTGAGGTGACACAATGAGGAGTTTCGAAAATTCCCTCAACCATAACTTCTTCTCTGTTTGTATTGCGTCAGGAAGACATGGAATCTTGATCTTGTCTTCTGTTATGATCGGCCATTGTGCAACATTCATAGTTATACTAATATGAATATTAATATTAATAATTACTGTGGGCAATAAATACTACTACAGAACCCGTGGGCCTGTAACTTGATTTGTTTGGTCTACTCCGTACCTAATCTTGGTAGAGAGTCTTAGTTATGGATGAGATGAGGTGAACGAAGAGAGGAGAGGCACCTGCTCTGGGTGTGTGGACTTGCTGTGTATGCCAACCAATGGAAACCTCGTGAGATGGCGCTTTTGAGTGGAGCACCAAAGGGGCAGGGCCGGCCAGCCAGTCAGGGCACTGGACTCTATCAGACGGGCCAGTCAGCAGGGCGCATGGCGATCTCGTGAGATCCTCTGCCCATGGGCTGGGCAAGACCGGGTGGGGATGTGGCGCCAGTCAATTGCGCCCAGAACTGCCCGCCGAGGCGTTTGCCATTTGCAGGTGCGTAGAAATGCGCACGTCCTGGCCAGCCGTTGCAGGCACGCACCCTGGCCTGTGGGGGGCCAGGGAGCCAACCCGGATCGTTTGAGTGTGTGTGGGGCGCGCCTTTTTCGCCGCTAGTCGCTTCGGTCGTCGGTCGTTCGAAAGGCCTGAACGGGGAGGAGGGAGAGCGAGGGATTGATCTAGGAGTATTATTTTATATTCTAATTATTATTTTCAATTGTTGAATATTATTATTGCTTGTTTTCTTCTGCCCTTTCTAAGGTGGTAGTAGTATGAGGTAGTATGTAGTTGTTAGTATTTTCAATTCTTTAATCTTTTTCTTTTTCTTTCTTTTCTTTTCCTCCCTTCTGGAAGCCTTGGTCACAGGGACAGACAGGCAACGGCAGATTTACCCGTGCAGAACCTCGCGATGCCATGACTGGTTACTGCATATGAGCTCATGCTACTAGGTACCTGGTACCTAGAGGTAAGCAGTTACCTAGTACAGTTCTATGTATCTGCCTAGTATTTTTATAGACTCATGGAGGTAGTTCTTCATTCAGTTTACTACTATAGATATCATTATACTCTATTCTCTATTCACCTCTAGTCTATGGCCACCCTGCAGAGGAAATTAGTTTTACCGAGATTAATATGATACATCAATGTGTACAGGTAGACTACCAGTACTATAGTCAGTACCTAAGTACTTGACTCTAACTACAGCTATATAACTACCTGTATCTATATACTAATTCGATAATTCACTTCATATACTCTATACTTAAACTACGTAGTACTTCAACTTTGTACTCAATACTACATAATATTAGTTATTTATTATTAGTTTTCCCTGGTTATCGCATATCTGACCCACTGTAGCGCCTAGTGACGCCCACCGTGCTTCCAGATAATTTGTGGCTAGGCATGACGTTACGGACCTGTACTTTGTTAGGCTCTGGTAATCCTTCCTCCCCGCCCAGTCCCACTTGACTCTCTCTCTTTGCCCCTGCTCTTTGAAAAGATTTATTCAGGAGGGATTTGTAGGAGAGGAGTATGTAGTAGTGAGGTACTTTAGTCTACTACAGTACAGTGCCAACTAACTTTAGTTACTATAGGCTACCTACTCAATACTTAGGTGACTAGTTGTCTGGTAAATAATTTCATAGACCATAAATATTTCTTCTAGAAAAAAAAAGAAAGATATTTTTTCCTTCTTCTAATTCCACGCCGACTTCGGACGATAAGGCTCCTACGATCTCCCGTGGTAGTGTGTCCACAGGGTGTCTCTTCCGTGTGCGTGTTTGCCGTTCCTGTGGTGGACCTCCACTTGCACTCTGGACGCTTCCGTCGGTGGTTGCGCTTTTTCCCACCTCCCCACCCTCCCCTGCTGCACCTCACACCACTTGCCGAGAAGAGACAGAAAGACCAGAGGGAGAGATTATTATTCTTTTCTTGCGTATGAATGAATCCCTAGTTCCCTAGGTACCCTTACCACCTTGACTGCCACTGCCACTAGCTGCCAACTCTATTCCTTATTAGTATACACAGTCACACCCTCGCTGCCCTCCATTGATCTCCGCTGACTTGACTTTCTTCAGACTTTCGCTACCCCGTGATCCTTCCCTTCTCCTTCCACTACCACAATTTCATTACACCTACCACTACTACCACCACTACCACTACTACAACTAGTTACTACTACAACAACAACAACAACAACTACTACTACTACTACTACTACTACTACCATCTCTGATATACCGCCGTCCATTCTCTCGTGAATTGATCGATCGATCCTCCTCTCCTCCTACAAATCAACACCGTGGAGACTTTCTCTCTCGACGGCTTGCTGCCTTGGAACAACGCTGGAGGGCTTCGGTAGGACCCAAGGCACGCTCCGGCGGAAAAAGGAGAAGACAAAGCAGCAGCAAAAGAGGAAGAGGAAGCAGATCAAACAAAGCCGTCCATCCCACGGGCTGCGTCCCTTCTGCGCAATGCTCACAAAGAAGTCTCTCCATCCGCCTCTGTTCTCTCGGAATCCCACCCCCAGCTCCACCCCGCCGGAACTCTCGCCCACTTCTTCCTCGTCAGATACCGATTCGGACGAGGATATGGACTCTACCGCCTCGGGTTCGCGTCCCACCAGTCTCGCCGTGCCCCCGGGCGCCTTCTGTGCCATGCGGCCGACCCTCGACGAGGTCCTCGCCAACACTGCTCCTCCGCCCTACACTCTAAGCGCCTTCATGGCCTACCTGTCGCAGAACCACTGCCTGGAGACCCTCGAGTTCACCCTCGAGGCCAATCGCTACCGTGACACCTACGTCTCCTTCTCCCACCAACTTACCAACCACCCTCCTCCCCCCTTCGCCCCCGATGGGCCTGAAAGCCAACACCTACGTATGCTCTGGCAGCGCCTGCTGGCCGCTTACGTTCTGCCTGGCGCCCCGCGCGAGGTTAACCTTACTAGCGAGGTGCGCGACGAGTTGTTGCGTCACACCGATGCCTCCTGCGCCCCGCCCCCGGAGACCCTCGACTCCGCCGTCAAACGTGTCCATGAGCTCATGGAGGAGTCTATCTTCCTCCCTTTTCTCAACAGTCACTCCGCCGCCGCCCAGGTCGTGCCCCTCTCGGAACCTCTGTTCGGCTCGGATGAGGGCATCATGCCCCTCTCCTCCGCTCATCATCACTACCACCCCCACAACAACAACAACAACAACAACAACCACTACCAAGACGAAGGTGCCACTCCACGAGTTCGTTCCCGCCGCCGGCTCTCCCCGCAGGCCTCCACTCGCGATCTCGGCTCGTTTCTATCTGGCAGCAGTGGTAGCCATTCCGGCCGCTCCAACTTCTCCCTCAGCGCCGTCACCTCAATCGGCAAGTCCAGTAGCGGCAGTCGCACCCCGGGTGGTGGCCCCGGCGAGTCTGCTTCGCCCATTCTGACCGATGACACGGGTAGCCTAGGCTCTGGCGCCAGCGTCGGTGAGCCCATGACCCCGCCCACCACGCCGCCGTCAAACGAACCTTTCATGAGTCTCGCCCACAGCCCCAAGACCCGCACGGAAAACCCGTGGAAGAAGATGGGTATGAAGTTGGGGTTCAAGAAACGCTCCAACGGAGGAAACTCCACCAGCCGGGATTCCCGGTTCGAAGAATGACTCTTGATACGTCCACGTTTTACCTACGTCGACCTTCCACGTTGACCCCTCGGTCTTACTCCTAGCATGACACGTTTCATAGACCCGCGTTCCTCCTGCATAACCTACAGCAGACTTGGTCTTTTTTTTTCTTCTTCTTCTTCTTCTTCTTCCTCTTCACCCCAAACCTAAAAGAATTTTTTTGCATGAGATGGGAAATGCATCCACGAATGATTGATTTTCTGTGTACTTTTTGAGCACCTCGCATTTGTCTGGTTGGGCATGAATGGACGGGATAATGCATCGAGCATATGACATGGCGCATACCACCGGCGTTTGATTGAGCAAAGCGAAGCAAGCATTTTTTTTTTTCTCTCTTTCCTTCTTCTTCTTCTTCTTCTTCTTTCCCTCATGTCCTTCTTATATTCGTTTCCTTCTTTTGTTGTTCATTCTCATTTGGGAGGATGACTGTTGAAAACCATATTTATAGAATTTTTCTTCGGTTCAGAGTCGGGGGATGGGGAGGTAATCTGCTAATCCTGCTCAGTGACAAGCATGTACTCTTTTCTCTCTTCTATTAGATAGGCTGGTCAATAAAAAGATACCCTGCTGTATACACTTGGTTGCGTTGTATGCTTTGCTGTCTATGCCTACCTGCTCCGGATACCTGCAGATACCAAGACACGAATTGGGTAGATGGTAGACATCTTTCCGAGAGAAGGTTCAACTCTTTCCAACCCCTTTTCTCATCGTATCCATTGGCCTATGCAGCTTGAACTATGAATCACTATCAAAGAGGAGATGGTCTTGAATTCTAGTACAGAGTGCCGAGTACTGGTTCTGTATTCGATTGATATATAGCTATATAGCTAGTACATAGATATGTAATAACATATATGGGCAGTGCCAAGTACTGTACCAGTTATTTATGTTCTGTTGAACGGTGACTCCTGAACGGTTGAAGTTGAAGTTGAAGGAAGGTCCATTTGGCCATCCAAGTCACATGACTGTATCTGATAGCTTGAAGTGATAACGTTTCTGATAAAACGTCCATCCGGAGCAGAACAAACAGGAAGAGAAAGAGAAACAGGAAGACAGGGGAAAGAAGGGACAGAAGAGAGAAGGAAGAAGAGAGAAAGGAGAAGAAAAGAAAATGGACCGGCATAAGACCGCCGTGGCACGCATTGCGGCCGGGGTGCGCGCGTTTTACGAGCGCAAGGAACCGTTCCGTATCTTCCACGGCTCGACGAACAGCACGCGACCGATCCGACGCGAGCGTGAGATCGACATCAGCTCGCTGCGGAACGTGCTGCACGTCGACACGGCGCGGCGGCGGGCGCTGGTCGAGCCCAACGTGCCGATGGACCGGCTGGTCGAGGCGACGCTGCGGCACGGGCTCGTGCCTCCCGTTGTGATGGAGTTTCCGGGCATCACGGCCGGAGGCGGGTTCGCAGGCACAGCGGGGGAGAGCAGCTCGTTCAAGCATGGGTTCTTTGACCGGACGATTGATTCGGTGGAGATGGTGCTGGCGGATGGGAGCGTGGTGCGCGCCTCGGAAACAGAGAACGCAGACCTGTTCCGTGGCGCGGCGGGCGCCGTGGGCACGCTGGGCGTCACCACGATGATCGAGTTGCAGCTGGTCGAGGCCAAGAAGTTCGTCAAAGCCCGGTACCTGCCGCAGCGGAGCGTGCGGGATGCCATCGCCGCCGTCCGCGAGGAGACGGGCAACCTGCGCAACGACTACGTTGACGGCATGCTCTTTGCGCGCGACCATGGCGTCGTTGTCACGGGCGAGATGACGGATGAAACGCCCGAGATGCCTTCTCAAATCCGAACTTTCAGCGGGGCCTGGGACCCCTGGTTCTACATGCATGTCCGCGACAAGACGAAAGTGGGCGCTTCGGCGTCTGCGCAGACAGAGTACATCCCGCTCGCAGAGTATCTCTTCCGCTATGACCGGGCCGGGTTCTGGGTCGGGGCCTCGGCGTTCGACTACTTCAAGTTCCCCTTCAACCGGGCCACGCGCTGGTTCCTCGACGACTTCCTGCACACCCGCATGCTGTACAAGGCGCTGCATGCTAGCGGGGAGTCCAGCCGCTACATCGTCCAGGACCTGGCGCTGCCGTACGCCACCGCGGAGTCCTTCATCGACTACACCGCTGATAAACTGGGGATCTGGCCGCTTTGGCTGTGTCCGCTGCAGCCTAGCCCCGTGCCAACCCTGCACCCGCACACGCTCGAGCTCAAATCCGACGGGGTCACGCCCGAGCAGATGCTCAACATTGGCGTCTGGGGGTTTGGCCCCGCCGATCCGGAGGCCTTTGTTGCGGCAAACCGCGACCTGGAACACCGTCTGCGCGAGCTGGGTGGGATGAAATGGTTCTACGCGCATACCTACTACAGCGAGAAAGAATTCTGGTCCCTCTACGATCGGGAATGGTACGACGCCCTCCGCACGAAATACAACGCCACCTCCCTGCCGAGCGTGTATGACAAGATCCGCATCGACGTCGAGGCCGACCGTCGCGAACGCACGGAGTCGTGGGGGCGCAAGATTCGCGACATCTGGCCGCTTGGTGGGCTGTGGGGGATTCGCAAAGCCATCCAGAGCAAGGAGTATATGATTCATCGGAAGTCGACGTGGAAGTATAAAGCATGAAAGCATAGCCTGTAAATCTACCTGTATAATATGCTGTATGCATTCATAGAAAGCATTAGAATTCATTCACTTTCATCTTATTTAACACTCTATTAACAGATAATTCCACTGGGAATACCAGGCCTCTTCTCCCATCCACTCTGCCATTTCTCACGCCATTTTCCCCCCGCATCAGCCGGCAGGGCAAACACCGCCGTGACGAACCACGTCTCGGTGTCGGCCTGCAACGCCCGTCCTAGCGAGGGAAGCACCGTCCGGCCATCGATAAGGTTCGAGTTCGGATCTGCCAGGACGATTCGACCGTCACGCTCGACCGTGTCTTGGAGCTCGACGATCCCCACTGCACCTTTGATAGAGACTGCAAGGGCCTGCTGTGATTGATGCATCGTTCCTTCTAAAGAAGAGGAGGAAGGGGAAGAGGAAGAGGAGGAGGTATTAGACGATAATTTCAACGGGCCTAAAAGGCGGCCTGTATCGCTGCGGCAGCCGTAGATGGCAAACGCGCCCTCGGAGGTCATAATGGCTCGTCCTGTGCGCACGCGGTGCACACGTACATGCCAGTTGGGATGGTCTGCCGTCGGGGGGATCAGATAGGAGTCTACCTCTACGTCTGGGAAGGGGTTCCAGCCCGAGACCAGGACGGGGATTTCGTCGTGCCATTCGAACCGCGCGTCCAGGGCCTGGCGGCGGGTCTGCCAGATCTCGCCGCCGTCTGCGGAGATGGCGAGCATGCTATCCGGGGCGTGCTGCTCGAGCTGGTACCCGCCTGTAGGGACGGAGTAAGCAAACGCAGAGCTGTACGCGAACTTGCCGTATTTGGCCTGCGTCGCTTTAAGCGGGTAGTGGCAGGCTTGGCCTGACGACAGGAGGAACGAGTGTCCGCCGCGCCGGACAGTGATGTGTTTCGGGTACGTGAGGGCGGTGATCTCTGCCAGTGCCGCGCTGGGGTATGCTTCTTCGGCCGCGGTCCAGAACGGATGTGTCTCTGGCAGGGCCAATGGGGTGAACGACAGGCAGCACCAGTATGGCGAGCCGGGGGAGTTGTAGTTCTCCGTCACGTACATGTTCGCGTAGCAGTAGCCCAGACAGAGCGTCCCGTCGCTGTTGAAGATGTCCTCTTTGGTCGACCACCACCGGAAATGTCGCAGCAGGATGCCTCGCACCACCCCCCAGGTCAGGGGCGCAGGCAGCTCAACATCGGCAAAGGCGAGAGCTCCCCAGAATCCAACCATGGCGAAGCGGTATGTCAAGGACCGGCCAAAGGCAATTGCGCTGCCTACAATTTGCATCAGTAGGGGGGTAAAAACAAAAAAAGAAACATCTATCCTCCCAAGACTGATAAGACATACCGTCTGGATTGAAGTAATGCACGAAGTCCCTTGCGAACTCCTTCGCGCGAACCCGATATCTCTCAGCTCGCTCCGGGTCAAAGTCCCCCGCCAGCTTCGAGTACAGCAACTGTAGGAACTGGATGGCAAAGGAGCCAGAATAGTAGTCCATCTGATGGTGGCTTTTGGGGCCATCGTTACTCCAGCCACCGCCGACATGGAACGTATCCAGATGGTCCATGTCTGCCTCGATGCGCTGCAATGAATAAGGGGCCCCATTCTTTCTTAGCCCAAGATTCGCAAACACTCGGAACCACAGCCTATATACAATGATTTAGCAGACACCCCGATACTCTCGCCCACCACCAGCAAAAAACTGACCAGTTTGTGTTTGGCATTTCCCTCGCGTTGATACTCGCCAACCAGGCGGCAACATTGTTTCTCTGGCTCTCAGTCAATGGATCCCAGAACTCATGCGGCGCAACCGCCAGCGCGTATCCAATGGGACACATCTCGACCATCCGTTGGTCCAGATCCTCGATCTCGCCCCAGAACTCCGGGCTGTTAGGGTCCGTCCCGTTGATAAGACCTTGTCGCCAGCGAGCGGCTTCAGAATACTGATACCCGCCGGCCAGCAGGGAGCCCAATCCCCAGAGCGGACGGGCAAACCCTTCGATCTGGGCCCCGCCCTCGTCGAAACGGGTCGTCGAAGACCCGATCTTGATACGGCTGCATCCGGGAGTGAAACGGGGGACTAGAGGGTCGAGAATCGCCTTACACGCCTCTTGAAAGTCGGACCGCGTCTGGAAGGGCGACTGGCTGAAGGGTTGGGAGGGGGTTCGGCCGTTCGCTTGGACAGACATGGCGGTGGATGTGAAGGAGGGGCAAAATGAACGAAACGCTCAGTGAACAGTGTTCATCTTTTCCTTGGTCTCTCCTCCTTCTTATGAAGGCGTCGTTCCCCTCCCCCGCTTGATCTGCTGTGAACTGGGATCCTCGCTCATTGTCCCGAGGAGCCGATGCGTGGTAGAGTGGTCGTCGGAGTTGAAGCGATTCCTCCGACGTGGGCAGTCGGCGATGAGGTCCGATATCCTTCCTTGTGGTTATCCATTTAATTTCACAATATTACCACATCCAAGAAATGCTTCATCATAGATAGAACAATGAATTCTAGTGGCGTTTCATGAGACTAGAAGATGGTCTAGTAAGCAATGGCAGCGCACTATTTCTTGGTATAGTGATGTGAAAAATAGGGGAAGGCAGAATGGTCTGAAGGCGAAGATGATGGGATAGTTGGACTGACTAGGACTATAGGAAAGAAAGATTATATCAAGTACGAGTTGCATACGTAACTATCGGTCCAGGTATCTAATTGCGCCAAAAGTATTCAAGATATGTGGACTTTTTCTTCCTTTTTGTTTACCCCTTATTCATCGCTTTTGCAACAGCCACGGCCTGAGTCGTATGATATCTATGCCGAAAAACAAAAAGACGAAAAAAAAAGAAGCAAGTACATCACTCCACCTAGAAAAAACTACTTACGCAGAGGGAGTTTCCTTGGGGGCCATGGTAGGACGGGTGGGGATGGTCTTGGGGAGAGGGGGCAGCATGCTCTTTGCGCTCTCGCGGGCATACTGGGCCATCAGAGAGTCCATGACGACCAGGGCAGCCATGGCCTCGACGATAGGCACGGCGCGAGGGACGACACACGGGTCGTGGCGGCCCTTGGCAGACAGGACGCCCTCGTTGAAGTCGTAGGTGGCAGTCGTCTGGGCCTGGCCGATGGTGGCAGGGGGCTTGAAAGCGACGCGGAAGTAGATCGAGGCACCGTTGGAAATGCCGCCCTGGATACCGCCGGAGTTGTTGGTCTTGGTGGTGAGCCGCTGCGTCGTGGTGGTTCCCGCAGCCGTCTTGGTCTCGACCTCGGACACGACAAAGGGGTCGTTGTGGGTAGATCCAGGGATCTCGCAGCCTCCGAAACCGGACCCAATCTCGAAGCCCTTGGTAGCAGGGATACTGAGCATGGCATGGGCCAACTTGGCCTCCAGCTTGTCGAAACACGGCTCTCCCAGCCCGACGGGCACATTGCGGATGACGCAGGTGACGGTACCTCCGATGCTGTCCTGCTTGTCACGGAAAGTCTCGATCACCTTGGTCATGCGGGCGGCGGCCTCCTCGTTCGGGCAGCGAATCGGCGCGAAGGCGTCGACGGTAGTCCGGTCGATCTTCTCGATGAGGCTCAGAAATTCCGGGTTGGTGGCGGGAGTCGGGTGCTCAGCGGTGGGAGGGAACTGGTACTCATTGCCGACAGAGGAGACAAAGGCAACAATTTCCACTCCGTGAGAGAGACGCAGGTACTTTTCAGCGATGGCGCCCGCAGCGACACGACCTAACAGAGTCAATTAGTTTTTTTTTTTCTTTTTTTTTTTTTCTTGCTAGGTTGCAGTACCAATGGTCTCGCGAGCACTACTCCGACCACCACCACTGCTAGCCTTGACACCGTATTTCTCCAGGTACGTGAAATCCGCATGGCTTGGCCGGGGGTAAAGGTCCATTGTGCTATTTCCGTAGTCCTTGGGTCTTTGATCCTCGTTGCGAACCATCATCCCGATCGGGGTCCCCAGGGTAACGCCGAACTCGGTTCCGGACTGGATTTCCACACGATCCTTCTCATTCCGCGGCGTGGTCAGCGCGCTCTGCCCTGGCCGTCTGCGAGTCATCTGCGGCTGGATATCCTCCTCTGTGAGTTCCATGCCGGGCGGGCATCCGTCGACAATGCAGCCGACGGAGCGGCAGTGCGATTCACCATAGCTGCGACAAGGGTTAGCCTTCAGGCAACCAACCCACCCACAACAGCTTTCTATCCATCAACTCAACATACGTAGTGACGCGGAAATGCTCTCCCCACGTCGACATTGTGTCCTCGTCGAATAATCGATATTTCGTTAAGCGGGGGGGGGGGGGGGGTAGTACTAGTAGTTTGGCGGGGTACAGAAAAAAAAAAGAGACGACAGAGACAGTCGTCCTACAAGCAGTCAGCACAAGAAACCACACACAAGACACACATGCATAGAAGCCTCCAACATCAAGCTTACCAAGATCGTGAGTCAAGAACAGCAGAGAGCAGGACGTACGACGCAGTTGAAGCCGAAAGTGACTCAGTTCTCAACGCGGAGCCGAAAAGAAGATCCTCGTTCCGCGCTTGCCTGTTTGGGCCTAGTGCGCACCGACTGTCGGCGCTGCGAATTCGACTTGGCGACGGCGAGAGGAAGAAGGAGAGGAGGAAAGCAGAGCCCGCGGGAGCCGTGATTCAGGGCTCCAGAGACTGTCAATGCGTCATCTGGGATGGAGAGCAAGCCGTGCATCTTTGATCCCGGTCGCCAGGCCCGTGAACGCGCGCCACAACTCGGCCTTCGCCCCCAGCCGGTTTGCAGAGCTCGCCCGGCGTGAGACCTCGCAGCGCCAGATCTACCAGTCGCGGTCGACGGACCCCTATGTGAACCTGTCGATCGAGCATTTCCTGCTACAGAATGCACCGGCAGAGTCGAGTGTGCTGTTTCTATACGTCAACCGGCCGTGTGTGGTCATCGGCCGCAACCAGAACCCGTGGCTGGAGACGAATCTCGGCCGGTTATACAACGACCGCATTGCTATGAGTAATAACGCCTACAATAATACCAATAATGAACCTGTCCTGGTCCGCCGGCGGTCTGGCGGAGGCGCAGTCTTTCACGACGAGGGTAACCTGAACTACAGCGTGATCTCGCCGCGTACCAGCTTCACCCGCAACAAGCACGCGGAGATGGTGGTGCGAGCCCTGCATGGTGTAGGAGCCACCGAGACCCGCGTCAATGACCGACACGACATTGTGATGGATGTGATAGAGGACTCTCCTCCCCCTCCTCCTTCTTCTTCTTCTTCTTCTTCGTCGTCGTCGTCGCGCAAGATCTCCGGCTCCGCCTTCAAGCTTACCCGCGCCCGCGCCCTTCATCACGGAACCTGTTTACTCGACTCGCCGCACATCCGGGACCTGGGAGCCTTCCTGCGTTCGCCTGCTCGCCCTTACATTAAAGCCAAGGGCGTGGAGAGCGTGCGCTCGCCCGTGGCGAACGTGTCGGCGGCCTTCCTCGACGCCCCTGGGCTTTTCTCCATGAATGGCGTTGTGGAGGGGATCATCGCCCAGTTCGCCGCGCTGTACGGCGTTGGAAATGATGCGATACTTCGGGCCTCGCGTGCCTCCCACCTTGAAGGTCATGAGTCGGAGCTCTTCGCAGGTAGGGACTGGGTGGTCGGAACAGTAGGAGAGACGCAAGCCTCTGAGCCCGAGATTCAGGCTGGAATCAACGAACTTACAGTATGTTTTTCTTTTCTTCAAACTCAGCTCTGACAATTCAAATATATACCTTTTTTTGATATACTAACCATACAGTCTCTTGAGTGGAAATACACCCAAACCCCGCAATTCACCTTTTCCACTTTTCCCACCGCCGACGATCCACGCGAAAGATCTGCTCTACCTTCATATCTCCCAGAATCAGTAAGTCCCCTTCCAAATGGTTTATGGACGGACTCTAGCTCACTTCGCAAGACACGCGTCTTCCTCCGCCTCAAACACGGCGCCATCATCGAAAGCGAGATCTCTCTATCCGCTGATCCGGCTGTCGCTTCGAGACAGGCCGACGCCGTCCACGACGCCCTGAATGGACAGAGCCTGCACAAGCTGTCGTCTGTGACCGAGTGGGTGCATGTTCTTGATCGGTTGGCTCTTTCTCCTCGTCAATCAGGCGATCTGGACGACGATCTCATACGCCGATTGGCAGGCTTTCTTGCAGAGCAATTCGGATGTTCTTAGCATATTATTCTGTAAATCACTCATGTACACTACCAGACTACAAAATTTTAGAATACTTCACTACTCATACTATCATATGGCTCAATCTAGGCATGTATGAATGGTTTCCAGGTGATGTCTTGTGGTATATTCCAAAAAAAAGAAAAAGAGACAAACAAAAATGGGTATGTAGCTGTTGCCTGTCAAGTACCTAGTAGATAGCCAGATATTGGAGAAAATAAATGGTAATTAAAGGGGAAAAAAATAGGGGAATGGGAAAGAAGAAGAAACAAGGGGGGAGAAGAATAGAGAGAGATTTGTAGAATAGAGGTAAATGAAGAGAAGATAAGAAAATAAGGTGAAAGAAAAAGAGTTCGAGGAGAAGGGGAAGAAATAGGATAGAAGAAAAGATGAAAGATGAGGAATATAAATAGGCACCTTCACTGGCCTGTATTAACGCCAAACCTGTCTATTAAAGGAAAAGACGGCCAACCTTTTAAACATAAGTGACAGTTCAGAAATCTGCACAAGGAGGGAGGAAAAGAGGAGAGAGAGAAAAGAATATCAACCCTGCCATTCAGTCCCGACAAAGGAAGAATCGCCCGGGTTGACATTCATACCTGCCCCATACAGGTCTCCCTGGCCGGTGGCATATCCACTGCTAAGACCGGAGTCATCCTCTTCAAAGCCAAACTCGTTACCGGAGCTGGCATCAAAACTACTGCGGCCGCCAAAATCGCTGACATCGTCCGTCGTCGCGGGGATCTGGTCCCATTGCAACGTCTGAAGCGCAGGGTACTGGGCGAGCAACGCAGCGGGGAGGATGAAATTTCCGGCCGCTTGTCCATCGATGCTTGTTACCATGAGCGGTTGGGGGACAGGTTGCAGATGGCCGGCTTGCTGTTGAGCCTGTGTCTGCGATTGCTGGGACTGTGGCTGTTGGCCCAACATGGCACTGGCATTGGCGCGATCCTGAGACTCTTCATCCAACAAGGGTTTGATGCAGATGCGGCCGGCTTCTGATCGGAAATGGCGACCAAGGGCGTCCGCGCGTGCGAACCGACGCCCGCACCCCCACTGTCCGCCGCGGGATAGATCCCCACGACAGACAAACTTCTTTTCGCCAGAGTGGAGCCCTTCGTGTCGTTTGCGATCATGTTGACGTGCGAATGCTTTGCCACATACCGTACAGACAAATGGCCTCTCGTCCGTGTGTGTCCGCAGATGCGAGCGCAGGTTGTAGGCGCGTGTGAACCGCTTGGGACACAGATGACACTGGAAGGTCGCCGGGTGTTTTTGCACGCGCTTCGAATCGCCCACCGTTGTTCCAGGACGTTGCGGATCAGCGAGATCGAGGATATAGTTCCGGCTATCGATGGACGACGTTGATAGTCGGCGGTTCGACCTTGACGAAGGGGAGGGGTCCCGGGAGCTGGGATTGCTGTGCGTCCGACCGATCGGATCCAACGGCGATAATGATCGGGCAGAAGAAGCAGCCAGCGCGTCTAATCGGGATGCGCTCGATGAGGGTGACCGATTCCGAGAAGCCGGATGAGCGTATGGATCGGATTTGCTTCGCCCGCGGGATCCTGATATACCGTTAGATTGCGAAACAAAGAAAAAGGAGAAGAAGAAGAAGAAGAGAAAGAGGAAAATGGCTAAGCTCACTGATGGCAGGCGGACTCAGGGAGTCATAGTCGGCAGCTGGCTTGCCAGGTCCAAAGCTGGGGTTCCGGGAAGGAGGCGCAAATTCCACGTTTATTGATGGCGGGGCCATTTGGGATGCCTGTCCCATGTCGCCGACGGCCAATTGCGGCATGACAGCCCCGTTGCCGTACATATCGACCGAAGAGACGGGATATTGGGTGGTCGGTGGCTGAGAAGCGAGAAAGGGAATGCTCGGGAATGGTTCGCTGCCCTGCTGCGGCATCAGGCGTGGAGAGATATACGGGCTCTGGGCAGGACTGAAACCTGGTTGTTGCTCTTGTTGTTGTTGTTGCTGCTGCTGTTCCGATAAAGTGAATGACTCGATCTTCAAAGCATTGTCGTAGAAGCCGGTGTCGTTTTGGGCGGACAGGAGTGGAGATGGATTTGTCTCGACAGCGTCAAATGTGTCTTGTTGCGATAGATAGGGGGAATGCGTGGCAGAGGAGACTTCAGAGACCTCCGAAGGGGCACGGCGATGAGTTTGAAAGGCGGAGTTGCCCATGACGGCCTGCCAGTCCGGATGGGATGTCATATATGCAGCTGTTGCCGGATCCAAAGAAGTATGCCGGGAATGTTGCGGGGTATAGTAGGCCCCCGGGGTCGAGTTGGGAGGTGACATCGGGCCGGGTGACGAGTGTGGGGGCTGCTGCTGTTGCTGCTGGTCCTGCGGCGAGAGCTGGGGCGGCGTCGAGGCATGCGGCGAGGACAGGCGACTGACCAGGTCGACTGGGTTAATCGACGGATCAACGCTTAGGGGTTGTAGCTGCGGTGGCGGCTGTTGGACCTGAGGATCCAGCAACAGCGTGGAGTCAAAGTCTGCCGCGGCGGCGGCGGTATGAGAAGACTGGTTTGGATAGAGCGAGAAGTCAAAGTTGGCAGGGTTCGCATTGAGCAAGTTCGAGAAGTCCGTCTCATCCGGCTGCAGGTTCCGCAGCCCAGCCGACTGCTGCTCGAGTTGGTTCACGAAGCTGGTCTCGAACGAGGGCGCCAACGGCAGCCCGTGTGTGAAGCCCTGGTCGGCGGGGGGCGCGAGGTTCTGTGCAACGGGAGGGGCCGCGAGGAAGGAAGCTGTGTAGCCATAGGCTTCCGAACCTACCGGCAAACCATACGGGGGGCTCGAGAAGGCAGCAGAGGTGACAGAAGGGTCCAACTCCAACCCCGCGGTCGGGCCGTGATACTGCTGGTGATGAGGAGACGGACTGACGCTGCGGCTTGGATGGTCGACGGAGGAAGAGGAGGGCCCCGAGTCGCGACGTAGCTCTGGCGACGCCATTCTGCCTTGGGTGACAAGGAAGTGGAATGTTGGGAAAACGGTAGTGTCGCCTTAGGCTATCTATCTACCTCTAGATACCTAGTTATACCCAACTTGCTGGTGGGGGAGGGCGAACGCGGGAGGGGCGCAGATTGGCGGTAAAGAGGGCACCACAAGAGACCGAGAGAGGAAACCAGGAGAGGAAACGCGTGTCAAAACCACGAGAGGACAGCACGAGAATAACCAAGAATTGGATCTGATTCGTACGCAGTCAAAAGTCAGCCAGCACGCACGGTGGAAGGGTGGATTGATATGACCCCAGCAAGCACACACCGACCGGGAACGCCTTGCGATCTGCCTCGTGGCGCCAGCTTTCAGCCGTAGATTCCTGCGGACCTTGTTTGCATTCTCCGGCCGGGGGAGGCGCAAGGGTCAGTCTGGATGCTGACCAGGGCCCCGCCGTCTACCTGCGAGACGGTCGACGCGCGAGATCAGGGGCTAAAGGCGAGGGAGGGAGGAGGGGGAAGTTGGCAGAAGCGAAAGCGAGGTGGGGGAACGACGTTTGGACGGTGCAAGTCGAGGGGGAAGTGGGAGGAGGAGCGGGTGAACGTGACCGCACGTGCTGGAGGCTGGAGCCTTCCTTGAGCGGCTGCTTTTTCTCGCGAGTTTCCAGAAAGACTCTCGTTCTCACAATCTCGCCAAAGAGCCTTGATCGTTTACGCTGCAACCATGCAGACCTGACAACAACAGGAGTAAGCGAATCCTAGGGCTGAAAACGCTAAGCGGAGCCTGTCATCACCGAACCATGGCAAGTAGCCCGTACGGAGTACTGGATGCTAACAATAGGGGCCATAACAGGACCCTGTCTGTTTCAAGACTTCTAGTACGGAGTTTCTACTAGTTAGTTATCTACCTCATGCTATATCCTTCATACTCGTTACTAACAGTTCTGTAGATGATAGATGCCGAAGTTGCCAAGCAAGGATCTTGATGCCAAATGCCTCCAGGCAGAAGGATTAACAGTACTACATACCCCGTTCTTATCCCCACAGCGGATTTGTTACTCGGTGCCGTGGTAGAGACGGAATACAATAATTACTATATGGTTTCTGCATAAAATTGCTAATAATAGTTCCTACAGAAGTAGTGCTTAATACAATGCACAGCCACAACACGTTGATCAACAGTGCAGAAAAGAAGAATTAGAATAGAAGGAGAAAGACAAGATCGATCAACGATCATATACTCCCGTGAGGATCAGATATCGGCAAAAACAGCCATACTGGAGCGCACCTCGTCAGTATCCGAGCTGACCAGCAGATTATCGGCACAGCTGGACCCCAGGTCCGCGTTGCCCACCCAAGCAGGCTCCCAGTAGTAGAGCCCCTCGCCGCCGGTGACGTCCTTGACGACGGCGGCCAGCTGCTCCATGAACTCTGTCTGCCCGGCCGCGGAGAAGGGAATATCAGTCAGGTCGGAGGGAAAGGCGTACTCCGGGTCCGGGCAGGAATAGGGCCAGTTGGTCTCGACGACGAGGATGTCCTTGCCCCAAGTGGAGTACATGTCTGTGAGACTGGACTGCAGCGCGGTGAGGGTCGCCTCGTCGCTGTAAAACGGATAGAACGAGACGCCCATCACGTCAAAGTCGGTGGTCAACAGCGGGCCCTCGGCCAGCACAGTCGAGTAGAAGTATTCCTGCAGCTCCCACTCCCAGCCGTTGTTGAGATGGATCATGATCTTGGGGGTCGTCGTCTGCGTCGAGTCCTTGACCCCCCACGCGCCCGAGTGCAGCAGGCTCGCGATGTTGTAGTAGCTGTCCGTCGACCCCAGCGGCCACAGCAGGCCCGCACTAATCTCGTTGCCGATCGAGATCAGGTCAATCTGCAGGTCGTTCGCGGCGAACTCGTCGCACACCAGCTTCGTGTAGTTGTATAGTTGCCAGGTGAGCGTATCGATATCAGTCGTCGACCATCCGGAGGGGGTTGTCTAAACACAATCAATACAAATCAGAATGCAATAAGAGAGCTTATAGAAAGAAGAGCACCCTCTTACCTGCTCACTCGGACTCGCCCAGGTATCACTCAGATGTAAATCGAGATAAATCCCCATCCCGGCAGCCTTGACCCTCTTCGCCAACTCGATGTTATAATCAATGCCGTACGTCCCATCGGTCACCCACACACGCTGCCGCACAGAAGTCACCCCGTCCGCGACGAGGATGTCCTCCAGGGCTTGCACCTCGCCGTCCGCGTTCCGGTAGCTGATCCCGGCCTCTTCTTCCACCAAGAGGGAGGAGATGTCGGCCCCGACGTAGGTCAATGCCGACACGGCGGATGCCAGCCCGAGGAGAAGAAGACTCTTCATGATGGTCAAGAAGGTAGAGAAGGGAAGGTTAGAAGAAGAATACCCAAGAAAGAATACAGACACAGAAGAAGTGAAGATGCTGAAGTTCTGTTTTTGAATGGTATTTATACCATATCTGATACTTAGCTGCTACATTTCTACCCTACCACCTGTTACACCATAGATGTTAGGTGACCTGCCTAGGTACTAGGTAATAACTACATGCACTCCACTACTATTGATGGAATCTCGGGAAACCTCCGCAAGATAGATTATCTGCAGACAAACATGCATATCGCTTAAGAGGAATCGGGGAATTATTGGTGGACGGACGTCTTCCTTGACGGGAACGACGGAGTAATGAAGCATCAGTTCATATGATCAGTTCATATGATCAGGATACTCCGGAATATCGCACTGTACAGTTTATGCCTAGGTACTCCGTACTGAATGAACTGCTTATAATAGATCAGGAGAAAAGGGTGGGGATGTTTCAGGTCCGTCATGCCGTAGCTGCTTCGAGTAATACTCCGTGGTGGACAATCTACTTGACACCAGGAGTAGTACGGAGAACATAGTAGTACATAGTACTCCGCAGGAGACCTGAGCAATTCATTATGCTACATATGCTACGACTTGCGAGTATGCACGGTAATTGATCCATGTATCGTACCTCATAACCATCACACGTCAAATTACATACACGACCTGACCCGGTCAAAGGGACCCCATCAACGCCTTTTCGTCCTGCATACCCAACACCACGTAAAACAAAATGAAGCAAAGAAGGAGGTAGAAAGAAAAGAAGAACAAAAAAGGAGGAGGAAGAAGAAGAAGAGAAGAATATTGACCATGCAATATATATGTACAGGCAATGTATAATAATAATGTATGACAAGAACTCTCTAGCGAAAAAGCCGGCAAAGGAGCAAAAAAAAAAAAAATATTGCTGCCAGGGGCCAATTAGAAAAAGAGTAAAAAGGGTAAATGATGTACAAGTCGACATGTAGTATCCAAGATCCACCCGAGAAAGAAAGAAAGAAAGGGAAAAAAAAAAATCATCTCGAACTTAGGAACTAGAAGCCTGCCGGCTGTGAGCGGGCTTCTTTTTGCCCATCACGATGCCTTCGTCTTCTGAATCGTCTTCGTCGTCACAGTCGTACCGCGCCTCGTCATCCTCATGTGGCGCCCGCGGTGATGTTACCACATGCTGGGCCTTGACCGTCTCCCCCGTACGGAGGATGGAGGGAATCTCGCGAGACGGCTCCGGCAAGTCTGGTTCCGGGTCCTTGGTATACACATGAAGCCCGTCACCGGAAAGCGATGAGGCGCCGGAGATGACCGACGGGATGCTCGGGTGCGACGCGCTCTGCGACATGCCACTCGTATAATCGTCCACGGATGAGGACGAGATGGTCGCTGCCGAGGGCGGAGACGTGGTGAGACCGCCGGCGCACGGCGGTTCACAGACTGACAGATTATCCATTGCCGAGGCGGCGGCGTCGGCGGCGGCGGTGGGGGTGGGGGTCATCGTCTTGGGCGATACCTCCCGGGCCTCGTCCGGAGAGCTGGACTCGCGTTCGGGTTTAGGACCCGAACAAGGCTCAGACGGCGGCATTGATCGTTGACGGAGAAGAGATTCTTTGGCCAGGAGTAGGGAATCGGCTGACGATTTATCGGCCAGACGTGGAGAACAACTGCGATGGGAAAACTCGCCCTGGGGCGACAGGTAATGGTGACTATGGTGATGGTGGTGACGAGGAAGAAGAGGAGGAGGAGGAGGAGGAAGAGGAGGAAGAGGATGATGGTGGTAGTGGTGGTGGTGGTGATGATGATGATGATAATGGTTAGGGGGGTACGAATGATGGTCCTCGTCCCGTATGAAACCTGAGTGCTGCACCTGCCCGACAGCCGAGGCAACACTCAAGGCCAGACTGGGCTCGGAATGACCGTCACTGCCGTCTAGGGATGATGTCGCATCGAACGAAGGGGACCGTTCAGATCGCCAGTCGGCCGCGTGAAGGCTACGAGTTAGGCGGCGACTGGCGCCTCCAAAAATGGCGCCGACATGGCTGGCCCCAACGGCATCGAGGAGAACGGGGGTGCTGACCCGGTGGAGTGTGGGATCCATATCCAAGGGCCGGACCGTCTTGGTGGATTCTGCGGTGGACAGCGTCGACGTCGTGCGTTCCAGAGGGTCCGGGCGGTGATCGGGTGCATGGCTGTTGGAGGTAGGAGGGACGGTCTCTACCGCTGTCGCCTTGTTGGAGGAATCTGGAAGTAGTGGTGGTGGTGGCTGGAAGTAAGACGTCTGCCCGTCTCGCTCTACAGGACTGGCGGTGACGCTCTTGGCCAATGGATGTTCACCATCCTTGGCAGCGGTGCTGGCGGCGATCCGGGAGGAGAGCCGGAGGAACAACTCTTCATCACCGCGGAGGCTGGCACGACGAGGAGGACCCTCCCACGAGTGTTTCCCACTAAAGGTATTGTTGCTCGAGGCGGAAGAATGACAGGAATCGATGGAGTTGGCAGCACTGGGAGCGCGCTTGCGGCTGTCCTTGTCCTTGTCCCGGGAGCGTCCTGTCAGATAGTTGGAGAGGCGCGCCACGTTGGATCGCACGCGTTGGATAAAAGGGACCTTGCTGACGGCGGTAGTGACTTCTTCGGTCGAGACCTCGATCTTCTTGCCTTTGCTTTGGTAGCCCGGGTCACTCTCTTCGATCCAGGCGCGCGGGTTGGGCAGACCGTATAGGACCCAGGGGTGATGCTTGATCTCCTTGAGGGTGATACGCTTGACGGGATCTTTGGTCAACAGGCGTTTGAGCAGGTCGAATAGCTCGTCGTCGATCTCCTCGTAGGCGAGTTCATCGTCCATGCGCTTCTCGCTGCTGCTGCTGATGCCGCGCGGCCACTGGCTGGTGGTGCAACTGGGGTTCTCCTCGACAGGCTTGAGCCGCTTGCGGGGGATGAAGACGTCCTGTTTGACGATCGTCTGGAACATGCTGTACTCGTCGTCCGAGACAAAGGGGAGCCGCCCGAAGATCATGCCGTACAACGTCACCCCGAGCGACCAGACATCGATGGCGCCCGTGATCTTGGGGATGCTGCCGAGAGTGTCGACAAAGTCGTCGCCGGTGTAGCAGAGTTCGGGGGCGTAAAACGCCGGGGTACCGACCGTCTTGGACAGCTCGCGCGCGTCGTCCAGCTCCGTGGCGTCCCGCTCGCCGACCTGTTCCTCCTCCTCGTCGCGCAGGGGGCGACCGAGATAGGAGACGCCAAAATCGGAGATCTTCACGCGGTGGTTGGCGGTGACGAGCAGGTTGGCGGGTTTGATGTCCCGGTGGATGATGCCCTGGTAGTGCAGGTACTCGAGGCCGAGGACCGAGTCGCGAAAGGCGTTACGGGCCTCATTGATGGTCAGACAGGGGACATGGGACATGTCATCGTCGTCGGAGATCCACTCGGGCTCCGAAGGAGCGTAGCCCATGCTGCTCGAGGCGGTGCTGAAGCGTCGCTCGGCCGAGAAGTCGACATAGGGGCCGTACATGCTGCCCTCGATGGCGGCCAAGGCGTCACTGGTGCGGCGGTCGATGTCGGAGGTGGTGGAGACAAAGGAGTGGCTGGGCGAGGAGTGGTGGTCATCCGGGCTGAGCATGGAGCGGCTCGAGGTGCGGGCGATGGACAGCTCGGGCCCGAGCTCGTCGTCCGATTCCCCGCCATGCTCGAGACTCCAGGCGTGGATGCCTTGCTGCTGGGTGGCGGCCGCCTGGGCCTGGCGCCGTTCGCGGGCCCGGTCGCGCTGGTGTCGCATGCGCTGGGCATTGCGGATGTACTGCTGGGATTCTTCCAGGAACAAGGGCGAATCCTCGATGCCGGCCTTTTCGCGGTCGAGGCGGCGCTTGTCCATCTGGACGACTTCGCGGAGACCCTTCTTACGCCAGACAATCTCGCCGTTCTCGACATACTCGAGTACAATGTAGACCTTCTGGCGGTTTGGGTCGTCGATCACCTCCAGGAGACTGACCACGTTGGGGTGCCGCGCCTTTTTCAGGATGGCAACCTCCTTCTTGACCTTGTCCTCCGGATTGCCCAGTTTACCCAGTCGACGCCGCTTGGAGTACCGCTGGACGATCTTGATGGCGACCTGTTGTCGGGTGGCGACATGCCGGCCAAGTTTCACCTTGCCGTGTTCGCCACGACCTAGTTCCTCCAGGATCTCGTATTGATTGATGAGTTTATTTCCCGTTACCAGGTCACGATCCACCTCGGCGGTATGCGTCCTATGTTTTTAAAAAAAAAGAAGAAAAAAATCAATGAAACAGCCCAGGAAATGACAAAAGTTGAAAAAGAAAAACCTACTCTTTCGGGGGTTGGAGATGGGTTGGGTGCAAAAATGGGCTGCCGATGCGCTCGATATCATCCGAGGCGAGCGGCGGGGTTGTGCGCGGGCTTCTGACGGAGAACAGCCCAGGACTAGAGAGCGGCGTGTTCCCCGCGGTGCGGGAGACACGGGCGGCAGGGGTGGTAGGGGTGACGGCGGAGTCGGTGTGGGAAGGGTAGGAGCTGCGCGAGCGCACAAATGAAGGATAGTAAGTCGGATGCACCTGCGACTGGAGCACGGCGTAGGACTGGTCGGGGTAGACCGGGTAATCGACGGAATGGGGATGCTCGAAGCGGCGAGGAAGGGCCTGGGTATCAACGGTAGGCTGCCACAGCTGGTGCGACATGGACGACATCTTGGAGGAGGTGGAAGTCCTGCCCACCACGGCAAGGTTGGGTTCCGATCTGACGTCGACGACGGTGTCCTCGTTCAGAGCCTGTAGGGAGCTGGAGGAGGTTCGTGTCGAGGGGGGGCGGGAGCCGGAGGAGGAGTGATAGATGTGGGAGAAGTTGTGACGCAGCGAGGAAGCCTGGCCATCCAGCGGGTCATTGCTCGGGGCCAGTTTGGCGGTGGGCGGTTTGGTGACAGCTTGCCGGTGCCCGACAGTGGTAGCATCCAAAGTTGGGCCAGGCACCGGCCATTCTATTGTGGCAGCAGAAGTGTCGCTCCGATCCGATGCCCACCGTCGCTTCACCTCCTCTGTGATGTGACCATTGCGAGAAACCAACTTGTTCGACGACTCCGATCCAGCTCTCGAGGGCGGTCGCTCGGTCATCTTTTCGAGCCACCTTTTTTTTTTTTTTTTTCTTTATAAATTCGGTCCCCCCTCTTCTCTCCTTTTTTTGTCGCCGGGGGGGGCGGGCAGGGATTGTCTTATTTAAGAAAAAAAATTCTATATAAAGGAGAGGATCGATTCAGGGTATCACGCAAGATAAACAGGATCTGCAGCGGCGCATCCTCATATATATGGTTGTGTGTTGTTGTCTGGATGGGTTGGTGAGGTTTTTCCGGTAGTGGTAGTCCCCGTCTTCCTTCCCCCAGACACGGGCTTTTGACTCAACAAGCCTAGCTAGGAGGTCCGCACGGTAGATACGCAAGTGTCGGCATTCCTCACCAGAGGCGTATGCTTGGACGATCGACGATACGATGACAAGAGACTGAGAGGTGGTGGTGTTTGATCACCGTGTGCCGGACAGCGGTTTTCCGAGGGGAACTGGCCGGGAGTGAAGAGACCTGCTGCAGCACCCAACCCCGAAGCTAAAAGAGAAGAGAAAAAAAAAAAGAAGAAGAAGGAGAAGAAGATATGCTGAAGACGCAGACGAGATAAATATCAAAGGCAGCAACTGTTGGTGGAGAGAATTGAAAATGCGAGGCGATGGGAAGGAGGAAGGTGGCCGGTCGGTTTGGCTCTGCTCGGAAAAGCGGGCGTTAGTCAGTCAGTCAGTGCTGGAGGGGTCCAAGCAAGAACACACAGGGGGAGGGGGACAGACAGACAGACAGACAGACAGACAGACAGACAGGATGGCAGGCAGTGGAGAAGAAGAGCAGATGCAAAGGAGTGTAACTTTATTATTATTATAAGTAAGAGTTTTCGGAGATTAATTTGGGGGAGAATTGGTTGGAGCGAGGATCGGTGGAGGTCGAATGGTGGTTGGGAGGGAGGAGGAGGAGGAGGGAAGAAAAGGATGAGAATTAATAAGATTGGGCCGGGGCGGGAGCGGCTGGAGACATGCACAGGCATTAATAGAAAGACTAGTAGGTATTGGTATTAGTATTAGTAGTAGTATTTTATAGCTACTAGTTACTATATACTACTATATAGTTAGTATATACTGTCATACCCTGGGGTTTACTACAAGTGTATATTCTTATTATTATGACATGGTATTTCTTAGTGAAGTAAAATATGGCTGCATTCCCTTCCATCTGGTCATTACGTAGGAGACTTGGCCGTCTTTGTTGGATCATCCCCACTTGAAGCTCAGGCCGTCCAAGAGGGTAAAACTAACTACCTTATCTGATGACTGTGATAACTTAGTATGGGGTATACTTGGTAGTAATTAGATGTTTCATCTCAATAATAGTATAATAGTCATCAAGAGGTGACTTGCTACATGGTCAATAAGATACCTCATTAATAGTTATACCTAGTAACTACCTAGGTACTACCTAGTTAATTAGGTGTAGGCCTAATTCCTTCCTTCACCTTACTCTAGGTACCTAAACCCTGGCGGTGGCCAATCGCATATACTTGGAATGAGACTTATTAGTAACTACCTGATAGAAGGCAGTATTATTAATAACGTTCTAGTAAAGAGAATTCTTAATAAATTCCTTAGTAATACTATGTACAATAGTTAGTAGTAACTATCAGGTTTGACTGTCCATACTTTCATATTGATAGGGTTACATCATTGGGCAACAACAGTGTCTGCGGTGGCAAATCGCAGTAAGTCAAGTCCACCGAAGTAGCTAGACTGAGCACATACTCCCGTCTAATTTTCAAGTCTATATTTAATAATTAGTTGGGATTATTAGTGGCCTATCTAGTGCCAAAGGACAACAGTGCATACTAACCAACCTTGCCACGATACAAGTGGAGCACTAAAATACTACATCCGTTGTCTTTTACTTCAGATAATAGAGTACTATAAGTACCTAGCTACCTAGGTAGCCTATGTACAGGGAGGTACTACCTACCTACCTACCTAGACACAGGCACCTAGGTAGTACCTAAGTAGGTAAGAGGTAGGTAGGTACCAGTTAACTATGTCGGGTACTACATACTACATAGGACGATGAGCTCATGAAAGACACCCGTCTGGCCCGTGCCTCTGACAATCTGGATCTGATTGGCCAAGAAGACGCTTGAGCCACTCGGTGTAGCCTGTGGTCTGGCACTTTCTGCGCACAGACCGTGTCTGATTGGCTGAGACGGTGGCCCACATATGTCCTGGGAGACGCCAACCGATAGACTAACCTGATTTGGATTCGCTTGCAGTAGGAAGATATGGACATAGTACCTACCTGGTAGGGAGGTACATAGTAGGGAGGTACATGGTTAATAGACAAGACATAGTAGCAGTTACCTAGTAAGTACTGGAAGTAATTTCCTCATACTTGTAAGAGTGTATGTAGTAGACTACAGAGTACTACAATCTGGTAGCTAACTAGGCATGGTATAAGACATCATAAGTATTATAACCGGGGTATAATAGTGTATCTAATTATCTGTATACTCATCTTCTATGCTAGTAAATACTAGCTCTGCACTATCGACTCTGTACCTAGGTAATAGGTATCATGACTCAGAGTAACTACTCTACAGGAATGCTCTGTTATCTACATTCAGTACGGAGTACTACAGAATAGAACTACTATTGGGTAGGAGACTCCGACTCTGTCCGTACTTGACTCTGTCCTACCCTACCGATGATCCTAATATCTTGCTCATGCAGTACGACAGAATAAGCCTCCAGCAGACCTTGGCGTGGCCTGAATCATTGCCCTTCAGAGTGATTGTTATCTCCAACTTCTGTCTGCAGTAATGGTATGATAGTAATGAATAGTTGGAGTAAGTTTAGGTATCTTTTTAGTATCTTTTATAGGTAACTATTCCATAGTTGAGGTAGCATAGTAATAGTAATCAGAATATCCTACTATAGTTCTATCAATATATAGTAGGTAATACGAGGTGCTTGTGGAGCTGCTACTCGATCAGACTAATTATTACATGCTTTGCTGATCACATATTTAACAGTAAACAGAGTATTATAGTTAACTATATAGTAACTACATAGCTATAGTACTATGACTATTATCTTAATACAGCAGAGAACTACCACTTAGGTAAAAGTAGGCTAATATCTTATTTCCAGCAACTCTACGCGACTATACCTGTGGTTTAATGACCTTCATATCAAGATATCATGGATACCCAAGCCACCTGTGTTACCTCAACCAGGCAACTTATAACCAACTATTTACCTTAGTTAATAGATTAATTACTTGCTACTTATAACTGATAATTTATTAGAGTTACACCTCTGTGTGGTCGTTTCATCTCCCACTCCCCGCCACAAATAATCGTTGCTGCGACAACCGCCGTGTTTATCCCTCTCTTCATCCACCACATGCCCCCCCCCCCCCCCCCCCCCCCCCCCCCCCCCATCGTTTCATCGATTCGACTGCGATAATGGCATCGTGATCCCGGATGGTCATACTGCCGATCCACGGTTGGAGGACGCGTCTGGGTCTCGACTTGATCGTTGACCGGGCTGTGGGCGGGTTCCTTGATTATTGTTTACTGTAGCAATATCCTGCCTGTCCTGTCCATAATATCTTCCATATCCTACCTATCCTTGTCTATTTCATCGATTCGCATGTCCTCTCATATTATAGAAGATTACCCTGTTTATTGATTTCATGAAGGAGGATCGGCAGTTTGCTGTCTAGATGCATTTCCTCTGAGACAAAATCTGCTGCTGCCTTGGGGCCGATCTAACTCCGTGGAATGCGCACCAAGACAGATCCTATCGGGTTCTCTGATGGACGCTTCTCCTCACCAAAAGCCTGGGAGCTCGAGCACGCTCGTCTCCATCACCATCAGGAGCAGCTTTCTCCTCGGTTTTCTCGCTACCCTCCTCACACCGGTCATCGCTGCCACCTCCTCCCTGCCGCCGCCGCCCTCCTACGTCTTCCTGTCCTCCCGTTATAATGATTCGCTCGCCTACCTTCTGCTGTCGAACGAGACCCAGTCCAGTTTCGTCTCGGTGAATCTATCGACTACCGTCGACGCTTCGGATTCCCAGTACTCCTCTGTCTTGCTGGAAGACCTGCCCTTCCAGTCCGGCAATTATAGCAATCATGCCTGGGTGCCCGTCGTCGACCACAATGGGTCCATCAAGGTGCATGCGGGGAACTGCCATGCCTCGCTGGACAAGAGCACCGTCTGGTATTTTCATCCAGATGATTCTAGCAGCATCGGGAATGGTACCTGGGACCGGCTGCCCGTCAACAAGGTGAGCAGCGCTGTCGATGCCGCTGTCTTTGGCCCAAATCATCTCGCTGCGGGCTTTGCCTACGCCGCAACCAATACCATGCCCAGCACCATCTACGCCTTTGGAGGCATGTGTCCTTCTCTCAACAGCAGCAGCAGCAGCAGCAGTCAAGATGTTATCGCCACGGCCAACTATTCGCAGTCGATGCTCGTCCTGAGTCCCCAAGGTGGTTCAACATCCTATAGTCTGGCCACCACTGGTGATCGTGCGCCGCCCATTCCTGAAGCTGGTTTCACAGTGACACCGCTACAGCCAACCCACGCGACCACAACAAGTGGCAGTATGTGGCAGTCGCAAAATTTCCTTCTCATCGGCGGGCATACCAACAACGCCTTTATCAACATGTCCGAATTCGCTCTGTTCTCCTTGCCCCAGCAGAGCTGGAGCTTCATCACGGTCGACCCCCAGACCACTACTACCCGGAAGACTGAGCTCGCCGTCCGCGACGACAATGTTGTCGCTACTGTCGAGCCCCGGTCGGGTCACACCGCTGTCCTGTCCTCCGACGGCAGCAAAGTGGTCATCTTCGGCGGCTGGGTGGGTGACCAGACCGTACCTGCAGAGCCCCAGCTGGCGGTTCTGGAGTTGGGTGCACAGTATGGTGGCTCCGGTGACTGGGCGTGGACCACCCCGTCATCCTCCTCATCTTCAGACCTTCTAGCCGCCGCCGGGATCTATGGTCATGGAGCAGCCATGTTGCCTGGCGGAGTGATGATGATCGCGGGCGGGTACACGATTCCCCGGTCTTCTTCCTCATCAAAACGTTCCACTACTACTACTACTACTACTACTGCTAATTCGCAGGTGCTGTTCTACAACCTGACGTCGGGAGAATGGGCAGCCTCATACACCAATCCTAGTTATCAGGCAAAGAAGACCACTGCTTCCTCCGCTTCGGGCTCAAGCCTGCTCCGAACCACATCGCAGAAAGCCGGGCTCGGCGTTGGTGTCGGGTTGGGGGTGGCAGCCATTGCAGCCGTGGTCATCTGGCTCTGGCTGTTCGCCCGGAAACGCCGCAGCCGCCGCCAGCGCGACGACGAGCTCCGCAAGCTTGCCATCGGCGCCCAGCGGGCCCATTTCTGGAACGAGCCGCACTTGTCGAGCAGTTACCACGGACCCATGCTGCAGCTCAGTAGACCAGGCTCCTGGACTAGCGGCGGACCGGGTCCGGACAACAGCTACCCGTGGTCTGGCAACAGCACCACGACGAAACAGGAATATCCCAGCTGGCGCGAGAGCGGCGAGACCGCCGTTGAAGCGACCAGTCTGCTGGTCGACATGCCCAGCCCGACCAAGAGCAACCGAGCCAACACCCGGCACAGCAGCGTGAGCTCCCGCTCGTACCGGTACAGCGAATACCGCAAGAGTGATCTTACGGGAGATATTCATCCTATTGACGAACGGGAAGAAGATGAAGCGAACCTGGCAGCCATTGCTATCCACAAGAAAGCCAACAACAAGAATTACATCAACAGCAGCAGCAATCGTCAAGGCTACTCAATGTGCGAGACTTCCGATCCATTCGACGACGCCGATCAGGCCACAATCGAGACCCCCATTGTCGAGGCGGCCGCCAACGCCCAGGCCTGGCTGGATCTAGCCGAACGTCTCTCCATGTCGGCGAAGAGCAGCGACCGGACCAACTCAAACCTCTCGGACAAGTCTGCAACGTCGGTCTTCTCCGCCCGATCGGAAACCAGCCTGCACAGTGCCCGGGACCGACCCCCGTCGTCCTCGCTGTACCTCATCCCCAGCCGAGACTCGTTCCTGCGCAGCATCGCTGGCAGCAGCAGCGCCACCGCCGACTCCTTCTCCACCGCGCTCACCTCGCTCTCAACCTCCCAGGCAGAAGGCGACCACCTACTCTCAGAATCTCCAACGAAGCAAACCACCCCTGCCTCTGCTACGAGAGCATCCGAATGGATCGGGAGCGTACGTCGCGCCCTCACCGCCGTGAAGCGTGTAAATGTCATCGACCGAAGCGCAACAACAACAGCAGCAACAGCAACGACGACGACCTTCGGAGTCGACCGGCGCAGCTCCTCTTCAAAACCGTACGGGGCAATGGGCGTCGGCACCGGCGCAAGCACCGGCGCCAATAACCCCAACTCATCGATCGTTCCGCGCCGAGCAGTCAGCGCCTCGGCCGAACTGTTCCGCCGCAAACAAGGCGCCAGAGATTGGGGTGCCGATCCTGACAAAACTGCGGATCTCCCCTCGTCGCCGTCTCTACGCGGGCCGATGTCCACGCGCGACGACTTTGCTTTGTTGGATAGTACCCTCGCCGTCTCCTCCACCACCACCACCACCACCACCACCACCACCACTCCTCCTCATCAGGTCGAGCTTGATGCCGATGGTGATTGGGACGTCGAGGCTGCTGCAGAGGGGAGACGCGTACAGGTCACCTTCACCGTGCCGCGGGAGAAACTGCGCGTCGTAAATGCCACGGCGGGCGATTTGGATAACCTGTCCGACCTGTCGATTAGTCGGAATACCAGTGTAGGATAATCTTCTTCTCTTCTTCTTCTTCTTCTTCTTCTTCTTCTTAACTTCTTGTTTTTTTACGTTTTCTTTACTTCAGCGTGATACTCGTTGGGACTGATATGATACCATGTACACTCGTTAACTAGATATGATACCATGTACACTCGTTAGGAGTGATATGATAAATGAAAATGATAGCAAGAATTGATCTAGATGTATGAAACCAAGTAATACAATAAGGTAATGCTAAGCTAGCTCGACCAGCTTCTCCAATCTGTCCACCCACTTGGAACAAAACTCCACGTCGGAGAAGCGCTGGGCGGATTTTCTCGCCCGCAGACGCATGGCAACCTTCTCTTCGACGGGTAAGGCAAGGGCGGCCTCGAAGGCGGCGGCAAACTCCTCCTCGGATAAAGCGCGGAAGCCCGTTGCGCCGTCGCCGAGGTCGACGACGATATCCTCGCGGGGCCCGCCGGAGTCGTGGACGACGCAAATCAGCCCTGCAGCCTGGTACTCGACGACGCAGATGCCAAAGTGTTCGTTCCACATGCCGTTGACGCCGACGGAGGCGGAGCCCAGGTGCGAGAGGATGGCCGGCCAGCTGGCGTCGCAGAGGAAGGTGGTCTGGTCGCGGATGTGGAGTTCGTGGGCCAGTAGGCGGAGGTTGTAGATGTGTGTTTCGTCCGGGCTGGCGTGGCGGACGTTGCCGATGAGGACGAGTCGTGGGTCCGGCAGCGAGGCCGAGATGGGATTCTTCTTGCGCTCGTCGAGGAAGCGCGCAAACGACCGCAGCACGAGGCCGTGGTTCTTCTCCGGCCGGAACTGCGCAATGTAAAGCAGCACCGGCTGGCGGAGCTTTTCGCTCTCCGCGTCCACGGCGATGGCGGCCTCCAGCTCCGACACTGCGGTCGGCGGGAATATCACGGTGGGTTCGGCGTGCGGCTTGTGCTGCCGCGCGGGGCCCCAGAGCTTGCGGATGTGCGCGGCCGTCCACGACGAGTTGCACATCACCACGTCCACCTGCCCGCCCATCCAGCCGTACAGCCGTGCAAACGCAAGCCAGTACTTGCGCTTCAGCGTGCCGCGTAGGCCCTTGCCCGTCCCGGCGTTGATCCCCTTCACCCCGGTCTCGTCATCCAGCGACTCCAGCATGTCGGTCGAGATGGTCGGGTAGTGCACGTACGCGCCCGTCGGCACAGACGGGAACAGGTACTTGCTGAACGCGAGCGTGAACGCGTAGCCCATCGTGTCGAGGAAGATGTCCGGCACCAGCAGGTTGAACGCATCGTACGCAACCACTAGAGACCCAAGAGCTTGGCCCAGTAGTGTCAGGTATGGGTACATGCTCGGAACGACATACTTGCGAGTAGTCAGGTACAGAAGGACAACCGTCGGGGCGTGCAAGCTGATGTTGAAGCGGTTCTGTACATAACTCCAATTAGACTGGTTCAATGCTTCTTTCTTTTTTTTACAAAAAAAAAAAAGAAAAATCGCTTACCTCGACTCTCTCTAGCATAGCTGCCTTGTTGACCTCGTGGTCTCCGGTATAGATAGCACAAATCGCCTTGGGCCAGCGTTTCTGCGTTGCTCGCACTGCCTCCCAAAGGACACGTTCTCCGCCACCACCGGCGTTGCTGTGTGAAGATAATCGTTAGCAGTCGATCAACAAAACCACTAGAAAAAAGGTCAAGGTCTGCTCGTACCAGAACGGATGGAAGAAGCCCACAATCCCATCCCAGTCGTCATCTCCACCAGTCTTGTTGCCCGTCGTCTTGTCGCTCGAGCTGTCCACCTTCTCCCAGTCTTCATCATCGGCGGGGGGTCGCAGGGACGACTTGGCCTGTTTTGCAAGGTATTCTTCCTGTTCTGCCCGCACCCGACCGAGGATAAACTCCCTGCGAGACTTGGTGCGTTTCTGGATGAGGCACCCGATGGAGCGGAGCAGAAGTTTGGGGGTATATATAGCGACTGGCGGGATCAGGTTCAAGGCACCGACCAAGACGAGACTGGTGACTAGCGACTTGGTCACAACGATAGCGATGGCCAAGACAAGAGCGCTGAGCGAGAGCATGATGAAAGCCATGGCTACCGACAGATACGAGTGGGTGAGATGTCTATGATGGGGAAGTAAAAGGGAGACTCGCCCATAGTAAACATTCAACGCTCGTCGGGGCAGCTCCAACCGGAGCTGGATTCTCTGCTGTGTTGTTTGAAGTTGTCCTTGACGACCTGCTTGAGCTACTCTTAAGTTATCGATAACTCTCGGGGATACGTCAGCCGTATTATTGGTGTGTATGGTATTGTATGTTACGATACTGGGTACTAATACAGGTAGATTACTAGATACCGATCTGTCATCACGTGATATAATTGTAGCTGCATTGCAAAAGCCCGATCCGCGATGCTTCAATAGACTACCAACTATTGTGCTAGGGATCAGTCCTTCGCTTTTTATATTTATCTTCTTTTCTATAGTTGCTGAACTCGTTAGATTATTATTCTTTTCCCTTTGCAGCCATTGTACGCCATGCGGTCTCTCCGCCCTCTACACACAATCCGCGCTTCCAAGTCCGGCTTCCAGCATATCCGCCATTTCCACCCAACCAGGCCATCACCGTTCGTTCACGAGGTCCTCGAAGTCTCTTCTTCGTTTCTGCATGGCGTCCATGCAGTTAGTGGCCTTCCGTGGGCCTTGTCGATACCGTTGTCTGCTGTTTTCGTCCGGATGACCGTTGCCCTCCCGCTGCAGGTGTATACCAAGATACAAGCGCACAGAGCACAGCAATTAAACCCGCAGATTCTGGCATGGATTGAATCTGAGCGGAAGAGCTTACGCGTGGATAATAGAAAGTTGGCAAAGCCGTTGCTGCCCGCTCAACTCACACGCGAACTGAACAAGCGGTTGAAGGAGGAAGTGCGTAGGCTGAAAAAACGCTGGCACGTTTCTCGATATTATGTAGGGATGAACTTCCTACAGGTGCCCATCTGGATCTCTGTCATGGAGAGTCTTCGGGCCATGTCCGGGGTTCAAACGGGTCTCCTGGGGTATCTGACGTCGATTTTCAGCTCCTCGGCCTCGGCCCAAGAAGCCCTGCAAATACCGGTCGAGTCTTCATTCGCGACAGAGGGTGCGCTTTGGTTTCCTGATCTTCTGGCTGGAGATCCAACCGGTATTCTCCCTGTGTGTCTCACAGCATCCATCCTTCTGAACATTCGGAGCGGATGGAAAACGAAAACGGCAAAGGAGATCGCAGACCTACCCAAGGGGCTGGAGTTTTCCAAAGCACTAGCATTCAAAGGCTTGAAAGGGTTTCTCCAGCTCTTGGCCCTCAATATTGGTCTCTCTTTCTACGTCTATCAGATGCCCTGTGCACTGATGGTCTACTGGATTACAAGCACAAATATTGCCACGCTGCAGTCACTCGTGCTGGAGAAGTACGTGTTTCCCAAGTCTCCTTTCAAACCAAGAAAGAAGATGTACATCGGCTTGAACAAGCCGCAAAAAACGACTTCAGACCTCCCTTTGTTCTTTTGAAGAGGCCCAGCTCTCTTCCATGACCTCAAGGGGGAAAAGCCGGCGATTGCACCCGCAATCAAAACCCCATGACAAAACATTACCAAGGAGGTTCTGAATTGGTTTTTTCCTTCATCCGGAAAATCATCAGGAGACTCAAAACGACCATCATGCGCACACCTACATGTGTGTCGTATGATCTTATGATCGGGAGTTTTTTGAAATCCAGAATCCAAGCTCCGTCTTTGGCTTATTCGACATCGCTCTGGTGTGTTTTTCCCTTATACCGCCGAGAATGCACCAAATGAGCTTGTTCTGCAGATCTTACCAGCTTTCAACTCCAGCCCGTGTCGGAGATGACTTTCCGGGCATTCGACGGTCATTCCGAGTTGATTATAACCTATCTACCTACCTAGGTTAAAACTTACGCTGTGCTTTCCCGTGTCATAAACCAGCTGGACATGGCCCTTGTTCTATCGCAATGATACCCTGTAACTTATACAATGATAGAAACATTACTTGACTCTTGCCTCGTTGCAAGTACATTCTCTTTTGTTTTTTTGGTCCATATTCAAGAGATATATCTGTTTCTTGGCCGTGTAGTCCCATACCTAAAGATATAACTCTGATGAAAATGAATAAATACCTTAATTAGGTTGAAGACAGAATATACATTCTTGTAATATCATGAGTGCCCCCTTCATGAGCGAAGGCCAATAACTAGTGTTGATGTCTGTTCTACAGTGGTCTAAATGCATGTTGAGGTTGAAAAGGGTATCTTATTCCCTGCGCATATATTTATTAGCAGGATGATGAGAGAATAAATACATCCATTAGATCAAGATGCAGCCGAAATTCCATTCAACGCCAAGAACGATATTATCAAAATGCCAAGCTTGGTGTTGGTGTCCCTGGTGGAATCCCTCCAGGATCTGGGATAATGACAGATCACAAGGCTCCAGGTGAGATGATCAATTGAGAGAAGACGGTTCTATAACTTTGCCTTTTGCGCTTCTTCCGAGGCGCTAGCTTCCTTGTTAATGGAGATAGTACGGGTATCAGGGCCCTCACCGAAGAAGATAACTTCAACAGTCACATCGTCACTGTTTGTAGCGTTAGAAAGATTCGAATTCCGACGGATGTACAGTGGAGGGGTCTCATACCGGTATCTTCGTGAATAGGGACTCGGCAGGGTCAACAGTGCACAGAGCATATCCTTGTCCTTGCCACCCATAGCATTGCGGACAAGATGGGTCGCGGCATTCTTATCTTCCACGACAAATCGACTTGCAGCGCCCGGAATGTCATACTGTTGCTGACGAATAGGGCGACGCTGGCCGTCTGTCACAGTTTCCTTGGGAGCCTCGACGGGGAGCTGCTTTTTGTCAAAGCCGAACCAGCTCTGCAGCCACGCGCTGTTGCCTCCATTTGTGGAGCCGGATTTCTGTTCCTCAATCCATTGGCCAACGAGGCCGACCACTTCCTCGTTGCTCAGCATCTCCCATAGGCCATCGGTAGCCATGACCACGAAGTCACCCTGAGAAGGATCGATCTTGGTGGTGGTGATGATCGGCTCGGCAGTGACATAGGGAGGGGTTTTGAGCAGCTGGTGAGGAGTCCTTCCGAAAAACTGTCGCTTGATCTTTTCCTGGGTTTCCTTGCTCCACTTATAGAATGCATCACCGAAAGAACGGCTCGGCTCCAAGTTGCCAAGGATTCTACCGTTGCGAACGACATTTGGCTCTCCCGGATGTTCTTCTCTCAGACGCTTCATCTCAGAGGGGGTGCCGCCAGTCTGGTCTTCTGATAGAGGGGTGGCGGTCCATTTTCCATTGGGACCCCGACGGCCCAAGACAGCCCGAGAATCGCCAGCACATGCCACTTTCAAGTCCTTGGATTGGGAATCATAGAATGCCATCAGGGCACATGAGCCGGAAAGAGCGGGCGCGAGAAGCTCGGCCGCAGCTCGGCGTGAGTTGGATTTGAAGACTTTCTCAACACTGTTATATACGATGTCGTTGTCAAGGCGGACAAATCCCTGCTTGATAGCTGCGTCGATGGCGTCAGAAGACGGAACAAGAGTGGAGGATTCGGCGGTAGCGGCCTTGTATGTGGTATTCAGTTCTCGGGCCACGTATGAGATCAGAACATCACGTAGCTTGGCAGATGTAGTCCAACCCCTGGGCATAGTAGTTAGATCGATCGGTCATGGATGAAAGGGAGATGCAGAAACTTAAGACTCACGAATGACCATCGAAGACAGTCCAAAACATCCAGTCGCTATTTGTTTCGCCGTCTTTGGTGGAAGCCACGGTGGACGGCACCTCGACAATCTTCTCAGCATGATCATCTTCGATTGGCGAGTTACTAGGGACCTGAACAATATCATAGCGAACCACCCCTCGGCCGCGGTTCACCAAATACGACTCTTCATTCCTCCTCAATTTCTGCGTCGCCTGATCCGGTGTCAACATTTCGAGAACGCGTCGATCCGAATCGTCTCCGTGCTTGGAAAGAGGCTGGTCTCCCGATAGCGTCGCCGTGTAGAACTGGTTGTTATCCACCAGGAGAGCACGACGCGTCGATTCCGCAGTCTCCTCGGGCAGTATACCGGGCGTCGTCCCGGTCGCTAATGAGCGTGTCTGGGTCGTCGACGTATTAACGAGACTCGCCGCGGAGGCTTGCGGAGAGTTGCCGCCCTGGTAGGCATACCAAGCACCCGAGGCAACCACCGTCGAAATCACGGCTAGAGAGAAGTTCCGGATGTGCATGGAGGACTGTAAAGTAGCAGGAAGAAATGACTGGGTCTTGCCGGCGGCTGAAGAAGCACGGAGAGCCAGCGCTTGGCTGCTGGAGAAGGATACCGTGCAAGGCTTCCTACCAGCTACCCTCCATACTGGGACACGACGCGCAGTACGGAAAGCCTGGACAGCAGCACGACGCATTGAATCTGCAATGCTTCAAGGGCACAGTAAAAGATGGTCCAGCCAATATCACAGTAGGATCAAACAGTGTTAAAAAAAAGAGAGTGGAGAGAGATACCCTTTGGAGATCTGGTCATGATAACGGAGTCCTCCCTCTATAAAGTTACCTATTCACTCCTCCAGGCTGACTAATAGGGTCATGTGATATAGCACGTGACATTATTAAGATTATCCCAAGATATGCACCAGACCCAATTGAGATGTGTCGTCATACCCCTCTTACCTGTTGATTCATTTCTTTGGTGGGGAGCCAGCGATTGGTATCTTCCTTGAAACTGCGAGTAAAGGGAATAAGCCATTCACTTACTGTTAACTTACCTGAAGCCCCCCTTCAAAGGTAGCCCTTGGGATTCCCTGGATGTCATCTCGCGCGATTCGCAAGCTGCAAAAGCTGCGCGAACAAGAGTTACAGCAATCGTCGCTAGGCGCCGAGAAGGACAATGATGACAGTAGCGAGGATGAGATGGTGACCCGGCCCTCAAAGCCCAAGTTTAACGCCTTTGACCTGTTGAACACAGCAGAGGAAGAAGACGACGACGACGATGAGGAAGCTGGGGTTCAGGAAACGGTAACTCTGCAGCCGGAGCCTCGGTCACCTACGGCCACACCCACCGAACCTAGCAAGAAAAAGAAGAAGAAGAAGAAGAAGAAGAAGGCGAACGCGTCTGGAAAGTTCCTGCCTGCTAATTCGGATGATGCAGAGCTGGATGAGATCGATCGTGCCCTCCAAGAGCTAGCCACAGATGGCCGTTCGTCGCAAGCTGCTGCTCAGTCGACGGCGGCCACCGTATCAGAAAGGGAGGACTACCCTATGAGCCTGGAGGAACTTCTTTCTGTGGAGCCCAAGTTTCTCAACGCAATGAATGAAATGCGGAAGCTGTTTGGGAATGTTGTGCTGGAAAATTTCGATCAGCCACAGAATGAAGGAACGGGCCGGCGGCGAGAGAGAAATAGGGAGACGGTTGACCTTGGTCAAGCTTTGACTGGTCGATACAGTCCGGCTAGTAGAGGTCAGAGTCTGGCCGGGGTAACCTTGCGACGGAACTTCCTTATGCAGGGCAAGGGCGAGTGGCCGCGAGCGCCTAGCGGGGGTCTGGGGATGGAAGTTGTAGAGAGCCTAGCCAGTGGAACGACTGTGTACCGAATTCTGCACAATGCTGCATATCAGGATGTTCAGCGACAGTTTGAGCTGTGCGTGGAATCGATGGATCCGCAAAGACTGATCCATCTCCTCCAGTACAACCCGTACCACATCTCAACCTTACTCCAGGTCTCTGATATTGCCAAGCACCAAGGCGACCACGCAGTCTCGGCAGACCTGCTTGAGAGGGCGCTTTTCAATGTCGGCCGTTCCGCGCATTCTTCTTTCGGCACCCAGCTCAAAGCGGGCCGCGCCAAATTGAGCTTCACCCATATGGAAAACAGGGAGCTCTGGCTTGTTGGATGGCGATACATTGCTAATCTGGGCATGAAAGGGACGTGGAGAACGGCATATGAATGGGCGAAGCTGCTGCTCAGCCTAGACGAGCTTGATCCTTACTCGATAAGCTTGTTGATCGACCATCTCGCTCTCCGCGGCAGGGAATACACGCATTTCATTGATCTCTGCACAAAAACAAGCATGAAAGACACATGGAGCGGGCTACCTAACATCCAGTGTTCTCTTGCGCTAGCGTATCTACGCCAGGACAAGCGAAAGGAGTGCCGAGACCAGCTTCGTCTGGCTCTGGCACGCTGGCCTTGGGTCTTCTGCAAGATCGCGCAAGAGCTGGAGATTAGTCCCATGCCGAAGGCAATCTGGGGCCGGATGCCGCCAAACCCTTCACATGAACTGCTGATGGAGTTGTACGTTGCGCGAGCCAAAGATCTGTGGAATACACCCGAGGCAAAGTCTTTGATAGTGGAGGTTGCCAATACGGTCCCGGAAAACGATGAAACCGCCTCCGATGTAGCACCGGAAATCACATTGAACATTGCCCGCCATGTCATCCTGTCAGACATTCCCCGTGTTACGACTCATCTGCCCAGCCATTTCACCTCTGGGCGGATCTCAGCATCGGACCCTCTTCCCCCCTATGACTCCCAGGCCTTTCAGCAACAGTCGGACCCAACACCAGCGTACATATCGCGGATCCCGGAAATGGGTCGACCGCAGTGGCTGCGCGACCTGTTAGATCAGCTCAATAACGGGGCTCTTCATTTCCCCCGGCATGAGGCCCAACCCACCGACGGGGAGGAGGAGATCGATGTTCCAGCGGATGGCTATCATACGGAAGAGAACGACGATCAACCGGTCGGCCGAGCCCCTCTTCCCTTGGGGGATCACGAAGAGGGAGTGCTGGAAGAATGGCTTATAGGAGATGGTCTGATTGGAGTACAGGAGTTTTTACAGCAATATGGCGTCGATCGCGGCAATTGGGGCGAGGTCGTCGACTTTGCCCCATTGCTTGACTACGTCGAGGGCTTGGGTACTCTTCCCGTGTCTACGCGCCACGGGCTCATCCATGGACCGATCCATGATGTTCTGGGAGACATGGGGGTGGAAATACTTGAAGAAGAGCTCCAGAACTATGATGATAGTATGGATGGTTAGCTCAAGCATTCAGAAATATAGATATTACTTCCTAGCACTTAGGACATTAGCCTTCCCTTCTACCTTTTGTGTTATAACAATCTAGTGTCTATCGGAAAAGAGTTTAGATGATGAGTTCTACTAATTCGAGGCGACGCGATGTTGAGAGAAGAGAACAATAATACCTACACCGGACTGGAGATTGATATTATGATAATTGTATACTTGAGGGAAGCTGTCAATAAGCATAACCCGACCTAATATAGCATTTTAGTTGAACAGATTAAAATGTTTTTTGACTGAAATTATATATGGAGTAATAGTGGCTCACATTATCAGGTATAAGTATATATAGTATTATCCTATTTTTCCTATTTTTATATGATAGTCTGTTTATTTACTCTACAATGCTAGCATTTTATATCATCACCACATGTGGCTTATAGTTACTGTACCTGCATAGAACCTCATGCTATAATTATTATATGTAGTACAGGAGAAGAAATTTTTATTAATGTGTAACCTATAACTATTTGCTATATATTTATTATTTACTCTCATATTATTATCACTGCATATACTGTTCTATTTTTAATTAAATAATACTCCCCCTTTTCGCCCATGACGACATGGAAAAAATTTCGACGCCCTGCAGGCATCCCTTTGTTCTCGGCCGTCTCCGATGCAACGTCAGGAAGATTTCCCCCTCCATTGTAATCAACTACTTATTGAACTTAAATTTCTTCTTCTTCTTCTTCCCTGGAATCGGTTTCCGTGGGTTATTATGTACTCCGTACACTCATTCGACGTTGTCACTCTCTTAGTCAGACAAGCTTATCGCTCAGATTCGCTCTTGGACGGCGTCACTCTCCAGGCGGGGGATCCACTCGAAGCTCTCTCCGTCGTATGATTCTATATTGGAAAAGTGTCTTCATCAAGGTCCCCCTGACATACGTGGGACTATATCTCTGTTGTTTCTGCACCCCCGGGTAGTCTGGATGCGGTTGATGGTAATAGACTACACACCTTTCGACTGTCTTATCTTTAGCATCCCCAATCGCATCGAGTTTTGTTGAATCCGCGGGTGGTGGATTGATTTGTCTTTGCGCCTCTACAGACAGAATGGCACTCTCATGGGCTGTGGGTGCCATGAGTACAACGACAATGGAGTCGGTACCGTTAACGTCTCGTGAAGCTGCGTCTGGGATCCTTGGCTCGGTGTCCCTGACGTGCTGGATTTTCTTGCTGGTGAGTCCCCGGTGACTCATTCATTCTTCGCTTGTTGTCTCGAGAGATCTAACTTCCGGTCTCTATACAAAAGGTTCCCCAGCTCATTGAGAACTACCGCAATGGAAACGCAGAAGCCATATCACTGCTGTTTCTCGCCGTGTGGTTTATCGGCGATATCACCAACCTCATCGGAGGCCTCTGGGCTGGGCTTGTCCCCGTTATCGTGGCCATTGCCGTCTACTTCTGCATTGCCGACGGAGTACTCATCACCCAATGCCTCTACTACAAAGCCCGCAACGAGCGCCGGGCAGCCCGCCATCACCGACGCCATTCCTCCGCCGAGGTGCCCGACCCTCTTACTCCGCTCCTCGGCCGGCGGTTTAGCGATAACCTGGGCTTGCCGGGCTCGCGGCGTCGGTCGTCTGCGTCGTTGCCGGGCGGGTACTCCCGCCGCAGTAGCGAGGCCGAGATTGCGCTGGCCAAAATCGTGGAGGAGAATGAATCCGGCTGGAGTGCCTGGCTGAAGAATACCGCCAGCGTGCTGGCGATCCTTGTCATTGGAACGGCCGGGTGGGCTGTCGCGTGGCAGTCGGGCGTCTGGTCTCCTACCCCGCAAGACCATAACGGCGGCGTCGATATGGCTACAGGCGCACAGATTCTGGGGTACGCAAGTGCGGTTTGCTACTTGGGGTATGGTTTCCCCCCCCCATATTCTCCTGTTCTTCTAGTGAAAACTAACATTGGACCCTCCCTCAGCGCTCGACTCCCCCAAATATATAAAAACTACTGTGACAAGTCCTGCGAAGGTAGGCCGTCTGGGTCCAAATTCGTCTCTGGTTCTCAAGCTTGAAGACACTAACACCTGTCCAGGATTGTCTCTTCTGTTTTTCATTCTCTCCCTGCTTGGCAACCTCACCTACGGTGCAGGGGTATGTATCTCCTTTCCAATCAGGCAACATTTTCTCAGACCTCACGATTGACCCTTCATATCACAGATTCTCTGCCACTCCACGGAACAGGGCTACGTTATGACCAATCTTCCCTGGCTGATTGGATCACTGGGAACAATGGTCGAAGACATCACTATCTTCGTACAGTTCCGTCTGTACGCTGCCCAAAGCCCCCAACTGACGGGCGCAGTTGTATGATGCGATCCCTGAAGGAGTATTCCATCTACATATCGCCGGAACTAGCACATTCTTTTCTTTCTTTCTTTCTTTTTTTTCGATCATCTATTTTGTTTGGTGGATATACTTGACTTTGTTTGAAGTATATATAGCCTGCGTTTTCTTCTCGTCTGCATATAGCAAAAGTGAGCGTCGTTGGGACCCAAAAAAGTTAGGGACAAGGAGGACGGACATAGGGTTGGAAAAAGTCGTGGGTTTTTATTTGCTGGCAAGGGAATGGATTTGGCGTTGGAATTGTATGATTATTTACTCCTGTATCATAGCCACTGTGTGTGTTTTTTTATTCCAATCACATATTCAGTCAGACAGAATTGATGGTATACTCACTTTATGCAGTAACTACTACGGAGTACTAGAACTACCTGATGGAAATGGATAATATGGAATCATTTCATAGTCATGACAGACATGACATGATCTGAGCACCGAGGGCTAGCTAACAAGCAGGAAAGACGAGATAACATATCATTATCCGGAGATGGGGTAGGTCAGGTATTATTTTCAATTTTTTCTCCTTTGCCCCCCGTCCTGGGTAGAACATGCATATGCCAGTGTAATAACTCCTGAAGAAAAAAAAAAAACAATTAATCAAAGCAAAAGGCAAAAACAAGCTGAACCGGATATCTAGCGGCCATCCGATGCAGCATTCAAGAGATTTTTGCCCGTTCCTTTAATTGATCCTGCCTGTTACGACGCAACCATCATGCTAGCATAGCGCCCAGTCTCCAGAACATATCCTTGCCCATTGATTCTCTTTTTGGTTTCCTTTTTTCTTTCTTCGTTTTGTTTTCGTTCGTTCGCGGAGTATCGGATACAAGGTAGTTGAGGGGGAGGAGGTGGTGAGGGAATCGAGAGAGAAAAGGAACACAAAAAAGCCGAAAACATAGGATGCGCTTAGTCGAAAAGACCGAAGCCCATGTCCTCGTCGGACTCCTCCTTCTCTGGACCATTGCATTAGCTGACCATTCTTTGCTTCCCGTCTCCGGACTAGCTACGTACCTTCTTCCTTCTCCTCAGCAGCCTCGGCGGGGGCGGCCTCAGCGGCGACACCACCGGCAGCGGCGGCAGCGGCGGGGGCACCACCGGAGCCAACGTTGGTCAGGAGGTCCTTGACGTCCTTGCCCTCAAGAGCCTGCGGAAACAAGCAGTGTAAGCAATTGATCCCCCCATGATCACCATGTCGCATATCAAATTCTTTTATTATTATTTTTTTTTTTCAAAGTTGCTGGTATTTACCTTGGCGAAGAGGGTGGTCCAGATGGGCTCAACTTCCTGGATCTTGGCAGCAGTCAGGATGGTCTGGAGCTTGTCGGCCTATAATCACAAGAAAAAGATCTGGTCAGCCGCAAGATCAACGATGTTTTTTTCTCTCTCCAGTTCCCTTGGTCCCCTGCGATGTCTTGTTTCTGTCGCATTCTCATATATTTTTTGCTTCTCAATCCCAAACGCCGAGATCTCCGATCAGGGGACCTATGACCAGGGAAAATTGACACTCAGAGGAATGACAGTACGTACGGTGACCTCGACGCCATCATCGGCGAGGATGAGGGCCGCGTAAGAGACAGCGAGCTCGGCGGTAGACATGGTGGTCGAGGTTGGCGGGACGAGGTGAGCGTCGGGAGGGATGGGTTGGAGGTGGGAAGTAAAAAGTGAAGACAAGACGATGTTCTTGAAGGCGCACACACTACGGGTTCGCACTCGGCGGATCTGCCCAGAAAGTGTGTGGTTTAGCCCTCGCTTAGGGCTCGCCCCGAATAGGCTTAGTCCGACAGCCCCTCTCCCGTGACTTGGCTGCCTCTCCAAAATAGGAATAGCTTGGTTTGTCACCGTCCGCGATGCGATCATCGTTATCGATCACGATAACTACTTCAGGACCCCCCCTCTCTTCAGTCTTGCTCTGCCTCTTGCATGGCCTATTGTTTGGAAACGATTCAAGTTTAGGACTACAGCTTCCGGGCCTCTTTTACCTGTTGATTCTGCTGTGTTTTTTTTTTTTTTTTTTTTTCGCGATTCTCCCACACCTTGGTGGTGCCTTTCCCTACAGTTAGCTCTTTGCGGCGTCATGGACTCCCCCGCCGTCCCCGTTCCGCTCGATCCGCAAGAACAGCCCATTCTCGAGCGCCTTCTCCGCACCCGCGACTCTCTCTTGCTGCTCAAGCAGGACAAGTCATCTTATATCAAGTCTCGGGATGTGCTGCCGCTCTACGAGGAAGTGATCGCAGAGGTGGAGAAGCTCAATGCCGTGCGCAAAGAGCAGGATGAGCGGGTTGCCCGTAACAGACGTGCGTAGTACCGTGAAAGCTGTTCCGCCGGATGATAAGAGACCATTAGACTGACTGTCTGCGGGTGTGTCGCGTTCCTTTAGTGGATTATGTGCTGGACGACTGCTTCCAGCTGATCTCGCTGCTTTTCTTGACGATTGGAAAAAACAATGAGGCCCCCGCAGTGTACGCTCAGCTCATTGATAAACGATACGGATGCCAAAGCTGACATTTCATTAGATACTCCTTAACAACAACAGTTCAGGTAATCTTCATGGGATCTTTCTTGTTCACGGGATATTCTAAATGTGGCATGTAGCGCCTGCTCGATCACCTGGAAGAGGCCGGTTTCTACGGAGCCAAGGACCTCAGCTCCGTCACGAAGACTCTACAGAATATGTACTCGACGCTGGACAGAGGGCGGAACACATACTCACCGGCGCTTCTTACATTTCTCGAGAGCCGAATGAGGCATTGTCAGACCTCGTTGGATAAGCTCCAAAAAGGCCTTACTGGCCTGTCCCCAGAGCTTCTTTCTACCCATGAGACATTGATATCTATTCTTCGATCTACGTCCGCTGCCAACACTCGTTCGAAGGTGAGATAAAACAATACGGACTCATGAACTGGTTGCAGTTGACGGAAAGCTGGCTGATCCTTTCTTTTCTTTTCTTTTCTTTTTAGTTTTCCACGTCTGAAGTGAAGGCGCTTCAAGAACAGTTGAAGAAGATTGCAAGCACCATGAAAGATGGCAAGTTTGTCAGTGCGGACGGTACACTGCTTGCTGGTCAAGAGGGTGTGAAGATGCTTATGGAGCGCTGTCAAGCATGGACTGAGATTGTTTTGGAACGGTATGTCATGATTCTTGAAAGACGACCGAGAGCCAAGTCCCACTGATTCAGCGTACATCTAGTCAAGGGAAAATCGACGAGAGGTTCCGAGACCAGTACGAGCGGCTTGTTGAGATCCGGAATCAACTGGACCGACTGTCTGTGACACAAGCGTGGTCTCTGAGAGAGACCGATCTATTCGGTTACCAGCGTAAACTCGACCGAATCGACGAAGCGCGGTCGAACGGGAATTTTGTCGATGCAGAAGGCCACCTGGCTGATATCCATGCTCAACGCGTAGGCACCCCCGCCTTTGACAAGGAACAAATACTTTAGTCCACTGTGGAAGCTAACTGTGTCACAGACCTTGCTCTATCTGATCCGTCGCAGCTATGGGTATATCTATGCTCTGCTTATCTCCTCGGAGCCCGTGTCGGAGGCCTTGCTTCCCGTGTACAACCAGCTCCAGACCCTTCGGCGGTGTCTCGTGGAGGTCAAGGAATCGGGTGGTGTCTCTAATTCCCGGGAGCTCTACCCCTACAGCATGAAAGTACGTTTTAAGTGCCTTCTGAATATCCCGTGGCGATCGGCTAATCCTGTAGCTCAATTCTATCGACAACATGCGCGTCGATGGCAAGTTCTATGTTGGCACCGACATCCCTGAAGGCCAAGGCAGCGTCAATGCCTTGCTTGCAGAGTGTTATGATTTTGTGTGGGAACTGCGAGCCGCTGTAGTCGACGACGACGACAACGACGATGACGAGAATTCATAAGTTAGTCGGCTTGTTGGGATGATGGGATGTATGATGCCTGAAATTGGCCTTTTCTTCAGTATTTCACCTTTCTTGTGAATCTTTTATTTGAATTTTTTTTTCTTTTTTCTTTTTTTTAATATTTACTTGTGTCTGGAAGACTGGATCTTGGCTTTGGTTCTCATATTCGCAGAGAGCATTGTTCTATGGACCTGGAGGCTAATTTGACGACAACCGGCGTTTCTCACCCGGGGATGATATCTTGTTCAAATCTACCTATTCGACTGTAATTGATCATTCATCGCTGTACTGGACATATTCTTACTCCTGGCAAACTGATGCCAGTTATCCGTGGAGCATGACAGCTCTAACACCTGCCACTTGAGAGCTTAAACCTGAAAATAATAATCATCAAGAACAAAACCCTTTCCTTCCAATTCGATTATCAACTCATTTATGCACTATATTGATGTTGCTGTACTGGTTAACTACTACTTCAACACTCTGCTCTTATACAAGTCATGCCTGATAATTCCGGCAACCATATCCAACGATTACATAATTCCGCTGATAAAGGCGTGAGTCAAGCACGCATATCGCTTGCGTCATGTGACATTATTCCCCGGCATCGGCGCCCCCTGCAGCAGCTGGCCAATCAGCGCCAAGGCAAAAAAACATCGCTCACCTGAAATTCAAGAAGGCGCCCTGGAACCTGCCATCCTCGTCTACGTTCTGCAACGTATCGAGAAACGAAGATGGTGAGGCAGATTGTGTGGCAGCGGGCAGCTGCCTCCCGGCGGGTGAGTACATATGCATCGTCTCTTCCCCCCCCTTCCAGGGCTTTTGAGTTGATGGAACTTATTACTGACATCGCTTCGTCACAGCCGGTCCATGCGTGTCTGTCCTCCGCACGACTCACCGCTCGTCGCGGCCTCGCGACCGAGGCCTCGCCGTCGCGGATGCCCCCTTACCCGAAGATTTTGAAGAACCTGGAGCAGGTGCGCAGGGTTCTGGGCGCGTCTCGGGCCCTGACCTTGGCCGAGAAGATCCTCTACTCCCACCTGGACAATGCGGAGGAGTCACTGCTGTCCGGAACGAACAACGGCAAGGACATCCGGGGAAAGGCCAATTTGAAGCTGAAGCCTGATCGTGTCGCGATGCAGGATGCCTCTGCTCAGATGGCTCTGCTTCAGTTCATGACGTGCGGCCTGCCGTCGACGGCGGTGCCCGCCAGCATTCACTGCGACCACATGATTGTGGGCGAGCTGGGTGCCGAAGCCGATTTGCCCGAGTCCATCAAGGGAAACAGCGAGGTGTTTGATTTCCTTGAGAGTGCTGCCAAGCGCTACGGAATCGAGTTCTGGCCGCCTGGTGCGGGCATCATCCACCAGAGCGTGCTTGAGAACTATGCGGCTCCCGGTCTGATGATGCTGGGTACCGATAGTCACACCCCGAACGGCGGTGGCTTGGGCGCCATTGCCATCGGTGTCGGTGGTGCCGATGCAGTCGATGCTCTGGTGGATGCCCCCTGGGAGCTGAAGGCGCCTCGGATCCTCGGTGTCCGTCTTGAAGGCCAGTTGAGCGGCTGGGCGCGTCCCAAGGACATCATCTTGCACCTGGCTGGCAAGCTGACCGTTCGTGGTGGTACTGGCTTCGTCATCGAGTACCACGGGCCCGGTGTCGAGACCCTGAGCTGCACCGGCATGGCGACCATCTGTAACATGGGTGCCGAGGTCGGCGCTACCACCTCCATCTTCCCCTTCTCCTCCGGCCATGTTCCGTATCTCGAGGCGACTAACCGCGGCCACGTCGCCCAGGCGGCTGCTGAGATCGCTGCTGCCGGATCTAAGAGTCTCCTCCGCGCGGATTCGTCCGCTGAGTACGATCAGCTCATCACCATTGACTTGTCAACTCTGGAGCCGCACATCAACGGTCCTTTCACTCCGGATCTGTCGGTCCCCCTGTCTGCCTTTGCCGACACGGTACGTGAGAAGAACTGGCCTGCGACCCTGGGGGCCGGTCTCATCGGTAGCTGCACGAACAGCTCGTACGAAGACATGATGCGTGCCGAAGATCTGGTCAAGCAGGCGACCGCTGCTGGTCTCAAGCCCAAGGCCAGTTTCTTCATAACCCCTGGCAGTGAGCAGATCAGGGCGACCCTGGATCGCGACCAGACCCTCGATACCTTTTCCAAGGCCGGCGGCACCGTGCTGGCCAACGCCTGCGGACCCTGCATTGGCCAGTGGAAGCGGACTGACGGAGTCAGCAAGGGCGAGGACAATGCCATCTTCACGTCTTATAACCGCAATTTCCCTGGCCGCAATGATGGAAACCGCCGGACCATGAACTTCCTGGCGTCGCCCGAGGTTGTCACCGCCCTGACCTACTCCGGAAGCACGACTTTCAACCCGATGACCGACTCCCTGACCACCCCGGATGGGAAGAACTTCCAGTTCCGCCCCCCTACCGGTGCCTCGCTCCCTTCCGCCGGCTTCGAGGAAGGTAACCCCGACTTCCTCCCTAGCGCCGGTGTGCCCGACTCCACGGTGCAGGTTGCCGTCTCTCCGACATCTGACCGGCTGGCTCTCTTGGAGCCGTTTGCTCCTTTCCCCAAGGGCGAACTCTCCTCCCTCAAGGTGCTCTACAAGGTGAAGGGCCAGTGCACAACCGACACGATTTCGGCCGCAGGCCCCTGGTTGAAGTACAAGGGCCACCTGCCCAACATCTCGGAAAACACGCTGATCGGCGCTGTCAACGCGGCCACGGGCGAGACCAACGTGGCGTACGACGAGGCCGGAAAGCAGTACACCATCCCCGAACTGGCCGCCCAATGGAAGGCGGACGGAACCGAATGGCTGGTGGTTGCCGAGGACAACTACGGCGAGGGTAGTGCCCGCGAGCACGCGGCGCTGCAGCCGCGGTACCTGGGCGGTCGCATCATTGTGTGCAAGAGCTTTGCGCGCATCCACGAGACCAACTTGAAGAAGCAGGGTGTCGTGCCTCTGACCTTCGCCAACAAGGCGGACTACGACCTGATCGAGGCGTGCGACCACGTCGACACCATCGGCCTGTACGATGTCCTGCAGTCGGGCGGCCAGGGCAGCATCCAGCTGCGCGTCACCAAGCACAAGACCGGCGAGACCATCACCATCCCTGTGCAACACACTCTCAGCAAGGATCAATGTGGGTTTATTCTGGCTGGTAGCGCTCTGAACTTGCTGGCCAAGCGGGCATCTAAAGCCCAGTAACCGGCGAAGGAGGTACAGTTGTTCAAAAAGGTATTTTTTTTTATTTTCTTAACAAAAAAAGAATCCGAAAAGTTCGACATAGTATAAAAAGGATCTTTTGACTGAGCGTCGTCTACCGTCTGTTATTTTATTAAGCCATTGTGTTCGAATAGCTTCTTGTATAGATATCCAAATGCATTTGTTTCAGGATACTTCTCTCTCTCTCTCTCTCTCTCTCTCTCTCGTTCTCCCCCACTTCCCCGCACACATCCTCAATCAAGATATACAGCATCACATTGTCTCAATCTCATTCAGACACCGACTGCCCATGCCATGAGTGATACAGAGACTGTCCGCCCTGCGTTTCCCACGCGGGAGCACTCCCCGCTGCTCTCGTACGGCCTCCCCTTCCCCTCCGCTGCGGCGCGACACGTTTCCGCCATGTTCGGTGCCTCGCGGGTTTACGTGCTCTGCTCAGCGTCTCTGGCGCGCAACACCGACGCGCTGGACAGGCTGCAGGCTGCGCTTAGCACGGCGGGAGTCACAGTCGTCGGACTGCGGATCGGCATGCGGAGCCATACGCTGTGGTCTGAGGTGGTGCAGGTGGTCAACGAGGCGAGAGAGGCGGACGCAGATCTCCTCTTGACACTGGGAGGGGGGAGTTTGACGGATGGAGCGAAGATTGCTGCTTTAGTATATCACTTTCATTACTTTGATTACTTTTCCTACTTCTTTATTATTGAAGTTCTACTTGCTCATGCAGTATAGGCTCTCTCGAACGGGGTAACCACTCCAGCCGATCTTGCTACCCTGACCGAAGGCCCTGACAAACGAGCCGTTGTTCATCCTCCGACGATTCCCATCGTGTCGATCCCGACTACACTGTCCGCAGGCGAGTACTCCGACTTTGCTGGGGGCACAAACGACGCCACACGCCACAAGCACAGCTTCCAGCAGCCAGCGCGTGGGCCACGGCTCGTCATCCTTGACCCGGATCTGGCGGCGATGACCCCGGACGCGATCTGGTTGAGCACGGGAGTTCGAGCTGTGGACCACTGCGTCGAGACGCTGTGTGCGATCGAGGGTGCAACGCCCGCCACAGACGCGCTCGCCGAGAGGGCCCTCCGGCTGCTTGTCCCGGGTCTCCTGCGCTCGAAACGCGACAGTGCAGACCGCGAGGCTCGGCTACAGTCTCAGCTTGGTTCTGTCGATGCCATGGCGGCTTTCACGGGTGGATCAGTCGAGCTGGGTGCCAGCCACGGAATTGGCCATCAGGTTTTTCCCTTCTCTCTTCTTGTCATCTACCAATGGCTGCTTTCTCTTTTTCTCTTCTTGACTGCTCTAGCTGACTTTCTAGCTTGGCCCTCTGGGTGTCGGCCACGGAGAAACTAGCTGTATCATGCTCCCCGCCGTGTGCAAGTTCAATGCCCTCCACAACGCCAACCGGCACCGCCAGCAGCGGGTTCTGGCCTGTCTGACATCCGACGCGGTAGTGTCGAACGTCCTGCGAGAACGCTCTGTTGATGCCTCCCGCGCCGATCTGGGAGACGTCCTGGACGCTGTGATCCGGCAGCTGGGCCTGCCGCGCTCGCTGACGGAGGTGGGCGTGGGGCGAGACAAGCTGGATCCGCTGGCGCTGAACAGTCTGCAAGATCGATGCTGCAAGACGAACCCCGTGCCCCTAGAGACGAAGGAGCAGGTGTTGGAGATCCTGGAGATGGCGTTGTAGTGAATCAATTGATTTGTAATGGATGAGCATTTACCCCTCACCAACACCTTGTTTTACTCCAATTCTCAATTATTAATCCCCTACCGAAACGCATTGCGCCATATCTCAACCATATTGACCAGGTTTCCCTGGAGAGCCTCTTCTACTTGTCTAGTAGGCTCTTTGCTGCTATAGATCCTTGCAAATACCCCCAATCAACCCACATAAGAAAACCCCGCCCCCACTTCTCGAGCGAGAGAAGAGGCGATAGAAAAACAAGCAAAGGAACGAGAAGGTCAAGAAGAAGAAAAAAAAGCATAGAAAACAACATCAACATGTCTTTCCAGCCTAAGAACGTTCTCTTCTTCGGCGCCACCGGCGCGATCGGCTCCTACATCCTCGACGCTGTCCTCTCTGCCCGTGCTGAATTCGACCGTCTCGTCATCTTCACCTCCCAGACCACCGTGCAGAACAAGTCGACCCTCCTGGCGGATCTGAAGGAGAAGTACAAGGTCGAGGTCATCGTTGGCGATATCCAAGATGAAGATGCCGTCAAGAAGGCCTACGAGGGTGAGCTTGACCTAGAGAAGAGGTACTCTATAGTTATTCTATATCTAGACTGACAATTGAAAAGGCATCGACACAGTGGTTTCAGCAGTTGGCCGTGGCGCCATCGCTACGCAATTGCCTTTGATCCGACTCGCCAACGCATCCCCGAGCGTGAAATGGTTCTTCCCCTCTGAATACGGCACGGATGTCGCGTACTCGCCTGCCTCGGCCTCGGAGAAGCCGCACCAGCAGAAGCTCAAGGTTCGTGCCCTGCTCGAGAACAAGACCGAGGTGCCGGACCTGGCGTACACGTATGTCGTGACTGGTCCATTTGCAGACTACTACGTGCGTTTCTCGGGCGCCCGTGAGGCCGGCGGCTGGGACGTCAAGAACAAGAAGGCCACCCTGTTGAGCGACAGGGGGGAGTCGAAGATCAGTCTGACCACCATGAAAGAGTATGTCAGAAGTCTTTTCATAATAAATATATATAGAAAAAAAAAAGAAACTTCCTCGCTGACGTATGTAGTGTTGGGATCCTCACCTTGGCCGCTCTCCGTCATCCCGCTGCTGCCTTTAACAAGGCCCTGCGCGTCAACTCTTTCACCACCACTCCGGCCGAAATCCAGGCCGAATTTGAGCGCCAAACAGGCGGCCAGCCTTGGTCAGACGTCACTTATACCTCACTGGAGACCCTGCGCCAGTCTGAGGCCGCCGCCTGGGAATCCGGCAGTCCAGCCGCCACCGTCTGGACTCTGCGTCGTATCTGGACTGAAGGTGGAACTCTGTACGAGCAGAGGGATAACGCCCTCATCGGTGAACCCGCCATGCAGACCCTGACGGATGTCGTCTCCGAGGCCGTGCGTCAAGCATCGTGAAGACTAGGTCGAAATTTGTAGAAAATGTCCATTCTCGATATTATGACTTTTCATTCCATCATTTCACTCCTACCTCGTAACACAATTAACACAATTGGACTTGGAGCCATCCTAGCGTTTATTATGTATGATCACATTAGACAGGCTGGAGCATACGAGATTGGAGGGGAAAACATTGCAAAACATCTTGAGTTGTTGTAAATCTATTCTTTGATCTGCATTGTAATGACCTCAAAAAAAAATCGAGTATCGATAAAGCTTCATAGGCATCATTGGATGGGGGATAATTTCATGTTGATGGATATCTGACATTGGGGGAGGAATGATTAGGAAAAGGAAATGGTGGACGGCATGGAAGGATCTCGTAAATGCAGCGATGTAATCTTCAGATCAGAAAACGAAAACACAAACTTTAAATAGCTTTCATCAGGTTCACATCAACTACCACGACCGATCAGCATCTCCCACTAGCCTACTGGAAGTAACTCCGAATGGCCGCCTGGTTGTCCGGGTTGACGCCGGCAAGGATCTGATCAGCATTGATACCTGTGGCAGCAACAAGCTGTTTTGCCGAATTTGCAACTCGGACAGCGGTCTGCCCTTGAAGAGTCTCGGCTTCGAGGGCCTGAACGATATAACCGAAAACCTTGACGGCATTTGAAATGACAGCAGGGTTTTGCCTAAAAAAAAAGAGTCAATAAGCTAGCTGTCCACCAGGGGGCAAAAGAAAAAGAGAAAAGGCAACAGGATATATAACTTACTGGTCAATCAGCTGAGCAATGAAAGAGTATGCATATGGAGCTGCTTCCTCATCATAAGTGATGGGAAGAGTAGTAATCCAGTTCGAAACAATCTCTTGCGCATTCTGGACCTTGGAAGAGTTGTAGTGAAGAATCTTGGCGATACTGGCCGACGCGTTCTCAGTGGCAAAGACATTTTCCTCAGTTCGAGACTGCGAGTGCTGAGTCACTTGGAAGAGACTGGGGATACTGGCCGCGACAAAATCGCTCCAGAGAGCACCGCCCTTCTGGGCAGCGACACCGACACCGTAGGCTGCAGCTTGGCGGTTGGCGGCATTCTCATCTTGTAAACCGGCGGCCAGAGGCTGCATGATATGGTCCTTGTAGTTCCAGGACTGATCCCCACAGAACTCCAGCACGTCATCCATGATGCACAGAGCCCACTGGCGCTGAGTGGGGTCTGAACTTGTGATGAAGGCGTCATAAAATGGGAGAAGGCGTTGCCACGCGGGTAAGAATGAAGTGCCCTGGTTCTTGAAAATGGTGTGGAAAGCCTTGTTCATGTCACTGAGCAGGTTCTGGTCATCTTCCACGGCATATTCATAGTCGAGATTCTCTTCATCCGCGTCATCAGTCTCTGCCTTTTCTTCCAGGCGAAGTTTCACCCGGGTTTGATAGTCCTCCAGAGTAGACTTCGATGATTCAATGAAGGCCTGCATGTGCTCCTGGCTCAGACAATTCTTTCCAACAACCTCCACAGACTCATAAAAACACTGGTACATCTCTGCCAGAGTATCAACAGTCGGCTCAGCGCTCAGAACTTCAACGATCTTCTCGGCGACCTTATTCCACATGTCGGCGAATCCCGGAGACTGCTCGCCGTGGGCCTTCTTGTACGAGTTCAAGAGCTGGGGGATCAGCTTCGCAGAGGAGACACGGACAGGGTCGTGGAAGAAAAATGCCAGTCCGGGAACAGCAATCTTCTCCATAGTCTCCAGAACATAAGGCTCGAAAGCAGCTTCGAGAATCTGAGCATAGATGGTGATAAGCTCTATCGCGGTGTTCTTGTCCTCGAGGGCACTGGTCTTGATGCCGATGATCTTGCCCTTGAGCGGGACCAGTTCCCAACCTTCATCCTGCTCAACCTGGTCGATCTGGTCCTCATCATCTAACAGCTGGATGTCAGCCTTGGCGGCTGCGACAGCGAGAAGGGGAGGCATGACACCGGGCAAGTAGGGCACGAAATCCTGGCCGAGAACTCGGCACATGCGACCCCAGCAGTGCAGGAGGTACTGAGACTGCGGATCATCCGCATCGGTGATGTTCTGTTGGATGTTACCCAAAAGCTGGACTAGGTTGAGGGCATCTTGTCCCATCTTCTCCTTGCCAACGGCTAGGGCAATCAGTGTAGCACATTCCATGGCCTTGGCGCGCAGAAGCCGGTATTCCTTGGATTGCTCCTCCTTCAAGACATTGAACAACAAGGGCATGAGGGTCTCGTAATATTGGCCAAAGGCAGTCTCAGCGGAGTCGGCAATGGTAGCAATAGTAGAAAGAGCCTGCTCCTGAACATAGCGGTGAGGGCTACGCAGGAGTTGGAGGAGATGCCGGAGGAGCTGTTCAAGGTATGGCTCGAGAATCTTCCGCTCAGCCTCCTCGCAGAAGTTGACGAGAGCGGCAGCAGCATGGGCCTGGACACGGGGCTCGGCAGAGTCCAGAACGGGGATAATGTTATTGAGAACAGCGGCGTGGTATTTCTCTTGCATCGTTCCAGCAAAGTCGGTGCTCATTTGACCGAGAGCGTTGCAGCCAGCGTAGCGAACACGCGGGTGGGGATCCTGAAGAGCAGGCACAACCAGTGCCAAGACCTGGTCGAGTTCGTTGATCATCAGATCGCGGCAGCCTTCAGAGATGGCAGAAATAGCCATGAGGGCCGCATGGCGGTCACGCCAAGCTGACGAAGACATCATGCGTGGGATCCAGGCGAAAGTGGCTGGCAGAATAACCTGACCTCCGAGCTTGTTGGCCAAACGATCCATGCACTGTTCACCTGCGACATGATTGAGATCGCTTTCTTCAAGATCAAGCTATAATAAAATATAGTCAGCAATCGCCATTATTTAAAGATTTTACAAAGTCAATCGACAATCAACTCACATCTTCCGATGCATTCCACTCCGAAGCATCGTCATCATCAATCCCAATGTCGGTCATCAAGCTTAGGCACTGGGTGACCATGTCCTGAGCATAGACCGGGTCCTTCTTGCACATATTGGGAGCATAGTCGGCAAAAGTAGCCATGAGCTCCAGAGCGTTTTGCCGGACCTGGTCGCTGAGTTCCTTATCGGAAATAACGCTGATGCTGAATTTCACTAGGTGGTTGAACAAACTCTTGAACATTTTCGGTGAAATCTCAGCCAACTCGACGAGGGCCATGAAGGCAGACGAAAGCTCGTCGCTTTCAGACGCCTCCTTCAACGGAGGCAGGATATTGAGGATGTCAGGCATTAAACCGAAGAACTTCGACTGGGACTTCTTTGGGATAGAACGGAAGAACGAAGCAAATGCCTCCATGGCAGCGATTCGAACCTGCAAAGTCAGTTAGTTCAGTACTAAACCAACGGATAAAACGGCCGATGTCCACATACAGCAATGTTCTCATCTTTGAACCCTTCGGAGAAGACACCGAGAACGGCATCCTCGTGTTGCTTCTCAATAATGCCAGGGGTCGTGGAGAAGATCCGGAAAGCTGCCTCTCGCAGGCCAGATTCGGGGGAATGACTGGCCTGGAAAAGAATCCCCAGAAGCTCAGGCCATTGGTCTCCTATACAATCCAAATGGTCAGAATCACCAATTCATTTGTTTAAGCAAGCCAATCCATGTTGCGTACCACCATCGGTGTATTGTCTGGCGATTTCAGCCACAGCGTCTCCGATCTTCTTCCGGACGTCGGTCAAGGATTCTCCGGTCAAGCACGTCACAAGCTTTTGCCGGATGATCAATCTCTGTTCCGCATTGAGGAGGGAAAATAGCTCCTTGGTTTCATTTGTCACGGGGTCTTTCTTGGTCCGGCTGGCTATTTTCCGAAAGAGCACTGCAGCGAAGGAACGAGTCTAGTCACATAAAAAGGAGAGAAGAAAGGTCGATTAGAAGCCTGTATTTTCATCTGAAATGGCAGTACAAGGAGAAGGAAAGAAAACACTCCCAAAGCTTGTTGACCAGTTCCTCTCAAGACATACATGCCCTGGGGAGCCAGAGAAACAAAGGGATTCATTCATAGGGAGGGAAAAAGCAAAGAAAAATATATAACTTACCGAGGCCTCCTCTGCACCCTGGAGCTGTTCCACCAAGCCCATTAACAAGACATCAGGCCTGTTCTGGATCCAGTCATTGTTCAACTGATCTTCTGCCTGGGATCTGACTTCATTATCGGCGGTGGTCAAGGCGCGCAGCAGCTGCGAGAGCGCGGAGTGAACTTCTGGAGGGAGCAATGACATCTTCGCTAATCTGACTGCCACAGACAGTCTAGCTTATGCCAGCGAGATTGCCCTTTCAGAGGAGGGGTGGTTGGCAAGGTCGGGCTCAGCAGAGCGGGGAGAGGTTTGGAAAGTTTTGTTTTTGGTGGGGGGAAGCCACTAAGGGAGTTGGCTGGGTTGCTTAAAACCCGCGAGAACGGTGAATCGGGCGATCTCTGTCTCGGTTCAGCTCAAGGGCAGACTCAGCATCACCGCTGAGTGAGGAGCTGCTAACACGAGAAGGAGCAAACGTCGGTGGGAGAAAGAGCGCGCGTCGAAAATGTGGGATGTGAAGCCAAAATCCAACCCAGGACCGAAGGGGACTTTTGCTCGGGATCTGCCAATCAACGCCCGACTTTCCATGCTCTGCTGGGCCATTATGCGCTAGTCCCGAAGCGGGGAAAGCGCCATTGTCAGGCATCTTTCTAAGGCACCAAGGCAGTTATTCTGCTTACTCTCCATCCATCTATAATAATAACTAACTACCTACCTGATTATCGAGAATCAATCCATCTTGACGCTAGAAGAATTTTATATATGTATGGAATCCTAAAATCACTAATGACAATGGCTAACAGCGGTATCCAGTCAATATCAATATTAGAAGGAGACTAATGAAACAAAAGACGAGACGCAAAGAAACGAACTGTGGGTGTATTCGAAGGGACAACAACGTGAGGATTGAAAGGGGAGTCAGAGACAGATGTAAACACACAATCTATCTTTTTTGAATAATCAAGAGATTAATACACATGGCAATGTGCAAAGGGGGGCCTGTCTGCGGAGCGATTATCGGCTTGTGGCGCGGCTCAGGATGAAGACGCCAGCAATGACTGCTGCCAAAGTCACGATGGCACCGGGCAGCAAGAGGTCGTTGGGCACGCCGGAGATATATTGTTCCTCGGGGAGAGGCTGGGGGAAGGCCTGTTGCCGGGGCTTGCTGGATAGAGGCAGCTCTTCCGACATCGAATCCTCCGGAACAATAGTAACGCTCTTGGCGTCGCTCGGGATGGCCGCCTTGGAAGGAACGGGCTGCGGCTCGAGGGTGGCGGGAATCGGCGGTTGGGAAGGGTCATGGACAAAAAGGTCCACCTTGTCCTGGTGAGACCTGCGGGTGAGGGCAATGGCATCCAAGAGATCTTGGTCGGTAGTGATGGAAACAGTATCTCCCTCGTTGTCCAAATAGCTCAGGGCATAGCCAGTATTGCTGAGCCTACCCTCTTCGCAAGTGGGCACACCTCCGACTGCCTCGACTTCGGGACCGAGTTTGGCTGACACTAGCGCAACAAGTTCCACAACCCCAGAAGCAGGGAGGACGTTCACACGGTGAACACGACCGCTAGGGGCCTTGAACTTGAAGGGGAATGTCGCGGGCTCCTCGGGAACTTGCTCCACCATCAGAGAGTGCTCATCTCCTTGGTGCGAGGCAGAGTCATTGGGGAGGACACTGTCGCGGGCATGATAATCATGCTTGGACATATCCGGGCTGAGAACAGAGCGATGAGGCGTGTGGGGTTGGGCGGCGCTACCAGAGACCATAGAATCTGACTCGTGATCCATGGACAGCCAGAACTTATTCCAGGCGGGGCCCTCATCGTCGTGGCCCTGCATAGAATTGATCTACAGATAGGATATATAAGTCAGACGTCAAGAAACCACATAGATACAGCACATCAGGGGAGCTTACCTGCTCAAGGGTTGCGTATGTGAGCTTCAGCACATCAACCATTCCAACAATCTCGCCAGCTTCGTTCATGACAGGCAGGTTGAGGTAATGGCCATCTGTTCAGAGAATGAGCGTTGGATAATCTTTCTTTTTTTCATTGTGATGTAGAAGGGAAAGAATAAGGTCACGAACCATGCATTTTGCGGAGAGCAGCCTGGATGCTCATATCCGTAGGAGCGAAATCGGGGTGTGGGGTCATGACCCGGACGACACTGCAAGTGGCGGGATCAAGGCCAGGAGCAATCACACGAAGGACAATATCCTTGCTGGTGAAGATACCGGTTATAGATCCCTGGTCCTGCACCAGGAGAGCGGTGGTGTGGTGTTCCTTCATCAGCGCCGCGGCCTCCTTGACGGAAGTGCGAACCGAGACAGTGGTGGGCGGGAGGCCATCCAAAACAGTTTCTAATGTAGGCCCTGACATCTTGGATCGCAGTGCTTCGACATACTGGATCACCTGCTGGGGCTGCGAGGACCCCAGCTCAGTTTGCACACCTTCTAGCGCGTCATACAGCTTGCGAGACGAGCTGTAGGCACGCTCGAGCTTCTCCATGGCGTCGTAGAAACACTTTGTGATATCCAAAACACCCGATATATCCTGGTTCTCATCCATGACAGGCAGGTGTCTAAAGCCCTTTCTCACCATGAGGTCGAGGGCATCCGTGGCACTGGTGTCGGTGCGAGCACACAACGGATTCTTGGTCATGATCTCCGCTACAGTGATCTCCCGGGCCTTCAGGCCAGCACCCACAACACGAAACGCCAGATCCTTGGCCGTGAAGATACCAGCAATCCGGTCATCGTCATCTGTAACGAGCACACAGTCTTCTCGCTTCGCTGCCATCAATTGAGCGGCCTCGGCAATGCTGGTGTTGGGCTTGATCTGGAGGGCCTGGCTGGGCTTCAGGGCCAAGACAGTGCCCGGAGGAGCCTTGCTGCTACGCTTCGATCGCGCTGGGTTCTGCTTCTTCTTGCTGAGGTCCGCCTCCATCTTGCGTCGAATGGCCTAGGTAGTTGCCAATGAGATCCCAAAGTCAGTCCAACCATCCAATCAGAAACAATCTATTTGCTCTCCTTTCTCCCTGCCCGTACCTCATCACGCTTGGACTGGTTCTGCCTTTGTCTACTGGCCGAACTCATTGCTGCTGAACTCCCCAGATCACTTCCTGCGGTTTGCGTCGTCGACTCGGTCTTGGGTCGGGGAATGTGGGACGATGGGCTGTCGAAGTCGGGCAGCCTCCCTCGACCGATGGTTCTGGTGTTGTTGGGGGTGCCTCGGAAAGTGCCTCCAGGAACAGACATGTTGATCGCTAGACTCTCAAGGGATAGCTAGGCAAGCAAGATAAAAGAAACTATGGCCCCTGTGATGGGGATTCCAAGCTAGGAAAAATGGCAGGCGTAGGGTAAGACACAGTTATGGGTGTCGGGCGATCGGGGCAGGGGTGCAGTAGGCGTAGTACGAGTAGTAATCGCCCACCAACGCGCGGAAAGCACGCACCCTTTTCGTCGGGAGCCTCAGGATAAACAAATGGCCTGAGGCTGCCCTCCTTCCAGTGAGGATTGGAACGGGCGCTAGGCTTGTTTCGGGGCGGTCACGGCGGTGTGCCAGCTCCACGTGATACACCATACGATTGTGGGCTGACCGCCTTTATACATGCCTGAGGCATCGAGAAACCACTGCAACATCCCGTGACCGGGGCTCGCTTAAGGGCATAGGGCTACCCACCCACAACGACACGACACAACCACATCACGAGAGTCTCCGTTCCGTGCGTTCGACAACCAAACCCGACGACAGCCAAGTACGCGACAGCCTCCCCCTCTCCAACACCTTTTCACCCTCTGACTTTTTCCTGCTGCAGAAAAATCCGTCAAAATGGTCAAGAAGAGGGCGAACAAGTAAGCGGACCCGACCCTTTATATTTCCCCCCCCCATTGTCGGAACAAAATGCGTATCTCTCGATTTTCTTCTCGCCTCCGGCATTTATATATCGCCTACGTCGGGGACCGATGATGGGATGTGGATGCTCCTGGGCAGTAACCGGGGAGAAGAATTCGACGACACACGTTCAATTGTTTCGAGTCACAAATTGTGCGAGCCAACGGAAACTGACAAGATCTCTTTGTTTTATATAGCGGTCGCAACAAGAAGGGCCGCGGCCACGTCAAGCCCGTCCGTTGCTCCAACTGTGCTCGCTGCACTCCCAAGGACAAGGCCATCAAGCGCTTCACCATCCGCAACATGGTCGAGTCCGCTGCCATCCGTACGTTCGCACCTTTCCTTCCCCCGAGAGACGGAGAGCTGGAAGGATGTTTTCCATAGCGAGAACATGAAGAAAGAGGATGAACAGAAGAAACCTAGCTGGAAATTGGGTGCATGAAGAAGCGCGCTGACATACAATTGCTCTCTACAGGTGATATCTCTGACGCCTCCGTCTTCACCGACTACGCCGTCCCCAAGATGTACCTGAAGCTCCAGTACTGCGTGTCCTGCGCTATCCACGGCAAGATCGTCCGGTATGCAACATCCGTCGTATTCCTTGAGAACCCATGACATCGGGCATGGGGAATATTAGTAGACAATATATCGCTAACATGTACTTCTTCTACAGTGTCCGCTCTCGTGAAGGTCGTCGCAACCGTGCTCCCCCCCCGCGGATCAGGTACAACAAGGATGGCAAGAAGCTGAGCCCCCCTCAGGCCGCCAAGTCTATGTAAAGGAAAAACAAAGAATGAAAACACTCGGGATTAGTGCAGAATTTCCCTTTCCGCTAGTTTTTTACTCTTTTTCCCTTTTTCCTTTGCCCCTTTTTTTTTCTTGGTCGCGAGTGGGTTTCCAAAGCTTCGGGGTTTGAAAGGCAGGCATAATTGTTCGCTATGACCGAGAGACGAACATAAAAATGAAAAGAACGTCGGTTGTCCACACAAAAAAAGGATCTTCCAATCGAGGAAATGATGACGATGAAAAGACTAAAAATTAGGACGGGAAATAGAAATAAGGGAACCTCCTACCCTTCCTTTCCACTGCCCCCCTCTTGTATCCCTCGTTGTCCTCATAGATGGCTCGTAGAGACCTTTTCAGATTGAGGAAAGGAACCCCATGACAGAAGTAAGCGCCAGTGAAATGTTCGTATTCTAGATCATTCAACATGATTTGGCCATCGCTATGGTTATCTATACTGATCACTTGATTACAAGACCATCTATTTGAGATTGCACTAGTGCATCGGAGAATCATAACGATCTATGTACTCTGGTATACTGGTATTGGCGCCTCGGCAACTGACTATATTTTATCCTATATACATATACACCCTAAGGATATAGATACCCCTTCTCGAAATAATTCCCATACATATCCACCACCCCGCTTCTTCCCTTGGGAGCCGCATTCCGCACAATCTTCACTTCGCCCCTCCAGTGGCCCTCGATGTAAGGAGGCACCGATCCTTTTGTCAGCCCTGGCGACGGAGATGGAGACCGCCACGGCGACGAGAACGACGGCGAGGTCGGTGTCGGTGAAAGCAGGGTCAAGGTCGACGGACTCGCCGACGATGCCTCCATGGCGCTGCGCCTCCTCCGGTCTGCCTGTACCAGACTTTCGAATTCGGCTTTCTTCCGGCGTCGAAACGCCGCTAGCTCAGCGACCAGGTCAATGTCGGCAACTTCATCATCGGGAACAGCAGTACCGGCAGCAGTACCATCCAAGACGCTAAAATCAGCCAAGGACCCCATCGATGACGATGCAGGCATAGATGTTACTGTCTCTCGCCTATGGCTCCGCTGAGATGTATTCTGGTTTGGCTGGCGTTGATGATGGCCCGGTGACTGGGGACTCGAAGGGAAGTCTGAGTTTGACATGCCAGAGTGGGTGGATTCCGTGTCGGACACAAGGCTGACCTTTTCGTTCAAAATGGCCATGGGAACGTACTTCCCCGGGTCGTTTCTGGGGATCCCGCACTCTTCTTCACCAAAGAAACTAAAATCAGACATGGCTGCGGACCAGAGGTTCTCGGAATCCCGATCTCCCGTGCTTGATTTAGAGATCCCGCGTTGGTTCCGAGGTTTCCATGAAGTCAGTTTTGACGGTCCTTGAAGCTTCGTGGTAGGGGTGATTTCAAGCACTAGATGACGCAGAGAAAACAGTGTTCGAGCGCGGTGCAGCTCAGCCTTTAGTCGAGCTCGGCCGGGTGGCAGCGAGTAGTCTGATCCTGCTTGAAGAGTCGCCAGCAACGCCTCGTTGGAGCATGCAGTAATGAACAAGATGATAGAGTCGATAATGCCCGAATTGCGAGAAACATGTGACGGGACATCAGTCAGTACCAAGGTTTCCAGATGAGGAAGATAGGAAGGGTGAAAGTGCAGGAGCATGTTATCTTTGTTATTATGTCGTAGCGGAGGACCCTGCCTCTTGGGCCGCTTCGAGAGGAGTTCTTTTATGAGCCGACTTCGAGGATCGCCACTAGCTGGTTGTGAGCTCGCTTGCGCCGTTGTTTCAGGAAGATCGATCTTGGTAGATGATAGAGAGGCGAATGGGCCCTCTGTGATCTGCGGGGATGAAACAAGTTCCGCTTCCCGAGCATCAAGAAGAACAGAAGTGCTGTCCTCATTGGCTTTGGGTTCAACTACTTCCGGTGCAAATACCGAGCCTCGTCTAGGAAGTGGCTTGTCTTCACATAAAGCGGGTTTTTGAGGAGAGCCCTGTGTAGCGGGCGACGGCGAAGCCGCAGGTTCAACAATCGATGTATCAGCCAGCTCATATCTCGTTAACGTGTCCGCTGGAAGCTCATAGATTTCCTGAGCAGCGTCCAACTCAGCGTCGTGTGACGCATTAAGCTCCGTGTGGGTAAGAGCACCCGAGAGCTCAGGCAGCAGATCATTCGAGGAAGTGGTCGTGGTAGCAGGAGCATCGACTGTAACAACTGCATGATGGGCTCGTAAATAAGTCAGGTTGTCCTTCGCACTTGAACCAAGGATGGGGATTAGTTTCTCGGCTCCCGGTAGTCTGTGAGAATCTGTGGAATGGGCTGCTCGAGGTCCTTTGTTGATAACATTGGCGGTATCAACGGTTCCAACATCCAGGACATGGAGTCTAGTTGAAGCTAACAGACTTGCCGCTCCTTCCACAGAGAGGTGGTTGCCGGAAATGTACAAGTGGGTGATACCCACATGGGGTAAATCCTCAACCATCAAACGACCTGTGACTGGTTGCGTCAAGATCTTCAGAAAGGCTTCATCCAAACTTGGACGTCTCAAGAGGTCCGAAGGAGAAGACGTAAGAGCGAACTGAGAGCCAGAGCCAGGGTCACGAGGGGCGTTGGGAGATAGAAAAGAAGCCTGTAACAGAGACCGTACAGCCATGTCTGTGAGAAGGTTATCTCTCAAGTCTAAGAAACGCACCCTGGTGCCAATCGCATTCGCCAAGAACTCTGCGTCGTTGTCTTTCAAGCCTAGCCCACGCAGTTTCAGGACTTGAAGGTTCGTGAGCTGTGACAAGGACGCCAGCACTAGGAGATCGCGAGCTGGCTTGGTAAAAGACAAATCAAGGTAAATCAACAGAGGGAATCGAATCAAAGCCTCTGCCAACCCTTGTGACGTCGTGTTTGGTTCCCGTTCTGCTAGGAGTAATCGAATGTTGTACGTCTGGGGATCATCCCCGGGCTCTACAGAGCGGGAATTTCTCTGGGGACTCTTCAACGCAACCATAGAATTGTGGTCGAAGAATGGGAGTTCAGACACCATTAGGGATTGCAGACAAGGCAGATACTCCAGGACCTCCCTCAACCATTCTGGTCGTGGCCCGCCATAGATCTCAGAGAGTGCAGGGGGCAGGTGAAGCGTATGGGTCAGCATGCGCACCTCCAGTCGTGCATACCTCAGGGTCCTCCTAAAGCGCGTCAACGCAACTTCTCCATGTCAGTGGCTGATTGAAATCTCTTCTTCTTCTTCTTCTTCTTCTTCTTCTTCTTCTTCTTCTTCTTCTTTTCTTCGTCCTCCTCTCATTCTTCTTTTCTCAAATGTAAGACGGGTTGCGCACCGTAGACGGCATCATTATCTGTTCCAAAATGTGACGCCGGATCCCCCCACAGAAACGGAATAAATAGCTGGTGCCATCGTCGACACACCAGCGAGACTGCACAGAGGTCTCTGGATGGGATAGAGTGGGCGATGATTACCCAGGCATCTCTGGCGACAGCAGTCTCGTACGATGGTAGAATTTCGTCCATGCTCAGCACTGGAGCGTTCCGGTTTCATCGTTTACGAGTAGTCCTTCAGAGGCAAAACTCCCCCTTTCTTTAGGAAATTTGTGGCAGAGCGACTACTCTTCTCGAGCTTTATAAACCGACAGGCTGCGTGTAACGCCACTCGGGCGCAGTGCTGTGGGGGACGAAGCCGAGAGACGGAGACGACGGTGTCTTTGCAGAGTTGCAAAGATAGAAGACCAAACGTGGAGATCGAGCTGCTATTCGCTGCGGCTCAGAAACCTGGAGCTCTGTGGAACGTTGACCCGTCGTTGAGAGATGGTTGAGATGCTCATATTGCTCAGGGGGGGTGGAGGAAAGAAATCCTACTGATTGTCTTAGTGCCCCGCGGCCGGGTCAGCGTCCAGCTGGTAGTCACGAGGTTTTGTCTATATATAAATCTCTCGGAATACAGGCCGAGAAGGACTTTGTTACTATATTTTTATTGCTGTATGGAAGTCCTACCATTGTTGTCTTTCATTCAAAAGTGACATAATCAGGCACACTCGTATGACGTCAACAGACTCTACTATAGGAAACCAAATACTCCTATCAAGACGAATGTCAAGCCTAGATCTCAGAGAGAACCCGTTTGGTACAGTCCAACAAAGACTCTCCCTCGCCTTCTAGCCGAATAGCTTTGTTCTCGAGCTTCCTGATCGTGGAGAATTCCGCCCCGTGTCCGGCCTGAAAATGCGCCGCAAAGATGAGATCGTAAAGACCATAAAAATCCTCCTTCTCGACACGCTCATATCCCTTCTTGCGCAGGGCCTCGGCGTCGCAGTGTTCTACTTTCCAGTCCGAGACGGTGGTTCCAGTTGCCTGCTGGACGGCTGCGAAGATGTCGTTCTGGCAGATGGTGTACTCGCTGATGAAGATGTATTGGTTCTTGTATTTTCCGGCTGGGAAAGCAGGCGGACCACACACTTTCCGACAGCCACAAGGCTGGTCGTGTCAAGTTTGTTGGTGCCATTGTCGTAAATGATGGCAGAGCGAGTCTCGGGGTCGATGCCCCGAGGGGCGGTAGGATGAGCAAGACACTAAAACATTTTTTTTCTGTTAGCCAGAGACTACATGGAGACTTTTTCTATTATCTTACGCGCCCAGTCATAAAATGGACCGGAAACAATGCTCGTCCAGGTCGTTTGCGGATGAGAAGCCACGGCCTTCTTGAGATACTCCATGATATCGACCTTTTGCTGATAGACCGGGACGGCTTTAAGGGTAGCTTCATTGGTGAGATCCTGTATCCAAGTCCACCTGTGTAAGTCGATGCTCTTTTTTTGCTCTTTTCCTTTGTAAAATATTGAGGCAAGACGACATACGCTTCCAAACTCTGAGGGGATGATTCGCTTCACGCCCACTTCGACAGCAATATCGATTATTTCCTTTTGAAAATCGAGCGAAGCACTGCCAACGGCGAGAACGAGAGCATCTTGTCTAGACAACTCCGAGAGAAGAGATCCCGAGTGTATTTGCCTTTGACTACCTTGACAGTTGGGTCAAATTTAGTCGTCGACTCGGCGCGCGAAAGGACCGTCACATTAAACCTGGAAGCGAGCAGCGCCTTGAGGATAGATTGACCAAGGTTACCACCTCCCTGTGGACAATTAGTTTTCGCTTATAAGACACGGCTGGTTGAAATACTAGCTCCAATCAAAGCCACATTCGAGTAAGGCGACATGTTGATGTTTTCCTTTCTTTGAGGATCTTGAATATATGTTGAGGAAGATGGATGGAATGGAAACCATACTGGTTTCACCACAATATTTATACCATTTCTCAAAGCATCACCAGCAAAGCACTCCGTCATCTTCAATCCACTGAGGAAACATCCGGAGATACTTTGTAGCCAGTTGATTTCGTAGTCTTAGAAGATGATCAATGTCGACTATGCTTGTTTGTATTATGAGGTATTTCTCCATCACTGCGCTGCCAATATCGGAATATCTCAGTCTGTCAGGCGCTTTGTGATATTTTTGAGGCCACATTGTCATCGCACGGACTCGAATTTCTGGATTCAAGACGTTAGACACGAGAAAATCGACGTCGTGGGACAGCGCTCCCGTGAAGGCACTTGAATCTAGTACTAACTTCAAGCATCAGCTGCACGAAGCAAGACGTTTATCGCCGCGACGTTCCCGCGAAGCACATATTGCACAAGCATTGGGGGCGAGAGCTGTGTCTTGTGTTGTCATGACTGTTGGTAAGCGAGGTTGGGAATGAGGATCATACGCCCGGCGGTACAGGATTTGGGGCGGATAGGGGGCTTTTGACAGTCACTTAGGTAGGAATATTGAAGAGAATAACACTAGCATTATGACGAATATGCCATATTGTCTGTGTATGCCAGACTTATAATAATAATTATTATTCTATTGCTATGAGATCAGCAGAGTAAGCCACTCGATGTTGTTCTCTGAAGGAATATGGCGGCGCCCATGACGTCAAGTGCTGAGCAAGTACAAAAGAGGTGTAAACAACCCGACTTGTGTGCTTAAACAGCCCCCTATCTATCTAGTATCTGCATGTTATATCCCTAGTTAAACGCTATATCCTCAGTAGGATGGACGATTGGCACCGCAATACCCGCATGATGCACTATCTTGGCGAATTCCTCGACCTCGACCCGAGCAAGTTCCATCACATTGAGGAGTTTGTCTCTCTTATCGAAGCCATCCGAGAGGGCTTAATTCAGATCGACGAAGATCTGTATATTCCAGATGACCAGATTAACCTGTTCTTCCTCTCTAATCTGCGGTCTCGCGCAGAATGGCACGACTGGGCGACCGCGATGATGCGCGACAAGCGAGTCAATCGCACCGGCAACATCTCTGACACTGCTAAGCGAATGCCGTTCTCGGAATTAGGCAAGAAAGCAATCTCCTATGAGAGCTCGGTTCAACGCAAACCAGCGCCACGAGCCGTGACGTTTGCTCCAGAGCCAGGGACCCATCAGAACATCACAGAAGGAAACCCGCAGGCAAAGGTCGAGATGCCCACACAAGACGAGATCAATGCATTTGTCGTTCGAAGAATGGATCCAAATGGAGGTAGTAGTACGAAGGGAGACCATCAAGGTAGCAGACATAGGAAGAAACCGAGTCAGGAGGAAATCAACGATTTTGTGATGCAGCAGATGCAGCAGGAGCAGCGAAAGAAAGAGCATAAAATACCCTGCAAAAGTCTCAGCCAGCCTGATATGAGAAGAGCCACCCGGTGTGCTTACTGTGGCGAGCCAATGCATCGCTCGAGACTTTGCTGGCGGCGTTGCAGGGCAGCTGCAGAGGAGGTGTAAACAAGACCCTAAGAAATGCATATTTATTGACAGTTTCTAGAGATAGGCCATGCTGAGATGACCTTTGTAACACCGAGAGATATTTTTATTTCCTAATAACTCCCTGGATCCAACGGGGGAGATCTTAGAGTAAACCACTAGGTCCATGACCTCCGAGAAAGGGAAAACCCAGTTGTTGAAGCATGCACTCTTCAAATAACTCATCGTTCTCCAGCGCCATGTCCGCAATCGAGCCGTCCGTTTCCAGCTGCATCTTCCGCAATCGAGCCCGAATCACCGCGCAGGCATCAGCCCATGCGCAGATAATCCCGGACAGACCTTCAAAGAGACTATAGGGGCTATCAGGCATCCGATAATCATTCAACGCTGTCTCCGGGGACTGTTTGAAAGGCTGTGTTTCTCGAGAATGCAAGAGCATGGCGAGGGCCCTCGAAAGGAAATAGTCACCTGAAAGGACACCCCCCCTGGTCACCGAGATGTCTGTGCCTTGCTGTCGCTCTTGGTAGTTCCTTCTCGCTATGTCCATATCATCTTGGTCATACTCAAAGCAGTCGTGCAGGAGAAGCAGAGGCCATGCGTTGCCTGCAATGCCGTGGCAGAGACTGCCGCCTTTGGAAAGAAGTCCTTCTTCCCATACGCTTTCACTGGCAAGATAAATGGCTTCGTCCCATTCCTGCTGCCAGTAGCGGCAGGTCAGGTACGCATCTCTCCGTGCACATGCCAAAAGCATCAGGACGGCAGGGCTCCCATGACAGATCTGCACTAGGGGCGAGCTTCTAGAGGACTCACGTGGTGGAATCGATGTAGGAAGGTGACCGTTGTGAGCGATACACACTCGACACAGACCAGTAATAGTCCCTGCAATTGCTGGTAGATAGTTTCGTGCAGTTCCCTCGTCAAGCTCTTCAAGCCGACAGGCCAGCAATACGCACAAGATACCAGCTGAAGGCATGTAGATTAGCATGAGCATTTCTTCCCGATTGATGGTAGGAAAACCTTACTCATTCCATGAGCCCTGAGCACAGCCACAACCGGTCAGTAAAAGCAGCACCCGCACTGGGGAGTAGACGGAAACTCTTACGCTCCCAGTCCATAGTACCCCTCATGCCACGGCCACATCAGAGGAAGGGCATCCTCATCGCCATGCGCCCGGACATATTCCGCAGCCCCCTGTCTCCCCGATGCAATAATCACATCAATAAGTTCGGGAACCGCCTCGAAGATAGGCAGGAATTTCTGTCTGGTCTCGGAATCAAAGACATGGGTCCTTATATGCACGATTGCCCACAGCAGCCCGGCTCTGCCGAAGAGAATCTCGTCGGCACCCATATCGTGGCCATGATAGAACGCCAGAGGTCCATGGCTAAGCGCCAACTCCACTGCCTCTTCCAGACACGCTATATCGCTTTGAGAGATCCCCAGTGCCGTCTCTCCAGCCGTGGCCTTTTCCAAAATCCGCATCACTAGCGCGGCGATGGGGGAATTCGACGGCAAGGGCGATAGCCGTCCGACCTGGAGAGGTATATCTGGACCATGGGTGGGAATTCGTTGCCTGGCAAGCGTTCGAAAATCAGGCAGCGAAGGCATATCATCAGGCTCGGCCAAGCAGGCAGACTGCTGAGCAAGTCGTAGAAACGCTAGTGCGATCCCTGTTTGTGGGAGTGGAATGCATTATCAGCTTCATGAAGCTTCTCGCAAAGGCCCCTCCCCTCCTTTGTGTGCAATCTGCACAGTCTCGGCTAGCTCGACAGTGTCACTCTTGTTAACTGTGAAGCTTTTTGACCAACCTAAGTTCCCGCTGAAGATCCCCCGTCCGTCATACTCGCCTACGGGCGGGTCACCTGCATGGATGAGCTGGACTCCTTCGCGGATCGCAACCCGGAGCTCTTGAAGAGTCTTCAGTAGGGTCTCTTGATCAATCTGGAGAGGCTGAAGAGTGTTTGGATAGAATTGTGGCCGTTTTAGAGACATGATGGTGTTCGATTAGATGGAGTTGTTGTTTAGGACAATATAGCTCGATGATTTGTCTGCTACAATAAGCAACAACTGCTGACGCAGAACAGCATCAGCAAGAACAAAGAGATCCCAATATTATACAGGGTATTCTCCCGCCCGCTTGCAGCTTACAGAGTACAGTGTTAATTCAATCATGGCTGCAGCAACAGAGGTAGGTGGTAGTCATTGATGCAGAACGTGGACCAATCCGGTTAGCGTATGTCCCAGTCCAGCTAGGCTGGTTTTCAATGGGCCCCATTGATCACGTGGCAGATATCTGACATAAGCAAGTAATTACGGCCGGATCAACAATGATCCATTGCAGGACGACATCTTCTCTTCTGCGTTGACCACATTCCGGTCCCGAGAATACCCAGCGGTCCTTGAAGTGCCCTCGCGAACAGACAACCTGCAACTTAGAATTAGTCCCTGGACTGGGGACAGCGCGCCGATTGCTTAACCCATGCATGGCTTGAGGAAGCGTCAAACCGTTCCAGCTCATTCCAGCCCGTCGTTCCGGTAACTGTTGTCTCCCTCTGGCTAGCGTAGCTGCGTCTGCTGTGGTTTTTTTTGTGTGCCCCAATTTTTGTGTGTACGCGTCTCTTCCATCCCCAGGCCGACTAATATGGTAATTAGTCCCGTGACCGGCGGTGTCCGGCCGAGGGCATCGACATGCCGGCCGTCCATCAGGACCTGGCGTCCGAGTTCATCCCGACCGACAGGGCCCTGTCGAAGACGATTGATCTGCGGCAGGTGATCCTCAGGGATCGGGTCACCGTCGCCACGTTGGTGCCGTTCTCGTGCGCGGCGGAAGTGCCCCGATCGCTGTTGAGGTACCTGTCGGACCAGTTGAACAAGGAGATCGAAAAGGGCGATACGTATTCCATGCTGGATGTCATTTCGCTGAAGGATTTTGGGCCGTATTGGTTCTCGAATTTCGGCGCCATCATGCTTTTGGGTGACATCAAAAGCCTGCAGGAAGTCCTGGCCATGGATCGGACAGCCAACTGGGCCAAGCTCTGCCTGGGCAGTTTCAATATCCGGCCCAACTATCCCGGCCGAAGCAGCCATATCTGTAACGGCATGTTTCTGGTGACAGATGCGGCGCGGAACCGTGGTGTAGGAAGGCTGATGGGTGAAGTATACTTGGAGTGGGCACCCAAGTTGGTTAGTTATCAGCTCTAGTCGAGTCTCGGGGAGAGGCGATTACAGCTTTCGTATGCTGATTGGTATCTGAATAGGGCTACACATATGCTATGTTCAACCTGGTGTATGAGAACAACGTCGCTTCCTGTCGTATCTGGGATGCGTTGGGCTTCAAACGCATCGGCAAAGTGCCGGGCGCTGGTAGACTGTGCGCCTCTCCGGGCGAATACGTGGACGCGATCATCTATGGTCGAGACCTTAACCCGGAGGGAGATGACCTGGTCACCCAGGACCGCTTCGATAAGATCCGATACTACCTCAAGCACCTGAAATACCCCAGAGGCGCTGACCGGGCCGAGAAAAGCCGGCTCAGAAGTGCAGCCACCCACTACAAACTAATCGGCGGCAAGGATGGCGAACCCGAAAAACTGATGTTGAAGGACAAGGAAGTGGTGTCTGATCCGCAGCAGCAGTACGAGATTGCCCAACACATCCACGCCCAGCAACACGCGGGAATCAACAAGACGACAGCGGCGATTGCCGTCAAGTACCATTGGGTGAGAATCAAGGAGACTGTCAGCCGGGTGATCCGAGACTGCCCACAATGCAGGGAGACACTCAAGATCTCCCCAGTGAACAATCACGAGGTCAAAGGTGAAGACGCCTCCTCCTTGCTGGCCGAAACTGGCCAAGCCTTGTCACAGAATCACAACCTCACTGCAGACCATACCATGGAAGATAAATCTGCCGACCCTCCTCCAAGCAGCACCCACTTTGTCACGGATGATGTCAGCGCAATGCCAGAAACCGTGGATGCGATGGGCGACTACACTACCATGCCCCTCGACCCGCAAATAATCGATATCAATTCCCATCTTCCTCGTTTCCAACACCACGCGGCAATAGCCGATCACTATGCCGAGGTCCACGGCCTTCAGGCAGCGAACTTTGGAGATCCTGTCCACCGGAATCCCGGTGCGGACTATCAGATGCTGATGGACGATGGCCCAGATCCGGATTCCCTGCGCCGGGAATCACTCGCCCTAGTCCATGGCCATGTCCATAGCCATGTCCATGTCCATGAGGCGCACCACGAGCAAGAAATGCTCGCCAAATATGTAGAACGGTCGGAAGATGACCTTGATTTTACGTGAGGTCGTCTCGCTGCTGCTCGGCAGCGCTCTGCCCAAGCCCCTATTATGAACCTTACCTATTAGTTACTATACCTCGCACCTATGGACAGTGCGTGGCAGTCCTGTGATTGACACATAAGAATAAATATAAAAATAATTCATCATCTTGTTATATTTTCTCTATCTTCCAAACTATTAATTTACCAGTCAGTCAAAAGTAATTCGCTGTGCTTGTACCTGACGAGGGGGGTAGGGTTAGAGCGGCCCACGATTGGCCGGGAGAAGCTCTCGGAAATTTTGGTCGAGATGCTCCTACGCCAAAGCTGTTGATGCGGACCCCGCGATTCACGTTGTTGCGAGTCTCCAGGCTTGGATTTCACCCGTGGACATTTTGTTCTTCTCTTTGCCTTTGAAAACCACGTTTGGGTAATTTTCCTTTCGAATCCGATCCGCACAAGATGGCCTTTGCCGGCCAAACGCCCACGATCGTCGTGTTGAAGGAAGGTCGGTCAAACCCGCTACTGGATTCCTGGCCTCAAAACGTAGGCTTTTGCTGACCGTCTGGAAAAAAATTCTTTTGGCGGATTCAATAGGCACGGACACTTCTCAAGGAAAAGGACAGATCATCTCGAACATCAACGCCTGTGTTGCGGTCCAGGCGACGATCAAGAGCACTCTCGGTCCCTACGGTGGTGACCTACTGCTTGTGGACGGTAACGGCAAGCAGACCATTACCAACGATGGAGCGACGGTAATGAAGGTGTGTATCGAAAAAAAATTATACTAGCATATATATTTCTATGTGTGTGTGTGCTGACTTGATAGTTGCTGGACATTGTCCACCCTGCCGCCCGCATCCTCACCGATATCGCACGGTCCCAAGACGCCGAAGTGGGTGACGGTACAACATCCGTGGTGGTTCTGGCCGGGGAGATTCTCAAGGAGGTCCGAGATCTGGTCGAGCAAGGCGTGAGCTCACAGACGATTGTCAAGGGTCTGCGGAGAGCCAGTGCGATGGCTGTCAACAAGATCAAGGAGATTGCGGTCGACATGATCGATTCTGCGGACAGCGAGGAGAAGAAGATCGAGACCCTCCGGCGTCTTGCAGGGACGGCGATGAACAGCAAGCTGATCAAGCGGAATGCAGACTTCTTCACAAAGAGTAAGCATGATTTGAACCGGCTAGGGAGAGAGAGAGAGAGAAAGAAGCTGACTGAATGAAAACTTTCAGTGGTCGTGGATGCCGTACTTTCGCTTGACCAGGACGACCTGAACGAGAAGTTGATCGGGATGAAGAAGGTGACTGGTGGTGCTCTTCAGGATACGCTTTTCGTCAACGGTGTCGCCTTCAAGAAGACCTTTTCCTACGCCGGATTCGAGCAGCAGCCCAAGTCCTTCAAGGACCCCAAGGTTGTCTGCTTGAACGTCGAGCTGGAACTGAAGAGCGAGAAGGACAATGCCGAAGTCCGCGTCGAGCAGGTGTCCGAGTACCAGGCTATCGTTGATGCCGAGTGGCAGATTATCTACAACAAGCTGGAGGCTATCTACAAGACTGGCGCCAAGGTTGTGTTGAGCAAGCTGCCCATTGGAGATCTGGCTACACAGTATGTTTCTTCCCCTTCATTACTTATCACACAACCCTTGGGACTTGTCTTGCTTACCACCCACGATATAGGTACTTCGCCGACCGCGACATCTTCTGTGCCGGCCGTGTCTCTACGGATGATATGGACCGCGTCTGCCAGGCCACCGGCGCCTCGACACAGTCTACTTGCAGCGACATTCAGGAACGCCACCTGGGCACCTGCGGTTCTTTCGAGGAGCGCCAGATTGGCGGTGAGCGGTTCAATCTGTTCTCGGAGTGCCCCGAGGCCAAAACCTGCACGCTGGTGTTGCGTGGTGGCGCGGAGCAGTTCATCGCCGAGGTGGAGCGCAGTCTGCACGACGCGATCATGATCGTCAAGCGTGCCCTGCGCAACACGACCATTGTCGCGGGCGGTGGTGCCACCGAGATGGAGCTGTCCAGTTATCTGCACAGCTTCGCGGACCGCAACGTCCCCCACAAGCAGCAGGCGGTGGTCAAGGCGTTTGCCAAGGCCCTCGAGGTGATCCCCCGTCAGCTGTGCGACAATGCCGGCTTCGATGCGACCGACATCCTGAACCGGTTGCGTGTGGAGCATCGCAAGAACAACACATGGGCCGGTGTCGACTTTGACCACGAGGGCGTCCGCGACAACATGGCCGCCTTTGTGTGGGAACCCAGCCTGGTCAAGGTGAACGCGATTCAGGCTGCGGTCGAGGCTGCTTGCTTGATCTTGAGCGTGGATGAGACGATAAGTAAGTTTCTCTCTCTCTCTCTTTCTCTCTTTCTCTCTTTCTCTCTCTCTCTTCATATCCATCTAACCACTCTATAGAGAACGAAGAATCGGCACAGCCGCAAGCTCCCACTCGTGGACTGCCTCCCGGTGCGGCCCAGCAGGCTCTCCGTGGCCGAGGACGCGGCATGCCTAGAAGGTAAGGCATAAACCAGGGGAAACCAGGGTTCAGTTCAGGGGCCAAGGGTAAAGGCATCTAGCATGAGGATAGAGGATCAAATCCGGTTGACTTGACACGACCGTTGTCTGTTGTCTGTTTTTGGACCATGTTCATAGAAAAAAAAACCACCATGGTAGATGTATTTACGAATGATTTGGCATGCACTGAGCACCCATGCCCGAATCCATCAGTGATGGCCTGACAGTACCACAAGTGACGACGGAGTACTAGTCATAGGCTCCACGCAGAGATTAGAGTCGCAAATCATCCTTATTATCTTAATTCATATAAAAGTATAATCTACCTGGAATGTCTCCGGGTCCATAGAATCCATCCATCACCCTGGTCTCTGGTTTGGAATTGCTTCAGAGCAGAGAATCAGTGGAGCAACAATTGTCCAGGGCTGGCTGAGCTGAACCTCTCGGGGAGGCCGACGGGAGACGGACACTGGCCAGTGGTCAGGAGTGGACAATACGTGACGATTCACTGGCAGCAACAGAAAAGGAGAACAAACAAGAACCACCACAAGCGGGACCTGACGGAGTACGGAGCAGCTAAATCTAGCCTGGCTCTGAATCTCTTTCTGGTGTTTTTATTTTTCTTTTCCCTTCTTGCGTCCCCCGCGTGTTTCTTCTCGAACGCGATCCGTGTGATCCGTACAACCGGCCAGTACTAGGTTCCTAGTACTCCGTACCTCCTTATTAGGTACCTAATCGAACGAGGAGGTAAAACTGCCCCTCTTCACTGTTGATCTGCCTGACTGCTGCCCTTGTCCACGTCAAGACCAATCGTCGACCGTCCTCGAGGAAACCGGGCAGTCTTGGAAAACCCATTGTGTTGGGTTTCTGGGTTTCTGTGCCAAGCCTCTCCCGCTGACAGAATACGTGATCTGACGCTTCTACTTCTACTGTACGCATCGGCTTGTTTTGCCCCTCCTATTATCCCCATCCTTGGGAGTTTTTTTTTTCTTCTCGCTTGCTCAGATAAATACTCACCTCTGGTTTCTTGACTCCAGTGCCTTCTGAGATCGCTCGCCACGTCATGTCGTACGGATATCCGGGTTACTCTGGGGGTCCGCCGGGCTATCCCCCGCCTCATCACCAGTACGCCCCTCCCAGCTATCCCCCTCCGCAGCAGCAGCAGCAGCAGTACCAGTGAGTAGAGAGCGCCGATCGAATATCTCGTGGTGTTGCTTGTACTGATGGTGGCAACTTTCTTGTCTCTCTTCTGTCTTACAGCCAAGCTCCTCCTCAGGCTCCTCCCCAGGGCTACGGCGGTTATCCAGGTCAAGCCTATCATCACCAGCACCAGCCTCAGAATGCACCTCAAGCGAACCCCTATGGCTATGCGCAGCCTTCTCCCCAAGCTTACCACGGAACACCTCCTCAGAACTCATATGATGTATGTGTCGAGAATCATTTCCTCCAAGCGTTTGCCAGCCAGGCTGACAGGTGGATAGCAGCAGGGCTATTCGGGATACGGACAGCAGCCGTCACACTCGCCGGCGCCGAGCGGGACACCTATGGGACAACAACGTGAGTCCGATCCAGCTGGTTCCTCCTAATTTTTTTTCTTATTCTTGTCGACTGAAATCCGATATATAGCCATGCACAGGACTCAGGCCCCGTCCAATCCTAATGGACCTGCACGTCCGCCTAGTCAGCCGGTTTCCTTCGGACAGGGTGCGCCCCAAGGTTATACTTTCCAGTACTCGCAGTGCACTGGAAAGAGAAAGGCGTTGTTGATTGGTATCAACTATTTCGGTCAGAAGGGCCAGCTGCGCGGCTGTATCAACGATGTGAAGAACATGTCCACCTACTTGAACCAGAACTTCGGCTATGCGCGGGAAGATATGGTGCTCTTGACCGACGACCAGCAGAACCCAATGAGCCAGCCGACCAAGGCAAATATCCTGCGAGCCATGCACTGGTTGGTCAAGGATGCGGAGCCCAACGACTCGCTCTTCTTCCACTACTCAGGTTAGCCATGGTTTCCTTTGTGTTATTTTGTTTTGTTTTACTCTCCCCCCGATTTCTTTCTTCTCTGTTAACATTTTGCGGTAGGACATGGTGGTCAAACCCCAGATCTTGACGGCGATGAAGACGACGGTTATGATGAAGTCATCTACCCGGTCGATTTCCGTGCAGCGGGTCATATTGTCGACGATGAGATGCATCGGATCATGGTGAAGCCACTCCAATCGGGCGTTCGGCTGACGGCGATTTTCGACTCGTGCCACTCGGGCTCTGCCCTGGATCTCCCGTACATCTATTCCACACAGGGTATCATCAAGGAGCCCAACCTGGTCAAGGAAGCCGGTCAGGGCCTGCTGGGTGTGGTGTCTGCCTACGCTCGTGGCGACATGAGCACCATGATGTCGTCAGCAATGGGTTTCCTGAAAAAGGCCACCCAGGGCGACGAAGCCTACGAGCGCACCAAGCAGACCAAGACCAGCCCTGCCGATGTTATCATGTGGTCCGGCAGCAAGGACGACCAGACCAGCCAGGATGCTCAGATTTCCGGCCAGGCGACCGGAGCCATGTCTTGGGCTTTCATCTCGGCCCTCAAGAAGAACCCACAGCAGAGCTATGTGCAACTTCTGAACAGCATCCGGGAGGAGCTGGCCTCCAAATACACTCAGAAACCACAGCTGAGCGCCAGTCACCCTTTGGGTACGTTTTTGTCCTGATCTCGCCAAAAATCATCAGGGCTCTAACTAACCTTTTCTCTCTCTCTTTTTCAGATGTCAACCTCCCATATGTAATGTAGATACCGCGTGTGAAAATAATCGGTCTTCCCACATTTTCTTTTCCCTTTTTTCTCGATTGCGATTCTTGTGCAAATTATACCTGGAAGAGTCGATACGAACCATATTCTCTTGATGGGTGCCCCAGCTGGACCTTCTCTTACAATTCATCTTCGGAGTCTTGTCTTCTCTTTCTTCTTTTCCTCCTCTTCTTTTCTTCTTTTTTCTGTCTCCGTCATCATCTATCTCTAGCCATCATGCTGAGCTTCAACGGGAAGGGTTGTGGAAAAAGGCGCAGGTTGCGATGCATACATTCATTAATAGCAATGGGAGAAGCTTTTTCTTTCCATTATCTTGTCCTGCTGTAAATGCTCTGAGAATATTTCTTGCTGTGATTTGATTGACCATGAAGGAAGCAGACACAACCATCAATCGACCGTACCTCCGTCCAACCCAAGGAGCAGAATTTCAACAACAAAAGATTCAAGGAAATTCCAGGAAAATAGATCAAATAACGAAAGACAGAGCAAGGCCCCTGTGGCGTTGATATGACGGTCTGACAGTGCTACCGGCGGAAGACTCCTCCGAATGACAGCAGACAGCTCTCAGTTGCCAAAAAGCGGCTCGGATCGATCTATGAACTGGACTTGGAGATACTAGTGAGTGCAGGTATCTGCGTTTAATCCTTTCTCTTTTTAAGCATTCGTTCTCTGTACATATGACTATTGAACCCTGTCATGCAGTCTTACCTCCAATATCGTCAATTCGGAAAACAACTGGAAAACCAAATTGTCGGCCGGCACGACCATGTCGACCAGGGCCCGGTCGATGGGACACTGCCCGGACGGGAGGAAGAAGAAGAGCGACACGGAGCCGAGCACTGCCTCGAGGAATCCGGCAGCTCGAGCATGATACACGGGCACTCGGTACGACTGGACATGGTGCTGGGCGGGGAGCTCGAACGCGGCGACTTCACGATTCCCTCGCATGTCTGTCCGTACCAGATCAGCACGCGCGAGGCTACAGGCGCTTCGATCGATGTGCGAGTCTTTGGCTTGCAGCTGGACCACCGACGCTGGGGCAAGACCGTCGTCATCGCATACGAGGGAGACCACGACCCCTTGGATCCACACAACTGGCGCCTTGTATGGAAGATTTCCACTACGTTCCTCGTCTCAATGATCAGTGCGCTTGGCGGCTTCGCCTCGGTGGACAATGGTGGAATTTTGCTCAAACTACTACACGAACAGGGTGGGAGTTTCGTGACCCAGGCCCTCTCCACTACGGGTATGTGTTTGTGGCTCCATGTCTGGGGGGGGAAGGGGGGAGGTTGCATTGACTCTTCCAGGGATTTATCTGTTCGGATACGGACTGGGAGGAATGATCACCGGTCCTTTCTCTGAGGTGTTTGGTCGCAATCCAATCTACATCTTCTCCCTGACCATGCTGTGCCTTTTCGAAATGGGTAGCGGCCTTTCGTCTACGATTGGCACACACATTGCTTGCCGGTTCGTTTCTGGATTTTTCGCTTCGGTGACCGTGGTGGGCTCCGGGGGCTCGCTGAACGACATCTGGTCGCCCATCCAGCGCGTCTGGGCGTTCCCCATCTACGCCAGCGCCACCTATATCGGGACCATAGTCGGGATTGTCCCTAGTTCCCTAATTGGGACGTCGCTCTCGTGGGCCCGGCATTGGGTTTCGTGGATCGACATCATCCTCGCCGCCAGCCTTCTCGTCTTCGTCCTCCTCTTCCAGCCGGAGACGTACGCGCCGTCTCTGATGCGGTGGAAGGCGCGGCACCTGCGTCGGTTAACAGGCGACAATCGCTACCGCGCTCCAGTGGAGCAGACCGAGGTGAGCTTCAGCTCCCGCCTGGCACATGCCCTGTACCGCCCTGTGATTTTCATGATACGCGAGCCCATCGTCGGTCTGGTCTCGCTCTACCTCGCCCTCATCTTCATCGTCCTCTACACCTTTCTCGCCGGGTACATCTACATCTTCGTCAAACTGTATCATCTATCGCCCGCGCTCGTCGGGGCTCTCGCGCAGAGCACCTCTGTCGGGGTGGCGATCTCCTGGCTGACGGTCCCGCTGGCGATGAAATGCGTCCAGCGCGACGTTGCCCTCGCCTCGAGCCGCGGCCACTCGCGCCCACCCCCGGAAATCAGCCTGTACATGGCGATGTTTGGGGCGCCGGCGATCCCAATCTCGCTTTTTTGGTTGGGCTGGACGGCTCGCCCGTCCATCTCGCCGTGGTCGGCGCTCGGCGCGTCCGCCCTCTTCGGGTACGGCTCCATCTGCGTCATCATCTCCATGCTGCAGTACATCGCCGATACGTTCGAGTTCTACGCCGCCAGCGCGATGGGCACCGTCTCGCTGGTCCGCTTCGCGGCCGCGGGCGGCGTCGTCACCGTCTCGTTTCCCTTTTACGAAAACCTCGGCGTCGGTGATACCCTTACCATCTTGGCTTGTCTGAGCTTTGCCATGCTCCCCATGCCCTATATCTTTTATAAATTCGGCCACCACATTCGTAGGCTGAGTATATATGCTGTCCGTTAATTGAATTTGGTGTAATTATTTTTCTACTCAACTTTAAGATGAGAAAAGCTGGATAGATTCTCATTATCAAGCGCAAACGATTCAGAACTTTTGCCTGGCCGTCCATTTCATATCTTCTACTAGTCGTATTCGTGACAACGATCATTGCAACCTTTTTGCTTGCAGAACCCTTCATTGAGCAGTGAGTCCACAGGAGCACTGGGAAATTTTGGTCTCCATGAAAACAGCTTATCGTGTTGACGGACCCCATATATCATATTTAATGTACCCAGCTTGAAGGGGTGGTGGTTTATATCCACTGTTCAGGGATACTTCGTAGTGCTCTCAGCAACGGCAAACCGGTAGGCCGAGCATCGAACTTTCTTTCAAAGCAGCAAGGTTGGGAATGGGTAGGTGGTTTTTTTTGTCTTCATGCCGAAACAATGACAATCTTTATCACCATCGTTTAGGAGCCGAGACCACTGTCCGCGAAAAGGAAGCGCTAACGGTCTCTTTCGCTTTCTTCCGTTGCATGGCAATGATCCCCGTCCGATCAGTGACAGGCGTCGCATTGATAATGCTGTCAAAGGCTTCGTCCTCGCTTCCGGCTGTTCCAGACTCTGCGTCCGAATCGACGAGTGCCTCTGGTCCAGGTTCAGGTCGCGCAATCTTCTCCGGTTCCGGTTTGTCCGTCGCCGAAGGGTTTTGAAAGGATTTTGAGCCGAGGATCTTGCGTCTGATCTCGGCCATCTGTTCCTCATCTTCGGAATCATCCGAGATCGCAAATGGATCTTTATCTTCTTCCTCTTCTTCCTCTTCACCGTTGTCGTCATCGTCGTCCGTACCTTTCTCTTCGTCACTGGCATCTTCATCGTCATCATCGTCGTTCTCTTCCTCGTCTGAGTCTGACGCTGGAGCTCGTCGATTGGTATTTCCGCTTGTCCAAATGTCGTCTCCTCCCTCGGCTCGACTATCTTCGTACTCCTTCTCAATCTTGGCCAGCCATTCTTCCTCAGCTTTCTTGATCTCTTCTTCGTTGGCGCACGCGGCATAGCGCTTGAACAACTGCGCATTGATTTCAAGGAAGGCCTCGCCGTAGCGGAAGTGCTTCAGGACCTCTTTGGCCCAGTCTTCGTGTCCGCAGATACAGAAGCAGGCGGCCAGGGCTTCGACACAGTTTAGACGCCATGGTTTACCGTAATTGACCGTATTCGCCGCAACAAGATAGGGTACTGGTAGAAGAGTCAGCAGGACTTCCTATATTCCAATATTATACTCTACCATCACTCACAGAGTCTTTCGCATCTCCCGCCAATGCGAGACCACGGCACCTCCTTCACGCGCACCCACGAACATTCAACCACCGCAGCACCGTACTGTTCCAACAAGTCTCGGTCGGCAGGCGATACGATACGTTTCGCATTCGGTCTAGAGAGTCGAAAGATGATCAGTCTTAGAAACCGAAACAGAGAAGCTGAGCATCCAAAACGTACGAGATGACAACTCCGGGAAACTTGTGACCAATCTGCAGCTCTCGCATCAACCCAAAGTTCATAAGCCTCTTTCCAGAGCATCTCTTAGGATCGCAGTGTCCCAGATCCCAACAAGCAGCCTTAAAGGGGGGCCTGGAGCCATCGGTCTCGTCCTCGCCGCGGGGTGCTGGGCGCGGGCGGGGTGCTGAGAATTTTTTGCCTCCTCGCGAGAAGTTGTCTTTCTTGTGTCGGACCATAGTGAATCTTAGGAATAGATAGAAGACAGTGATAATAATAATAATAATGAGGAAGTAGAATAATCTTCCAAAAGAAACACTGTTATCAAAGACGAAAGAAGAGTGCGTCTGCAGCTGGTGCTTGCAGGATGGTTGCCCGCCCACACGTGGGGACGAACGTGGCTAAGCAGTCCGTCATGGCCCAACCCGAAAGTCGCCAGCTTGGATCAACTTCACGTCCCTCTTCGCCCTCTAGCGCGCGCACCCTCGATCGCCAGCGTTTGACGTGCTGTACCGGCCGGTGCCTATCATTGGCTGCGAAAGAAACCTCTCTGCCTGCCACCTCTCTCGTCCCTCTCGTCACCCTGGAGGCGGCATCAGCACGGATGGCAGCTAGGGACCGTTTCGGTGCCTATGCTGACCCAAGCCTCTCCCTGCTCCAGCGAGCCATCCGTGAGTTGAATCGTCGATTCCACGCGTCAAAGAAGATGAATGGGTGCTGATTGTTATGTTTTTATCTCTCAAAAAGGGAACGCTTGTGATCCGCAGAACTACGAACCCAACCTAGCCTTGAACCTCGAAGTCGCGGACCTGATAAACACAAAAAAAGGCAATGCGTGAGTTTTGGGCTGGTGTCGCTAGCACAGGGCGCAGCGCGTTCTGACGGTATATAGACCCCGAGAAGCTGCCATTGAGATTGTCCACTTCATCAATGCCCGGAATCAAAACATCTCGATACTCGCGTTGGCGGTAAGTTGTCATCGTATCCTTTCTACAAACCGCGGTGGGCATCCTGGTGCGGGAGCTGACCAAGTCTGGCACATAGCTCCTCGATATATGCGTGAAGAACTGTGGATACCCTTTCCATCTGCAAATTAGCACCAAGGAGTTTCTGAATGAGCTGGTACGGCGGTTCCCGGAGCGGCCACCCATCCGGCCCTCGCGGGTTCAGCATCGGATTCTGGAATCAATCGAGGAATGGCGGCAGACGATCTGTCAGACTTCGCGGTACAAGGAAGATCTAGGCTTCATCAGGGACATGCACCGTCTGCTACTCTACAAGGGCTACTCGTTCCCGGAAGTCCGCCATGAAGATGCTGCGGTTCTAAACCCGAGCGATGTATGTCTTGCGTGTCGCGGCTTGAGGGAACGCTTTTGACTGACTGAATATTTTTCTTCTTCAAAGAATCTTCGTTCGGCCGAGGAAATGGAAGAGGAAGACCGGGAAGCCCAGTCGGCCAAACTACAGGAGCTCATCCGAAGAGGCACGCCTGCAGACCTACAGGAAGCCAACCGGTTAATGAAGGTAATGGCTGGATATGATAACCGACACAAAACCGACTATCGGGCCAAGGCAGCGGAAGAGGTTGCCAAGGTTCAGCAAAAGGCCAAGATCCTTGAGGAGATGCTCCAGAGTCAGAAACCCGGGGATAAGTTGGAAGATGGAGACGTATTTGAGGTAGGCCTTTTTGTCGTCCTGGTGATATATAGGGTACTGATCTTTTTTTTTCAGGAGCTTGCTGGCGCTTTACGAAGCGCCCATCCCAAGATCCAAAAGATGTGTGAGGAGGAATCGGACGACCCAGAAGCAGTGCACAAGTTGCTGGAGATCAATGACAGCATACACCGAACAATTGAACGGTATAAGCTGATGAAGAAAGGCGATTTTGACGGCGCGACCAGAATCCCCAAGGGTACGCTGGGCACGACGACTGGGGTCTCTAAGAATGCCAACAACGAGCTGTCTCTAATCGATTTCGACCCGGAACCGAGCTCGAACGGGAATAGCAACGAAGGAGCTGCTGCTCCGGCAGTGAGCTCGCTGGAGAATGACTTGCTCGGTTTGTCATTCCAGGATAGGGTGCCGGCCCCGTCGGGGGGGATCTCCCTGGGAATGGGCGCTTCTCAAGTGACAGAACCCATCAGTTTCACACCCTCTGTTCAGCAAACACCCGCTGCTTTCAGGTCTAGCTATGATGCCCTTGCTTCGCTCAACCCCTCCCGACCGACTTCCAAACCGTCGACTCCTGTTCCTTCATTGTTCCAGCAGCAACAACAACAGCAGCAGCCAGCAACAGCCACTCCCCCACCCCCAACAGACCCGTTTGCGGCCTTGGTATCGGCCAGCCCGCGCGTGGCCAGTCCGTTTACCCCCTCGGTGTCCCAGAGCCCGCGGCCAGGCGCGGTTTCGACTTCTCTGCTTGATCTTGGCGGGCTCCTCGACTCTGCTCCCGCGCCCGCAGCACAACCTGCAGCGGCGCCTGTCACGACGACAGTCGAGGACGATGAATGGAGCTTTGCCTCGTCGCTGCCAGAAGCCAGTGCTCTTCCCAGACAGAACAAGATGCAGGTTCTAAATTCGTCGCTGCGGATCGACTTTGCCGTGCGCCGGCCCCCGAACGCGCCTAATGGGCGTCAGATCCATATTGTGGCGATCTTTTCCAATACGACGAGCCAAGCGCTGAGCGAGCTGCACTTTCAGGTTGCCGTAGAAAAGGTATTTCTAGTTATTGGATATGTTGAACGAACGAGGCTAACTCTTCTAGGCATACAGTCTCCAGCTGCGGCCCCAGTCCGGCCGAGACATCGCGCCACTGCAGCAGAACGGAGTGCAGCAGGAGATGCTCCTGGACGGGATCGACAGCGGCAAGGGTAACTCGGTGAAGATCCGGTTCCGAGTGTCATACAAGATCGATGGGCAGATCAAGGAGGAACAAGGCATGGTGCCCGCCTTGGGGATTCAATAGTACTTACCTTAGAAGGTACCCAAGTGAGTTTCATGGAGTCTATACGGCATATACTACAGCACGTCTTCTTTTTTTTATTTCTTTTTTCTTCTCTCTCTCTCTATCTCTCTCTCTCTCTCTCTCTCTCTCCCTCTCTTTTTTCAGCACATAGTATCACCAATCAATATACATTATTCTTTTCTACCGTCAGGTCGATCTTCCGCTTTTGGTTAAACAAAGTCAAGTGTGAGTAATGGCGTTTCTCGGACCCGACTCGGTCGTAGGAATAAACCTACACACGGTAGTGGAATAGAAGGAATTGACTACCTGTCTACCTGGGGACAAAGAATTGCACCATCTACAATCTTGTGTTTAATACAGTCAATTCCTCGAGTACTCAATTATACAGAGTGAGATGCTGAGGCATATTTGGGTCGGAAAGCCAATTTGGCGTTGAACCAGAGATGACGACCAGCCCGGCATGCGCATCAGGTAATTACTCCGTGTATGGAGAGGGTAGATCTGCAGATCTCCATATATAGACTGGATAATTAATCATACGTAGAGTTCTAGTACTTTGTATTTATGCTTCGACATGCCTAAATACAGATTATACAGAGTACTATCCATGCAAGTACCTCTAATTGGTATTCCTAGTTTCAAACCGGTGTCTTCTGTCTTCTGTATGGAGATTCTTAAATTTGGGCTGTAATCATACTACATACAAACTTACTAGGATCTCTTGAGGACGGAGTACTCCCGTAGTCTCACTTGATTGATGCCGCTCATCCGAGTGGACTACGTAGAACGGGAGTAGTCCGTACGATCTGTAATAGACTAGGAACCACCTAGTCACGGGCGGAGAATTTCTCCTTGTGAGGGATTCTAGACCCATGCAGTCAGTGGCTAGTTAGTGCGTTTCGAATGAATAGGAGTTAACTAGAAAAACAGGGAATACTCCGAATAGTCCTAATGGAGGATGGATACCCCGAAGTCATCTCCGAGTTCAGCTGTTGACTACAGAGTAGTATGACTATGACTGAATAGATGAAGGATATTTGTAGTTAGCCATTTAACAGCATTGTATGTACTCCGTACTGTAGAGATATCGGGTCCGACTCGGGTCCGACACCGCACTCCGTACAAAGGACAGCCTTATTGCATTGTCAACTGCATAGCCACATCCAGCCTCAAAAAAACGAGATCTAACACACTAGAGTCCCACTGATCGAAGCTGTAGCAAGTCAGCACTAATTAATTGACCCATCGTACTCTGTAGATGAACTCAGCTGAGCCACATTCTTATTTGGTTAATTAGTCCGGCTATCCATATTTACGGAGTACTTGGGGTATACGTACGGTATACGCACTCCCAAGACTCCAGAGTCCATTCATATCATTATTCAGGTACTCCGTATTCTCGTAGCCATACTAGTTTGGTACATCCTACATGGTTAACTACTGGCTACTACATACATACTCCCATGTAGTACGTAGTCGTGCCATCGGGGGGGCCGATGTGGCGCCGGATGTGGAGTGAAGTGGATACCTTGAGATCGATATGAGTAGATCTGGTAGTAGTAATATTGCAATATAGTAAGAATAATGATGTATAGTTATGAAGTATACCTTGTTATACAATAGAATATAAGAGATCAAGTACTCCATACTTATTATAACTAGTACCAGTAGTAGTAACTATGTAGTAAATATGTACTAGTATGTAGTACTAGTATGTAGTACTATAGTATACTACATATGTAGATGCATTGTTTGCCACCGACCCACCTCAGCCTTAGCATAAGGATTATTTACTATCTACTTACTACATATATTGGTCTATAATACCTAGGTAGGTTGTCAAGAGATGATCTACATGTCCAATCAGGGGTCTGGATTATCATTTTCCGTTTCGGCGTTTGCCGGGGTTTGTTGATCTAGGCAATCGGCTTGTCCACTCTATAAACTAGCAGTTAAGCGAGGTGGAGTCTTCCCAGTAGTCTATCGAGTACAACAGACTACTTGGTACAGATACAGGTAGAGATAGCTACAGAGTACTATGTACTCATTACTCTGTAGTAGATACAGTCATGCGTATTTGTTATGACTGTATCTACCTAGAGCTGCTCTATCTATAAGGAGGTACTAGGTAGTAATGACTTACTAGTAGTTACCTACTACTTAGTATACGGAGTACTTGATCGACAAAAACCGGAGATTTAGTGACATGAGCAGGTGCGCCTTATCCGTCACGGTGGGTGTCTTTGATTGAATCATTATTGGTTGCTGTATCTTGGACGGGGGAAGTCCGTTCCTGTCGGATACTTCCAACGGAGTAGATAAAGTCCGAGTAAGAGGATTAGGTAGTAGGTCCCTTGTACGGAGTAATCCGTACTCCGTACTTTGTGTTAGGTACGGTATCTAGTATAGGTACCTACCTAGGTACCTAGTAGGTACAGTGGCCTGATACCTATGAATGGTTGGGTAGGGATACCACAGACTCTTCATCCACGGTACAAACTATCAAGTACCTGGTTCTATCGTCTTGCTACAGAGTATGTTTTTCATTAGTTATTATTAATATTATTATTATAGTCTGGCATACACTTGATAGTCCTGCCTAGACAAAGTCAGATTACGAGAATACAAAAGTACCAAGCAAGTCTCCATCGATTTCCTCCGTGGGGGGAGTGGCTTGAACTTTGCCACCAGCCTAGACTACAAGGAGAAGTGGCAACGGGTGCACGTGCAGCGACACGGCAGTTGTCCAGGCAGTTATTCACGAGTAACTTGCATTAAGACGTACAGAGCACACGTAGTTATGTAGTACAGAGTAGGTATGGGTAATATTCTGAGTATGTACTAAGGTATCTACCTAGTACATACCTAGTACTGTAGTCCACTCTGGACACCCTAGATCTGAGCTACTGCAGCCATGCATCCGGCTGCAGGTACACCACTAGTTGATACTCCATAGTTACCACCTTAGGTACCTACCTAAGGCACCTACCTATCTAAGTAGTAGATAGATTAGTATTCCATACTACCATACTAGGTATACAAAAGCACAGTCCTAAGGTACTAGGTACCTACCTGAGAAGGTTCCAACCAAGTTGGAGGTTACTCTACCTATGGAAGGTACCTACCTAAACAAGTTCAGGACAGGACAGAGGACGTGCCCGATTAGGCAAGGTTGTACTGACTGTAATCTCCCCTCCAATCATATCTCTTGATAAGGCCGCTCATCGCCGGCTAGTGCAGGACCCCCACCCTGTTCCCCACCCACCAATCGCCAATCACGGCAGGTGGTCTGGGCACAAGGATCTACCTAACCTTCCTCGGTTTAGCTGCAGGGTGAGTTTGTCTGTGCTCTAGGAAGGTACGGAGTACGGAGTAGGTAGTTACTTGTTACTGTAACAGGTACTCCGTACTAGGTACTACCTACCTAACCTATACCTACCTAGTAGTACTTACCTAGGTACTCCGTACTGTGTCCTCTGTAAAGTACGCATAATACTGCCAATCTCATACCTAAGGTACCTACTAGGTAGGTAGTACGAGGTATCTCTGCAATCCCGAGTGAATGGTTCTAGTCATGCGTAAATCCTAAACCTACTCCTAAATGCTGCAGATGTTGTAGTATAGTTACCTTATAATTACATAGGTTAGTAGCTAAACTAGTGGACTACGGACTAGGTTGCACGTTACAATGAATTCTCCACCCAACTGGCTGGACCAGATCGTAGCACACACACACTCTCTCTCTGTGTCTGTCTGTCTGTCTTGTTCCAGCTGTCCAGCGTCTGTCCCGGTCGCCCCCCCCCCCATCTCGCCCAACGGCCGTCCCATGGATGGACATCCTCCTGGGCGGGGGAGGGGAGAGAGAGAGAAGGGACCCATCTGAGAGCCCATGGACCGTGTGGAAATTGTATTCTGCAACCCAGACAATCATGATCGCCCGGGAAGTTCGTGTCCTTGGGTCCTTGGGTCCTTTTTGGCTGCCCTAGGGGCCCTCTTCTTCCCTTGTAAGCTCTGGCAGCTTCCCCGCCTATTTAACATAACCTCTTCCCTCCTTCTTCTTCCACCAAGGCATATAATTAGTACCGTATAGTACGTCCTATCTTGTTGTACTATTCTAGTACTTATATTTGTTGTACTATTATAGTACTATTATAGTACCTCTACGGTACTCTATTGTGCTGACGCCATGACAACCGTCTCCGATCTGGATCTGGATATTTCTCCAGTCCCTCGCTCGCGAGAGGAAAACCAGGAGAGGTGAGACGAATTTTTTAAAGAATAGCAAACTGCAAACCTCGGTCGTACTGACAATAATGGGATAAACTACAGAGCATTTATTGCTGCCTCACGACGGAAAGATCGCAGTCTGGATGCAAGGCTTGAATCTGCAAACCGGGCGTCGATGCTGCACAAGAAACGCACCGGTAAGGCCCTCCACATCACCAAGGAGATCGTCGAGAAGGAGGCCATGTACGAAGAGGTCGACGAACGGTACCAGGAGAAACGCATCCGCATGCTGCAGGCCCAGAATCTGCAGATTGAAGAGGAGTTCCAGCGCCATCTCCTCGCAGCCTTTGCCGCGCGTGCCAACGGCTCCTCCTCAGCGCTCGCCTCTCGCCGGGCGGCCAGTATAGGCGGCCCGAGAAAAATGAGCCTTGACTTGTCGGGCTTGAACGCTGCTTGCTCCTCTCAGAACTGTCCGCCGTCTCTGACCAGCCCGATGGTTCACGATTCCGGATACGGCCTCTCCCCCGCCGGCTCTCCCTTTGCTGCTGCTACCCCAGTGACCGCAGTCGCCTGCCACAGCCCGCACTCTGCCGCAGGCCCGATGGGCCCTTCTGCTGCTGCCTCGCCGTATCACCATCCCCACGGTCTCTCCACCGTTACACCAGGGCCCTTGCCCCAATATATCGCTGGCCCCCAGCAACCGCTCACTCCATCATGGCCCCAGCGCTCACCCGTCCAGCCTACATTCCGTTCCTGGCAGGGGTTTGCCGCGCCCGCAGACTGCCCCCCTTCTGTCGAGATGTGGCAGCAGCGGCTTGTGCAACAGTCGCATCTTCCGTCGCCTGAGGCCTCCACCTTCCGGATGCGGCCGTTCAGAGACCGGCTCGCCTCCGCCCCAGAGCTACCAGTCTATCCTACCACCACCACCACAGCTATGCCTACTCTAGCTTCTGCTACTGCTACTGCTACTGCTGCTGCTGCTGCCGCTGCCGCTGCCAGAAATCCCATGGTTCATACCCGTGCCCCCTCGGACCCTATCGCTGCCCCCAACTTCTCCGAGTCGAGCTCCCCACAACACCTTGACCTTGTCTCGACGGAAACCCTATCCACGCCTGAACTGTGTCCTACCCCGAATACCCCTCTCTCTCCAACCTCTGGGCAGATTCAATATCAGCAACAACAACAACAACAACACGATAATACTTTCCCCGTTTCTAATTCTACTTCTTCATTGGACCTGGATCTTTTCGTTGAAAAGGAAGGAGAAAACCTGATGGTCTCGTCGCACGATGACCTGGACCCGGAATTCGACGAGTTTAGTCGGTTCGCATGGGGACTGGGCCAGGGCCAGCAACTGCTTTTGGGCGACCACCACCACCACCACCACCAATTAGGACAGCTGGGCCAGTTGAGCACCCTGCCACCCCCCGCACGGACGGATACCTTTGGCTTTGACGACATTGTTTTTGACGAGTTTGCGACGAGTGTGGCATAGTCCGCTTACCTGAGCTTTCCTGAGCCGTCTTACTTCGCTGTGTATATTATTCTGTATATAGTGTGTTATAGCTTGTCCTTGTCTGCAAACGGATCTACCTGTACTTGGTAGTTAGTATACTACTATTATTATCGTATTATTCTACTTCACCATTATTATTACTATCATTATTACTACTATCGTTATTATTACTATCATTATTATTACTATCATTATTATTACTATCATTATTATTATTATCATTATTATCATTGTTGCTATCCTACTATTATACAGAATACTGTATGTAAATTACAAAAGTACCTGCTGCAATCGGAACTTTAATCGATTAAGGTTCCGGTGGGGCTCTCGTATCTCTCGTTTCTAACTGTCATAAGGTATGGATACAGATAATAATATATCTAATAACCAGATAGAATGTATCTATCCAGTCTATCCAGTATTATTTATTAATCTATTAAATAGGTCAAGTCATACGACTACAATATACTACCTAAGCATGGGCCAGGCCTAGATTAGAACCGTTAGCAGTAGGTAGCTTAGTAGTTACCAAGGTAGTAGCCAGTACCTACGGGCTAAGTACTAACTACCTAACTAACTAACTACTAGGTCTACCTGGGTATGCACTGGCAGTTACCCCACATAGACCATTATACACGGTGCAGATCATTGGCTGTACCCGCCTTCCTCTTCCGGCGTCTCGGCATAGCCCCGGGGCTAGACTGCGAGGGTTTCCATGGTTTCCCTTCCCATTCACGGACCTATCGCTGCTAGTAATAATCGTGAACCTTGAATGAAAGCATAGTGAGTCGGTCGGAATAAGGTAAGTCATTGTTGAGGGGGGGGGGAAGAAAAAAGAAAAGAGACAATGTAGCTATTGGAATAAAGAGTATGAAGATTCTAATTCAAATCAAAGACGGACTGATATGAAATACCTAGGGCACCTAATCTGGATCTACGGATCCTGACTCTCGGAAAAATACCGAGCTTTCAAACACGAAGATGACGGCCGGTCAAACCCCGCGACTAAACAACTCCCGTCCAATCTCCCCGCTGCGCCGCACGCTCACGCTCGAACTGCTGCTTCGCCGCCGCCGACTGCGTGTCTCCGCAGGATCAGCAGGGCTTAGCCCACTCGCCCGCGCGTACAGGTTCAGCATGTCCGTAAGGCTGACCACGCCCACCAAGTGCCCAGAGAGTCGTGATCCCGGCAACGCAGAGGCTGGGATCGAGGGCGCCATTCCGTGAGGAGTCGGGGTCACAGTGCTCGCCGCATGGCTCGTGTAGTGCTGCTGGACGGTGGGGGTCGGCGGAGGAGAGGTTGGTCCGGTCTGCGTCGCAGGCGCCGCCAGCGGGAGGTGCACGGCCGAGTGTGATGGAGTCGGTGGGCCGGACGAGGAGGGTGACATGGGATCCGTCACCCACAGACTGTCCAATTAGTATGCTGCCGCCGTATCACTAGTCTAGGCCTTACCGGTGTGATTTGGTCGCAACCACTTTCGCAATCGTGTGCGCCAGCGTTGAAGTGGGGTTGATGTGGAAAACCGGAAAAGAATCCTTGCCTTCAACAAGGCCGCGCGTGGAGAGGATTACGGAGATGAAGTGAATGCAGGTGTTGTGGAGAAGAGGAAGCGATGTCGACCGTGTCAAAAGCTAAATTATTGTTTTCAGTGAGATGATAAGCTAGGGGGGGGGGGGGGAGCTCGAGACGGAGCAGTCCAGACCTTGACATCCACAGTAGAAATGTTACCAATCACATTGGTATGGTTATCGACGACAGCGATTGAAGAGATGCCCTCGTTGTTCATGAGCTGCAGGGCTTCGGAAAGTGGCTTGTCCCCACTGAGATCTGAGATCAGCAATTTCGCATCTTGTACACACCTTGTACTCTTCCGGAGAACTCCGTAAACAAGGAAGGACAGATGGGCCTCACTTGATCGATATCACATTACCCGATCCAATTCGCAGTTCTCGTAGCTGCTGCGGGTACAGCTGGTCGATGACTGGGAAACTGCGCCCATTCTCCCACAGGAACTTGACGAGTCTGGTCTGGCTAAAGATGCCCACCACTTCGCGCTCGTTCTCCTCCTTGACCACCACAATCCGGTGTATACCCCCTCCAAAGAGTTTAACCGCCGTCATCACATTTTCCGAGGCAGAGAGCGTAGTGAAAGGCTCCTTTTTACCCAGACCCTTGACATCTTTCAGTGGGATCTTACTCCCTTCCCGGGCCTTCTTCGCCAGCTCCTGAAAGGACGTAATATGCTCTTCGTCGGGCTGTGTAATACCCGCCGCCAAAAGAAGATATGCGTTCAGATCGGAGTAGTCAAAGGTACCCACCGCCGCTGTATCCTGCGGTGTTTCCCGGATCAGGAGCACTGGGGCACCAGTCTCGATCAAAATCTAGTAGCGAAGGAAAGTCCTATCAGCTTTCTACACTGAAAAAAGAAAAGATAAAAAGAAAAAAAGCGGCAGTGCAGCTCTCACATTTGTTGCTTCTTCAATCCCCGTATCAACTTCGACGAATTTCAAATCGTCGGGCCTCACCAGCTCCCCGATCGAGATATGACGCCAGTCACGACCCGCAAACGCGGGGTCAGCTGGGTTTCGGGCAGGCGGATTATCAATAAGGCTCTGGATCGCAGCTTGTGTCAGGGATGGTTGTCGGCGCGAACGCGGAGATCCCGGAACTGCGCGTAAGCTCTCACTGAAGCTCTGGCCGCGCTGGTGGCTCGGCGTCGAAATGTGGTGGTTCAAGCGCAGGGATTGACCTCTCGTTGACGGAGACCGCGAATCCGTGCTCAACTGCTGCGATGCAATGGCCGGAACCGCCGTCGAGTGGTCGTGGCCATTACCACCAGGCTGATGATTATCTGCCATGGTTATGGTTGGAGCGGGGTGGGCGGGGATAAAACACGTCACGCCCGCGGAACGTGGTGAACGGTCAGGAACAGCAAAACTGCAGGATCTTGGTTGGAGAGTCGCAGCCGCAGGATGGATATCTCATAAGCAGTATTTGTTTCCGAATCGACAACGATGAGGGGGGGGTTTTTTCCAAGGAGTGTCGTTGGTCAAGGTAAGTGGCGAGACAATTCTCTGCTGCTGCCGTTGGCAAGGATTCCCGTGGGGTTTGTTTGGCAACGTTCGAGGCGGTGACAGCTCCCAACCAGCCAATCACGGGAGTTGTTTACATCAGGGAAGGAACGCTGGAGATGGAATCATCATGGATTTGGCAAGAACGAATAATCATCGCAGGAAGTCAGATAAGACTGAGTTGAGGTCATTCTCAGGTCCTCTTGTTCGCTGTCTCCTCACGGCTCTCTTGCATCCAGGCTGCGATTCGCTCGACGGAACCGGCTTTCGCTTTTTTTCTGGTGATACGTCTTCTGGTGAGTGTTGTCTCGAGTAGATGGCGATCGGGTTCAGGGTCACTTGCTCAGATATGAGCTGACCAACCTGGAATTCAAGAATAGGTGTATCACAATTCGGCTGGGAAACGGGATGCTCTTGACCTCGGGCCTCGTAGGACCTGTACAGCGACTCGGTGCGCAAGAATTCCACTGCGTTGGTCTGAGTCATGATGGTTGTCTTCCAGCCGCTACTTACCAACTGTGCCTTGCTCTTTGAGATGATTCCTGAGCAGCCGCAGAAGACAACTTGTGAGAGAGATGGGAACGAGTTCAGATAAGGCAGCATTGCCGGGGACAAGCCGACCTGGTTCACCATGTACAAGACGCGCAGGTGCTTGAACGCACCAGAGGAATCCGCGAGCTCGCTCCATGCTCGCACAATTCGATCACTGAGACCGGCAGCATATGGATTGTCAGGGCCACGATGTTGAGACAGCCCTGAAGGTGTGATTATTTTCAGCGCCCCCAGGTTTTGAATCATTGCGATGTCCACCAGTTCGGGTGTTTTGGCAAATTGCGTTGATACCGTCAGAACGGCAATCCAGCTGAGGGAGTCGCTCTTCACGAGACCTAAATATTTCCCCAGAGGCATCTTGGGCCCCTCGATCTTCATCTCGCGATGGCGAGACAGCTTTCTAAACTCATGAGGATATGCTGTCGCAAACACCTTCCACATATAAAATGTTTGTTTGCGGCTGCAGATGATCAGCAAGAGGTGTTGAAGGATGAACTTCCTGTAATCTAACCTTTCTTTTAGACAACCCCAAAGATATTCGGCAATACGCCATGGCACATGCTCGAATAACTTCGCATTCAGATTTCTCTGGTCAGAGAGGGTCTTCCTCATGGCCATGTGTTTCAGCGACGCTGAACCAGACAAACTGATGTCTTCCCATCCGGTGGTCAAAAATGGGCTCTCGTGGACCCAAGATGGACCGTTGGACAGCGTCACTGCTGAATCCATATTCATTTTTTTTCGCAGATATGTCTATCGCTAGTATTATTCCCTGTCCACTTCTCGACACGAACTCGACGCGTCACTTTTGACGCGCCCTTGATGCAAAGCTACCAGTCAGGTATTAGAGAGCTGCCACGACCATTTGCCAATCAATAATACATCTTAGAAAAACTCACGTTTTGTACTTTATCTGATCGCCGTGTGCGTTCTTAATGGCATTAGTGGCGAGTCAAATATTGTTAGAATTGTGCAGATGGAGTTGTTGCACAGTCACGTGTACGGAGTATATGTCTCTATTCAAATATTGATTTATCCTTCCTCTTACCTGCCTTGAATTACTACGACACGGCAATGATGGAGTTTGCAATAAATCTGCATAAAAGCATCAAGAGACCTCCTGTTTGGGGGATTTCCATGTCCAAAAAGCCTGCCAGCCAAGATCTACGCATTCACGGCATGAGCTCAACGCAAGCTCTCATAAAATTAGACGTCTGAATCCAAATAATGAAGGTCTGCGTCCGTCTTGAATGCTTGTCTCTCTTCGTCCGACGTAATAGATAATGACTTTTTCTTGTTAAGCTGGTGACTTGAAAATTGCAGACGCGATGGTATGGGAGACAGTTCCATCAATTGCATGAAACAGAGCAGCTTCCAGGAACACAACTTCCGCCAAAGAGATACCCTCGAAGCAGAAAAGTAGACGGCTCTCCCAAATTGTTCCCAGTGAGTAGTATCATTTCGAGGCTCTAGTGTCTTGACCGTACGTTGCCTGACCCAGGAAAGTGATGGCGAGGCGACACAGCCTGTTCGCGACACAGCCTGTTCAGGTCAAGTCCATTAAATCCTTAAGACATCAATATACATTAACATTATTATGTAGTGTTCTAGGTACATTATTATCATAGATCTGAATAAGCACGACTCTCCATCTATTATCGTCGTGTTTAGCCGAATGCAAACCCCACGGCCGAGTGAGTGTGAAAAGCTTGGATATCCCGGCGGTAGCAAGGAAAAAAAAAAAGGTCGTTGTGACATGTTGTAGTTTTGTGTCAAGCTGACAGTTGACGAGGTATTCCGACCGTCGCGGACTGTTTAACAGAAAACAAAGAGAAGAACAGAGCCTTTACCCCTGTGTTGTTCTTCATCTCAAAGAAGAAGAAGCGAACTGAAGGCGACTCGCGGTGTTGAATAGCAAAGAAAAGTGGCGTCTAAGTCATATTTTTTTGAACCGAATGAACGATATGGTGAAGAAATGAGTCTCACGCCTGTATCATCCTCGCAATCGAGAATGGCACGGTGGAAGAAGCTTTGAGCGTGGCACGATGGGAATGCCAGTTCCCATTCGACGTCAGGTCTCTACTAGAGGGCGATGAATCGGCATGAGGCTCCCCGTGGTTCAGATGGCACCGTGGGCAGGCAATCAGGCGATGTGTAGGCCACGAGTGCGTGAAAGAGTGTGTTGCATTGCGGTAGATATAAGGATTGATGTTGGTATAGCTGGGCGGAATGGTGGACGGGCCATTTGCTGGCAACCTGGCCCTGATGGAACTTGGCGATGAGCGGCGAGTTCGAGAATCCTGAGGAGAAGTCAGACCAGGAATAAACGAATGCATGGTTGATGAGAATTCATATCAAGGCATAGAACACAACGTCTATCTTTGAGCGCTGGGTACATCTTAAATAAAGCTAAGTCCACGAGTCACGCCCAATAGATCATCGTGCAGATCCACGCGGGTCCTTGCAGGACCTCACAGCTCGGAGAATAACATTGCCAACCACACGCTTCACTGCCACGAAGGAGGCGCGTTGTTGTCAAAGGGGGAACAGGAGACGAGAGGGAGGGCGGGAATGGAGGGCGAAAAGGAGGGAAAGGTTGGACGCAAGGCGAGAGCTCTCAGCCCTTCTCTCTCTTTTCTCCCTTCTCACCCCGCCAAAACCTGACAAACCGACACTCACATTTATTTTGGACCTTTCCAAAGCCTCGCTCTGGGAGGAAACAGCTTCTTCTTCGTCCGAATCATGAAGAGAGGACGTAGGGGAGGCGGGGGGCGATATGGAAGTGCGTGCAGTTGGGGATAACAGCCCGGAGTCTATCTCAAAACAGGTTATTATCTCAGATCCCTAGATATCATCTATTGCCCTGGGATATTTGCAAAAGAACTGATGGGATAGCGTCAAATGCAGGGATGTTTGAAATCTTACCTCCCCAGAAGGTGAGACTCTGCTCGTTAATCGTCAACACTGGCATGGTCATTCCACTGTCCTGTTTCCACGCCCCTCGAACGCGTTAAAGATGGAGAAGTCGTCACTGGAACAACAGCTGCCAGGAACAGCCGCCGGCGCCTGCCCCCTCTTATGGACTGAGCACAAGCATCACGAGGCTGATTTGGGCGTGGGACCCTGGAGGCTTTGAGAGGGGCCACAACGACGCCAAGAGGGAGAAATACAGGCTACACAGTACACAACTCCTCCATGATAGCCGTGCTCCGTATAGTACGGACTCTATAGGCACTTCAATGCTAGAGCCCCACCTGGTTGAGGGAGTTATCAGAGCTCAGCGTTCCCGGATTCAGCCTTATTGCTGGGATATCGCAGCATTACCCCCCGGTGATTATCTGATGGGTCTAGAGGGTGTTGGTGACTGAGATCAACGCTATGAGATTGGCTGTATGATGCTGGTGGATGACCGTCAGCAGGGTATAATTACCTTCTACTCCCTCGGATCCTTCTCGTGAAGAGCAGGGTACTACAATATGATGGCTCCAGCTGTTCGGCGGTTGACTCTTGGAATTCAAAATCGTGACCCATCTGCCTTGGAGAAGGATTAAAGATTTTCGAGAACAGGAGCCACGATTGACCACTCTGAATTGCACGCCTAATTTCACCCAAAAAAGAGAGGACCGTTGCTGGTCAAAATAGACGAGGCGGCCCCATATTAATAACAATAATCAACTTGTCAGCTCCAGCCTCCAAGTACTGGAAGCCGGCTGTGCATGCAAATATTTGCCAGTCATGGCAACGATAATAATGATGGGGAAGGATGTCGAACACTGGCTGCAAAGCGCTGCAAAGCGCTGAAACAGCAAAAACAACCGAGCATCTTTTGAATCGTTGCTTCTCTGTTGGGTCGCAAACCCTGCCTAGCACGCACGATTCGCTAGTCCACAAACATACTGTCTGGTTGTTCGATAACACGGTGTATCAAACCGAGGGGTCACCAGCTCACCCGGCTGAATGGACATGGGGTTCGGAGGTTGTTGCGTGCGTCTTTATTACTTACGGCCGGAGAGAGATGAGCACCCTAGTCACTATAACGGCTGACCTGATCGGACTGTATGGCGAATTAGGGATCGATGACAACGTGGAGGCTTTCTAAATCAGCTAGTAGTAACATCGGGGATTCCACTTCCTGTCGGAGTCTTTTCAAAGGCCTGATGGCCCGACGGATGCCAACGGAATCGGGAGAAAGGTGCCCGCTCTCAACTGGAAATCATTTGATGGAAGACAGCACTCTCATCAAACACTATCTACATAGATGGAACCACAAAGTATCGATGAATACCGTCTTTGCAGCCCGGATGGATGGATGGTAATCTCGGACATTAATGATACCATCGAGTACATCCAGCACGAGAACCTATTGGAATCGTTCGCATCACTTTCGCAGAAAAGGCATGTCCGATCTGCGGTATGCAGGGCTATACGTCTACATCCAAAGACAGTCGATGGCTGCTTGCTTTACTTATCAGCCTCGCTGTACAATCTGATTCCCTTTCCACCAGATCTCTTGTGCACACACTACCCTCAGGGTACATACTGCGAGATTTTTCGTTGATGGACTTACAAGGGCTCCTCAACTTCTTTCATCGAGAATACACAAGAGTACAAGGTGGTCCGGATGGAGAAATTCCGTCGATGGTTTCCCTGCAGACAGACCTGGAAAGTAACAAACATCTCGCACAGGTAAGAACAGGATTCAGCTAAGAGGTTCGAGACTGCTTTGAGATAATCTTAGGGATATGTGGACGATCTTTGAACGACCTGTACATCTATTTGAGCGTGTGGAAGAACTCGTGGCATGAGATCATGGATCCGTTTCAACGAAACCCCAGGGCTCGTCTTAACACTAACCAAGAATCGAGAGATCAATGGATTAAAGACACTTCCAGCCTCAGTGATCTCGAGAGCTGATGCCTGATAGACAGTGGCGATGATGATCTAAGAATTTTAGATCCGACTACGTCAACATGAAGAAATCCGGTGGTGGCAGCATACAGAATTACAATCTCCCGATAGATGTTCTTTGCTCCCAACTAATCCCGGACATCAAAAATAGTATTGAAACGACACTATGAAGCCGGCAAAGCCTGAGTCCACGACAATGGATAAAGAAACCTTTGTGCCTCCCACCATGCGAGCGTTGTACTTTTCTCCACCGCCAGCATCAGAAGAAACGAAGAGCACCACCGCGACAATCGCCTTCGATGCTGACTTCCCGACACCACAGCCATCATTTAACCAGTATCTAGTAAAGGTGCAAGCCGCTTCCTTTTCCCTCGATGAGCTCCAGGCTGCGAGGACTCTCAACCCGACGCTCTCGATCCCCCAGATCCCCGTACATAGCTTCTGCGGCACGGTGATCAGCACGCCGGTCGAAGACCACCAGAATCCGTTCGGACCGAGGTTCAAGATTGGAGATTCTGTGATCGGCTTGAAGAACTATACCCTCGACGGGGCGGCTGCCGATTATGTGCTCACGACGGAAGACGAGTTGGCATTCAAGCCGAGAAACGTCACGGCGAAAGAAGCGGCGAGCATCCCTCTCCCCGCACTGACTGCATGGCACGCTCTCTTCGCTTACGCACGACTGATGGACACTCTCATCGGCGGCACTCAGACGAGTGATGTCAGCGCTACTATTCCGAGGAGTAGCAGTACGGCAAGCAGTAGTACGAGCATTCAGAGCCTGCGGAAAAAGCAGCGCAAAAAGAAGAAAGAAAGCGGTCTACGCGTCCTGGTGACGAGCGCGTACGACAGTGACGCTGCGATCGATGTGATTCGGATTCTACGAGCGCCTCGCCACTTACTCAACCCCGGCATCGCAGCGGACGACGAGACCCCGGTCTGGATCTGCGCGGTGTGTTCGTCGACAGACCAGGAGCTGTTCCTAACCGACCAGCTGGGCGTTGACAAGGTGATGGTCTCCGGGTCGAATCTGGAAGACTCCTTTCGCGCCCATGGCTGGGAACCCGTTGATTTGGTGGTGGATGCGTCTGGAGCAGGTGAAACGTTCCGCCAGAGCCATTCGCCACACGTAGTCAAAGACGACGGGATGGTGCTTAGCACTGTCTCGTCGTCTGTGGATGCGGTGCGCAATGACCCACGTATCCAGGAACAAGTGGCCAAGGGGAAGCTGGGCAGCCACTTTGTCGCGGTGCGGCCGGACGGGCTCGCGCTGCAGCGGATCGTCGCCCTGGTAGAGACGAATGCACTTCGTGGCCGAGTGGATAGAGTCATGGACATGGTGGACGCGGGACTACGAGATATCCTGGGCGGGAGGAGAGAGACTGGGAAGCAGTGTAAGGGGAAGATGACGGTCATCCATGTGGATACATCAGATTAGCAAGATTATAGTATATTGGTTTAAACTTCTTTCTAGGTAGTCTTCTTCCTGGTAACAATAACCCTGGAAAAAGGTTACCAGTAAGTGTCTTCCACCTCCATCATCATCATTTCCTTCTCGTTGAGCTCTTCCTCATCGTCACGACAGCACTGACACTCCCATCCGCAACACCCCCCGCGCAGCGTACACCCGCGCAGACCTGCGTCCTTCGCCCTGGTCTTCAACCTGCATCTCCGATCCCGCGGATGACAATGCTGGAAGTGTTCCCTGATCCAGGCACCAGAGGGACACTCCCCCACGACAGCTCGGTACGCACGGCGATCCTCCCATGTCCGTTGTAGCAAGCTCTCAAGTCGCGACGTATGATCTCCCAGCCGGGGATCCCAAGCATGCAGGTCGTCGATGATCGTCTGCAGCTCGATCTCCTCTTCGCGGTGCCAGCTTAGCGTGACGAGCAGGTCGGTCCAGCGCACAAGCCAGGCTTGCTGGGCTTCTCGGCTGGAGGTTTTCGTGAAGAACTTGTTGAGCCCGCGTGTCAGCGAGGCGAGGTTCGGGTGCCCTGCGCTCAGGGAGATCTCGATCTTCTTTAACAGGCCCATTTGTTCAACCAGGCAATTCAAAGGGGGACAGAAAAAATATCCAAGTACCTAGTGGACTGGTTTAGTTGCACGCTGGGGGATATGTGTGTGCTCGGTGTTGCCTGCTTTATACTTAGTCTGTGACCAAATATGATGTCAGTTTACAAGATCACTCTGACCAGTACATTCGAGTTTCGAGCATACTCTATTTAGCTGTTTCACCTTTAAAATCGGTAAATAGGTGTGTTCTGTATTTTACTCAGTATAGCGGTTGACTGGAGTTGGAAACTACTCGTGGTGAGTCGGATATAAAAGTGGGTAGATTAAGCAATTATGCTGGATTGATAGATATATTATTTTCAATGCTCACTATATAATATTGAAATAAAAGAATGCCATAGCCATAGGTGTAATAATTAGCCTCTAGCTATACTAGAACAGTGAAATATTAAGATAGAGATAGAGATAGTATAGTATTCCTAGTATTGTAAGCTCTATATGGCGAGGAATGAGACTTGATATAGTATTCTAATGTCCCCTTCTACTTCATAGTTATAAAAAAGAACTGATTGATTGACTTTGTTCAATTAAAATTGCTTTTATATTTATCCTGCTTTGTGCTCCATCACTGCCAGTGCACACAATTCAGTTTATTCTATGGAACACCGCGACCTGGTATGGAAATTATCAAACGCAAGACAAGAAAAGGATGTTAGATGACAAAAATCGCCTACAGTCGGTCATAAAGTAATAAAGATCATTTCCACACAATGGACGGACTGTAGATGGCGGGCCGGTCGGGCTTCCATATCAATCCTAAACCCCATACATATGCTGACGAACTACATCAAGAAGAGAAGGGAAAGAAAAAAAGGGATTGGCCGCCCCCGAAGAGAGTTAAGGGTGAGCGGGAGGCGAGAGAAGGGGGGTTTCGAAGGAGGGATGCATGATAGAAGGATGCGATGGAGACAGGAACGTCGTCAATTCACTCAAAGGAGGGAATCCAGTCGGGTGAAAACGCTCAGGCAAGCCGCCACAATCTAGGCCGAGTTAGAAGAAAGGTGTACTCTCAATCAATTTCACTATAAACGTACCTCAAGTTGGAGTTCCTTATCCTGGGCCCGGTTGATTTCGTCATTAATGGCTTGGGCCAGGTTAGCCCCGATAGCCTGTCCGCCACCGGCTCGTCGACCAAACGGCCATTGAGAGTACTCTGCCAACAGCTCATCCACCTGAGCAAAGGCACGCTCCCGCGACTCGTGGCTCATGGTGACTAAAGCGTTCTCCAGCACATTGGCCGCATAGGCCGCGCAGACCATGGTCACCGTCCGGAGATATCTGAACTCGACGTCCTCGGGGAGCCACTGGTTCGCCGGGATGACCACTGTGCGGTTACTGCACATTGTGCGCACCCGCTTGTGTAGATCATCCTTGGCACCGCCGTCCGCAACAGGGTGCGTTGCCATATCGAAGAGGAGGAAGTTACGCTTCTCGGTGCGGAGGATACCCTTGTCGACGAGACCCTTGGCCAGACGTTCCCGGACTTGCTTCAGTTGATAGCCGATCTTCATCAAGTTCCACGTTTCCCCTGTCCCATTTTTTGCATATTAGCAAATGGCACATAGAAAGCTTTTGAAAAAAAAATATATATATGTACTGCCACCTACCGCTCAGCAGATCAATCCACGAGCTGACACTCATCTTCTCGCTCGACTTCATCATCTTCAGCGCCTCGTCCAGCAAGACCTCCCCTGTCAATGTGTCGTCGATAACCTCGATGATGCGATCCGCGAGCGGAAACCGCCGGCGTGAAGAGTCCTTTTGCATGCTTATCCGGCCACGGAGAGCCAATTCGATCACAATGCAGCCGCGCAGAGCGTAGGAGATATTCTCGTTCCAGAAGGAAAGGTAGCCCTGATCGCGCCACACATTAATTCAAGCTTATTATTTTTTCTCTCTCTTGTATTTCCCTCCAGAATACCCTACCTGCTTATCTTTCAGCCCCAGTAGCAGCACCTCCTCCATCAGAGTCAACTTGGGCTGCTTATTCCGCTCCTGGTTCTCGCTGATGTCGCGCGGGTCGAACGCAATCTTGTGTCCATTCTCTCCGGCCGTGAAAGAGGTCTCTGGCGTGCGACTGTCGCCGTTCCTGGGCGCGGGGGAGGAGACTCGACTGTTGTCGTCGTGGTCGTCGGCGGCCCCGGTGGCGCGGTTACCACCTCTCCGACGAGTCAAACCCCCGGATGAGTCCATCAGGATGCTTCGCTATCGCTCTCTCCTGAATGCAGATCCTGTGGAATTCTAGAAGAAAGTGCGTGGGTGGAATGGGGGGGGGGGGGGGGGGGGGGGGGGGGGGGGGGGGGGGGAGAAGGAGGAGGAGTTCGTAGTAGGACGGCAGCAAGGCTGAGGGGCTGTCAGGGGAAGGAGAGCAAGCGTTCGCTGGGCGACACGGAAGAAAGACACTACGAAACAAGTCAATTAGTAGCAGACGAGGTTGTCCAGATGGCGCTGCTCGCCGGGGGGTCGTCGTGCAACTGCCAGAGCAAGAGGCTGGAGCTATGGCAGCATTGCCCAGATGGCCTCGTGCTTTGTCGGGTTTGGCGTCGGAGGTGCCAAACTATCGACCAAACGGTTTCGCTGGCCGCATCGGCCACTTTTGGGACTTGCCGCCATCTCGTGCTTGGCGCGGACGACGTCAGAAAAATTGTCACTGGAGAGGGGAAAAAAGAACGCTTTTATCTATTGATAAAGAATAAAATTATCGTCAATTGAGCTGGCTAGATTAGATATTATGTTCCACTGAAGGGACACTGCTAGTGGATTCTATTCTTGGTGCGTACTGATAAATTTTGCTGCTTGCCAGATGGCCCCCGTCCAGTCTACTAGAGCAAAAAAATTTATAGATAGCATTCAAGGTGATGTACACAATATAGTAGAACGAAAAAACACTGGCGTGTATGTAGCATACAAAGCAGCATCCATGAGAACCACATGATACTCCAGCATTAGTGCAGCCTTACGCCGCCCTCCCCTGTTTCTAACCGGAGTCCCCAACCGTTTCCATTCCCTGATTTTATATCTAATGGGCTGGAGTCCGTTGTGTTAGTGGTAAAGACTCAAACGGAGACAGTATCCAAGTGAGGAGTGACTTACCATCAGGCTGAGAAAGAATGTACTCGACCGCCTGGTTGACTGTTGACGGTGATAGTCGTTAGCGCCCAAGCTGCATGCAAATAATGGTTAATCACATACCGGAGTGGATGGCATCGGCCTCCTTATCAGGGATCTCGATGCTGAATTCCTGTAACACCAGTCAGTCGAAGACTCTCGGTTCAGCATGGCATCAGTCAACCTACCTCCTCGATGGCCATCACCACCTCCACAGTGTCCAGGCTGTCCAGGCCGAGGTCGTTGGAGAAGTGAGAGGAACCGGTGATCTGTATCAACAGTTAGCCGTAAGATCTTTACTGGTCTCGCTGGATCTCGACTCGGGTGGTCGCCATCTAGTCATCCATCAATCAGTTCGGCTGAAGGAACCACTAACCGCGCTAGCATCGTTGACCTGTAAGCAAATAGCGAATTGTCAGTCAATGTTCAACTCAATTGATCGGATCTCTTCTCTTGTCTGTTTTTGTCTGTCTCTCCTCTCGTATCCTAAACACACCTTGTCAAAGTTCTTCAGCAGGTTGACTATCCGGCCCTCAACCTCATCCTTAGCCAGCCCAGCGGGGGCAGAATAGCACCGCACAGCCGGGAAAGCAAGGCGGGCAGCGAATTGAGATGGGCGGACAGCAGCAGAGCTGCGGATCTGGAAGGGAGCCGGCGTGCGAACGGCACGGGGCAGGGAAGTCCTCAGAGAGCGGACGACGGCGGAACGGAACATCTTGCCAAAAGATAAGATCGAGAGCCTTCACAAGACAAAAGGGGAGCGGGAGGTTCGTGGGCGGGAAAAGACGGTGCGCAGAGAACAGCAGCTGGGATTTAATGGGAGAGAAAGATGTTTCGTGCCTGCCCGGAGCAGGCAAGTTTGCGTTCTCGGGCGGCCGCAGCCGGTGGCCAATCAGCGCGCGGCAGAAAGGAATGACCTAAGCCGTCCTCGACCACCTCCAAAACCTCCCAGGTTGGTCTGTCTCCAACGCTGATAGCTCACCCCCTCCCCCCAATTGCTCTCTCCCACCACGCCCTCCTTCTCTCGCCCTCCATCCTATCCACGATGGTCTCTTCGACGTCCGTGGCGAGGCTGGTCGCCTACCGTCGTGCTTCGCCCGCTGTGCTGTCCTGCTTTCGCCCTGTGGGCTCCACCGCAAACTTCTCTTCCTCAGTCGTCCGGGCAGCAACCCCCGTGGGCCCTCCCCAGCCTGGATTCCGCCTGCCTCCCCCGAAGCGATGGGACCAGGGTGCTGAGTCTTCCCTTGACAAGGCCACCAAGTACTTCCTGATGGCCGAGCTGTTCCGTGGCATGTATGTTGTGCTGGAGCAGTTTTTCAGACCACCGTAAGTGCCCGCGTCTGCAGTCAATTGAAGTTGCGCACGCTGTTTTGCAGGTTTTATCGCTGGAAACCATGGAAATTGAAGTGCTAATGGGTTGGAATAATGCAGCTACACTATCTTCTACCCCTTCGAGAAGGGCCCGATTTCCCCCCGTTTCCGTGGCGAGCACGCCCTGCGCCGCTACCCGACCGGTGAGGAGCGCTGTATTGCCTGCAAGCTCTGCGAGGCCATCTGTCCTGCCCAGGCTATTACCATTGAAGCCGAGGAGCGCGAGGACGGCAGCCGCCGCACAACTAGATATGATATCGACATGACCAAGTGCATCTACTGTGGATACTGCCAGGAGAGTTGCCCTGTGGATGCCATTGTTGAAAGTAAGTGCTTGCCAATTCTTCTTGTTTTTGCCAGGTTTTCCTGTATTCTAACATGCGATTTCCAGCCTCCAACGCCGAATATGCGACGGAGACCCGTGAGGAACTTTTGTACAACAAGGAGAAGCTCCTTGCAAATGGCGACAAGTGGGAGCCTGAAATTGCCGCTGCCGCCAGAGCCGATGCTCCCTACCGGTAAAGGGGCGGAATTGGGGCGAGGCATGAATCAAGGTCGGGGTAGCCTGAGAATATGAACGACTTTTTTTTTAACTGAAGGGGAAGAAAAGAAAAGAAGAAGAAAAGAAGCTAGGGGAAGTAGAGTTCGATCCCCCTTTCTGGATGGAATATCAGGAAGGCCCATGAACTGGATCACAGGTCTAACACCGAATCCATTCCATCCTGTACATAAAATACCTGTGTTATCTGCGTGTGATCCTACCCATGTACGAGTTGGTATCAGGCGGGAGTTTCTACGGAAGGCCCCGCATATCATTTTTCTTTTCATTATTTCAATTTTTTTTTTCATTTTTCTTATGGAGCTCATCGAATACATTTCATTTGTCCTTACAGATGTATCCTCATGATGTATTCAGATAGCAACAAGTGTGTGGAAAACGTATTTGAACCCGGTAACAAGCGGTATTGATTCTTAAATCCCTTCATTCAGTATGAACAGTAATAGATCGCCTGCCTATGCTACATGGATAAGAAAAACTTCGACATTCAACAGAAAGAAGTAAAGAAGAAAAAAAAATGAATCTAACTCCTCCCTACCGTGGAACCTGAACGCCGTAAGCTCCAGTTCCCTCACGCCCAGGCCAAGTCAAGCAGACGTTGATGCCACCAAACCTTTTGATGAGCGGGTGGGAAGGGAAATGATAGGAGAAAAAAAAAAGAAAGAGAGAATGTGACTTTTTGGTTTGTATTTGTGCTTGTGGGGGAACTCAGCTCAAGGCGGTTGGGGTTTATTTCTTCTTGCCCCCGACCTTAGCCTTGAAGCTGCCTTCGAAGCCCGGCCGGGCTTTGCGCTTGCCGGCCGGTTTCTTGCCCTTGCCCTTGCCGCCGCCGGCGCCCTTTTCATCTCTCCGCTTGCGGAGGTTCTCTTCGCGTTTCATCTGGCGCGCCTCTTTACCCTTGGCGACCCCGTCGATGCGTTCCCTCCACTCGCGCTCCGACTTCTTCTTGGCGGTCTCCTTGCGCTTGAGCGCCTTCTTCAGCAGTGAGGTGTCGTCACGCACACGCTCGCCGTGCGCGCGCTTCTTGGCATTCAGCCACATGTCCTTCTCTTCGATGTCCGCCCGTTTGCCCTCATCCATGGCTGCCAGACGCGCCTGCTTGGATTCCGCAGCCTTGAGGGCCGTAGCGGGGTCCTGCGCGTTCTGCCGCTTATGTTCCCGCAATGAGGATAGACTGGCATCAGCTTGCTGGCCATCGGCAAAGACCACCCGGCCAAAGGAGTAGTTATTAGCCGATGAGCCGACAGACTCGGCAGGAGACCGTGGAGAGGCGAGAAGAGACCCAGAGCCACCGGGGGAGAAGCGGCGGGCCATGGCTTCGTCCTTTAGCCTTTGTTCTTCCTCCTTGGCCTTCTGTCGGAGCAGCTTCTTGTGGGCCTTGCGCTGCTCGGCCTTCTGTCGCCGGGCTTCGATCAGCTCATGACGGTTCCGCGCCGGCTTGCCATTGAGACCGTCCGCGTGGCGCGCAGCCCGAAGTTCGTCAAGACGCTTCTGTAGCCGCTGTTTAAGCTGTTCCGGGGTCGCTTTTAGCGGCTTGGGTTCGGATGTAGAAGTCTTGGAGGTGTCTGTAGGGGGAAGAATCGAGGAGATAGAAGAGCTGCCAGAATCGGGGTTCGGAGCGTCAGAATCGGGCGATTGAGGTGCCGAGGAGACAGAAGACGGGATTTCAGGCTGCTCGGCTTCAAATTCAACGGAAAAGCCTTCTTCGACAACGCCGTCTTCTTCATCTTCTTCTTCTTCTTCGTCATCTTCAGCTTCCGATGCCGAGTCTTCTTTGTGTCCATCATCGGTCTGTTTAGTAGGCTTCTTGCTCTCCTGTGCCAGATCCGCCTTCTTCGGTTCCGATTGCTGCTTTTCTTTCCTTGCAGATTCCTTCGCCTTCTTCTTCTCCTTCTGTGCCGCCTTTTTCTGCGCCTTCTTCTCTTCCTTCACCTTTTTGCGGGCTTGAGCCTCCTCGAGCTTGGCCGCAGCATTGTCAGACTTATTGACAGGCTCGGCCTGCTTCTGTTTCTTTCCCTTGGCATTTCCTCTGTTGAGGCCCTCTTTTGGGAGCTCGGAGCCTAGTTCGCTATCAGACGAGTCGCTTCCCGCTGCATCCTCATTGCGCTTGCGTTTCCGTGCGTTTTCTTCCAGCACGTCCTTGGCCGTCTTCGCCGACTCGGGGTCGAGCTTCGCCCGCTTCGCCTCTCGGGCTTGCTCTTTGGTTTGCTTCTTCCGTTGCCATTGGTCCTAGGGAAAGGATTCCAAGTTAACAAAGCGAACAAAAGAAAGGGCACAATAAAGCGAGACCATAAAGTTTGAAACCACATACACTAGTGTCGTCTCCGTAGTAATATTTGGCAGGAATCAGAGACAGCAGACCGTCAAAGGCCTGGGCATGGCTTCGCAGCCGTTCCTGTGAGGGATCGTCAATATCTGCGTGCCACGAGCGGGAGACGTTGAAGCACACGAACGTACCTCGAGGTCAGCCATCACGCTCTGTGGAATCTTAATCAGATACGCCGAGTCTGAGCCGATCAGACGGGATGCACAGGGCCTCGAACAGGGAAGCTGGTAAAAAACATCGAAAAATTTGGGTGGGCGTAAAATCTTGGCGTTTTGCGCTCACCGCCTTTGATCCCCGCTTGGGATGATTAAGAGACGGCGCATTCCAGGAGTCTTGCATGTTGCGGCGTGCTTCCTTCATTGATTATTCCTGGCTAGTTTTTAAATAAATCTCACTGTTGAGACAACCTGAAGTATCGCAGGATGGAAGACTGCGATAAAGCTGAAGTGGTGTCAACGGTGGGAATGGAGTCAATTTGATAGTTATTACTTTAACTACCAAGGTAGTAGGTAGTTAGTAGAAAGTAACATCAAATTAATGACTGGTGGGATGTCTATCAAATTACAATAATTAAAAACTAATAAGTTTGTTCTAGGGGAAACAATTGGCATAATTAGAGAGACCTGCCGGCAGTTTCAGATGCGGATAACTACTGAAGTCTCAAATCAACTTGAAGTACTCGTCACGCCAATAAGCATCACAAGGATCTCCAAAACGACAACAGGGCTGCATCGGGGAGGCTTTCCGAGGCTTCTCAGGAATACCAGCTCTTCCTGTTGGATCTCAGGGAGTCGGAGGAAGGAAGGAGACTATTGCAGGATGCAGAAACCATGTTCGAGCCGACCGAGGCTATCTTTGACCTCGACCAAGAGACATTGGATCAGTTTACCGATAACCCTCCTCGAGATCTGTTTGGATGAGTCTTTCTCGCGCGCCAGTGAGTCGCGGATGATTCGGTAGTTAGTAGCAACCCCTAAGTGACAGGTAGTTACATACTCCAAAGGCGCTGGAAAGCTGCCAACAAATGACAGCAAGATGGATGCCACAGAGAGAGGTATAACCTCAGCTAGAAACTCTTATCTCGCGGAGTCCTCTGAAAAACCTCTCGGACACCTCATCGCGATTGCTGCTCACCCGTCCCCAACCAGATGCTGAGGATAGCCGCCCGCCGCCGGTCACCCTGGGGTGGCCACACAGACATTGGCTCCGTGGTGCTTCCTTTCAACATCGTAGGGGGCCTGCAGATACTCCCGGCCGGAAACACCAACACGAGCGAGAACCGGCGCTATATCTGTCCAGAGCAGGGGTGCGCCGGGATCAATATTGGCGACGCAATTGTGGAGTGGATGGGAGACGTGCTGCGCAGCTCGTTGCACCGTGTTGTCAAGGTGATTCCCCCAGCGGTGGAAGGAGAACGAGAGGAGACACGGACGGTAGACGAATGCATTCTCTGGAGGACCCGGCACTTCGTAAACGGAGAGAAGCTGCAGACGCGAGGAGGAGGTTTGTCAGAACTGACCGGTTGATACTTCAAACGAGGCCGCGTTTGTAGAGGGACAAATTTCAGCAGAGTCCGAGGGTCATCAAGTATTGACATGGAACTCACCTTGTCGGCTTGGAGCGAAATTCCCTGCAATGTGAGTACTTTTTGGCTTGTGTTTTTTAGTAAAGATCAATCCAAATGAGTTGGTATCTATCAGCGTTGCAGACAACCAGTTCCTGTCCAGTTTTTGCCGCCACATCCAAAGAAAAAGCAACGCAGGCGCTAAGCATCATACCGGGGAACAAATTAGTGGTATACCTTGATGAAGGGATTGGCGCTTTGACGGCCTGATACTGATCTATCTTTACTCCGTACTGGGTCTGGACATGCCACCCTTAGGCTTTAAACCCATGTTTGATGATACAAACCTTGCTTGACACAATACCTTCGCAGAACAGGACGACGATGAATTATGGGTAGCTATTATTGATAGATTTATGGCGATCCTAATTCTAATACCCACTGTCAGCTTAAATGGTATCCTCTGTTTCAAATTAACCGCCGGGCAGACAGCGTTCCCCGGCAATAAGATATATATAATTATTTATACCAAGGATTGCTTCTCCAGATAGCAGCCGGCAATCTATTATTATTGTTTCAGTCACTAGCCCCTTCAGCCCACAAAGCCTTCCAAGTCAATAAATAGGTCTAACCTCTAGTCTAGAGACGTATTGTTTAGGTAATTAACGCCTGGTGATTGCTCCATATTTCAGTACTAAACGCATATGATCTACTCCGTAGGTATCTCTCTCCGAGGGGACAAATTATCTATTTCTCCGCTCACCCTAGCAATCTATCTCGACTGATTCGTATCTCAATTATGTATCTGCCTGATTTATTTCACGGTTGAGAAACGAGTCTCCACAGCAGAGTTCTGTTGCCCCAGCCAAGAGCCATTCCATGGACTGGTTCTGTATTTTACTATTTACTATAAATACACCTTTTTAACACATCACACTTCACCATGACCTACCTAAGTTGAAAATAGCTGTATTTGTCTCTTGAATTGAAGTGTACAAAACGAATGCTCTGATTAGGTAAGAAGTATAAAATGCTCCGAATCTTCTGGAAACATGCCCGATATAGTTAGTATCGGAGATATTCATCGGAAGAGAGCGGAAGACCCGTGCACGCCATAATACATAATTCCATACATTCGGAGTACGCTATTTGGCATGTCGGTATTAAAGATCTACTCCGTACCCCGTAGAGAAAAGCCGATGATGTTTCGACGGAGTACTTCGTGAGTTAGGTAGTAAATAGTTACTAAGTAATACTAAGTATAGATTGGGGCACTTCTGGTTATTCGTTTGCTTCTAATTCCATAATAATTAGCGTCCTAATACTGCATCTACACCGTACTCACCTAACTAGGTAGGTAAAGAGTAGGTACCTAAATTTACCTAGGTACAGCCTACTCAGCCACAACAGCGGTGGCGGTGTTGGTTGAGAGTCACTGAGGCAGTGTCCAACGTCAGCGTGACCGCCATGGAGGGGTTGAAAGATACCGCTATCGGGTATCGTATTGTCACACATATCATCTGCTCAGCTGGACGGTCCTCGAGGACTCGAGTTTGGAGATGCGAGCTGAAGATCATTGCGTCTGATTTGCTGATCCTTGCCAAGCATGTTCCATTGTGTCGTACTACATACAGCATGCACCATCCGCAGGCCCTGACAGGTGGCCAGAATACTCTGTGAGCCAAGGACACAAAGAGACGCTGGTCACGGAGTCACCGCAGGACGGTGGGCTGTGGCTTTGCAGCTGTACGGAAATATCATTACACGGCGCTGAGCGGTACCGGGCGGTTCTGGTGGGCATGTCGTGCTTGGCAAGAGCGAACCATCGGCGGGGTTGAGCTCATCAGCCCTGCGGGATGGTGTTTGCCCTCGAGAGGTATTTAAGGAGCACAACCCCTCCTCCCTGAAGAAATCATCCGTCCTTACATCCCACCCATCCAAAGAAACACACTCCATCTTCCTTCCTTCCTTCCTTCCTTCCAATCCTCCTTGATCTCGATTTTTCTACCATGTCCGGCTACAACCAGAATTACGGCCAGGAAGGCTACGGCCAGCAGGGCTACGGCCAGCAGGGCCAGGGCTACGGCCAACAACAGGGATACGGCCAGCAGGGCCAGGGCTACGGCCAGCAGGGCTACGGCCAACAGGGTCAGGGCTATGGCCAACAGGGCTACGGCCAGCAAGGTTACGAGGGCCAGCAGGGCTACGGCCAACAGCAGGGCGGCAGTGTTGGGGATTACTACGGTGGTCAGCAACAGCAACAGTCATATGACCAGCAGAACCAGTATGGTCAGCAGCAGCAGTACGGCGAGGGATCGCGTCAGTCTGGGTATGCACGATCTTTTTCTTTCTTCTCTTTTCTCTCGCACAAATACTAATGCCGGTCTTAGGTATGAGGGCGCTCCCGGTGAGGCAGGAGAGGGCGAGCGTGGTCTGGGAGGTGCCCTTGCTGGCGGTCTCGCCGGCGGCTTTGCTGGTCACAAGGCCAACCACGGTATTCTCGGCACCATTGGCGGCGCCATCCTCGGTAGCATCGCCGAAGACGCCTACAAGAACCACAAGAGACACGAGGATCAGCAAGGTCCCCCGGGTTACCCCGGTGGTCCTGGTGGCCCCGGTGGCCCTCAGGGTGGCAACCCCATGGACAGCTTCGGCAGCTTCTTCAAGCGATAGACCAACACCTGTCTGTTGTCCTGCTTTTCTTACGACCATCGCCTCATGATCTTTCTTTCGCCGCATCTTCTGAATTCTTCCTACATCGCTCATGGCGGTCTTGATTTACCATGAAGGCCCCACAATCCTGCCTTCGTGCTTCCATTACTCCTTGTATTCAACTCTGCATATATTGTTATGCCTCTGATGCTTTCTTACTTGCTCTTGTCATGATACAGGGTTGTGGCTGTTATGGAATTTCACCTCAAAGATACCGCAATAAATATTTCATCCTTCAATAAAAACTATCGAACTCGTAATTCTCAAAGAAGATTATACTGTATGAAATTATGCGAATCAATAATACTCCGAGGCGAGATTAATATGAGCAAGATACTCTGTAAATACTACAAACGGTTATTAACGGAGAAGGCCAAGGCATCAATGTGGCCTGAGGCATCAGCGCTGACCGCCAAGCCACATCAAAACTTCTCGGACAAAGGATCGAGACCTCAGAACAGTCGAGACCACCAGCCCATCATGATTGTCCGGCAAGTGTGCATGCGGCAGAGTATGTATAAGAATTCTGATTCTCTCAGCTTACATATCTAATCATTTTTCTAGGTCGCCAGCTCCTTGCCCTCAACCGACCCCGTGTTTTCTCCCGTTTCCTCTCAACCGATGAAGGGCGGTTTACAAGCATTCCTGAAATCCGGTCTGCCTCTGAGCCGGAACAGTACTCGCGGGATGCCTCAAGTAAGATATTCTATAATATATATATATAAGGCTGATGCTGACGTTTGATGTTAGAACAAAAATTCCGCAGCCTGGGCAGCGCCGTCAAGGAACCGTACGAACCGGAAGATATCCTGCGGAACCCGCCTACCCCAGGAGACATTACATTGGAACTGCTACTGGCCTCGCAAACGCACCTAGGCCACTCGACGTCGCGCTGGAACCCGCAGAACTCAAGCTACATCTTCGGCATCCGCGAAGGGGTGCACATCATCTCGCTGGACGTGACGGCGACACACCTCCGGCGCGCGGCCAAGGTAGTCGAGGAGGTTGCGGCGCGCGGCGGGCTGATCCTCTTCGTGGGCACGCGCAAGGGCCAGAAGCGGATCGTGGTGCGAGCCGCCGAGTTGGCGAGCGGGTACCATCTCTTCGAGCGGTGGATTCCGGGTAGCCTGACGAATGCGCAGCAGATCCTCGGCCACTGCGAGATGAAGGTTGTCAATGCGTTGGACGAGGTGCTTCCTCAGTTCAGCAACGGCAAGAACAGCACCGCCGGGGCTGGAGGGGCGGCGGAGGAGGAGGAGGGGGCGGAGCGCCCGGCCCTCAAACCAGATCTGGTTGTCTGTCTGAACCCGCTGGAGAACGTGGTCTTGCTGCACGAGTGCGCCCTCAACAACATCCCCACCGTGGGTATCATCGACACCGACGCCGACACCACAAAGGTCACCTATCCGATCCCTGCCAACGACGACTCCCTGCGCAGCGTGGGCGTCATCGCGGGAATTCTCGGCCAGGCCGGCTATGCGGGCCAGCTGCGGAGACTCCGTGAGGCCGAACACGGGAGGTTGACTTATTCTCCTACATTCTCTGCCAAGGAGACGTGAGCTGCTTTCAGTTCTTCTCTCTACAAATCTGTATTATATCATTCAAATTGTTGCATTAATGGTCAGTCCCAGTATATGATATATAGCATACTCCTAGTACATGATGTATATCTTGAGATACTATCTATCTAGAATCATCTCAATGCTCGGATCTAGCTATGCTTCACAGTATAAACGACACGCCCCCTATCATCTTCTCCCTTGTAAACAATCTCTGCATCACGATCAGAGACAACCCGTCTCTCGTCTCCGTGATGAAGAATGATATCCAGGTCCTTCCACGCCGGCACGAACCCGGCCGATTCGTCCCTCTCGAACCCGACGACGATCCTGTCCTCCGTCGAAGAGTAGGAGAGGGTATACCGTGCGATCTTTGGTTGGAGCGAGATGCCATCATCCTCCATCCACGTCGACTTGAACACGGTTCCATGCGACGTGCCCCGCGGCGGGAAGATCTCCACGCCACGATAGTCATCTTCCTCGGTCACAGCCTTTGAGGCACGAGTTTCGTCACCGGGCACGCGCGTGTGCACGGGTTTGCCCACGGGGATGGCCGCTCCGATCTTCGCCAGGAGGGGGATGCTTTCCTTCCAGTTGGAGGTGATCTGGACCCATTGCCCGGAGGCGAGGTATTCGTATGGAGCGTTCATGTTGACGAAACCGTAATCGAAGCCTCCGGAAGAAGAAGAGGAAGACCGAGGCAGATAGACTTCCGCGACGGTTTGGCCTGGCTGGTAAACGCCCGCGACGAGCATCGCGTCGCCAAACCAGTATTGCTCGTCACCCTGCTTGAGACGCGGAGACCAAACCTCCGGGTCGGACTCGTGGTTCCAGCCCACCCAACGCTGCGGCGGGGAGGCCGACAAGTGGCTTTCCAGGCCGAGCGAGTAGATGTACGGGAGGATCTCGTAGCGGCGCTTGATGGTTGCGCGCACCAAGGGTGTGATCTCCGGGTACATCCAGGGCTCGATCACCTCTCCGACGGCGTTGTTGGTGGGGGAGGTCTTGAAGCAGTTGATAGCGAAGCGGGGGGAGTAGATGCCCAGTTGGACCCAGCGGAGGAGAAGTTCAGGCGAGGGTTGGGGACCTGGTTGTATTAGCAAATTAGCAACCGTTGCAGACCAAACTTTTGTCTCTACGGATATGGACGTACCCTCGAATCCTCCAATATCATGCCCGGTACACTGGATGAGAGAGAGTCCCGAGTTCAAAGAGAGAGCGTTCGACCCCCGCATGCTCTCCCAGCTGGTCATGTTGTCGCCACTCCAGGTACTGGCTGAGTACCGCATCGTGCCTGCAGTGGCGCTGCGCGTCAGCACAAAGGGTCGCTCCGTCGGTTCCATGGCCAGCAGGGCATCATGAGACGACTTGCACATGAGCTCTGTGTGCACGGCGCGACCCCAGAGGCCGACAGCCTTGGAGGATATTTGGGTCTTTGGTGCGACCATCTCGTCGTCGGCACGGATCTCCCACTCGTCGTTGGGCAAGGTATACTCGTTGTTGTCGTTCCACATGCCGTCAATGCCCTCACGTTTGAGCTGCTGGACCCCGGCATACCACCACTTGAAGGTAAACGAAGAGGTAAAGTCAAGATGGCAGCCGTCGCCTCCCTCGCCGCCGCCAGCACTCCACAGACGCATAGTGCCCTCTTTGCCCGTCTCGGGGTTGGTGAACAAACCACCGGCATCAACAAGTTTCTGGTAGTCCGGATGCGAGGCCAGCACAAACGGTTTGATGTTGGTGATCAGCCGGATGCCTCGTGCGTGGTACTTGGCGATAAAGGCCTCCGGGTCCGGGAACCGGTGACGGTTCCAAGTGAAGACATTGCGCACTTTAGGTTCCGTCGCGGCGATTGAGTAGCCGGAGCTCATCTGGTGCGCTGAGCAGGGGATATCGTGCTCCACCAGCTTGTCGGCAAAGTCCATCATCCCCTGGTGGGCCGGAGGGTCATCCGTCACGGTGTACTTGTACCCGCCCGAGATGTATCCGTACGCCCAACGCGGCACCAGCAGGGGGAAGCCCATCAGCTCAGCGTAGGACCGCACGACCTCCCGCAGCGTTCGACCAACGATCAGGTACTGCTCGAGGCCGCCGTGGTCCTGGCGATAGGCCTTGAAGTGACCCCAGAGACCATCGATCTCGGAGCCCACGGCCCAGGAACCACGGGCGTGCGTGGTCGAGAAGATGGCCACACACCCGGCGGGCGTCGCCTTGATCAGCAGCGGGACATGCTTGTACAGGGGATCGGTCTTGTAGACGTCGTAGCCGAACGAATCCGTGGCTGACAGCTGGAAATGCCGGCCCGTCAGGTCCATGGGGGCTCGCTTCTCGCCCAGGCCGACGTGTAGCGCCTTCCGGTCGTGCACGCTGTAGTAGGCAATCCCCTCACCATCGGCGACGTACGAGCGAAGAGGCAGGTCCTTATGGAGGGGCGCCGTCTCTTCCCCAGTCCACGACAACGAGACGACCGGAGTCTGTTTCCACTCAACGACCGCTGTCACGTCGTCGACACAGATCGTCTTTTGTGAGGGAGTGTCGTTCTTGGTAGCAACGGAGGCATCTTGCAGGTCTGTCTGCGGCTGGCGGACACTGGGGTAGGGAGGCAGCGGGTGGTTAGGAGAGGAAAAGGTGACACGAAACAGACGTGGCCGAATAGCTTCGAACGTGAAGTCGAAGGGCTGTTTGGTGGTGCTCGAGCGAAGGTGCACCTGAGGGGAATTCGAGAGATCGTCCACAGGCTGGTAGCCCCGGGGGCAGGTTTCTTTCTGAGGCATGCTGAGAACTCCGATTGAACTGAGAAAACAATTCGCACAGTGAAAGCTACTTGGAGCTACGGATCTATTATTATTTAAGTATTAATTGCTGGTATTCCCTCTCACCACCAGTACTGCTTCCTGTCCTCCTCACCGTGAGGGGATAATTACCCCACGTGAAGCACCATACTCGGGGTTCGGGCTTCATCTCCGTTGATCATCTACGATAATTCCTGGCTTGTTTGACAGACGTCTGCGGCGCCGGCGCGGACCCAATTCTTACTGGAAGGGCGATTTTCCTCCCCATAAAGTGGACACTCGCTCTGGACCCCCGAAATCCGAGAGCCGCCAGAGGGAGACACCAAGAAGTACCAAGAGGTACCAAGAGGTACCAAGAAGGACCTAGAGCCAGAGAGCTCCCTATTCCGGTATGGGGGCTTTCGCGTATTGAGGTCACATGGACTGATGGCTTCAGTTACCGACATTCAGTGACTAACAGTATCCCTGGCCTCGACTGTCCTGTTCTCCGACTGGTATATCCGATAATAATGGCCGGATCTCGGAAGATTCCCCATTTCCCCATCTCCCCATGGGGATGGCACAGTCTAGCCTAAGGGCGTTTATAAGGGACTGCTGTCTCCTGTTGGGAGGCCTTCTCTTGGGTTAGCTCTCACTCTTGATCGATTCCTTACAAGTCCTTGAGCTTACAAGTTACTGAGAACTAGTACTAGCTATTTCTTTCGATGTCTGGAGTTACCCCCAAAGCCCAGGACGACCATGTCGCATCGATCGAACAAGTCGAAAGAGGAGGGGGGGTTCAGGGAGTCCAGGGGGCTCAACACCCTCCGGAAGACGAAGCGCTCGAGCTGATCAACGACCTTGGACACTCGACCCTCCTCACGCCGGAGAACAATGCCCGTGTGCTTCGCCAGATCGACCTTCGGCTCCTCCCAGTCATGCTGGGTATCTACTTCTTGCAGCAGATGGACAAGTCGACGCTGTCGTACGCCTCGGTCTTTGGGTTGATCGAAAAGACACACCTGCACGGACTGGAGTACTCATGGTTGGGGTCGGTGGTCTACGCCGCCCAGCTGGTCTCCCAGCCGCTCGTGGCATACCTCCTGGTCAAAGTGCCCCTGGGCAAATTTCTGGCCGTCTCTTGTCTCGCCTGGGGGATTGTCCTCTCGTGCATGCCGGCTGCGAATAATTTCCCCGGCCTACTCATGTGTCGCATGTTTCTCGGTGTTTGCGAGGCGGGAATTGGTATGATCATACTAGATACTACTGCCTTGCCTTACCTGCCTACTAATTGATGAGTCTTATAGCCCCTGCATTCATTGCCGTGACGCAGATGTGGTATCGACGACGTGAACAGCCGATTAGACTCGGATCATGGTATGCGATGAATGGAGTGGTTAACATGGTGAGACTTCAACTCTGGTTTCTTCTTTTTTCTGCTGCTCTACTTCTCTTACTAACTGGGGTAGGTTGGCAGTCTTATCACGTACGGTCTGGGGCATATCAATTCCTCGGTCTTCGCTCCTTATCAGGTAACTGCCTACCCTCAAAGTATAGGATACTATATGATCATGTACTGATCGAAAGATTATTTTTCTGTTCTTTGGATTGATCACTGTGGGCTTCTCGGCCTTCATCCTGTAGGTGCTTTGCCTCAGTTAGTATTGACTTACACTAATGAGCAGTTTCTTCATGCCCGATTCCCCGCTGAAATGCAAGTTCCTTAATGAAGAAGACAAGCTCATTGCTATCGAGAGGTTGGTGGATTCCTACAAAAGATGAAAGGCAGGACTAAGGGCAGACTCCGCATGAACCAACAAGGCATCGAAAGCCACCACTGGAAATGGGACCACGTTAAGGAGGCCGCACTAGACCTCAAGTCGTGGCTCTGGTTTTCCCTCATGTTCTCGATTTCGTATGTTGGACAAATCCTTGAGGATGGCATCCCCCTTTTACTAAGTGGAACAATAGCATCCCCAGCGGCGGTATCTCCACGTTTGGTGCCTTGATCATCAAGAACTTCGGCTACGACTCCTTCACCACTATATTATTCAACATCCCCTTTGGTGCCGTGCAGCTAGTTGCGACCATGGGCGGTGCCTGGCTGGCGACGAAGCTCAAAGTCAAGGGCCCCATTCTCATTTTCCTCTGTCTGTTCCCCATCGCAGGCTGTGTGATGTTGCTGCAGATTCCGCACACGGCGGCTAACCGGGGAGCGCTCTTGGCCGGTTATTATCTTGTAAGTCATCCAAAGAAGGAGAAAATTAGAGAGATAGGAAAAATATCTAACGGGTTTAGATCTCTGTATATCCTGGAATCAGTAAGGAAGCCCCTTCCCTAATCCGATCTTTACTGACTGTTTAGCCCCCCTGGTCTACTCGTGGTCCGCAGCCAATACCGCGGGCGAAACGAAGAAGAAGGTGACGACAGGTATATTCATCATAGGACAGTCTGCGGGAAATGTAAGTGAACCGGGCCCCCTACTCGCCAGACTTGTCTAATAAATCAGATCATCGGCCCAAACCTGTACACTACGGCCGAAGCACCACTGTACAGACGTGGACTGATTTCAAAGTAAGTCTTCTGCTCTACAAAATAGTGTGTTCACATATTGACCAGATAGCCTCGCCCTATTCTGCGTTCTCATCGTTCTCTGCAGGTAAATATCTCCCTGATAACCATAGACACAGACAGAGCTTTAACCGATCTTCTAGTATGAACATGGCGTACCTCTTTTTCCTCAACAAGAAACACGAAAGACAGCGCGTGGCCCTCGGCAAATCAAGCACTGTCATAGATGCCTCTATGGACGCTGTCACACACCAGGATAAGCAGAATAGTACCCTGCAGGCTGTGGCGGAGGATAATGTGTTCAGAGACCTGACAGATCTGGCGAACGAGGATTTTGTCTACGTATACTAGCCGCGTAACGATCTAAGCCAGTTTGAAGTATAGTCCAATACAAAGATCTATTATGAACAAAATGAATTTCAAAAACCATGACATAAAATAAACCGGAATTTGTAACTAAACCGTAGGAAAGCCATCAATAGCCGACATCGGTACCCCGCTTCCCCGGATCACCTGTCAACAGGCTCGACGGTCAAAAAGACTAGGGGTCTATCTAATGCAAAGGGAAATCTAGCCTAGCTAGCTTTTCAATTGACTACATCCATCTAGAGAAATGGAAGAAGAGTTCGTCTGCTTGCCAGCACCGACTGGAAAGAAGCGGATCCCAGTACGTCGTTTGTACCGTCGACTAGTACTGTCCATTATTGATGCTGACACCTGCCTAGAAAGCCTGCAGTGCCTGTCGACAATCAAAGGTAGATAGATAGATTATACCGATTACGAGGATCATGCAGTTTGCTAATCAATAGGTAAAATGTGATGGGGAAAAACCGTGCTCAAGGTACGACAAGATACCAATTGTCCTGTGTCTCTCGTACTGACCGCCTGTTTTCAGATGCCACAAAATGAAGAAACATTGTGTTTTCTTCGTCATCCCTAAGGATCCAGCAATAGAGTATGTCAGGCAGCCCTAGATTTCGTGGTCTTTGCTGTTGAGCCAATCGTTTATTTCCCTTCGTCTGTTTAGACGCCTTGAAAATGTCGAGAGCGAGGTCCACAGGCTGAGAGAACAGGTGGACGAGATCAGCTCTCTGCTCCGGCAGTCGGTTTCGACTTCCCAGGTCCTTCAGGAACTTTCTCAGTCGTCTCATGGGAGACCCGAGAGTCAGCAGGTGTTAGATTCAATGGCAATCACGGGATGTGAAGCAGCGAAGGCCAGTCCGGTCCACTCACACACTCATTCCCATCTGACTGGTGAAATCCCCGTGGCTTCCCTGCTGCAATCACCGTCTGGGAAGAAGAGGAAACGATCCGGATTCGAGGTCCAGAATGAACCGGTGGCGGATTTCATCAGCAAGGGTTTGATTACAATCGAGAACGCACGATCGTTTTTCAAGACGTACGTAGCCCTGGAAGCATTGATTAGTATTAACTACCTGCTAACCACTGCTGCTGCAGATTTTTCGAAGGATGCGTCAGTTAATGATGGACTTGATACAAATCGATCATAGGTTATTAATAAATGACAGGATAGATCCATTCCCATATTCGACCCGGTCTACGATACCTTTGAATCTGTCCGGGCGAGGAGCAGCATTCTCTTGAATGCCATCTGCACCATTGGCTGTCGAGTAGAAGCCAGTCAGTTTTGCTCTATTTTCTCCAAGAACACAGTGTGCCAATTCTGCCAATTCTAATGCTGTAAGTATTAGGGACTAGCTCAATGTCTGACCTTCTTCACGCCGAGCTTAAGAAATGGATCAACGTGATCATCCAGAATGAGCGATTGAGCTGCCTCGAATCGGTCCAAGCCCTGCTGGTCGTCGCCTGCTACTCAGCCGAACGGTCGTTGATCCTCTCCTTCGCTACGCGGATGGCACTCGACCTGAGACTTGAAGAGGCTTATGAAGAACTCACGCAACGACTTGCCCTCAGAGAGGAGGGGGGATTTTTCGATGTCGAGCAGCTTCTCATGCGGAAATCGAGGACGTGGTTTGGTCTCGTCGTGTTGGAACATATGTATTTTCCCTTCTTCCCCATCACAATCAAGTTCTAATGGGCTTTATGCAGATTACGCGTGGATGGAGGCAAGCCTCCCGGTATCCGATTACTGGGACATGCGCGACGGTGTCGTCTCTTGCTCGGACACCCGTCCTCGACTGTTTTGGACTTGCGCTTGCTATCTCAGGTGGAGGTGTGAACGATTTGATTGACATTCTCAGAAAATACATTCATTTTCTCAAACCAGCTAACCATATCTGGGTTTATAGTTGAATGTCTTACGAGGTAACTAATAGAAACCACAATCCTGTTCTGGATGGCAGCCATGCTGACCCCCCCAAGCCACGATAAACGATACGCTGGCCACTCCTACAGACCTCGACAAGGAAGATATTGTCGAGTTTGTCCACGGCACCAAGGCCGATCTAGATGTCTGGTTTGAGTGAGCATAAATTTACCTAGGAGGCACTTTTCTTTGGGGGGCATAACGCTGATCAATGACTGCAATCATCACCAGTGACTGGTTACGCATTATCGGTAAGACAACTTAGGTCATGTGTGTGTTATCACTATTTTAATGCCTTTCAGCGAACTCTTCTATAGACGAGCAACCGTACCTTGATGTCGCGGTGCGGGTGCAAAAATGCTGGGCCGAGATGATGATGTACTGCAAAGCTCTTCGGGCCATGGGGGTGGAGAATGTTGCGTAAGTACTTTGGAAGATACACGAAGAGAAAGAGAGAGAGAGAGAGAGTGTGTGTGTGTGTGTCGTGCTGATCTATATCTATAAAAATTCTAGGACAATGTCTGCAATTGAGCGGAATATCCTCTTCCTCGCCAAAGTCTCGGCGCGAAACCATCTACGCCTGATCACCGAGACTCCGCACCTATATCTCGCTCAGCTCAAGTATGCGATGGACTTTGTCTGGGCGAAATGCGCGTTTTGCTTCTTACTCCTTTTGAAGCTGTCCCGTCTGTTACCGGAGGGGGAGGACGAGAACGACCAGCTTCTCGCGGAGGGGAACAGGCTCGTAGATGAACTGACCAGGGTGGGCAATACCCCCAGCACCAGTACCAGTAACGGTACTACAAGCGCTGGTGGTGAGAACATGTATCTCCAGATCTTGCGGGTGAGTATAGAAAAGTACGGCCGCGCCCTGCGCGACGCACCCCCGGATCCTACCGGCCCAACGACCGCGCCCTTCTGGGACCTGTTCGATGCGCAGGCAGATCTGCAGTCTTTCGTTCCGGAGCAGTTTGTCTCCGAGTGGGATTTCCCGGGGCTGAATCTCTTCTACTTCCCGACGGGGTGGCAGGATTTCTTTGGCGAATTTTCCTTACGATTTGACTAGAAAGCTCTTTGGCAGGTGAAGTCGTATTATATGACCCGGGATGCAAATGACATATATGTATTTATAAACTCTCCATTCATCTATGTTAATCAAGCCAACGCTCTCATTGCTAGTTCGACCCTAGTCAATAACATTAGCATCATCATTAAACAAGCCCAGTAAGAAAAAAAAAGGAAGAAAACGTACACGGCAAATGTGCCCGCAGAAACAGGCATGGCTCGCAGCATGGTCGGCCCAATGCCCTTCCAGAATCCACCGAGACCCTCCATAGCATAGGTCTTGCGGAAACAGTCCCGCATGTTTCTGAATTGCTGCTGGGCGCCAAATCCGTCGGTCTGCATCTTACTCTTGACTACGTCAAGGGGATAACTGGCCAGCCAGAGAGCTTCGCCCGCCAGCCCGCCGTAGGTGGCGACCTTGATGCTGGAGATCTCCTCGCGCTTGACATTGTTGCGCTTCGCGTCCAGGTTCATCAGGTACTCGAAGGTCAGGAACCACATCCCGTACGCTTGCGCTTCGCGCAGCACGGTCACCACCTGTCCACGGTACAGGCCATGCGACACGCCGCCCTGCGCCGACAGCTTGCGGATACAGTCCAGCGGGCCGCTGTACAGCCGGTCTGCGCCGTGCGGCTGCGTCTGCAACCGGATACGGACGTGTTCGATCGGGCCGGATAGCACCGAGTTCACCACGCCCGCAACGCTACCAGCCAGGAAATACTGCCCGTACGAGAGCGTCGGGTCGGCGTATTTCTTCTGGTTGAGCTCTTCGAGGCGTCGCCGCGCCTCGTGGAACGCTCCAAACTGCACGCTAACCTATTCCTTGATTAGAAAAGCCCATCGGTCTTGTCTTGTCTCTCTCTTTACGAGACTCGGTCTGGACCTACACAAGCTCCAATCCCGATCAATGGCGTCAGCGTCCCCTTGTAAAAGGCCATGGGTCCCTCATTCTTGAGGATCTTGCCCGCGCAGTCCAGCGCGCTCGAGTACTGGGAGCTCGTTTGTAACCGGACCTTGACGATATCTACCGCACAATCAGATCTGCCGCACCCATTGCCTTGCACCATTACATACCAAACGGTTGACCTGTAGATAATTAGTACGAAGTTTCACCATACACAAAACGCAGACTGCCTCACCCAGAAGAACCTGTGCAATGCCGCCCGCAGCACCTGCGGCCAAGTCCTTGACCGTCCGGAGGCTACCGCTCTCCTCGATAAGCTCCACTTCCATGATGACTGATATCCTTCGGGGAGGGGGAAGAGGGGAGATGGGCGCCGGGCAGTGGTCACTGAGCAAGAGCAGGACAGGGAAACAGCTCGAGCTCTCAAAGCAAGCTCAAGAAGCGGTCGGTCCAGGACGCCCCTTCGCAGATCCTTTTATCGATGGCGCAAGAGCGCAGCGCTGATAAAAGGTTCCCCTCCCGGATTTGCGTCCTCCGATTCGGCCGCTGCGCCGATACACGTGACTGCTTCTCCGCGGCGGGCGGAAAAAGACCGCGGATACGGTATTATTGGTATTATCGCCGTGCTACTATGTAGTGTACCGCGAGGCCGCTGTTTATTACGTACTGCCGGTACTCTCCGCCGCAGGGCGCGGCCAAGCCAGCGGCTTTACCCAAACAGGGTTTTTGTCGTCTCCAGAAATAGCAACGACGACCGCAGAGGGACCGACGCAGAGAGAAAGAGAGGGCTCATCTCCAGGATGCAAAGACGTGCAGTCTCGGAGGTAAGCGCAGTTGCAGCGAAGGAAGTTGAGTGGTATTCTTTTGTGCTGACTGATTTTGTGTGTTGGTACAGCTCTCCCGCCGTCAGGGCGCCTATCTCTCTTGCACGGCGAGATCCAGTCCAGTCCCGCTGGCTCTTCTGTCCTACACATCTCGACGCGGTTTTCGGTCGTCGCCATGTACATGCGATTTGTCTGACTCGGGGGGGGGGAAGAAATTTGGGGGTGCCCGATGGGGGAGCAAGGCCAGCAAACCTGCGACGTTGAGCGCGGCGGAGCTGGCTCTCCGGGACTCGCTGGTGACAGCAAACAAGGCACAGCAGCAGGCGGCCACACCGTCGGAAAGCAGTGGTAGTCGGTGGGGGAATGGAAGGTCCAAAGCGCCGGCCTTGAGTGCTGCAGAGTTGACAAGTCGGGAAGCTCTTCTTTCCTCCTTGCGGCCCAGAGCAGACCACTCAAAGGGAACCAATCAGTGGCGACAGTCACCAAAGACATCCTCATCGTCGTCGCCGTCATCATGGTCACCCGAATATAACAGAAAAAATCACGATGCACATCCCCATTCGCCGTCGTTGAGACTCCACTCGATCCCTCTTGCCAAAGGCCAGTCGCATCCGAAGCACCCGGTAAGGATACCGGCAAGGCTGCGAGCTTTGGACTGGACATGTCCAGATTGTCGGACCTCCTGCTTTGGCAAACACAGCCATTGTCCCTCCTGCAATCTTCTGAGGCCTGAGTTAGAACCTTCACAACTTCGCAAGAAAGTCACAGAGCCTTCCGAGCAGTCGCTCAGAATTCGTCGGGTAAAGAGCGAGAAAACACCACGGCAGGACAACTACAACAATCGAGATAAGGAATATGGGCTACGACAAGATAGATTTGATGGAAGAGGAAAAGGCCGTGAGCCAGCGAACGAACGGGTGGATAATGCTGCCGCTGCCGCCGCCGCCTCCGCCGCCGATACCGCACGTGGCAAAAGTGCCACAGAGACTTGGTCATGGGATATTTCGTCCCTGGACAAGTTGAATCTTGATGAAGACAAATCTCGGTTGGAATGGGAGGCGGAACGCAAAAAGGATCGCAAGCCCCGTGGGCGGGAAAATGACGATGAGGAATACGACCCTGAAGAGCGCAGGCAGCGCAAGCAAAAGCGGAAAGATAAAGGCCATCGTCAACCGGCAGAGTCAACACCAAATCCTCTCTACCTCCCGGAGTTCATTAGCGTGAGCAATCTCGCAGACGTTATCGGCGTGAGGCCCGCTCAGTTCATAGAACGGATGGAAGAAATGGGATTCGAGGGCGTGACCTACAGCCATATCCTGGATGCAGAAACAGCCGGTCTAGTTGCAACAGAGTACAACTTTGATCCTATCTTCGACACAGCAGCAGATGATGATCTCGTGGCGGCACCGGAGCCCGAGAACAAAGCCGAGCTACCAAGCAGACCCCCTGTCGTGACTATCATGGGACACGTCGATCACGGCAAAACCACTATTCTGGATTGGCTTCGCAAATCGTCTATCGCCGCTTCCGAGCATGGAGGCATTACGCAGCATATCGGAGCCTTTACTGTGCCCATGCCGTCTGGCAAGACCATTACCTTCTTGGATACCCCTGGCCATGCAGCCTTCCTCGAGATGCGCCGTCGTGGAGCCGATGTGACAGATATTGTAGTGCTTGTGGTCGCGGCCGATGACAGTGTCAAACCCCAGACCATTGAAGCTATCAAGCATGCTACGGGGGCCAAAGTCCCCGTGATTGTTGCCATCAGCAAGATCGACAAGGAAAATGTCAAGCCAGAGCGGGTCAAGCAAGACCTGGCGGTCCATGGGATTCACGTCGAAGATTATGGTGGTGATGTACAGGCTATCCCGGTTAGCGGAAAGACTGGACAGGGCATGTTGGAGCTCGAAGAGGCAATCGTGGCTTTGTCGGAAATGCTGGACCACCGCGCCGACACTGAGGGTAACGCGGAGGGATGGGTAATCGAGGCAAGTACTAAATCATATGGCCGTACTGCCACCGTGCTCGTCCGACGGGGCACGATGCGGGTGGGAGATATCATTGTCGCCGGGACCACCTGGGCACGAATCCGAACTCTGCGGAACGAAGCTGGCGTGTCCATCGAAGAGGCCACACCAGGTATGCCAGTTGAGATCGATGGCTGGAAAGACCAGCCAGAAGCGGGCACCGAGATCATCGAAGCCCCCACCGAACAGAGGGCCAAGGATGTCGTTGACTACCGGCTGGAAAAGTCGGAGACGCAAAAATTAGGCGAAGACATGCTAGCAATCAATGATGCACGTCGGGAGCTGATGGAGAAACGCCGGCAGGAGGAAGAGAAAGACGACGAGACACCCAAGGCTGCCGAAGAGCAGGCTTCTGGCCCCAAACCGATCCATTTCATCATCAAGGCCGACGTGGGCGGCTCCGCCGAGGCGGTGCTGAACTCGGTGACCGCGGTAGGCAACAATGAAGTGTTTGCCAACATCCTTCGGACTGGCGTCGGGCCTGTCAGCGAGTTCGACATTGAGCATGCCGCATCGGCCAACGGTCATGTCATCAACTTTAACATGCCCGTTGATACAGCGATGCGGCGCATGGCGGAGACGCGCGGCCTGCGGATTTTGGACCATAACATCATCTACAAGTTGGTCGACGACGTCAAGGAGACGCTCAGCGAACACCTGGCGCCGAACGTGACGCAACGTGTGACTGGCGAGGCAGAAGTTGGTCAGATTTTCGAGATCACCCTCAAGCGGAGGGAGAAGACGCTCATCGCAGGATGCAAGGTCCGCAACGGAACCATCCAGAAGGCGAAGAAAGTGCGGGTCATCAGAGGCGAGAAAACGATCTATGATGGTGTGTTTTTTTTTTTTCTCATCTATTCCACTATTCTTTTTCTCTTCGATTCCCCATCTACAATACTAACCGATTTGGCAGGCTCGATTACTTCCCTCAAGAACGTCAAAAAGGACGTCACGGAAATGCGCAAAGACACCGAGTGCGGCATTTCCTTTGAAGGCTTCACTGATTTTGCCGTGGGCGATCACATCCAGTGCTACGAGGAGATTTTTGAAAAGCGAACCCTCTAGTCTGCCTCTTTTGTACTTTTTACACTCTTCTCACCTCTAGGTTGGTACCTAGTTAGTTACCTTGTGTGTTGTTGATAAGGCTGGCCTTGTCACTGTACAATATGTATTATATATACCGTCAATGATAATATAGACCATGGCAAGCCAGCCCCTTTTTTTTTTCTTTTGGTAGCGAATAAATAAATCATTTCGCCTTCCATCGTACTCTCCCCACCCACTTCGCCCACTGCTGCACCTCGTCACGCTCAAGTATTCTCTCGACGGTATAGTACTCCCTGGCTAAGACCTCGTTGGATGCCATCCGGTGGACGAAGCTGTGGCAAGCCCGACACAACCAGGCCACACTGCCGAGCATGTGCGGTTCATGCCACCCCTTCTTGAGGACCTTGGCATGCACCTGTTTGGGGATCAGATGGTGGTACGTCAGGGGGATCCAGTCGCGGTCGCAGATCTCGCAGGCAGTCGTGTGGGCGCGGGTGCTGGCCCAGACGGGGGGCGCGGCGGCCACGGCTGCAGCGTACTCGTTTAACACTGGGGCGAGGAAGCGGGACGGATCGTCCGTCAGTCCGTAGACGAGGAGGGAGTCGATGGCTTCGAGGGGGATATTCGCCGTGAGGGTGTCGAGGAGTGGTTGTGGGAGGGGAGGGGGTTGATGGTACGGCGTCGGCGCAGAGGGGTCGTAGGTAAGCGATTGCAACGGTGGGGGGAGGGAGGAGAAGACTTCCGCGGCGATAAACTGGTTTCAAATGAGTTCTTTTTCATAATCTTCATAATCTTCATCATCATCATATCCTTCTTCTTCGTCATTCAGATGTGGTCTAGTACATCGATGAATTCTGCCAGGTCCTCCGGGTCAGTCCTGAGACTGGAGTCGGCTTGGGACCGTTTGGCTCCTCTGCGTTTGTTTGCTTTTGAGGGTTTCTCCTCTGAGTGAGAGACAATGGCACTGGAGAGACATTCTCGAAAGACTTGGTAGTTGGGTTCGTCGGTCATAGGGAGTGGTGGGAAACGCCGGGGGGGGTATAACTATGAGGCAGCCACTACGTAGGGACGGACGTTTTGAAGCTATCCAAGCTTTCCCCGCCTTGGCTGATATCATTCAGCGTCCAATATTGCCTCAATATCGACAGAAAAACTCGTTGACTTACTGATTTATTGGTTCATTTTCAGCATTAAAAGGTAACATAATGGCATTGAAGGTTGTCGCGTTTGACCTGTACGGTACACTCCTGTCCACCGAGTCTGTCGCCGCACAGCTCGAGCAGCACTTTGGCCGGGACCAGGCACAATCCATTTCTGCGCTATGGAGACGCTACCAGCTTGAATACACGTGGAGATTGAATAGCATGGGTTAAATTAGCGATAGGTATTTTTTTCAGGAAAAGATCCAAAACGCTGATCGTCGCTAGGGGTCTACGAGTCCTTCTCCGATGTCACCAGGAACTCCCTCCGCCATGCCCTGGCAGAAAACGGCCAACAGCTTGAACGACGCGAGATCGACCGGCTGATGGACGCGTACGACTCGCTCTCAACGTTTCCGGACGTGCGGCCGGCGTTGACGCGCCTGGCATCTGTCCCAGGCGTCAAGGCGGTGGTCTTCTCGAACGGCACGGACGAGATGGTGTCCAACTCGGTCCGACACTCGAACGATCTGGCACCCCATGCAGACCTGTTCGCCGCGCTCGTCACCGTGGACGAGGTGCAACGGTACAAGCCGGCGCGGGCAACATATACGCACCTTGCGCAGACGGTCGGAAAGACTACAGACCAGATGGACGATCTGTGGCTGGTCAGCGGCAACCCGTTCGATATTGTGGGTGCTCGATCCGCCGGGATGAACGCCATCTGGGTCGATCGAGCTGGTCGAGGATGGCTGGACAATGCTGTGCCTGGGCTGCAGCCGACAGCGGTGGTCCGCGACCTTCAGCATGCCATCGATGCGATACAGAGATAAATTGCAAGAAGAAATGAAATAGACTCATTCCTGTCTACGGACTTGCTGGATGTCCCGCTGTAAATATTTCCAAACACTCCATACAAAAAGGGAGGATTCGGGGTAAGTTGGCAGCGTAGCTTGTTCTCCCCTCCCATTTCCCCTCCAGAAAATCCATGGGAACATAGTGGATGCCAGAGTGAATAGGAAGGGCTGTTCAGTTTATTATGTATGGAGAAGAAAAGAAGAAGAAAAAACTCTGGCCGCAGAGAGAGATTTTCCTTTTATACCCACCGCACTAACTAAACTTATCGATAAGGTGGATCTCGGCAGTGAACAGCTCACCAAGGCTCGAGGTAAGTAAGCTCAGTGCCTACATCATCATCGTCATCATCTGAGGATAGAGTGCTTTCCATCGTTTTTTGTTTACTTTCCATCTCTTTTTATTATTATGCCGCGATGACCCCCCAGTTGCAACCGCCTCGCAGTCCTCCCAGGCTCTGGGATCCGACCCGAGCTGCGTGGCTGTACCCGCTGCGTGTAGGTCTTGCCAGGGATTGTTTGGGAACAAAAACAACTGCTTCAGAAAGACTAAACTAAACTCACTCGTCTCAGGGCATCGTGTATTTTGCCTCGCACCGGTTCCTGTGGCCTCTGTTTCGTGCTCGCCTGCTCCCTATAATTCTCCTGTCCCTATTTATATACACGCTTCTGTTCCTCTTTGCCTATCTGCCGCAGGTGGCCTTCCTGGCCATCTTCCAGGGAGCAACCGCCTGGGTCAGCGGTGCGGTGTTGGTGCTCGGCGAAGGGGCGGCCATCGTAGCCGCCCTCTTCGAAGCGTTCTTCGTCGACGAGACTCTGGTTGATGTCTTTGACGCGGTGTTGGTCAACGAGGGCCATGAGGCCCTCGTCACCACCTCGAGAGTCCTGTATCCCCTGGGCGAAGACCCTGTCCGGCGGCTAGGGAAGCCGACTATCAGCGCCATCTACGCACCTTTTTCCCTACGTCAGATTTTCGAGTTCGTCGTGCTGCTACCGCTGAACCTGATCCCCGTGGCGGGCGTCCCCATGTTCCTCATTCTCACCGGATATCGCGCGGGGCCATTCCACCACTGGCGATACTTCCAGTTGCTTGATCTGACCAAGAAGCAGAGAAAGGAGAGGATCCGCCACCGGCAGCTTCAATACACCACGTAAGCGTTTCTTTTCTTTTCTTTTTCTTTTTTTCCTCGGGTTCGCCAATGCCATTGCTCGCTTCTACTTTCCTAACTCTGTTTCAAGTTTTGGTACAGTTGCCTTAGTCCTGCAATTAATCCCCGGGTTGTCGATGTTTTTCCTCCTTTCGACTGCTGCCGGCTCAGCTCTCTGGGCGGCGGAGATCGAGCACAGACGGGCAATTCTAGAACAGAGCAACAGACTCGCTTACGACTACCACGACGATCCACGATGAACCTGGGTCGAAGCCATAGAAGGACGCGCGATTTAATTGGAACCGGCGGGGATCGCATCAACGCTGGTCTGTGACCACCCGCCCACCTATACAAAGTGTTCCGTAAAACGATGATCGCCATGCTACTAGCACCGTAGCGGATAGCCTGTTGCAACCCCCATGACTCGCGACTCACAACAATTCCCATTATTAATCTCCCTTGTCTATACGAAGGTTTGATTCAAGGACTCAAAAACAAGACACCTTGTTTCAGCTGCCTGTCCCTTCAGCCTCGGCTTTGCTCCTCCAGAGTTAAGTTAAGATTTGGACCACCCCAGGAGCAGTCCCTCACAGCACGCAACAAGTTGCAATAATTGTCGCTGTTTCCCCAAATGCTACGTAACCCTATAACTACATGGTATATTCTCATAGAGTAATAATATTTTTCTGCTGAGGAGTTCCTTCGGTTGTAAAGTCCGAAAACGGCGGCCATCCTGAGGCCTCGGGCTGACTTAATTTACCTCTCTTTCTCTTCCCCTCCTTCGCGTTGCCTGACGCTGCTTTCAGGGGTGATCATCCCCGCAGTGGCTATAACACCAGCCATTACTCATTATTCTTTCAGGTTTTATTCCAGAGCTACGGAGTACAGGGTACAAAGAACTGCGTTGGACTCAGGTTCTCACGGACCCCGAAGTGCTGCACCGCTGAGTCATCCGGTCGTTCGTCATTTCTCGCGTCTCTCCCCAACCATCGGGCCCCTACCAGGGTGTTTCGGCCAGCGATTTGAAACAACGATTACGACTGTCGATCCATGTGTGGTGAGAATAGATCGACCTCGATCTGGTGGGGGGCATAAAAATTGCGCTGGAGAAAGAGCAAGGCTTCGATCTCACTCCTGGTCCTGGTGTCGTACTACCCACCTGCATCTCGCGATCGCCATGATCGCATAGAATGCCAGAGACAACGGTGGTCTTCCTTGCGAGACCAGGTTTAGAACCCCCCAGGCAGTGTGTGCGCTAGATACGACCGGTTGACTGAAATATGGAAAGATCCCCCCCGATTGTGCTCGTGTGTCAATGGAAAACAAAACAAGGCTCCGCAAGGCGTGCGATGCCTGCAGTATTCGCAAGGTGAAGGTATACTAATCGAGACAGACCTCTGTGCCATATTTTGATCCACTGCTGATAACCGCCAGTGTGACGAGAGCGGACCGCCCTGTCGGTCTTGCGCCAGCTTGGACATCCCTTGCACTTACGAGCGACCCAGTCGCCGCCGGGGCCCTCCGAATCGCCATGCCGAAGCGTTGAAGAAACAGAAAATCGCCTCGCCGGCGAGCGACTCGCAGAGTCCTCCGGACCAGACCATCCTGGTCCCCGCAATGGTGACGCCCTCATTCACCGCGGTTCCTCCCCCGGCGTCGGCGGAGGCGATCTGTTCCCTGTCGACCATGCAGTTGCTGCTCGACGACTACTTCACCTACATCCATCCGTTAGTCCCTATCCCCCATGAGCCGACCTTCCGAGCCGCCTTTGAACGGCGTGAGGACTTGACAAACCACACCTTTCTGGCTCTGCTGGCCGCGATGGTTGGCGTTCTGGTGGCGTCCTTCCCCCGGCGACCTAGGCTGCGGCTGACCACCGAAGCCGAGAAGGCCGCCTATCCGCATTCTGTGGCGCTGGTGAAACGGTGTCAGCAAGTGGCCCTCCGCGCGCGGGGCACCGACTACCTCGACCGCAACGCGACGGTGTATGACGCCTCGATCAGCTATCTGCTGGGCTTGTCCTTGGCCTACGTGTACGACATGCGCCGGCTTCGCATGTACATGGCGGAATGTCGTACCATGTTGCAGGTCTACGACCTCTGCCGCCAGCATACGTCGATGCCCTCGCTGGGCCCTACCAGCCCGCTGTCCTCCTCGTCCAGCTTGTCGCAAGGGCCGACCAGCGGCTCGCGCGACGGCCCCGTGAATCTGATCGAGCAGGAAATTGCGCGCCGCCTCTTCTACGTCTCTATTGTCGGCTACCACACTTTGCAGCAGTTGGGTTCCGCCGACAGCCGGCTGTATTTGCCGCCAGAGACCCCCTCCGAACGGTATCCCCCTTTACCTCTAGAGGTTGACGACGAATACATCTTTGCCACCCATATCGGAATGCAGCCTGCAGGGGTTGTCTCACGGATGGTCGGCTTCAACGCCAACGTGCGAGTCTTCACCTCATACAATACCCTGACGTCGTGGGAGGTGGCGTACGGCATCGGCCAGATCTTCGACTGGGAGCGGCAACGGAAAATGGTCTGGGAATGCCTGGAGAGGACCAAAAGGGCCCTGAACGATGTCCCGCCCGAACTTCAGCTCCAACCGAGCCATGACCCGTATCAAGTGGCCCAGGCGCAGGCGCCGAACGAGGACACGTGGACCCGAGAACGCCGGCATGTCCAATACGAGATCGAAAAGGCAAACATCTACGCGAGCCAGCTCTTCACGCGCTCCTTTCTTGTAGACAAGTACTGGAGTCTCTTTGACGCGTTCCGCCAGCAGCATATCACCGCCAACCAGCAATGTTCTGCCCCGCCAGCAACCACGTCAAAGCATGACACAGACGCCATGAATGTACCAACGGCCGAGCAGCACGCGAGAGAAGATCCCATCGGACAAATCATGGCCCAAGAGCGACGTCTTGTTGTCGGGGACCTGCTCCTCCTTCTACAATCAGTCAACGAGGTGAACATGGAGCCCAACGCCTCGAGTTTTGTAAGATTTCTACCTACAACTATTATCGTCATTGTAAAAAGGCGATCTTCTCAACTAACGCATGGTTAGACGTATAAAGTCCGGCAGATCGCAACCACACTGCTCAACTCGTCGCACCCCGATCTTCTTGAGACCGCGGCGCCCGAGAACCCAGCGGCCGGCCCGCAGATCATCGGCTTCCACGAAGCAGAGCAGTACCTGCACGCTTTTATCGACACGCTGATGCGCTTGGAACGGCTCACGGCACCGGTGCCCGCGCCCGAAACCTCTATTGCGAGTCCGCAGATTGACGGGCGGGCAATGAGCTACCGTAGCGACCAGGGTCGCGACGACGAGGAACTCCTCCAGTGGGCTAGTTTGAAGGAGTGTCAGATGAAATTTGCCGAGGCGGGCGGGGTCTTCACTCAGCTATAAGTAAGATGAAGAGTTGTATATAATGTAGAAAGTATTCAACAGAGTCCATACTATCTAGTATAACTATCTGTATAGTCTTGGATGCTCATAGGTAGGGGTTTCATCTATATTAAGATACTTGTAACGATTCTTGGGAGGTAGTGGACCATAGCATATCTTATTTACAATCCTACCCATGAAATAAAAGCCATACATACATCAAGATAAGAAAAGACAGAAATCTAGATCATCCTGCCAAAGAGATAGGCAGGCCCAACGGCAAGCCACAGCATCACAAGGCCGCTCACCATCCACAAGCCCGCTGGAGAGGCCGGGATAGGACCCGCCGCGGCAGCACCCTTGGAGGAAGAGCTTGATGAGCTGCTTCCAGACGAAGAAGAAGAGGAAGATCCGCTGTTAGAGCCGGCGTGCGAGGTGCTCGACGCGGTGGTGGAGGGGGCCTGGTAAGGGGCGTCGACCTCGCCGATGTCTCTGACGCCGGTGATGGTGACGGTGGCGGTTGGGGTGCCGAGGGTGGTCACGGGGTTACTCACGGCTGTGGCGCCGGGAATGGAGGATGACCCCTTGGCGATCTCCTTGATGTCGTTGGTGGAGGAGGAGGAGAAGTCGGTGTTGGCGAGGGAGATCTCGTTGTTGGCTAGGTCGTAGACGACGTAGGCGCTGCGCAGGAAGGTGTCGCCCAACAGGGCCTCGTTGGTGGTGTTGCCCATGGGGGCGATGCCAAAGTTGCAGGCCTCGACGCCGTCCTTGTAGGTGACGCCGCCGGCGTCGAGCACCAGCTGGGACAGACTGACGGTGATGGCGGGCGAGGTGAATGTGAAGGTCACGTTGACGTCGGCGTTGGCGTAGGAGCAGGGGACGTAGCCCAGCCCCTCACTGGTCACGTAGGTGACGTTGAGGGCGTCGAAGATCTGCTTGGTGATAGGGTCCGAGAGGTAGGTCAGCGAGGTGCCGGAGTCGAGGATGGCCCCCTGCGGGAAGTTGGACGAGCCGGAGATGGACGTGGTCTTGTCGCCCGAGTCGATCGACATGCCAGTCAGGGCGATCATGAAGTAGACGTAGTAGGTCTTCTCGTACGGGATGATGGGCAGCGTCTGGAGCTCGCCCGTATATTTGCCCGAGTTGACACCGCCGAAAAGAATCGAACCCGAACTGGCATCAAGGTCGTCAAGCCACAGGCTGTACGCCGGGGTGTTGATCAAGCCCGCATTCACAAGAGCCTCGGGGAGGTTTGGATAGGTGGTGTCGGTGTATTCGAGCTCAGCCTCATTGAGCGCATACCCTATACCGAAGACGCCCTCTGCACTATCGATCAGCATCTAGAAGCCTTCGAAAGGGAAATAAAAGCAGAGAGAGAGAGAGAGAGAGAGAGAGAAAACGTACGTGCCGAGTCAGAGTCATAGGCCACACCGAACTGAAAGTCCTTGACGGTGTCGGATCCCAAAGTCAGAGTATCATTGACGTAGTCACCCGCTGCGCCCGAGTCGTCCGCATACGAAATGTCAAAGTCGGAGTTGTCGAAGACGTATGTCGACGAGGTATTTGCGTCGTAGATACCATACGCCAGGCATTCGTTGCCATAATTGTCATTCGAATCACAGGACTCGCGCGTGTTCACCCAGAGGTCGCTGCTCCCCGTGTCGAGGATGACCTGGATCTTCTGCTTCGGCGTTCCGAGCGAGATGTTGGCGACGTACATATCCACCTAGGGAAACGTCAGCATCCTAATTATAAATGAGTAGGACCGATCCACAGGCCTGCCGATACATACATCGTTCGTCAGGGTGAGGCTTGCGGTCTTGTCTCTGCGTCGCAAAGAGACATCGTGGCGGGGTGCGCGACTGCGCTTGGTCACGTCAAAGCCGACGACAGACGGGTTGTCCTTCTTCTCAAGCAACAGTCCTTCGACCAGAGACACACTGGCTCCGATCGAAGCCAAAACAAGCGCCGACCGCATTTTTCTTTGTTTTTCCAGTTGTTACCCCTCCAGACGTTGGGAGGTAAAGTATGCAGGAAGTCGTACGGCGGGAACCGAGCAGCGACCGTAGCGACCAGTTTTAGGGGGGATAGCAACCAGCAAGGCTGTCAAAGAGATTAGGAGAGTGGGTTAGTGTGTGTGTGTGAGAGAGAGAAAGAGAGAGAGAATAAAAGAGAAATCAAAAAGGAAGATAAAATGAGTGGCAGACCAGGGAAGGTTAGGAAAAAAGTGATCATTTAAAACTAACCGCCTGGTTCTCAAAGAAGGCCTGCCCAGTTGTCGGTTTCACGATGACCTGGACTGCGCCTCGGGGTCGTCGGAACGAGCTTTCGCCCCAGTCAACTAGAGCAAAACTAACTATGAGCTAGTTAGTAGGCAGTTAGTAGGCAGTTAGTAGAGCAGGGTCGTACTCCATACTTGAAGACCCTGACCCATTCAAAGGGCTGAGGCTGAGCAGGCAAATGAATAGACCGATCAATAAGACTCAATAGGAGCTCAATGGGGGCGAATCCTGGAAACCCCACTCTTTACCTTCTGCAGGCTAACTAACTCATACCTATTAGTTAATTACCTATCCATGCTTCTGCTGGTCCGGAGTTCGGTAGGCCTGCCAAGTTTCCTAAACTGCCAATCGTATTAGATCATCAATACAACAGCGGTGCGTTCATTTCCAAGGTTCGCTGTGCCCGCGGGTCGTACCTCGGTTGGTTGCCTGCTGGGTAACGCTGTTTGCAGGTCTCACTCAGTAAGGCTGCTGCATTCTTTTCTTCTCTCTCTCTCTCTCTCTCTCTCTCTCTCGGTGTGTGTGTATGGAGTAAGAGATGAGGTAGGACAAGAAATGACCGTTACGCTGCAGCTACTCAGCCCTCTCACGTGGGCCCCCCGTGACTCTTTGAGTAACACGTGAGTCTGTCTGCTGATTCTAACCAATTCCAGACTGGCCCAGATGAAGTCATCCACAGCCCCTGCCAAAATAGGCCTAGCCGTCTAGGCACCTGCCATCTACAGATATCTACTAACCACATCAGGGCTGCTCGGTTTAGGCAGCGCAATAAAAGTCCCCTTGGCAGAAACACCAGCTGAGGCGCAAGGGGGGAATAAGCGGCTGATTATCATAAGCAGGTAGTAATTAGAGTAAAAGGAGAATCAACGGAGGTGGTACAGGAAACCATGTCTCCCTAGAGAAGTACTATACTACACCCCGCCCACCGTCACAGTCACGGTCTCATAAACCCTCGTGGTCACTGTCGCTGTCTCGGTAGTTGTCTCTGTCACGGTGATAAAGCCCTTTGGCGTGACAGGCACAACGGCTATGCCGGCGCCCGCGGCACTGGCAGTTTCAACAGGACCGGAGGTGCCCTGCTCGGTCGTTACAGGGACAGTGGTGCTTCCCTCGGTCTCAGCAGTAGGCTCTGTAGTAGATGATTCTCCCGAGTCTGAACCGTCTCCTTGGCGATCGCCCTGTCCTCCTGGGTTCTCGTTCGTGTCGGTGTCAGCGGCCGTATCTGATGAGGCAGTCTGTGTTGCGGAGGGTACGACGATGATGACTACGTGCTGGGTGGAGGTGGCAACAATCGTAGTCACGTCCTCGACGGTTGCTTCCGAGGCTGTCGTGGAGGCAAGGGTCTCGGTTGAGACAGGAATGGCAGTTTCCGTTGACACAGGAACGATAGTCTCCGTTGACACAGGAACGATAGTCTCCGTTGACACAGGAACGATAGTCTCCGTTGACACAGGAACGATAGTCTCCGTTGACACAGGAACGATAGTCTCCGTTGATATTGGAAGCGGCATAGAAACCGAGGAAGTGGTAAAGGATTCTTCCGAATGGCCATATGCGGTGGTGGACGTCGATTCTGCAGGAATGGAGGACACTATAGTTGTAAACCCCGACGATGAAGAGGTTGTAGCAGCGGGTGCAGGGTCTGTTTCCACCGTGACAACGATGACCACCGATTCTACCGGCGAGTCAGATGATGAAGTGGTTGGCGCGGCTTCCTCTGTCGCAACGGACTGAGAGCTCGAGCTCGAGCTCGTCGGTTCATTTTCAGAAATATCAATGGTGATGGTGAAGGCCAGGTCGGAGGAACCCTCCGCCGTAGTGGTGGACTGAGGGTTGGTATGGGGAGTCATAGCGTCCGGGTTATGAGCTGCAGCTGCACTTGAAGAAGCTATGAGAGCAGTCGAGCTAGTGTACAGAGGTTCAACAATTGCCTCCGTCAGGCTTGTTGAACTCTTCGTAGTCTTCGGATCGGCAGAAGCCATTGACGATTGACCAGGTTGACTCGACGTCACTGGATGTCTGTCAGAGACAGACGATGGATCAGCAAAAACAGTCGCTTCAGTATAAGAGGAATCGTGAGAGGTTGATGGCCCGTTAGCTGGTGTTGGCGTATCCACGCTCTTCGTTGACACTGGGATCACGGAGTCCCCAGAGACAGACGGTTCCCCATCTGGAGGCTCCGAAGAAGGCTGTGCAGTCCCGCTTGACGAACTGGATGCCATCTGCGTCTGCGCTCCGGCGGTATTCGACTCCTGCTCTGGAGCTGTCGACGAATGTATCGCAGGTACACTTGAAAGACTGGGTGTTTCGTGCGTGGGCATGTTGGCAGCAGCAGTCGACTCCTGCTCCGGAACTGCCGTCACCCTGGACGATTCCGCTATTGTATACATCTGTGCTCCGGCCGTACTTGGCTCTTGCTCTGGGTCTGCCGATGTATGTACTACCGCAGGCATGCTAGGCTGACTGGCCGACGGGAACGTTTGCGCCTCTGCTGTGGCCGACATTGTCACAGGGATCACCGTCAGCTCATCTTCCACATTCACCGAGGCTTGGACAATCTGGGCAGGCAGCTGAGAGGACGTGGCAGCTGCCTCGCTTGCAGAATCATTATATGATCTCAAACGCTTGAATTTTGGAAGGACGTGACCGATCGGACCAGCCGAACAGGTCGAGACAAGAAGCATGAGCCAGAGGATGCTGTATATGAACTGCATCATGCCTGGCAGTCAACTTCAAATACAAGAGTAGTAAAATAAAAAAAAAAAAAAAAAAAAAAAAAAAAGGCTCAATAGCCAAGAGAAAGTGACGAAGATAGATCGTTGTAGGAGTGTTTGCTAATTCATTACCACCATAATAACTAGTACAGAGAGATCCGACAAAAAGGGAGAGACAATGAGTGACGCAGCACTCATAAGAAAGCAATAAAGGAAATGAAAAAATAAAGAGCGAGCAATGTTCAGAAGAAGAGTCAACCAGAATCTCTCTCGAACGCCCTGCGATTCAGGTTATTAGTGTCATCGGGCAGGTAATGTCCAGATCATCAGATCTCCTGTGGACACACCCGACAGAGATCCATAGCACGGAGTGCATAGGAAGGTATAGGAGGTATCAGGAAACTGTCGCATGTTAAACTCGAAGGAAAGCAACGGTTGGAGCAGGAAAGCGCGCGACAAAGAGGCCTGTTGCAGTTGTCGCCCAGGGATCCATGGAGGGTGCTTTGACGCCTGGTGTTATTGGCCCGCTGAAGAATCAACGACAACACGTCAAGAGCTTGTGTTTCATGGAAATTTTGGATCCAGTCGCATGGAATGGGATACCTCAGGTAGTACAAACAAGAAAAGAAAAGGTTTCAGCGAGACATCGGCGAAGACAGGAAGATTCTGCCAGCAAAAGATCCATCCGCCTGGGTGAGGTTATACCCATTCTTGCAGGGGTAGCTGTTGGCGCCATCTTTGTTTCTAGCTGTTTTCTCAAGCGCCGACCATGGCGACAATAATAATAATAGCTTGCATGCGCCAATCAAATCGCAAACAGGGATAGATCTTCCTCAGCCTCAGGTCAACGTGGCGATTTGCCTGTTGAGTAACATCTAGCACGACAAGCTCAAGAAGCCGATATCAGATAAAAGCTTCATTAGGAAAGAAACCAGGTGGTATTGCTAACTAGTTACTAATTAACTAGTTAACCCTGGGTTCAATTCTTCAAGAATTTAGTGGGTCGTCGTCGTCGTCTCAACAAGATTAGGGAACCCTCACGAGCTCGTCGAAGCAGTGAAATTACCGCCAATACCCTCAAATGGGAAGATGGTTCCAAAGATGCTCTTCGCATCTCCATAATAATGGATCCGGTAGGTCCCATCCTGAAGCGGGGCCGGGTCTCCTGTACTATAATAGTCATCTTCGATCTGCCACTGGATGACGACCTCGCTGTGTCCTAGAACAGTATTCGTCCTTTCCCAGCGGTAAATCAGGTTCCAGTCGGCATCGGTGCGAACAGTCTCCCACTTCCCAGAGAGAGTGTTTAGTCTTTCGACGGCGGCAAACGTATTTTCGAGGCGAAGGTTGTTGCGCGGATTGGCCCCGATGAAGGTGGCCTTGACGATGTCACCAGGCCGGTAGAGAGTCGTTGACGACGGTGAGGAGACAACCTGCCCAAATGTCCTTCCGATGGGGGCGGCATCATAGACAACATCGGATATGAAGCTCAAGGACACATTTGTATTGACTGGTGGACTTGGACCAGAGGGGATGGCAGGGAGACGAGCAACAGTCGATTGGTCGGCAAGATATGGCAGATATGTCAGACTCAGGTTCACATACGCTGCTAGCGTGTTTGGTCCGTAGAGCGTGGAAGCGCCTTCGTAGCGTTGCACGCTGTATTCTTCCTCTGTTGTCACATAATGGGCGTATGAGTTTGCTGGTGCCCCCAACACCACAAGAGGATCTGGGATAGAGAGGACTTTCATTGAAGCAGTGGCAAGAGCATGCTTCCATCGGCGGCCGGCCATCGTGGTGGCTTCGCTGGCAGAGACCACTATGAGCAGCTGGCCGACACGAAAGACCTGGATATCGACGATGTTCGGTGTCCATTGGTACGGCTTGGTGACGCTTCCCACATCCAAAAGAATGTCCTTTGGTAATTGACACGCCTGCTGCTCGACTGACGGTGCGTGCACAAAAGCCCTCGCTATACCCCAGAGCGGATTGGACTCGGCCGGCCCAGTTCCGTTCTGTGTGAAGTCAAAGGCGCCAGGCCCGTCACTGGTGCCGGCGGCAAAAGAAAATCCCAGGGCAGCCGAGCAGGTCCTTAGTGTGGCGCTGGAGTTGAACGGGGAGAAAAAGGTATAATTGGCCAGGTTCTGATAGACATGGAACGAGGCGACGTTGGAATCACCAAGAATCTGGTCAGAAGTCCGTTCCATCCGTTCATACAGGGTCTTCGCTGCGTCATACTGCAGTCGACCGACCTCAAAGGCACTCTTGGCTCCCTCATCGTTCTGCGCGAAGAAAGGGCCACGTCCGTGACAGGGCTCATTTCTGCCGCCGCACGTACTGTCCTCGTAGCGGCATTGTTCTCCAGAACCGTCCTCGCACCAGGCACCCAACACATTTGGAGAGGTGTCACCTACATTGGACTGAGAGAAGCCTGCCACAAAGCCGTCTGCAAATCTGGCATCCTTTCGGACACTTCTCTCCAAGAGCCACGCAGCAACCCCTTTGTTGTCTCCGGTGATCAAGGTGTTATTATTGTACAATGACGTCCCGTGAACTGGAAAGAAATTCAAGACGGCGACTGTCCGATTGTCTGACGCACGGTCGAATCTCAGCATGGTCAATGTCTTATCCACGTCGGTGGAATACCTCGCCCTCTCTTCTTTCGGGTTCTGAGCATATGCATACGGGCTCCGGTTGACATTGGCACCCTCCAGATCGATTGAGCCGAATGCTAGGCGGCCGAGTGTCAGACTTTCGTGAGCGCGTTTGATAGACAGAAGAGCGCCATCAACTATGGCTTGGTAGCTTTGTTTATTGAAGCCCAAGCTTGGAATCTGAGGCAGCAGATAGTTCATCCACGCCCCGGGCCCCGAATGCGAATGGGTTCCAGTTAACGCAAAATTATGTTCTCCGTAGCGGGTATATTCCCCTCCCCACGCAGCAAGACCTTGCAGGACTCCATGTCGTACGGCAGTGTCCCCGGATTGTGCATCGAGAACGATATAGACAAAGGTGTTGTCGGTATTCCCTGGATCCGCGATAATGAATGCTCGGGAATAGATTCTCTGGCGAAGACCGGTTCCCCGCTGGTCGATACTAGCATAACCATTCATCTCGATCTCCACCACCGGCCCAGTTATATCAGCCTTTCCTGCACCAAGTAAGAAGAGACCACCATCTTCTCTACCCGTTGACCTCGCTCCATCGAATCCAGCCGTCGGCGGTCGATACGAAGTGCTCACAGTCCCGAGCCACTGAATCAGCACAAAACCAGTGATTGCAATACTGGCTACAACAGCAGCCAGTCGCCTGAGACTAGTTGATCTACCGCAGTCTGAAGTTGTCGGAGTGGACTGATAATAAGGTAGACCCGCCTTCTCATCTCGTCTGCGAAGAGTCTCCACCTCACCTTGTGTTGAAGACATGGCCAGATGATGAAACGCTGGAGAACGTGGGTGTAAAGTGTCCATGCATAATATGTAGTCTTGGTTAGTAGGCAAGATCGACGTAATGCTGTGGCGGGGCGTGGAGGTGGGACAGAGAGAAAGAGAGTTGGAGAGAGGGAGAGATAGGGAGAGCGGAGGGCGGAGAGCGGAAGGGAAAGAGGACTCGAGCTTGAAGTTAACTTCTATTGGGGAATGTGTAGTATTGGATATGTAGTTATGTAGTTAGTAGTATGCTCCAAGTTACTAAAGTTACTACTGATAAAGGACTCTTATTGTCGTCTGGACACTTTTGATGGTTTAGAACCTCATATCCTATTCTATATTGATCTTTCAATCCAGCTTAACAGCCAAAAAACATAGTATAATAGATGATATAATTAGTTTTACTTGAATGTAATTGTTTTTCATATACAGAAGTTGACAGAGTATTGAATATTTATTGAATAAATACCTAAAATTTGGATATTAGAGTAGATTCTAGGGTTTATCACTGTCTAGTAAGCTGTATGGATGATTCCATCAACTACTTAATAGAAGATACTCAGAATCCTTAACCGGTCACTGTATAGGTTAGTGCTTTATTATCATTATATTCTTCTGCCAGCCTTCTTGCTCCGCTTGCAGCCCGAAACTGACAGATTCCAGTCCTGAATATTAGACTGTTATCAACAACAAAGGCATCTTCCAGAGTATAGAGCACAGGAAAAATGCCGATAATTATAAAAAGAGAGCTGGCGATGTTCCTGGATCGAAGGAATCCTGATTTGAGCCTCTAGTCATCACCACAGGGTTAACCTGGTGAGGGGTTCTTTCTTAAGCTGCCTGTTGACGAGGTACCATAAGAGGGGTTAATCCTGGATTGGAATGAAACAGGTACGACCTTGCCTATTATAGCCTAAAGAAAAGCAGGGACTGTCTCGATGAATTTCTGTCAATCAGCGTCATAACATCACAAAGATGGGAAATAGCATTAAGAACGCCTGAAGAGAGCTCCAGGAGCTGGAGTTTGGAGGCTTCGCTGTCTGAATGACAGCTGTTTTTCTCTTTTTTTTTGGGATCCTCCACTCCTCTACCAGGTAGGATGAATGGATTCCGGGCGTACATCTTGAGCTTGAGAGGGATGCAGGAGGAAAAAGACCTTCAGCGTGAGGGAAGACTTTAATATATATTTGTGCCTGAGGCATCGATACGTATTGCTTACTAATCATATATTGACAGAAACTCACCGCCAGCAACAGTCGCGCATGGCAATTTCCAACTTCGGCAACACGACGACTTCACCTCACATCCTCATTCCTTGATTTCCTTGATCTGACGTTCGATCTCGCAATATTGTTAAAAAATGCCTCTCATCAATGAGATTCACGATTCTCTCCCATGTAAGGACGTCCATATGTGAGAAGCTGATTACTCAAGGAACCACGCGCTGACCCTGGGTGCAGATGTCGATGTCGAGCCATCCGTGGCTGCGCGCAATGGAGCAGAGGCCCTCATTGCTGCTGAGCTCCCCGCAGACTACCTGTCCTCGCTTCATCCGTTGATCCCCGCATTGTCTGAACCTCGCTTTTCTCCGCTGATCCAGCAGGAGCTCGAGCGCAAGGCTGCTGGGGTACCATTGACTGGGGGAGTCGATTTGTCCCGTTACGAGGCCCCCGAACCTCCTGCGCGGAGTTCCGATGCGGGGGGGGATTCGACTCCAAACCTCGACGATTGGCGTCGAACCCTACAGCTGGCCTACATAGCCAGCAGCCACCTCTCTATCCGACACGAGAACCTCGCCCTTTTGGAGGAAAGCGGCAAAAATGCCTGGTTGATTGGCAACTCGCAATTGGAGGATATCCTCCGTAGCATTGAAAAGGACCTCGCGGACACAAAAGAGGCTGCGGAGAATGTCAACAAACAGAGGAAGATTGCCCAGGAAGCTAGCAAGGGAGAGCTTGCGGGGTTGGATGATACCTGGAAACGAGGAGTTGGAGCAATTTTGGATGTAGAGCTCGCCTCGGAGAATCTGCGTATGCAAATACTGGACAAGCGACGCCAACTTGCTCAGCAATCGACGCATTAGGCTGATTGTCGATTTCCCCCCATCTTTTTTTCTTGGTCGACCCACGCCTTTCCCGCTCTCATTCTGGCTGTCTGTGGGCTTGCTCGGCCTTTCCGGTTTTGTTTTCTGATTTGATGCAAGCAAATCCCGTGAGCTGCTTCGAAATCCTGAACTCCGTGTTGTCCGATCTCCGTCTCACCCGGTACCGTGCGAATCTCAGCCTCGGCGTCCTAAGGCCCCAAAAGCATCGACCATATTATTGGCCTCTGGATGAGCCGTGTCTCATAGAACGCAAATCAGATCATCTGCTCCACCAAGCTCCAGGCGCCGTTTTTCTGCCGCATACCACAGAAAGAGGTGTCGGCGATCTAGACTCCCAGGACTTGTGTGCATTGGACGGAAAAACAACCATGATAACCGGCGGTCTTGGATGAGGAGAAGCGCGCATTGCAGGGTTGGGAGTCCACATTCTCTTGGGGAGCTCTCAGTGGAGAAATCTATTCGAGACAAACAATTGTGTGGCGGGCGTTTCCCCGCATTTTACAACGACCTGCCATGTCAACCCCACAAAATGTTTTGTCTCTTGCCGCTTCATGATCCTGGCCCCGACTGCTAGTGCTACAGGGCTTGCCATCCAGCTGGTTCCTAGGCTGTTCAACATGGCTGTAGCTACTACATACAGCACCTAGCCCGGTGTCGACGCAACATCTTGCGCTTATGGTTCAGTTTGAAGTTTTATACCCACTGCCTTTGTAAGAGGGCGGTTTCTGTCTCCATAATGAATCGATTTTCTATCGCAGTATTGTCATCGAATTGGGTACTTAGCTTATTTCACCCCCCGCATCTTCTTACTCGTATTTCATGGACAGTTGGGATGTCTTGCTTTCTGTGGGAAGCTTTCCGGCGCCCAATGATAGATTGATACTAATCCGCGACCTCCATCATGATGCATCATTGCCACGACATTTCCCCCGCTTTGTCGTTGGCCAGAATCGATTCTCAAGAGTCAGATATCCCTGCTTTCTACGCCAAAAGGAGACTGCCTGTCACATGTTCTCCGCTTGGACAATATCAATCGTCTCGCTGGAGGTCTTCGCCGGCGCTTTAACACAGCCTAGTTTAGTTCTCTTCTCCCCTCATGCCCTCCGCAATCCGACACAATGGTTGTGCCAATAGGCCTTATGATTCTAGTTGCGGAGAATGCCAGTCCGTTATTTCCTGAGGGGTTGCTGATGCGGGATTGTATGGCTTCTTTCTTGGAGATAGAGATATCTCCGCACTAACCATCGGACAGTCCAGCACTACCATCTATATGCGGGGTTTACAGCAGTGAGTATATAGAAGCGGTTTACACTCTTGACCTAGAACCCCAGTGCCTCGATGTGTCTCCCTTACCGAGTTTGACCAAAGATCAGAAAGATACAGGATGACCATCCCCGAGGAGGTTGATATCATCATCTGCGGTGGTGGCAGTGCTGGCTGCGTTCCAGCCGGCCGTCTTGCCAACCTCGATCACAATCTTTCAGTCCTGTTGATCGAGGCAGGCGAAGACAACCTCAACAATCCCTGGTAGAAACCATCTCTCTATCAAATGTTTGAGATGGGTACTCTGATGAGTGCTAATGCGAAGCCAAAGGGTTTACCGTCCGGGAATCTATCCCCGGAACATGAAACTTGATTCGAAGACTGCATCCTTCTATTATTCTCGGCCCTCGGAATGGCTTGATGGACGCAGGGCAATTGTTCCGTGCGCCCATGTGCTTGGAGGAGGCAGCTCTATCAATTTCATGGTACACACGCGCTACCGCAATGTGGGAGATGGTATGTGTAAGGATAAGATTGCTGATCCATCCAACCTAGATGTACACCCGTGCGTCTGCCTCCGACTATGATGATTTCCAGGCAAAGGGCTGGACGACCAAGGAGCTCATCCCCCTGATGAAGAAACATGAAACGTACCAGAGAGCGTGCAACAACAGGGACATACACGGGTTCGAAGGTCCTATCAAGGTCTCGTTTGGAAATCATACGTATCCCATCATGCAGGACTTCCTGCGTGCTGCCGAATCCCAGGACATTCCTATTACAGATGACCTGCAGGATTTGAAAACAGGGTAAGCATATATTTGAGCGACTGCAAGGTGCTGCCGGAGAAAAGTACTGACAAGTTGCAATCAATAGACATGGTGCCGAACATTGGCTGAAATGGATCAACCGTGACACCGGTATCGTTTCCTCCCATCACGAAGTTTACTAAGTGAAGTGATATCTTTCCTCTGACACTCAACAGGCCGTCGCAGTGATGCCGCTCATGCCTACGTCCACAGCACTCGGAGCAAGTATACCAACCTCCACCTCAAATGCAACACCAAAGTGGACAAGGTCATCATCGAGAACGGCAGAGCAGTGGGCGTCGTCACCGTGCCAACAAAGCACCTTGGTGAAGGCGAGCCTCCGCGCAGGGTCTTCCGGGCTCGTAAGCAGATCATTGTCAGCGCTGGCACGCTAAGCTCTCCGCTCATCCTTCAACGCTCTGGGATCGGGGACCCCGAGAAGCTTCGCCGTGCAGGCATCAGGCCGATCGTCGACCTGCCCGGTGTGGGACTCAACTTCCAGGATCATTACCTGACTTTCTCCGTGTACAGAGCAAAGCCAGATGTGGAGTCCTTTGATGATTTTCTCCGTGGAGACCCGGAAGTCCAGAAGAAGGTGTTTGAGGAGTGGAATTTGAAGGGCACTGGACCTCTCGCCACAAACGGCATTGATGCCGGTGTGAAGATCCGGCCTACGCAGGAAGAACTGAACGAGATGCAAAAATGGCCCACGCCCGAATTCAACAGTGGGTGGGAGAGCTACTTCAAGAACAAGCCTGACAAGCCAGTCATGCATTACTCGGTTATCTCTGGGTAAGAACCTTTTTTTTCTACCTTGGTTTCTATCTATTCTTTCTATTCAATAGTATCTAACTCCATATCACAGCTGGTTTGGTGACCACATGCTCATGCCTCCTGGCAAATTCTTCACCATGTTTCACTTCTTGGTAAGCAGGCACTCACATTATATACACTTTTTAGAATATTTTTTTTGAAGCTCACGGTGTGCATGTAGGAGTACCCTTTCTCTCGAGGCTCAACACACGTTCGATCTGCCGACCCATACGATACTCCAGATTTTGACGCCGGGTTTATGAATGACAAGCGCGACATGGCGCCCATGGTCTGGGGATATATCAAGTCCCGAGAGACCGCTCGACGCATGAACGCGTATGCAGGCGAAGTGACGGGAATGCATCCGCATTTCTCGTACGATTCTCCTGCTCGTGCATTCGATTTGGATCTGGCAACCACAAAAGCATATGCCGGTCCGAATCATCTCAGCGCCGGTATTCAGCATGGTAAGGCTTACTTTGGCTTTCTATTTCCTTATAATGATCAATGCTTTATTGCTCACTAACTACGCCACAGGGTCGTGGTCCCAGCCTCTCGAGCCTGGGAAATCCCCAGCTGCCAATTTCCTTAACTCCAATCAGCAGGACACGCGCGAGTCCCTCAATTATAGCAAGGAAGATATCGAGCACATTGAGAAATGGGGTATGTCAACTCTCTCTCTTTCTCTCTCTCTCTCTCTCTCTGTGTGTGTGTGTGTATCTTCTTGGAATAGGACAATCCAGTACTAATTCACAACAAAGTTCAACGCCACGTCGAAACAACCTGGCACTCGCTAGGAACCTGCAGCATGGCACCACGTGAAGGCAACTCTATAGTCAAACACGGTGTCGTTGATGAGCGTCTCAATGTCCACGGTGTCAAGGGTCTGAAGGTTTGCGACTTGTCGATCTGTCCAGACAACGTGGGCTGCAATACCTTTAGTGTAAGAGACCCCCCCCCCCCCCTCTCCTCTTCTTCCAAATTTTATGTTACGAATAGACTGCTCACTAACTGCACACAGACTGCTCTACTCATCGGAGAGAAATGCGCCGTCCTCACTGCGGAGGATCTGGGATACTCGGGCGATGCTCTGGACATGAAGGTTCCGACCTACCATGCCCCCGGCGAAGTTGTGAACCTGGCCAGACTGTGAAGCTATCAAGTCTGACTTACTACTGTGTTTTCCGTCTTTCGGTTCTCTTGGCTCTATATGATGTTTCTTTTTCTTTCTTCGGTGATGGATGGTTCTACAGAATTGGCCATTAGCTTGCTATTCCAGCAGTACGACTATATGATGTGTCCCTTGATCAAGTCTTATTTTATCTGATTATCAGACCAAATCCAAATTGCTTATCATTTTGATCAATCTTTAAGACTAAAATATGCGGTTCTACAGCGGCAAAGACAATAGGCGTCTGCCTTATAAGTCTACGGTCTACGTCTACGTCTACGGCTACGAAAAGGAATTTTCTCTACGAGGGATCATTTGATTTGAAGGTAAAAAATAAATTTCATTGCGGTTTTCTGTTCTAAAGATGTAAGCTAGGAAAAAAGCAAGCTGCTTCATAGGCAGCTTTTTATTTTGAGAGGGAGAGCTTGGTTGATAGAAGGCTTCATTCGAGACATCACCGAGGATAGTCCCTTATGAATGAACCTTTTAGCTCATCCCTCTCTCTATTTGTTTTTGTAGGGTTTGTAGTTTTAACTTTTTTTGGTGGTTTTATATGGTTTTATATGTTTTCTGTGGTTCTTGACAGGAACTTCTTTGTTAGTGGAAGTTGTACCTTTCAAGATCACACAGGAGGAACTACAAAAGGGAAAAGAAAATGGAGGTCAGACAGCCTCCACTACAGACTACAGACATACGAAGGTGTGTCTACTTACTGCAGGAAGTTTTCAACGGCACAGCTGGAGTTTTGATTCAAGTTTAGGGGAGCCTTTACAAGTGGATAACCAAATGTGAAGCCCATGGTGGTAAACAGGAGATCCAGTTGCCGGAACCGCTGGTCTGCGGCCTCATAGATCTCGTCCGCATTCATAAACCATCCTTTGACCTCGATTGCCAGTTCTGGAAGATGACATCCCGGCCAATCCGGGTCGATGATGTACGCCTCACGACGTTGTAAGCCACCTTCGTATAGCCACCACGCGTGCTCGGCAGAGTCGCGAGGGCGTAAAGTGATCACCACGACCAACCAAGTACGGAACTGGATTCCGTGGTCTTCGTTACCGATAGCGGCGGGAGACAGGTAAAGGCTGTCTGGCGTCTCGGCGAAGTCGAAAGGGATCGTGACCAGATTAGAAGAAATGGGCGTGCTGGGGAAGACAACGGGGGTTGTTTCAAACATGTCCGCAAATGCGGGCAGGTTCTGCAGGTCCCGGTTGAAATTCTCCGTCATGACGGCATAGTGGTCCATCACGGCCGTAAGTGCGGTTGCCGACTGCTCCTCGAAAGGCTCAGCGGCTGCCCGGCGGGCGTGGATGTCGGCGAAGATGCCGGAAATCATGGCTCGTTCATTCTCGTCGAGAGACGAGACTTCAGAGCCGCTATCTCCGGAATCGGTTCTAGACTCGTAAATATGTTCGAAGATTTCCCGTGGAACAACATTGGAGGTCAGCTGGAGAGCCTCCAGATATTCTTCGTTTGTAATCGGGTCTTGTTCTGCCTCGAAGGGGTTTTCACCCTCGCGGAATATTCTTACCATGTCTGGAACGTCAGCAAACCAGTTTTTGTGGGTTATAGAGTCTGTGTGCATACTTACAAGAGTGATCTTAGTTGATTTTTCGAGTAACTGATGTACGACAGATAAGAAGGTGTTAGTGGAAGATGTGTTTACAGGCTTAGTCTCAAAATGAGAAGGAGATTTGGAGTAGAAAGAGTTGGTAAGGAAGGAAAGATTGAATTCAGCTCTGTCGACCAGAAGAAGTCTTTATATACCTTCATCTGAGACACCCTCATGCTGTTCATACGGCATTTTCCAGATGTGCCGAACAAAGGATTCTCTCCAAACAAAGAAATTGTCCAATGACAGCCTAGACTTGGAAATTGAGAACAAAGAAATGCCTCCTGGCTGCCTGTTCTCTGAAACCAAGAACAATGAATTGTGTTTCAGTAGCCTAGACATTGAAGTCGAAACAAAGAACTTACCTTCCCTATCTTTGTCTATGCCAGGCACTTGTGAGGATCAAACATGGGTATCCCTGCTTGGGTGTCTGATGAAGAGCTTGAAACAAAGGAATCACAGCCCTCATCCTTGTCTAGCAGGCAGATATGTGGAGAGAACAAAGAGATCCATTGGATCTCCCCGCACTTTTCAAAGCAGCTTTGTCAAGGATCCCCCGATATCGAAGCACGTTATCGAGCCATTGAGGTTATCTCTCGAGCCTAGGTGGGCCACTACTCATACGGTAATTGCCGATTGGAGATCAATGCTATGGCTGCAGTTGGCATATGGCATAAGAAGCAGGTGGCTGATTGAGGCATCGATTCTTCCTGTCAGTCCGTTAGCTTTTCATCTTCTGATCCTTAGATATTTTCCAATAGACCTTCGTTTGCTAAAATCTAAGTCCTCGAGGCCATATAAATCATAAATTCAGAGCGGTTTTCGAATGCAGGATGTCTGAAAGAGCTGTTGTTGTCCAAGTGGCTGCAATCGCACGTTGAGTCTCGTGTTTGCCTGAGGCCACAAAATTATAGCACGAGACCATATCCAGATGTCTTGCTTGGACCTCGTCATCTCAACGTCCAGCTCTTGATTTACTTGCTCCATCCTGTAAGATAGCCAGTTCATGGTTTATTTCTGCCCATAAGCTAATAAGCTACTGATCAACAAGGTTCAACAAATGGCGCTTCTCCCCTTCCGGTTTGTGTAACAATGCTAATCTTCGCATTTATAAGATAGGACGCCTTACAATGTCGCCCATTTTAGTTCCAGATCCCCCCATCCTGTCAAGCTTTCACCACATCTTTGATGGCACCATTGGGTGTGCATAGGTGACAGATAAGACTGTCATTTGTTATTGGCAGGGCAGATGAGGGGTCTTCGACTTTGCTCTCTGGAGAGACACCATCAATATACGAGAATCACGCAATATCCGTCATCCTTACAACATATCAGCTCTCCAGCTTTGGGATTTCCAGATCTTGAATCAAATTCTGAACTAATTACTTCTCCATCACATGCTGTGCTCAGAATTCCCCATGGAGACCTCCTTGGATAAGACCAAATCGGGTGGTGTCCCGGAGAGCAACTCTCGTCTCCGGGCTATAGGAGATAGGGTTCTTACAGAGAAAGATACAGATGTGACACTTGCTTTTCTCAAGCTCTATGAGCACGACGCAGAGCCATTGTCTCCCGAGGAAGAGGGCCGAGTGGTCAGGAAGGTGCACCTATGGATTCTGACCCTTGTGCTACTCATCAACTTGATGCTGTTTGTATGGTGCTTACTACGTTGCCTCTAGATAGCTATCAAAAGGGATAGGATACACTGACCAAAATGCAATGCAGATCGACAAAGCCACATTGTCCTATGCCTCCATCCTGGACTTGTTCGAGGACACCCATATCGGGAATACTGACTATGACAACCTCAACACCATTTTCTATGTGGGTACGTGAGAGCTTTTTTTGTGTATGTATTTCCAGAGCCATCCCTAATGCGAGCCCTGACTAGGTTACATCGTCGCCCAGCTCCCCGGCCACTGGCTCATCCAACATCTGCCGCTGAGGCAGTTCATGGCTGGATCCATCTTCCTCTGGGCCGTTATTGTCCTGCTGCATTGTACGGCGGTCAACTACGGCGGCCTGATCGCGCTGCGCTTCTTCCTCGGCGCGGTCGAAGCGCCCCTTGTGCCCGCCATGGAGATCACGCTGGGCATGTTTCTAAAACCGCAGGAACAAAGCACGGCGCAGCCTCTCTTTTGGATCTCCTGCATGGGCTCGCCCATCCCCGCGGGCTTCATCGCCTACGGCCTTCTCCGAAGCAACAGTTCCGTCCCTCCCTGGAAACTCTTCATGGTCGTCACGGGGGGTATCACGCTCTTCCTCGCCGCCTACACCTGGTTCTACTACCCGAGCAATCCGACCGAGGCCCGGTTCCTGACCACCCGTGAAAAGGTGTACGCCGTGCAGCGCATCCACGCCGCAACACACAGCTCCATCGAGCAGAAGCACTTCAAACCGCACCAGTTCCGCGAGGCCCTCCGCGACCCGGTCTCCTGGCTCTTCTTCCTCGCCGCCTTCACCCTCATGCTCTCCAACAATCTCGCCTACCAGCAAAACCTACTCTTCGTCAGTCTGGGCGTCTCCGACCTCGGCTCCACCCTCGTCGCGGCTGCGAGCGGCGGCTTCTCCGTCGCCAGCTGCATCGTCGCCGCCGTCCTCCTGCGCTTATTCCCCGGCCAAGCCGCCTTCTGGGGCTTATTCTGGTGCCTCCCCGCCATCGCCGGGGGGATCGGGATGGTCGCGCTCCCCTGGGACAGCAAACTCGCCCTGCTAGCCTGTTTGATTCTCGCAGGCGGGACCTTCGGAGTCACCTACATCATTACCCTGGGGTGGACCACGTCCAGCGCAGCAGGGCATACGAAAAAGATGACGCGCAACGCCCTGTTCATGGTCGCGTATGGGATCGCCAATATCATCTCGCCGCAGATATGGGTCGTCGCTGACGCGCCCCGCTACTACCCTGCGTGGATTGCCCAGATCGTGATCAGCTGGGTTGGCTGTCCGCTCTGTCTATTTGGGATCCGAGCCATTCTGCTCCGGCGCAATGCGCTCCGTCGGGCCTGGCTCGCAGAACAGGGGTCTAGCGGTAATTCCGGACGAGCGTATCTTGAGAAGCGTGATGCGATGGGCAACCCCGTCACGGAGGAGGTGGAGATCTCCTTGCTCGATTTGACGGATGGGGAGAATATGTTTTTCATTTATCCGTTGTGAATGGCTCATGGGTATAGTATAGCTTTCTACCCAAATCATATGTTTCAGTCCACGAGATACTTGTTCGTTTCTTTAATCCGAGCCAGCCTCGGATATCAAGTATTGATAACTAGTGTACACACTGATGCACATGAAACCCATATATCTCAGTAAAAATAGGAACCAAGAAAAAAAGAAGAAAAAGCAAAAGAATCCATATTCGGATCCGTCCATACACGCCATCAGTAATGTTAGATTAAAACGTTAGATCCTTTCCGTTCGCCGGGTTGTAAACATGGTGGTATAAACTCAAAAAAAGACATGATAGAGAAAGTGGCACCAGCACCAGGATGTAAAAAAAAAGAGAGAAGAATATACAGAGGGAGGGCTATCCTGGCAAATGAGATGGCTGATGTAGGTAGTTCGGTGGTGGCATCGTTACTGTCGAAGCATATCACATGATTTGAGTGATTGAAACGAATAGATGGGGCGTGGGGAAACTCCTGGAATGCAATCTTAGAAAAATTGCCTGATGTCAATGGGCTCGGCATTGCCGGGTCGCTCTCGTTCGATGTGATACGACCAGTCTCGACCATTCTTGTGGCCGTGGTTCCAGGACCCAGTGCAGATGTCCTTCTCCCAGGGTGGTGTAGATGACGAGGGCAGGCTCCACGGCGTTGTAGGTGTGATGGGTGTGTTGGGGCTCGTGGCCAGTGCTGAGCGACTGCCGATACTCCCCCATCCGAAGCGGGACGTGGTGGGCGTCGACGCTGGCGATAGCGGTTCTTCCAGAGGGAGGAGCATGGTGCTGGCGCGGTTCCCGAAGCAGGTCGTCCCAACACCAGAGGCATAGGTCAGAGACTGGTTGGAGGTCAGCAGGTGTTTCCACCCGACCAATCCACCGTCCGCGTCCGCCCCTGGAATATCCGGACGAAGGATGAACTTGGGGATCGGCGCGTTCTTCGTTAAGGAGCGTGTGCCTACTCGTCCCATATAAGCCGGCATCCGGAATTCGTACACGGTGACCGGTCCGTCGCGCTCCTCCTCCGAAGCGAGATCGACTTTGTGCTTATCTCGCGGTTTCCACACGCCGAATTCCTCCATATCCATATCGGCTGACTCGTCGTCTGAAGACACGTCCTCTGCATTTTCTGGGACGTAGCCGTCGGAATGGTCGGTGACGATGACTTTCATTCCCGTCTCAGTATCCTTGGCGGCCATATCAATGAATGTCTGTGCGCGGATGCGTGCCGAGGTGAGATTGTTCCCAGCAGGGAGCGCCATTGGCCGGGTACTGACGGACCCGTGCGAGCTTCGCGGCAGGCTGTACCGGTCCGGCTGCAGGAGTGCGCGCCCTCTGGTGATGGGTCGACAGACCGACTGGATGACTCCAGCGGGCTCGATGTCCGACGGTGCACGAACGGCTTCTAGTTGCGGGAAACCAGCGGCCAGGATGCTCTGCGCAAGGTGTGAGTTGGGTGTCTCAATGTGCCTAGGGGGCTTCTGAAAGGGAGCAGTCTCAAGCGTGCTGAGAGCGGTGGCGGCATTGGGGCTGACAACATCCCAGTGCAGGTATTTGAGGGTCGAGGAAGCTAGTAGCGGCTGAAGAATCATGCTTCCCAGGGGCAATGTAGGGCACTTTCCTGCTTGGACAATCTTGAAGCGTTCCAGCTGCCTTAGGGAGGCCAGAATCTTCGAAACCACCAACAAGGATTCGATATCCTGCTCGATAATCGTCAAGGATTTAAGAGATTGAGCTTCCGGGCGGGAGGTGTACTGCGTCAAGCCAGCATCAGTGACGCCCGGCAGGCTTTCCAATCGCAAGGATTCGAGAGCCGGTAGACACAGGAGCGTGCTGTCTCCGAAGGCGTCCGCGTCGAAGGACGAAATGCAAAGATGGCGCAACGACGGTAGGATGCTGAACATGCGAAGGAATATACTGGGCTCCATGGCACTGTGCTCATCAAGAGCATACAGCATCAGGGACTCGAGGTTGGTCCAGGAAGCGTGGTAGTTGAGGAATTCAAACATCTCCAGGGGTCCCAAGCTTCCCGGGCAGGATGAGCTGCGAGGAGAGCCTTCAAGGGCTTCTGGCGCTTCCCCCAGGATCCAGGTATGCTCCTTCAGTTTCTTGCGAGTCGACAGGGCGTGGGTCAGACGGTCGAATTCGTGGTTGAAGGGGATGGTCAAGCCCAGCAGCCGTTCCAGGTTGGGGCAGACCATTACCACCGAGGCAACCAGGTCTCGATACTCCTGCCATACAGTGCTTTGTTTCCCGGTTGCCAGAACCATATCCATCTGCGGCACGCGGAGTTCCAGGACAAGATTGGCCAGCAATTTCCTCTCCCGGAGAGTCCTGCGAAGGAGCTTCAGGCGACTGCCTCTCTTCATGCGGTATTTTTTCAACTGGGCTGGGGAATCGTTCCCCATGATGTGGATTCGATTGTACCTAGAAATCAAATAAATCATGGTCAGCCAACCACCGCCCCTACCACCATCAACATCACCACAGCTGGTTGTCCGTGGCCCAAAGCACTGTCCAGCTTTTTGTCTCACTCACAGTTTTCCCCTGGCTGCTTTCTCCCAAGCCCTGCAGGTGAGTGACAGGGCGTGTAAGTCACGTTGAAAACATGTCGTGCAACCTGCCTGGTGAGGCCCTGTATGCAGGTACTGTAAACGATCGAGGATTCCATCATAGACCTCCTGAGGCAAGCGTTTGAAGATGGAATCGGTGAGTTTCGGTAACGAAGAGGACGAACCGAACGCACTAAAGGAGGCGCTCGGCGACGTGGGCGAGAAGATGGTGGGAGACGTGGAGACGCTGTAATTGCTTTTGAAGGAGGAGACGGAGGGGCTGCGAGTGGAAATGGGTTGCACCGTCACTGCATAGTCCGAGTCCTTGTAGTTGCTGACCACATGGCTCTGGTGAGCGACAGGCGAGTAGGGCACAGTAGGGCATTCTGGTCTACTGGCGACAATACTCATGTTGATAGCATTGGGCGTCCAGCGGCTCGATATGACCAGTATTGAGTGGAAGGATGGTTTGTTGAGAAGAAGGTAGAGACAAGACACTTGGATACTGGACACTGACAGTCGATCATCCAAAACAGAGTGGGGAAGGAGGAGAGCGGGAGTGGTTTCAGTTCGTCGTGACAAGAGACACCGATTCTCTGAAACTAAAGTAGTTGGCTTCGTTTAGAGAGGGGGGGAGGGGATTGTGTGAGTGGGTGAGTGGGTTATGAGAGAGAGAGAGAGAGAGAGAGAGAGAGAGAGAGGGAGAAGAGAGAAAAATTCCACGATACTCCGTAGACGTAAGAGAAAAAGTACTTGTATGAAACGATTAATATTGGCTGGTTTTACTCGCTCTTTTTGACCCAAGCTCTGTCTCTCTTTGCCTCTAGCTCTCTCCTCTCTCCAGCTTTGGTATTTCTCGCATGCCGCTGCCACGCCACTTTGTTTAAGGGCAAGCAAGGAACATCCAGGGGATGAATGGGAGTCGGCACTGGACAGCCGATCGCCCCCACAGCACCCAGTAAGCTCGTGCTAGAAGGATGACGAAGTGTTAGGTGTGGAGGAGAGCGGAGAACTCGTGCTGCGTGTGTGCAGCGGCTCTCTCTTGACATCCAGGGGGAGGGGCGTTTCCCTAGCCATTAAAGGAGACCGAATCCAGCAAGGATTCTGCGATCGAGTCAGCCTTTGTTCCTGACCCTGGAAGACACACCAACACCAGTTTGTACAGAACAATAATATCTCCATATTTTTTTTCTTCATTCGCAGTAATAACTCCATAGCTTATGCATAACAATAATGAATCAATTGAGCTGGTGCCATACGAAGTAGTACGTACCTCTTTTCCAGCCGGGGCGGCCCCCTGAAGGCCCTCAGCAACCTCTTTCTCTGCGTGTGTTAGACAACCATCACCCTAGCGACGCTCGAGTCAAAAGTCTTGGCTTCCCGAGTCCCTGACAGCCAGGTGGAATCCATTTTTCCGCCCGACCAGCGAGAACCGATGCGGTTGAAGCGACAGACAAGGGCGTAGTACGGAGCAGCACCACGGAGCGAACGCGAGCCCACGAAGCCATTATTTGACACGAACCGTTCCTGGTGCGGCCCAAACAGCGCGTCAAGCGCCCGTCGTGGTGGCTAGTCCGTTTTGGGAGGCTAGCGCAGTCACGGGTGGAGATCGGAAAACGGACTAGCGCCAGGGACATTCCTTAAGCCGGAATAGGTTAGTGCCACTACCGAGTACTGACTAACCGCCTTGGTATCTAACTAGTGCCCTTGCAACCTCAGGGTCCTTAAGCCAGCCCCTTTTTTGATCTCTGTTATCTCATCTCGAATGACTGATTCAGTGTTCACAGGGGGAGGAGACTACCTATTCGTAGTCTATGACCGCAGTCTTGAGAATCGATGAGAACGATTTACTCCGTGCTGAATCCTGATAGGAAACAGTTGATAGTCAACAGCCTAACAGCAACTACCAAACTCTCTCGACGACGATCCGCAAGCCAATCACTCGCAAATACGAGGTGGACATTTGGGAGGCTTGCCTATCGAACATGACGGAGTATTTCCCATGCATCACATTGTTCACTGCCGAGTAAACTATCATGAAAGTTTGACTGCTGACATGGACTCGATCCCTTAAAATAGATTCCTACCCATCCATATGATCCCACTCGACTAGCTGGTACTCCCGTACTCCATATAATACGGGAGACTCTGGATGATCTGAGACAGCCGAAGGAGTCCACTATTTTTCAAATCAGATCTATCGGTTATCAGTACGGAGTACGGACTAGCTACGGAGTACGTCCCAAATGGAGTATATAGAGTACTTCCAAGGTTGACATTCTCTAATTAAACTTCAACCATATCGCTCACGGGTACGGAGTACGGAGTATGGACTCACAGACTGGTGACTCTAATTCTAGGCGCTTTAATATTCAACTCATAAACTGCCTGTCATCGCCCGTCAATCTACATGCCCCAATACTAGTTATAGATGACTATACCTAGTATAACTATCTATAAGGATGAATTATACGGAGTACAGTATGCTCAGGAGATCTCCTGATAAATCTTTAAGCAATGCCTCCACTGTCCTGTCCAACTAATTACAAGTGGTGCTCCATAACTACCTAGGTAACTTACTATTGACTTTTTAGTTACTTTGCTCGCTATCACACTTTTGTCCTTAGTGCGCAGACTACTGCGTAGCTTGTGTCGATCATTATTGAATTGACAGTACTACTATGTAGCATAATGAGGAGGCTTTCTGACTTAATACTCTATGGAGTAACCCCTACCGGAAGACTTGGGCCATACCAGAAGAAAAAGTAGTACATACTATAAATCCAGGACTTGATTGGAATTAGGCAATATCTATCTATCTATATATACCCAGTACCTGAAAGCCACTGACCTGTATGATGCCCATACACTAGTGAATGGTCATGTAGTAGTATTGCTTCTGCATATTGGAGATCATCCCAACCTTAGATTGCGACTGGCATGACGGGGTACAAAGTACCGTACAGAGTACTCTCTGTTTAAAATACCAATGATCACTACAGACTAAGCACCAGAATAGGTTGACATATTTATTGATTTCATTTCCTAGACTAAGTCGGTACTACTCCATAGAGTCTCCCACGTCAAGCCCAGAAGACGAACCTGAAATACATCATGTTCATGTCTCATAGCTAGTCGATCCAGGTCCAGCTTCGCCTAACCCTCAAGCCTGGCTCGAGCTTAGCTCAAGGCAGGAAAAACGAAAAAGGAGACCCGGTATCGTAGAAAGAAACCGCCATTTTTCCCTAAATTCCATCATGCAGTGTGTGGGGAAGAGGGGGGTAAGGGAAAAAGAAAAACGATCAACCGTGACGTTTCGCCTTTGTCGCCGGAAATACGACGGCACACCGACTCCAGTCCGAGCAAATGCAGAGGGGATGAGGGAAAGGGGCAAGATAAGAAAGAGCAAGAACAATAGGGTATGATGGTGAAAAATAATGTAGAACATGCCAAAGGCTAATCTACAATGCTGGAAAGGATTCAATATAACAGAAGAGAGAAGACATTGCGAAAAAAGGGGGGGAGATGGGGGGGACAATAGATCAATCACATCAAAGACTGCAGGACAGGATCAATGATAATAAAGTAGCTTAGAGGCAAATAAAAAGAGCCATCCAACCTAAAACCTGCAGAAGCTCTATTCCAGTGACTGTAGCATGAAAATAGATACCCCTGTCTAGCAGAGCTTGTGATGGAGCAATGTGACCCCTCTAACCATTGAAACCGAGTAGGATGTCAGGCAAATAGCAATGTCGTGGAGAACTTTTTCCTTGAGTACCGTCGTGTGCACATTAGAAGTTGAAATCTTCGAGCAGAGATAAAACCGAATTATTAGGGATGGCTCTCAAAAGAGACATGACCGAAAAGAAGGTTTGGTTGTATCTTCAAGACCCCATTACTGCATGAAGGCATGTACATGACAGCGAGAAATGGGAAGATTAGAAGAAGAAGAAGAAGAAAAGGATAAGAGAAGAGAATCCTCAACCGATATATGCAAGCAGCACGGGACGCCAGGGTTCATGCAAAGAGACATAATCAGACGTCAAAGTTGTCGTCGACATTGAAGATGCCCACATCGCCACCTTGAATGCCGCTCATCCGGTGATGGTCCGTGGAGTTCCCGGAGCGGTGGGAGCGCTGCCAAGTATCTTCGTCTTCATCCATGCGGTCGCCTCGGTAGTTCCGGAGATGGTGGTCGATGGAGTTTTCGTTGACGAACGTGAATCCCTTGAAGTTGGCCTGCATCCCGGGAGACAACGGGGTTGACGCCTGCATTAATCCGTTGGCCAACGCCGCCGCACGGTCGTTCAGAGACGCCGAGGTCTCGAGGGCGGTGGTGAACTCGGGGTCAAAGTTGGACGTGTCGGTATCGGACTTGAGCTTGGGCTTGAAGGGAGGGATAACTTCCTTGCGATTGAGAGCCTGCCAGTCAATATCGTCGAAGAACGGGTGTGCCATGAGTTCCTTGGCGTCTCCCTTGGCACCCAGACGGTGCTTGGGATTACGGTTTAGCAGGCCCTTGACGAAGTTGCGACCTTCTGTACTCAGCGCATCGCGGGGGAACCGGACCTTGCCAAAGGCGATGTTCTTATACATCTGCTGGGTGTCTTCGGCGTAGAAGGGGCTCCATCCGCAGCACATCTCGAAGACGAGGACGCCCAGCGACCAGAAATCAACCATCTTGGTGTACCCCTGTTCGTCGAGAAGGACCTCCGGGGCCAGGTATTCCGTCGTTCCACAGAAAGTGTTCGTGGTATCGTTCTTCGTCAGATTGGCCTTGGACAGTCCGAAATCGCACAGCGCAATGTGACCGTTAGCGTCGAGCAGAATATTCTCCGGCTTCAAGTCGCGATAGACGATATCGTGGTCGTGCAAGTGCTGCAAAGCCAAGATCAACTCGGCAATGTAGAACTTGGCCCGGTCCTCCTGGAATCGACCTTCTTTCTGCAGGTGCCAGAACAGTTCGCCACCGGACATGTAGTCGGTGACCAAGTAAAGGTCGCTCGGCGTCTGGAACGAGAACTTCAGACCCACGATAAATGGCGACGATGACATGGCCGTGCGCACGAGGATGTTCCGTTCGCCCAGGGTGTGCGCGATCTCCTTCTTCTGTATGATAACTTTCTTGGAAAGAACCTTCATAGCATAGATCCGCTGCGTGTCCTTCTTCTTGACCTGGTACACCTGTCCAAAGGTTCCCTTGCCAATCAGTTTCAAAATCTGGAAATCATTGGGTCCCACTTGTTTCTTCTCGGTCTTCTCGAACCGCATCTCCAAGTGAATCTCTCCCGACACGGGGTTATCGCCGGCGCCACGCGTCTCCAAAGGAAACCACCCTTCAAGGCGGTTGCTGTCTGATTTCAGATTGACACTGAGGCGGACATGACCAAGGAAAGCTTCGTGGTTGTAACGGTCGTACACCGAGACATCGATTTCAGATTCTTCCCTCAGGACATCACTGGAAAAAAAAAAAAAAGTTAGATATGATTGGGAGGAGAAAAACAGGGGAGAAGTTGAATATAGGGTGCATACAAGACGGCTTCATGATTCCAGTGGGGGTCCGTGACGGGTGCTCTCTTGTGGTGATCATGGGTGTTGTTATCGAGCGCACTGTTGTTGCTGCTCTGCCGACTGCGCATGGGAATTGCCATGGGGCGACCAGAGTCACGCTCCAAGCGATGGCCCTCTTCGTCGGCGTCCTGGGCTCCCTTAGAGATACACTCGTTCCACTCAAAGACGCAAACCACATAAGGGTCAAACCCGGGCAGAAGCCCGCGCGCTTCGGAAATCTTGACAAACAGCTTTCCCTTCAGGGAGTCCACTGTGGGTCCGCCAGTGCGAGTCGAATCGGATTGCTGGGGACGGAAGACATCATTGAGCTTTCCAGTGATCTCGTCGGTCTGCTTGGCAATATCATCCGCCTGGACTTGCTGCTGATTGGAGTCGCAGTTCTCGTGCTGCTGCTGCTGCGAGGAGTCCTCGGCAGAACGGGGGGAGGATGTCGCGGGCGTAGGCTGCTGATGGTCCGCCTGAGGAGACTCGTTGGACATGGCACGCGGGGTCAAAGGAGGGGTATTCTTTAGGCGCGAGCCAGCGGCCGCGTAACCAGTCAGCTTGGTCAAATTCTCAGAAGACATGGAAAGATGCGGTCTTTCATGATCAAGAAGCAAATTCTCTGGCAGACCGAGCCCATCGGCAGCCGTCGAGAGAGAAGGGTTGGAGAAGTGAGATGCAAGAACGGGATCGTCAGAGACGCTGGAGACAGGATGCGAGGTGTGACGGCGGGAACCCGACTCGGACGGGCTCGCCGAGGAGGAAGAAGTAGAGGAGGAAAGGTAGCTCTTCAGGGCAGTGAGGATGGAGCCAACGCCCTTGTCCGGACTAATTGCCAGAGCAGCGTCGGGATCCTTCTGCATAAGGGAACAGGCAGAGTAACTGGGGGGTGTGGGTAGATTGGTGGTGGGGTTCAACGCGGCGCCCTCCAGATCCAGCTTCTCGGGTCCCGCATCCGCGGAGAGCATGGAAGATCTGCTGGTATCCGAGGCTTGCTCGCGTTCCAACAGGACAAAGGAGCCCGAGGCTGAGGTGCACCCGGAACTCTGTTTACTGTCCTTGGTGTGGGCGCCCTCTTCCGCACTCGGTTGGTCGCCACCAACGGCAGCGGAAGTTTCTTTGGGAGACCATGACTTGGACGGGCGAGACGCGGTAGATGAAACACCAACCTGGAAGAAGCTGTGCATTATGGACGGCAGACGCTTGTCCGCAGGGTCGGGCTGCGGGGTCGCGATGCCGGAAGGAGTGGTGCTGTTGGAACCGATATGATCGTCTTCATGTAAACCATTGCTATTGTCCGTCGAGTCAGTAAACCAGGTCGGTGAAATTTGAACAGGAATGAGTGGCAACATGTTCAGAGCAAAAGAAAAAGCCCAGGGCAGAGAAACACCGCCACATCAAGGTATAGACAGTAGAAGAGGGAAAAGAGAAAAAAAAAAGGATCATCTGATAGGGGGGAGGTGGCGAACAACCACCTCACAGGAAGAGAGCTATAGATAAGAACAAGGTAGATTTGGGGTCCAGGATGAGGGTGCATTAGATGTGATACAGCATATAAGCCACATTCCGAAGACTGCAAATCACCGCCTGTATCTCGATAGAGGTAGAAGGGCTATATGTGAGGTCACCTAGGCTCATCACCAGGTTGTGGGGGTATATTCACCACACCCTCTCAACCCAGTGTGGCAACCTCTTCCCTCCCCCTCTCAACCTCCAGTCAAGCTCAATGTACGAGAATGAGAGGGTAGAAAGCAGATATGTCGAAGCTCAAGTAACCGCCCCGATTTTGTGTCCACCACCACTCATTCCACCGTTCGACTCACCTGGGAAGGACAGGCAGTTTGGTCAGGTCGGCATCGCCATGCGATTCGGTACCGTTCGGAGAAGCCATCACGGCGCTTCCATTCGAAAAAAGGGCGCGTCGGCAACTAGAGGTGCGCAGGGGACAGGGAGAAAAAGGCGAGGAGGAGAACGTAAAGTCGGTGACGTGAGGTAAAGGTTTGGAGGGGAAGAGGAGGAGAAAGAGGAGAAGTGTGTGCGGAGTCAAAGTGAGGAAAAAGACTGGCCGGGTGATGACGAGCTAAGGAACTTTGCGGGATGAGGGACCCGACAGCCACACTGGGAACAAAACCCACCAGAGTGTGCAAGATTGTAATAAGAGAGAGAGGTGAAGAGAGGGAAAGAGAGAGAGAGAGAGATAAAATGGGGGAAGTAGTGAAGAGAGAAATTAAAAGTGATGGGGTGAGAGGTAAAGCAGGACTAACTGAGAGAAATCAGCTGTGAGGGGACTTCTTCAGTACCTGTTAGTACTGAAAGATAATAACTCTCACTCCCAATCAGTCAGGTTACCACCACCAACTACTAATATTAGCTGTGACTCGATTCTTTTTTGGCTATCGAATAAGGCTGCCCGCATCGGGTTCTGAAGGCAACTGACAGCGCCGGGCCTTATTGCTTAAACCACTCCCGACGGCTTGCTACAGTCTACGAGTGCCTAGTTACCAGGTAACTACCTAGCCTAACCAACTGACTGTTACCTGGTTACTGCTCCTCTTACCTGCCTGGCCGACCATCTGGCATCAGCTCTCTGACAGCATCTGCAGGTCAGTGGCAAAAGGGAAAAAATAAGACCGACAAGACAACCCCCCCCCCCCCGGGAACAGCAACAGAGCTGAAATCAGGGGGATGGAATGCATATCAGTAAGTAGATTCGAAGAAAAACTGAGAGAGGCAAAAGCCCTCACCATCTCTCAGAGGTGGGGATTCGCGATGGAGCCGGTGACTGAAAGCGAAGCAACGAGGCCCAGTCAATGAGTACGGACTCTACCCCTCTTTCGTCGGACCAGATTGGCGAGTTGCAACCTAGAAGCCGGCGGAAAGGGATAAATCATAACCTTCCACATTCATACTGAGGGGAGAATTCGGATATTCTGAGGATACAGCACAGTGGATTCCCGGCCAACAGGAGATGGCAATATACAGAACAGAGTACTACATAGGGGGAAGGGGGTTCCTCGGAGATCGGCGGGCGTTTCGGGATGGCAATACCGGCTTTTTTGAGATGAGAGTTGACTGACGGTGAAACAAGAGAAACCGTAAAGGGGAGAGAGATCTCCTGCTTGGCCTTTGGTGGGCAGAGAAGATAATACCTCTCTCACGTCACTACCACTGGTGGGGGGAGGACCCAAACTATTCTCAGGAACAAAAGTGCACCAGAGCCACTCAGACCGGTGGTAAGGGGAGTGGAATTCGAAATTCCATACATTATTATTGTAAGGAAACCAGTCGAGTCACGACTCACTACTCCTGAGTGTCCCTAGCGATTGGTATCTCTCCTTGTCTGGCTCCCTTTTGCTGCCCTGTGCCATCTTCCGACCGCGACTTTTCTTTCTCCCCTTACGGCATGTCGGCGGTCCATGCTCCCTCTTCCACGCCAGCTCAGTGCGGTATTTTTTTTCTCTATCATTGATGCGAGATTTTCCAGCTCATCGGCATTCCTCAATGGAGGCTGAGTGAAACACGCTCTTTGTTTTACTCACCCCGTTCTAGGCCTCGTATCGTGGCCAGCCTGCTTGCGAGAGACTTTTTTTCGGAGTACAGCCAGGGCAGCCATTCAGCTGGCATTATATACATCGAAATATTACCTCAGTCTAAGGTATATATCTAACGCGCTCTAGTATTCATATTCTTGACCACTCTGTCTTGCCCGCAGAGTTCGAAACCAGTCCAGGCCTCTCCATGACAACATCATCGCCCAGCTCCTTGCTTGAATGCAATCGATGCTAAATTTGTATCCCACCACTCACTATATACTATATACGTACCACCACGCCATGCGTCACGATGCGACATTTACCCGTGCGACGGTCTCGGGTTGCGAGGGATACCAGTCGTGGACACGGTGATCTCTTAACAAGCTTGAGACGACATGCGGAGTCTCAGGACCTGTGTAAGATATGTACGGAGTACCGGACATACCTATAGTTACGAAGTACTAGGTCCGGAGTACCTCCTTCGGAATGCATTCGTTGGAGACATTACAGATCACGATATGACGATTCTCTCGATCGGCCAAAGGGAACAGCAGATCCGGTTGATCGAGGTATAGGTCATCTGCAGGCCGCTCTTTGCAGAATGCAAACTGCAAGCTTTATTCACCCACCAGGTGTTCCCTCTTTATTTAGTTTTTTCTTCTATTTTCCTTATTCTGTTCTTGTTTTTTTTTTCTTTTTTGACACGACAGAATAATCCATAAGTACCTACTCTGCTACTCCATACTCTGTATTCTAATATGTGGCAAATGACGATCTCAGCCTTCTCAGGTACAGAACAGCACATGCTGCATGCCGTCGGTTCTTCAGGGCGTCTTCCTACGAGTACCTGATTGTCTGCCCTACTCGTGTCCAACGGGGCTACTTGACCGACTTTTATGACTCGAAGTGCAGGTGCAACCAGTCGCACCGTGTAATGCTCGCCTTCAATTCCCACTTTTTCCCTCGGTTTCGTCACTTCTGAGCCTGGCGCGGGGTCAGGCCTGTACAGCCATAAGGCCGCCAGGCTAGGTGGTACACCGTAGTCAAGAGACCACTCGCCCGGCTATTCTTGCTTTGAACAGTAATACTCCTCTTGGATTGCTAGGATGGAAATAATAGATTCTGAGAGAATATTGGGGTAATACAGGGTGTTATTGAAGGAGGATTGAATATAGAATATCATGACGTCACTATCCGCCAAGCCTCTAGTCTGTATTTGACTTATTAGGGCTTAGGGTCTGGTTTATTCCCACGTGACTGTACCGGAGAGGAAGATAGTATTCCCGATCACTCCGGCTGAACTTACTGGCAGGTCGGACTCCTTCAGCAAAGAGTGTCACAGTCGTTCATCGCGTCGCCCTTTCTTCTTTCTGCGAATTGCGAACAAGATGCCACGCAAATTACGCGCAGCTGCGCAGGCAGCTGCCCAATCTTTGAGTATGTAGATAGAATATCGGCTCTCTCTTACCTAACTCTTTGTTGAGCTAATTCGCGTTCCAGAGACAGCTCCGCCGACCATCCCCGACCTGTCCGATGAGGAGATGGCTGACGTGCCCGCATCGCCCGAGGCTTCGGTCGCGGACGATAACGACGATGAGTCAGACAAGGATCTAGAGATCGAACCGCCCGAGCCTGAGGACGAGGCCGTGCCGTCGCCTGCGCCCGAATCGAACCCACCGTCGCGCGCCCCCTCGCCGCCCGCCCGGGGCGGTGGTCGCGTCTCGGCCATCCCACGCAAGCGTCGAATCGGTCGGCCGCCCAAGAACCGCCCGCCGGACTGGGATGCCCCGGATGATGGATCTGCTCCCGCCCCAGCCCATTCGGGAACCCCAGTCAAGCGCCGGCGTGGACGGCCGGCAGCCAGTGGAGGGCGCTGGGCGCGGAACCGGGGTGCTTCGCATGCGAGCCAAATCCCAACCGATAAGGACGGGAAGGCCATGGAGATTCTCAACGATGAAGTGGCCCTGCCGGTTGACCCGGAGGGTGAGACCAAGGTCGACCGGGACGGCAATCTGCTAGGCGGACGCGAGTACCGGGTGCGCACGTTCACCATCCTCAACCGTGGGGACAGACAGTATATGCTGTCGACGGAGCCGGCACGATGCATTGGGTTCCGCGACTCGTATCTCTTCTTCCAGAAACACCGGATGCTCTACAAGATCATCATCGACGATGAGGCGAAGCGCGATCTCATCGAGCGCGATATCATCCCGCATTCCTACAAGGGTCGCGCCATTGGCGTGGTCACGGCGCGTTCCGTCTTCAGAGAATTCGGGGCAAAGATCGTGGTGGGTGGCAGGAAGATTGTGGATGACTACGATGTCAAGGCGGCAAGTGAGCGCGGAGATGTCGAGGGCGACCTCGCCGTTCCCGAGGATAGACTGCCTGCGCCCGGCGAGCCATACAACAAGAATCAATACGTGGCTTGGCATGGTGCTAGTAGCGTCTATCATACAGGCGCACCGTCGGTTCCGGTGCCGATCGGCAAAGCCGTCGATCCGAAGAAGCGCAAGGTCGCCGTGACTGGAGATAACTGGATGGTGGAGCATGCACGGGAAGCCAGGTAATAAGCCATCCCATTCTTTTATCTTTGCGATTACTCTCTGACCATATCTTCGATGCAGTAATTTCAACACCCTTCTTCTGAACGGGCGTCGCCAGGTGATGCAAGGAGTGTACGATATTCACACCAACGCCATGCATTATCCTAAAATCATGCAGCCATCTCACGCTCGCTGGGAGCATATTCCCCCATCTGACCCCCAGACCACCTCCAGGTTGATGAAGGGCATGTCCACCTTGAGCCTGACGAATGGCAGTGGCGAGTACGCCCAGGAAACAGAAGCAGAAACAAAGGCTGACCCCCAACCCGACTCGAATGCCCAATCGGCCGCGGAGAAAACTGGGGAAGAACAAGAAGCACCCACTACCATCTTTTCAACCATTCCGCCGGCCCTATCCCGTCGCTTCGCCATTCTCGATGTCCACTACGAGACGCCCCCGCGTGCTAACTTCGGCCTCCCCGGCCCAGACGGGGATGTGCATGATCTGGGGCCGAATGGCCTCCTCAGTGCGTCCGACGCTCGCCATCCAGAATTCTTCTCCCCAGAGATTCTCTCCGAGCTGCCCTCCGACTGCAGAGAGGCTCTCCTCGAGAGCGCTACCAGTGAATGGGAGTGGAAGTCCAGGTGGCAAGGCGAGATTGAACACGGTCACCGAGCGACTCCCTTGAAGAGCTATGCCTGGTTCCCCTAAACACCCATCTTCGCAGAGGCGATCCGGGGGAGGCGAGGAGACACATGGCGTTACGGTATAATGATCCTTGGTTTGGGAGGGGTGATCAATCTTTGAGCATGGGAGGGCGTGTCGCATGGAAGGCGCTGGGAGTTTTTCCTCATCTATACCTAGCAAATCACAGAATTTCAATATCTTAACTAATCAATTATAACCAAGTCAGCCTGTCTTCACTGTACTATTTATCATAATAAAGACGGAGTCTATAGATTCCTGACTTGCAGTGAGCAGAAGGCTAGGAAATGAAGTATATCGGATTCTTGATATGATGGTATGGTTGTATTTGAATAAAGACGCCTGGATCCGAGGGAAAAAGCTAAGCACAACAAAGAAGAACAAGATAAAAGACAGGATTACGCCAAAGTGTATAGATTGACTTGTCGATGAAGAAAATGTGGAAAGAAGAGGGGGGGGAACATGTAGCCTTATAGTAGGTAGGTAATGGTATGAAGGGCTCAGCCTCCGCTCCCACGAGGTAAGGGAAGAAAAAAAAAAAAAAAAAAAAAAGAGGAAACAACCACAAAATAGAAGGTCAGACGGGCAATGATCGATGCAACTATCCCATGGCCATTTCGGCACGCAGCTTTTCCAGCTCGGCTTCTTCGTCGTCTTCTTCGATTTGCTTTGACTTGGCTTTGACTGGGAAAAGGGGTGAGTAAAGTAGAAAAAGAAGAAACACAATTGAAAAGGGGGGGAAGACGTACGCTCTCCGTTGGCCGCAGGTGGTAGCCCACTGAGTTGGTCGGCGACGGGGATGGTTCCGGTTTGAAGCAGCTGTTGGTCCATAGCTTCCTGTTCCAGACCCTCCAGCTCTGCCTCCAGCTCGTCCTCGTCGGGCTGTTCGCCCAGCGGAGTGTTTGTGATCGCCTGGGAGATTTCCTCGCTGAGCTGGTGTTGTTCGCGGAGTTTGTCCCTGCACGGTCAGCATCTATTTATCTATATATATATATATAGCTGTTTGTAGCAAGCACACATACATGGTCTCGTCGATCTTCTCGACAGTCAGGTTACCGTGGATCTGGGCCATGGCAGTTCCGGCATTCTGCATTGCCTTCAGGGTCTCCAGGTTGATGTTCGCCGCCTCGATAGAGTATATTTGCTGTTCAAGCTGTGCGATCTGCGCCGTTGTCTGTTCGAGGTTCTTTTCATGCACCTTTTTCCGTCGGAGCGCAGCTTTGGCAGCTAGAGATACCCACAGATAAGTCAGCGCTCTTTGCATAGACCGATCGGCTGGCCTGTCCAGCCGATTTTACCACCCACCATTCTTATTTGTCGAGATGTTCTTCCGGGCTACTGCATCCTGCTCTTCCATCTGGTTCTCCAGGTGCTTCTCCCGCTTCTGCAGCATATCGAGCTGCTCGCGGAGCCCCAGGATAGCGTTCTTGGGCGCATCTTTCCGCTTCTGGGCGGCAGCGCCGCCAAACCAAGACCACATTTCGATGTTAGACCGGTTGAGGTAGGTAGGGTCTCCCGAGGCGAAGAGGGCAAGGAGGGCGAGGAGGGACGTCCGCGGATGCGTCTGTTGCCTGGGTTGCGGCCGTTCGGATAACCCAAGAGAGACCGGCTCAAAGATTCCCGATCAGGGTACAGGCTCAACGTAGAGCTAGGAACGGAGTGATTTTTTCTTTTTCAACGAGGGTGATCAGTCTACAGTCGAGGCGTGGTCCTGGCGGTCTGATAGAGCTGGTTGAAGTGGCAGAGCGAGAGCGAGAGGGATCTGGTTTCCCCCTCTATGACATGCACGCTAAGCCTATCGTAGCCGATCCGTCACGTGGGGAGAAAGCCTAATCTATTCCTTAACGATCAAGCATCACTTCCCCTCCGATAGTTCATCAAACAAACACGTTGTGGAGGATAAAATAGCGGCGGGCAGGCTTCAACTGCTTCAGCGGTTCACAATTTCTGCTAGATGATTATTTAGTATTGTTGCTGAGGGATGAATGGGCCGCTTCCCTCACAACGGGTGTTTCTCTCACAACTCTCATCTCTCCCCGCTGACACTAAGGTCCGCTTTTTAGGGTGGTAGGTGATGAAGATGAAACTTCTCTTTAATTTCTTTTTTTCCTTCGGGCAGCTAATATGTCCATCCTAGTGTCTCCGCCTATCATGTCTCAACGGGCCATCTGATCCTACAACACAATTTCTCCCGGAAGAATGGCGACCCTACCATTGTCTCTGTCGATATCAATCTCCTCCTAGAAACCATGAAAGCTGATGATCTGCGTATTGGCGCATGGCTGAACGTCCTTGGCTACGTGAGAGTCAAGGATCGAGATCACCTCAATTCGAGTCCCATCGCGACGACTCGTGCCATATACATTGAGGCAATCATGGTCTTCTCCGCAGAAGCAGTCCGCATAGGGGAGTACGAGAGAATACTCTGCGATGCGCAAGACGTCGACCATGTGTTCCGACGGTAAGCTTGAATTTAAGAGGCTACATCTTCCTTCACACGTCTTCGGCTATCCGAGCAAAAGACAAACTGGGCTGGTCAAGACATCTTCCTTTCTTTAAAAGAAACAATTTGCTATTTTAGTAGAAATGTCAATTTCTGTGTATTCTGATGTTTGGAACTGCTTCCATCAATGCATATTTCATGCAAATATCCAAATTTGCGTTGTCATAATCCACCCCAACACCGAAAGTGCCGAAATTAGTTATATATGCAATTGTCTATAGAAATTTTTGCAAGGCAAAAGGCAAACCTGAAATGCTCCGATTTTGGTGGAAAGGGGGATGGGGGATGAGGGTTTTTTTTTTTTTTTTTTTTTTTTTTTTTTGGCGAGTGAATCGAGAATTGGGAGCGCTATACTTCCTCTGCCTGCTTTTCTGCTTCTCGTTGCATTCGTCGGTTCCGTTTCCCTTCCAGTCTCCTCTTATCCTCTTGCATTTTGACGATGAGAGCACTTTTCTGTCTAATTTTGTATCCATACAGATAGAAGATCACTGGAATCGGGATGATGGCAACTTCTAACAATCCCAGAAGCGTACCGGACCAGTTAGCGCCGATTGCCGCATACATGTATGAGCCTGCAAGGGGGAGCACGCCGCCCAAGACACTCCGGATGACCGAATTACCGGCCAAGGCAGAGGCGGCATACACGCCATAGCTATAAGTGAGGTAGTTGGACGAGTAGATGAAGACGGCTGTGTTTCCTGCTCCGAAGAACACGCCGGCAATAATGGGCACAATCCAGTGGATCGTGGCTGGGGAGCACGTCCAGGCAAACCACAACTCACCAATCGGGATCAAAACGGCGCCGACACAGATGATGGAGACCATGGCTTCGGGGGGCACCGAGCCGGTTTCAGGATCGACCTTGTGTCTGTTAATCATACGACGGATCAAAGGCTCGCATGCGATCATGATGAGACACCCGCTACCGATCCCCAGGAATGCAAGGCCGGAGAGACCGGTCGACCAGCCGCGAATGTCCTCGAAGACGATGGGATACGCGACAAAACACAAGTATAGAATGGAGTAAACGATTCCGATATATATATTCCAGAAAATGCTGCACAAGAGGAACATTAACTTCGATTAGGGCATGTGTTTCATGGGAAAGGGAACATACCAAATCGGCTCCGTGACGGCCATGATGAACGGTCTGCTCAGGTTGATTTTCAAGACCTCCACCACGCTGGCCTTTTGGTCGTATCGGCTCCACCAGCGAGAATCGCCGGTCGTCTTGCGCATATCAGCCGCCTTTCTCTGTAACAGAACAGGCCCGTAGGTCTCCTTCATGATCAGAGCAAAAGCCAGCGCGATACCGGACAAGATCAACCCGATCCAGTCCATCCATCTCCAGCCAAGATATTGCGTCACAAAGCCTCCAATGATGGGTCCAACCACTAGTTAGAGCGTATTAGTTGATTTTGTCTGTGTCGCAGATAGACCCAAGTCTAGATAAAGAAAAGTCTTATACGTACCAGGGCCGTTCAGAGGGCCAATACTCCAAAAGGACATATACAAGGCTCGGTTCTGGTCAGTCGCGAGATCGGCAACCATTCCAGGAGCTGTGGAGATCATCACACTCCCGAAGAAGGCACCGACGAAGCGGACAACGATCAGCTCGGTGATTGATGTGGCCAGGGCGCATGGAATGATCATCAGGGTGAAGACTGTCAGACAACCCACACAAACAGGCTTTCGGCCGTAGACTTCACTCAGGGGGGCCATGAACATGGACCCGAAAGCGAGACCGATCAGGTAGAAGGTCAGACCGAGCGTGGTGATGATCTGAGACGTTCCAAAATATTCTGCAATCTGGGCCGTTCCAGCCGTATATGATGTTGAATAGAGCACACTGTCAGAAGCAATTAATCGGCGTTTGTCCATCAAAAGAAGAAGAGAAACACAGATTCCTCGTCAAGACTAACATGATCAAAGTATTCCATGACAGCATCGTCACCGACATAACCTTATACGGCACAGGCCAATTCTTGGGATTTTCCCGGTCCTCCTCACTTTCCCAGTCGACTTCGTAGCTGGGATCCGTCGTGCCGTTCGTTCGAACCGATGTTACTTTCCGTGCCAGTGAGGGCTCTGACAATCGAGACATCCGTGTTGTCAGAGTTTTTCCCAGTTCCTCGACATTGTCGTCGATGGTGTCCTCCGACGAATAACTCTCGGCAATGGAAATCACGTCGGTCGAAGCGTTCTTCTTCCCGTCAGTTTCTAGCTGTGCCTTTTGGTCCGGAGCGACATCTTGTGACTGTGAGGAAGACATTCTTTTATGGCTAGGGTGCTAGAGTGCCAAAAAGATGGCTCTCTATACACCAAAATCTAATTTTATTTTGGCCGTCTCGATATTGAATAGAGTGAAGCTTTTATTGGCAGGTTTCTCTGATGGTCAAATCGGTAGTCTAGGGTTTTAGATTGCGAAAAAAAAATATGAGGGCTTGGGGTCATTTGCTTCAAAAAAAGAATTTCCTTCTGGTTTTGGAAGAGTATGGGAAATTCTGCGCAAGATAGTGACAAAACTCAGCAGGGGAAATGGTCAAACTTGTACGGGGTACACTATTTGATCATTCTGATGTTCAGTTCAGCATGACTATCCAGGCATGGCCATTTTTCAGGGAGCCGAAGCTGTTTAAGAATAATAATTGGCTTAAAAGATCCTCCGTAAATCTGACGTGACGGGTCCATGGGCACATCTTGCATAGTAACGACTCACGACTCGAGACCTTAGCGTCCTGGAAGGTGGCTAGCCATGTGGAGTCATGGAGCTGATAAGAAGACCAGCATTAGTTATACTATTATTTATTCCATGAGGGCAACTTCTCCCATGACCGCTCATTGAGTCGCCGGGCTAGCTATCTGCCGCAGCAAAGAGATGCAGGAGAAAGACAGCAAAAGCAAGTGGAAAGCATGGGCGATTCCTTGCTCGTCAGTGATCGCTGATCTCGGCGACAATTATTAATTTTGGGCGTTTTGGGTGTTTTTTTTTTAAGAACCGCCGGGTCCATGATACCGGGGGGGCACCATGTGGGACGTCCGTCAGGGCCAAAGCCGCCGGATAGCAATTTAGACCATAAAAGATTCGCATAGACACGGTTGTGGCTTTGGTCTTCTTGACCATCAGCATACAAGTAGTATATAGTAGGTAGTATTTCTGAGGGGTGTTGTGTATCATTTTCCTGTTGGTGTGTTGATCCAGCATTCATGCTGTACGGTCGAGGATTCGATAACTAGCCCTATCAGCAATTCAGAAGCCGCGACTCTATGACATATGTAGTATGGTTTCGTATGGAAAAGTTCCCGGCGGGAGCCCTAGAGGCCTTCAGGCTTCTACTATCTCGGCTTCAGGGGATTATAGTGAATCGATTGGTGCCCAAGGGCATACCTGACTGGGTTGGACCCCAAAGAACAGGTCGAGAACCGAGCTTTGTGGTGCCGGTTTGCCGGGTGGAGAGGGAGACGGTTCAACCTTGGCATTGGAAGCGGAATTAGTCCGCAGACTAACCGCTGTTAAACCGACAGCTGATTGAAACATGATAAGTCGATCGTCTGTCGCGAGTGTATTGTTATCGTTGATGAGATTCCCTGTAGTTATTCTGGACGCAGTCGTTGAGATTAGGTTGATGGCTTGGTTCCAGGCACACACGTGGGAGGCTCGAAGCTGGCCAGGATTCCCCGGACCAAACCAAGGATGCAAAAAGAATGAATAGACGATGGCTTACCTAGGCAATCCTATTATTATCGTCAGAGAATAGGTCGAAGGGGGAGGACATGGTTCTTGACAGGGGCAAAGAAGTGACTGGAAACATTCTCTCTCTCTCCCCAAAAGAATGGAAAAGGAAGGAAGTGCAGCCGCTGCCCGCGGCCCCGCAGGTATGTAGTCACATGATCTTAGGCACGTGGCGCCCACATGACTTGAGGTGGGCATTGAATTCATTTTGACTGAACTCCATTCCTTCCTCGGTAGGGAATTCGTTCGTTATCCATTGTCGAGGTACAAACACTCCCAGTCATACAACTGTGTCCAAGTCAGACCAAATCACGGTTCAGGATGCATCATCCAGTCGACTATCGCATCGAGATGGACACGCGAACTTCTGCACCAAGAATAACGTCACCTAAGAATGGCGAGATTCTGTCCAGACTGCCGTTACTCTACGTCTCTGCTCGGATTTTCAATAGTTTCTATCTGGTTCCCATTGAGCATCGTTTATGATTGGAATCCACTCAGATCGCGTTGTTCTACCGTAGCTCCCGCCTCTCGCTAAGGAATTCCCCGCTCTGTCTCCATCCCAGGTACGTTTCTCCAATGCCCAGATCTTCCAGGCTGGTCTAATAATGCAGAAGAGAGTAGTGAAAAAATTCGATGTTGATTGGTTTTACCTCACTTTCGATGGCAGATCCGGCTTGTGTCGGTAACAAAAGAGAGTCAATCAATTGGGTGGTTTGGCTATTGTCTATTACTGGAGAGTCAGGCTATCCCCACCCAGTCTGCCTAATTCCACGTAATCCAAGCTGGAAAGGCTAAGATGAGCACTAGCTGTATTTAGGACCAGCTAATAGCTATATGAACCCTGCCTCGCATTTCAACTTCTCAAGGCAAACACGTTACACAGCAGAATGTGTCAACTGCACAGACTTGAGCACGTCAATATAGACTTGAACACATCAACATAGACTTGAGCACATCACCATGCCGGAAATTATAAGCACGACTCTCTGGGCCTCAGGCGCAATTGGCTTGCTGGTCCTCTATTTTTGCCATGTCAACCGTGTGCTTACCACCATGCCCGAGGAGGCTCGTCGGCTCTCCCCACATCGTTGGACAGTCGACGAGATCCGGGAGGCATACAAAAGGCACATTGAGAGCCCAATCGATGTAGCCAAAAGTCTTCCTCTGAAGCAGCAGCGGAGGTATATTGTTGTTGGCGGATCAGGTACTTAGTATCCATCTCATCGTCCGTCGTATACTCCACCGCTAGTCAAGAGTCTAATTTTCTCGGCTTAGGTCTTGTCGGTGGTTGGATAGTCACCCATCTGATTGCTCGAGGAGAGAACCCGGCTACAATTCGCATCCTCGACCTTCAAGCACCTCGCCAGGAACTCCTTAACCAAGGTGTGGCTTACCTCAAGACTGACATCAGCGATGAAGCCTCGGTGGAGAATGCATTCTCGCAGCCATGGCCGCAGCATGTAGCACATCTCCAATTAACAGTTTTTCTCACCGCGGCTGTGTTGCGGTCGTGGGAGCGATACAAGATTTACCTCCCCCAATGCACCAAAGTCAACGTGGATGGGACCAGGAACGTTGTCAGGGCTGCCAAGAATGCCGGTACAAGCTGTCTCATCTCGACTTCGTCTGGCTCCGTAGGTATCCATCGGCCGTGGTACTGGATCGCTCCCTGGACGAAACAGCCAAAGAGAATAGTGCAGATTATGAGCGAGTCGATGGAGCTCCCGAGGAGGCATGACGAATTCTTCGGCAATTACGCCGTTTCCAAACTTGCTTCAGAGAAGGTGGTCCAGGGAGCAGACGATCCACAATCGAATTTCCGCACGGGGTGCATCCGGCCTACCAACGCGGTTTACGGCATTGGAGGTTACGGCTCTGTGACAGGTACATATCTCCTGTCCGGCAACAATCCTTCGTATGTCTACCCCAAGAAGTCCCAAGAAAGAAATGAAATGAAGAAAGACAGAAGTCAATAAATAAATATAAAAGGGCCTCCAGAAAACTAACCCACCAGTACAGATGGATCCCGAACATCGTCCAATCCTGGTCCAACGCGGAAAACGTGTCCCTCGCCCACCTCCTCTACGAGCAGCGTCTAATCGAGCTCTCTGCTCTGCCTTCAGAAGAGAAGACCAAAGAAAAAGATAGATCTCCTACTTCTTCTTCTTCTTTTTCTCCTTCTCTGCCAGACATCGGCGGCCAAGTCTTCGTTATCTGCGACCTGGGCCCCGCCCCAGCCTTCAAGGACATCTACCTCTTACTGAGCACCCTCTCCATCACCCCGACGACATTTCCAATCGTCCCCGCCGTCCCGATGATGCTCCTCGCCTACCTGGTCGAGGCGTATGCCTTCCTTCAGTACCGCTATCTGTCCCACTTCCTATCTCCCGTGCCGAGCCCGCTGCACCAGCTCCAGCCGGCTACCCTGAACATCTCCCAGGTGCACGTCCTAGCCGACGACCGCGGGGCGAGAAAGAGCCCCGATCAGGGTGGGCTGGGTTATAATCCGCCCCTGACGACTATGGATGGTTTATGCAGAGAGCTAGCGGAGTGGAATCGGAGAGCGGGCGAGAAGCTGGCTCTTAAATAGTCAGCTATGCTTTATATATGGAATAAATTTATCTTATCGTTCAAGCCGAATACTCCATCAGTGTCTTTTTTTCTACGTCTAGAGAAAAATCATAAAATACCAATGTATTGAAGGGGCCATGGAGCATTAAGAAAAAGAAAGAATCTACAAACACGATCCAAAGGGGTGTGTGTTTAGACATAGATGCCCATGTTTGTATCCTTCTTCTTGGCCTGGACCTCTGCGATGGCGTCGACGTAGTTCTCGTGGCCGACCTTGCTCATTCCCTTACGCAAGGCGATCATGCCAGCCTCGACGCAGACGGCCTTGAGCATGGCGCCGCCGAACTCGTCCGTGCTACGAGCCAGCTCCGCCCAGTTGACGCTGTCCTCGACGGCCATCTTGCGCGAATGGATCTGCAGGATGTTGGCGCGGGCCTCCTCGTTGGGCAGGGGGAATTCGATCTTGCGATCCAAACGGCCCGAGCGGAGCAGAGCCGGGTCCAGGACGTCGACTCGGTTGGTGGCGGCGAGGACCTTGATGCGGTCGTCCGAGGCGAACCCGTCGAGCTGGTTCAGCAGCTCGAGCATGGTTCGCTGCACTTCACGATCACCGGACTTTTCCGAGTCGAAGCGTTTCGTGCCCACGGCGTCCAACTCGTCGATGAAGATGATCGAGGGGGCCTTTTCCTTGGCAAGGGCAAAGCAGTCGCGGACAAGCTTGGCGCCGTCTCCGATAAACATCTGCACGAGCTGGGGGCCCGCGAGCTTGAGGAAAGTGGCGTTGGTCTCTGCCGCGCACGCACGGGCAAGTAGCGTTTTACCGGTTCCGGGGGGGCCGTACATCAGGGCACCTACAAACAAGGATTGTGTCAGTGGACATTGTCGCGGTTAGGGTAGAAGTAAAGGTAAAGGTAAAGGCAAAAGACAAACCTTTTGGTGCTTTGATGCCGAGCTTCTTGAACCGCTCTGCCTCCTTCATCGGCCATACGATGGCTTCCACGATCTCTTCGATTTGCTTGTCCAACCCTCCGATATCAGTGTACTTCTCGGTGGGCTTCTCGTCGACCTCCATGGCCTTTACTCGGTTGTCGTACTCTGCCGGTAAAGTGTCCAGGACAAGGTAGGAGTCCTTGTTCACACCGATCAGGTCACCGGGCTTGAGCTTTTCGTGGTCAACGAGACCGATAAGGGGAAGGAAGATCGTCTGTCGGGTAGATGTTTTGATGACGGCCGACTTGCCCACCCGGGTGGCGTCAAGATCGATGTTGGCGCCCTCCTCGGCAGCCTCAGCCTCGACGTCCAGATCTAACAGTTCTACCACGTTCCCGACAAGATAGGGTAGTTGCCTGTGGGAGAAGCGGTTTGTTAGCACTTGTAATTTTCTGTGTGTGGTTTGGAGATAGCCACTACAGCAGCAAAATACGCTGCGTTTTTTTGAGGGAGCCCCGTCCGTACCTGTTGTTCTCGATCTTCTCCATGTTATCCTTCACCTTCTCCTTCATCGTGTTTTGTTCGTGTGTCAGGCGCTGGTATTCACTCTTCATGATGCGAAGCTCGTTTTCCAGCATCCGCCGCCGCTTGACGATGTCTGCGGTGTTTGAGCGGAGGATCTCGTCGTCCAACAGCTCGTCCTCGTCCTCCTTCTTTTCGGCGTCCTTCATCTCCGCATCCTCGCCTCCATTGGGTGTCTTGCCATCGCCATCGCCCGTGTCCTTCTTCTTCTCTCTCTCTTCCCGCTCAAGATCATCGAGGTCTTCAAGGGTGGACATGATGGGAGAATCGGGCGTTAGACGGTTCTATTATGGGATGTTTGGGGGGGGCGAGCTTCGGTAATTAACCGAGTGAGAATATCAAAGGAGATGCGATGTTATCAGCTGGGGTGGGTTGAAGGTGAAGCTGTTCGGGGAGGAGACGGTCAACTCGTCTGAGCTCCTCCGGCCAAACAACGTCAGCCACTCTTGCCTGGGTTTGGTCACGTGATGTTTCCTTTTACAAATACACCCTGGGCACTTCTTTGTGATGGTGTGGTTTTCTTTATTATCGTATAGACCTGTAGTATGGCTTATATGTTTCTTTTCCTGTATAGCCTTTGGACCATCATAGAATACAATTATAGTAGGTTACTTATCCTGTCGATTCCACAACCACTCATAGGTGATGTTTTATATATACTTATCTGAGATATGGAGAGTATGTTACAGTTTCATATTAATCCATACCAATAATATTTTTTTCTTCTCTTCTTCTTACCTATAAGTTACTATGTAAATTACCCATAAATATATTTTCTGAATGCGACTGCTGAATTCAACTGCATATACCAGCAACTGAAGAGCTTAGATAACCAGAAACCTAGCCGAACACACATCAAGGCAGTTTGTCCGAGTGGTTAAGGAGCTACACTCGAATGGTCTCACGACCACGCAATGTAGTGGGTTCGCCCGCGCATGTTCGAATCATGCAGCTGTCGCTTTCCTTTTTTATTATTTTATCTTTATTCATATTCAATACACTCTAGGTCTATATCCATTGCTCAATCCAAATTCTCGAATCGAACAAAAAGTATAGACTGGATTCTATCCGACTACCAACACGGAGACAGCGATGGATGTGAAGGTAGGTGGTGCCTTGACTATCACAAGACTACAGTTTTTGTATGGAGTAAAAAAGGGGGGGTCTAGGATAACGGATAAAAACCACATAAGAAGTACTACATACCTTGCGTGTTTTTTAAATAGCCGTCTCATTCCTCCTCTAGATGCGGTAGTACATTGAAATTAGACCAATAACTAGTAGAACTAGAACACCATCGGCTATTCATCTACATCTATCTTTATCTGCCTACTGAGAAGTTGAAACAATTTACTCTCCAAACCATATGAATACCTCAACAGACGTCAAAGGCGTGGTAAGATTAAATAATACTACAAATAGAGCTCATTTGGAGAAATTGGTGGTGACGATACTATTATCTATAGACCACAGAACCTCATTAAATGCTTGCTAGACCACTATACAGAATAATGATGCTGCTCAGTGTGAGCATGGAATAAGTACCACTACTTACCCACTGCCTAGCTGTAACTAACTATATAACTTACCAGTACGTATGTACTCCATCCATCTTGACTGGGGCTTTGTCTGTGCGTATGTAGTAAGCTCCTTTGGTCGGCAATAGTTACCGGAGCTGCTCCCTCAATAAAAATAGAAGAGAGAAAAAGTGTTTACCAGGTAGTAAGAGGTTGAAACTCGTCTATATGACGTGAAGAAATTATAATTATGATTAAGATATAGAAGGAATGAAGTTCTACATCATCAAGGCGACGAACAGGCCAAGCATGCAGGTCAGAACCGAAGAGGACAGCATGGAGGCACCGCCAGTGTACGCGGGCGCTGTCGCGGACGTGGAAGAAGTGACTCCGGAGGAGACTGCAGACGAGAAAGCGGCCACGGAGGAGGCTGCAGAAGAAGATGCAGACGAAGATGCAGACCCGGAGCCGGATCCAGGCAAGCCAGAGCCAGAGCTAGAAGATCCAGACGAGCCAGGAGATCCAGAAGAGCTAGAGCCAGAAGAGCTAGAGATAGAAGAGCCGGAGCTGGAGCCAGAGGAACCAGAGGAACCAGAAGAGCTAGAGCCAGAAGAGCTAGAGCCAGAGCCGGAAGATCCAGAAGAACTAGACGAGCCAGACGAGCCAGACGAGCCGGAGGAGCCAGACGAGCTAGAGCCAGAGGAGCTAGAAGTGCTGGAGCCAGAGGAGCCGGAGCCGGAGCCAGAGGAGCTGGAGCTGGAGCCAGAGGAACCAGAGGAACCAGACGAGCCGGAGCTAGAAGAGCTGGAGCCAGAGGAGCCAGACGAGCCGGACGATCCGGACGAGCCAGACGAGCCAGAGGAACCAGACGAGCCGGAGGAGCCAGACGAGCTAGAGCCAGAGGAGCTAGAAGTGCTGGAGCCAGAGGAGCTGGAGCTCGATGATCCAGAAGAGCTAGAGCCAGAGGAACCAGACGAGCCGGAGCTAGAAGAGCTGGAGCCAGAGGAGCCAGAAGAGCTGGAGCTCGATGATCCAGAAGAGCTAGAGCCAGAGGAACCAGACGAGCCGGACGATCCGGACGAGCCAGACGAGCCAGAGCTAGAAGAGCTGGAGCCAGAGGAGCCAGAAGAGCTGGAGCTCGATGATCCAGAAGAGCTAGAGCCAGAGGAACCAGACGAGCCGGACGATCCGGACGAGCCAGACGAGCCAGAGCTAGAAGAGCTGGAGCCAGACGAGCCGGATGATCCAGACGATCCAGACGATCCAGACGATCCAGACGATCCAGACGATCCAGACGATCCAGACGATCCAGACGAGCCAGAGCTAGAAGAGCTGGAGCCAGACGAGCCAGATGATCCAGACGAGCCAGACGAGCCAGACGATCCAGACGATCCCGAAGTGGCAGTTGTGACGGCGCCGGTCTCAGTGGTAGTTGCGGTGGTACCAGTCCCAGTGGCACTGTAGGGGGCGCCATTATGAGACTCGGTCAAGGGGCAAATGGTGGTGTAGGCCTCAACAGTCTCTGTGGTGAGGTAGGTAGTCTTCTCAGATGCCGGGCAGTTGGTGACGAAAGTTGGGCAAGCCGTGACGGTGTGGACAGAAGTAGTGTATACAATAGAGGTAGTATAGCCGTTGCCAGAGTCGTTTCCAGAGCCGTTGCCAGAGCCGTTGCCAGATCCAGAGCCGTTGCCAGATCCGGAGCCGTTGCCAGAGCCGTTGCCAGAGCCGTTGCCAGATCCAGAGCCGGAGCCAGAGCCGTTGCCAGAGCCGTTGCCAGAGCCGTTGCCAGAGCCGTTGCCAGATCCAGAGCCGGAGCCAGAGCCGTTGCCAGAGCCGTTGCCGGAGCCAGAGCCAGAGACAGATCCCGAGCTGGGAGTCGGGGTAGGGCTTTGCGAGTGGGTGAAAAGAGACGAGGGGAACACGGGGTAAGAACGAGTGGCAGAGCTAGGGTGCGCGCCCGGGGTGCCCACGGAGGTAGTTCCGACAGACGAAGGGATGGACGCAGGAGCGACAGAAGAAGAAGAAGAAGCAGGTTGGATGGCAGCGACAGAGCTGGAGGCAGCAGCAATGGCCGCGGCACATTCTTGGGCAGCGGCGTTGGTGGAGCTCACGGAAACCCCGGTGATCTCGACGGTTGCACCCGAGCCAGAGCAGGAAACCTCGAGGGTGACATCTGAGCCATCCGAGGAGGCGGAGGAATCAGCGGCAACACAGGCGGAGAAAGTTCCGGACTCCCCGGCGGACAGAGTGGTGCTGGATAGCACATCACTACCATCCAAGACGGACAGAGTGCAGGAGACGCCCGAGGATCTCTTGCGCCTCTTTGAAGAGGCATCGTCCACGACCTCCCAGGAGCCACTGACGGAGCTGGTAGAATTGGAATCGACCGATTCGGTGGTTTCAAGAGACACACCGTCGGTAGTGCTGGCAGAAATGACACTAGCGCTCGCCGAGGCGGAAGCCGCGGTAGAGCTGGTGGCAGTCGCCGAGTCAGACGCAGTGCTGGTGGAAAGAATCACGACCAGAGTGCTGATATCATCGGTGGGAATGGCAGCCACAGAGTCAGTGCTAGTGGTAGTAGAGTCAGAAGCCGTGCTGGTGGAAAGAACCATGGTGCTGATGTCGTCAGTGGGAACGGCACCCAGAGATACATCAGTGCTGGTAGCAGCCGAGGCGGCAGCAACCGTTGACGAGGCGACGGCGACAGAGGCAGACGAGGAGGAAGAAGAACCGCAGTCGGAGGGGATCATTGAGATATCCGCCAGCCCGATGACCGGGTTGGTAGCATTAGCTCCCTCGGAGCAGGAGATGGTGATCACAAACGGAATGCCCGTGCTATCGGTGGGCGTATAGGTCCCCGAGACCTCCTGCCAACCGGTCGACAGATGGTCACCGTAGCCGGCGATGCTGGCCGCGGCGGCCATGAACGAGGTCGAATCGATGGCGACCGACAATTCACATTCTGCCTCGACAACGGTCGTGATATCCCAGTACATGGACACATCGTACTCTTGTCCCACGGTCACCGAGGCGATGTTCTGTCGGACGAGAGCCCAGCCATAGCTAAAGTCGTCCATCTCAAGATAAGCACCGTCATCCGGACCCCCGGTACTGACGACGGTGAAAGTCTCTGGGTTGGGACCATAATACGTCGACCAGTATGAAGTGTAGTCGGACGAGCCGCCCTGGATGACGTTCGCCGAAGAGCAATCCCTCACCGCGAGAGCCATGGTGAATGATTATCCCAGACAGGGTATATGTGTGTGTGTTGGGGGGGGGGGGGGGGTTCAAAACGAGCGAACTAAATAAGTTTTTGTAAGAGAGAAGGAAAAAAAAAAGAGAGAGTGAAAGAGGGAGGACGCTCGAAAGCAGTGTTTGGCGGCTCAGCGAGGAAAACCCTGGAGACCTCGTGGGCTCTCTCAGCCTGGCGGGTAAGACCTTATATAAAGTTGACGCCTGAGTTGATCCATCGCGGAGCAAAGCAGAGCTGAATGGAAGGTATTATTGAATCCTGCCGTCGGTTGTCAAAGCCACAGCTCGTCAAACGCTCTGGTTGTTGGTTCAGGAGGTTGAAGAATCAAGACGAGGTCACAATAGGCGAGGCCGGTCAGCTGATCTAGCGGAATGCGGTTAGGCGTGGGAAAAGAGGAAAAACAGGCCGACGAGGAGGTTTTTTTTCTTTCTTTCCTCCTTATTGATATTATCAATTGACTTTGTGTGAAATTGTAGTAAAGGTGAATGGTGTACCAATAGTATCATGATACTATCTAACTAGTTAGTAGTTAACTAGCTTTAACTATAGTATAACTAGTAAGTATATACTATGTAAATATACTATGTACTATTACTATTAGTATATAGTTTTCATATAAGAGAACAGAATAATACTTTGAGGCGCTGCTTGACCCGTCTAGTCGTTCAGCTGGATGTACTCCGTAGTCATGGTTGTTGACGTGGCTTCGATAGTGTATCCTGGTTATGTAGTTTTTATCCGACGTCTTGGACATACTCCATACTACATACTCTGTACCTACATAAGGTTGGAGGCTAGTTAACTATATTACTAGGATGTTTGATTAGATAATTGTATACAGAGACGTTGTACCTTATTAATCAAGAAAAACTTCCACTATGAAAAGCTTCTCGTCAAATAAGGTCGAGATCTGACTATCGGGTAGATTGACCAAAGAAGAATTACTCGATAGAATCAGTGGAAACCAGTGGACCTTATACTCAATGACAGATGTACAAGGAGAGAGTGGGGGAGGCAGAGTATTCGACTGGCTTATCGTAGCCCTATGAAGAGCCCATGTGCTATGGAGATCTAATCAAACTATTAATAACCACCAGAGGAACCTTGTCAGAGCTTTCCCACAATCTCTGGCCTTGGCATTAGATTGATCCTTGAAAGGTCGATTGAAAACCTCTGTTTGTCCTTGTTACAGCTAGCAGTCAAGTCTGACACAATGGCCCATATCCCAGGCTATTCCGCACATCCTCTGACCACCCCAGACTGCCGATACAGCGATAGCAATAAAACACACCGTCGGGGTCATACTTGTGCTTGACGGCTGTCAGCCAGTCATAGTTGGTGCCGTAAAAGTCCTCCTTCCACTGCGGATCCAGCGAGTCGGCTTCGTTTAAGTAGCTGCCCATCCCAGGGGTGAGCCTGCGCATGGCGTCCATCTTGCGGTAGGTGACGTCGTCACGAACGCGCTGGATCTCCAGCGTGTCGAGGCCTGGGCCCCAGAAGGCGATGAGGTTGGCCAGAACGTACGCCCGCCGCCATGAGGGCTGCACAGAGGTGTAGGGGGTCTCCTCCAGCACTTGACCGCCCGCTACTAGACAGTTGTTGAGCACGACCCCCTCGAGCGTGAGGGTGCTGTTGTCTCCCTCGGTAGAAAAGATCGTATGCATCATTTCCGCCAGATTTTCCGCGTTGTCTTCCAGGGATGCCTTGTCGAACAGCCGCGAGGTGATGAGGATGTCGCTCGTGCCGACGCTCGACTCCCCCCCACCAATCGCATCGTAGTAGTCGACAAAGGAGGAGAAGTTGTAGTACTCGACGCTGACGTAGAGGTCCGTGCTGTTGTAGGCTATTAGATCGGCCACCAGTTTATCTTCCAGCTCCTCCTTGGCAGCCTCCCAACTGGCACTGGTATTGGTGTCGGGCAACCTCTTGGCGATCGTGTGAGTGTAGAGCCCCTCAGCCGTCAGGGACGGGTCGAGCAACGAGCTGGTTCCTAGATATCCGTATCCGGAGAACCCAGCGTCCATGACGGTGGGATACCTGGCGGTAATTTGTGCGGAGACGTTGAGCAACGCTGCCACACTCGCGTTCAGGGGTACGACACTGAGTACCTGGCCGATCATGGGAGCACTGGGGTGCAGCTTGATGGTTGCAGAGATGACGACGCCATAGGTCCCGCCACCGCCGCCGCGCAGCGCCGTGAACAGATCCGCATATTGACATGCGTTGGCCGTCACCGTCTCGCCCGTGGCCAGTACCACAGTCATGTCCAGCACCTGGTCGGCTGCAAGGCCAAAGTCGTGGCTGGCGGGGCCATGACCGCCACCTTGCATATATCCTCCAATCACTCCGACGGTCTATTATGGATTAGTGAATTGCCGAGACAAATACGGTGTACATACCCGATCATCACCACCAACGGCAACCATTCCATGCTCCGCAGCAGCGTCGTACACGTCTCCCCATATATATCCACCTCCGACGGTGAAAGCTGCTCCGGTCCAGTTTGACGCACAAGACGAGTTATACCGCGGTTGATAGGCGAGGCCACTATCGATGTACTTGATCCAGATCATTAGAGATCCATAACCTTGTGATCTAGCCGGATCAATCAGCATATAGTATGATTAACAATGTGATTTGATATGTGTTTATGTATTTACCTTCCTCTCCCGTCATGCCCGGTATTCTTGATCACCAAACGGATATTGTTCTCCTTGGCAAACTTGATCCCCGCCGCGACGTCCGCCGCCTCCGTTGCGTTGATGGTGTACACGGGTGCAGTACCGAGATCACAGATCGGATACGCGGCGACAGTGGTGTTGATGGGCGGACATGTTGTGACCAGCGGGTACGAGTATCCCACGGCATTCTCGCTAACAATGGTTGCGTTGGTCCACTGGTCGCTGATGTACTGGCAGGCATCGGCGTCGTAGTTGTCGCCCGGGTAGCACGGTTCGGCTAGAGGTCTGTTGTGCAACAGCTTGCCGTTGACGGTCGTGTTGAGGGTGTTCCAAGATGCTGTTGACGGCCAGCATTCATCGCCGGGGGTCTAAAGAATTAGACTATCCGTGGTATCGATAGCAAGAGAAAAGAAAATGATGTATAAGAAATAGACACAATTACTACATTTAATTGATTATTTCTTATGATCGGCGACTCTTGGAAGGATCTGTCAGCTCCTGGGGCGGTTCCTCGTGGGGGCGGGAGATATTTGCTCATATCTACTACTGACTTATGTAGTAGATAATTCAGACTGGTAGTTATATACTCTACGTCTACAGTATATTTATAAACTACTCAGTTCACTGTGGCTTACCTAAAGCTATATACTATCATCCATATAACCTCAATCTATATGTTGATCATAAGGTGTGGAAAACAGGGTTTCCTGTCCGCTCAGCTGTAAGATTAGGCCTAGGGACACAAGACCACAAAGACAAAAGATCAACATTAGCCGCCATAGTCCTGTTGCAGCCCTTAGGGCCTATAAAGGTAGGGTAGAACCTTATAATTATCTTCTCTCTTATAATATCTAAGACTGACCCTAGGCTCTAGCACTAGGCTTGGCTATATATAACCTATTAGCTAGAATAATAATATCCTTATAATATCCCAAGTCTACAGTATTACTCTTATTATGTGACTAGGTATTATAATCAAACCTATAATACTAAGCCTAGGGATATTGAACTATTGGGAAAAAAGATTAGCATCAGTAATTACAGTAGTCCTATTGTGGCCCCTATGGCCCTATATAGTAGCCTCTAGAGATAATAATTGCCTTTTTTTATATTCTCCATACAAATCTTAAAGGAACACCAAGCCTAGCGAGAAAATATATAGCCAATTCAACTACCCTCGGTACCCTGGAGCATGCCAACTTATCAGACTCCAGCAACTCCAACACTCCAAAATATGCCCATCAACCTCCGCGACCTCCTACTTTCACAAGAACACAGGTACTCAACCGTCTACTCCCCGGAAAAGTCTCCCTCCGTATCTTTACCAGGTTGGTATGGAATCTAACAGAGACTAAAATAGAGGCAAGGGAGGTAATCTCTGACAATCATAGTCCTATGCTTATTATTTTTTTTATTTTTTTATTATTTTTCTCTATTCGGGAACAAACTTTTGGTTCAGCTCGCTTACCTTTTTACTTGGCCAGAAATATCCTGTACGGCCACTCCAATATTCTCCCTGAGCATGATTCATCACGTACCTGGAATGTATACTTGTCGAGTGCTTAAATAACTAAGCAGTAATACTACCAGGTACCACCTAGGTAGTACTTTAGCAAGCTAAACCAACTACGGATTGGCCCCGGCGGCCCGTCCACCGGCGACGAAGGCGCCACCAGAGATCCTGTCTTCCCATTGGCTAAACTCCACGGTTTTTTCTGCATACGCCCCACTGCATCACGATCTGTTCTATGACCTGGGTTATTATCATGAAGAATGAAAGCCTTTAGAAGGAGCCACAATAAGAAAGAGCAGAGGGAGGCAGGAGAGAGAGAGAAAAAAATAAATAGTCAAATAAACAGTATATAAGTGATTCTATATGAATAATCTAGCTGGAGCCATAGCAACTATCCTGCTTCAGGCTTGTTTTATCTCTTCTTCTTTCTTTCTTTCTTTCTTTCTTTCTTTCTTTCTTTCTTTTCTTTTTACATCGGCAAACAGTAGAGGACGGAACCAGAATATGGCAGCGTCCAGCGCCGGCTCCTTGAATGTGTCTGGAACCTTTTCCGAGCCCACGAAGGTGCTAGTCCAGGGGCTGGTAAAGAATGGTTAGTTATTGGATGTGCAGATCACTCTACCTGGAGGTTGCTCAGGTCGTGGCCAAGGAAGACTGCCAAGTATGGCCCTCGTACATGATTCAGAGCGAAAGAGCAGGATGAGTTTGATAATCAATGTGGCAGACTGAACTGTGGGTCGAACGAGGCCTCATTGATTTTCACAACACAATTGCTCTCTGTGGCGTCTGCCACGCGGTAACCATGTCAATTGAAGTTTTTTTATCTATATAATCCTCCATTTATGACCTGTTAGTACATACGACCACAGGGTGTGGAAAACAGGGCTTCCCGTCCGCTCAGCCGTACTTAAGCCACACGCCGGTAGGTTAGTAGTTGGGTGGGTGACCACCAGCGAATCCCTACTGTTGTATGTTTTTATTTTTTTATACTTGGCCGTAGATTGCGTGAAGTATTTTTTGTAGGACCGCTCCTTGCTGGAGTGGCATTAGAGTAGGCGACTGTCAAAGAATCAGAACTTCAAGGCCGTTCGTTGTCTATTCATCTGTGGCTGCTGCAAGGAGCCGCGTCTACTGTCTAGGTACCTGGTAGCTATAGTTACCCAAGTTGTACATACCTACTCCATAGGTAACTACCTATGCCGTAACCCATAGTAGCCTGTTCTCTCTAATGGTTTCTTCACTATCTTTAGGGCTTAGCGGCGGGATTTAATACAGACTAGTAATAGACTAGTAACTGACGGTATTAGCGCTGTTATTATAGAGGTACCTTACTATATACATACTACACAGTAGGATTGCGACCGATATCAACTTAGTAGAATAAAGACATAATGAATACCTATGATTTCTATTTTAATATAGTGATATATTATATTAAGAAAGATATATAGGAGGCTTAACTATATAAGATAATATAAGAGTAAGACTAAGAGTATACTACCTCTAATTAGATTATAGATATAATATAACTGATTATATCACTGATCAGAGTCAATATCAGTGATTCCCTAATAAGAGACATCACTACTCATTAGTTATACTATAACTATAGTATAGTGGTACTTTGTTTTCCTATCTCCAGAATGCCCACCAAGAACCTGTCACTGGTCTTAAGAATAGCGTTTGCTTTAAACCCTTGTGATATGGGATTATCCTGGCCTACTGCCTTCCTAATTACTGGGAGGATGTTAGAGTGGCAGCAGGGGACTTTCCCTGCCAGATCTGCTCTAGCTCCAGGGAATTTAAATAATGAGATCTCCGCTTGATTAACACTGTTGTCTGTACAACAGTCTAGGCTTCACCAGCGCACACTCCAACTAGGCAAAGGTTATCATTAAGGCGAACTTATCTTCATTCATGGCGGTACATTGCCTTGTAGATGCCTTATATAGATGCTAATAATCTAGATGATATGGATTGCGAAGGACACGGTCCGGTAAGAGTTCTATATACCTATTCAGCATTGGATAAGCTCGAATACCTTCTTCGGTACGACCGACAGTGGAAAACCCCGTTTTTCTAGCAATGGGTCAATAAATGTATCCAGGAGATTCTCCATGCTGGTCTCCACGTTGTTCAAGGATTGCTCCCCTAGAAAACACCCTTGGCTGAGTTGTGGAACCTTTATATCACACACTTCAGTCTCACGAATGACCCCTACTTTTTCGAGAAAAGGCTGTTGGAGGCTCAAAAAGCCGGGTCTACATGAACTAATGGAGTCGCGGTCCTTGAGCAAGCTCCTCGGTATATCCAGGGAGACTGCAAAATCTGTCTTGCGGTTAAGCACCCTTGGTATTGAAAAGGAGCTTGATACAGTATACAAGAGACACATACAATCAGGCAAGCTCACAGCTAAGCAGATCCGATATGTAAGGGCAATCCTGGAGGGGCTCGCGGGCAATTTGTTCTACTCCCGTCACGCTCGTGTTGTTCCTGGCACTCGTCTTGTGAACCGTACTCCTGTCTAGGAACAGGGAGCCAAGAAGAACAAAAATCTATTGGTTACAGATACTGTTTACCTTTATTGTTCTGAAGAATTGCTTTAATCTTCTCTTGAAGAAGAGTGGTTGGATACACAGTCAATCAATTCAGTAAACCTAGTCAACAAGCTCCAGTAGGAATAAACGTGCAGAAACAGAGGTAGGAAGATAAACCTCAATGGAACTCTCTTCGCTGTTCCACTGGCCACTGCCCCCGAGCGTGGTAGGATAGAGCATGGTCACTGTGACATTGCTCCGTCCTGCAAACACAGATATCGGGAACCTTGTCGAGGCATCACCCCTCCTCCGCCAAACAGAGAGATAGACGGACCTACTGTCCCGCAGTTTCATCCCCAAAGAGATCCATTCGTCGTGCCACTTGGGTAGCCCGCCCGGCCAAAACGGTAGCGCGGTCTTGAGACCCGCCCGGATGCCCTTGTACACCTCGATGCCCTGCGCCACGAGCGCGAACTGCGTCTCACACAGCTTGTTCAGCGGGCCAGAGAGATGTACCCGTCCCAGCAGACTGTTCACCACCGTCAATGCATTGGTCTCATCGTTCCAGGTCGGCTGCGGGTACGCCCATGTCGCACTCTGCTCAGGTGTCACGGCGGTGGGGATCGCCGCTGCGATGGCTGCATACAACACGGGGTCTTGCTGGTCACTCGTTGATTGCACCGGGTGGACTGCAAGCATCGCATAGTCCAGTCGCTGCCCGCCACTCGAACAGTTCTCGATTACCAGGTGCGGGTATCGGTCAAGTATTGCTGCAACCCAGCCGAGATATCCGCGCTGGTGGTCCAGATGGCCTGCTCCGGGGTTGGTCCATGTCGGATTGGCCGGGTTTGTGTCTGTTCCGTAGCAGACCTCAATGTTGTAGTCGAACTTGAAGTACCCAGCGCCGTACTGGACCACCAGCTTGTCAATAACCGAGTCCATGCGCTCCCGTACGGCAGGGTGGCTGAAGTTAAGCTGGTAACGGCCCCGTTCCAGTACCCGCACGCCCTGCTCGTGGAAGAAGGCGTCTTCCGGCAAGGTCTGGGCGAGGATGCTGCGCATACCAACCACCTCAGGCTCGATCCATAGGCCAGGAATTAAACCATTGTCGCGGATGGTTGCCAGTAAGTTCTCAAATCCCGATGGGAACCGGCTCTTTGACGGCTCCCACAAGCCGACATCATCCCACCAACCATCATCCTCGGCATACCAGCCCGCATCGATGACAAAGTATTCAGCTCCAGACCGCTTAACAGGCTCCAGCAGCGCAAGAATCTTTTCCTCGGTCGGATCGCCCATCAGGCAGTTCATATAATCATTGAAAATGACTGGCAAGCGCTCGTTGTCTTCGTGTGGGCGGCGGATGCGCCGACGGTACTCGGTCAAGGTGCCCATCGCCGCGTTGGCGCCCCGAAAGCCATGATACACCGCGATGGGAACGCTATCAAATGTCTGACCTGGCAAGAGTCTTAACTGCCACCCATGGTCAATCGAGGTTGGCCCGCCAGCGGCCAGATATAGATCGTTGTAATAGTCCCCAAGCTCCCACCGCCACGAGCCGTTATTCTCGACCTGCCACAGCCAGACCTCCGGGCGGTCTTTCCGTCGGATCATCCCCATAGGCAAATAGGAAGATGTCGAGAATGAGCCGCGACTTGAGTGACCAAATGTGGAGAATGACGCATGATGACCCTCATTTAGTTCATAATGGCCCGTGTGGTCAACTCCGACCTCCGACAGGGTTCGCTCATGCCATTGGCACTCGCGGAACCACGTGTTGGTCGCCGAGCTGACAGTGAATTCACTCCACCAGGATTTGGTGCCACTAGTCAGCGCTCCAATGGTCAGCGATGTGACTTGAGATACGACCAAGTCAGAGGTTCCGCCGTTCTCCACCGTGGTATGCGCGCGAAGACAGGGGACGCCTTGGTATACACGCAGGTGGGTGGTCACTTTGAGTTTCGTGACGGGGTCTTCAGACAAGATATCCAAGGCCTCGAACCCTGCAAAACTGTCTTTACTGTGAGAGAGGTATCGCAGTCGTGTCGAGATGTAGCTGCCCACAAGCGCCTTGGACGTCTTGTCCCGCTGGTTCCCCTCGCCGACGAGTCGGATGCTAGCTAGAGGGACAATCTCCTCCTCCGGGAGGACAAAAGTCATCGACACACTAGATATATCTGTTGTGGGCAGGATGCTCGCAATCGCCGGCGCACCATTGTTCAGCGTTATGACCACAGTGAGCACACTCGTCTGCCAATCAATACGAGAAACGCTGGCCATTTTTGCCGATGAAAATAAATAGCGGTTCAAACAGTATATAGTTGTTCAACCTGAGAGTGATGGCTTGAAAGTGTAGAAAAGGATCTCGTTGGTATTTGGAGCTGTCAACCCTCCTGCGGAGTCGCTGACTTGATACTCATAACCCATTGTGGAGGTGGGGGTGGGGGTCGTTCAAAATGGTGGTAAGCTGATGATCACGATCGTAATCAAAGATTTGTATAGATGGTGAAGCCTGATTATATTGACCTCCGAAGCGTTCGCGCAGGAGGAGGGGTTGATTTCCTATAGAATGATCTCCAGGTCAATGAGGAGCGCTCCACGAATCAGGTCAAACCTTTCCAGGTAAAGTATGCAGCAGTAGATCCCCGAGAATGCATCAAAGCTTCGATACCTTGACCAGAATTGCCATAAGACAGCCGAGATACCCATTGCAAGAAAGCCATTGTCACAGATGATGTCGAAGAGAGAAACTGCCTGATTGAGAAGGACCGGTAGTCATGTGATGATTTGGCATCCTTATCCTGATGAGGGTTAGTGCACCTGCCAGTAGATCCCCCATATCACGTGGACTACTCCGCACGGCTGTCCTGGGTGAGGGTAAGCAAGAAGGAACAACGCCAGGCTCCTGTTGCTGTCCTAAGAAGATCTCCATGCGCCGAAATAGATTTGCTCCGATCCGATGTGAGGCCTGCAACAAGCAGTTCTCGCGCCTTGAACACCTGAGACGGCACTGCGAACTGCACCGCAACGTGAAGCCGTACAAATGTTCCATCTGTGACCGCCGGTTTGTCCGCAAGTGAGTTGCCAGACCGAAGCAGTGGCTGTTATTAGACTGACGATGTCTGTATCTCTAGAGATGCAGCCAAGAGACACGTGGCGACGCATGCCGGGTCTAGTCGCCAGACCGCGATTGTGCAGGAGGGGGCGTATTCGGACTCACAACCATTAAGTCAAGGTGCAGGTCATATATCACTGCATGGATATCCAGATTTAGGAGCATAATGACTGACAAGTAGGCAGATATGAGGCCAGTTGAGAACGAGTCTAGTCAAGAGTATTCTTCTTCCTTTCCATTACATATCATCACAGCGTCTAGGAAGGCTCAACCCTCAAATTCGTTATCAGGAGCGCAGGGAGTGCCAGAGAAGAATGATGAGCCGCTAAAAATAGATATAACAGCCAGACGCGGCTCTTCGACTGGGAATATCCATATAGAAGGCACGCCGTTCTCAGGCCTGGAACTGGATCACGCGGTAATTTCTCTACCTGAAGATGTGCTGATCTCAGAGGATGTTACATACTCACGGCTGCAGCCGGAAGAAAGACTGCCAGCTCACACAACCCAAGTATTTTCTGGATGGATGATTGCGCAGACCTCGTCAGTACTCAGGGAGAAGGAAATCTCCCATATGGAGCCACCACTGTCTGAATCTGTTCGTAGCCACATTATCTCTCCTGTCACCTTGAAACTTCTCACAAGTCTCTACTTTGAGAATTTTCACCCAACATATCCTTTTATTGACGGCACCTCTCTCCAAATATCCGACTCGGGGGTGCTCGTGTGCCTCGCGACAGCAGCTATCGGGGCCTGTTTCCAGGATTCGGAAACTAGTGAAGACGAAAGTTTCTTTCTACATGCTATTCTACAGGACTTATTAATGGTGGAGGTACTTGAAGCATTTTTGAACCCTCTTTGACCTCCGCTGACAGGCTGCTAAGTTGCCTAAAAGTTATACTGCCAATTCCTTGCATTTTCTCCAGGCGATGACTCTTCACACTGTTGGGTTGATTCACAGCAAACACAAAGAGTCACGCCAACTCGCACACTCAACGGCAGCGCTGACCTTCCAGCTTTCCAGAAGCGTGGGAGTATTTGATTCAAGAAGTCGAACCGAGCCTTTGAGTTCGTTGGATAAAGATACGGCCTTCGATACTATTTTGCGGGATGCGGAAACCCGTACCCGAACAGGCTTTTTCATATATGTAAAGATACTAAATTATCTATCTACCTGCCCCAGATGAATGCTGATACATAACAGATGCTCGACACGATGTTGGCTTTTCCCGAAAACACATCCCTTCTGATATCGCAGAGATCGCTTCTGAACTTGGACCTCCCATGTCCTGATAGAGTTTGGGAAGATGGCGAAGACCATTCCAAGATAGGTAAGATATCAGATCCTTTAATAATATTCCTCTTGCTGACGATACTAGAATCTTTCACTCTAGAAGAAGCACTTTGTAGACTCTATATGGAGAGAAAACTAGTACCGGAACAGTCGGAATTCGCCCTGACCGGATTGATCTACGGAGTTATCCGCTGCAACCTGGATGTGGCTTGCTACTACAGTAACCCCCTCTCCTTTTGGACACCAGGCGATGCGCAAGACACGAATATCCATCACCATCACCGCCACCACAATCGCCATGATAACAAACAACGGGATAGTCTCTACTGGAGATGGCGAGACAGCACCTGCGATTGCCTTGACACTCTCCACTGGGAGATCCTCGGCCGCAGTGCTGCAGCAGGCGGCCACGAAGCGCCCATCTTCCTACACCTGCACCTCGCCCGGCTGGCGATTCTCGCCCCCTGCCCAGAACTCCTTCGTATGTTCGAAGCTAACAGCGAGAGCGGTACCTTGTTCAGTGTCTTGAGTGACAAGAGCGTTGTCCAGACCTGGCTTCAATTGGACCAACACAAGGCCCGTCTAGCCGTGCTGCATGCGGGCGCCATGTTTTGGCATCTCCGGCACGTCGAAGCGACCTCCTTCAGCCAACCACTAGCCATCTTCCTAGCCGCACTAATCCTCTGGGCGTACGGATGCCATGAATATTTCGACGCCAAAGATCATTCTGCTGCTACTGCTGCTGCTGCTGATCCAGCCGAGCCAGACCGGATGCACGTTGATCGCCCCTTTGACGATGAACTGGCCCAACTCTTCATCCGCACGGGCCGGATAGAGCTATACATGCACCCCGTCGGCAAGATTTGTTCTGCCGGCGGTCCGGAACGGGTCCTCGGAGAGGCAAAAGCGCTCCTACAGCGGCGGATGCGGGTATGGGGGGTCTCTAAGCACTATATTGCGAGACTTGAGGATGCGTTAGGTTCTTCGCCGTGGAGTGTTGCCTAGATAGAGTTCCATATAGCTTGAAGAGTTATGACTTCAAGTTCTACTTATTTATCAGTGTTGGAAATAGTTCGTCTCTGGCCTCGTACTTTTTGATGATAGCCATATTCGACACTAATGTGTCTTTCATACTCTTACTAGAAATTCCGAGCAGAAAAACCACTTCCTTCAGGCACTGACCAAACTGTTACGATATGACGATCGACGACAATCCAGACTGGTGGAGACAGAAAGAGAGTGGATATTTTTGATTGTGGTAGCCATGTGTTTGATTTGTTTGCAAGGGGGTCAGGTGACTCGAAAATCGAGAATGAGGCACCGGGTGAGATACAGAAATGGTGTTTTTTGTGGCCACACGAGCCATATCTGGGGGTTAGAAGAGTCGTTGATCTGTAGAAAACCGGCTATTCAGTAAGTTAATGCGATAAATAAGCCCAATATCGACGATCCCGTCTGGAATAGGCCCGCAACGACAAAGGCCTGAGCAATTAGGTAATCGGGATTCATAAGAAACGACCAATCAAAACACAGGACACAGCCCTAGGCGAAGCGGCCGGTCATGTGACGCACAACCCACATTTTCGGCCACAAACGACGGGAACACTGAGAATCTTCCCGACGACCCTCACGACAACGACAACCGTTCGAGTTCTTCTTTCACGATTCCGACAAGGAGGCTCCCTGAATAATGGCTGTCACGAACCAGAGTGCGTCAACTCTCTTTAATCCCCCGGCATATTGTTCTGCAAAAAAAAAAAAAAATCCAAATTCGACCCCGAGTGGCAGTCGTGCTGATGAAACGTTCTTTTGATCCTTTTTAGGTCTCGCCTCTTCGCGCCGGAAGTCGCGCAAGGCGCACTTCAGCGCTCCCTCCAGCGAGCGCCGTGTTATCATGAGCGCTCACCTGTCCAAGGAGCTCCAGGCCAAGTACAATGTACGTTTCTGAACCCCGACGAATCCGCCAAAAAGTCTTTCAAGAAAGAAAAACCGATTTGGAACCACCCTGAGGGAAGAAGAAGCAAAGGAACAAGGCGCAGAGATTTTTTCTTGGGTACAATTTTTTTTAACGATCCTGGAATATAGGTCCGCTCGATCCCCATCCGCCGCGATGACGAGATCGTTGTTGTCCGGGGCTCCCAGAAGGGCCGTGAGGGCAAGGTCACCAGCGTGTACCGCCTGAAGTGGGCCATCCACGTCGAGCGTATCGTCCGCGAGAAGACCAACGGCCAGAGCATCCCCATCCCCCTCGCTCCTTCGAACGTCGTCATCACCAAGCTCAAGCTCGACAAGGACCGTGAGCAGATTCTGGAGCGGATTGGCAAGGGTCGTGAGGCTGTGAAGGCCAAGTCGGCTTAAACGGTTTTCGACCTTTTTTTTTCTCTTCCTTTTCCAAACCTCGAGGGGGCCCGGGGGAGGGTTTCAAGTTTCATATTCCAACAGCGGTGTTTGTAACTCGGGAGTTCTAGAAGACTCGAAAAAAAAATACGAGATCCAGCCTTACGATCGTGATATGTCTATGTCTACCAACACTAGATGTATTGTGATGTGAAACAAAAACCAAAAAATTTCTCAATTTCTTCTTTCTTCCCTTGGTATCTGGTATCTGTCTATATGTTGATGGTATCTACGACCAGGCTCAAGGAGAAGGAGGCTTGGTCAAGTGGTCAAGTTCTTTCGAATACTTCTGATGCGACGACACCGGTCTGGGACCTGATCAGGTCCTAATGGCTGTACAACCATGCATGTGTACAATCATCTGGTCATCATGTCATCCTCGCTGTACAGTGGTGACAGGAGAATATAAACTATAACCCGACCATTCATATGAGTAGTAGACTTATGAATATCCTTGCCCAGTCTATCTAAATTTCGGTGAGGCATATCTTAAGGATAATCTAGGCTGTAGACAGCACCCTTTTGCCATGAAAGCCTCCTGCCATACGACCGAGGCACTTCACTGTCCTATCATTCTACTTTCCCACTATTATCTTGTTTGTCTAGTAATTCATCTATCATTTGTATGTAATTATGTAATTATTGTCTGCCTTAGTGCCTGCCGTGAAGACACTAGGCCTGAAGCGGCATAGCCGACCACTATCAAGTCTTCGTTTCCTCTGCAACTCTCTCGTCTCTCTTGATTCTTATATTTGTTTAGAGACAAATGCCTTTTAGATATTGACATCTAAGCTCATTTCCTGCTCTAGACAGCAGCACTGTATCACATTTGGTTACAGAAGAGACTAGAACGCAGGGGCAAGCACACTCAGAGTATAGCCTTCTACCCCTGTTAGAAATGATAGGGAAGATAAACTGACAGTTTGCAGGCTATAACAGTGACTAGTACTGCTAGTTTAGACTCGCAGCGCAAGCTGAACGATAATAACGAGAGATGAGAGGTCATGGGTCAGCCAGGGTAATCTGCAGGTACCTATACTACCTACCCATGCGTCCAGATAGCCCCTTAGTTAAGAGGAAATAAAGCTACATGAAGGGATAGCATGGCGACTCATAAGCGAGTGCGCAAGCGTTTCGGTTACCTAACCAGGATGCTTACCCGCGGGCTGACGTGCATTCTCTGCAAGATCCTGGCCGATTTCAAGGACATCCCAGACAAGTGCCGCGTGGGCGCACGTGGAAGGCATGGTCTGGAGTGAGTACCGGCAGAGATAATACGGACTACTATCAACTATTGACTAATGACGGGCTGGAAATGGGATGGGTGGGACATACATGTTCTTTCCTGACACCAGCCATGTGCGGCGATGTCGCCGTCTACTTTGCTGGTCGACAGACGGCCGCGCGCCCTCCATCCGTGATATCCGGATCGGCTGTCCGCCGGGGTGTTCATGGATCATCTCTTCCCGGCTGGTGTGGCAGGCTGGCAGGCTGGCAGGCCGGCCCGAGAATATCTACTGACCATATCTACTGATCGTATCTACTGATTGTACTATCCTGTCTCCCGGCCTTGTTTCACATTCTTCCTGATGGCAGTTCCACCAGAAGCATTTCTGATTGAATGCCTGCGTCTGTCTTTTTTGCCTTGATGGTGCAGACTCAACCGTTCCTGAATCTAAGCGGGTATCAGATCGCCCACTGCTGACGAATTCTCCCAGTCTAGCAATTAGCAGATGCTTAAGAATGCTTGATTTGGTTGAGTTATCTCCACCGAGACCGACGGTCCCCGCTGCAGCAATTATGCTTATCTATGCCGAAGTACTACAGTACTACAGTACTACCTAGGTACACATAGTATTTCGTACTATTAAAATCAAGTAGAATAAGTCAGACATTGATTAAATGAAACCAGCTAGGCATCAGAGATAGTAGAGGCTTCTAATAGGGGTATAACCAGGGTACTCTGTCTGATACTACAGAAAGACCAAAAATTGGCTATACTCCGTGGACTGTTAGGTCGTGCAGAATGTGGTAGGGCCGTAATGACCATACTAGCGTATTACTGTAAGTACGTATCACGCTAGTATAAACTCTAAGAGTATGGAGTAGATTAGATGAATACCTACTAGTTACCTAGGTAGTTACCTAGGTACCTACCTTAGGTAAGTAGTAGGTAGTTACCAAGAGTACCTAGTATCTACCTAGGTAGTATAGTATTCTCATAGTATTCTCATAGTATTCTCATAGTATTCTCATAGTATTCTTATAGTATTGTCAACGTGAATTGACACAATATATATACCACCACTACTACTACTCTACCACTCTACTATGCTTATATTAAAGTTCTGAGTTCCTTGGCATCACATGCCCCGCTCGGAATGATATAACGTCCGGTGATAGTCCGTAACGACATGCAAGTGAAACAGGGTATAAAGTATTAGCGAGTGCTACAGCGTACTGGAATTACAGTGGACTATGTCGTAACAGTTATCCCCCGCAGCAAATAATTATTCAGGGCGAAGCGGGCCAGGGATGAGACGGATGATCTGCATGGGTTAGCCCACAGCCAAGCGAAATGAACGCGTGTATCTCTCCGCTCCTGGCAGAGCTGACGAATGCTCAGTTCCAGGATACGGAGTCTACGTAGTATACTCCGGAGTAGACGAAGGATGCTCGAGTAGACGGAGTAAGGTCCGAGAACGTCGTAGTAACTATTAGTTAGTTGCCACTACTAATTACTCTGCCCGCTAGAGACGTAACGCAAGAGTATATAAAGCACTTCTCGCTGTACAACGAGTACCTAACTCTCATCCAACCTTCATCATCTCTCTCACCATGAAGAAGACTCTCATCCCCGTGGCAGGATTCCTGCTGGGAGCCGAGGCGGCCCTGTACAATACCGTACTGGAAACCAACTCGGGCCCGGTGGTCGGATACCGGGCGTTTAACAGCTCGCCGGCCGGCATCGGGCTGGACAACTGGGAAAACATTGCGGTGTGGAAGGGCATCCCGTTTGCGCAGGACACCTCAGGCAGCAACCGCTTCCGCCCGCCGCAGCCGCTGGCGAAATGGAACGAGACGCTGTACGCCGCCGAGTTTGGCCCCGTGTGCCCCTCGGCGACGCAGGGGGGGGACTACACCGTCGACGAGGACTGCCTGAGCCTGAACGTGTGGAGTGCCGCCAACTCCAGCGCCGACAAGCTGCCTGTCGTGATGTGGAGTTATCCCGCCGAGTCGACCGCGCGCGACGCCCTGTTCAACGGCGGGGGCATGGCGGACAAGAACATTGTCTTTGTCAACTACAACTACCGTACCGGGTCCTTTGGCTGGCTGGCGACCCCGGAGCTGAGCGAGGAGCGCTACGAGGCCGTGGGCGTCAACAGCTCCGGCAACTGGGGCATGCTGGACCAGTTCGCCGCCCTGCACTGGATCCGGGAGAATATCGAAGCCTTTGGCGGTGATCCGGACCACATCACCGTGCAGGGCCAGTCCGCCGGTTCCGCGGCCACCTACCACATCCTCAACAGCCCGTTGACCAAGGGGGAGATCGTGGGTGCCATCATCGAGAGTGGCGTGCGTGACCCGCACGACCCTCTGTGCTCCAGCTTGGCCGAGGGATACACCACCCTCGCGGCCGCTCTGGCCACGGGTGAGAGCTACAGCGCCAGCCTCAACTGCTCCGGCGACATCGAGTGCATGCGGGAGCTCCCCATGGACGACCTGGTCACTGCCTTCCGCTCCAGCTCCTACTCCTTCTCCGCTACGCTCGACCACTACGCCATGCCGCACAAGTACATCGACTCCCTGCTTGAGGGCGCCGCCAACCAGGTCCCCGTCATCACAGGCAACAACAAGGACGAGAACGGTGCCACCTACAACCTCTCCCTCACCGTCGAGGAGTACCTGGCCGACATGAACGAGACCTTCTCCGGTGAATGGCTCGACAAGTTCCTTGATCAGTACGCCGTCAACGTCTCTGCCGAGGGCGCCGCCGGCGCCTACGACGCCCAATGGACCGACCGTTCCAACGTCGGAACCTGGCTCTGGACCCGGCTCTGGGCCAAGGGTAGCTCCGAGACCGTCCACACTTACTTCTGGGACCACGCTCCCCCGGGCCAGGACCAGGGCGCCTACCACGAATCCGAAATCAACTACGTCCTCAATAACCTGTACGATACCGATCTCCCCTGGACCCACGACGACTACGTCATCGCCGCCAAGATGAACGCCTACTGGGTCAACTTCATCAAGACCGGCGATCCCAACGGTGGCAACCTCACCGAGTGGAAGGCTGCGGGCACGGAGCCGGTTGTTCAGCATGTCGGTAATGGCTGGGGGCCTATGCCTGTTGCTGATGATGCCAAGATCGAGTTGTTCGAGGACTGGTTTGCTACTTTGCCTACTTTCTAGTTATTCTGATCTTCACTCTGTATATATGTTAGTACCGACGTCTATATACTGTCTATCTACCCTTGCATAGTTAACTACCAGTAATGCAATACTTGTATCTGTACTTAATTATAGTTGATATACATAATGCCTAAAGAGATTCCCCCCCCTGCTGCACCATCGAAGCAAACACCCCCCCAGCAGCTTTCAATTCCTCCGGCGCCCCAAACTCAACAGCCCTCCCGTCCTGAAGAACGAGGATCCGGTCAAAGTCCGCGACTGTGCTGAGCCGGTGCGCCACCACCAGTAGCGTGGTATCAGAGAACGCCTCGCGGATCGACCGCTGGATGAGCTTGTCCGTTGCCCCGTCCACGGCAGAGGTGGCTTCGTCCAGAACCAGGATTTTAGGGCGTGTCAGGATCGCGCGCGCCAGACAGAGCAGCTGTTTCTGTCCGTGCGAGAGGTTGTTGCCGCCTGACGCGACGGGCGAGGACAGCGTAAGGAAGATATTAGAAGTAGCGGCAACAGTATTGGTACTGGAACTAGCACCGGCAAGAGTACTAGAACTAGTTTCTTCAGCAGTGGAAGAGGCACTCGAGGCAGTCGCAGAGGCAGTCGCCGAGCCAGTGGGAACCAAATGTACTCGCTGCAGAGCGTCTTGGACCTCTGCATCACTGAACCGGCCCAGCGGGTCGAGGTTCGACCGGATCGTGCCGGAGAAGAGCACTGGATCCTGCGGGATAATAGCCAGTCGTGTACGGAGATCAGTCAGTCGGATGGTCGAGATGTCGACTCCGTCAATCACAATCGCCCCGCGCTGGGCATTCAGGAAGCGGAAGAGCGCGAGCGACAGTGTAGATTTGCCTGTTCATTAGTTACATTATATAAAAAAAAAAAAAAAAAAAAAAAGAGAAAGAAAGGAAAAAGAGAAAAAAGCTTACCCGCTCCTGTTCTCCCTACCACGCCAATACGCTGCCGTCCCTCAACGGTAAACGTCAATCCCTTGAGAATGGCCGGCAGCCCCTCTGCATAAGCCACTTCTAAATCTGAAACCTCGATGCGGCCGTCCTCGGGCCAGCTGGCGCGAACGGAGTCGCCCTCGGCCGGCTCAACTTCCAGATCGCGATACTCGAGAATCCGCTCCGCGGAGTTCATGTCGAGCTCAACTGCCGTCGCGATGCGGACGGCAAGGGTGACCTGCCACCCGAAGCTGAGGGCAAAGGACAGCGCGAACCCGGCGAGACTGGCGTCGACGCCCGGCGTGACCACGATACAGACGGCAACCGTGGACGCCAGCATGGCTGCGACCAGCCCCACGCGCAGCATCAGCCAGCCCTTCAGCAGGGCGTCGTGCCAGGTGCACGCGGCGTAGGCGTCGATGAGCGCGTACATGCGCTCTGCAAAGGCGGGGGTCTCGTCAAAGGCGCGGATCGTCGCCAGGCCGCGCAATGTCGCTGAGAAATGCGAGATGACGGGCGACTTGCTGGTCGACTCGAGGCGTTTGATCGTGCGCGCGCCGCCGATGTACTGTCGCCCGATGAGCGTGCAGGTCGTCAGCAACACAACCGCCACGCCGGCCATCACGGGCGAGACAAACACCGCCGCGATAAGGATGCCCAGAATCTCCCATAAGATCGTGGCCAGCATGTAGAAATTCTGCGTCAGCGACGAATCTAGCGAGGTGAAATCACCAGTGAATCGGTTCAGGATGCGGCCTGCGGGCACGGTGTCGAGCCAGCGCAGGGGTGCGTGCAACACGCTGTCCAGCAGCTCGGCAAACAGCGTGCGCGACGCCCGGATCGAGGCAATATACACGGCTAGCAAGCGGGCAAGCGTGACTGCCACGGAGAAGACGGAAATAATACAATACACGGACAGATAGAACCAGAGGTTGTCGTTGTTCGATGATAGGGTGTGGACGGCAGGTGTTTCTTGCGATGATGGCCACAACATCATCGTCTGCAGGGAATAACCGGCACGCGCCTGTTGCGACACCTGTGGAGTAGGCTCTGAAGAAGAACCGCTCGAGCCCGCCCAGATGCGCACCCAGTATGTCCTACCGAGAATGAAGCTCTGCGAGACGGCAAACAGCACCAAAAGCACCGACCACAGCACCCAACCGCCTGACGCGCGAATGTACGCCTTGTACACGGCGGAGGAGACGCGGCCGGTTTTGCGGCCCTCGACGTCGGCCTCGACCTTTTCAGATGCGGTGAACGTCTCTCCTGACTCGGCGGACATTTTCTTGGGGTCTCCTTCTTCTTCTTCCGGGTCATCGATCGCCCCGGCGTCGCCCTCGCCGGCAAACACCATGGTTCCGTCGGCGAGGCGCACCGAGTAGGCAGCTTGGCACATGGCAGCGTGATGGGTCGCGAGGATGCGGGTGCGGCCCTGTGCAAGCTCGCCACGGAGAGCGTTCTCAAGCACGTGGCGGCCAACATGGGCGTCCAGGGCACTGAAGACATCGTCGAGGACTAGGATCTTGGCGGACGAGTACAGGGCTCGCGCGAGGGAAACACGCCACTTCTGCCCGCCGCTCAGCGCGACTCCCTGCGTGCCGACGAGGGTGTCGTCGCGGTTCGGCAGCAGCGCAAGGTCGGCCGTCAGGGCGCAGGCCGCAACCGTCTTGCCGTAACGGACGGGGTCAAAGGGCGCACCGAACAGGACGTTGTCGCGGATTGTGGCATTCTCGAGCCAGGGGGTTTGCGAGACAAAGGCCATGCCCATTCCCTGGGGTACGTGGACTGCTCCCTCCACCACGTCTGCCTCGCCCAAGATGGCCGCCAGGAGGAGCGACTTGCCACTGCCTGTAGGGCCGGAGATGACGCTAAAGGCACCCGAGGGAAACACCAGGTTAACATCGCGTAGGACGAAGCGATCCTCCTCACCAGTCTTGGTGGTGGGGAAGGCAAGCGAGGCGTTGTGGAAAGCCACCGCAGGGCCTGGATGGGTGGCGACCGGTCGATCGGGCGAGCGCAGGAACTTGTCGATACGGTCGCAACTGACCTTGGCGTTGAGGAGGAGGACAAGCAGATACGGAATAAACGAGACCAGGCCCTCAAGCTGGATGAAGAGCGAGATGGCGGTGAAGGCGACAGCAGGGCCGAGGGAGCCATGCACAAGAGCGTAGGTGGTGAGCGAGAGGGCCGTCAGCACGACGGGGGTGAACTCGGACGCAACCGCCATGTAGACACTGTTGAGGCGCGTCTTCCACAGGACGGCAAGCTCCTCTTCGCGCACGGCCGTGAGCTGTGCCGTCCACTGCGCCTCGGTGGCGCCAAACTTGATCTGACGGATCCCGTGTAGGGCCTCAGTCGTCAAGGCGGTCCGCCTGTCGCGGATCTTCATCAGGGTCTTTTGCAGGCGTCCGTAGCGGGATGCAAGAGCCCGGTTGATGGGGAAGAGCACGGCGATGCCGAGGAGTCCCGCACACAAGCTCTGCCAGCCCATGAGCACGAGCAGAAAGACGACCGTGACCGCGAACTTGCCCGCCATGTTGACGTACTGGCCGTTTTGCGCGCCGAAGATGGCGATCTGGTTGCAGTCGACAGCAAACATATTGATCACGTCCTGGGAAGCTTGCTTTTCCTTTGCGTCATCTTCTCCTGCTTTCTGGTCCTTTGCGTCCTCTCCGGTCGATTCGTCCGCCTGCAGACGTCTGCGCAGGAGTTTGCGATACATGAGGCCGGTGAGGGTCGAGCGCATGGGGATGACGAGGGTGGCCATCTCCCACCACATGATGCGCGAGTCGACTATCTGCGTGCTGACAGTGGCGGTAAGGATGGCCAAGACGTACTTCCAGGCGTCCGGGTCGACGGCGGGGGCGTTGGGATCGGCCTCCCGGCGCTCCAGATGCTGCAGCATCTTCATGGTCGCGAAGGCCGGGGCAACGTCGAAGAAATTGGAGACAATGATGGAGACCCAGACGCGGATTAGGCTCCAGCGGAACATCCATGTAAGGCGGGCCCAGAGGGGAAGACTGTCGTTGAGGACGGAGTCGTAAAACGCGGCGGTGGAAGCTTCGGCACGCAAGTTGGCGTGCATCGCCGGCAGGTCGGCGAGCTCCAGGGTCTCTTTGTTACCGGCTTCGAGCACCGGCAACACCCACTGGAAGGCCAGATTCGACCACAGGCTGGTCGTTGCCTGGCCGTCGACGACGCGGCCTGCGTGGGAGACGGCCGGGCGGCGCTGGAGAAGCCCCAGACTGACGATCAGACCGGCCAAGACCGGTAGCTGAACGGCATTGAGAATGAAAGGGACCCCAGTCGACGTTCGCAGGCCCACGATGAGGATCACCACCGTGAGCGCGGCGGTGATCAGTTGGACGGTCGCGCGGTTGAAGCGGGCCACCGACTCTCTCTCACGGGCGGTATCAACGAGTTGTAGGATGAGGAAAAACTATATTCATTATTATTAGAATCATATTTCTCTCTCTCTCTCTCTCTCTCTCTCTCTTTCTGTTTAATTGATGGGAATAAAAACCCACCCAGGCAGGTAAAACGAGGCTCTCGCGCTGCTGCGTCAACGCGGCCACGACAACGCCTGCGACCGACAGAGCGAATCCGAGCAGGACGCAGACAAAGGCAGCGACAAACACCCGCCCGGACAAGCGGGCGTAGGCAGCCATGGCCTCGAGGGAGGCGACGCCGTCGACATCCTCGTAGATGGCGGGCGCAGGTTTGCGCAGGGTCCAGCGGGCGGAGACAAGACGACGCAGGGCAGGCAGAGAGCCAAGGGCGATCAGCGCTGTGGCCGCGAGGGCGGCACTGCCGTCCATGTCTACCATGAGGACAGGACGGATGGTGAACAGTGAAGATTTACTCTTGCATTTGGCTTCCGGTAGAATAAATTTGTTCATAAAAGAAAAGCACAGAGTACTCCTGGAGGAGTAAGAGTAAGCACCTGGAGTCAGACGCGGAGTCCGGCGGAGCAGCGGCAGATTTGCAGAATCCAGGGTATTTTTCAGTGAGTGTATAGTCTAGCCATGATATAGAGAGGAATAATACAGAATAATACCAGATATATAATACGATAATTGCATTCCATGTATTTGCAAGAGACCAACCAATCAAATGTCTCAGATAACGGCGTCTCTTTCTGGACCCCGACAAACGGTAGCGAATCCTTTTGGTCCGTGCGTGTGATAGCCAATAGGAAGGACTGAATTTCTGACTATGAGCTCGGAATAAAATGACTAAGCATACAATAGGAAGATACTAGGTAACTTACCTAAGGTAGGTACTAGGTAGGTACCTACCTGATATACATGGAGTTGTCTCACTCACAATAGTTACCTATGGAGTAGACCTGGTTAACTAGGATCAATACTTTGAGGCGAAGATCCTGGTGGAATTTCAGTACTAATGGTGTTTTGTAGCATGGAACTGGTCAAATTTAGGCGCAGTCTGTAATTCAGGCCATCATTTATCTGCTTGGAACCTGCTCGAGGCCTGGAGTAGGAATTATAAGAGAATGCAGGAAGAGGGATTGATGGTGTCACGTGTTGCACGTGTGGTCTGGTGACCCGGGTGACCGTGGCTGCCTGATTTGAAGCAGATCTCAGCAACTTCAACTTTCTTTTCTCTCTTCACCACAGCAGCTCTGACAGCAAACACCGTGGAAAAGAAACCAGCGGGAGGAGAGATCTCATTCAAGACTTTGGTCGGCTCTTCTTGCCAGCCATGGATTCGCGGCTGATATGATGGAGTGTATGGAGTAGCTGCTGGATGGAGTCTTACGGATCGGACAAAACTGACCTTCCTGGTCACAAACATCTCCCCACGGTACTGGCTTAAGCTATGGAATGAGATAGACGGTGAGAACACCACATCCTTTACCAGCAGGCTCTATTCCTCTACATCTGTGTGGATTTTAAACAGCGTTCAAATGTGGTGGGTGGGAGCTTGAAACCCTATGGCCACTAATTTGATGCCTAGAGAGCCTCCATCTACTACTTCTCTAAACCCGATAATGACGCAATAATACATCTTCATGACTTTGATCTGATCATTGAATATGGATTGATTCTCTTGAATAAGATTTGGTTGATAGCCAGCGGATCGACAACCGGTTGCCGTCTGCACTTTAGACTGTGGTGGCTCGTAACTATTGTTCTGGATTGGCTTCAACAATGTCTCTTTCCTCTACCCTGCATCACTCCGCCATCAACTAGATCGTTGATCGCATCGCCAAGATGGCCGGCAAGCGGTGATACAGCGTCTCAGGCGACAGGGGTGAGCGCAGAAATAGATCACTCCTGCAACGTCTGTGGTCCACTATGGAAGACCCATGTTGTTGGGTCCTACCCTCCTTGACCCATACCTGTTGATTGATAAGGCCAAGATTTTTTTTTACGTTTAGCAGAATTTGAAACTTGCCTTGGATATCGAAAGACTGTCAAGAATACCACCTGAGGCCCTGAGCAATGAGGGCACGTGTCGTCACATGATAGTATCACACGTCGTGTACCTCGTGCCTCACGCCTCTATACTGTTGTACCTTCCCCTACTCTTCTCTACTTTCGAATGTCTTGCCCTTAGCTCCGTGGAAATCTTGAGCTAACGGTTCAGAAGGGGAACTAGACGTGCGAGCTTCCTGGCGTGGAGAAGTGGGGTGGCCCAAATGGTCTGACCAAGGGTGAAACGCCTGCTTGCTTTCTAGCAACGGTCCAGCGAGAGAGAGCCCCTCATATTCTTGCCCATTCTTGGCTAACAGGAACAGGTGAACTATATAAACAGCTGAATCCTGGGAGTCCCCCTTGCTCCTGTTGATCACTACCCCTAATTTCTTGCAAGAAAGAGAGAAAGAAAATGACACAGGAAGTTCCCTCTACCGATCCGGCAGTCTACAACGCCTACAAGGAGAAATGGGCCGTGGCACCGACTACTGCGCCCGAATGGCTCACTCGGGCGCGCGAGGTGGCCGACGTGCTGGCCACGGACGCTGCCCTGCGTGACCAGGACAACAAATCGCCCGTGGCGGAGGTGACCCTGCTCAAGCACTCGGGCCTGCTGAAGATTCTGGGACCGACCAAGTACGGCGGCGGAGCGCAGTCGTGGGATGTTGCCTGCAAGGTCGTGCGTGAGGTGGCCCGGGGTGACGGGTATGTTATATATAGATATACCCGCGTGAAAATGTGACCGCTCATACTCTCAGATCGATTGGCATGCTCCTCGGATACCACCTGCTGTGGTCAACAACGGCCAATGTGGTTGGCACCCCCGAACAGGCGGACCGTCTCCACGAGCGAATCCTGACCAACAATTACTTTGTCGGCGCCGCGGTCAACCCGCGCGACGATGACCTGAAGATCACCCGCGAGGGCGACGAGATCATCTTCAACGGCTTCAAGGGGTTCACCACGGGCGGCGCCGTGTCGGACCTGATGGTCCTCGAGGGAGTGCTCGAGGGCACGGAGCTCCACGTCTTCGCCCTGGTGGAGACCCGCCAACCAGGCCTCTCCTTCCTTCATAACTGGAACAACATCGGTCTGCGCCTGACCGAGTCTGGCAGCGTGCGCATCAGCGATGTGCGTGCTCCCTGGGCCGACGCGCTGGGCTACGACGCGGCGACGCAACAGCCACTGCCAGAGATCCTCCTGATCCAGTACCCTAGCATCCTGCTCCCAACGTAAGTCCTGCAATTAACCAGGTAGATTCCAAAATATTCGCTTGGATAAAGAAAGGCTGACTCCTGCTTGATCACTTTAGGCTGCAGCTCATCTTCTGTAACTTCTACCTGGGCATCGCGCGCGGCGCCCTCGAGACGGGCAAGGATTACACCACCCGCACCACCCGTCCCTGGCCGTACGGTGGCGGTGAGACGGCCTCCACCGCGACGGACGAGTTCTACATCCTCGAACGGTACGGCAAGTGGCTGGCCCACCTGCGGGCGGCGGAGGCCCTGGCCGACCGCGCCGGCGAGGAGCTGGCAACCCTGTACGCGCGCCACGCCGTCGACCACGCCGGGCTGACGGCCGCCGAGCGCGGCGAGCTGGCCGAATGGGTGGCCAGCGTCAAGGTCGTGGCCACCGACGTCGGCCTCGAGGTCTCCTCGGGCGTCTTCGAGGTGACGGGCGCGCGCGCTACCTCCCGCAAGGTTGGTCTCGACCGTTTCTGGCGCGACATTCGCACTCACACCCTCCACGATCCTGTTGCCTACAAGCAGCGCGAATTGGGGCGGTACCTGCTTCTCGGCGAATATCCGGCCCCCTCTTGGTACACGTAAATTATTACTATTATGGGTTACTAGTTCGTTAGTTACTAATTAGTTGAATTTAAGATAGACTAGTCTCTTGCCTAGACGGTAACTAGCTGCATGCCACCTAGATAGCTTCTTGCTCACAGTGGGGAGGAAGCTGTCATCAACCTGAAACATTGGCTAAAAAAAGGCTAATTAAATGTCAAATAGTTACTACGTACCTTACTACTCCGTACATCCATAGTGACTAAGTACTTTGAATCCTTGCTATTTACTAGTCCTCTAGTAATCAAGTAGCTTACTCAAGGTGCGTGGCTCTAAGAAGGATTGATTACTCCGTACTTGTCTAAAGAGCAACTAGTTGCCAAAAGTTGAATAGATCAATAACCAGCAAGTCATTAGAAACTTATTAGATAGAACCTTTAGTAATAGTAGTAGTAGTAGTAGTAGTAGTAGTAGTAGTAGTAGTAGTAGTAGTAGTAGTAGTAGTAGTAGTAGTAGATCTATTGTATACCCAAAAGCCAAGCTTCATGATTCTAGGACTATCTACACCAAACGCCATTGTTAAGACAGAGCCAGCCGCCCAACCGACAGAGATACTAGTGATGCATATGATACATAACCGGCATACTTGCAATGCAATGATTTTATTTCCGCACCAACCGCTCTTCATCCGACTGACTGGCGCTCCCCCCCCGCATTTCAAACTCGACCGTCTGCTCGACCTCGACGTTGATCCTGCCTAGTGACTTGCTCTTATCATCGCTGCCACCGCGCTGCTCCCTGGTATTATGACAGGGTTTGTGGTGCTGGTTCCGCACAGCCGCAAGCTCCAGGGCATCGTTTTCCACGGGGTCGTGCCGAGAGTCCAGCGCGGAGATGTGCGTCGTGATACTTGCTTCGACGGCGGGGTCGACGAACCGCCGCGACTGTTTCGAGGGGAACACGCCCGTCGCGTTGCTGGATCCGTACCCATTGCTGGGGCGTGGGTAGTTGCCTGCGGACGAGGCGTTGATTTTATCGCGGGACGTCACCCAATGGAGGACGAGATTGGAAAATAACACTATATCAAATAGCCTGTTAGCTTGATCTGCTATGTAAGAAGAAGTTGAACGTACCCTCGGCGTTGCAGCACATGAAGCAGATCCACGCCTGTTCGCCCTGAAGGACCATCAGAACGGTCAGGTTGCTAACAAATTAGGTCAGTTACTATTCCGCAGAGAGAACACAAGGAAGAAAGAAGGAGAAAAAGCAGGCATACACAATGCTTGAGGTCATCGTGCCCACACTGCCGAGGAATGAACGGATGGCGATAACGCGAACGACCGAGTCCGGACTGGCTTTGTACGAATAGAGGCCTACATGGTCAGCGATTCGTTCTCTTGGCAGGGATATAATCTTGATCAGGGGCTTTTACTTCGTAACGGAAGGACAAACAGCAGGGTGAGATAGATCTGTAGTTTGATTAGCGTTTCCAAGGAAAAGAAAGAGAAGAGAGCGGGGGGGGGGGGGGTTTGTCAAAAGACAGTCTCGAGGATTTAACGCACATTGATGGTGGCATCAAAGATGATGAGCGGCAGCATGACCTTCATGTCCATCCCAATAACGCAAACTCCCCCTTGGTCCAAGTATGAGAAGCGACTGGGAAGAGTTGAGTGTTTTTCCTTTTCATTGCAACAAGGGGACCAGACCCACTAGATGATGTTCATGAGCCCGAGAACACAGTACGGCACTGATGCAATTAGAAGCCATATCTCTACCTCCTTATCGTCGAGGCTTGCTCACCCATCATGCCGAAGCAGTTAAAGCAGTATAGCTTGGACTTGAGACGAGGCGCACGGGTGCTCCGCGTCAGATGCTGAAAAGATTGAAAGTTAGGCAGACTATATATCGGAATAGAAGAGGGGAGCGGGGGAAAACAAACCGCTTTTTCCACGAGAAAAAAGTATATCAGCTAGAAAGACGGCGCAAAGGCTTTAGAAAATAAAAGAAGATATCGAAGAAGGTATCAAGGCCTATAGTAAAACATACGACCTGCAAAGCGTTAGACTGGTTTGACGAAGACAAGGCAGAGTAGCTGTACTTTGGTGGAAAGATATGAGGTCAGACACAGCAGAATCGCTACTTCGCACGAGCTCCGAGAGCGATCCAGCCCGACGCCATGCTCGAGAATTGCCGTGGAGGCAACATAGATGATAGAGTCGATGTAAATGGCGAATATCACTAGCAAGGTTTGTTAGAAAGAGAAGTGGAAGGAAGATAAATGTAGGAACTATGACTATTACTACATACTCCATCGGCCTAGGGGCACTCGGGACCAGTTGGTAATCGTTTGGGCACGACGTACTGCCACAGAGTCTTAGTAAAAGTATGATCCGATGGTCAGCTAGGTAGTTATGCAACGCGAGGCGTACCAAAGCAAACCGACAAGATGCCCACGGTAATCATAGACAGAATGGTCGATAGAATCATGCCCGCTATGGGGATACCGTCTGATGTCGACACCATGATGACCGGACGCGCAGGCAAAGGGAAGCCAATTCAATTCAGCTTCTGTTTGGAAGAAGAGGGCCCCAAGTGATCTTTATGACTCGATCAATTGTTATCTTTTTCCTTTGTCTTCAGACAACTAATAATAAGACGTAGAATTACGGCGACGGGTCTTTTTTTTCTCTTTGATTTTTTTGACCAACCCGTAAACCGAAAGAGATCGACCAGTGGACCAATTCTGCAATAAGATAGGATGTATACCCTGTACACCGTATTTAAATCTTATAACTTCGTATTGGCCCAACGGCAGCTTGGTCCACACGACGGGCGAGTTCTCCATGACTTTGAGTGGGACTGGGGAGTAGCTTGGCTATACGCCGTCCCGCTAGTTGACAATTGACAATAAACGGCCATCTCGAAGACCCAGTCCTGACTGACTCCTGGCGGGCCACCCAGGGGGGAGGATCAAAGGATCCACATTGACACGCCGGCTGTCAACAAAAAATTGTGCTCCTTTTTGGGGACTCTGTTCCAGCTTTGCGGGCCATCTGCCATGCCCTACTCCGTACGGAGTAAGTCCTTTTGCCTGTCATGGTTTAGGGCGAGCAGGGTTCCAGACTGGAAGCCGATTCGTGACCCTTTTGTGGGTTCTCAACTTCTCGGCCGTCCATCCCTGACACTCCAACTTTATCGAATATATTAGCTCTTACAGCCACTAGTCAGTTATTCTCCGTGATCCGTGTTCGGCAAGTCGTGGGATGCTTTCCGGCAGGTGAAGCCGTGGTGAGCTACGCTCTGCTGGGTTCCCTAATTGTCGTGCCAGGGGTTCAAGACTGGAGACTGTCTGCCAGCAATTGTATCTGTTCAACGTCAACAGCTTAATCTAAGTAAAGTCCTAGGCCAATTTCTGGAGACCTACTTGAGATGTAGGCGTAGCCCACATGGCTTCTTGCTGGAGCCACACGGCACGTTGCTTTGTTTTGGTTTAGAGATGCCGGTGAGAGTGAAATGTCTGACTCAGGATTCAGGCAGGATTCAGGAAGGAGTCTGGACACAGTGGACAGTGGACAGTGGACAGTGGACAATGACATGTGATCCGATCACCTGACTGTTCATGCCTTAGGTACCTACAATATTTGGAAATCTCTAGCACTTTTCAACATCCATCTACCGCTTGCTGGAAAGAATCAAGACAAACACTGACCCATCGAGACACGACACATGATTGACGCATCATATCAACACCGCCGCCAGGGTTACGGGTTGTTCCACTTGCTTTTAGAAATGGCAGGTCGGAAGACTACCGAAGAAAGGAAACATACTACATAAATTTAGGAATAGTTGAGGTAAATGCTTAACAGATGATCTTATAGTGCTGTCTCTATCCACTACAAATGGGAGACATCTTAAGTGACCCATTAAGAGGGCGATCTTCCTTCGCCTGTTAATCAGTATTTACTAGGAGACTTGACATATGTAACTCTACTTTATATAGGTGATATTATCTGACATGAGCCTGGCAGTTTACCTGGCAGGTATTGTATAAAGGTACGGAGTATATTAATTCAGATACACACATACTAAAAGGGACTAAAGCAGTCCTAATTCTCATCTCTGATCTAATCTAATCTATTATATTGACATCTTAATCTAAACTACATTACAAGTGTACACTAGGGTAGATCTATTCCATATTTCCTCAGAGTATGCTATGGTTTAGGTACTTTTAGGAGGTACTTAGTTACTTAGTTACTACCTCAAAGTACCAGGTACCATTGTAAGCTTGTCCCGATTGGGTATGGCGGCAGGTAGCGGATCCACGGCGGGAACCAGAAAGACCCGGAAGTCTTGGCGTTCCTGTTCAGAGCCAATCACAGCGCGGAAATTGCCCACGACGGGAAATCCTCGGGTCTACTCCGTACCTCCAGGGCTACGGAGGTCCGAAGGTGGTGAGTTAGTAGTAATCTTCCTTAATACCTAACGTACCTAGAGTACCTACCTAATGTACTACCTATGTACCTACTATGTAGAGTATGTACTATGTACCTGTACACTACTATATACCTAGGTAGTAGAGAGTAGATAGTTACTAGGTAAGTAGTTACCTGACTATACAGATGCACCTCATCATTATATAGTAATATGAGGTACACTTCAGTTAGACTCAGTAGAGCCTCTAACCTGTCATTTTCTTACCCATATAGGAATAGAATAGGGGATTAAGCTTGATTAAACTGCCATATATAGACAGTAATGCAGGAATTCCATCAAGTTATTGTCAGGAAAAAGATAAGAACAAAAAGCCAAAAAAGGCCTACATCATAAAAACTCACGTATTCGGCAGCAATTTAGCGATGTATAGGGTGTAATGATACTATACAGAACCGCTATAAGTAAAGACAAACGAATTACTCCGCCAGGCAGCCGTAGACTGTGGATACGTCGGTGGTCAAAACGGTGGAAGTCATGGTATAGATAACCACCGAGTCTGTCAGGGTGTGGTTGGCGATGCTGGAAGCTGAGCTGCTTGTGAGCGGCCTGGACAAATGGGGGGGGGAGGTGACTGGCTGGATGCTGGGATTGAAACAGCAGTTGATGACGCTGAGCTAGATGCTGAGCTAGACGCAGAGCTAGACGCAGAGCTGGAAACCGGTGTTGATGAAGCAGAGCTCGATGCTGAGCTCGGAGAGACTGATGCTGACGACGAGGCCACTGGTGTACTAGGAGTACTCGAAGGAGTAGTCGGCATGATGGTCTCGACATAGACAGTGGTATATGTGACAGCGACAGTATCGACAAGAGTCTCCGTGGCAGACGAGGTCTCGACAGTTGTGCAGGGATTAGTCGTATAAATCTTCATAGCCTGAGCATACGAGAACGCGACGGATGAGAACGATAAAGTGCCGGTATAGAGGAAGCACTCCGAGGAGGCGAAGGACAAATACACCAACCCCAGACAGGGCGTCGACGAGATACAGTAATCCACACACGAGCTGTAGACGATTCGTTCTAATTCCGTCAGTTGGGTATAGATAGCCGTGTCCCATGAGAACATGCGAGCACGACTGGGAGATATAGGAGGAGCCGTATGCCCAGATCGTATCGACACATGACACTGTCGCGGGCTGCGTAGAGCCGACCTCGCAGGTGGAGACGGTGGTGACAACAGGGATGATTGTGGTCGTGGTGGAAGTGACGGTGTCGACAGATGTGGCGGTGATGGTTGTTAGAGAGACGCCGGCTGATTGGGGATTGACCGCGATGGCCTCTGCCAGAGCAGTCAACAATAGAGCAATGGTGATTTTCATTTTGACGGGCTGTATCCACTGTAGAAGGTACCTAAGAGCCAAGCTTCATTCTGTCGGTAAAGAGTGGAGGATATCTTGGTTCATGATAATAGGGGTTACTGTCGCTTGAAATGACCATAACAATCAGTAGTGCTGGCGCTTTAGGCTTAACCGAGAAAGCAATAACTATAACTTACTCCGTATACTTATAAATGAAAGATAGCAACAAAAGAAAGAAATAATCATTATACCGAGGGTTTATCTATACTAGATATTCTGTATATACTCGTACATCTTCTTAATTCAGAAACAGCTGCCAAGGTGCAACTATATTCTTGTATCTGGTGACATTAAGACAGGATCTATCATAACTTCAATACAGTATATACATATATATATGTGCAAACTACTTTTCCCTCAGCTGGCCGTCCAGATGTCATTCGGGACATACAAGGGCATGGTATCCTCCCATCGACTCTCAGTAAGGACAGTCATGTTGGAGCCGTCAGCCTCCATCTGCATGATAAACGGATACGGCTGCTGGTTGTTGTCGTAGATCATGGCCTCGTCCTGGAAACCATACATGGCCGACGCCCAGTTGATCTTGCCGTCGTGAGTCCAAACGGCGTGGGCGTCGTTGGCAGCCAGGTTGGTCAGGCGGGTGAGGTTGGTGCCGTCGACGTTGATGGTCATGACGTCGTAGTTGTCGTCCAGGTAGCTGGCGATGACCTCGTTGGTGCGCCGGGTGAAGACGATGCGGTTGGTGCCGTCGAGTGAGAACATGGGCGTGTTGTCCCACCAGTTGGTCAGCTGGATGACTTCTCCCGTCTGCAGGTCCAGGCGCTTCAACCCGAGCGGCGTGACGTCCGTGGCGGTGTAGTTGAACTCCCGCCAGACCAGCCACCGGCCGTCGGGCGAGATGGTGGGGAACCCGGCGTTCGTGGTGCCGTCGGTGATCTGCTTGGTCCACGACCCGTTGGCCGACACCAGGTAGATGTAGCCGGGGGAGTAGTAGCGGTACTCGAAGTAGTCGCCAAGTCCGATGGCCAGGATCTCGCCGTCCTCGCGGTACGAGGGCTGGAAGGAGCCGTTGGTGTTGGAGCCCGTGACCAGGTCCGGGAAGCGCGAGCCGTCAAAGATGTCCATCATGTCCGTGCCGTCCACGTTCATGGTGACGAGCGACGAATTTTCCGTCTGCTGAGACGTGTACGCGAAATGCCCCTGGGCCGACAGCCGCGGGAAGACGTCGCTGAACCGGTACTCCCACTCCTCGTTCCAGCTGTACAGCTTCTTCTCGATCTCGCGGACCGGGTCCCACTCGACATACTCGAACACAATCTGGTTGCCGTCGGGTGACCACGAGGGGGACCGCCACAAGCCTAGGAATGAGTCGTTTAGGAAACGGGCCCCCGTGGTGTTCTGAGCGTTGACCGCCGTGTAGTTGATCGAGCCCGGGTAGGTGGTGTTGGTGAGCAGGCTCTTGACCAAGAAGCCGATGGTGTTCTCGTCGACGTACTGCGGGAAGATCTTGATGCCACCGCTCTCGTCCGACTCGTGCACCACCCGGTCGGTGCCCGTGGCAAAATCCACCGACACAATCGCGGTGTTGACGTCGTAAAAGTACGACTCGGCCACGCGCCCGTAGTAGGTCAGCTCGGTGGGCACCTCGTAGAAGACGATGCGGCTGCCGTCCGGCGAGAACTTGGGCGAGCCCAGACAGTAGCCCGTGTTGTTGACGACGAGGCGGAAGTCGCTGCCGTTGGGCCGGATGGCGTAGATGGACAGCTCCTGGACGTGCTCCCAGCCAGAGATGTTGTTGTGGCCTCGCCAGGGGGTGTTGCGGTCCGAGGAGAAGACCAGCCACTCGCCGTCAGGTGACCAGGCCGGGCGGAAGTGGCCGTCCGGCAGCGTCCAGTTGCCCGCGACGTCGGTCGTGTTGGTGACGTTCCACAGGCTGCCTGTCTCGAGGTTCTTGATCCAGATGTTGGTCTTATGGTTGACCAGGCTGCCGCTGAAGGCCACCAGCTTACCGTCGGGCGAGATGACGCCCGCGTCCTCGATGTGGGCAGTGGTCGAGATGGGCTGCAGGTCACTGCCGTCCGGACGGACCCGGTACAGGTCGGACTGGCCGTCTCCGGCACGCTCGCTGGTGAAGACGATCCATTCGCCGTCGGGCGACCACTGGGCGTGGTAGTCGAAGGTGCTCTCGTTGCCCAGAAGCTGGCGAGCGTTGGACCCGTCCGAGTCGGCGACATACAGGGTGGAGGTAGCGGGGGCAATCCGGTTCATGAACATGACGCCCTTCTTGCCCTCGACAGGCAGCCCGCGGGGCCTCATACCTGAAGAGGAAGATTCTTCAGAGCGTTTGGCAGCATACGGACACCCCGCGGCGGCGGCCAGGCCGCAGAGCAGCGGAGTGAGGAGGAGAGTAGAGAGACGCATCGTGAAAGACGCTGAGAGCAACGTTGGGAGCAACGTTGAGCGGGATCTACGTTGGTGATCAAGAAGAAGCCCATGGGAAAGAAAACACGCTGACAACCATCCTATTTAAAGGCTTTTCCAATCACCCTGAGCTTCGTCATGTTACGGTGGAGTTGAATCTCCGCCTCCTTCACAAGTCCGTCCTCTGTGCTTTAGTGTCCACTGTCCACTGTCCACTGTCCACTACTCAGTGCCCAGTGCTGCCAGCTTTTTCTCCGTCGGGAGGCACGGGTGCCGGGGGGCCAGTGAGCATTTGGATATTCGCAATAGCCTTCCATATTAGGCAGGGAGCGGCGGTGGCTCTGTCAAGCCATTTTTCTCTCTTAGAGTGGACGTGTGATGGAGAGGATTAGTGCTGCATTGTGGCATCGCCGCATCCTTTTGGCGTTGCGAATCTCCACAAGCAAGGTCGGTAATATAGTGACGAGGATGACGGAGTCCTCCATACTATCCAGGAGGTAACTACGGAGTAAGTACTCAAAGATTCTCGGTGAAGATGATTATCTGATAGGAACTGACTAGCGTATAGACTAGTAGACTGCATCAACCTGGAATCCACATACCATGGAGCACTTTCTTTGGAGAGAAGTACTACTAAGTCGTTACTCCGTACTCCGAACTTGATCCAGAGGTACTCCGTACTCCACCTTGACACCCGATCACGGTGATTGATAATCATGCCTCTGCAGCGGAACAAGGAACCAGAGGGAGGATTCGAAGGCATGTAACTTGGTGGGGGGGCGGGAACGGATAAGACAAGGGAGGACCCGACGGTGGCTCTGGGAGATGATGAATAGGGTCTTGGCAAGGATCAGCATGGGTGTGTGTGTTTGATTTTGATCTGCATAAGCGGGTAGAATAGGCGATTCACCGTCCAACTTTGTATCCTAGTAGTGTGTAGAAGAAGGGTGGACCTTGCAAACCCTCGGGGAGTCGTCCGGCGCCCCCGAGGAAATGTGAGTGAGTATGAGTAGAGAGTAAGTAGGTAACTAACTACTAATACTTCTTCCTGTATGAGTAGTAGACTAAGGATTATTCATTAGTATCTCCAGAGAAACCAACCTTATCTAGAATTGCCTATAACATATTGCACGTACATGGTGGCGCATCGCTAAGACTATGCCCAGCCCCAGCCAAATACAGCCAGCTTCCCTTCGGACCCTCCGGTTGTGCCGCCGAGTTTCTTCATTCCCTTGAAGAGTCCTCCGTACAGAATAGTGGAGTGGGGGATCATCGCACCGGAGCACTTCCTAACACTTCCTAACTCGAGCGGCGCGGAAATATCCACACGATTGTCAATACGACATACTAGGTACTGACTTGGCTTGTTCACAGACTACAGGGAGGTACGGAGTAGGGAATACTCGTACCTGTTCTACATAAGGTTACCACGAGGGGTAAATGTATTGAGATCTACGATAGGAAGCTGCCATGTGGTAAGCGAGGTTCAACCCTGTCATGATACGGAGACTGACAGGGTCTATACATGATACCAGGTAGGTACCTAGGTGATTTTACTTAGTAGTCACAGTTAATTACTACTTGGTGATATCTACTAGCTAAGTAACTAATCTACAATACTACCAGGATTCTTTGGTTTACTCGTATTCATTTAGTCTGGCCAGTACCCCTTGGTTAAGCGACTTCTCTGTCTACCTACTAGAGGTACCTAGTATGCCTTGATGGAACAAAACGATTGGATAGAGGGTACTGATTTATCCTTGCCGATTTATTATTTGGATGGAAAAATCAGCCGGTACCCAAGGTTAGGATATTGTCCATGCAAAGTACCTTTGCTAGTCTATTGAAGACGAATAGAGTACGCAATATCCATCTTACCTACTAACCAGCTTAGGGAGCCGACTAGAGATAGTAGAGTACCTCAAGAAGTGGCGAGAAATAAAATACCTCATATCTGATTGCTGCCTAATAATAGTAGTTAACAGTGGACAATTCCTTAGGGCAGTTGACTAGGTAACTAGGTAGTAGATAGCCAACTAGTGCTGACTCCGGCTTGCCAATCAGTAATACTAAATACCTTAGTACTAGGTGGATTAAAATACCACATAGTATTCTATCATGAGAATCACTCCTGCAGAGAACCAGCAGGAAAGTCTTCTGGATCGATCCCATTAGTTGAAACTCGATATATGAGGGGAGCGTCGATCACTCACCACATAGCCTCTACCTTGCTACTAAGTACTACTGCAGGTTTCTTCCAGGAGAGCACCTTGCCACGTGGCTCTGTGAAAGGAAGCCCTGATATTAGTGAATGAATCGTGTTATCCTCCGCTGGTTCTGCAGTATTACCGATCCGATTGCTGGATGGTAACCCCGGTGGGTGCAGCAGCATTAGTACGAAATAGCGCCATTCCAATGGCGGGATATGTTGAAATGATTGCATTGTCTGCTCAGCTGTACCCTCAAAGAGCCTATCATAGGTTATATACAGTATCCATATTCATGTCGGCCTCTATTTAGCAGCCGTGTCTAGATCGATGGCCGAAATTGGCCACTGTCCTAGAAGAACATATTCGGGCTGTTCTCCTTCGCCGTACTGCTACCGATATGGTTCAAAACTTGATTGCGACCAAACTTGAGGAGACGGTAGCGTGATAGGAAATCATCGTTATTAACTATGCGTGTCAGCCGGGAAAATGAAAATGAAAGTGAAAAGGGAAGATGGGATCGGGAGGAAGAGATACTGTAACCGCCACACATTCTTCTCTTTCCGATAAAGTCAGACCGGCCGTGAAGCATTCTCCAATTGTCGAAGACTGCCGATTGTTAGCGCAGGAGCCAGGATCAAAGTTCACTGGGAGGGGGAGGGGGGACACTTACTCAGAGCTGAGCCAGGCTTCAGCTGCGTCCAGATTTCCATGTCTGGACGTCGGATGACCTCGCTCCAGTGCCCTGCTGCTGCGTACCAGGCTTTCTGGTCGGCGACCGACCAGTTGGTCTTTGCTGCTCGGTCATAATTGTTCCAGCGGATCTGGTAGAGATGTCCTGATTTGGTGGTGTTGAATACAGGGAACTCTGTGTTGGGCTGGATGCACACATCTTCATTCCCACTCGAATGGGTTGGCTGGCTGTGTTCGGCCAAGACCACGCAGTGCTCGGGATTCTCCTCCATCATGACTTGGGCAGCCTTAAATCCGTCAACCAGTAGACTCTCGCCGCCGTGGCCGTCTGTGTGAGAGAGAAGATGGAATAGTTGCAATCTCGCCGGGTCAGTGAAATAGGTGTTGTCCGTATGAGCCCCCAGAAAATCAGTGGTGTAGGCGGTATCCTTGTATGTCAAGTCGGCTGTAAAGTCCCAGAATCCACCTTTGCCAAATATTATTAATTCAAGTTTATTCTTTGTTCACTGAGTAGATAGGATGTACCGTAGTGCGTATGCCGGATGAAGGATATTCTCTCCAGCAGGGACTGGGTTGCGTCGGGTCCAACTGGAACGTTGTCGACAAAACAGAAGCCCCATTTGTGCTGTTCTAGATTAGATTTCTACTATTAACTTGAGCCAGGAGTATCAACTGACAATATTCTCCAGCCACTCTAAGAGGGCCTCATTGTGCTTCATGACCTGACCGAACTCGACTGTGGGATATGATTCATTACCCGGAGTATGAGATTGAAAAGGTCTTTCCAGTAGTCAGCTAATAATTTCCTATTTGATATCACCGAATAACAGTAGATACCTTAGTGATAAAGGGGTTTTCTCATCTTTTCCAAGTCTGGCTCGATGAAGGTCAAGCCACTCCATAGAATAAGTAGATTGATGGCCGTCGGACCCTATAGAGTGAGGTGAGCACATGGTTAGTAGAGAACAGAAGCAAGACGACATACATCTGATTTTGACCTCGTCGTGCACATATTCTTTTATCTCAGGCGAGACGTCGGTAGGTATCTGGATTTATGTCAGACCTTGCTTTTACGTGGAAATAAACTAGACCCGGACTCACAGAAAAGGTATCCCCGATCCTCTGTCGTGTATCTGGGTGGATACAATTGGAACATTGGCAATTATCTCTATTGTCAGAGGTCAGAATTGGAAATTACCCATCTCCAGACAACCATGGATAAACCTTAACCAAAAGGAACCGCTTTGAATGAAAAAAGTCAGTGATATCCGGTTGTTTAAAGATTAGAGATGGATATACAAGGAGAGCGGTTCCCCGTGGACCTTCAAAGCCACTGAGTCTTCTACTTTCTCAACTTGCTGTGACTGGCTCGAACTAGCATCACTCCCAGGCAACGCGACCTCCGAGAGTTGCCGCCCTGGCGTACCCACGATTGGTCTTGAGAAAAGGCGAGGAGTGAACCGAGTGTCTCGCAATGGTGGACATGAATTCACACGCGTTCTCGTCGAAGTGCTCAGTCTTCTATAGTGCACAGCCGCCTGATAACAATAAGTTACCGTCAGGTACTTTAAAAACCACTTGAAGCAATAATATCTTCGATTCCATAGGCACCGCATACCGATAACTGCCGAATGAATGGATGTTTGCATTGTATCTCGCTGATCATCATCTCTGTTAGTTGGTCTGATGACTAGTATTAGTACGGCTCAACCCTCACCGTGTATATTTCCAAGTGCCCACAGCCCTGAGAAAAGACATCTTGTTTGAAACCGCGTTGAGGCTCTCTATTGAGAACAAGGAGAGTGTTTAACGGAGATTGTAGACTCGGCGTCGAGGAATGTCGTTGATTACCCCGAATCTCTACCCCACTTTGTGAGTGTATCACGTGCGGATATCTTTCTGAGCAATTTGCCAATTATCAGCGATTGTTTCTCTATCAATGGCTTTATCTTCGGGAGAAAAAGGAAAGTTATCTTCAGATTGGATCAATAAATGTGTGGGTCATGGAGCCTTCGACGGGTTTCAAATCTTGATCAATGATTATACTATCTTAGCGCATGGCAGCTCTTCTCTCAACAGTTGACATTACGCTCTACGAAAAGAGTAGGCAGTTATTCGAAATGATAGAGCAGTTACCCCATTTTAAAGCCTGCTTGTCGGCCCCGTCACCTTTAAGAGACACCGTCCGTTGCTCAATACAGCCTTGCCGTTCTGATTCTTCGTCACAAACCTAACTTCCTCCAAACCCTCCTTGACGTCTCCCGTCCGCCACATCTCAGTTGTCAGCTTGTCGCCCGGTATAACTGGAGAAGCAAAGCGAGCCTGGAACTCCTTAAGGCTGTTGGGATCACTGCCTCCAAGCTCTCTCAAAACGCCGTGGGCGGCAGTGTTCCAGCTGAACAGGCCGTGGATGATGGTGCCTCCAAAGCCCATCTTCGCACCTGGCTCAGGGGTGGCATGTAGAGGGTTATAATCGCCGTTCAAGCTGTCGGTTGGTCAGAGGCAACAGCCGGTTCTTCTTTATCAACTCTTAGATTATGTTTATTCTTACCGATAGAGAAGTGCCGTTTCCGAAGTAGTCTCTACGACATGAACTGCGTCGGGTTTCTTGTCTTCCGGAGGAGGATAGGAAATAGTTGCAGATCCTAGAAAGGAGTCAGACATTATAGATGCAAGAATCCGTGAAAACAAACTTACCCTTCGGTCCGCCCCAATTGCCCTGTCCAACAAAGAAAGTGTTGCTGACAGTCTTCGAATAGACTTCGCCAGTCACCTTATCAACAACCGCCTGCTCCGATTCCATCACTGAGCCGGCCTTGCCCTTGTCATAAACGCCAATAACCTTGTTGAGGAGCTCAAATGTCTTGCCGGCGCTGGTGGGCGGCAGAGGCTTCAGGATGGTCAGCTTACGCTGACCATCTACCACCCGGCGATAGTCAAAGTTCGGTACACCGGGGACAGGATTGGCCTGTTGGCGCGCGTAGAAATCGGTGACTTCTTGTTCTGTGAGTTTGAAAGCTGCACCAGCCAGAAACAAGTCAGCAAACGGAAGATCTATTGCCTTGAGCTTGCTTCCGTACGAAGAATCACGGAGTAGGTCGGAAACACGGAAAACTGAGGGTGAAGTTCCTACAGACGCGACGATCAGCATGATTAACACAAAACCAGTAACAATAAAGCTCACGTAGAGGAAGTGCAGCTCATCAGCCTTGCACCCGATACTGTTCGCAAAGAGCAGTACATCTCTCTTTTGCCAAGAGACCTCCTTCGAGGGAAACTCGTGCCCAGCACCCGGAGTCGACATGGTGAACTGCTTCTTAGTTGCCTTTTTTTTTTTAAAAAAAAAATAGAGGTTGAATTGAGCCCTGGTGCATATTCTAGATCGAGATTCAAATCCCTCAAAGTATTGATATAACTACTGCTTACTCCCTATATCCCTAGCTGCGGGGTCCTGCCATGAGCCGAGGCATATTCAATAGATCTGAATCCCTTTTTTCTCTCCAAGCCACAGCCGAGGAACCAACCCACTCTTCCAATAGTAAGCTGAGAATATCACATCAAACAGATATTCATGACTACAGATGTAGATTCTACATGAACCATAGACCGAAAAGAATGTCAGAGCTGGATGTGGCTGGACTGAGCGTCGACTCGGGGTATCTACTTGAAAATATCGAGGAGCTTCATGACCGTCTCTCGGAAATCATCTCGTATCACGCCGCACACGGCCGTTTCCCTGGCCTTCCCGAAACGCCGACAGATTGAAAAAAAAGAAAAAGACGCGGAACAAGGACAAGTAAACAAAAATCAAACAAAATCAGACCAGTCGACCACCCTATGTTCATCAAGAATTTCTGCCCTCATGCTATGCTGCCCACAGTGAAGAAAAATTAATGTCTTGGGGTGATGAAGAATGCATGTCATCACATAGAAAGGAATAGAGACAGGTGAGGAAGAGCGTGCATTTAGCACCTAGGGAAGATCAGCTAGCGAACACGATTTAGAGAAGGGGAGGGGGAGGAGGGTATGGAGACTGACATTCTGTAGAAGCAGCTGCCCTCGGCGAAGCGGGTGGGGTCTGTAGTCTCGAACTTGTAGGAGAGGGTGATGTCCAGATCACGCTTGTTCTTGTCGTTGGGCCTGTTCTCGAGGAAGCCGGTGACAGACTCTTCTTCTTCCACGGTGAGGACATCACGCAGATAGAAGACGGTCTGCTTCCAGTGGGTGTACTTGGCGTGGGGGCCAGTAGAGAAGCTGATGGGCTTGTGGCAGGCAGTGAAATCGATATCGAACCAAGCAATGATGGCGTGGATGAAGTCGCTGCGCTTGGCGTTAAGCGTATAGGGAACCTTGAAGGCCAGGTCGGCGGTGGTGACGGTGTTGAGATCGAAAGTGATGACAGGGCAAGGGTCTGTGACCAGGGCCTTCATCTCAACGGTGTCGACAAGAGGCTCAGTCAGGGCGACCTCCTTCATCGGGCTGTAGTCGAACCCGTACACGTTATCCCAGACTGCGTGAGAGAGAAAGAGAGTCAATTCTGAACAGACATTTTGAGTCAACATGAACCTTACATCCAATCTTGTCATCTTTGTACTCTCCATCCTCGATGGCAGCCACGTAGATAGTGGCCTTGTCGGGGAAGATCCGGCCGCCAGGGTTGAGATATCTGTCACGGGCATAGAGAACAGTGTCCAGCATGCTCTCATAGAGAAGGAAGTATCCCATCCACTCAGAGATGATGATGTCGACCTTGGGGAACGGAAGAACAACTTCTTCCATCTTTCCCTGGAGAAGAGTGATCTTGTCCGACAGGCCGTTGACTGCAACGATCTGACGAGCCTTTTCAATGATCGAGGACATGTCAACTCCAATTACGTGCTTCGCACCAGCCTTGGCAGCGAACCTTTGAAACGAAAAAAAAAAGAAAGATCAGCTTCCTTTCAATTCCGTCTCAAGTTTTATCCAGACAGACGTGGGGGAAATGCTCACATGCTGAGAATTCCAGTGCCGCATCCGACATCGAGAACAACCTTGTCCTTGAAAATGTGGCGGTTCTGGTAGATGGAATCGCGATAGGATCTTGTGCGCACGTCATCTTTCTAAAGAGAAATCGTGAGTTGGTAAGAGTTGACCAGAGGCGACTCGAGTCCGAAAGCGTTCAACTTACCAGCATCTCCTCGTGAATGCCTGAGTGGGGTCAATTGCCTCTTGTCAGCCCAATCTGCGAGAGTCTACTCGAAGCCTTTTGAGAAGGAGATAATACCATGATGATCATAACTATTTTATCTTCTGATTAGCAAACCCCCGAAAGAATCAAAACCATAGTCGAGGTATTCTACCTTGTGAAGTAACGGATCTCTGCATGATCCATGCCAACCATACGGTCAGCACTGCTAGACACATCTCCAGCTTGATTCTGGGAGTCGCTCATTTTCGGCTGGATGGAATTTTTTTTTCTCGGAAAATAATATAAAAGAAATAGTTTTCGGAGCGGTATCAGAGAACAGAAAAAAGGACTTTTTGCAAAGCGACGGCGCTGGACCGAGAAGAAGCAATTTATCTGAAGAGTCTTTCGCGGCGAACTTTTTTTTATCCCATTCGAGTAACGCCCAATCGGGCTAGCGGCCAGCTGGCACTAACCCCAATCGAGTCGATAGCCTTTTGCCAGGTGATGGCCCGAGCCCTGGTCCGATTAGGGTTACTCCGTCAAGTGGTACGAGTAGGAGTGTTCGTCTTACGAGTCCAAAATAATGGGATGATCCTTGAAAGATTATCTGATAAGGTGATATATGTGGGAATCTCAAGATCTAACTATAGATTTTGTGCCTTTCATTGGAGGGTCTACGGTAAATAGAAAGGGACCTGACTAGCTAGTAGGTAGCCTACCTATTTCAAAGGACATGTTAGCTAATTTCGAACTACACCAATGATAGAGGGTTCCAAGTGAGATTGCAATCAAAGAATAAGATGTAAAGAAAAGATGTAGCAAACACTGGATCAAATACCTACTGGCCAACCTTATATCTCTATGCAAAATTGCCAAGACCAAATAGTTTGGTTAGGAGGTAACTAGTTAGGAGTTACTGCCAAGTAGCACCGCTCGCGCGTGCTTCCGTCCTTTTAGCTGCGGACATTACGGATCAACAATCTTTCCCTACGATCATCCCCTTGGCAATTGTTGTCTGCGTGCTTAGGATAATGCTGCGCTCAAGGTCCAGGGCAGCGTCGATTTACGCTTTTCTTGCATTTTTTGCATTGGCGTCTTTGATAGGGAAGTCTAATGCCTCGCTAGGAGACCATCTTCCTGATTTCAAAGAGTGTGTGGAGGTATAGACAGGGTCGAGGAGTTGGTTGCTGCTGGAAGAGCACATGAGCTAACTGTCAGAAGGTCTGTAAGACTGAGAACTGTCAGGATGGAGACTCGGTTATTCGTAAGTAGCTAAAAACTTCGACAGGGGGGGCGGTTGAATACAATGAAACTGACAAAAGCAACGGCTAGCCTTTCACCTCCGCCTCATGCTATGGACCTGCCCTGCCGAGTGCGATTACACCTGTCAGCATGTTGTTACTGACCGTCGAGTTTCCCGAGACCCTCCCATGCTCACCCCGGTGGTTCAGTTCCATGGCAAATGGCCGTTCCGTAGAATCCTGGGCATGCAAGAACCCTTCTCCGTCCTATTCTCCCTGCTCAACTTTCTCGCTCATTGGCAAGGAATGAACCGAATCGAAGAAAATGTACCACGCTGGCATCCGCTGAGGAAATACTACCTTGGGTTTGGATATTTTGGTCTGGCAAGCTGGACGTTCAGTATGCTCTTCCACTCACGGGATTTCCCCATCACAGAGAAACTGGATTACTTCGGAGCCGGGGCAAGCGTTCTCTATGGCCTTTTCCTTTCCGTGCTGCGGATTTTCCGCTTAGACCAGGAGAGACCAAAGTATAAACCGACATTGCGTCGCTTCTGGACCTTCATCTGTGTCCTGCTTTACTCTCTGCATGTCTGCTATCTGAGTTTCTGGTCATGGGACTACACATACAACATGATTGCAAATGTGATCGTGGGAATCATACAGAATGTCCTGTGGACCGCGTTCAGTATTTACCGATATCAGAAGCAACCCAGGACTTGGACAGCCTGGCCTGGAATGATCGTCGCGTGGATAATCCTCGCCATGAGTCTGGAGCTCCTGGATTTCCCTCCGTGGCACGGCCTGATTGATGCACATAGTCTCTGGCATCTGGGGACTGTCATTCCCACAGCTTGGTGGTACTCGTAAGTCATCCGATCCCTCCAGATTTCCCCGAACGAGCTGCAAAAAGGCTGATCTACCCGTCTCTCCGTCAGGTTTCTCGTCAAAGATGTGCAAGACGATATGGCTGGCGAGAGATTGAAAGCTTGATCCGGCAGACTCTACCATGGCGGCTGCCCAGCGAAAAGTCCCTTTTTTCTACTGTCTTCCGCTGGAGAGAGAGGACCCATTATAAACCCTACCATTTATCGCGCCATAACTACTACTATTAGGTGGTGCTGTACCTATGTCACCTGCGGCGACTGGATCGTCAGAATCTTAATCTAATTTTGATCATCCTACTTAACGAATATCAAAGCCACACTGTTTCATTTTCTCGTAAGCGAGTGGGTCGGCAACCCTTGGGACCAGGCTGGTTATCCGGTTCAGCAAAAACAGGGCCACTCATCTCGAGGTGTTTTTATGTTTCTGCCTGACCGCTCAGGCCAGCTGCAGTCAGCACAAAGTGAGCTTCGCCCCTTGCCAGGCCCCACCTTCTTCGTCCACAGCGTTCAGCTCCAAATAGTATTCATTCCTTGCCCTCGGCCTGCCCGCCAAAAGTTGATTTATCTATTGCCTGTTAGCCCTCGCGCGTGGCTGGATCTCGTTTCCTTTCTGCATCTTCCCACTTTTTTGCCCTTCCTACTCGTTTAGCGTGTCCGCGCCGCAATGGCGTCTCCAGCTCAGAAACAAGCTATTGCTGAGGCAGCCCTGAAGTACGTGAAGCCAGAGGGCAAGGTGTTCCAGTATGGTACTGCCGGTGTAAGGCCTCGAAATCAGTCCCTCATCTAGTCTTGTAACTAACATTTAGGAAACTGGCAGTTCCGTATGAAGGCGTAAGTTCTTTTTGTTTATCGATCAGCCTCTCTTGTCCCCACCGATGCTCCGATACCCCGCGATCAGGAAGATCAACAGTTTCTAACCAAGATATCGGCATAGCGACCTCCTTAACACAGTGGTCTTTGCTGTGGGTTTGCTTGCTGGTCTGCGTTCGAAGAAGCTCAGTGGACAATGGATTGGTGTGATGGTGACGGCGAGCCACAACCCCGCCGAGGATAATGGTGTCAAGCTGATCGACCCCATGGTAAGTGGCATGGAGTCACCCTTTCATAAAAGATACGTGTAGCTGATTCTTGATAGGGCGAAATGCTCGAGGTAAGATTCCTGTTGCTATTAAGCCTTTAAAGCCCATTATTGAATCTCCCCTTCCTAGGCCGAATGGGAAACCTATGCCACCAAGCTCGCAAACGCCCCACTCGAGAAGATCGCCGACGTTTACGATGAGTTGATCAAGGAGATTGATGTCAAGATGGAGAACCCTGCTCGCGTGGCGTTCGCCCGAGATACTCGTGCGTCTGGATCGCGTCTGGTCGGCGTTCTTAACGCTGCCTTGACTGCGACGGAGGTCGAGTTTGCTGATCTAAAATTCATGACTACCCCACAACTTCACTACGTCGTCCGCTGCAAGAACACCCTGGGAACACAGTACGAGTATGGAGAGCCTACTGAACAGGGCTACTACGAGAAGCTCGCCGAGGCTTTCAAGAGGGTCATGAAGGGCGTCAAGGTCAAAGGAGCCTTGACTGTTGACTGCGCCAACGGCGTCGGTGGCCCGAAGCTGAGAGAACTCATCAAGTACCTGCCTAGTGCGGAGGAGAGCGGCCTGGACATCAAGGTCGTCAACGATGATGTGATCAACCCCGATAGTCTGAACTTTGAGGCAAGTCGCTCTACTTTTCTTCAACCCTTTGGGTGATTTGGATTAACACACAAGAACAGTGTGGTGCGGATTATGTTAAGACCAAGCAGCGAGCACCCCCCTCTTCCAAGGCTGGTGCTCTCGATCGTTGTGCCTCTCTGGATGGAGACGCCGATCGTCTTGTCTACTATTACGTCGACGAGAGTAGCGTTTTCAGACTGCTCGACGGTGACCGGATTGCCACCCTTGCCGCTTCCTTCATCGGGGATCTTGCTCGAAATGCTGGCATAGCGCAGAAGCTTAAAATCGGTGTCGTCCAAACGGCGTACGCGAATGGATCTAGCACCGACTACATCGAGAAGGTCCTCAAGCTCCCGGTCATTTGCACAAATACTGGTGTCAAGCATCTTCACCATGCAGCCTTGAGGTTCGATGTTGGTGTCTATTTCGAAGCCAACGGCCACGGCACTGTCACCTTCTCTGAGAACGCCCTCAAGGTCATCAAAAGCACGGAACCCCAATCTCCCGCCCAGCAACGCTCGCTCGAATCTCTGCAGGCTCTTGTCGACCTGATCAACCAAGCCGTTGGCGATGCTCTGTCTGATATGCTTCTTGTCGAGGCGATTCTTGCCCACAAGGGCTGGAGTACCAAGGAATGGCTTGCTACTTACACGGACTTGCCCTCCCGCCTCGTTCGCGTGGAGGTCAATGACCGTTCCATCTTCAAAGCCTACGACGCCGAGCGCAAGCTCGAGTCTCCTGCGGGCTTACAGATCAAGATCGAGTCTTTGCAGTCTCGCTACAACAAGGGCAGGAGCTTCGCCCGTGCCAGCGGAACTGAAGACGCTGTCCGTGTCTACGCCGAGGCGGCAAGCCGGTCCGAAGCCGATGACCTGGCCACCCGCGTAGCTAACGCTGTGCGGGACGCAGGTGCTGTTTCTGAGATCCTGCAATCTTAGGACAGTTAGCTGTTCCTTCGCCATGAACTGATGTATTCTTCGGGTCGTTTCAAATTCGGCCCTGCTCGTCACGAAGACCCCGAGATACTACTTGATTAGATGATGGTAAATCATCAGAAACAGACATTTTGATGAATTTTTACGATTTGCTGTGATGGATTTGAAGATACCAAAAAAAAAAAACCACATATTATCTGGGCTGAGAGAGACATTTCAGCCCCCTGAAGGACACACAGCCCTAAAGAGTTTATAATAGAGCTGATGCTTTCTTTTTATGACAATGAAATGATGAATTTATCCTTTTGTGATATTTTGTCGTATTGTTCAAATATACAAGGGTGTTTGTTTGGCCGAGAAAAAAATGGAGACGTCCATTCATTAGCCTTCATCCTGGTCCATTTCGTCGCGAGATCGCTTCCCCTTGCCGAATTTCTTGACTCCCCTGGTGCCTTTCTTCTCGTCGAACTTCTTCATCTCGGTGATTGCGTAGCGCTGGGCTTCACCGACCCGCTCAGCCAAGACCATAACCTCCTCCTTGTCCACGTCGTAGGTATCAAGCTTCTTGCCCAAGGCGCCCTCGACCCGTAACCACAGCTCGGCATCGTACTGCGTGACGAAGCTGATAGCGACACCGCTCTTGCCTGCACGAGCCGTACGTCCGACTCGATGGACGTATGTTTTGCTGTCAGTGGGGAGGTCAAAGTTCAACACCACGTCGACGGAGGGGATGTCCAGACCACGGGCCGCGACATCGGTAGCAACGAGGATGTCCCGACTACGAGACCGGAATTTCCCCAGAGCACCCAGACGGGCGGACTGAGAAAGCTGGCCGTGTAAGGGGATGGCTCCGTATCCCAGGGCGCGGAGGAGGAAAGCAAGACGCTGCGTTTCGTGCACGGTGCGAGTGAAAATGATGGCCGATTGGCCGGCATACTCATTTAGTAGGTATACGAGATAAATATCCTTGTGTTTCTGGGGGATGAGGAGGAATGACTGAAGCAAGGTGGAGACCGTCTGGTACTTGTTCGACGAGACCTGCACACGGAGTGGGTTGGAGAGTGAAGCGCGTTGCAGGGATTCCACTTTGGAGCTCATGGTCGCGGAGAAGAGGTATGTCCGGCGCTCTCTAGGAAGAACTTTGAGGATTTTATCTAATCCGAAATATTAGATGAAGGACTGATAAATGAATACACGGACAAGCGAGTATGTCTTACCGAGAATAGGACCGAAATCCAAGTCGAGGAGCCGATCAGCTTCGTCCATCTAGTCACGCCACGAATAATTTAGCCATTGTATCACCATTTGTTCGTGCGAGGGTACCAACCACAAGGTATTTCAAGCTCCGTAGCGAAAAGCCCTTGGTGTTCTCTAAATGATCCAGCAATCGACCAGGCGTCGCGACAATGATATGAGGCTTCTTTCCAAGCGCAATAGATTGTGGCACCATGTCCATTCCACCAACAATGACCGCACATCGGACCGCTATTGTCGATCCCAGGTTTTCGAAGGACTGAGAGATCTGATATGCCAACTCTCGAGTGGGAGCTAGGATGAGACCGAAGAATGCCTGGGGCTTATCCAATAGAGCTGGGGAAATGAATGTCAGTTTCCATCAAAGCCTACTTTTAATCTTGATTCATCAACTTATCTCGACCTACCTTGCAATATGGGCAAAGCGAAAGCTGCTGTCTTGCCGGAGCCCGTCTCGGCGAGGCCGATCAGATCGCGATCCTGTAGCGCCAATGGAATAGATTCTGCTTGGATCGGAGTCGGGGCCTTATACCCCATTGTTTCACACGCTTCACATAACGGATCGATAATTCCTAGCTCCTTGAACGTCTTGGGCGCTGGTTTCGAGTCCTCTTCCTGGCGCTGCTCGTTCGCGGTATCCGCATTACCCGGCGAAGCCTCCGGTGTCGACGAGTCGGCGTCGCTCGAATTTTCCGGCGCCTCGTGGGCAACCTTACGCTTCTTCAATGCCGACATTGTGCAAGAGAATCGTAAGAAGCAAGATATATTTCTTCTCTTCACGGTGAAATCTCCCCGCAAGAGCGGAGTCCAGCGATAACGAAAGAAAAATAATTTTGGGCGCCGCAAAATCGTTGATCCGGGATCGCTGCCCTGAAAAAAAAAGTTACGCCGAAGAGAGGGAAACATCTGACTATCACATCAATCTGATTCTGTGTACATCTTCTTGTATCCAACATGGCCAAAGCTCGCGTTAAGAAGCGTACTCATCTCCGGGCGCAAAATGCCTCGGCTGCTGCCAAAAGTAGCACTTCAAGAGGACCGAAATCCATGGTCATTCGAGTCGGTGCTTCCCAAGTTGGTTCCAGCGTGAGCCAGTTGGTCAAAGATGTCCGATTGATGATGGAGCCTGATACGGCTGTGCGACTAAAGGTATGCAGAAGTGGAATTGCAAAAAAAAAAGAATTGTTTCGTCCCAATCTGACTATCCATAGGAACGGAAATCCAACAGACTCAGAGATTACACAACCATGGCGGGACCTTTGGGGGTGAGCCATCTAATGCTCTTCTCAAGGTCGAGTACTGGGAATACAAATCTTCGTCTTGCACTCACACCCCGTGGTCCGACACTTCACTTTAAAGTCGAAAACTATTCTCTTTGCAGAGATGTGGAAAAGTCACAGAAGCGCCCGAGGGGTGGTGGTCAGGACCACAAGACCCCTCCCCTGCTCGTGATGAACAACTTCAGCTCTCCGAACGCGGACGAGACTTCCAAAATCCCCAAGCGACTTGAGGCTCTTACCACGACCGTGTTTCAGTCCCTGTTCCCTCCGATCAACCCTCAGAGCACTCCCCTTACATCCATCCGCCGTGTGATGATGTTGAACCGAGAGCCTGCTCCAGCTGATTCAGAGGAGGAGCCTTATATCCTGAACTTGAGGCATTATGCCATTACCACGAAGAGAACGGGCTTATCAAAACGGATTCGACGACTTGATCCTAAAGAGATCCGGAATAAGGACGGGAAAGCAGCAATTCCCAACCTTGGAAAGCTTGAAGACGCGGCAGACTACCTACTTGATCCTTCCGCGGCAGGATATACCTCGGCGAGTGAGACCGAAATTGAAACGGATGCCGAGGTCGAGATCGCTGAGAGCACGACGCGCAAGGTTCTCAACAAGCGTGAATTGCAACGTATGAAAGCCGGCGAACGGGCTCAAAAGAAGGCTTCCAGTGCTCCTGCGGTTGAAAAACGGGCCGTAAAATTGGTTGAACTGGGCCCCCGCATGAGGCTGCGATTAATAAAGGTCGAGGACGGATTGTGCGAAGGCAAGGTGATGTGGCACGATTACATCTCCAAGTCGGTGACCGAAGAAAAGGCAATGGACAAGAACTGGGATAAGAAGAGAAAGGAGAAGGAAGAAAGGAAGAAGCAGCAGAGGGAGAACATCGAAAAGAAGAAGAAGGACAAAACGAAGGCAAAGGCAGACGGGGAAGACGACAACGATGACGTTGTTATGGATGAGGATTGGCTCAGTGATGACCTCGACGAAGAAGAGGGGGGGGTTCCTGTGGAACAAGAGGAGGAGGAAGAGGATTCAGACTCGTCCATGGAGGAGTGAGTCGAGGGTTGAGCTTTCCATGTCTCTTTCGTCTACTCTATCTACTATATACCCCCCGAATAAATGTCACAGGTTCCGTGCATCTTGACCCTGCCTACCCGGCTTTTTTCGAGTCTCTCCTGATATTGACACGATGCAGTGGATTCCAGGCCCAATCGGGTATTGATTCTACCTTGCAAAGGGTTCGACAGTCTTCAGGCCATCAACAGAAGATGTCTGTAGATTATGGGTTCGCGGGGATGTTAGAAGTTTGCAAACAGTGGGGATAATGACTTTGTGCCATATTGACGAATACATCATATAAAGAACATCTTGTACCATTATACACTGCTAGTTTCTCTTTACATGCTATTTTTTCAGCTTCTCCTCCACCAACTTGCCCACCATCTTCTCCAGAATGCTGAAGTCTCCGCCAGCGGTGCCAGCAAAATAACCCTGGACGCTCTTTTCAACGTATTTCCCGACAATATCAATTTCCACATTCACATATTCCCCGGGTTTCTTGGCCGCAGTGACGATCTTCTCCTGCGTGTAGGCAATGAGCATCACCTCCCAGTACCCATCCTCTCCATCCACCACCTTGGTGACAGTCAGACTAGCCCCGTCGAGCGTCACGTAGCCCTTCTCGACGATATATCGAAGGACATCTTTGTCTCGCGGCTGTAAGCGGAAGGTCAACGCATTGCCGTCGGGCGTTACGGAGAGGATCTGCGCAATGGTGTCGACGTGGCCTTGGACAAAATGGCCTCCCATCCTCGTGTTCGCAGACACGGCCCGTTCCAGATTAACCTTCGAGTTCGTCTGTAAGGAGCCTAGATTTGTCCGTCGCAGCGTTTCAGGAGCGACTCCGACCTTAAACCAGGTCTTGTCAAAGGCGGTCACGGTAAGGCATGTTCCTTTTATTTTTTTTTTCATCAGCTCCCTGCTGCTGGTCTCATCTTGCCTTTAAAAAGGCATTATCTTAGTAGCTCTATACCATTCACGCTGATGCTATCTCCCAGATGAGCATCTGTTAGAATTTCCTCGCAGCCCGAAATCGTCAGCGACGTGCCCCCGCCCCCGCTCGAGGAGGTATCGAGGGGCTCGAGAGACGTAACGGCTAGAATTAGTAGACATTAGTCAACGCCCAGGAGCAAAGACTCTGTTCTCACTCACTCCCGATCGTTTCGACAAGCCCTGTAAACATCGTGGCGTGTTCCTGGTCTTCAATCCTGCGGATGATGAGGGGTGAATCGCTCGAGCGATCGGCGAGTTCGGAACTGACCCTCGGCTGGTCAGGTCTCTATGCCGACCGCAACAACCAGGGGGAGCTGCTATCTATCCTATCAGCCAGCTGGGGGATTCTCCGCAATCTGCAGTCACTCTCGATTTGTCTTTTCTTTTCTTTTGGGATTGTTGTTTTCTTTTGTTAATTGTCAATTCTAGGTGAAGATGAATGTCGCCGTGAAGTTGCAGTCTGTTGTCCGACGGCCAGGCGTATACTGCTTCAGCGGTGCTCTTCGGCGTACGAGACCGCAATGGCCGAGGCATTCGAGTGCCCTTGCGGCCAACGATGGGACGCTGCCTCTAGCAGGAATTCGTGTGCTTGACATGACAAGAGTCCTGGCTGGTGTAAGTGGGAGGCGTCATTTGGCTAATTGTTGCTTCTGTTCTTCTTCTTGTGTGATTCTTGCTAAAAGTTTACCGTGACTATAGCCATATTGTACACAAATACTGGGAGATCTGGGGTAAGAACACCGCTTTGGTCTACCAGACGCAATCTACTAAGAGAGTATAAAATGGCAGGGCAGAAGTTATCAAGGTTGAGCATCCGGTTCGTGGTGACGATACGCGCGCCTGGGGTCCACCGTGGGCGAAGTATCAAGATGAGTCGAAAAAGGGACCAGGCGAGAGCGCTTATTATCTAGCCGTATGAAATGAGTGCGTCGTGCAGGGAATGAATGGGTTTAGCTGACTCTACCAGGTCAACCGCAATAAGAAATCAATTGGCCTTTCGTTTCAACACAAATCCGGCGTCGAGATCTTGCACAAGCTGGCCAAGGATTGCGACGTCCTGGTCGAGAATTACCTTCCGGGAAGCCTCAAAAAATACGATCTAGACTACGAAACACTCAGTGCCATCAACCCTAAGCTGATCTACGCCAGCATCACCGGATATGGACAGACAGGACCATACAGCAATCGCGCCGGATACGATGTCATGGTCGAGGCAGAGTTTGGTTTGATGCACATCACAGGCTCGCGGGATGGGCCTCCCGTGAAGGTCGGTGTTGCGGTGACAGACATGACGACGGGTCTCTATACCTCTCAAGCGATAATGGCGGCCCTTATTGCCCGTGCAAGAACCGGCAAGGGGCAACATATCGATGCTTGTTTGAGCGATTGCCAAGTTGCGACTCTGGCGAACCTGGCTAGCTCGGCCTTGATCAGTGGAGAAAAGGATTCGGGCCGTTGGGGCACAGCACATCGTACGTGGCGGAGAATGGTTCTTGTGGGGGGTGTCGGCTGATATAAATCTAGCGTCCATCGTGCCTTACCGCAGCTACAAGACTCTCGACGGTGACATCCTAGTTGGCGGTGGGAACGACAGGTTGTTCGGCGTTTTGAGCGACCGACTGGGCCATCCTGAGTGGAAAACCGACGCTCGTTTCATCACCAACAGTGACCGAGTGAAGCACAGATCAGAACTTGACGGGATGATCGAGGATATAACCAAAGAGAAGACGACGCAGGAGTGGCTCGAGATTCTTGAAGGCTGTGGGATGCCCTATGCGGCAGTAAATGACATCCAGGGAACCCTCAACCATTCTCATGGTAAGTCTCTCTACCCGTGCAGACTGCTTGTCCTCGAGTGAGCCAAAACTGACCCTTCCCCCGCTCTTATCAGTCCAGGCACGAGGGATGGTAAAGGAAGTCGAGCACCCGGTCTGCGGCCCCATTAAGCTGGTAAACACGCCCATTAAATATTCTCATGCAAAACCCGGTATCAGGACACCACCTCCGACGCTGGGTCAGCACACAGATGAGGTTCTAGGGGAGCTCTTAGGCTTCAAACAAGACGACATCGCCCGCTTGAAGGAGGAAGGCGTGGTATCCTAGACTTTCCATTTTGTATATAACGTTCAATATGCCCTGAATATATACCATTGGGCCAGTTTATTGTCAGCGCCGAACACCATCTGCGACCATCCGAACCGGACAGATTGTTAGATAATAGTAGCCCTTGACTCCAAGCAAGGAGGCTGCATGTATTCGGCAACGGCGAACGAGGCATGTATAATGGCAGTTCTGGCAACGAACATTAGGACACGCGATGGAACTTCATTCATCCATAGAAATGCGTGATGAATCCTGAGGCTGAGGATCGGACAGTCGGTTGAAGGCAAAGCAAAGCGGAGAAATTCCTTTTTTTCTCACGTGACGCTATACACACCTCTGGTCCTTTCCATGAAGCTCCTACCTGTTTCTCTCCTCGGATTGCTACGAACACCGAAGGACTTACGGTCTGGTTTTTGATTCTCCCATCTGGCTACCATCGAAACTCCATGTCTCCTGGATCCCTCCGGCGAAATGAGAAACTACATTCCTCTCCTACGGTAACCAGCCGTATCTCTCCAGTCCAACACCTTGAACCGTGATCCACTCGAACGTCCAAACGACAGCGATATTGACCATCGCAAACAACGTTGCTGAGATCTTCTCTGCCATATGAGCAATTTTCCTGATCTTTCTACGTCTCACCTTTTTCTCACCAGAGAGTCCAGCCTACCAGAACAACTCCCAGGGGAGTCGGTAATCACTACTCTACTTGAATAATTACACATATTTGAAACTGGGTTCTCGACCCTCTTTCTTTCAGGAATCAGGTTCAGTCTATTGATAACCAAAACCAACCAAGATGAGGTGTTCTTCTGCATTCATAGAGCTACCAACGCCGCCATTTGCAGCCCCAGTTCCTGTCAAGGTGGCGGCTGCTGTCGTTAATATTGGGCCAGCAACACAAACGCAGAATCATCCTAAGCCAGTTCCTAATCATATTGTTTCAAAGGAAGTTGAAGTTTCGCCCAGCTTAACTACCCAGACTCCAATACAACCGCTGGTTGCTGAAGTTCCGCCTGCCTTGCCAGTCCAAGTTGCTACAACTACTCCAGTAACGTCGGCTGCCCGAACCACTCGGGCCATCCAAGCTATACCGGGCTTCTCAGTATTCTCTATCAGGGAGAATTTTTCAACAAGCCGACCTGTTGCCGCTGCTCCTGCTCCAGCTGCTTCAGCAGCTCCCAGGGCTTTGGCCCCTGCACCTCCGCAAGCCGATCTGATATCTCCAGCTCCTCTGTTTGCTCGGGCCGCTTCTGTTTCTGCAGTTAGTACAGTCTCTCTGGCTACTCCAGCGGCTGCTCCAGCGGCTCCAGTAACTTCATCATCCTCGGCTCCTCCAACTGTCCAAAATGCCCCGATTTCTCCGATCCCTTCGGCTCTTTCGGCGGCTCCATTACTCCCACATGTTCCTGTGAACCCGATTTCTCCTGCTCCTCAAGTTGCTCCAACAGCTTTGAAGACTTCGGCTTCTCCGGCTTCTTCACTTGCATCTAATCATCTAGCTTCATTGCCTTCTTCAAATCCTCCAACCGCTCCGGTTCACCCCATTGCTCCAGCCCCTGCTCCAACCGCTCGAGCTTCTCCACTTCTGTCAAATTTGCCTACTTCGTTACTTTCTTCGGCTCCTCCAACCGCTCTAGCTCGCTCCATTGCTCCATCCCCTCTAACTGTTCGAGCTTCTCCACTTGCGTCAGATTCGCCGGCTCCGTTGCTTTCTTCGGCTCCTCCAGCCGCTCCAGTTCGTCCCATTGCCCCAGCCCGTTCAGCTGTTCAAGCTTCTCCATTTGCATCAAATCCGCCGGCTCCGTTACCATCTCCAGCTCCTACAGTCGCCCTGGGTCGTCCCATTGCCCCGGCTTATCCAGCTGCTCAAGGTTTCCCAATTGCAACAGCCCCAGCAATCCTTCCTACACCCCCAGTCACTCAAGGGGCTGCGGTGACGTTGGCACCTCCTTCAACAGCTCCTACTGGCTCACCTCGTCCAATTGCTCCAATCAGGATAGTCGCCACTACTGCACCCAAACAACAGAAGGCGACTTCTGCTTCGAACCCACGCAGACGTGTATCAAATGGGCCCAAGGGGGGCAAAAAGCGCAAGCGTCTTGACGATGACGACGATGACATTATCAGAGCAGGGGACTCGAGCTCTGATGACTCTGATGGTGTTAACCCAACTATAACGCAGACTAAATCAGGCCGTCAAATCCACCGTCCGTCATTGTATGTACCGCCGCCTTCTTCCCTGGGAGTTAGCAAAGCCAATTCTACGGAGCTCGATACCCCAAGGAGCGGTGATACTAAATCCGCCCCTCCAAAGAAAAAGCGGGCCATACGCAAAAACAAACCAACAAATATCATCTGCATACATTGCGAGAGAGGCCACAGTCCTTCTACGAATATGATCGTGTTCTGTGATGGGTGCAACCGTGCTTGGCACCAGCTTTGCCACGATCCGCATATTGCCAACGAGGTTATCTGGCTGAAGGAAAAGGAATGGTTTTGCAAGGAGTGCAAGCCCGCCCCCCAGCCCAATCCTTTACCGGCTGTTGTCAATACCGTACCTCAGCAGCTAGTGAAACTTCGGATTCCTTCAAATGGATCCCTTCAGGCGACTCCTCGAGTGGATGTTGATGCAACAAACTTCACCATGGCGGAAAGACGTGGCTACCTCTCCAGCCTTTCGCACGCATCACTTGTCGAGCTTCTAGTTAACATATCAGAGGAACATCCTTCCCTCACAATCTTCCCGTCCAATCTGAAAGAGCTTCAGCTTTCCAAGTTCGTCTTCCAACAAAGCATAACGAAACCAACGGCTATCACGACACTAGCTGCATCCACACCAACAAATACCAGTGTATCTGCATCATCCACGAATAATGTCCCTTCGAACAACACGGGAAGTAACCAACCCAGCTCAGAACAATTACCAGAGATTTTCTCCGCTTCTCAACCAAAACGGAAGAGACAGCGATACGACTCGGATGAGGACTCTGAATATGAAGAATATCAGGATCATCGCCTGTATCCTCGCGCAGGCAATGGCTTCCGTCTCTCGCTCAACGTCGGTGATCTGGACATGCTCGCCGAAGATCCTGTTTGCCCTACATTTAGCCATTCGTTGCACGGTCCCGCTCAGGCTCGGGCAGTAGCGCGACAGGTAGCCCCCGTGTGGACTGCGGGATGAGGTGACTCAAAAGTTGAATACGTTTTTCTATCGCATATCTTTTTTTTTTTTTTGCGGGACCGGGGTGACACGCAAAAGGGCTACCCGGTTGTCTTGCTAGAGAGACTGGCCTGATCAAAACCATCAGGATCGCATATTCGAAAAAAAGGCCATCTATGAGCACTTTATCTAAACAGAATCCATGGATCCAGCTCTCTTCAATCGCTACACACGTCTACCTCCTACCTCCAGTAACTACCAGTTCTAGATCTAGTCTTCATAGATGAAGGTGGTTGCCGGGCTAGAGGCAGCTCTCAGCTCAGCTATGGGCTTTTCGATTAGCCTGCCGCCTGAGACAACATCTCTACTCAGAACGCTGGGGGGGTCCCAGACCGTCTCCGCCACCCCTCTCCTCGGTCGCTGTACCTCGCACCCAGTCTCATTGATGCTGTACACCAGTATAAAATTCGCAGAGTCCCCCTCCTTGAGGGCCAATCGCCCTGTACAGTGAGCATCGAGGCCTATCGCAGCGCGCGCACGGGTCGAAACACATTCATAGAGCAATTCGGCATCAGGTTTGGCACCTGCCTGGTAGACGCCCACACCGAAGCAGGCCAGTGAGAGCGGATCCACCGACCCCCACGGAGTGAAAGCGTTGCCAACATTGTTGACACCCACGACCGCGTCGAGGCCGTGGTCTCGGATCATCTGTGGAACTTGTAGAGTCCCCCTCGGTCGCTCATGCTGCGGCCTGCTCATGATGCTGTTGTCTCCACTCTTCGGTGTGGGAGGAGCAGCCATGTATAGATCGCTGGTCGGCAAGCCCACGAAGGAAACAGGCAGGTCATTTTCCTTGATCTCACGAGCAAGCCGATCCCATTCGTCTCTAGTAAACAGTGTCAATCGGGTACAATGGCCCAACATGACTCTCTTGTCGCTGGACTGTGCCGTCCAGTCTTTGGCCTTCAATCTGTCGAGAACGTGCCACACCAACGCATCCGTGCCCTGGTCGAGATTATAGTCCAGGTGAAAGTCGACGTGCTTCTTCAACTCCCAGGCTCGTTTGATCGCCCAGTCAATATTCTCCTTGGCCGCCTCGACGCTCGACTCGACGTAGGGTGTCGTGCCCACCCCCTGTATCGACGGAGCAGTAATGTATTTCTCCATGAGCTCTCTGTTTTCTTCCCCATGCTCCCCGGAGAAAATTGGATCTTGGGCGAATGCAATCAGTTGGACCGAGCATGAATTTTCCCACTCGGTTACCAGATCTCTCCCCGCCAACATACACATGGGCCCGACGGTATGATCGACCTCCACGAAGGCTCTCATGGCGGTCACCCCGGCCGCCACCGATTCGGCGAATAGCCATTTCCCTCGTTCCAAGACGTCAGGCCAGGTGATTTGCTCTTTTGCCTGCGCTGTGAGGGACAGGGCTTCCTGGAAGGACCCAGTGCGTGGAAGTAGATGGCTATTCTCCTGCACGTTGTGGATGAACGCCTTGTCCAGATGGATGTGCGGGTGCGTCAGCGCCGGCAGTAGAAGCGGATACAGTTCTGGATCTTGAGAAGAGCCTTCGTCGTGTGGTGATATCGAAGTGATCTTCCTCTCTGTCGAGTCTTCCTCGCCCTCTATGGTGAGGTCCCAGACCGTACCAGGAGGGTGGTCGGGAAGCCGCACTCCGCGAATAGCTTTGATCGGCTTCGATAAAGTGGCAGCTGGCATTGCTATTCCTTCCTTTTTGCAAACTATCGGATCTTTAATCGGGAAAGAAGTGTATGACGGCGTTTCTTTCGTTGCTCGGCTCTTCGTTGTTCGGCTCGGTTGCGTTCTGTATTATGGTTACGTATCAAGGTACCTGCAAATAAAGCTATATATATAGCACATGTATCACTGCTCAAGTCAAATCCGCGCAAGTCTTGTCAGAATCAATTTCGCAGGATGCCCCGCAGTCAGCACTCGGGAATGGAGGTCAGGTGCACTCGTATCATGAAACGACTCCAATCGCAGCTCTATTCGTAGGCCTCTTGTCCATATCTTCAGCTGCTGCTCAATCGCATGGTACCAGACTGTTATCTATATTAAATAACTGGCTTTTATCTTTATGTTTTGAGCCTGATACTTAGATGTAGAGCGTCACTTGCGCTATCCATAACTAATGAACTACCGAAAGTAATAAGAAAGAATTGTCCTGATGCCTGGACCTGCTTGGAATAATTTCGGATGACGTAAAATCGTGGTGGGTTGATCACGTGGGTTTATCACATGTGATGTGGTTGTTGACCTCGAATGTTTCGTTTGTGCAGACCATAATAATATATTCGTGTATATATTCTTCTACGAGGTGAACGAAGAACAATAATGTCCAAACAGCCCCCTAAGGTCTTGAACTCGTTTTCGACGACCCCTCTCCCCGCGCGCGACAAGAAATGGCACGAACATGTCACGATCGACGTCTTCCTGGCCGTCCTGAACCGCACGATCCTCCATCCCTTTGTCGCGTGGATCCTGGTGCTTTGTCTGCGTGCCCAAGTCACGCCCCTCACTGATACAGCCTTCATTCTCGCGACCGGGTGGGCGGTGCTGTTGACGCTCCTCGCCGCCGCCCGGATGATGAACCAGCGGATCGCGTACGGGATCCCGCGTCCTGTGGATCTGAACGAGGAGGTCGTTGTGGTGACGGGCGGTGCGAGCGGGCTGGGCCGACTGATCGCCCAGGTATACGGGATGCGAGGCGTAAGTGTCGCTGTCTTGGACGTGCGGGAGGCGTTGGATGTCGATGAGTTGGCGGGGGTGGAATATTATCGGTGTGATATTGGGGATAGGAAGGAGGTGGAGGCTACAAGGTTGAAAATCGAAAAGGATGTAAGGAATTCTTTTTTTTACTCTGATTTTAGGTGTTCATTTTTTTATCTTCTGACCTGGCGAACAGTTAGGAACGCCCACTATCCTTATCAATTGCGCTGCAGCAAGAATCAACGGCGAACCGCTCCTCTCTCTCCCGGCAGAGGCCTTCCAAAAGACAATCCAGACAAACCTGCTGTCCGTGTTCCACCTCTGCCAGGTCTTCCTACCTGGCATGTTATCTGCTGCAAATGGCGGCACAATAGTCACCGTCAGCTCGGTCCTAGGCCATCTGTCCGCCGCCGGTCTGTCTGATTACGCCGCGAGCAAAGCAGGTCTGAGCGCACTGCATCGGACACTGGAAGCTGAGCTACGCACAATTGCCGAAGACGATATGGTCAAGATGCTGCTCGTCGAGATTGGACAAATGTCAACGCCGCTTTTCGACTGGGTCAAAACACCGAACCGTTTCTTCGCGCCCGTTCTCGAACCGGTCCAGGTTGCTCAGGCAATAGTCAACGCGATTGATAGCGGCAAGGGAGGGGTCATCCGGCTTCCGTTTTTTGCGACATGGATCAGCTGGTATACCGTACTGCCTGCGAGCGTGCAGCTGATCGCCCGGTATCTGAGCGGGATTGATAATGCCGTTGTAAACAGATCGGCGAAAACGCAAGCACCTGCGGGAACAGGGGAACCCAACGAGACATCGGAGAAAGAGTCGGGAGGTATAGATTCTGATTGATCGTTGTGAACGGTCAACTCCCTCGGGAGTAAACGCTCGTAAAGATAGTGTCATAGTAACTGTACATATCCGCACTACACACTTGTAATGAAGACAAAATGCTCCGGGTGAGCAGAGAATGAATGCTGTCTAGGTCGAGAGACCAGCAGACCAGCCGTGGGCAAGAGAAGATAAGAGGTAAAAAGGTGTTTATTTTTCGGTCGTCAGAATCATCTTCTCGCGCTCGCTCTGTCTTGCCGGTAGCGATCCCTTCTTGCTGTGCTTGCGGACGTTCTCTTCGCGACGCTTGATGGCCGCCAGCTCTTCCTTCTTGATCTCGCCGGCCTTCTTGACAGACTTGGGAACGTGTCTGTGGCGTCTGATGCGGCGGATCTCCGGCATGTGCGAATACCTCTTGATCAGAGCTTGGTCGTACTCCAGCTTGGCCCGCTGGCGAGCGCTCTTGACACCACTGCGATCCGAGGCATTGGCACGCCAGAGGCGGATGCTGCCGTCGTCAGATCCGGACAGGACATACTTATTATCAGGTGTGAATTTGGCCGAGAAGACGCTAAAATCACCGTTAGATCGGAGTAATGAAAATGAACAATAGGAACTACATACCGCTGCATTCTCTTGGTGTGGTATACGTCTCGTGAATGACCCTTCGCCCGGTTCCACAGGCGCACGGTACGGTCGTACGAGGCAGTCACCAATTCTTCGCCAGTAGGACTGAATTCCACATCCATGACGGCGGCAACGTGATTCTTGAGAACGTTAAGGGCTCGGTCTAGCTTCCTCATATCGAAGATGTAAGCGTTGTGGTCCTCATTGGCCACGGCAAAGTTGAACGCCTCCATCGGGTTCCACGCGAGAGCGTTCGACGCCAGGCGAAGAATCACCTTCGCCACCGGGGATGACGTGCGAAGATCGTACAGAACAACCGAGCGGTCTAGCGCAGTCGACCCAAGAATCGACGTTTCGGTCTGGTTGAAGGCCACCGAAGTGATAGTGTCAGTACTGGTCGGCCAGTGGAGGGTCTGGGAAGCGGTCGAAGACGGTCTGGACAGGTCGTAGATGGAGATGACCGACGAGGAAGCCGCAAAGGACGGCAGGTTGCGATGGTGTGTGATGCCGGTGAAGGCACTCTGGCCAAGATATGTTGCGAGGGGCGGTGACTCGGGCGACGAGTTGTATGGATCGAAAAGCTTGACGGTTCGGTCGCTCGCGCAAGACAGCAACTTCCGCTCGGGAGTCCAGCAGAGACCCTTGACGATGTTCTCATGGGCCTGTGTATTCCACACCTCCTCCCGGGTGTTCAAATCCCACACTTTCACCACACCGTCTCCACTGCCACTGGCGAACCGCTCGAGAGAGCCCGGATCCTTGGCCATGGTGTAGATACCATCGACGTGGCCATCGCCAATCTGACCAAGAAACGGCGCCGCAAACATACGCTCCAGCTTCGTTGCCGTCAGTGCCCGCGTATACTCACGAGCCCGTTCGAACGGATGCTGGGCTGGGTCGAGGTTTCGGGGCTGTCGAACGACAGCAGTGCCTGGGGTCTGCTGAGAGGCAGACGGACGAGAAAGCGCCTTTATTTTCTAGTAACGGTCAATGACTTGTTTCCAACACTTTCGAGACACTTTTCACTCACCATGATGCTTGATTTCGGCGTCGTTAGGGAAAGAAACAAGCAGCAAGAAATTCTTGTAGACGGTGGACATACAAAATTTCCCGGCTTTTTTTTGGATTTTCGCTGCCAGTCGGAGAAACAGCCCTGATTCGCTGCCGGGCGTGGAGCTGCCGCAACGACGCAACCGCCTTGTCCTGCCCAGCTCCTTGAAGCACCCTCTATTGTTGACCATCTTCTGCTGACAATAGTGCAACCTGACGACGTGGTAGCCATCCGACGCTGTCCCAGTTCGTTTCCTACTTTCTACCGACACATTCTTACATCTTCAGTTAACGGTTTCGTCCACCATGGCGCCCTCTCCGACCGCGTCTGAGCGGATAGAGGAAGCTCGGGCTTTTGCGAAGAAGGACGCCGCCAAAGCAGAGAACTTGTACAAAGAGGTTCTGGCTCAGGGTCCTGGATCGACAGAGACATCGTCGCGGGACTATGAGGCTGCTTTGATTGGGCTGGGGGAGCTGTATCGGGATGGGAGGAAACCACAAGAGATCGCGGAGCTGATCAAGACCAGCCGTGACACGTTTTCATCGTTTGCCAAGGCGAAGACAGCTAAGCTGGGTGAGTTCTTTTGATAAAAAATGAGTAGTCGTGGATTTTGAATGATGGGCTGACGGGACGGTACTATGGGTAGTCCGTCAGTTGCTCGACTTGTTCAGTGAGATCCCGAATACCCTCGATATCCAAGTCTCCGTCATCAAAGCATGCGTCGACTGGGCCGTTGCAGAACGACGATCTTTTCTCCGACAGAATCTCGAAACACGGCTGGTGGCCATTTACATGCAAAAGCAGTCCTATTACGATGCCCTCACCTTAATCAACTCGCTGCTCCGGGAGCTCAAGCGCTTGGATGACAAGCTGATGCTGGTGGAGGTGCAGCTGCTGGAATCGCGGGTCTACCATGCTCTTGGCAACCAGGCTAAAGCTCGTGCCGCGCTGACGGCTGCTCGTACCTCTGCAGCATCCGTCTACACCCCGCCTAACCTCCAGGCAGGGCTGGACATGCAGAGTGGCATGTTGCACGCGGAGGATAAGGATTTCAACACCGCCTTCTCGTACTTCATCGAAGCGCTTGAGGGATACAGCTCTCTCGATGAGAGTGAGAAGGCAACGGCAGCTCTCCAGTACATGCTACTGTGCAAGATCATGCTGAACTTGGTGGACGACGTGACCCATCTGCTGGGCTCGAAGCAGGCTCTGAAATACGCCAGTCCGCGACTCGAGGCCATGAAGGCTGTGGCACGGGCTCACTCCAACCGGTCTCTGGAGGAGTACGAGAAAGCTCTGTCGGATTACCGCTATGAACTCGGAAGTGACGTCTTCATCCGCAACCATCTCCGACGCTTGTACGATGCTATGCTGGAACAGAACCTGATCAAGGTCATCGAGCCCTTCAGCAGAGTTGAGCTGGACCACATTGCCAAGATGGTCGGGCTGGACACCCAGCAGGTGGAACGGAAGCTGTCCCAGATGATCTTGGACAAGGTGATCATTGGTGTCTTGGACCAAGGCGCTGGGTGTCTGATTGTCTACGATGAGACGGAGCGGGACCAGGCGTACGATGCGGCACTCGAAACAATCGAAAAGCTCAGCAATGTGGTCGAAGGATTGTACACTAACCAAGCATCGCTCCTGGAGTAGAGAGGGGCGCTCTTTTATAAGCCTAGACGTGACTCCTTGGATTTTGGGAATGGAACGCTCATGAACCGTACTTGCAGTCTAGCCCTGCCCCGTAAACCTCCTATGACTCTTCTTATACTATCGTAGAATACCTATATGGCATTCAGTATCGGCTCTATTTGTTCCATAATGTGGTTGGTGCAGTCCTACTTGTGGACAGAATCTTTGATGCCTCTAGAATCGGCCAGCCAACGTGACTGACGAAAAGGGTAAAGCGCACCCGCGGCAAAAGACGTTCAAGCGGCCATCGCGACTCTCCTTCCAAAGTCGCGACGAGAATACAAGAAAATCGCCATCCGGTCTGGAGGACTTGTGTGCTTTAATTTGTGTCAAATTAATACAAGTTGAAACAAGCCTGCCTCCACAATTATGAACGTTCCTCCAATGCAGCCGAATTATGGCCGTGGCTACGTCCAGCCAACCCAGCGCTCTCCTGCCACACCTCGACGCGGGCCTCCAGGAGCAGGTTGGATCCATCCTGTGAATCTCGTTCTTTAGCTGTGATCTGGGACTAACCGTATCTTTCTAAATAGTGCCACAGATGCCTGTCCCAATGGCGCAGCACCCTGCCGTGAATGCTCAGTACATGGCCGCTCAGCGCAACATGCCGCACCCCAACGACGCCGCGCTACGTCGCAGTCGCAAACCGACGGACAGGAACATGCCGGAAGGGCTCGAGGACCTGATCATAGGAGATGGAGTTCAGCAATACAAGAGCCTACGCGATCTTGAAAAGCGACTGGATGCCGCCATCGTCCGGAAGAGACTAGACATCCAAGATTCGATGAGCAAATCTGTGAAGAAGTTCCGCACGCTTCGTGTCTGGGTCACCAATACTGTTGAGAGTCAGCCGTGGCAGAATGCGGGGGAACAGAACGGAAACTTCCCCGGTTCGAACCCAGGCTCTGGCCGATTTAAAGTGAAAATCGAGGGCCGATTACTCGACGATGCCAGCGATCCGACCACTCCTGACGATAGCGACGATGAGGGAGAAGCAACGGGGCAGGAAGGATCGAATGGGGGAGACGCTGCCAAGGCAGCATCAAAGCCGGCGAACCAACGTCTTTCGCACTTCTTCAAAACCATCACGGTGGACTTCGACCGACCTTCATCGACGAAACCTGAGGAGGTCAAACCGATCACCTGGACCAAGCCGCAGCTGCCGCCCAACGCGCCATCGTTGCCCCCCACGGCCGACTTTGACTGTCTCCAGTTTTCCAGAGCTTCCCAGGAGAACTTAAACATCACCATCAGCCTGGTCCGGGATGAGGCGCCTGAGCGATACAAGCTCAGCAAGGAGCTTGCAGACATTCTTGATACAGAAGAAGAGACCCGCAGCGGTATCGTGCTGGGCATCTGGGACTACATTCGTGCTATGGACCTCCAGGAGGATGAGGAGAAGCGGCAAGTGCGCTGTGATTACCGATTGCAAAAGGTATGCCAGGAATATCGTTGGGGATTAAATGCTGCCCACCTATTGACTCACCTGTTACACAGATATTCGGTAGAGAACAGATGTTCTTCCCCCATATTCCAGAAAGCGTCGGCCCTCACACCAGCCCACTGGACCCCATCAAGCTTCCGTACACCATCCGCGTTGATGAAGACTTCCACAAGGACCCGACGCCCACCATCTACGATATTCAAGTCGCAGTAGAAGACCCTCTGCGCGCCAAGATGGCGGCCTTGACCCAAGACCCGCAATACGCGACCTCTCTGCGCCAGATCACTGCCCTTGACGACCAACTGGCTCTAATTGTTCAGGCCCTGACGCACTCGCGCGCAAGACACTCCTTCTACACTGCTTTGAGCAAGGATCCTGTCACGTTCCTGCGTCGTTGGCTGAACTCTCAGCGGCGGGATCTCGAAACCATTCTCGGTGAGGCGACCCGTGGCGGCGGTGAAGATGGCAGTGGGCCGGAATTCAGACGCGGTGGCTCTGAGGGTGTCTGGGATACCCCGGTGGCGAGAGAAGCTGTACGATATATGCTGGCGAAGCCGGAGGCCGCTGCTGCAAGGTAGAAAGAGGGCATTCTTTTCATATTATGAGGTTTATTCGGATCTATGTTTATGGATGAGTTTGGCTTTATTTTTTCTCTCTCTTTTCCAGTGTCAGCTAAGACGAGATAATTACTGGCGTCTGTGTGGTGTTTCTTAGGAGTGGTAAGCTAGTACTGGCTCTTCCTTGAAAGCAATTGAAAAAAAAAAAAAAATAAATAAAAAGACATACACCTATTCTATATCGAACTTCGTATCTAATTATTTAATAGCTAATTTAATAGCTAATCTCCCTGAAAGCCGATTCATAGACATTGAACAAGACCAAGTATTAGACTAGAAATTCATGGGTTTAACTTGCGCCCATTGTCCTATTCAGTTAATGCATAGAGAGCAAAAATTCCAATAAAAAACCAAGCCAGCCTCGCTATAAAGTAGAGTATGTATCGGGAAACATTGACAAGGACTGAAAGGGACATTGACTTCGTATCGTTGGCTGCAGGAGGGTTACCTTGGAGGAGACCGTATCAGCCGATTGTCCGGGAAAGCCATCCACGCCTCTGGAATAATTAGAGGGAGCAAAACAGTGGATGCAAATAAAAGAGGTACTGGAATCTGCCGGCTCCAATAATGAATTCCGGTAGATGAAAACTCGCGATGTTATCAACAAGGAAAAAAGAAGATCTCTTCTCGTCCTGCTGCTGGTCTTCGGGTGCTAGTTCAAGATCTTTGCTCGACGTTCCGCCGGCGCAGTTTATCGGCAACGGCGGCACCGACTGCTGAAGCAATCTTCTCGTCCGCTTCATCACCCAGGAATAAAGTGCCTTCTTCCTGTTCCAACTTGGCGGCAGCCTCGAGGACGACCTCTTCGGTGAATTTCTGCACGTCTTGCACCTTCTTCTTCTTCTCCTCCGGCGCCGGCGGCGCACGGAACCGCTTCATGACAGTCTCGATCATCTTGGAGAACCAGTAGTAGTTGAGAGAATTGAGGACGATGTTGGACGACACATATGTGACGACAAGCCAGGTGGGGACCCCGCCGGCAGTGAATTTGGCGTATTTGGAGATCTCTGCGTTTGCTCTGGCACAGGTCTCGTCAAGGCAAAGCGAGCCATTCTCGAGCTTGAAGACCGAGGCAGTGATGTCGACGGGGTCGAGCAGGGACGAGGCCGAAGCGGTCCATTTCTGCTGCAGGGCAACCCACATGTCGTAGTAGACGCACGCAGACTGCCAGGTGCCCCAGACAAGGCGGCACGAGAAGAAGGTAAACAACAACAGCATCCCGTTGTACCATTGGGCCTTGCTGCCCGTCATGTTGACCTTATCGAAGAACCAGTGGATGTTGAGAAACGGGCTGGAGAGTTCGTACAGGATGAAATTCGAGGCGTAGAAGTTGAGAAATGGTCTCTAGATAAAGAAGCACGAGGTCAGAGAGATCAGGTCGAGCAAAAAAGAAAGAGAAAAAACAAACACGTTTGTTTCCTCCTAGGTTAATTTGAAACAACAAAGGTATGAGCAGAACTTACAAACCCGAGACTAAACACCCACAACGCACTGATGGCATGGAAAAGCATCCCCACGCCAAACATCTTGATGTACAGGGTGCTGACGATCAAGTCGTAGATGAAGTACCCCGCTGCGAGAGCCTGGATCAGCCCGCAAGCGCCCGTATAGCCATACACCCGCTCACCGACGTTCATGGACTTCCGCTCCTCGTCCGTGAACATCACCCAGAGAGCCAGCACGTTGATCAAGACACTCTGCACCAGCGAGACAACATGGATGTCCCAGTTGAGCCGGGTCCGAGGGTTGAGCTTTGGGTACGACTTGGGACACAGGATAGGGGACAGCCAAGGCGACAGGACCGAATGGACGACCTGGTAGAAGACAAAGGCGAGGATAATCTCATGAACATGAGCAGGCATAGACGGCAGATCCAGCCATTCTGCCCAGGGCTTAACAGCCTCCTGGAGCCACAGCGGTGGCGGACCAAGAGGGTCCAGCATGTTGGCTTTTTCTGATCTTGAGGGTGTAGGAAACCAGGGGAAAACAAGGCCCAGGAGCGACTTGAAGTGAGGCAGAAACCGAACGGCTCCACAGGAAGTAAGTTTTCGAGAGAGCACCGACAGTCAGCTGCTCCTTACACAGAGGCCATCGTGATGCCAACCCTTGATCCCACAGAGCGGTGCCCAGGAGGCGGAGAGTAACACAAGTGAAGCTGGCGGGCGATAGCGTCTTCGGTCCCGTCGGCTCGCGTGCCTCATCGGCAGTTGGTGCCTGAATCGCGTGGCTCCCAAGTTGGGGCGGATGACGTCGAGCGTTGGGGAGTGTCACGTGTCTGCTACTATATAGTATAGACTATGCCATTACCATATGGTCTCTGGACGAATATATTATTACGGATTTACTGTGAATATAAGACGACAATGTGTATTTATCTATCATACGGTTATTTGACATACTCTGGACATAAAATAGACAAAGGAAAATCATAAAAACAAAGGGAAAAATAGGCACAAAGAAAAGAAAAAGGGAGCGGACAGACAGGTTGGTTGGGCTTCGACCAACGCAAGCAGGCCAAGCGAAAAAGGGGGTATCGGGCAGTAATGCGTGAGGAAGAAGCAGAAGAAGAAGAAGAAGAAGGAGAAGAACACATGGGCTCTCTGAGAAAGACCCGACTGTATGTGAGCTGGTGAGTTTCTCAGGAGAGACCATGATTAGCTGTTTCAGACGGCAACCACCATCTCGGATCCAAGACCACTGTCGAGATCATGATTCGGCGCAGCTCCGTCTGCGAGCTCGCTGCCATCTGCTTCAGCATCACCGTTGGCGGGTTCCTCGTCTTCGCTGTGCTCCTCCTCGGGTCGATCCCCCGCATCGCCATGGTCGATTACAACCGAGCCTGTTTCCGTTCCCTGCAATCCAGTCGCAGAACTAGCAGTGCTCACCCGTCGCATGTTGTCGGTGAAGGTCCCTGCGTAGCTGGTTCTCCTCTCCGTTCCCGTGTCGCTCTCGCCTCCACTGTTCTGTTCTTCTTCCTCCACAAATACATCGTTCTCCTTGTTGGCGAGGGATGTCCGCCGGCCCGCCCACGAAGCCTTTCGTAGCGACAGGTCCGACTTGACCGAGTGGCTGCGCTTGAGGCTGGTGAACCCGCTGGTGGTGCTGCTCTGGCGGTCTACCACGCCCCGGTTGCCCGTCACGTTGCTCAGACTCAGGATCCTGCGCTCTTTACCGGCCGTGGAAGATGCCGCGGTCGAGCCAGATTGCGAGGGCGCGTGACTTCGCCGTTTGAGCGCAATGCCCGCGCCGCTGCCGAGAATACTACGCGCATCCCTTGCGGTACTCGCGTTGCTGGCAGCACTGGAATCCCGAGTCCGCGTGCTACGCACTCGCTTGACACCCATGCTACGACCCCCGGCGGGCCCTCTGAGGAGCACGCTGCGGGCGTGGTCCAGGACACCCTCCAGGATGCGTTTCTCCAGGCTGTCGGCACGCTCCTCCATGAGCTGCATCTCCTCGTGGCGGATCTCCAAGGCGGTTTCCAGACCGGAGAGCTCGGTGGCAAGCTTGGTCTTCTGCTTGCTAAGATCATCCTTCTCACCCTTCAGCGTGTATATCATCTTCAGCAGGGAGTCCTTTTCTTCAGCCAGGCCAACAAGCTCGGCTTCGATCTGTTCCTTCTGAGCGGTTCGACGCTCAATAGCCATTGCAATTTCTTCCGACTCGCGACGCCGACGTTCGTTGTCTTCGGCAATCATCTTGGACTGTGCCTCGAACATCTCATTCATTCTGCGTGATGTTTCCATGATGTCCTTGTGCATCTCATCCAGCTTCATCATCTGGGTCACACTCTGGCTCGTGTCAATGGAGCGATCAAGAAGGGTGTCGAGCTTTTCGTGGACTGGGTTCTCCGGGCTTGTCGTATGGTTGATGAGAGTATCGAGCTTCTCATGAACCTGGTCATTGGTCGCAAATTCCATGATGGTGTTCAGCTTGTCGTGGATCTCATGGTTGGTCGAGTTCTCTACAAGGATATTGAGTTTATCGTGGACATTGGTGTCAGCCGCATGTTCCAGGAGAATGTTCAGCTTGTCCTGGATTTCGGATGTAGTCGTTTGCTCGAGGAGTGTATCCAGTTTTTCATTGACAACCCTGTTACTCTGCGAGCTCTCCACGAGGTCGTCGAGCTTCTCATGAATCTCCCTGTTTCTCGCATGTTCAATGATCGTGTTGAGTTTATCCTGCACCTGGCTGTCGTCGTACTTTTCCGGCTCCGGGGGTGGTAAAGCTGGGAGTAACGGAGTGAGAGCCATGGGGAGCGCGGTTAGACCACGGGTCAGCTCCTGAGAAGAGTTCTGAGAATGTTCGTAGTGCTGGCCCACGATGGCAAGGATCTCCTGGATAGATTCAAGAAGCTGAGGGTGGATTTCTCCGAGTTTGGACTCCACACGGTCGGTGGCGGCAACAGCTCGTTCGACGTCGACTCTGGCTTGCTCCTGATGCGACTTGACGTCGTTGTGCATTTCCTCGATCTTCTTGTAGGACTCGTCCACCTTCTCGAGGAAGGTTTTCGTGTCAATTCCCATTCGCTCACAGGTCTCGGTGAGACTGTCGCCCATGGCACCGATAACAAGTCTAATGTCCTCCGCAATGGACTTCGTGTCTGTAACAGCCTCAAGATGAGCACCGTCACGCTCCTCAGCCTCGGAGAACTTAGACTCCATCGTGGCTTGGGCCTCCTCGTACTTAGCCATGACCTCGCCGACTTTCTCGTCAATCTTCGCACCGAGTTCGACAATGATGGCGGCCCGAGTCTCGTCCTGCTTGACGATGTTGACAGCGTCGCGCTCCTCTGTCTCCAGCTTGGCGGCATCCTGTTCCCCCCGCGCTCGTTCGAATTCACGGTTGATCAGGTCTGTCAGCTCCTTGACGCTCTCGACGGTAGTGAACATCTCAGAGGAAGCAATCAACCCTTCCAAGAGTTGCCTCAGCTCGGAGAGGCCTTCGCTGCTTCCATCCAGCTTGCTTTTGAGTTCTTCGCTGAGGGAATTCACAACAGCCTGGGCTTCTTCGATTTTCTCCGCGAGACCGCCATGCTCGACCTTGCGAGCCTCGAATGCTTGCGCGGTCAGCTCGTTCTCCGCCTCGACCTTTTCGCGGAAATCAACAACAAGAGCAGAAAGCTCCTGCAGCTCGGTCTTGGTCGGCAGACTGTCGACGTCAGGCAGTTTCAACTCCTCCACCTGGGTCTTTACTTCGAAAATCATCGCTTCGACCGTTTGAAGATCAGACTTCATCAGCTTAGCGGTGTCCTCATCCTCACCAGGTGTCGCCTTGGCCTTGAGCTCCTCGACAACAAGATAAATGTCCTTGAGAAGAGACTCCAGAGTACCAATTTCCGTTTTGGTGGGACCCTCGGCTTCCAGTCGACCGGAAAGCTCGGAGATTGCCTCTTTTGTTTCGAGAACAACCGCTTCCAGGGTCCCGAGCTGTTCAGCTTTGGCGATCTCATCGGCTTGCGGGAACACCATCCCTTCAAGATGAGCCTTTGTGGTTCTCAGCAAGTCCTCGATGACATCCGTGTCGTCTTTCTTGGCTGTGGTGTCATCAACAGGGACTGGTCGAGCAACCAGTTCGGCAACGGAGCCCTGCACTTCCTGCAAGCCAACAAGAACTTCATCAAGATCCTCTCTCTTCAGTACGTCTTCGGGGAATTCAGCAGGCGGGGGAGGAGTGGTTTCAATCGCGTCAACCTTAATCTGCAGCTGAGTGATCATGATCTTGAGGTTCTCGATATCGTCTCCGAGGTTTGAGGTGTTCGCAAGAGTAAGTTCCTGGCCACGGCTGCTCTCCATGGCGTCCAGCTCTCTGTGCGAATCACGCAGTCCCTCCATCTCGGATCTGAGGCTGTTCAGTCCTTCCTTGATCGTCTCAAGTACCTCGGCGTTGTCGACTTCCACGGGCTTGCTAATCAGCTTGTCGAGGTCGGCACGGATCATGTCGACTCCCTCATGGAAAGCATCGAGAAGTTCGCCGGTGTTGGAGAGAATGCTTTCAGCACCATCTCTTTGCTGGGAATCCTGTTCGCGGAAGGAATCAAGGTGTTCACGAATGGCTGAGAGGAGCTCTTCCTTGTTCAGGTTCTGGTTCTGGCTCGCAGGAACAATACTCATGTTGAAAATCTCACGCATATTGTCGATTTGTTCCTTAACAACAGCCACGACATCCTCTGCCTTCTGACCAGGCTTATTTGCATCGGCAACCTCGCGAATGGCGTCAATGATTTCATCCTTTTCGCCGGGGTTGCTTCGAACAAGCAAGGTACTGATGGTCTGGCGAAGGTGCTCGAATTCCTTTTCCATGGCGTCGAGAAGCTCCGGTGTGTCGGGGTTACCGCGTTGTGTCAGCAAGACAGTCTCCTGGATGGTCTTTTCCATGTCGGCTTGCAGCAGCCGGAAGCCTTCCTTGACAGTATCCATGATCTCGTGTTTCCCATTCTCATCCACTGCCGCCGCAGTGCAGGTCTCAATATCCTTCCGGACAACTTCCATGCTATCCTTGAGGGCATCAAGGACCTGCTCTGTATCCTTCCCATTTGCAGCAGAATATTGCGCAAATTCCTCCTTCATCCCGTCAAGGAGACCTTGGAGGCGTTCGAGCACTTGTTCTCCGATCGTTGCGTTCGTGGTTTGGGTGGCTTCTTCGAGGCATGAAGAGATTGCTTCCATGAGATCATCTTTACTGAGTTCAATCTCCCTTGCACCCTGGTTTTCCAAGGCTTCGGTGACGAGCGCAAGGATCTCCTCTCGAGAGACTGGGGGCTCGGGAGCGGGATGGACTGCGAAAGCATCGTTGATCGCATTGAAAACCTCCTCCCGTGAAACCCGGGGCTCATCGACCTCCTTAACAGCAGCAAAATGCGACTCCAAGCCACCAGCCACAGCACTCAGGATCTCATCACGGCCTATTCCCGAATCAAATGACTCTCTGCTCAGTGTACTTTGAGTCGTAGTAACAAGGTCGGCAAGCGCGTTCATGATTTCGTCTCTCATCGCATGGAGCTCGTTCTCCTCCACCATACGCGGAGCAGGTGGCTGGTAGCCCTCGAGACATTCCCGGATTGTCATAGAAATTTCGTCTTTCGTAATAGTTGGGGGGCTCTCCACAGGCGGGGGAACAAAGCTCTGCATGCCTACCTGTACTGCGGCCAGGACTTGATCGTAGGTTACTGCGTCTTGATGTTGAGGTTCGTATGACTTGAGGCCTTCGGAGAGGCATTCAAGGATTTCCTCACGCTCGAGGCCAAAGTTCTGAAGCTCAATCTCCGGCTTGTAGGTCTCCCATGCCTCCCTCACAGTCTCCAGGATATCCTCCTTGTCCATGCGGACTCCTTCGGGTAGGGCTGGGAACTCCGGGAGTGGGAACTCATCGATGGCCTTTCTAACTAGGGAGTAGACTTCTGCGCTGTTCATCTTAGAGCGGTAGTCTTTCATCGCGGCGCTGTGGTCACGACTCTCGTTGATCATCAATGCCATCTGCTCCTTCAGGTCGTCCAGGCTGGTTGCAACGATGGCAGAGATCTCCTCCTTATTGAGTGGCGCAGGATTCTCTTTGTCGGTCAAGCGATCGTTCTCTGCCTCCTCGAGCTTACGACCCAGCTCCCGACCCATGCCCAAGACTTCACCGCGCAGTTCGCGAACCAAAGCCTTGACTTCATTGGTCAGCCCACCTCCTTCGATAACGCTGCTCTTCACGCGTTTCATAATGGCGAGCATCTCTTGGGTCATGTCGCTGTTGCCATTGTCGTTCATTTCATTCATCGTCGCTAAATCCGAAAGGTCTCGGGCATCGAGAGATCGTGACCGTGAGCCATCACCAAGGTCTTCTGGTCGGGCACGGACCAGAGCGTTGCTCATTGAAGGCTGCTCCCTGACGAGTTTAAGAATTTCTTCGAGCATGGTGGTGACCGTTTTGTCGGTTTCAGGATCAGAGGTGTGGGATACGGGGCTAGACTTCATTTCCTCGACGAGCTCCAGGAGCTTCTCCTGTCCTTCTTTAGTAGCCATCTCACGCAAAACCTTCTCCAGCAACGCAATGCTGGCTGAACCGTCAGAGATGGGAGTAGGCGATCCGCAGAGTTCTCGCTCCATGGCAGCTGCAAAGGGATTAGGGCTCGGCATTCGAGGCATATTGTAGCTTTTCTTCGAACTCGGAGAACTGTCCGATTCCTTGCTGTCAATACCGTCTCCAGATCTCAAGAAGGAATTGCTATTAAGATCCCACCTTGTAGCCCCCTCTAGCTCCGAGAATCTAGAAGAGATACTTGACGAGAGCTCGCGCAAGCTCTTTCTGATGTCTTCATCACGTGCGTTGGTCGCGGCTTTGAGGCTGACAAGATCGGTAGCATTGTCTTTGCTCCGGCGGCTAAGCTGTGCCATCTCCCGCTGCAGGCCGCTGGCGATATCGGTCAGGCTGTGGATTTGCGTGGATAGAGACTCGAAGTTGTGGCTCATCGGGGTACTGAATTCGACTGGAGGGCTCGAGCTACGAGGAGCCGGTGCAGGGGGGCTATCATCAGGAAGCTGCATGTTCTGGAGTGCTAACATAGTGGCAGATGGCGGTGTGCTTCCACCAAGGATAGGCTTCGAGAGGAAGCGGTTCGCCATGGCGAAGTGGGGAGCATCGCGATCAGTGTCTTTGCTGTTGAAAGGAGAGTCGTTGGACATCATCAGGTCGCTCTCCAGCTGCCTCGTTCCGGGCTCCATGACTGAAGCCCGCAGCGGTCGTTCCGGCGACCGGCTCTCAAGATAATTCAGAAACTCTGAGCGGGTGTCTGCACCTTGCATTGACTGCATACGCTTGTGATAGTGCCCTCTGATGAGGGACTTCTCTGGCGATGACTTCAATGGCATCGGATTGACTGTGTATGCACTGGGCGCATTCTCGCGCATCTTCTCCGCAAAGCTGGCTGCAACAGCCTGAATATTCGGTGAAGCGTTGGCCTTGGTCACTGGACTGGTCGATCCAGGATTCATTGGCAACGGAGGAGGCGCCCGTTCTGGGTCTGAGCTATCCCACCTGTCCGTCGAGTCAGTAAAGTTTCCGTTCCCAGAGCCGAGAGGGAGAGCCGATCGTTTCTTTGTCCTGTACTTACATGGGTACTAGGGATCTGCTCTCTGGGTAACTCGACTGGTGTCTCACGAGCTCCCTGTCATAGGAACCCTCGCGTTCGTGCGACGGCATTGTGGAAACGTTACTGTGGATAATGATAATTCCTCCGATCTAATGAGGCGGAAGTGGGGAGTAGGTAGCTGGAAGAGTCGTCTGGAATGCCAGGCAAGAGAAGGTCGTCGCAATTCAAGGTCGTTTCAGGGTCGTCAATTCGTAAGAGGGGAAACTGGAAGGGGGGGGGTCAGGTTGGTTGTCCTGTATCCGAATCAGGATATCCGACGCGCGCAAAGGGAACCAAAAGAACAAAGAACAAAAGACACGCTTGCTTGGGAACGAACTCAAAAGCGATGACCCGGGGAAAGCGAAGTCTTGATAAAGACAACAACAGGTGGAGTTGCTGGGCCAAAATATGGTAGCTCATGGGGCGGCTGCCAGTCCGGCCCAATCTCCAGTGTACACATCGAAGGCCTCTCGTAGCAACCAGCGCTATCTGCGTTGCCAGGTAAACAATCGGCCAGTCCTGGGTGCTTAGTCATTGCTGACGTAGGAGGCCCGGGCGGTGAGGATGATCCGGTCTAGCCGGAGGACGACCCGATGGGGAAATTGCCCTGATGGGGGCTAGTGGGTGGACATCGGTAAGCTACCCAATCATCGCAGGCACACAAACCGTGCTTGCCCTGAGCGCCTCGACAAGCGAAAAAAAGACCGTCGAACGCGGAGACCGTCTTTCACACGACCGAAGTTCAATCGCCAACCACCCCATCGACCTTGCTGCCGCCCCCCGGACTTTCGAAATGAAGTGTTAGTGGAATCGCATACGAGCAGTCACTGAATAGGCCTGTTCATGCTGACCTGGGATGTTTTTACAGTCATGAAAGTGGGCCGTGTGGCCATCATCACCCGTGGCCGTTATGCCGGCAAGAAGGTACGACAAATATTTTTCTTCAGTTTCTAGTCGAGTCGGGTGGATTGGGGCTCTTGTTGAGAGGGATGGAATACTTCATGAGCGAGAAACGCGATGAATGAAGGGCAATCAATGTGTGGTCTAAGAGCCGGATTGGATATCTTCAAAACAGGATTGTTGAATATGGAAGACATTTTGAGGCGTGGAATAGGAACGATGGATTCGGCATTTTGGATCAGAGTGTGCTAACCAGTGTGTTTTTTTTCCGTTTTTTTTCAACAGGTTGTCATCGTTCAGCCCAACGACACTGGCTCCAAGGCTCACCCCTTCCCCTACGCCATCGTCGCCGGTATCGAGCGCTACCCCCTGAAGGTCACCCGCCGCATGGGCAAGAAGACTGTTGAGAAGCGCAGCCGCGTCAAGCCCTTCATCAAGGTTGTCAACTACAACCACCTGATGCCCACCCGTTACACTCTGGAGCTCGAGGGTCTTAAGGGTGCCGTCACCCCCGAGACCTTCAAGGAGGTTTCCCAGCGTGAGGACGCCAAGAAGACCGTCAAGAAGGCTCTTGAGGACAGATACACCAGTGGCAAGAACAGATGGTTCTTCACTCCTCTGCGTAAGTGATGACTGAAGACTTGACAAAAAAAATTTTCAATTTGCTAACTGCTTGCCTACAGGTTTCTAAACGGGGTAATATGGCGTTTTTGTCGCTTAAGCGTGTGAGGTCTCTAGATGAGGGAACGGGGGAGCCAAAAAAAACAAACATTGAGAACATTCAACTCGGGAACATGGGACAACCATGTCGGACATATACCATGGCTGGAAGCAGAATTGGGAATGTACCTCAATGGGCCAGTCTAGCACATGGCAATGTTTCTTTTTTTTTATGAGGGAAGCCGTTAAAGATTCGGTTTCCATCTCGAAATGAAATGGAAAATATGAACAAATCCTTTTTTTCCTTGCTCCTAAGTAAAGGTACACTATGCCTATATTCCGACCCGTGCCCAAACCCAAACCTCGGCCCTACCGGTCACGGAACCCGCCCAACAGCTCGGCCAAGACGAGAGTCTCCCGATCCGAAGTTCTCTGCCATATTGCGCCACTAGTTCACGATCTGCCCAAATGGTAGAGCCCTAGGTACCGGTTGAGGTCCCATTTTAGTTGCCACAGGCTCCGTACGACTAAGAGTAAGTCTTGACAATGGCTGCTGGCATCCAAAGGTCCCATGACCAACCATCTATGTGGTAGTGCTGTACAGTGTACGGTGTACCATCGTCACATGTCAATAAATCAAACCACTATCCTATTCTATGTTATCCTCTCCTATCCTGGTTTCGAACTACTACATAATAGACGGGATATAGAATTGAGCTTGCGAGGTTTTATTTTAGACAAGGTAATAATTTACACAGCAATGGATTTATTATGGAGGAATGTAACTAACCACCTTTTCCACCAGAACTAAACAATAATAGTACTAACTACTAGATGCAGGCCGTTGAGATTGCTGTAAATTTCGACGAGGATCCAGATAAGGCATGTGCATGGAATTTGCAGCTACATTTTGCAAACCCAGGGAAAGACCCACAATCACATGCAAAATTATAAGGTAATTGTCACATCATCCACCATCCAGCAACGATAATATCCGCAAGCATCGTCATCGTCTTATCTGAAGCAAAGAAGACCACAGATGCGTCTTGCTGTGTATTTCCACATCAACGACATTTTGAACACTGCCAATAAGCTTTGCCTATCATATGGCAGTCATCGCAACAGCCGTGCTCGATCAACGCTGAGTGGGCCGGAATTGGTACGTTTCGCCCTCCAGCAGCAGAGTTCCAACTTCTCATCCCTGCTGCTACCGTTGGCCATGACGGACCCATGCGGAAATGTCGGCCAGCAAACCTCAACCCGTTTCTGCCTTGCTCGGACTTGATTCCAGAGTCCAGACCCTGGACTTGGTGCGAGAGATAAGCCCCCCTCTAGAAAAAACCCGCCCCTCCGACGAAGACGTCGCCAGGGCCCGCATTCACATGCTGGCCCCTCCATGGTTATTCTATAGGCTAGGAAAGACTAGGTAGCTATGGGTTTTTTGCGGCGTAATGTGGTCAATAAGGTCACAGAGCAGGCAAGGTTGGATAAAAAAAAATTCCCCGAGCGCGAGATCATGAGCAGGGAGAGAGTCTAGGCGAAAAAGCGAAGCTCGGGAGGTCCTGGCAGCACAGGGTCGGGCAAAGTCGCATAAAGCAAACTGTTGGTTCTCATTATCAAACATAAACAGCCCGCAGCTATTGTCGTAAGTTTCGCAGGTATAAATTCTCGTACGTGTCTACAGTAGGATCGGATACCAATCCTACCTACCGTCCCGTGTCTTGCCTCTCTTCTATCCATCAGTTAGGTACTTTCCCCCCCTCGTACCCCGGTTGCGCCTTGTCCTCTCGCTCCCATATCAAAAAGCGTGTCCCCCCCCCCCCACTGCTTGTATCCTTGTCGGTTTTTCCTTCTATTCTCAATCCAGTACGTGCTCTCTTTCGCTGCTTCTCTCTTATATTCCCTCGCAAGAGAAAGAAGAAGAAGGCCATTAATCACTGATACCTCGCTGTTTACAGTTTCACGCAAACCCCATGCCTCACGCAGATAAAGACGTCATGGGCGAGCCGACAGTCAACGGCGAGAAGGTCTACTCGCATTTCTTGGATGTGGGTTACTTCGGATCTGCTCTGCTTTCTTGCCGATATACTAATTGGCGGGGTGATCGTGTAGCATCTGACATCCTATCCTATCGTGCTCGACTCGATCTCTACCTTCAAGAAGAACAAGTATGGCGCCAAGTCGTTAGAGTTTGCCGATCAAGGGTACACTCGCATAGCCAAGCCGATTGTCCCCTACCTGTCGACGCCATACACCTACGTTGCGCCGTACGTCGCCAAGGCCGACTCTCTCGGAGATCAGGGTCTTACCAAGATCGATACAACCTTCCCGATCATTCGAGAAGACACCGAGAAGATCAAAGTCACCATCTATGACAGTGCGTCGTATCCCCTGCGCGTGGCTGGGGACGTCAAAGCCCACGTCTTCGACACCTATGGGTCCGAGTATAAGAAGTGTGGCGGCGACGGAATGGTTGCTACGGGCAAGGCAGTCATCACCACCAGCCTGGTGCTCTCGCAGGAGACCTTGGCCATGATCAGTTCTTTCTTACAGACCAAGAAAGAGCATGTCAAGGAGATTGTGAATGAGAAGGAACATCAGAAAAACTGATCAAACCCCTCCTTTTCTCCTCCTTTCATTTGTATGACACCACCGCCCGCAATATCATCCTAGATATCTTGTTATTCATACTTTAGGTGTGCTGTTCCTCTGGTGGAGGTTCCTCGCGCCTACTCTTTGTTCCTCTCCCTAAAATGTTGGCTGTCATCGACATTCTCAACTCGCCAACATTGCTTTTGCGTCCATTGGTCATCACGCATCATTGATATACTCGGTCGGCTCTTGTCAGCGCTTCCTGCTTAATAACCAGGTTTCCTTCTTTCTTGCCATTATTACTACCTAGGTAGTCTTAGCGTTATATAAACCACTCTGTCCCTGTTGACATTGCGCATTGTAGAGTACCGTGAACATTCAAAGACAAACTAGCAGCGACTATATACTATGTACTAAATAAAGTGATGGTTACTAGGTAACTTGAGAAGCTAGAGTATGGTAGATTCCTGAAATTAATGCAGGAGAGATACCTCTTTGTTCTATTCAAAGGCGGTCTGGAACCAGCCGGCAGAATAATCACGTTTATTTCCTTTTTGGGAAAAGGCGGCGCGTCACGCGTTTCTTTGTCCATCGAGCCCCTCTACCCAGCTAAAGACCTAGATAATCCCATCGCCCATAACCGTCTATTATAATCATACTTGGCTAAAATCTCCTCTTTTTGATATCCTATCGAATATGCCTCTAGTTCGGAAGCGCAGAGCGGTGAGCTTCTAGCCCCTCGACGTCGCGACGGTGTACTCTATTCTAACCTGAACCCTCTCTTTGTTTTACAGGCTGACCTCGTCGCTGATGGATCTCAATCAGAAGCCGGGCCAGCAGGCTCTCCTCCTCAGCGAAGACGCATGCGACGAGTCGAGGAGGAGGAGGAGGAGGAGGATGACGACTCGTCCGGATCCGCCGATAGTGACGAGAGCGCCGACATCCGCGCCCCGAGCAGTACAGACGTGATGATCAAGAAACTGGTTCGCCTGGCTCTTGCCAGTGAATATTCACGACAGACAATCCGCCGGACGGATATCAGTGCCAAGGTTCTCGGCGAGCAGGGATCGAGGCAGTTCAAGACTGTGTTCGAAGGGGCGCAGAAGGCGCTCCGCACGCGGTTTGGGATGGAGCTGGTGGAATTACCTGTGAAGGAGAAGCTAACTCTTACGCAAAGGAGGGGTGAGAATTCCGATTGAGCCGATTGACTTAGTTGACATGAGAAAAAAAACCGCTGACGATGCTATTTGTAGCTGCACAAAAGGTCGAGAAACCGTCGACATCGAACAAGTCGTGGATCGTAACCTGCATGTTACCGAGTGTCTATCGCAAACCCGAGATCCTCCCGCCGACAAAGGCGCCGTCCTCGGCAAGAGAAAGCACGTATACAGCGCTGTATACATTCATCATCTCGCTGGTAATGCTTAATGGCGGCACGCTCGCCGAACAGAAGCTCGAGCGGTATCTGCAACGCACCAATACAAGCGATTATACCCCGATCGACCGGACGGATAGGTTTCTACAACGGCTATGTAAAGAAGGATATCTCGTGCGGAACAGAGAGACAGACAACGGCGAGGAAATCATCGAGTACGTGGTCGGGCCCAGGGGAAAGATTGAGGTTGGAGAACAGGGGGTCGCCGGCCTGGTCCGCGAAGTGTATGGCCATCAGGCACCGCTCGGCGACGACATGACCGCCTTGGAGAAGGAGACCAGAGAACGGTTCGAACGCCGCCTGCAGAGGAGTCTGGGAGTCGCTCCGCCGGAGCAATCGAGAGGGGATGGCGAAGCCCAGGGGGAGAATGCACAGCAAGAAGCACGGCAGAGAAATCAGCAACCGCGACGGTCAAGACGACACGCCGAACAAGAGAGCTCAGATGACGACGAAAGTGATTGATGTGCGATCACTCTCCTTGATGGCTATCTATACCTCTAATGTACAGTCCACTCGATGCCTTCTTTATCGATACCGGTTAAATTCACATAAATGTCCTCCAAGGCGGTAATACATGCATATGCATACCTTATACTACTGCCTAGCTAACTATACGAATGCCCTGTAATGATTCAAAATTTAGTCTTGTTGTCTTTCCCTTAATCCTTGGTGACAATACTACAGAGAACCTTTCAAGGAACTACCTGGAGTCTTTTTTAATACAAAGAGATTCGAAGAAATCAACTTTTATACAATATATAATAAGGACCATTCTTGACGTAACGAAGAAAATCAGAGAAATAATTGATTATATATTATTAAACACTGCAGGTTAAAACAAACTTACTATATAGTAAGAATATCAAATAGCTCTCAAGATAATCATTATTCTAGGGCTCTATTCTAGTTCAATAACTCCTCTATCAGTGTATGTACTGTACTACTGCATGTAGTGCAGAGTACTGGTAGTTATACCTTCAGTGATAACGCGATTAGATTCCCCATACCCCCTTCGATAGCAACCCCCATGAACAACTGAAAAGCCGTGAAACCCAAGAAATCTCGGTGGCCGAGGCGTCTGTAGGCATCAAGTCAGCTGTCCACACCTGGCAAGACGAGCCGCCATTGTGTTTCGCAGAACAGTGGAGATGGGTGACATTCGGTAATTGGCGCTTGTCATTCGGAGGGCGGATCTGACAATCAGGTGGGTATTAAGGGAAACATTATAAGAAGAGGAGCAGACTTGGTCGATTTTCTAGCCAACTGATCAGAAATTATCTATAGCCACGATCACTGTTAGCATGGCTCACTCGATGAAAAAGCCTTGGATAGAGACGCCGTTGATTGAATCTGCTGCCTTCTCTAGAGCGGCAGGATGGTAACAATCCCCCCCAAGACACTCAAGTGAATCTTCAATAATGACCGGTTCATAGTAGAGTCTTCCTGAAGTTGGAGCTGCTGCAACCTGGCGGCTCGTTCAAGTCACGGTAAGAGGCGGATATGCAACTCTTGAAACTCGGTAGAAAGACCGGCTGACCGTGTTTTTTTTTTCTTCTCAGAGCCGTCGGAAATCTAATCCTTTCAGCCCTCCTGAACCCAATCAACGAGGGCAAGAAGCTGCACTTCTACAGTTCCTCTGGCGGGAATGCTGGGATGGCAGCCGTGATTGCCGCGCGAGACCTCGGCTGTCCCTGCACCGTGATCGTCCCTGTGAGCACAAAGGCCCGCGTAGTCAACAAGCTGCTTGAAGTCGGCGCCGCGGACGTAATTAAAACCGGGGACAGCTGGTTCGAAGCCGACCGGTACCTCCGGGAGAGGTTCATCGAGAACCAAGAAGTCTCAAGCGAACCCCCAACGACGAAAAACATCTATGTGCCCCCCTTCGACCACCCGGATATCTGGGACGGAGTAGGATCCATCATACCGGAACTAGCGAGGCAATTACCGCCTCGAGAGCGGAGGGAGGCAGATGATTCAGCGTCTGCGTTTCCTGCGGACGTACTCGTTGCCAGTGTTGGCGGCGGGGGTCTCTTCAACGGCTTGATCTGCGGTCTAGATAAATACCTACAGGCTAACTGCGAGGATGTCGGTATCGAGGCAAGTAAAGTGCATGTCGTGGCGGTCGAAACAAAAGGGACAGACTCGCTGGCCCTCTCGCTACGGGAGGGTAGTCTCCAGTCGCTCCCGGCCATCACCTCGCTTGCAACCTCGCTCGGCGCCCTGTGTGTAGCACCGCAGACTCTGAAGAATGCCCGGTCGCCACCTCCTGGCATCCAAGTCACCAGCCTTGTGGGAACGGATGCGGAGGCTGCTAACGGGGTGGTTCTTTTATCGGACGAGCTGCGCTTACAGGTCGAGTTGGCGTGCGGTATCAGTGTCGAGGTCGCGGTCTCGAAGAGGTTAAAAGAGGCCGTGAAAGGCCTGAAGCCAGATAGCAGGGTCGTCGTGATTGTCTGTGGAGGTAACAATATCACGGCAGAGATGATTGCTGAGTACCGCCAGAAACTGCAGAACGGTTGGTCATAAACACTACCTAGTCATGGGAAGACCTTGGGCGAGGGGAAAGCACTGAAAGTGCAAAGCATGCGTAGCGAAATCTGTACCCAGTCTATTATATATGTGAATCCAGCGTGCTATTGAGCAGAGCCGAAGCGTTGTTTTAGAAGTGGCCGAGTTTATACGAATCTTCGCTTGTTCTAATGGTCATGTTTATACATTATAAAGCTTGATGTATGCCAACAGCACACTGTAGTTCTTGCCTCGGACAAAGGTCAACCCAAGGAACAAGAAGCCGAAGTCTAGTTAAGAAAAAAAAAAGATGTGAATGGAAGAACAGCCGTACATCTGGTGCTCGACGACTTCTGCCTGCTTAGTCGCTGTCGCTGGCACTATCGCCATCATGATTGTCTGGGTCTTCCCGAATTCCCTCTGCCAGGATATATTCGGCTTTTTGCAGAGCCGACTTGATATCCTGCTTATTGTAGACCAAGTCCACAGGTTTCTGGCCGTGCTTGTTTCTCACCCGGGGATCACAGCCGGCCTCGCACATCATTTCGATCATCGCCAACCCGAGTTCGGCATCTTTTTCATTGGCGTACCGCACAGCGGTATGAAGCGGGGTGTCTTTGTCCATTCGCGTGAGCGGGTCGCATTCGAAGTACTGAATATCAAAGAGGGAATCCATAGTATCATCTGCAAGAAATGGCTATTAGATATTAAATAATTGAGCTGGCCAGGGGAGGGGGGGGGGACTGTAACATACAACTTCCATACATCGCACATACGTGGAGGGCATGGTTGCCTAATGCGTCCGTGACTCCATTGAAGAAAGCTGCAACCTCCTCATTCGACTGGCTGTCCATGCCCTGGAGAACCTGCTCTATGAGATGTGGTTGATCACGACGGCAAGCTTCGACAATAAGCTCTCGCGGAGATGCACCCTGTCGGAGAAAGTCCATTGATGAGCATGTCAGACGACAATCGCTGAGCGAAGCTGCTGTGAAACAAAACAAGAGGACCCACCTCTTCGCTAGCCATTGCTGTGTGGCTTATAATTATGTCTTCTGTCAGAAATTAATGAAAGACCGAGTAAAGCGGAGGTTCAGTGGTAGATACGAGAGAGGCAGAAAGATCCGGGGGCTTGTTTGGACGTGGAGGTCTAACAATCGCCTTAGTGGGGTAAACGGCGGGATAGGGTGGAAAGGCACGCCGAAACACAGTGTTGCTTGGCAAAGCACTGAGATGCAAGAACTTATATACAGAGAATGACCGACTATCCGATCTCAGAAGAGTTGATACGAAGAAGAGACCCAATACTGATCGCTGGGCTGACGCTCTCTGTTGTCGAGCCGCATCCATGATCCCAGCGGCCAATTGGGAATAGCCGCCCGCATCATCTGTTCGTCCGGTCCGACCCTGGTCGTTGCCCCACCGGAAATTAGGCGCGCGCTTAGATGATAACGGCGAAGGCTATCACGAACCCGGCGTGGGAAGAAGACGCAGATAATAATCTTCTGCAGCGCATCATCCGCTCGTGACTTGCAGAACGGCTTTGATAATGCGATTGGATGGTCTGGGAAGGCTCTGCTGACTGTTGAGTATACCAGCAACCGGCTCAAGATGCCTCTTACTTGTACGTTGGCCCCTTCTCCGCCTGACCCTGGTTGTATAGTCGCGACAACCTGGGATTAACAGCTTGATTCTGACGATTTCCTGCGTTAATACAGTCTGCCCGAACTGCAGCAATGCACTGACGATTTCCCGCGCTGATCCATCCCCCCAGTACCCGCTGGGGGTTAACCGCTTCGAATGCCGCACCTGCCCGTATCAGTATGTCCTGTCGCGGGACTGGTTTGAGAAGACGGCGATGAAACAGAAAGAAGTCGAGGACGTGTTTGGCGGGAAGGAGGAGTTTGCAAACGCAGACAGCGTTGCAAGTAAGTGGTTCATCTGGCGTGTTTATCGATTTCTACTGGGTGTGTCGTGTTGTGCTCCAAACCAGGCTAAACGCTGTTCTTCTGTCTGTATAGCCCAGTGCCCGGCCGAAAACTGCAATGGCGATCGTGCATACTTCTTCCAGCTGCAGATTCGAAGCGCGGACGAACCGATGACTACATTCCTCAAGGTACCTGCCTTCCCCTTGCTTACAAGTCCATGTGGGATTTTGCTGATCACAGCCGACAGTGTACCACGTGTGGTGCAAGATGGAGAGAAAACTAGAGATTTTCTCATTCCATCAACCCTTCTACTCTTCTGTGTATGAAAGTACGAAGTACGAAGTACTTTGGCACCACAGGAGAGGTAATGATGTACACGGCTCTGATCGCAGCATCATCATCAGAAAAAAAAAATAGCACGCAAACCCAAATGGCGCATGCGTAGATTGGAGCTACATGATTGGGTACCTGGAAGTTGGACAAAAATAGAGTCGCCCAGAGATACCCCTCAGTTGCCGATAGCGACCACAGATGTCGATAGGAAACAAAGAACCAGAATTTGGAAGTGTTTTTTTATTCAATATATAGAGGTATATATAATATTAATATATATTATGAGTCTAAATTAATTAAGAATCAATCACTGCCATGGAATAAGACTCAGAAACCGATTCGAGTCACTGTTTTGACCAGCCCCGCCGCTGCGGCAGAAAATCTCTGTGCAGTGACTACAGTGTTTTGCAAGGAGGGGCACCGGCGGACCCAGGCCAACCTCCCACCAGATTCGTGGCAAATAGATGAAAAAAAAAATCCAAGTACAGTAATACTACGTAGTTCGGAGATTTTGCTCTCTAATTCAAACAATTACGATAGGTCTAGTGGAGCGTGTCGTGGACCAGCCAGCAAGCTGAGGATTGTGCTGGGCAAATGGCACAAGTGAGGGGCCGCGGGGTCACAGTTCATGCCGCACATTACACACTGTCATATACCTAGCAAAGAAAAAAAAAGCAGCAGCAGCCACGGTGGGCTGGACAGCAGTGCGTTGATGCCCAGTTGATGGCCTGTTGGGCGAGGTAAAACTCGAACGTAGTGGATCTTGCAGTGCGAACCAAGGACGAGCAGCTCGAGGATGGACACCTTCCAAGTGAGAAAAGTGAAGATTCTGCTGTCTTGGTGGGGCCAGTACCCCTCCATGCCCAATGACACGGCGGGCACCCAAAGGGTTTTAACCCAGCTTAGTCGCCTCCTCGCTTGCCCCTCCATATAAGGATTTCCCCTCCTCCCCTCCCACAGAAAATTTCTCTTTCTCTCCTCGTCCGCTTCAGTATGTATATCTACCCTCTCGAATGCTCCCTGTCTACTGAACCTTCTTCTAACTGACCTTTCTCAGCACCTCTACGCATTTCGGCCGTAGTATCTGAGCATTCCTAGAACTCTTCTAGTATCTTACAAAGAACTACAAGTTTTCACTTGAAACAACCGCCACCATGGGGTACGTTGCAGCACCATCACTGCCTTGTGTGCCTTTCTCTTGGGGGACTCTACTGACTATATCCCTACAGTAAGGACGGAAAGACTCACATTAACATCGTCGTCATCGGACACGTCGATTCCGGCAAGTCCACGACTACCGGTCACCTCATCTACAAGTGCGGTGGTATCGACTCCCGTACCATTGAGAAGTTCGAGAAGGTTAGCTCCTCCAAGCTCCGAGACAAGGGTGCAGGGCTGTGGTGGAATCGCGCTGGTAATTCACTGGCGGGGTTTATGCTTACCTGACACCTGGATACAACTGTTAAACTCGAGCTAACGTGTCAAACAGGAAGCCGCCGAGATGGGCAAGGGTTCCTTCAAGTACGCCTGGGTTCTTGACAAGCTCAAGGCCGAGCGTGAGCGTGGTATCACCATCGATATTGCCCTCTGGAAGTTCCAGACCGCCAAGTACGAGGTCACCGTCATTGGTAAGTTTATCTATATATATATATATATATATATTGAAGAATTGTTTCTAACATGTAATAGACGCCCCCGGTCACCGTGATTTCATCAAGAACATGATCACTGGTACCTCCCAGGCCGATTGCGCTATCCTCATCATTGCCTCCGGTACTGGTGAGTTCGAGGCTGGTATCTCCAAGGATGGCCAGACCCGTGAGCACGCTCTGCTTGCCTTCACCCTCGGTGTTAGACAGCTCATCGTCGCTCTTAACAAGATGGACACCTGCAAGTGGTCCGAGGATCGTTACAACGAGATCGTCAAGGAGACCTCCAACTTCATCAAGAAGGTTGGCTACAACCCCAAGAACGTTCCCTTCGTTCCCATCTCCGGCTTCAACGGCGACAACATGCTTGAGCCCTCCCCCAACTGCCCCTGGTACAAGGGCTGGGAGAAGGAGACCAAGGCTGGCAAGGTCACCGGCAAGACCCTCCTTGAGGCCATTGACGCCATCGAGGCCCCCGTCCGCCCTGCCAACAAGCCCCTCCGTCTTCCCCTCCAGGATGTGTACAAGATCTCCGGTATTGGAACGGTCCCCGTCGGCCGTGTCGAGACTGGTGTCATCAGCCCCGGCATGGTTGTTACCTTCGCTCCTTCCAACGTCACCACTGAAGTCAAGTCCGTTGAGATGCACCACCAGCAGCTCAAGGAGGGTCTCCCCGGTGACAACGTCGGCTTCAACGTCAAGAACGTCTCCGTCAAGGAGGTCCGCCGTGGTAACGTTGCCGGTGACTCCAAGAACGACCCCCCTGCTGGCTGTGACTCTTTCACCGCTCAGGTCATCGTTCTGAACCACCCCGGTCAGGTCGGCGCTGGCTACGCCCCTGTCCTGGATTGCCACACTGCCCACATTGCTTGCAAGTTCGCTGAGCTCCAGGAGAAGATTGACCGCCGTACCGGCAAGTCTGTCGAATCCTCCCCCAAGTTCATCAAGTCTGGTGATGCCGCCATCGTCAAGATGATTCCTTCCAAGCCCATGTGTGTCGAGTCCTTCACCGAGTACCCCCCTCTCGGTCGTTTCGCCGTCCGTGATATGCGCCAGACCGTCGCCGTCGGTGTCATCAAGAGGTATGTTCTTCCTTGACCCCCCGTTCAAATGATCATTATCATGCTAACTTATTCTTACAGCGTCGAGAAGGCCAAGGCCGGTGCCGGCAAGGTCACCAAGGCCGCCCAGAAGGCTGTCAAGAAATAAATGCCTAACTAACCAAAAATTGGGAGGAATGGCTTATGAGATGATGCAATGCGCATGAACTAGCTAGTACTAGACTCTACGACGTAGAAGTGTCGAATAAAATCGATTTCACGACTTCAATAATATGTTCCTCTTGTAATTTATTTGTAATTCTGGTTTCCCTGCACCATTTTAGCTGAATGGTCTTTTTTTTTTTTCTATGTAACCCGCCATGCGTCCAACTGGTTGCAGATCATTCTCACACGGGTGTTGAAGGCGTCCCTATCTTTACAAAACGAAGACTTCCAAGGAATTAACCCAGCATCCCCTTCTGGATCGCTCAATCTTCAAGACTTATTTATAAATATGTCTATGGACCTTGTCTCTTTGTATATCATGATGTAGATTTAACTTGTTGCGTTGCTTGGATGCGATACGGCGTATGGTGTTTCGAGGCCCTGCAGTATTCAAAATATATTGACAGACAGGCATTGTATGAGCGACATTCTTTCTCCTATAGCTCGTAGCTTTCAGACCTGATAGCGCCTAGAGAATAGCCAGTATCTACTGAAGAGAAAATATAGCGTATAATAGATTTGAAAAGGGTGAATCTGGGTACTATCATGTTGGTTCTCGAACAACTCCCGCTCCCCACCCAAAAACGCTCTTGTCCGTGGAGTCTAGACAAATATCATAGCGAATGTTATTCGTCTATGAGGCTATGAGGCTTAAGCTGTCAGCTGTCGGTGCTAGTGGAGGATTGTGGGCTGGTTCAGCTGCGGCTGGTCCAGATAAGGAGGACAAACAGGCAGCAGCAGCAGGTTCCAGCTGGTCTCTGCAACCCCCCGTCATCCATGCAGACAGAAGAAGGAAACAGTCCGTACAGCAAATGAAGCCGCTAAACAATATTTTTAGTGGACTTTTTACTCTCCACTCACCATCTCGCCAGACATTGCCTACCTGGTACTACGGAGTAGAGCTGATGGCCTTCTTCCCCCCAGCAGACAAGCCTCCAACCAGTTGGCGAGCTGGTAAACTGCTTCTTATTCCCTGAGCGAGTTCTTCTTGTACCCGCCGCATCTTGACTGGACGGGGGGTGCCTGGTCAGTCGATCCAGGTTGAGTCACTGAGAGATCGGGGACTAATATAAAAGCCAGTCAACCTCGCTTCAGCCTCGATAGATCCATCCTACGAATCTATTCAACTCTCTACGAGTAGTCTGCATGTTCAAATGTAGCTATTCTTGTTCAATCGCCACATTCACGCACCACTGCGCTGTCTCACAACTTCGATAAAGCAGTCCCCCGAGCTACAAGTGACTTTATGGATTCTTCCAACGAAAGAAGAGCATCACCTCTCTCAAGCACTGCATCTGGTTGGTATCCACGTCGCTGTTTTTCCTTATTGCGGCAGACAATTATCGCATCTCTGCGCGGACGCAGATCACACCGAGAAGATCAAACGATCGCCAACAACATGGAAGTGTGTCCGAGTGCAGCAACGGAGGCAGCTCCCGAGACAGAAGTTATCACGGCAGCTGGAACAGACGTTGAGATAACCGAAGCAGTCCCGTCGGAGTCTTCTGTCGATGTACCGTTACACCCGGCACAGCCAGAGACCGCGAATGATGCCTCCGAGCTGTCAGACGATGACACCCCCAAGTCCTATGAGGATGAGGGACCTCCTCCATGCTATATATGCGACATGCGGATCGAGACTGAGCCTATCATACCTTGTCGAAGCTGCAAGAACCCCTGCTGCCGTGTCTGTGTCCGAAAGATGTTCTCTGAAGCCTGCACGAAATTGATCGCTATGCCTCCAAAATGCTGTGTTACTGTCCCCTTGGCGATCGGTCGTCTCGTTCTTTCCCCAGAGGAAGTGGCCTCATTCAAGGAGAAACACGACGAGTGGCGGACCCCAAATCCTACCTACTGTCCCGACCCAATTTGCTCTGCATTCATTCCGAACCATTATTACCTTGAGCAGGCATGCGACATCAGCGATCTTCCAACACCCCCTTCCTCTGTCACAACCACGCCACCAAAGACACCACAACAATTCTCGTGCCCAAAGTGCGAGGTACAGATCTGCAGTTCATGCAAGAAACTTGCCCATCCTCTTGGCAACTGTTCTGGACCGGATGCTGGCGACCTAGAGCTCAAAAAGTTGCTGAAACAGTGGGGGTACAAAAGGTGCCCAAAATGCCGGACAGCTGTCCGTAGGATGTGGGGTTGCGCACAAATGCAATGCCTCTGTGGTGCGCAATGGTGCTGGCATTGCGTTGGCCCGTATGAAATCTGTCGAAATCGTCCTTGTCCTGCGGAACAAGAGTCCGAGGCTTTCGATCGCGAGATCAATCTTGCAGCGTGGGAACGGATGAATCCTGGTCAGCCGTATCCTGAAGATCAAGACGATGAAGAAGATGAAGATACTGAAGAAAACGAAGACAATGGAGACCAGACTATGAATCAGGCCGAAAATACCGACCAGTTCCAAAACGAAACGGACGCAGATCCCTCGGTCAGTACAGACACGACACCCGCTATCACTCCAGAGGAGCCGCTCGTCAACCTGGACATACTCTGGAACTGGGAAGAGGGAGACGAAGAAATCTTTGGCAATGAGCCTGGCAGTGGTTTCCAGGACCAGTTCCACTGTGAGCATTGGTTTGATGGTTCCAAACTCTACCTCGACCCAACACTGCATTACGAATGCGAGCATTGCTGGAAGATGGTTTTCCCTCCACTACCCAAAGAGGTGGACGGCGAAAAGAACGATTCTACCGCTTCTACATCCAGTGACACCAGGATTGAGCAGCCACAAGAAGAGACGGATTTCAACCTCTGCAATCTATGTGTACTGATACTTTGCGGGGATTGTCGCAAGAAGGATGAAGCCGTGGAGAAGCCCACCATTGACGCTGCAGTTCGTCTGCACAACGCACAGCTGGTTGAGGTGCTTTCCGATGAGCCTCCAAATCCCGGAGAAAGTGAGGACAAGATTGCAGAGGTCGAGGAGGTAGAGGAGGGCTCTTAGGATGGAGCTTTCATACACATTGATGGGTTAATAGCTACAGTCTTCTGATATTCATATACCATCTACCTAGTCAGAATAACAAGAATATTCATCAAGCCTGACAGGAATTGATCTAATTCAAATCTGCAAACAAATATTCCTGAACCATTGGAAAATGTAGTCGAGTAGCCAATCAAGAAGCGTGTATCACGTGCAAGCTCGTTCCTGCTTATTACCTCCGCGGCGAGTGGTCTGACATTCTTCTTCACCTTCAGGCTTCAGGAGGTCTACTTCTACTGTCTGTTCTCTACAGCCATGAGTATCGCGCGATCAGCACTGCAGGGCTCGAAGCCCTGGCGCACCTGCGCCCGATGCATTCGCCATCCACAATATCGGCGCTCCTCGCCCATCACGACCGGCCGGTTCCTCTCGTCGACACCGTCCGTCCGCTCCCAGGCCGCCCGAAACCCCCTCCGATCGAACACAGACGCGGGCGAAGCCGGTCTGACGCGTGAACAGGCGGTGGCACGGTACCAGCGCTCAATGATGCTCTCTGCCGCGGGGATTTTGGCCTGCGCGGCGGCGATGTACGGTGTCATCAAGCTGGACGTGTTTGGCTTGCCGGAGAAGGAATCCGATGGTGCTACCACCACCACCACCACCACCATCACCAACACCATGAAGCTGGATGGGCCGGCGGGGTTCCCGACTAGCCCAAGCATCACTCAGATCCAAGGCCTGGACGGTGTACAGCAAGTGCCGACGGGGACGAGCACGATCCCGCATTTTCCGAGCACGATCCAGCTGCCGAAACACCTGGACGATTCATCGCTGTCGCCGGGGGCGGAGCTGAATGTCTCCGAGGCTGCCAGCCAGGAGTCGGAAGAGTACCAGCTGCTCGGGCTTGGTATCCGGACGGTCTCCTTCCTCTCGATCCAGGTGTATGTGGTGGGCCTGTACGTGGCCAAGTCGGACATTGCAGAGCTTCAGCACCGACTGATGCAGACGGCGGCGAACCCGCCAATCGATCAGGTGGAGGGGATCACCCCCGCGGTGGCGACGTCGTTGGTGCCGCAGGAGCGGGATCAGCTGAAGCAGTTGCTGCTGGACCCGGAACGCGGGGAGGCCGCCTGGACGGCAATCATCAAGGCGAACGGGCTGCGGACGGCGTTCCGGATCGTGCCCACGCGGAACACGGACTTTCTTCACCTGCGCGACGGGTGGGTGCGGAGCATCACCAACCGAGCAAAGGCTTCTTCTTCTTCCTCTTCTTCTCCCGACTCCAGCTCAGTTTCGGAATTCCAGGATGAGACGTTCAGGAAAGCGCTGAGTGAGTTCCGGGCGGCGTTTGGGGGCGGCCAGCGCAAGAACGTGCCCAAGGCCCAGCCACTGCTGCTCATCCGGGGCGCGCAGGGCACCCTGGACGCCGTGGTGCAGCCGGACGCGAGCAAGGCCGTGTTCCGCTTCATGGGGCGGGTCACGGACGAGCGCATCGGCCGGCTGGTCTGGCTGAATTACCTGGCTGGCAAGACGGTGGCGAGCGAGTCGGCGCGCCAGAGTGTCGTCGAGGGGGTAATGGGGATTGTTGAACGGCCAGTGGGGACAGTTTAGTACGTAGCTACTAATTTCTTACACATTTACATGTTCAATTTATAATGTATTGTATGTACCAATAATCATATTGCCGCCAGTACGGTACAGGGAAGCATAAGTATAGCTAGGTATTGATTGTATGGATGATCACAAAGCCCCCGCAGCAGCAAGGGTGCGCTTCAGCTCATTGCGCCCGATTCCCTGCAGATCCGAGTTGCCTCCAATATGCTTCTTGCTGATGTAGATGTTCGGCACGGTGCGCTGGCCGCTGATTTCCTTCAGGGCGTCTTGGATAGCGGCTCCGTCATCTGCATGAATTAGCAACTTCAAATCTAAAACATCCGTATACTCAAGTCGTACCCATCAAATCCAGTTCGAGAGCGGTATATGTCGCGTTCAAGTCGTCGAGGAGCGCCTTGCTAGCCTTGCAGTAGGGGCAATACGACTTTGAGAAGACGACTGATTTATCAATTAGAAACCGTGAAAAAAGAAGAGATCCACTCTCTCAAGTAATCGATGCAAGAATCTCATCTACTTACCGACGCCATTCTCGTTGATCAGCTGCTGAGCCTTAGTTTTCGCGGCAGACATGGTGGTAGACGGGGCGGCGGACGAGCCGAACAGACGGGCAAATATGGTCGCTATGGTGGCGGTTTTTGTTGATAACGGGCGGAAAACACCGAAGGAGGGGGGGAGGGGATTTTATATGGAGAGATAGATTAACCTCTGGATTTCACGATGACGCGGGACGAATGATGGATTACGCACGAGGGGCCGCTATAAGTTATAACCACTTATCAGGACCCAGGTACATCTACTCAATAGACTAGGCACTGGGGATTAGTAATTGGCATTAGTCAGGGTCAGAAAAAATCAATCCATGGAAACCTTCCTTCTCGGGACGGAGAAGGAAAAAAAGAACGTAAAAAAAGTTAGCCCTGTCACCGATTCGAACGATGGACCCTAAGATCTGCAATCTTATGCTCTAAACCGCTGAGCTAACAGGGCTATGCCTCCGATGAAAAAATAATGATATATCAGGGAGATGGAGAAGAAAAAAAAAAAAAAACCTGGTTACCTAGTAACTAGTATTTAGGTCATATGTACTTGTAGTATGTATTCTTGTCAAATACTACAATTTGAGTATCATAGCAACTAACTACAAGTCAATCCGTAGACCAGGATCCATTGGTAAGAAATGCAAGGAATGACGAGGTATAAAGAAATCGACAGATGGACTCTGACGCAGAAGAAACCAACCCGACGCTGAATAACAGGAAGCAGAGGAATGAAGAAAAGGGAGAGAAGAAAGAATGAGGTATATCGAAGACCAGACAAGCTAGAGAACCGGAAGATCAAGAAGTCAATGTTCAGGGTAGGGAATAAGTAGGAAGAAGGTAGGAGAATGGAAAAAAGAAAAACAGAAAAAAAGCAAAGGGATTAAGAGAGAGAGAGAGAGAGAGAGAGACGAATCGAAAAGATGGGGAATTCACATCACGGTGCAACAGCCGCAACCACTCTTCTCCTTTGGAGGCTCCTGTGCAGTCACTACCGGTGGATTCCACTTGGGCGTCTGCGTCAACCCCATCGGCGGCGTGCTATGTACCTTGGGCATGGGACTATACCCTGTGGCGGTGGTTGGTCGTGTGCCCGGCTCGGGGCTCTTGGGACTTTTCGAGATCATATCCACCTCGACGGGTGGTTTCTCCGTCAGGAGTGGTGAGGGGATCTCAGGAACGACTGGCGCCTGGGCAGCGTCTTGTTCGTTCCCCCCTTCTCCCTCTGTGGCAGCCGGGGCAGGAGGTTGTTGATCGGTGCTGCGGTGGACGGCCAGAGGCGCAAAGTCGCGGTCATATGTTGTCGGTGTCTTGCCCTCTTTCTCCCACTGCTCCTGCTGCAGCTTGCGCGCATGGGTAGGCACCATCTGCTGGTCCGGGGGCAGCCGCGGATCGGGCTTGTACATTGTCGCCAGCCACGGGGGATCGCCTTCGGGTCGGTTGATCGCCCGGTTCTCGCCCCGGGTGGTCGGCCGCTGGGTCGTACCCGCCGTACTATTAGTCGACGCTGCCCGGGGTTTCGGGAGAGTCTTTCGCGCAGTTGAAGAAGAAGTAGAAGAAGAAACACCAGCCGCTCCCGCCGTCGGTCTCCCCTTGAGGGAAGCCGACGGGGTTTTGTTGTGATTATTGTTGCTGGAAACACTTCTTTTCGTTGGCGCCCCCAACAGGCCCCGGCTGCCCGGCCTGCTGCCCGGAGTGGAGGTGGACATGACGGCGTTTTCGAGGGTATCGATCGTGGTTGGCTCGCTGGCGCGGCGCGGCTTACCTGTGCCGGAGTGTTCGTTTTCTTCTTCATCTCCATCGGTAAGTGCTTGTTGTGTGTATTGGAAAGGAGACTCACGGCCAACGTAATCGGATGCGATGGGAACAGGACTAGTGGTGGCGATGGGGATGCGGGAGGAGCTCTTGCGCAGACCGGGGTTTCGATACATGCCCGCCAATCCGCGGTCATCCTCTGCTGCGATCTCCTCCGGCCGTCGTAGATCCCAGTTTCGCCGGTCATCGTCCATCAGATGCAAACCGTCCTCATCGTCGCGATCGAGCATCCCCGCATGGATGAATTGCGACGGCTGATCGTCACGCAGACTCGGCCACGGCTCCGTATGTTGCTCACTCGACGGGCTACTGGCGTACGAGCCATTCATCCCACCATTGGACGGCGGAGGCTCATGGCTCCGGCCCCGGTGCGTGCTGGACGCCTTGCTCTCTGGTCGCATCCGTCGGTGGTATAAGATCTGCTGCAGTTCCTCGCTCTCGATCCGCGCCAGTTTATCGCGGTGGATCCAGTTGGTATTGTCCGGGTCGTCCTCCGGGCGGTACCCGTGGCCATTACGCTCTCGCGAGGGCCTCTCCCCTTTCCGATACGAGGAATGATGGTCAGCGGCGGGGACTGGTCTCGACCGTGAGGAGCTCTGTGACAAGTTGGAGGCGCGATCATGGGAAGAACGGGAGCGAGTATAGGCGTCCTAATAAAGTCTCAGCAAACGACTGTACACGTTCTACATGCAGTAATCCAACGAGAATTGATAAAGACGTACATCCTGCACGAGCGGAACGGCATATTCCCACTGCTGCTGATTGACATCCACGCTGCCAGGAGACGTCAGAGCATCTGCCGAGTAAGTTGCAGCGGTTGCTCCCGCCATCCCAGCAGCCGTGGTGGGAAGTATTGTGAGGCCAGCTCTGAAGGATAGGAGGGGGTGAAGAAGAGGAAGAAGAAGAAGAAGAAGAAGAAGAATGGGGTTGTTTTAGGAGAGGAAACGACTGGAATAGCGGTCGGAGAGGCGGTGTCTTCAACTCCTTTGTCGATCTTCTCAGGCCATGCCACGCAAGACTCGCACTTTCACGTTCTCCTTCTCTTTCACGTTCTCCTTCTCTTTCACGTTCTCTTTTTCCCGACGGGAGGGCGCAGATGCGGGGGGCGGCCGGGTTGGATGAGCAGGAGGGAACAGGAAGCCCAAAGGCAAAGAAAACAGACACGCAGCAATCGAATCCGACCCGAAACAGCAAGTTGTAAACAAAAGGTCGGCGGAGTCAAGTCAGCTCTTGGGCTTTTTTAGTCGTGAGAATCGGGGAGCAGTGGAGCTGAACGGTCGTTGGGGATTTGGTAGGATTTCGGCGGGACGTATCTGAACCACGGTAGGTTGTTTGTTAGTATGCCTGTCTCAATCTGACCGGAGATCGTCTGGAAGAGGATGCGTCTTGAGTAAGAAGAAAAAAAAAAAAAAAAAAAACGAGGTCTGTAACGAGTTGAAGATCAGGGATCAAAACCCTCAACGTGGTGAATGATCCGCGGGGGAGGAAGGAAAGGGGAAAAGAGCGAGACGGTGTGGAGACTGGAAGCAGAAGGACAGGCTGGAAAAACCGAGGATTTATTCACTGAAGACAAAGAAGAGGAAGAAGAAGACGTTGGAGGGGGATATATTAAGGGTCAATGGGGATCCGAACGAGGTCCAAATAGAAGACGAAGAGAAGGGGCTGGAAGCAGTGAGGAGAAGAGCCTAAAGAGGTGAAAGACGAGGCTAAAAGGGTCGAGGCGCGGAACCCTCGTCTCAGATAAGTTTGGACTATTGATACTTTATCTATTCTATCTGACTCTAATTTATTTTCTTGTCTGTTTATTTATTGTGGATTTGCCTGACATGACTCCTTGAGTGAGAAAATTCTACGTATTGAATGATTTCTTCTGGCGGTGGCTGGCGATCCCCTGAATTCATCGTACGCTTACGTAGAAGCTAACTGACTATAAGATGGTCTACTATAGGCAACAACTGAGGTATAAAGCATTGCATTGTATTCTCGACCCATAGCTAGAATGATATGCTTTGTACAAATGTACACTAGATGGAAGGGCGCATGCTCGCGCTGTCCAGCTGCGACAAGATAGACTGCACCTCCTTGATCAGCGCGCGACGGGCGCTGCGCACTTGGTCGTCGCCGTTGGGATCGATCTCGTCCGCCTTGAGCATGACCTGCATCATGATGGTCTCGCTCAGCTTCTTGTGCTCAAAGTCGCGCGCCTTGGCCTCCGTCGGCGGCGACTGGATGTACTTCTCACACGGCGGGAGCAGCACGCCCCGGAAGTACGCCGCCAGCCCTGCAACTTGCTCTCTCGGGCCGCCCAAACTGTTCAGGCTCGGCGCCGGCGAGGGCGCCCCCGACCGGCCGGACGACGAGGGCCGCTGGTCCATTGGCGGCGCCAGGCTGTTCGGGTCCAGGCCGCCAGCGGCAGCCGCCGACTCCTCGGGGTGGGTTTTGCCTTTGCCCTTGCTCTTGCCCTTGCCCTTGTTCTTCTTCTTATTCTTCTTATCCTTGCTCGTCTTCGGTTCCTCCTCCACCATGCGAGAGCGAGCCTCGCTTCCCTCGCTGTCCTCGTCGCTAGGCGCCTGCACGCCGGACACCACGCACAGCACCTCCGACTGCTGCTTCAACCCCTCCGCCTTGCACGGCCGAGCGTCATCCTTGAGCAGTTTCCCCTTGTACAGCAGCTTGATCTGGCCCGCGGTCGCGGCCTTCATGGTCTGCGCCGCGAGCTGGCGCAGTTCCCCCACCGTCAATTCCCCGTCATCGATTGCGTACGCGGGGAAGTGTAGCGGGTACGTCACTCCAAGATGTTTCAGCAGGAGGATATCGGGCTCGGCATCGCTGCCGGGACCTCCACCCGCTGCTGCAGGTCTCCTCGCTGTCTCGTCCGGGGTGATGTAGCTGAAGTCGCTATCATGTACTTGCGGCGGGGCGTGATGGTGCTGGTTCGAATGGACAGGGAACGACGGTCGACGCAAGAAATTAAACGGAGCCCGCCAGCTCATGGTGAAAACGATGGCGAGGAGGAGGAGGATCGGAAGGAGGAGAGCGGCGGTGATGAACCCGTAGTCGTGGATCGGTCTGCCACTCCTACCGACAGCGTGGCCGTCCGATAATAGCAGGCGGGACAGAGAGACCGGGATGTAGCCTGCAACGGACTCTAGATACAAAGCGCACTTCTCGCCCAAGGAGGACTGAGCCCAGCGCGATGGCAAAAGGCTCATGGGACGATCTAAGGCGGGAGAAAGGAGGGGAGTCGCGTGGGTGGGAGGAAAGCAGGAGTCCAGTTCGTTCCGATGAGGCTCCAACATGGCGGATTCTGCCGGTCAGACCGCCGAGGATTTATCTAGAGAAATATCTGTGGTAGTATTTATATAGGAATATTCTTCGATATCACGTATAAACAGTAATGAATATTCAACTATTAACTATGTAATTGAAAGAATGTCTAGTCTACTATAATCGTACACGACCCTCGGCGGGCCGGCCGCCAAAGATCTGCGCAAGCCCTCCAGCAGGAGACCGTTCGTCATCGTCTGTATCCCTCATCCATCGTGGCAGTCGGAAGGGCTCCGCCTGCATCCACTGCGGCTTTTTGGCCGTGTCGAACGTGTTGCGCACACGGTGCGCAAAGGACTGGAAGAAGTTTTCTTCTTCGCCGTCGTTCAAGGGTTCGACTGTCGTCGTCATCGTTGAAGCAGGAGGTCGTCGCGGTGGGCGAGACGCTCGGGAGCCTAGAGGAGGAGGTGCAAGACCCGAGGCAGAGCCTGAGGCGGCACCAATCGCGACGCGCGCATCGCCGCTGCCGCCGCCGCCGCCGCCGCCGCCGACGCTGCGGGAAGCCAGCGCAAGAGAGCCTAGACCGTTCAATTCGCGGTCGATGAGCTCGCGGCCTTCGCGCCAGCCACCTAGCCCGTAGCCGGCTGGGTTGTTCTCCAGATATTCGTCCTCATCTTCCTCGATCAGACCGAATCCGAAGATATTCTTCACGCGACCGTACAGATTGAACAGCGTGGCCAGCACCGGTAGGAGGATAAAGATGGGGAAGAAGTAGTCGAAACCCTTTCCCAGCGGGGTGAGGTCAATCAGGCGACCCAGAAAGTTGTAAAAGATGGTGTTTTCGCGCACATCTCGAGGCAAAAAGGTAAGGAAGTTGTAGGCGGTCGGAACGGTCAGCCGGGCAACCTGCCCGGCATACCAGCAAGCGCTCTCGCCATAGGTGTTACGGGGCACGAGGGCGCGGTTGCCCCAGACCTTGGCATCGGTGACTCCGGCCAGCGCGGCCGCACACATGTACAACAGCCAGGCCGATGCGACAACCTGGCCGCCAAAGTTGATGGATAACGAAGACGACGACGACGACGAAGAAGAGGAGGAGATCACAGTTATGCTCACGATTGATAGATTTGGGAAAACCGATTTGATAACTTCCGACCAGATGATGCAGACCGAGGCGGCCGCTAGCAGGGCACCCAGAACCAGCTTAAATCCCGGCAGGAGATGGACATGGAGCCCATAACGCATATAAGGGGTCAACAGGGTGAAGCGTGGGCGCAGCGGCCCAAGCTGGGTTGTGACTCGTGGGAATTCGAGCTTCTTCGAGGCAGACGAGTTGATGATGGCTTGGACGTCGGCCGCCGACTGCACCAAACGATCCCACTCGTCGAGAAAACGAGCCTTTTGGTGACGGGTGCGTTGCAGACGGCGCGTGAGATCTGCCAGGTAGCGTTCTGTGATGACGGCGGGGATGGGGGCTGGCTCCGATGCTTGCGCCAAGGTAGCCCGCGGATCCGGCGGACCGCAGGCCTCGGCGAGATCGTCAATCCATTCCTGGAAATCTCGCGCCGTGCCGGTCTTGCGGCGGTGCAGTTGCTTGACCTGCGCTTCCAACACCTGCAAGTCGTTGACCGCATCGATCAGTCGGTCGTGGACGCGCGGAGCATGGGTCTGCAACCTGCGCAGGCGGCCACTGGGGTTGGCGGTGCGGAACAGTTTGCGTGGTATCGCCACTAGGCCGTGTCCCATGAGGTAAATAGCTAGCACGAGACCCCAGACATAGGCAAGGGCCATAACCAACGCCTTGAGCGAGGTGAATTCGAAGCCATTCTGAACGGAGATGTAGACAAGGCCGCCGACGGCACAGACAAGAACGGTCAACTGGTATCGGGCATTGGAACGAAGCGAGTATTGAATGCGCGCCCGGGGTTCACGGTATCCGGAGTCAATAAAGTCGCCAAGCAAGGGAAGAATAAACCTGTCAATCTGTTAGTCGAATGAAAAAAGCCTTTCAACTGGGTACTGAGAGGGGGGGGGATAGATAATACCAGGTCAACACGAAGATGAGCCAATATGTAATCCGCCAGGATACCAGCAGTAACCTGTCTGGCAACCAGATAGCCGTGGGCCCCTCGTCAGACCCAAGATCAATCGGCACCAACAAGATGACACTGGCAGGGAGGGCCAGCGCCAGAAAGACCGGGAGCAGCAGATAGCCGGGCGTGGCACGCAGAGGCAGAAAGTGCCGCAGCAGCAGCAAGACAAGCAGCCCGATAGCGAGCAGGGCCACGGCGAAGAAGACGTTGGAGCCGACGGAAATGGTAGCCATGGTCGTCGCTCAGGGAGGTATCATAGCGATGAGATCCCAACACTGCCTGATGCTATCGTCGTGTCGGGTGGTAACTTGATACTGTTAAGAGAGCCATCAGCCATCAGTTACCGGAACCAACCTCACGGCTGACTCAGCCGTCATATGACATCATGTGACCTCCATTCACATGACTGTCATGACATCAGTGGGCGAAACTGTGACGGTTATTACGAAGTACCTATGGTTATGTTGGCAGGTACCTGGGGACCTTGGTATCTAGGAACTTATCAGATATTTGGGTATTCAGGTACTCCGTACCAAAACTCGAGTACCAACCGAAAAATACACAGTCACTTACCATACAGACAATCCGTATCAATCTGCAATCCCTCTACATTGCGCTGGTCAACCATCTCCATCGATTGACTCAGTCAGGAACAAATTACAACCCCTGCTTTTGGGATAGACTGGCAGTTGAACATGGCAGCTGAGCCAAAATCCGAGTTGGAAGATTCACAGAGGCCTTTTTCTCCAGATTGGTGCCCACCCAAGTATCAAGACGATAGACACAATACCGGGACTCCGGAGGTTGAATATAAACAGCATCCCAAACACAACTTATAGCAATAGGTTGATTCAGTCATGGCTCGCTGAGTCTCTACTTCAATCCAGGTTGACTGGCTGACAGAGTGGCGGAATTTTTACCCTGAAGTCACGCCTTCAAGAGTGGAAAATACAATACGATGTTTACTGCCGACGACAACAACAGGGACTATATTTGATTACATGCTCTACACCAAATGGGAACAAGGTTCAGATCCTTCATGAAGAACTCAAAGATGATTATGATTGGAGTGAACAACCTCGTTGATAGATATTGATACGAAGCAGCCATGGTTCAAGCTCAATCCCGATGGTCCTCTATTCACCACTGACAAGTATTATTCAGCTCCCCTTTGGAACTGCAGCAGTTACACAGATAGTTTCTTATTATTGTGCAGGGAAAATCCCCATCCTCATCGATAATATCGAAGGCCAGCCATTTCCTGTTATGGAGTCGTCCGCGGAACTTCTCTTTCTGGCGGAGAAAGTAGACCAGGACCATCACTTCAGCTTCTCACCGGCCTAAGAGCAGTCCCAGCCTCTGCAGTGGTCATTCTTCTGGCAAGTTTCCGGTCAGCCGAACAAGGCGCAATTGAATCACTCTGGAAGATTTGCTCCGGTGCATATTGCCTGTAAGCACAAGCTTTGTCTCTTGGAAAACCTTGACCCGTCTGACTCCTGGACTAATTTTTTCTTTTAAAAAAGGATGCTGTTAAATGATTCAAAGCCGAAATTCTCCGAATCTACAACGTGCTTTAGAGCTTCACTTGTCCGGCAGCTTGTCCAGTACCTGACTGGGGGGGCGGTCGTGACAAGTACAGTGTTATCGATATCAATGCCTACACCTGAGTGCGATTGCCGACGAGGAAATGGAGGAATTCCCTTGTCTCCAGAGATGTCCAGACTAGCTGTCCTGCGAGGTATCGGCGAACAATATGACGAGGAGGTGCATCCGGAGTTACTACCTCTCTGCACCTCAAGGGAGTGAACTACCATGGACCAGGAAATAAAAGCACTGTAGGGAGCGAATGCCGAACTTATGCCGTCTGTAGAATATAATATCCTACAATATAAAATATAAAATATAAAATATAAAATATAAAATATAGTACGTAGAATATAGCTGCTTACGTTATATGGAGCTGTCAATGGCCACGACCCACGGGGGGCCCTCACGTGACAGGCCCGTGATCGACAGACGCCGGGCCTCCTTCAGGCTTCCAGGCGATCTGGACGACGAGAGAGCGAGAATTCGGCTGCGTCCTGGGCTCGAGGCGATCTGGACGACCTCTGATGTCCGTTTCCCGCTCGCCGTGGCCTCGATTTCCCATCCGAATCCCCTCGGTCGCTGCCCACTCGCTGCTCCTGCTGCTAGACGCGCTGCCGCCTTGCGTTGCCAGTGCGTCGAGCCTGCCACGATCCGCCCAAAGCGGCGAGCGAGCGAGCTGCCTCTGCTGGCCAGACTCTCTGCCTGTACGACGATTCCCTTCCCCCCCTCCCCCCCGTCCTGCCTGTGTTGTCGCCTGTCGCTCGTATTTCTATTTCCTCACGACTGATTGACTTGCCTGCCTGTCCTGCGTTTTCTAGCCTTCTGATCTCCTCCCTAAACCTGGCCCAGCCCAACCTCTGACTCGCAGTGGCCCTGCTCTATCTGCAGCAGT